TCCCTTTGCCATCAATATGAGAGTCATCGAGCTCAGCCTTTTGGCCCACCTTGCCAGCTCCGTCAGCGGACTTGCGTTGGGCCAGCAGCAGAGTGAGAAGTTCGGTCTCAATGCCGACTGGAAACGCAACAACCTTGTGCAGGCTCGGAAAAATGGGTCACCCACGTCCTCTTCTGCTGCGTTGGCTAATCCTACTGTGGATACCAATGCCTGGAAGAATATGCAATGCTCTCAGATTCAAGGAGATACCAAGCAACAGTGGGAGGAAGCCAATGCCAAGGACGCGTGGGACACTACCCTTGCGGCATGGCAGACTGATCCAAATGGTGGCTTCCCTCAATACGTCAGCACTTACCTGCACGGGCCGAGTGGCATGCGATGTACTGATATCTCGAGTGAGAACCGCTGTTCCCAGCCGGTCGACTGTCAGGACGCTACCATTCCTGCTGGGTATGTTATGCTGATCTCTAGTGTGAGCTGCTGAGACTCCGCTAACATTTGTTAAGAGCGATGATTTTGAATGGGTTCGCTGGAATTCATCAGGTGCGTTTTGACTGAAGAAAGGACGTCGATTATAAATACTAACAGATTATTAGCTGCATGCATCGGCCTACCAGGCAATCGAAACGGTCCAGATCGACGTCACGGACCAGTCTGGTACCTTCACTTCTACCTTTGCACCTCAGCCACCGGACAACTCGCTGCTTGAGAAGAACATTTTCGACGCTTGTAATCTGGTTTTCAGCTTCGGGGTCTCAATGATTTTCAACGTCGGTATGGTTTGCAAGACTCAGGTGACCGTGCACTTCGTGAATCCTGGGTTAATATCTTCTAGCTCTTAAGAACATGGAGAGTCTCATTCTCAAAGGCATTGCCGGTGATATGACCTCGGCTGTCCAAAGCACTGTCGGCACCTACTGGAAGACCAACATGAAAGGGTATGATTCTTATCTTCGTTGAAATAAAACCCGTCGCCCTGACAGACCTACAGTGCGGTGGAAGGACTCAGGGCGCAAAACACCATAGCTTCATACTTGGGCGAGACGATGAGCACATGGAAAAATCTGGAGGCACAATATCTGCAGTCGATCTTTTCGGGAACTGAGGCCTCCAATGGTACCGATGCTCTCTATGCGCTTATTGAAAATGGCGCTATGACAAAAGTCGCGGGTAATCTAGATCTCAGCAGCACCAGTGATCAAGTGAAAAAGATCGTTTACGGGCAGATGATTCCCTACGCATGGAGCGTCTCGCCTAGTGGATCGCGGCCGTTTATCTGGTGAGTCCCAATTTTTGATTCCCTCTTCGATGTTGGAATGAAATTTTTTAATCAAAGCTGCAATCATTCAGGCAAAGCGATGACGATTGCGATGGGTCGACTAAATCCATCCCCGAAAGCGCCAGTTACCTCATGACGGATGACACTGCGGTCAAGACTAATGTATGCTACCGTGGAAAGATTCATTACGTTCTGAATGCGCACAAGAATGCTGGTGACTCTTTCCGCACCATGCCCCTTCCTGGTGGCGATCACAAGACCCTAGATGGATCCGCATGGGGTGGTATCATCCTCGAGGATATCGTTGAGAGCAGTGTGGAAGGGTGGATCGCAAACAACAACCATAACGGCTATCCACGCCCGGACACTGATAAGATTGTCACCAACTTCGGTAGCGTGGTCCCCAGCGTTCGCACAGCTGGTTTTTTCAATCTGCCAGTCTGCGGGAATGTGTCTGCTATCAACCAGTCTCTGCAAAATGGGGATGGGAACTCGCCTTACTGGCCCTGTGACGCTCCTGAGGGGTACACTAGTAGTGGCACCAATATTGTATGTTAACTCCAATCTCCAGCGCTCTAAAGAAATTTGCTGATGTGAGAATAGCACGTTAGCAGTGGATGCATTGTGATCAATGATGCGAAGCGCTGCCAGACCTGGGGTGGACCGTACAGTAAGTCGCCTCGAGTACTCAGCAAAGAGAGCATCGCTGACAATTCATAGACGTCGCCGACCAGAATCAAGGAAACAGCACGGCCACTATATACGCCCAATTTGATGGCGACAACACTCTTAACCAAAAGGTCACACCCGGTTGCAAGATTCAGCCTTCGTGGCCTCGCGGCTACGGTGATCTCGACTTCACCGACAACTGTCTGAGAGACCGCAATGGCCAGAACATTGAGTGCTGTAGCAGCGACACGATCACTACGGATGTTGTCGAGAACCCGTATGCCAAATAGACGTACGTACATTTGGCTCGGCCAGGTTTGGCTCGGAAATTTCTGAGGCTGGGACAAAGGCCAGAGCTTCATGCCGTATAGGCGTAGTCAGTTCACACCGCTATATCTAGTTTCTTTGAGCTCCTATAGCTTTTAATTCTATACATATCCCACTGCGACCGTCTTTCTTGCCAGCCTGAGATTATAAGGCCTGGTTAGCTCTTCATTGGTTTTACATTAGCTTTTTCACATATTAGGTGAGTCTAAGATTCGAGCCACGACAACTATTTTCAAATATATTCTTATGTTACTGAAAATCCTCCTATTTTCAACATTTTCAATAGGCATAGCATGGTATAGTATATGTTATATTGACGTTGAAATGGGTCTTTAGAGCGATTTATATGATCTCCATGAAGGGCCTAGCTCCCGGACCAAGTGGGAAGGAACCATGGATCAGAATACCAGAATAGCGGCATCCAACCAGGAAGGTACGAATGTACCGGGCCTGGTAGGGTAAGTATAAAAGGAAGGGGTGCACACCCTTTGGCAAACTCCGCGACGAATTACGATTGCCATTTCCCATCTAATCGCATCCTCATTTACCCACTGGTCGAAACCTTTCTTATCTCCGACTTCTCCTTCGGCTAACTCTTCACTGATATCTGCGAGATTTCTAACGAGACAAACCAGCCAAATTCAACTTCCTCCTCTACGTGCCCCTCTCCTTGCTCCCCTTCCTTCTGGTAAGTTGATTAAACCTACCCTTTGAGTGGACGCGCATGTAATCGGGGACGAGCGAATTAACAGGTGCTGAATATCCTCTGGGCCGTCACAGCCTCTATCGCACCCAAAGGCGCTACTTTCTAATTCTTCGCGCCGTGTCCTTAACCTCGAAAACAGATCAATTCCGAGAAAAAGGTTGCGATGCTAGACTTGCATTAAAGCTCCGAGTTCACGAAGGGGATAGTGGTCTTCCAAATCCCAATCTGCTCAAAATATATGCTGCATTGGAAGATTCCTTCGTTTGAATGGACAGCGAGAAGTAATCAGGAACCAGTGCGGAGCACTCGAACTCGAATTACAACAACCACGTCCATGTAGATCTGAAATTAGTAGTTCACCCATGCTATGATACCCTGGCATTCAGAATCTTTAAGTTTTACTTTCTCAAATAGAATATCCATGGAGTTGCGATCGGTTGAATCTGATCATTTTCCATGGTGAAGCGCTTATCTAAGTATGCACTAAACCCTTCTGAATTTCGTGGTCAAAACTAAACCTCTTACAGAATATCAGCATACTCTTCAGCAATATTATGATAGCTTCGATTCCTATGCTGCCGAGAGTTTTCTACGCCCCTATACGTATCACCTGAAAAAGGAGGACTTTCCTGTCACTGACTGTAGCATTGAGTATGCCTTTACTCACTCCACATGGCACTATCAGATTATCCGACGCGTAAAAGAGGACGACCGTGAATATATATATCTGCTAAGGGAAAAAAAAGTATCGAATATCACGCAGCGGTGAAACCGCCGACAGTCCACCTGTCCTGTGTATCGAGCCCAGTAATTCGATTACCACTATTCGACCACAGTGTATCTGCCAACGGATATTAATGAGCCTCCGTCGACCTATTTTCCTCAAGAAGAACTCTCGATCGCTACCGAGGTTGAGTAACTTCTGCTACCTCTTAGCCCTGACCTTGGACTGTGGGAAAATCCGTTACCCGATATCCCGCCGATAAATGATGAGGGGTTGTTAGATTCTACTATTGGTATAGTCTACAAGCCTTCTTCTATAATATTGCCAGATAATGTACAAGAATGGATAAACTAATCTGCTCCTATATCTGCGGTTACTGAAAGCCTGGTCTAAGCGACTGACCTTTTTGGTGGTTTTAGCTCCTGAGTAATCGGAAGAAGATGTAACTAATACAGATAGTGATAGTCAGGATGAATTACTTGACGCAGTGTTTCTTTTGCTCTTGAAGTTTCTTCAAGAATTAGTCTCTGTTACTATTCATACATACTATTGGTTAATTCTCCTCCCTTTTTGGATTACTATCCGAGGTCTTGCCTAGTCACAGGTCTCTAGCCTGTCCCTTAGTATTTGCCATTACAAGTGGGGCCTAACAAAACAAATCGCGTCGACCTGATCCGATTTGCCCCCCATGGGATAGGGTTTGGGGAACAAATAAAAGAGTATGGGGTGGACACCGATTTCCAGAAATACTGTATTACGAAAAGGACAACGATAAAGGTTTCGATTCCTTCCTCGAGTGGTGTGTCAATATGATCGGCGCGAAGGAAGAGAGTGCGCAAGGCCATTTTCGTCACGCGGGTTTGAAGACAGAGGTTCTGGAAGGGTGAGGCTATAGATCGCCATTAGCCGTTCGGACCAAGCCACAACAAGGAGAAATTTGAATCTCATCGCAGCCTCAAGAATACGACGATAGGTGAGGTGTGGCGCCTGAGGCCCTGTATGCATCCTATGTGGGCGACGTTCTGGGAGCTAGCTTCTTCCCTTCCTCCCTGCCACCATAATAGCACGTCAATACGCGTGTATTCCCTTTCATGTTCTTCTCTGTCGACCGCCAGCTTTGTTCGATCATACTGAACCCTACTACTCAGCGTCGTTTCTCGATGCCAAGAATGTCCGGCGAATGACTAATCCTCGAACTATAATTGCCATCCATCTCGTTGCTGGTAGATTCAAGTTTTCCAAAATACTCACTCCAAAATTCACATAACAACATTTTACACCCCCAGAGTCGAGTCATGGCCGGAGGATCCTTTCATTTCTTTCCTCGGCTTCCCACAGAGCTGCGACTCGAGATTTGGCGTCTGTGCCTACCATGGCGCGTACACGAATTGGATTACCCGACCGACGAGGGTCTCTCTAACCTTGAACCTGACTCGGATGGCTCCTACCCCTGCAAAGTTATACCCACAGCTAAATTGAATGGCCTTCCACCCGTCATCACCCGCGTCTGTCAAGAGTCGCGCAACGTTGCCAATGAATCAGGGAGTGTTCCTCGGGCTGGTTTCTATGCCGATTTACCAGATGATGATCGTTTCACCTCTTTTTCAAGTGTTGGCGCCGACGATTACTGGCTTGATACCAAGCGAGACACCGCGCATATTAATTGGACTCCTCTTTACCAATACACCTACGATGAACAGAGCGAAGGCAGTGCCTTGGGCTGTGTAGCCTGGCTAAGTCGCCAGGTAGTCGGTCATCCCTCAATCATGCGCGAATGGTTTCAATGGTATTGGTTCAACAGCGATAGACGGTACAGTCAGAACGAGAGATTTGAAGTTTTTGACGAAAGACCCAGCTGGTCGGTTGTTATGCATGTTGTTATTATTCATGCGAACTTCCGAGACGCCGCTCAATCTGGTTTGTTTGGACTGCTAGGTGACGCAACCGTGCAAATCGTCTCTGTGTCCGACGAGGACAAAATAACGGCCTTCTACGACTTTGTACATGAATATGATCCTCAGACTTCTGCTGCCGGGGAGTTTGAGCGGGGTCCCATGGAAACCCTGAGGGGGAAACTGAAATTCGACCTTGTCAAGACTATGGGATCCGACAAGCTTGTGTCGAAAATACATCCAGCCATCATGTTTCGCCTTTGCACAAGGATTAGGGGGTGTAAAGGCTCTAAAAATAAGGATTTGTCTTCTGAATAGCACATCTGCTAAAGAACTCACGTCTACCAAGAAATAAAAAATTTAAAAGACTGTAAAATACTGTTCAATCTCTAAAGCTAGCCTGTAAGAACAAATTTTAAGGTACAGTAATTCGGGACATACAAGTGCTCGGTCTGAGTCGGTAATGAATATTCTTGAGTACAGTAATATTCGAAATCAGATTTACCTTCAATCTCTCTTTCTTTATCTCCCAGGGCCCCATTTGACGCACGCTAGTCCAAATTAGGACATAGTTCCGCTGGCTTTGTGCTGTCAAGGTACCCACGGTCAATCAGCGTAAATTACAGTATTCTCAAGATTTTGTCAAGAATCGATTAGTCGTTCTGGATTGGTGTATTTCTCTCAAGTACAAAAAAAAAGACTGCAAACTGTTCTGGGGAACCATAACGACCCCAGAATCTTTGGATCAACATCTCCGACCCACAGAGCTACAGTAGTTTTCGAAAGTCAGTTACAGAACCACTCAGGTTCGCCTTTACAGGATAAGTTTCGGATACTAGTGATGATTCCAAGTATCAGGAGGGATCTCATTTCAAATACTGGTCCAAAAGATCCACTGGACCAGGAGCAGAACGGAGACTTACGAGAGTTATATCTACAGTCCCTCTGAATTAGAGTCTTTGTTTTTGATACAGACTACATTCAATTCTATCTATCCTAGTAAACCTGGTCATCAGTGTAGCCAAAAGTTTAGTGTAGAATTTCTGTAGGGTCATTATAGCTATAATACAGTCAAATATGGCCTAAATATTTATATTTTATGCAAATCACGTAATATGATATTTTTCACCACTTATGGGCGGGTTATGGGCCGGTTGGGCATGCCCATGAATGGGCGGGTTTGCCAATGGGCATGCCCATGGGTCTGCACAGGTCTCAGGTAAGAATATCTCACCCCCGGTGAGAATCGATTTGCACTGGTGGCTAAAAAGACGGAGAACCCGCGGAAAAACCAGGCGCCGAAGGTGGGTCTAGGTCACGTTACCTTTTTACCACCGGTCTGCTGGAACCCGATTGCGGCGTCTCTTTAACACTGATGATAACTTTGAGATAATCAAGTACCGATTCTCGAATGGCCCTTACGACGAGCTGTTGTCCCATCCCTAGATCCTAACTCCCACCACGATTTCCTTGTTCAGGATTATCTGCACCGAGCGGACCTCACTGTCACGCTCTGTGTAACCTGCCAAAGCTCCAAGCCTTGGCTCATATACCACGCTCTACCTCAGCTGGAATGATCTGATGAATATATGTCGCAGAAACCGCGAAAGCTTCAGCGCATTTCAAGAGCATGTAAGTCCTCCGAACTGCTATTTGATTGACCTGGAGTTCCCCACTCTTAATCTTGAGGGTCTCATCCCAAGGCAAGTGGGCCCTGCATTCGCTAATGTATGCAACCCAATACAGGCGACTTTTGCAACAGACGCGGCATCAAATGCCGCCAAAACGAGGACCCGCTAGGTCGCTGTCAGAATTGCGTGGACTTCGATGTGCTATGCACCTTTGATCGCCCCGCAAAACGCCGGGGCGTCAAGGCTGGGTCTCAAGTGAGTGGTCGCGATATTCAGCATGAGAGGGTTACAGACGACCATGGTATTCCCGCGCCTGCAGCGACTGCGAGTGGCGAAAGAGCCTCAGGCTCGTCGATTCCCCGCAGTTCGCATCGTCCATCGATCTCCGGCGATCCCTGGTCTACCTTTGACCATGGCTGGTCCACAGCCGAGAGTGATGACCGCGATGTGACGCTGCACAATTCTTGGAAAGCGTTTGCCATTGCTTGTGACCGGCAAATAAAAAGTTTAGTCCAGGTGTATCTCGAGACCGTCTATCCGATGTATGATGGTTCCCTGTGATCTCTGGGTGATTGTTTGACTGAAATTACCATATCTAGTTTTCCCTTGTTCCACATGCCGTCTTTCATTGAGCGGATCAACAGCAAGGAGCACCTCCGCAATCAAGGGCTCTTTGCGTCCACGATGGCTGTTTGCTCTTTGGCCTCCGGTCGTGCCCGTGACGGTGCGTTGTACTCTAATCGGTGGCAACGACAAGATCTAATGAATCCACCCTCCGAGGCTTTCTTTGCTGCGGCTCGAGACTCGATTCCTCGGGACCTTATCGCAGCCAAAAGTATTCACTATATGCGTGCGTGTGCTATACTTGCTATAGCCAGCATCCAAAACGGCCAGATCAAAAATATGCAGAAGTATTCCGGCTTATACCACACCTTGATTTCGATGGATGGCCTGTATGATGAAAAGCTCTGGCCAAAGGACTTGAGTCCGATTGAGGCGGAGGAGCGGCGGCGGCTTGTACGGAATATACCCTTTATCTATTACCGCCCCCTGGCTGACTGGATCCTTAGTTCTGGTCTATCTACACGCTGGATATATATTCGAATGTTGTGTGGGGAGGCGTTATTCGATATCGTGAGGCCCATTCCTTAGTGCGCTATCCTACTGAAGTGGACGACGAATTTATCACAATTCACGGCTATGGCGTGCCAACTCTATCACCGGAAACGGATTCGGTTTCCTCCAGCAAAGTGACCATCGTTTCTCGCCAGCCCGTGGCCTGGCTGCGTGGTTGGAATTTCACCACAGACCTCTACCGTATTCTTGAGCATGTGGTCGATGGCAATAGGCGTCGCTTCTCGTCAGCTAACGGGACGACACAGGTATGGTCACTATTTGACTCATTATCCATATCAGAGCCGGCGGTCATGGACAGGGTCATGACTATGTACTCCGCACTCCCATCGCAGTTTCGCGAGACGCCGCCAATGACAGGAGACATGTCTAAGGACTTCTTCGGGTTCCAGTCAGCCAACATTCAGGCGACACTACAACTCCTTCGAATGGTGCTTTTGTCTGCTGAGGAAATTGGGGTGGAGCGAAAATGTGATGTCGCGGGTGAAGTGCTTAACGTGTTTTCGAATGTGCCCATAGAGTACTTGAAAGCGATCAGCTCCCCTTTGGTATGTGCAGTATCCATGCTTCTCTTGGTACATGTACTGATCAGCCCCAGCTCCATCACCTTGGCGGAATTGGCTACATCCTCGGCTCTGTCATAGAAGGGACTTTGTCTGAAGTATCCTACACGCGAGTTCGCACGTTACTGTACGTTAAAAACGATGCAGCATAAGTCAGATGATATCCTGAGTCCTAGCTGATTTCTTATTTCGCCTCTAGTCTTGAAATGGCCGATCTCTTACAACGTCTCGAAACAGGCTCACAAAGTGCCTCCGACGCTGCTGAACGACTGCGGGCCCAGGTTGATCGAATAGACGGTTACATGCGTACCTCACTTCTGCTGGATATTTCCGCGCCAAGTAACGCGGTGCCAGTCATCAACGGATTACCAGAAGTTGCTGTCCCGTCAGCATATGCACAGAACGCCTCCGCAGTCGGGACCGCGCCTGGTGCTGACGTTGATCAGATGTCACAATTTCAGCTGCCACCAGAACTGCTCACAGATTGGCCATGGCCGTTGGATTCTTATAATACGGAGGGATTTCTGCCTTTGGCCTTCGACTAGTTTCATTCCGGGCGGCGAGGGTAACTGGCTTAGGCACATCGTGAAAGGTGTTATCTATGCAATACCTGCTGCAAAAAGGACGATTGTCCGCTGGGATTGGTGACAAGACACAGTCCACCCCGGATCGTCCCCTTTTTGACTTTGAGCCCTTCCATGAATCCGCTATTATCATATCAATCGATCACTTCCAAGAACGGGGTGATAAATACCCAGAAATACTAGTACGGACCACCGGATAACCAGCACGGTGGCAAACTTTCATGACTCTTGTCAAGCAGAAGGAACAGGAGATTTATGTACACCGCAGGCGGCGTCATAGGTTGCTCTAGACCAGGCTCCAGACCACGTCTCCAAAATCTTCGATGAAGGCAATATCCTGCAATATCCTGGAAGGACACACATATACCGGCGATGGGTTCAACATTGTCTACTGTTCTCGGGTTGCCAACACAGCTCAAGGTAAAAGAACCTGCTCGGATTCAATGAGGTGCGCAGTGTCCGACTAGAAAACTGATTCAAATGCTCTGAACTTTATTGGGAGTAATCTGTTTTTATTACGATAGATAGACGAGACTTGTGAAAGAATCCAATGTCTCGTGTTTTCATCAATGTGATATGTAGCCTATGCACACTCTCAATACAATGTATCTTGCCTTTCCGTGCATGGAATTAGCAGTGATTATAGGTAAATGTCTCTCTCTCCCCAAAAGAGATCTTTATTTACCACTTGTTGTTGAATACCTTGCCATCAACATAGTTGACGAGTTCCTTCACCGGGGAAAGATGATCGCGACCCGCACCGAAAAGCATACCTTGGCGCATGACTTTGCGATAGTTCTTGCCCGGAGACACCTTTCCGAGCACATATTCTTGACGATTCTCGACGCGCGTGGGAACAGGGATGGAACGGCCCACCACAGCCTCCATACCCTGCCAGGCGAAGGTGATGGCCTCTTTGGCACCGCCGGGAATCCCGGCCTCATCCAGCATCATGATGCGAGTGTTGGGATAGTGCTTCTGGATAAATGATGTGATGTTAGGGTTATAAGCGCCCCCGCCACACATAAAGATCTCGGCAATCTCAAGGTCTTTAGGGGCATAGCGACGGTAGTGATCCACAATAGCCTGGCTTGTGATACGGGTGACAGTGGCAACAACATCGTCAGGACCAAGACCCTTAGTCTCCGCTTTGGTGATAAGTTCATGCGCGAGCGTGTCCCGGAAAACCTCGCGGCCCGTAGTTTTGGGCGGTTCTAGGGCAAAGTACGGGTGGCGTAAGAAGTCGTCCACGAGCTCCTGGTCAACAATCCCACGCGCACCCATCTCGCCGTCTTTGTCATACTCGCGCTCCCCGTTGGTGTAATGGCGCACCACGGCATCGATGAAAACATTACCTGGGCCAGTATCAAAGTCGTAGCATTCGTTCACGCCGCCGTGGGTGTCTGGCGGGATAAAGCACACGTTCGCGATGCCACCGATGTTCTGGCAGGCACGTAACTTGGTCGGGTGGTGTAGCACTAATGCGTCAAAAAACGCAATCAGTGGAGCACCCTGGCGCCCGGCAGCTTGATCGCTCACGCGGAAGTCTGTCACTGAGGTGATCCCCGTGCGCGAGGCCAGGAATGTTCCCTCGGCCATCGTCAATGCGCTTCGAGTCTCGCCTGGCTCGGGCATGGAGAGCAGCCAGATCATCTGGCCGTGGGAGCCCAAGAGATCAATCGAGTCAATGTCGACATCAAAATCCTTGCAGAACTGTTGCACTGCCGACGCAAACGTCTCGCCTAGGATAACGTTGACTTCTGACAACTCAGACGGAGAAGTTTTGTTGTGCAGGATCATGTTCATAACCCGTTTCTTGATTTCCGCCTCCAGCGGGATCTCTCCATACTGTATACAGCGTCAGTTTGTGTTTCGTATGAATGATGAGAGTATCTATCTAACCTTCAGTAGCTCAAAGTGCATAGACGACTCGGGCGTCTCCTGCCGGAAACGACAAAGGGCACAGTCGATGCCATCCTGCATTACCCGTGAGTTTCCTCTTCTTATGATAATTAGACTGGAGCACACACCATCGACGTCCCGCTGTTCAGGCCGAGGACAGTCAGATCCAGGGCATGGCTAGCATTGCCGTTGACCTTATTCGAATCCATAGTTTTGATTCACGCAGGAGTGTCTAATACTTTTGTTGGATCGTGCGCAGAGAGTAATTAACGAGGACTAGGCCGTATTTAACGGACAGCTTAACGCCTATAGGCACATTGTGGAGAACACATGGCTAGCGCGATTAACATTGGATTACCAATTAACCTTAACGGCAACACTGCTAAACGGTTGTTTAAACGGTTAAATGTTAAGTGGCAAAACGGGTATCGACCCATTTCCATTGCCAGTGTCAGTGCCACCTGCCAAGGCCGGATATAGACTATAGAGTATAGAGTACAGGAAAACAAGCTTAGAACTTCGGCAGACGCTGATAAACGGCTACGCGTCTAAACAAGAGCCGAATATTCGTCAACCCCGGGCCTCCCCCGACTAAACTCCATATCCGATCGTCCGGGGAAGGCCCTGGGGATGGATGCTCCACCTTATAAGGACTCGTGAGCCCTCGATAATTCAAATGCGTCTGAACCAAAGGTAGAGAGACAACAGACAAAGATGGGCTATACGACGCTTTGGAGGCGGCTCTCGCCGCGGCAGCTGAATATCACTATCCAGTTTTTCTCTCTCGTCTCCATCTTCTTCGAAGGCTATGACCAAGGCGTCATGGGCGGCGTCAATGCTGCGCCCAAGTACGTGACTGAAGTCGGCATTGGGAAGCCAGACGGCACTGTGACAGACACGACGCACCAAGGTGGAATCGTTAGCGTCTACTACCTGGGCGCTATCTTCGGCTGCTTTGCTGGAGGATGGTTGGCTGACAGACTAGGACGAATCAATGGTCTGCTGATGGGTGCATTGTTTGCCTTGGTCGGTGGCGCATTACAGGCTGCCGCTCAGAATTCTGACTTCATGATCTGTGCTCGAGTAATAACGGGCATTGGTACCGGAGGTGAGTACTTTATGTAGCAGCAGATTGTTCAATCTTGTTCTGACTCATGATAATATCAGCCTTGACCGGCATCACCCCTGTTTTAGTGTCGGAAACTTCTTCTGCGAGTCACCGTGGCGGATTTCTGGGATACGTGTTTATCGCCAACTGTAGGAGACCCCCGAAGCATTCTTATTTGACTAGCTAACGGATAACTTCTAGATCTCGGGATATCAGTCGCTTATTGGATCTCATTCGGTCTTGCTTTCATCAATAACGGATACTCGGACGTGCGATGGCGTTTCTTACTTTCCTTTCAATGTTTCCCAGCCTTGATTCTCGTCTGCTGCATCAAGATGCTGCCGGATAGTCCCAGGTATCTCGCTTCGGTTGGTCGGAATGAAGATGCACGTGAGCTGTTGGAGCGCCTTCGTAAGGATAGGGCCAGCCCAGAGGAAATTGATCGGGAGTACTTGGAGATTATCACACTTTCGGAGGGAAGCCAGATCAGCTCTCCAATCCAATTCGCAAAAATTCTCCTCGGGAAAGGTGGAAAGCGACATCCGAATTTAGGCAGACGAGCTTGGCTGTGTGTCTGGCTTCAGATCATGGGTTCCTGGACAGGAATTACAGTATGTGCATCTCAGTCAGCGTTGCCTTGAGATTGTTTCTAACTTTTGAACACAGGCTGTCACTGCGTATTCTCCAGTTCTCTTGCACCAGGCGGGATACAGCACTATCAAGCAAAACGGTCTAGCCGGAGGACTCAACACAGTTGGCATCATCGGTACCATAATAAGCGCTCAGATTGTTGATCGCCTAGGTCGCCGTGTCTGTCTAATGGGTGGTTCAGCAATCCTATTTGCTGTCAATTTAATTGTACGTTTCTACTCATATGGCAATTGTGGTACCTATCTCTAACTGCTGGCCAGGCTGGAGCTGTCTACGAGGGCTCTTTGCAAAATCCCAGTAAGGCTGCGCAGTATGCGCCCGGGGCCATTACCATGTTGTTCTTGTTTAATATTGCGTAAGGTGACCAGACCAACTTTAGCTGTCCAGCCATGCTAACTCTGGATCTCTTTAGTTACGCTGCAACATGGGGTACTGTCGCATTCCTGTTACCCACGGAGATATTCCCTAGCGACTTGCGAGCTCAGGGTAATGGATTTGGTATTACTGGGTGGGCTATCGGTGTAGGAATGACCACTTTGGTCAATCCTATTATGTTTGAAACCATGAAGGTAAGATGCATACGCGATTATGTAAGGAAGAAGCTGACCTATATCACACAGAGCCGTACCTACTTTCTCTTCGCAGCTCTTAACTTAATTTGGATCCCCATCATCTTTTTCTGTACGTCGATGCTATGAGAAAGGATATAGATTGAGCAGAGCTAATCATCGTTATAGTCTACCCCGAAACCCGCAACCGTTCCTTGGAATCCATCGAAGCATTGTTTTCCATATCGAGTCCCTTATACTGGAAGATGGAGCTGGCGTATAAAATGCATGGCAATGTCTTGATGGAACACAAAGTCGAAAAGAACGATGGGTTTGATGCAGGCCAGAACGAGTCGACATCGTATGAGAAACCCGAGGTGCAGACAATCGCCTAATGCTCTGGGTCTCTTGTACAATTTATGGGATTGGATATGGTTGATTCAGCAATCTCTTTCAAGTGGGTGACAATTTTTCTACGCTAAAATCCAGCAATAAGAAAGTCCAATATGAGATATTTGCTTAAGTCTACGCTCATTTAGCTTTAACCCAAGGGACCTGGAGCAGCGGGCCTCACTGCTCGTACATTTTACTGAGGCCTGAGGGCTCAGGCCCAAGGTTGCTGAGTCAGCCAGTGCCCGCCGTGCCTGTCATATAGATAACTTCTCTCCATAGATAGCTTCTCTCCATAGCATCTTCATGTCACCACCATCTTCAGTCTCTCATGCGAGTATCCTCATCCTGTGCCTCTAGTAGATCCATTGCAATGACAGTCATGTCATGTCCTTCAATCAGGAACCGAAACTGGTTATCAATAGCGGCATTGATAAGCCGTATACGGTAAGACTTTCCGAATTCCATCGTCATATTAAAGCGATCTCCAATAGTCACGGATGATGAGTCTTTATCCCTCTTAAGAAAGCAGGAAGGAAGCAGGTGGTTTGGCTGAGAGACATCCTGAAAGCTACATTCATTTGTATCCTCTGCGGGAGACCAAATGTTCGTTCCATTCAGTAAGCAGTTGGCCAATTCTTGAGGACCAAACGTTTGAATTGTGTCGTAAGCCTGTGATGAAGGGCTATGAGTCCAGTCACTGGGGATTAAAATGCCTTTATATTCATCATAATTTCCGCTTGCTGGACCGTTTATGATTATCCCCCCAAATACCCCCTCCATGCCTGTAAGCCAATATGGGCGTGGTACCAGGCGGTTGCCTACTGTGTTGCTCGCCATCTATACGTCCGGTTTTGCTGAGGAGGAATTGGGCACTGTGTTATCGATGCCACACCATCGTTGAGATTACTTCACCATTGATTAATACCATGCCAGTGAATCGAAACCCCAGCCTCCACGCCATTAGTCTCTGCAGTTAGATTGTTGCGGACGTGAACGATGACCCAGTCACCCCAGTCAGCAAAATTTGGTGGTCCGGGTATTTTTCCATTGACGGCAATAGTGGCACGGTCATGGCCGTCTGGTCGATGGTGATGGTTCCCCACCACAGACTCATATTCGCGCGTAACGCCTGTATCCGGCCAATCCAACTCATAGTCCGTGTGGATGTTGCGACAGCACCACGATGTCCGGGTATTTGGGGAGTTCCCTCGACAAGGAGATTCAATATGACATGGACCTCTCGTATCATTCAAAGGAAGTATCTCTGGGCAAGTAATTGTATGTTTCGCCTTCGAATCAGATTGAGAAGCATAGATAGAGCCAATAAAAACCGAAAAAGCTAATGATGCGGCGATTGAGAGCTTCATCTTCAGAATTATGCTCATCGAAGCTAATGTATCTGTCCTCAATATGATCTGGTAGACTGGCCCCAGAATAGTTGGGCGATGGCATCAGTATTTATGTTGTAAATTTGAAATGTTTGTCCCATAAAGACAGTGGCGACTAAATGAAGAACGCCTCTTTCATTGATTTTTAAAATGATCCGACATTTCCTCGTGCAGAGATGACCTTGCGTCTCAAAAGTGGATTGGAAATACAATGATGATACTTGTCGATAACGTGGCGTAGGTTTGAAGATTACGAAAGCCTAGCGAAAAAAACGAAATAATACCTTTTCGTACTCTATTCATGAAGTGGGCTGGGCTCTGCTACGGGAAGGCGTCAAAAGCCAAAAGGTAATGACAGAACAGAAAGGTGATTAAGTAGTTAACCCAATTTTTATGCTGTAAATTGTAGTAGAAATCAAGTGACCGACAGTTATGTTTTGCCAGATACTGCCCTAGCTGTTGTATGTAGTCTTAAGAGAGGCACCTAAGAGAGAACAACGTAGACAGCTACCCTCATCTAGATCAGAATTTTACTAAACAGTGCCTACGGCACTCAGAATCAGGTTCCACTGCCGGTGGCACCTTCCTACCATTCGGTCGCTCCCATTCTAGGTGACGTGTGCAGTGGTGTTGTGTGTTGTGAGGCCGTTCGACCCGCCTGTGCCAGGCTGCCTTCGAGCACCTATCACCTCCAAATTGTATTTCCTCATATTCCACGCTCTGTCTTTAGTTAGATATAGGATATCCAGGTTGGTCCAATAAACAATATCCCTGACCATGACAATGGAGTCGTTCCGAGCCCCGCTTATGATATATCCGTTCTGTCTAGTGTAACCTGACAGGCGTATTAGCTTGTCTCTTATCAGATTATATCCAAGTGCAGGGGTTCATTAAACAACCCAAATTATTTCTATCTGCATTGATATCTTCCGAGTATTTAATTCGTCAGATAGCTACAAAAAGGGTTTCCACTAATCAAGGACGGGCTCATTTTCTATTATCTTTTCCTTCATTTAAAAGGCTCACACAAATTGAAAATTATTATGTAAGGTTTGTAGACCAGATTCTGTAAGCCAATGAGTCATTTCTAATTCAACGGCATTCACAAGGAATTTCCTTGGCAAATGACGCGAGTGTCGCTACACTATATCAATTCAAGTGAAACAGTGTCTAACGGGATATTACACAGCTATTATAAATTAGGGCAATTTTATCATATAATGGAGACGTAACGAGAGCCGCTCAATCAATTTATTGCGAAACCCTAAAATTCCCTTCATACGCAAACAAACAAGCGATCTACCTAAAGCGAACCCTAGGGGCACTGACTATGAATTTCATCAAACGCCACTTATTCTTGTTAACTGAAATGGCTCAATGGGCAATTTCTCTAGAATATCCTATAAAGTCCGTCGGAACTGAATTCAGCCTATTTGCCTACGGCGAAGGAATACCTGGTCTACGTGTCTTTGCGGTAAATGGCAAGTCTCCCGAGAAAAGATATTTGAGCTTGACAAGAAAACGTGCCTATCTAATTGATTATACAGGCTTCGCTGCTCTCGGTAACATCTCGATGTCTAAGGGACTCAACACCGCGGACTTCAAAGGTAAAGACTGGCTTTGTTCTATTTCCTTTACCAAGGTAGTACTTATTCTGGCTTAGTGGGAATTCCCAGTGGCCATGCCAATCGCCCGGCCAACTGGATGGTATATAGTGATGATTTGAGTACCGGGACTCCGGAGACTGCTTTCATTGGTGCTGAGAATGCATTCACGGGCCCGTGGCTGGCTTTGATTAAAACTAGCGATGGGGCTCGACCAGTCGGATTCGTTTCAAATGTTACAACAGAACCAGGTGCTATGACGGATGTTTGGTGGTTATATGAGAAGTATGTCGAAGTTGCCCCAGAGAATAAGTCTGATGTGGCATTTTCGGCCCGTCAACTCGAGGGAGCTGCCATATGGCAGTTAATGTGGAGTGAAGCCACGGCCCATACACCGGATGATATTTCAATCACTTTGCGGTCAATAGGGCCAGCATCTAATACCGTCATGCGTAATTAGTTTAATAAATCTATTTGATGAATAGCTACAATAAATTGAGCATCCCATCATTATGGCCGTGTTACAAAAGTCGAGAAGTGCCCATAATCCTTCAAAATTCGAACCAGGACCAAAGGGTTCTCAATAATATTTACAGCTGTGGGGACTCGAATATTGAAAAATTGTAGTATTTTGACGAAAAGCAACAAAACTGAGAAAAAAAGAAGAGAGAGAGAGAGAGCTCTCATCGCAACTATCGTACATGAACTGGTGCCTGCGCACGTGACCCGCAGGTCAACATGATCAAGTGACGTCCTGGTTCGTCATAACAGCCTTCATCAATAATTACCTATGCATCGAGAGGCATATGACACTGTATAGGGCTTCTATGTGATATGAAGAATGTTGATTGTCACTGGCAGGAGTATGAAGTTGCTGCGCTAGATCCCTATGCGGGTTTGCTTTGGAGCCATGGATACACCCCAGTCTTACTTTTTTTTTTCTTGTGTGCTGGAGCTTGTCTTACCAGATGGATGTCGAGTGATTGGGTGGTTTTCCTAGCCGGACTAAGCTGCGACACGGCGCCATCGTGAGCAGTGATTCTTTACCTGCAATCGTGACCTTGTGCCAACCTACCACGTGAATTTATCGGCATGAGATTTAATATTATCTTGTACATTCAAGCTCAGCGACTCTAAATATACTCTGTAATTTCCTCCAGCTACTTTTGTTGTTGAGTTATTCGTCTGCAAGTTAGCCAAATCTTGTAGATTCTGCCGTGATATGTTAAGGGCGTGTAGAAGAACCGCCTTCCTAGGTGGGTTATTTTCGTGACTTACGCTAAACCCAATACATTATTAGAGATTTGAATCAAAATCCTGCCCGTTCCGTCAAGGCCTCTAGAGCCGTATTCTTTCCATCAGCAAAGTAAGCTTCGGTCATAGCCCTTCAGATTAGCCCATTTTCAGTTCTTGACTTTCAGAGATATACTTTGAATGATCCCTAGAAGTGTAGAAAGTTTACTTTATCTAGACAATATATATTTTAACAAATCTACAACATAGATACCAGAAGGATAAATCAAAATTAGAGTTCCAGACACCCTATCAAGTCCCCAGAATAGTGAATCTCGCCAGACACTAAAGATAAAGTCTGTAAAAACACATACTTAAAATCACAGTACACAGGGCCACTTTATTAACTATAAGCAGTATGGTCGTCCAAGGTTATTCCACGATATTGATATCCTAGGGTTCTACAGCCATAGCCTTAGATAGACTGCGACGTTGCCCGTCCATGGGCACCAGGGGAAGGCCCAATGCCCGTTATGGACGGGCATTGGGTAATCTAAGTGAAGGTATTAAGCTAGGAGGGAAGAAGAGAGGGAGAGAAGGAGAGATGCTCCCATTACAACTATCTACACATGAGCGGCTGCCTGGGTCACGTGCTTTGGGCACGTACCACAGGCACCAAAGGCTTCGATCGTTACAGAGGCTAATCAAATATATTCGAATCATATTAGTGTATGGCACCTAGTGGTATTATAAAAGTATATGTTCAAAGACTTATATTCGTAACTTCAGAAAGTAGATAGCTTTAGAGAGGGATAATTAGAGTTTTTAGGGTTTAAACAAATGATATGTTCTATTCGGGATTGTTGCGGAGAGCCCCTCCCCCTTGCGTCGGGTCCACGATATTCCGTGCTTATAATCGCACACAGATATTGCTCGTATATCCTCTCCTTCGAAAGGAACATTGCCGTTTCGAAGGAGAGTTGGGCTCTCTTCGCAGCGGTTTCTTCTTCAAGAGTTCCTCTTGCAATGGTGCGACATAGTTCCGAGGCCCCCCAGTACTACTCCTGGGGGACAGACCACCCTGGGCTCCTCGTTCTATCCACCGGAGTATATTTGGAATTCTCTCTCTGATACCCAACGCGATTCATTTATGTCCACAGTGTCCGCTTCCCTCGTTGCGGGCGACGGGCAGCGTAAGCGCCCACGTATAGATCTCACCACAGAGGAGGATATCGACGACGGTAGGGTTCCGTCTCTTGTTTTGCCAGTCCTCCCCCGCTTCCCCGGTCTCGACCGTGCTGCCATTATAGCCGTTTTTGAACACACCTTCCGCCCAAAGAAGGACCTCATAAAACTTCGCAGCCCCGAATTCAAAGCCTCGGCACCGGATGGCGAGTCCTTCGACTTGAAGTCCACATCGTCTGGCCTGCAATTCCGCAAGGTGGTTTCAATCAAGGACTGGGGCAATGACGCATCCCTGTGGGCCCACTGCTTTAGCAATTATATCGCCATCTGGTGTGATTTCTTCGCTGCCAAGCACTCACTATGCATCAGTGGAATGGTCCTTTTCCACCGCCGTATTTGTGACCTTGCCAGGGCATATAAGTGGCAGGAGTGTATTCTGCAAATGGCCTTAGACCACCATCAGATGGTCGTCGATAAAGGCGACCTTGCCGTTTCTCTTGGCGACTGGGAAATTGGGAAAGCTCTCGAAAGCTCCTACCTACGCCCGGATAACGTGCTCCCAGCAAAGACAGCGCCGACTACCCCAACCACACGGTCAACGCGCTCAACCGCCGCCTCAAACAACGATTCTGTCATCTGTGAAAAGTTCAACTCTTTTGCTGGCTGTCACTGGCGAACATGTCACCGTAGGCACGTCTGCTCTAAGTGTGGCAACGAACACTCTATGATAAGCTGCAAAGTGAAACCAGCGAGTTAGGACCACGCCGCGGTCTGCCTTGATATATTTCAAACGCTATCACCGCCAACCAGCTGGCCAGCCCCGCGTCCCAACACTTCTATTCAGTTTGAGATCTTTGACTCTTCTCTCCCGCCCCTGCGTGATTCTGCTTCCCCTTTTATCAGTTCAGTGTGGGAAACTCTCCTTGAACGATATCCTGGCGATCTAGGGACTATTTGCAGCGGTATTCTCACATTCGGCTGCCGCCTTGGTTGTACGGGCCAGCCGACAGACCGCCGAACATCTAATCACCATATTGAGGAACCCTCTATTATCACCCAAAAGCTCTCCGATGACCTGTCAAATCGTCGAGTGCAAGTTTGCACTGGTCCCGCTGTTGTGTCTCCACTAGGGCTCGTACCTAAACAAGACGGAAGCTGGCGCCGTATCCATGACCTTTCCTACCCGCCAGGGTGCAGTGTCAACGAGTCTATCCCGGCTATCGCCTCTGCCATACAATACATCTCCATAGATCACATTTTCGAACTCACCCGCACCTCTGGACGAGGATGCTTTATCATCAAACGCGACATCAAAGATGCTTTCCGCAATATCCCCGTCGCACCGGCCGACCGGCCTCTCCTAGCCTTTTCGTGGGATAGCAAGACATACATGGAGTGTTGCCTTCCATTTGGTCTTGCAACTGCACCCTTCATCTTTAATCTCTTTGCTGAGGGTCTCAACTGGCTTCTGACTGCCTACTTACCTGGGGCCTCTATCGTCCATTACCTTGACGATTTTATCACTGTTTTTCCTCCTTCTGTAGGAGATGTTTCTCAGGCTATCGCCGAGTTCAATACCGTATACATTCCTCTTACAGATGCACTAGGCATCCCAAGGAATAACACCAAAGACGCCGCGGGTACCGTGGTCAATGTGCTTGGGATCGAAATCGACACAACACTTCTACAGGCCCGCATGCCTCGCGATAAGCTAACACGCGCATCTTCTGAGGCCGCGTCGCTATTACAGCAAAATCGTGTTTCGCATAAAGCCTTGCAACGTGTGATCGGTTTCCTCCAACACTGCTCAATGGTCATTCGTCTTGGCAGACCCCGCCTCCAGTCGCTCTACAGCGACCTCGCATCTTTCCCACCTCACCAGCGCTCTCTCCGCCGCCTATCCCATGATAGCCGCGAGGACCTCGCGTGGTGGACGGACACAATCCCGTTTTTCAACGGAATCCATTTCTTTAAGAAGAGCCGCCCCCTAGTTGCCCTCTACACAGACGCGTGTGACTCCGGTCTGGGCCTCTTCTTCTTTTTTGCGCCCTCACGGGACTCCGCCGGAGACTGGTTGTCTGCAGCACCTTACCTGCCTTCCACTCACGCCGCTATTGTGGACGCCTCCTCCGTCTGCGCTAGCGAGGCCCACATCAACACCAAGGAGGTTACCGCAATTCTGCAGGCCTTCCTTCTACACAGCCTCCATTGGGCTCATCATCGTGTCCTCGCTTTTACGGACAGTGCCGTCGCGTTCCATGGCCTGTCTAAGCAGGCACTCCGCGGGCCGGCCCATCGCCAACTGCTCATGCTTTTCAGTATAGCAGCCGCCCTTGACATAGAAATCCAGCCACACTGGCTACCTTCATCAGAAAACCTACTAGCTGACGCATTATCCCGTTCCGACTATGGTTCCATCGCTGACATTTGCCCACAGTGGACGAGCTCCTTTCCCTTGCTCCGCCAGCCTGGTTCTCCAGCCAGCCTATTTTCGTGAGTGCTGGTCATGCTAAGCTGGTCTGGAATGGTCTGGCAGAGGGAACAAGAAAAGGGTACCGCTCCGCACAGCGCTCATACACCCGTAGCTGCGCCCTCAATGGATTACAGCCATGGCCAGCAACAGCACCAGCGATCTACACTTGGCTCACGGAACGACTGCTGGGCGCAGGTGGGAGCCCACCAGTGAAGCCCGATACAGCTATGTCTGAGCTCTCAGCGCTCCGCGCGTACCACGTCGACAACGGTCTTTCCGATGCAATTTTTGACCTCCACGCCAAGCATTTTCGTCGTATGGTCGATGGTGCTCGCCGGCTGCAACCCCCGCGCCAAAAGCGGGTTCGCAATCCAATCCCACGCACCTCAATTATAACCCTATCAGGGAATATTTCACATCTACCTGCCCAGCCACTGAGGCTCTCAGGGCCCCAGAGAGACGATCTCAATCTTGCCGTGGCTGCCCGGGTTGCCTTCGCCGGGTTTCTTCGGTTCGGGGAATTTACATACTCAGCTGCTGAGCATAGGAATACGCAAATCTTTGTTGCTACTAAGTTAACCCGGGGGGATATCAGATTCTCCCCTACCATGGACCACGTCCTCCTCACTTTAAAGAGAAGCAAGACCGACCGAAACCACGAAGGTGTTAATATTGTCCTTGCAGCGACAAACGACGCGGCCTGCCCCGTTGAGGGACTTTCTAAGCTATTCCTTCATGATTCACAACCTTCAACTGCTCCTTTGTTTACGCTCTCCTCCGGGCCATTCACCTCAGCCGCCTTTCAACGCGCCGTTATCTCCAAGCTCAAACGCTCTGGGGAAGATACCACAGGACTAAAAGGTCATAGTTTCAGAAAAGGGGCAGCCCAACACGCCCACGATTCGGGCCTGAGAAGTGACCACATTCAAGCCCTCGGAAGATGGTCTTCCGAAGCTTTCCGTCTTTACTTCACGACGCCCCCAACAACACTGTACACCTGGAACCGTCAATTCCAGACCGGTCATCCAACTCCGGTCTCCTCTTCCTCACCACCAGCCCCTCCACCATCCTTATTTGGCCCATCGGGTCATTTGGGCCCGCCTGCAGCCCTCGCGGCGCTGTAGTCTTCTGTCAAGGAGACCTACATCACCATGTTCGGACTGCAGGTGCCCCGTACGGGCCAAAAACATCTCACGCGTCTTCATTGTAGCAATGGTTGGAATAGATGATATGTTCTATTCGGGATTGTTGCGGAGAGCCCCTCCCCCTTGCGTCGGGTCCACGATATTCCGTGCTTATAATCGCACACAGATATTGCTCGTATATCCTCTCCTTCGAAAGGAACATTGCCGTTTCGAAGGAGAGTTGGGCTCTCTTCGCAGCGGTTTCTTCCCGCCCACCGCGGAACCCTCATGTATGTACTAAGTATGCTTCCGCATAGCTTTACTTCCTCCTGAAATATACGGAGTGCTACGGGCCCGCCTGCAGCCCTCGCGGCGCTGTAGTCTTCTGTCAAGGAGACCTACATCACCATGTTCGGACTGCAGGTGCCCCGTACGGGCCAAAAACATCTCACGCGTCTTCATTGTAGCAATGGTTGGAATAGAAGATACATATTTATATTTAAAACCTTTACTAAATAATAATTTAGAACTAGAAGATATTAGATATCATACTTAATAGGGTTTCCTTATTAGAATATACTGAAGTATATAATACAAACTCTAAATTTTTATTATTATTTATCATATGCCAATCTATTCACGTACTTACTAGACTCTCAAGTCCTCTCGTACACCGAAGTTTTCAATAGATCGCTCGGACAGAGAGCAGATTGAATTCATTATCACTCTTAATCTTCCTTTCCGATGTCTCGATCGCAAGGAATTCGTATCGTTAGTTGAAATGGCCTGTCAAGCGCTCTCCAAACCTCAACTACTCTATTCTTGGACTGCTCAACGCCGGCTAAAAAGGCTAGTCAGTGAAGAGCATTATACTATTCTTTCAAGTTTGTCTCCCACGTGGAGATATATGGATTGGATAAATGTTGACCGAAAATAGATGGAAAAAATTGCTAGACCCAAAGAGCTCCAAAGACATTAATCTAGTACTGGTCGCGTATTTTTCTTATTCTGACAATAGAAGTCAGAGGTTTCAAATTGCCAACTGGATGCAAGGCTTATCCTTGCTAATGGTACCCGTCAGATATTAGTGAAAGACCTCCGGATCCTGTGGAAAGGGGCTATTTTTTGATCAAGTGAACCCAAGTCCAGGCGAATAACAAATAAAATCCGGGGCACAGGGTTGACGCCCGTCGTCAGATTCAGCTGCTTACATAGGCCACAGCCCATGGCCATGTGGTCAATATACGTCTTGAGACAGGCAGATAATATGATTTATTTGTTTCATTGTAATTATCGAGCTCATTAGTAGTATGTTTGTTGGAAGGCTATGGGGGAAGTAAATGGTAAGCTTATATGATGAAGAACCTCAATCAGTATCAGCTCAGTGACTCGTCGACACAGAAAACCAATCTTCTGAGGTAAGTATGCTTTGTATGTAGTGTGACTTAAGTGTCTTCTATGTCAGTCGCTGATTTCTATGTGGACTGGAAGAATCCACCACTAATAGAATTCTCGAGTCCAATCCGGACTGAGCTCAGATATTCGGTGATTGGAGGAAATCCAGCCAATTCAATTTATTCTGTTTTCTCTACCCCACCCCCCTCCCTACCCCCCCCAATCCTGGCAAGCATTGCAGATGCGTATGTTTTATACCCCTAAAGTGGTGATAATGACAATAGCATGCATATAAAGACCCCCTTCCTCATCTCTACTATATTTTTGCTCTTCTTCATCAACTCATTGAAGTTCCAGATAAATTGGAAATTTGATTTTGCTCAAAACATTATCGCTTGAAGTTTATTATTTGATCACCAGGATGAAGACCCCCCCTTGTTATCCTTTTCCTCCTGGCACCTATATTTGCCTATTCAATCGAACCTCGCCAGATGAACGAGGCGAATCAAATGCCTCAAGATGTGACTCTTCGATTCTACCAAAGATCAAATCCAAATGGCGGAGAAGACTCATTCTATGTCACTTCCGGAGCTGATTCCAAACGACGTCTAATCAAATCTTTGGGTCAAGTCAACCGTATTGCATCGCATGTGCAGCGAACCGCTGGTTGGAATAAAGAATGCACCATTGAGGGGCCAGATAGAAATGTCATCGCGCATATCGACAACGCCCATGACGACATCCCACTAGGAATTGGCAATCCAATTTCTACCGATAACCTAGTTGTTACCTGCAAGTAGGTAATCCAAGTCTTGTGGTATATTACATATATGTACCTAGGTAGCCAGCTATCCTATCAGGTCCTGTCGTGATGAAGTACTATGTGTCTTTCCATGCCTCGGTACAGGTTTTTGGCCTAAGCGGGCGAGGTTTTCCCTGTACCATTTTGTAAATGCAGAGGCAGTATAAGAAATACGAGATCAATATAAGATTTTGTCAAGTTGAGATTACCATTAGCACCCTTTCGGGACAGGATTATTCAGCATGTGCTCGAACCCCTAGCCAGACTGCATTAGGTTAATAGAATCTTGAATTGAATTGAATTGATCCACGCTCGGATTTCGGAGATAAGTAGTCGATTCGGCGTAGGATAAAAATCAGGTAAATATATAACCTTCACTGCTGTGCAATTGTGTAACAAATAAATGCGGCAAGTCTCTCTACAATCCGCCGGGCAAATCAGAATACGCATTGCAGGTGCCGGGAGTACATCCTGAGCAAATAGCAGAATTCATGAAACTGAACAAAGATGTGTGTATTCTGAAAATTAGAACTGCGCGCGCTTCATATCCCCCTCGAAAGTGGCCACCTTGTTGCTAAGGCGCCATATCACGGGACCCGATGTTAAGAGCGTTAATCCCCACTACCGTACTTATGTGGGGATCCAGTATAATAACCCTTCAGTATTTGCGTAGACAAAACCTTTACCAAAACACCATCGACATATAAGACCAGCCAAGATAAAACAAGCAAAAAATAGGAGCAACGCGGTCCCCCTTTTTTGACTCAAACAGACCCTTCCAACAAAGCACACGCCTTTACTATAGCCTCCGACACGGCCTGAATGTTCGTCACATCGAAGACCTGGAAGTGGTTACCCGGGATGTCGAAGCATCGCACTGTGGCCCCAGTCACTGCTTCCCAATCCTCCGCAGCCGTCCTTACATCCGACCTGTCCTGCAGCCAAGCGTTCTCGATGAATTTGGGATTCATGCCATCTCGCGGGTTGCTAGTGTCTCCATCTCGCCGCCAGCCGTCAGCGGAGCGGAGCAAAATGGCAGGCGGTGCTGGGCTATGCGAGAAGTGCGTAGGCTTGTGCGCGCCCAACAAGGCTGCGCACGACAAGAAGCTCTGATGCGTAAGTTGCCGGATTGCTTTGCCCAGTGCATTTGGCGAGGGTTTTGCGCTGCCGGTGACGGCCTCGATGATGTCGGCTGAGAGAGGATGATGATCCAATGGAGGCGGCGAGTCAATAAGGATAATCCCTTTCACGGCATGGTTCCTCGCCATTAGGATCCTTGCCGCCTCGAAGGCGACGACGCCGCCAAAGGACCAACCGCCTACGAGACAAGGGCCTTCGGTGGTATGATGGACCGTGTCAGCGTAGTTTTCTGCCATCTGACGGAGGCTGGGCCATGCTTCGGCTGTGTTGATAAACTTGGGATCGTGTAGCGCGTAGGCCTGGCGGTTGAGTGACTGCAAGCGATGATACTGCATGCAGACACCACTGCCATCGTGAACCAAAAATAATGGCAGAGCGTTGGGGCTGGCAGACGCGCCACTCATGATGACTTCAGGTTGTTCGGAGAGTTTGAGAGCGCGTGTCACCTTCTGCACCATGACGGCATCGAGATTCAGGACGGGGGAGAGGTTCATTCTAGGGACTCTGCGTGAGTTGTTCTTTGAGGGGGTATACGTTGCCTCTTCGACTTGCTTGTGCACGTTGCGCTATAATAAACAAGCATTAGCCAAGCACGAACCTTACTCGATGGACTCAGCTTACCCCTAGGAGGTCTCTGGCAGAGCACATACCAATCTTTCGACATCGCCAACGGTGCGACAGTTCAAAAGGTTCGCAGCAGATGTGGTCTTCCCATCTTTGAAGATCTCCTCGAGGCGAACTTCAAGCTCCAAGATCATGAGAGAGTCGATGCCGAGATGTTGGAGGTTCGAACTTGACGAAATGGTGTCTGGGCTGGTTCCACAGGCATCGGCGATGATCGCAGAGACATCTCTCTTGCTGACTGGCGTGGCTACCGCACAGGGGGGAGTGCTGGAGCTGGTCATCGAGCTAGTCGACAGTCCTGAGACCGGGGTGATTGATTGAGAGGGAGTGTCTTGAATAGCGCAGATTCGCTCAATGTCTCCAACCGTCTGGCACTCCTCCAACTCTGAGAAGCTGGCATGGGGGAACTTAGTCGAGATCTCAGATTGCAGTTCGATCATCATAAGAGAATCAAATCCAAGACTCTCAAGGCCTGTAGTCTCGGAGAGCACTGAAATTTCCACTCCACAAGTGGTAGCAATCATGGCCCTGACTGATGGTCTAGATGTGTCAGGTATCGGAACCTGGACCGGGTCCTGAGCTGAAGGGGCATAAGATTGCAAAGCCGCTGCTACTGCAGGCTGATGAGCGGAGCCCCCCCGAAAGCTTTTTTGCGGTGATGGCGAGAGCCCTGCCGATTTTCGAGAGCTCAATCTGTTGAAACACCATGCCTTTAAACACTGCCAAAACTCCTTGGGAGTCAAAGGCATAGGCATCTGCAATCGTCAAACGTTCGCTGACGACATCGTTTAGGGTGCCTAAAAGGTTAGATTATGCTCGAAACAAACATTGAGCTGCGTTACTTACAATATACCTCGAAGGTTTCTCCAGGAGCGAGAGATTTTCGAAGGACAGTGGCGGATGTAACCTCCTTACACATGCACAAAATCTGGATGCCGACCCTGATATTGGCAGCGAAGCCTGCGACGTGCAGCAAGACATCCATGAAGATAGCGTTCGCAGCGGGCAGACCAGCAGTACCAAGGCGGTCATCGGGATACTGGCAGACGGCGTGGGTATTCCCACTGGCTCCATCAATTCGAATTGACTGCACCCGCTGGTACGGCTCTGAATAGGTGACCACCCTAGTGAAGACCATTTCGTACATGGCTCTCTTCATGAGGATCTCCTGCCAGGCCCGAGCCGTGTTTGAGACCATCTGCTCTGTCTTGCGAACCAGCATGGGGGAAACACGGGCATACTTCATCTGCAGCGTCGGACTTGACTTGCGCTTCAAGATTCCCTTGCAGTGCGACGTGCCATGATTTGCTCCAATTTTATTGTTGTAAGAGAGTATCTCAAACTCATAGGATCCCTGAGAGCCGTTAAGAGGCTTGAGTATGGCTCGCACCTGCAAATTTGTCAGCGAGAAATGGCTTGGAGGGTTGTGGTAACTATAGAAAAACAGAACTTGCCGTTGCAGTGGGTTCGTCATGATGCAGCAATGGTGCAACGTAAGTCACCTTGGACAAACTCCAGACATGGGCTGTTCCCGATTCGGGCTCGAGGTCTTTTATTGCCGATAGTGCAATCTCATGATATACCGATGCGGGACAAAGAGCATGTTCGGCAACCAAATGCCCAGTGATGAAGTCTTTGAGTAGATACAACGGCGTATCGTAAATCGCCGATCTATCATCTAATGTTGGCTGCTTCACCGTCTTGGCGATGAAACTGTCGATTCGAATGACGGGTTGGACAGCCTCGGTATCGATTCCTTTGGCTGTAAATTCGGATGGGTAGTGGACGCCGAACTCTTGTTTTGAGAATGGGATGCCAGGTATGTCAACGAGATGAGGTTTGGACACGCCATCGAATGGTTTACGCCAGTTGATGCCGGTGGAAGTATTATAGAAATTACACAGAAGCTGTGCCATGGTGCTTGAAGGTGAATTGCCTTTTCGCAGAGTAGGAAGAAGATCGACCGATCTTTTGTCAACGCACGTGCCCAGCATAGGCAGCAATGACGGGTGCGGGCCAATCTCTATCCATCTTGTGGTCCTCGATCCCATATTGGTGGTAAGAAATTCTTGAACTCCTTTGTGGAAGTTGACCGTCTGTCGACAGTGTGACGCAAAGTACTCTTTAGTAAAGGCATTTTCGCCGGCCACAACGGTACGCCCGAGAACGTTCGAGACCACGGGAATCTTTGGTCGGCCTAGATCAATCGTGGAGACGAATTGGGTAAGCTCGGGGAGGATGGGATCCATTGCATTTGTATGGTAGGCCAAGGGCACATCAAGCACCTTGCTCTTGGCCTTGAGGTTCTCACGAAGATACTCCTTGAACGTTTGAAGCTCCTTGATTGGGCCACCAACAACGCAATCGTTTGCGCTATTGTCGCATGATATTGAAAAGCAGGGAAAGAGCTCTGAGTTTTGGATCAGGTCTTGCACAGTTTCAGCCCCAGCATTGACAGCAAGCATGGAGGTTGTTTGAAGCTGGCATTGACCCATCATCAACTTCGCACGACGAGCGACCAAGCTGAGCCCGCTGAAGGTGTCGAGAACTCCAGCAATAACTAGAGCAGCATACTCTCCAAGACTATGATTTCGATAGTCAGTAAGCATTCTCTAAACAAACCTAAGCATACTCACCTGTGGCCTACGACCGCACTTGGAACAATGCTCCAAGACATAAGTAGTTGCGCAAGGGAAACTTCTAAGACGAATATCGCTGATTGGAACGCTTGCAGTTTTTCACACTCCGTGAGTTGCTCGAGTCCGTTTTCTTCATCGGCAGCAGTGATAATTTGGACACACCCGGGATAGTCGCGTTCTTTGAGATAGGCGTCGCACTCCCACACGGTCTTGGCGAAACTTGGGTAGATTCCCATCAGTTCAGCACCCATGCCCAAGTACTTTAAATTTTTTTCAGTAATGCACGCTGTAGTGGAGAGAAATTTCCAGACTTACCTGTGAGCCCTGACCAGAGAAAACAAAAACGGCTCTCGGCTCTTTGACTACTGAATCGGAGATGTGGTGAGGTGTCGCTTTTTGGAGTTTCTCTACCAGGTCATCGGAGGAGGTTGCGACAACTGCGATGCGCATATCGTAGATCTGGCGCCGGCTTGTGCTTGTCGCACAAATGTCTTGGAGCGATTCAAACCTGCCCTTATTCACAATATGCGAGATGAGTTCATCGCGAAGCTTTGTTAGCGAAGCCATGCTCTTGGTGGAGCACCCAAATACGTAGCTGAGCGGGCTACAACTTCCCAAATCGGTCGGTTGTTTAGCTGCGATGTACTCTTGCAAGAGGACAGCTCCGTTGGATCCTCCGGCACCGAAGTTGTTTAGCATCGCCATACGTGGCTGGCCATCGATTTGTGGCCATGATGCCCCTTCTTGATTAATGACAGCACCATCATAACCAAGATTTTGAATGCGTGGATTTAGCACCTTGAGGGATATTTGAGGCGGGATGCGATTATGCTTCATCATGAGGACCAGCTTCGCCAGCCCGGCAGCCCCAGAAGCAGCCTCGCAGTGGCCAATATTCGCTTTGATTGACGTCAAATGAAGGAGATTATCCGGTGATCTATCCTGACACAGGACACGCCGCACACTCTCCAGCTCCACTGGGTCTCCAGCTTGGGTACTGTCAAAGGTTAGCATCAATGCTGCACATATTTTTCACGGCGGAGACTGACCCAGTGCCATGCAGCTCAACAGCAGTGACCTATTACCGTATCAGTAAACTGGCGCCTTCCAGAAGCAAGTGACAGGGCTTACCATGTGAGGGTCAATTCGTGTTTTCCGAAAGACGTGTTTAAACAGCTCTTCTTGTGTAGGGACGTGGGGATGCGTAATGGAGTGAGTGTTACCGCTCTGGTTAATCTCCACAGCTTTGATGATTGCGTGAATTCGATCGCCGTCTGCTATAGCATCGCTGACTTTCTTAATGACAAAAGCGCCGCACCCCTCACCACGACAATACCCGTCGGCAGATGCATCGAACGCTTTGCATTGACCAGATGGGCTCAAAAAGTGTGCACGGTCAAGGCCAAGGTACATCTTGGAAATGTCAGCGGATTCAAACAACACCGAAGAAAGGACATACATCGGGGCTCGTGATCGTATTGACGGCACCAACGAGTGCGGCGCGGCAATCTCCGGCGATTATCGATCTGGCGGCTTGATGCAGGGCAACTACAGAAGAGGAGCAAGCCGTGTCCAGGGTTATGGACGGGCCGCTCCAACCAAAGACGTACGAGATGCGTGCACTTTGAAAGGTGCGCAGAGTGCCTTCTGATGTTAGAGTGATAGTCTATTCATATTAGAAGATTCCGTGTAAGCATACCTGGGCTGTAGTAAACATCAATGTCGTCCTTCATATTCGCAGGGTAATCCAGCGTGGCATTGCCGATCCAGCACCCGAACGTATCACGATTGTTCGAAGGCGTTGAGTCCGGCACGTAGCCTGAATTTTCGAGTGCTCTGAATGCCGTTTGGAGCATTACACGCTGCTGCGGATCCATTGAGCGCGCTTCGCGTGGGGATATATCGAAAAGGCCGTTATCGAATTGGAAAGGGTTTTGAAGGAAGTTGCCGTATCTTGTATTGAGGGTGCGATTAGCACTACCCTTCTTCAGTTCCTTTGCATGGTAAAAGTCATCGATATGGAATCTCGACTCCGGTATCTATTTGCGCATTGCGTAAGTGGCTGTGGAGAATCGAACATGGACTTGACAGACCTCTGAGCATGAGTTAACTCCATCAACCAAATTCGCCCATAATGAGTCCACATCGGACGCATCCGGAAGGTCGACCGCCATGCCAACAATGGCGATGTCGCCTGGCGCCAGTCTGGAAGCTTTGCGGTATGAGTTGGGAGCGCCAGCGAGTGATATCACATCGCGTATTTTCACGTTGCTTGGTAATTGGAAAGCAGATGTTGACATGCCATAGCCGGGGCCCATGTTCAAAATTTCAATCGTCGTTCCAGCAGTGGAAGAGGCAGAAGCCTTATTGACGCTATCGAAGATTGAATTTTGAACCGAGACCCAGTCGACAGGATGAAGCATTATCATGTCCAAAATAGTGTTGATGACAGTACCTGAGTCTTAGATTAGTTCCTGATAGGCCACAAGATGGGAGCAACAAATGACGTGTAGGAGCATTCACTCGAGATACAGCTCTTGGAAAGCTTGTATACATTCCGAGAATGGCCCACGGCGCACGCGAGATCTTGGGCTTACATAGAGGTCCTGCCTCGACGCAGTCTATTGGTTGTCCGTCAATGGTGGAGAGCAACGGGGCAACAAAAGCCACAGAGGTTGACATCGAGGGGCATCGCTGTTGAAGATCCTCATATATAGTTTGTTTAAGAGGAGCAAGCCTGTCGCAGACATGGTAAAGCGAGCGTACGTTTGTTGCCCGAGTGCGACACTTGGGAGGGAGTTGGGTGGAAAGGAAATCCTGGAGATGTTCTCCAGTCCCGCTCAAGGTCACGCAATTGGGCGAGTTCAAAGCAGTCACAGAGACAGTTTGGTCGGTCTTGTTACTGATCAGCACAGTTCAGGAGCGATGCGAATGAATTAGGGGATGTTTACCTGCGTTGTCGAGGTTGCGATGATTTCTTTGGCACGTTCGGCATTGATACCGTCGACAACAACGCTCCAAGGAAGGCTAGGCCCACAAGCGTGAAGGGCCAGGTAAGACCTCCGATAACTTTCGCTACGGATACCGATCCAGACGGAGACGTAGAAGAGGTCTTGAGCTCGAGATAGAAATTCAATAGGATTGCGGGATGTGGAAACGACCGTGGCAGGGAGGAGGCCGGCGCAAAAGGCAGCGACCTCGAGCAATTCGCTATGTTGCGGTAGTTGCCCGAGGTATCTAAGGATCTGCGAGAGATATAATGTAGTGTGTTGTACCACCACGTTTCCATGGTAGCGTTCATTGGGTGAGAGCACCTTTTCGGGTGTGTTAAAGTCCTCAAGATCAATGTCATGGGAGAGGATGCCGGAGCGCATGGCGTGGGAGATTTCAGTGTGAAAGATGGCATGGCAAGCCTGCAAGAGAAGCTGAGACTCAGGTAGCAACGCATCACGCGCCGATGCGTCTAGGCTAGACTTGGAGAAGAGTACATCAGAGCCAAGACCGGCGAATACGGGCGTGTGAAGTGACATATTTCAAAAAAGTTGTTGTGAGCCTTGTCTCTTTACCAGGCCGACGTGAGAAAAGGGCTTGAACATTACCTGGACTGCAATATATACAAGCATGGCGGCAAATAATCTGTGTCGGTCATGATGCCATTTGAGCGGACCTTGGCCTTGCACAAAGGCATGCTAGGGTCGATTGGAAAGCATTTGCTTCGACTGCGAAAGGGACGATAGATATGATTGCCCGATCGGGTTAGCCTAGAGTAAGCATGGCTCGGAAGAGTGAAAAGAGGACAATCGAGGACCCCACTCCGCAAGGAGTAATAGGAATAGGGCGGAGTGAGACTTCTGGGAAATCGGCTCCGTAAAAAGGCTTCAAAAGCTGCCGAAAGTAGTAGCCAGTTTGCCGTTTCCTATTTTGATATAGTAATATGACAGAATTACACGTATTGTATACTACATATCATAAAGTTACAATTTCATATTTTATTTTTATCTCATTTATCTTGATTCCAAGTAGACCGAGAAAGATGCGAAGCTAATGCACCAATTCCTATACTAAAAGGAAGTAAGACGGCTAATCATCCTATAGCTATGTCTCTAAATATAACGGAAAGCCAAGGATGAAATTGAAGATACAAAGATACGATAAATTAGTGTCAGGTACCATAAAAAACTTCATTTTAAAATACATATATTTCCCGTATTGTATCGCGAAAGTCACTTCAATTCCAAAGATGGAATCGCCCTCGTTCTGTATTCGAATCTGAAACGGAAGGGCTATGGCACCCAGATTACCCAAAGGAGTCCATTACTGCTGTCCCGACAAGCTTGGTGCATTACGAGAGGAGACTCTCGTCTATCTGCCATCGGCGTCGTCTCTTTCAACTACATTTGATAGACATTGCATCCACCCTCTCTCTTCTTCTATCTTTCTCGCCGTTATCAAAAGAATAATTGACCTCCACGCAGCCATGGTAGGCCTCGGTAAAGTCAGCAATGGTGACAAGCCATACCAGCTCCATCTCGTGGTCATAGGCGCCGGTCTCGCCGGCCTTTCGGCAGCAATAACTACAAGTCTTGAAGGCCACCGCGTGACCGTGCTTGAGAAAGTATCGCAACTACAGGACGTAGGCGCCGGTCTTCAAGTGACGCCAAACGCCACGCGCCTGTTGAAACGCTGGGGTCTTTTCGATGAGCTACGCAAACGTGCCGCTGCGCCGTCGTCCTTGACCGTTCGCCGGTACGACGGTAGTGTCATGCTCGCGCAAGAGGACAGCTTTCAGGAGAAGATGCAGGATAAGTACGATGCGCCCTTCTGGAATCTCCACAGGGCGGACTTGCAGAAGGCTCTCGTGGGCCGAGCAATCGAGCTTGGTGTTGAGATCCGACTCGATTCTGAGGTGATCGATTTCGACTTCTCTGCAGCAACGGTGATGCTAAAGGGGGGAGAAATGGTACACGGCGACGTCCTTCTGGCCGCAGACGGCTTGTGGTCGCGTAGCAGGAGCCTCTTCATGCAGAAAACAATCCTCCCGAGCCCGACCGGCGATCTCGCCTGGCGCATCATCCTCAACCTCGAAGACCTGAAAGACCCGGAGCTCGTCGAGTGGGTGTCGAAGCCGACGGTCAACTTCTGGATCGGTCCCTATGCCCACGCGGTGGGCTACTCTGTCAGGGGCGGGAAGCAATTCAATCTCGTCCTGCTCTCGCCCGATGATCTTGAGAAAGACTTGAGCAGAGCGGAGGGCAACCTTGATGAAATGAAGAAATTGTTTGCAGCGTGGGATCCAATGTCAGATTCCTACTTTATATCTCCACGGACAAAGAGCTGACCCAAGAAGCTTGATGAAGTTCCTTAAATGCGTGCAGAGTGTGGACAAGTGGAAATTAATGCACTGTAAGTCACATCCCAAATGCCACAAGAATATCTCTGATGGATCTGCAGGTCCCACGCTCGACCAGTGGAGGAATGATAAGGGGAATTTTGTCATGGCGTAAGTCACCATGCGTCCACTCTCAAATACTCAAGCGATGCCTATGCAGTAAACCGTCTCTCTTACACTTTTCTAGCGGCGACGCCTGCCACCCGATGCTCCCCTACCTCGCTCAAGGCGCCAACTCCTCTCTCGAGGACGGCGCCGTACTCGGACGCCTCCTCGGCCACGTCAGACACTCCGCCGACGTTCCTCACGCCATTAAGCTCTACGAATACCTGCGGAAGGAGAGAAGCCGCACCATTGCGCTTGAGACGTTCAAGCAGGTAGGCTCATCGGTTCATGTTAGTTCCCACCGTGCCATCCTATGCTGACATGCACTTTGCATCCCCGCAGCGCGAGGTCTTCCACTTGCCTGACGGGGAGGCACAGCAACAACGCGACGCCGTTTTCGCCGCCGCCATGGTCAGCGGGCCCACACCCGCCTTCAGTAGCCGCTGGTATGCCGAGACACCCCTGATTTGTGCTTGAAATTGTTGGAAGTTGTAATACTGATCATTGTGTCGCGGTAACAGGACGTGTCCAGCCTTTCAGCCCTGGCTTTATGGTTATGATGCGTACGCTGAGGCTGATCGGGCGTTTGACGCGACGAAGCAGTAATCTGCAGGGGGGTCTCATACATAAGCCGCTTTTCATTGAGATTCGACGACTAGATCCATATTGTGTTGTTAATGAATGGATGAAATTATTGTACACAAACCATTATGGCATGGACTTGACGAACGCGTTGTGCGATATCTCTATAGTCGAGTGTAGTGCATCATGAAGCCTTTCGCCAACATCTGGGCTGAAGACGCAAACTCGAAGTGCTAAGTCTTTCGATCTGTAGATGGCTACCTCTTACGTAGAATCTAGGATTGCCTTACAGTTCTTCAGCATCCTCTCATTACGATCGTCTTCTCTTCTTCGTCTTAGGTCGGCATGTGTTGATGAAATACCATGTGAGGAATGGCTGCAAAGCACATGCAAGAGACTGCAGGGGAGGAGCATTGTATGTCAATAAGTGAATTCTGCGAATAAGACTAGAAGTGCAGACAAAAAACTGCACAGACGCTGGCCACATTAGGAGAATTGCACCCGGTGAGTGTACCCCCATCGGGTTTCGGTGGACTTTTCGAAATGCCCTCAGGATTCCGGATACGCCCTGCCTAATGTGGTAGCGGGCCTGACTCTGAAATGGTAAAGATTATACGCAGCGTACAGTATTGTAACGAGCACTGCATACAAAACTCTCCTAAACTCGAAGGTTTGCAGACCCACTTCGTACCGGACCCCGCGTCATTGCTTGAAACAATACAGTCTTATCGCTGTTACAACCTGACAAGCTGCGGGTCCCGAAGGCCCGAAGTTTCAGCCTCGTGTTGCTACATCCGGAATAGCCATAAGGAGGACCGAGGGATCCATCAACTTCCATAAGGATGACTCGATCTCGGGAACTGCCCGCCATGGTTCGTCATAGATCGGCCTTCTTAAGTCTGACATCTTCCCCTTCCAGTTAGAAACTTCCCACGCAAGACTATGATCGACAAGGCCCCCAATATCATCGCAATGTAATATTCAAGTAGAGTAGACATAAAGGGCTCCTTAATGAATTTTGGGATAGATTGAGAATCAAGTATCTGTTCAAAAATTGTGATTCTGATGACCATGGCATTCCAGCTCGTATCCACGCTTACAGGCTTACTTTCATTCGCTTTGGCCTATGATCCAGGCGGTTCATACCCTCTCGGTGCTGGCGGCATCTTGAAAAACGCCACCGATTATCTGCCTTATCCGCTTGCGAACTTCACAACTCCAAATGTAAATCCCGCGAACCTGCCCAAAGGGTGCCAGAATGGCCCTCACTCCCGAGGCTGCTGGGGCAACTACTCCATCGACACAAATTACTACGAAGACTCGCCTCGTACTGGAGTGACGAGGGAGTACTGGCTTGAGGTCCTCAACAGCACCGTGTCCCCAGATGTGCGTCCATGCCCGCGTTTCCCATCTGTCGATACTGACTAATTCCATCAGGGCTACAAAATGGGTGCTCTCACTTTCAACGGTAGCATGCCCGGACCACTGATCGAGGCTGATTGGGGTGACGAACGTAAGAATCTTCTCCCTGCAAAGCAAGGCCATTCACTTAGAATGCCACAGTCGTTATCCACGTCACGAACAAGTTACAGACCAATGGCACATCTATTCACTGGCATGGCTTTAGGCAATTGAACAACAATGACGCAGATGGTGTTCCCGGTGTCACCCAGTGCCCCATCGTAGGTCTTTCTCGCGCAGATATAAATCCAATCTAACGCGACGCAGCCACCCGGAGAGACGTATACCTATAGATTCTATGCCGAGCACTATGGAACAGTAAGCTTCCTTCAATCCACGTAGATGCGTTACTTACGATCTCCAGACATGGTACCATTCCCACTTTACAATGCAGTACTCTGTGGGTCTTCAGGGTCCGATGATTATCCATGGACCTGCCACGGCCGACTATGACGAAGACTTGGGAACTGTCATCCTACAAGACTGGGCGCATGAGTCGTTCTTTGCCTTGTGGTGGTACGATCGGGTCTTCAAGCCCCCAACGCCTCAACTGCCTCCCTCGCTGGATAGTTCTCTCATCAATGGCAAAAATGTATTCCCCTGCGATAATAAAGATCCTCGATGTGTCGGTGGTACCAGCCGTCCTGAGTGGCACTTTGAGAAGGGCAAAAAGTACCGTATGCGCCTCATCAACACCGGTGTTTACTCCAACATGCGATTCTCCATTGACAACCATACCTTGACCGTCATTTCCATGGATTTTATACCTATAGTCCCCTATAAGACCGACAACGTAGGTCCATCATTCCACATATTCACTCTCCCATACTCACAGTATTCAGGTCGCCATCAGCATGGGCCAACGTTACGACGTCATTGTCGAAGCAGATGCAGACGTCGATAACTATTGGCTCCGGTGAGTGGTTCCCTCACATTTACAGATCTCTAAAAGCTGACTTTCTACAGTGGGACCTGGCAGGAGAAGTGCTGTGCAAATCAGCAGGCCAACAACACTCTCGGTATTATTCGCTATGACTCTTCCTCGAAAGAAGATCCCAAGACGAAGACCATTGTCAACACGTACCCCGACAACTGCCGTGACGAACCCATGGAGAGTCTCGTCCCCCACGTCGCCCTCGACGTTGGCAAGCCCAACGAGATCCAGCAGCTCAACCTCAGCTTCGTCACCCCGCCTGCGCCCAAGGAATTTTTGTTCACGCTCAACGAGAACTACCTCTGGGTCAACTGGTCCGCACCGACGAACCTGCTCCTTCTCGACGATGTTAACAAGTTCCCCGACGAGTACATGGTCTTTGAGAACCTCTCCAACGACAAATGGGTCTATTTTGTCTGGAATGACCACTCAGGCCGCAACAGGTCGCACCCCATGCATCTCCACGGTCATGACTTCTATGTCCTCGGCACCGGCCCGGGTAACTTCACCTCAAAGTCGCCTCTCAATCTCAAGAACCCGCCGCGCCGCGACACGGCAACTTGGCCCGAGAGTGGTTACATGGTCATGGCCTTCAAGACGGACAACCCGGGCACCTGGCTCGTCCACTGCCACATCGTATGGCATTCAAGTGAGTCTCTGGGTCTCCAGTTTGTCGAGCAGCCGGGGCAAATGTCCGCCCTGCACCAGAACGCATCGTACATCCGTGACACATGCGACAAGTGGAACGCTTTTTGGCCTGGGCCAGGAACGTACGAGGAAGAGGACTCTGGCATATGATCGGGGAGAGGGAGAAGAAATATGTTGAAATATAGGCCGCTGACAGACATGGACGCGCGACTTTCATCTCGCTCCTCTCGTGTTCGTGCTGGTGGGAAGAGGTTGTGCACAGCCTTGTATAAAGTTGACAATCAGAACGAGTAAATTCCTTCAAATGTGGCTTGCGTAAATAGCCAAACCTAATAGCTACTTTGAGAATTCCAGTTTATCCTTTCAGATGCGTCGTCAAGATTGAGACCTGCTCTTGAAAATAACGTCAGGGCATCGCAAGGCTTGCAGCCCGTGGTTTGACTTGATTCAAGCCGGGTGGGAAACATACAAACCTTACCGTTGATTTAATGCGTACCATACCGTGAACCTGTTATTTGCGCAGGTATAATGTATTATTTGTTTTGTAAGAGTGCTTCAACGGGCTCTCCTAACGAGCTGCTCCCAGGTTTACATTCTTATGACCTAAGTAAATAGCAAGATTGTGGCTCCTCACTTCTGCTTACTACGCATACCTTTATTTCATGTGCGATTCCTAACATTACGAAAGGTGCCCTTTGCAATTAAAACATAGGGTTAGGGGGGTCAAAATGGTCCATAGTGAACGTTAGGATCTTCAGATGGAGAAGAGTTCAAGTAGGAGATAGTGAGATTGGAGTAAACAGGGCGTAGAAAAAAGCCGCAAGGAAGTGATTCTTGGGCTTTCTATATTGATAGGTCTACTTAGATTATCTTCATGTTTGGATTGCAGAAAAAGGTTTTCTGGTAGAATTCTAAATCAATCTAGTACGGGGATAAACAGCATGGTTAAACAGCGTGCTTTAATGGGCTGGTAAACAAACGAAGAGGCGAACATAGGAAGAGGTGTGCATGCTATAAATCCTTGAATAAAGTTAGAGTATTTGACTGAATTATGATAGATCCCAGAGGCGAGTAATGGGTCCCCTGAACTTCAGGAGGTAAACGGAAAATGAGAAAGGTTTTGACGTGAAGATCGATACCGCGCCTGGAACACAGAAATGTGCTACTCTGGGTAGCTGACAGCCTAGGTAAACCAGCTGGTGTTTTTATCTCACGGAAGTTTTCAATCCCTACGTGTTGGCCACTAACTGGGAAAGGCCTTAAATCACCGACTACCAATTTAAAAACACGACGGATGAACATGCTAGGCAATATGAGAAACGGGGTTTCTGCGTTGAGGAAACAAACATTCTGAGTTCAAATTAGTGGCGTCCAAAGGTTTGCAGAGAATAGCATCACAGATGGCCTGGTGTTGTAATTTCTAGTGAGTGATGTCCAAAGTAGAAAGTGCGTGCGATACTCATTGTGGGAGAATTCAAATCCTAGCATAATGTGTCGTGAGGGTGAAGTTTCTCTAGAGCAAAGGGCAATATTACTTTGAAGATGGTTGTGACTGACACCCTTTTCCTTGTCCGCGCGTCGCAAATAGATTTCCCACAGCGAAGGCGCCAGTAACTAATTCTAGGTGATTAGTCATTATCAGGCAGTGGGATCCAAAAGTCGGAATGCAATCATTGGGGCGGAAGGTGATAGCTCATTGCGCTCCCTGACAATTCACCCCTCTCAGTATTGCCTTATCTCCAAGGCAGCCAGGTCCCCCCCCGCATACTCAACCGAGTCGGTACTGTTCTGTCCGTTCGCACCAGCAGACCCTTTGTACCTAGTGTATCCTCAAACGGCCGGGGCCTTAGGGCAGAGGGCAGGTGGGCTCGCAGGAGGTGGGCACTGGAAAGAAACTTCCCCCGGGAGGAGTACCGGAAGTACCCTTCAGGGGGTACTTTTCTCCTCTGGGTACTTCCCAAGGAGAAGATCTCTTCTCGACTGCCTTAGGGAGAAAACCTCAGCTCGTCTGAGACCGCCGCTCCTTGCCTTATTCGGAGCTCCCAAAGAGGGAACCCGGTGGCAGGATAGCCTTGCCCGTCGTATTCGCGATTCAAAATGACCTTCGTTCGCCCTAACAGAGCGGCACCGGCCATCCTTAGCCAGGCTCGGCCCTGTACAGTGTGAAGATGTGGAGTTTTCTACTACTCTGGTCGGCCGTTGTCGTCTGCTCAGCCGTGGCTAAAGATGTGGAGTTTACGATCAACTTAACGTGGGACTATGGCGCCCCGGACGGCTTCAGCAGGAAGATGATTCTCATCAACGGCACCTCGCCCGGTCCAGCCCTCCTTCTAAACCAAGGAGACAACGTGAAGGTATGAATAGACGCCAGATAGGCATGATGCTACAGCCGAGGATTTGTTCGCCTGGGGCTGACAGCGCCTTGTAGTTCCTGGTCCACAACAATCTGCCGAGCAACACCACCATCCACTTCCACGGCATCACGCAGCTCAAGACACCTTGGTCTGACGGTGTCCCCGGGATTTCGCAGAGACCGATTCTGCCGGGGGAGTCATTTCTCTATCAGTGGACGGCGGATGACTATGGCACGGTAATTGGAATTCACCAACACACCTAGTCACATCTTCTAAACAGCCGCAGTACTGGTACCATGGCCACTACCTCTCCGACATTAGCGATGGTCTGTTGGGTCCCATACACATCAATCCTAGCCCCCAGCAGCCCCTGCCATACAGTCTCATCAACTCGTCGCCGGCCGAAGTGGCGGCAATGGCAAACGCAGCGACTCATCCCCAGCTCGTCACGATATCAGACTGGAGTCATCTGGACTCGGCGGCCGTGTTACAGGCAGAGATTGACACCAACCTCGACTTGTACTGCACAAACTCGATCCTGATCAACGGGCGAGGCAAGGTGAGCTGCCTACCCATATCGAAGTACATGTCGCTGGCAACGCCCGACACCCTACAAGCCCTGAACGGGCAAAACATCACCGCGCAAGGCTGCTCGCCTCCTGGAATTGCCGAGATTGAGGGCAACTTCCAGTTCAACCTGAGTGCGCTGCCACCCGCGTTGGCGTACTCGTGCGAGGCCACCAACACCACCCAGTCCGTCTTCTATGTCAGCAAGACCGACCGTTGGGTCAGTTTCAACTTCATCCTCGGCGCCTCCGTGCAGACCCCGATGGTCTCCATCGACGACCATGACATGTGGATCTACGCCGCAGACGGCCAGTTTGTGCAACCGCAGCGCGTCGACGGGATGCTCATATTTAGCGCGCAGCGTTACTCGGTGCTCGTCAGACTCAAGGACAAGCCCAGCTATGACGCCTATACCATGCGCTTCTCCAATGTGGGAGGCAACCAAATCCTTTTCGCCACGGCCCTGCTTTCGTACGCTCCGAGAGGCAAGATTGACACCATCGCGCCAGACTCGCACGCACTCTTCAATCAGGCTGGCAGCGCGATCAATGGCTCAGTCGTTACCCTTAACATGAGCTCCCTCGCACCATATCCCGCTATAAAGCCCGCGCAAGACGTAGATGCGACGCACATATACAAGGCCAGCCGTGATGGCGCCGCCTGGAAATGGACCCTGAGCGCAAGTCCAATTCCCCTTTCTTCCTCCCTCCCTTCTAATAATCTGAGAAGCGCAAAGCTGACCGAAGACCAGGGATCCATCTCCTACCCAATGTCCATAACGGACGGGTATCCCCTCCTCTTTGATCCCAACAGCACAGCAGCTCTCAACTCCAATCTCACAATCCGCACCCTCAATGGAACTTGGGTGGACATTATCGTCCTGACTGATCCCGGTAGCCAGAACCCCACGCAGCCACCACATTCGTTCCACAAGCATAGCAACAAGTTCTTCATAATCGGCAGCGGTAAAGGCGACTTCAATTACACCTCCGTCAAGGAGGCTATGCAGGCGCAGCCCGAGTCCTTCAACCTCGACAACCCCCCATTTCGCGACAGCTTCGTGTCAAGTGCCGTTTGTGAGTCTCCCTTTTGAGTATTTAATATTCCTCCCCCTGAAGCACCCCGATCGCGTGTGTGTAGACAAGCTGGCTGACCCCACGCACGTAGCGCCGGGTATGCCAACCTGGATCGTGATTCGCTACCAGAGCATGAACCCTGGCGCCTTCATCCTGCACTGCCACATCCAGCCTCATTTCGCAGGCGGCATGGCCATGGCAATGCTCGACGGCGTAGACAAGTGGCCCGCAATCCCGGCTGCGTACCGTCCGGATGGCAGCGGCACCGGGATGTAGGGTTGTGAGTCGCCATCCGAGCACTGGCGGTGTCTTAAGAGTGATATTCGTCCAATGCAATGCAATACAACCGTTCATTCGTTCATTCATTCATTAACTTGAGCACGTGTGCGCAGCAGTCTCTATTCTAAGTAATTTGTTAATTCTAGCTTTCCGTGTTTATTTATAATCGTTTGACCTGCGTAGGCCCATCGTAATCCGTATCATCCCCGTCGTCGCAACCTTTCGGGAGTGGCAAGCATTTCGCAGTTGCAATCGTTCGTCCTGTTGCAGTAAACCCTTCTGGACCAAGAGCACCCAGAATGATTATGTTCGCTTCTTGACACTAGCGAGTCCTTCAAGAGGCGGTGGCGTGGTGATGGATACGCACCCGGGAACTAGCCTCAAGAGTCGCCAAATTGCATGGTCGCCGAGTTATAGTCCGGGGTGTTGATTTGCAAATCTGAAGGCATGAAGGGTGGAAAGAGCACGCTCCCATAGATATCGTTGGATGGAGGGACACTCTCAAGGCCGGCGGAGGACGTCTGCTGCTCCTCCTCGAGCAGCGACGCGAAGAGGTCCCAGCCCATTTGTTCGTCGTTTGAAACTGCGCACGAGCCCTGCGTCATCATGTTCTGCAAACTGTTGGCGAGCGACTGAACAATGCCCTTTGCGGAGAGAGCGGTCGGGCAGGTTGGGGAGAAGAACTCGAAAACGGCCTGGGCGCGTGTGAGGGAGTCGAGCGCCCGTGGTACCACGGAGCTCAGCGAGTTAACAGAGACATACGCCATAATTGTCAGCGTCGCATTCCAGAGCGGCTGCAGGACCTCTGACCAGCCATAAAGGACGTCAGACATGGAGCAGATGGCGAAGACCGTGTCGACGGTTATGGTTGCGTGGTGTAGGGCGCTGGCAATGTGCTGCTCCACGTGGGGCTGCTGAGAAGAGGGTGGTGAAATTATGCCGCTAGCATCGTTAGAGTGGGCGTAGTGTAGACGTATGAAGGGACGCTGGATCAGCGTAAATACGTTGTGATAATGGAGTTCTAAAAGCACCGCTTGCCGCCGCAACCAGCCGGGCAGGGCCAGGACACGATTAAAGTCAAGCATCTCAGTATTGCCAGAGCCGTTCCCAGACTGGCTCAGCAGCAGCAGCTCTGAAGGTAGCTCGTTGCGCCAGACTTGGAGGTTTTGGAGCGCGGACGCGAGATTGCGGGCGTGACCTTCGAGAGCGGCCGGGCTATTGCCAGCGTCATCGACGAGGTCCGCGGTCGAGACGCACGCGCCAATATCAGTCACAATAACGGCGAGGTTGACCAAACGTGTGGAGTAGGTGTAAGCGTTCATGCCTTCGTGATAACTGGGGGAGGAGAAGTAGCGGGCGAGGGCGTCCTCGGCAGGAAAGGGACATTTCACCAGGCTTTTCTGGCTGGCGGGGGGCATGTCGAGCTGCAGCGAGCACTGGAGATCCAGGGAGAAGACCATCCACCACAGTTGCATGCGAGCAGTCTTTCCGACCTCGGGCAGATGGCTCGGTGGTGGTCGGTGGAGTTTGGCAATGTAGGCCTTGCGGACAGTGATGCCGAGCAGGTTGTATGCGTCACGGAACGCATTGCCCTTGATAAGGTAGAGGACCATGAGAGCATGGCATCGGAGGACCTCTAAGGTCACATCTGTGTTTGTTCTCATGCACTCACGACAGCGATGGAAGTATTCAAAGCCGGGCCAGGTGGCTTCCGGTGAAGGCGCTGCGTGGTAGTACTGCCGGGATGGTGGCTGCTGGAGGCCCAATATCCGCCCGTCAAGGCCCGTGGCACGGCTATGTTGTATGCCCAGAGCGATCATGGAATCGACTAGGGCGGACCTTGCCGAATACTCATCAAACATCGTCGGTGGTGGCAGGGCATCGAGTTCGGCGAACTCGGTCTTGCTGATTATCTGCAGCAGCGGATGGCAGTCGTCCCAAAAAAGCCATAGATAGTAGCTCCATTGGTTCTTCAGCAGCGCGTTCGACGCGAGAGGACGTTCCCCGGAGGGGACGGTGGGATGCGGGAGCTGAGGAAAGAGGCAGCCGCCGAGGGCAGAGGTATGTGAGAAGACTGGCTGCCCGCTGGCAAAGAAGCCCTGGACATGCGCCAGATTGAAACATTCCTTGGGGACATTATCCGGTGGAGTTCTTGTCGCCCATGAGCTATCATGGCTCATGCTCATGCGAGAGGCAGGAACATATGGGCTGTTCGGACTGGTATTGGCGGTGGGGCTGCTGGTGCTCGCGCTGTTATCGCGACATGCTGTGCGTAACGGCGAGCGCGAGGGCGATCTTGGAGGAAAGACTGACGACGACACACCTCTCGTGGGATCGCTGGTGTTATTGTTGTTATTGTTGTTGTTATTGTTGTTGTTGTTGCTGTTGGTCTGAGAGGAGCGAGGAGGAGCGTAGGAAACGATGCATTTTGCCTTGATGCTGACGCATTGTGCGCAAGGCTTCTGCTCGTCACACTTGATACGATGCAGGCGGCAGCGGTGACAGGCTCGGGCGGCCTTTTGCCGCTTGGCCAGCGCATGAACGGTTTGCTCGGCGCTGGGGTGAGAGTCTGTGCCACTAATCTTCTTGCTGTTCTTGTTGCTGGCGCGAGCTGATCCGGTGCCTTTGCTCTGGCTGCGAGCCTTGGCAGGCGCGGCAGAGAATCGGTGAAACATGTGAGGCTCTGTTGCGCTCTATCCGTTGATCGCGATGCTCATGGGTCTCCGCGACGAGAGAGGGGTTTCCTGGTGGACGCTTGCAGGAACCTTGGAGGTATTATACTTGCAGCAATCGGGGGGCCTTGCAGCAGCGATCCTGCAGGATGGATGTATGATGCCATGGGGTCTTCTCGCGTCTCCGATAAGCCTCGCCGAAACGTTCCAAGCGCCACGAACTTTGGAACCCACTGAGGTTGCTGACTAAGCCCCTTCCCTAATCGTTCGTCGTTGGTCGTAATGATGTACTAGACCTGCCAGCTTTAAAGTGGACGTCGCAAGCTGCAAAGGCAACTCGGGTAACATATGGCATGTCGATCTACATTTGATTATTTATATTTCCCCAATTTCCAGTGTATTAACTCGGTTCAAATGATTCAGAAAGTCCTGGGCTTGAAAATCGAATAGTATGCTTAATACTGGCAGATCAATTTGCGGACAGAAGAATGTACTCATACAGTTTATTGATGGAACCGGCTCGAATGCACCTGGCACTTTTAATTTTCCTGAAAGGTTTTGTCTCATATGTATCACCTAGTCAGACCTATGGAGGCGGCAGGACAGGAATGGTTCTTCATTGCAAATCACTTTTCTTCGGTATATCCTATTTATGGCTATTTATAGAGGATGATTTTGTCACTATACGAGATTAATTTATTTCCTCGCCAACGGAGTGATCTTCAACTGCCCATTTTTCACATTCCAGCAGGGGTGAGAATCCAAAGGACCATCTGTGATTTTCGGTCGTCCGTCTCTAAGCAGTAGGCGGTGATATTCCTTGCGAGGGTCTCACATCAACATAGCGATGGATGTAACTCCCGGGAACGACAAATCTATATTAAGTACCCACTATAGCTGGCTTTAGATACCAGACGTTAGCGCATGGAAGCAAAGAGGGGCTTCCCCGTATCCAGTGGAGCCCATAGTGGGTCTTGGTATATCAGGCCGCCACGGCGGGTACCTCGGCCAGTTCCGCGACCCTCCCGGTCTCCATATGTCCGCACGGGGGGGCCCGGCCGCTACCGGTCCCACCCATTTTCGCGATAGAAAATGGGTCATTTGACGCCCTTCAATCAAAAAGTCCGCACGCACAGATTTGGCTCTGTACGTCTGTCTGTTGGTCTCAACACCCATTCTCCATTAGGGGTACGATGCGAGGGATAGAAGGTTCACCCACCAGTGGTGGCGAGGTCTACCGGATATCCTGTCCCTAGAGCTGGAGCCTACAGGTCCTCTGCGAGCCTGACTGTCTGGAAACTTTCTAAAGGGTCCCGATGCTGGGTACGATCCTAGAAACAGGAGGTCTTATTGGCAGATTGAGAAGACAATGAATGAGTGGTCTTCCCGGACTTTTTAGAACTAGCCATTCTTCGACTTTAAAGACGTTATAGGCTCCACACAAGGGGGTGAACGTGGTGGAAAGATAGCAAGCCTGTGGTGAGATTTGAATCCTCAAGATGATTTTCAGAAAAAAAAACCGGGTAACCGTTGTCTTTGCGAGTAAGAGAGGGATAGTTCACGAGTTCAGCATCCTTTACCTCGGCTTGGGGTCCGTGCACTTCATGATGCACTGCTAACCTCTAACTCTTACGCGCTATCTTTCCACTAATTCTTCAAGCATGTTCTGGGCTTACAAGCCACCTCTAGGCTACAAGCATTTCGCTAGACTCACCGGTATGTACCGCTTTGGCATATCAACCCTGCCGATCTGCCGGTCAATAGACCCTGAGATTGGTGGCAAACTGTGCCCCAAAACTTTGAAAGAATATGGACCTTTTACACAATTTGATTCGTTCTCCAGGGGGGGAGGGCTTAAATCTTGATCAGTGCGTCATTTGCTGCACCGTGCGCTGTCATCGCTCAGTCTAGCGGTTGCATTAGCGCCTTGGGATGAGATTGTGGAATATCTTGGCTACTCAGCCAAATTTCCAATTCTAGTTAGTCTGTTCTTTGATGCGATTTGCTTCTTTTGGGGTGGTTAGCTGACTAGTCTCATTCGAACCAATAGTTACACGCTATCAACATATACGACGAAGCTTAACATGGACCGTCCTGACACGCTAAAGAGCACGAACAATCTAGCCTTGACATACTGGAATCGGGACCAATCGGAAGAGGCGGACCGGCTCTTTATCTAGGTCTTTGAGAATCTCAAGACGAAGCTTGGTGCGGACCATCCCGACAGGCTAACGAGTATGGCCAACCTAGCGTTCTCGCATTGGGGCCTAGGCCGATGGGAAGAGGCAGAGCAGCTCGGGATACAGGTCTTCAAGTCTCGCGAGACGAAGCTTGGCAAAACCCATCCTGATACGCTAAACATCATGAACAACCTAGCGTCGACGTTCTGCAACTAGGGCCGGTGGGACGAGGCAGAATAGCCCCAGGTCCAGGTTAAGAAGAAGGCTTGCAAGGCAAAATCCGGCGCGGACTTTGCCCACACGCTGGCGAGCATGGTAAACCTTGCCTTGACCTGACAATTTAGAGGTCGTCAGGCGGAAGCAATATGTTTGCTAAGAACCAGCGTGGCCAAGCAACGACTAGACTCCGCTCATTCCAATACTTTTGCCTTTTATGATGTTTTGCAGGAGTGATTAAGGGATCCAGCTACCGAGCCATGATCAATTTACCTTTCATTGTTCATCTTTTACCTTTAGGCCTCAGTATATTCGGTAGTATAATTTGGGTTACCATTCGCAATGATTCCTTCCACTAAGGCCAATGCGTATCGGCCTGCGGCATTTCCCTTACAAGACCAATGATATGGAATCATATCGCTATGGTGGCGATTTGGGATCTCAGAAACTGAGAGACGCCTTGTTGCAGTGTCCCTCTGTACTCTAATCTACAAAGAGCCAGGCTCGACAGGATCGCTCGCACCGGACTTGGAAGCACGACTGGGTACGATGTAATCGTATCTCACCCGCTGGTGGCCCGCTACGTAGCCGGATTAATAAACCGAGCTTAGATTCTTGATCAATTCCGCCAAATTGAACCGGAACCCGAAAGAAAATGACCACAAACGAGCCGACCTTGAGACCATAGAGTAGGTGCGAAGATGATGCGCATCCAATATTGAATGCAGCAAAAGCCAGGTCACCAAGAATGGTCAATATGCTCGCACTCTGCCGAAGCCCTACGGCAACGCAGTCAATTGCGAATGTGGTGGTTGAAGAAGTCCTGATGCCGAACGGGTAGAGAGGCAAGGGTACGGAAATGCAGAAGAATGCAGTGAGCATTATTTGATCTACTTTGAAGGGGTTCAAGGTTTCTCGGATTGTTACACGTTCATTTCTATGTAAATCTCGATAAGCTTTCCTTTGTATTGTCTTTTTCTGCCATGTATGGTGTTTAGGACTTCACCTTTTTGCTTCGATTTGGACAGCAGTGCCTGAATAATCTGACCCAACTAGTTAGGCACCGTTTGGTCAATTGCCCCAAATACCTGCAGTCTTTGCTCCAAGGGAAGCTTCTGTGGTTTTTCTCCTGGCGCGCTACCATCTTTTGGAACGCCAAATACCATTTGTGCTTTGAGCTTCCAGTTCGATGGGACACTCCACGTCTTCTGCACCTGGGCATCGATGAGAGGGTTGTAGTGCTGCAGGTTGACCCCCAGCCCCAGGGCCTCGAGGGCGGTCCACAGGTAGTACTGGTGCATGCCGTTGCTCTGCTGCACCCACTCATCTGTCTTATCCTTATAGATGTCCGGGGCGTTCTCTTTCATCGCGGTCGCGCATGATTGGTCATCCCAGAACAGTATAGTTCCGTAGGCGTTGGCAAAGTTGGCGATGCGGTCCTTGGTGCCCTCGTTCCAGCGCTCCTCGCCAATCTTCGCCAGCAGTGCATCTGCAGTGATTAACCAGAGTTTCTTGTGGTCGTCTCCGAACACGACCGTCAACCGGGCCGACTGGTTGTCAAAAGCAGATGGGACGGTGAGGATGGCGGCCTCCGCTAGCTTAACTATGGTGCTGTCGGGAACCGTCGTCTTTGAATCGAGGGCGCGGATGGTGCGACGCTTCTGGGTTGCCTCGGAAAAGCTCATTGTGATGATTGGAGATGCCATTGTGAGACTGGCGAGACGGGATGATGCTGATGCTGATGCTCTGCTTAAGGTTCGAAAAGTTGAGTGAAAGATGAGAGAGGCCACGGCGGCATGAGCCAGCCTTATAGTCATGAGGCAAAACGGTCGGATTTTTTGAACACACTATGAGTTCGTCAGCAGCATAATTAATATTGTTGGTAATGGGAAGCCAATGCATGGGGTCCAGCGCTGTCTATAATAGAGTGTTCCGGAACTGAGCCCTGAAATTACCGCATTCGGACCTCGGCCCCACATCGGCCCCGGAGCGAGGATGGCAGAATTACCAAATGTGGTAATATGTCTTCTGGAATGCTTATATATACGATCTTGGACCTGTTGGATTGAGCCCTTCGATTAGAAATAGTCCCTATAGACTCGATTTAAATCTGCACCAGTACCACGTCATCACCCTGCAGATGATCAATCGTCATGGAGGTGACCTAGCGAGGTATACCTTTCGGCAGCGACCCCCTTTATAGCCCTCGTCGAGACTGCGACTGTCACCTCTTTCCAACAAACAACAAGAGCAATGGACTTCATCAGACGCCACTTCAGAGAGTCCACCTCGACGTCCGTCGTAGAGTCGGACGAGGAGCTTTTCTTCGACAAGGATGGCCACCTCGAGTTTGCACCGAACGACCCCGAGAACCCAAAGAACTACTCGTATGGACGCAAATGCTACATCACCACTATCGCCATCTGCCTCGTCATGAACGCCACATTCTCATCTTCTGCCCCGTCCGGCTCTTTCCAGGGTGTCAGTGATGACCTCCACGTTTCTGTCGAAGCCGCTGGCCTCGTCACCACCCTCTTCCTCCTAGGCTACTGCGCTGGTCCGTTGTTCTGGGCGCCCTTATCCGAGTTCTATGGCCGTCGCTGGATCTTTTATATCTCCTTCACCTTATACCTTGCCTTTGGCTTCCTCTGCGCCTTTACGCCTAATTTCGCCGGACTCTTGGTTGGTCGTTTCTTGACTGGCACGGCCGTCAGTGCTGCCCTGACGAATGCACCTGGCATCCTCGCAGATATATGGGGGCCCGTCGAGCGAGGCAACGCCATGATCTTGTTTGCCACAATGACATTCGTGGGACCCGCGCTTGGTCCCGTGGTCAGTGGATTCCTCCAACTCAAGGAGACGTGGCGTTGGACCTTCTACGTCCTCCTCTGGATGGCGGGTGCCACCGAGCTGCTGCTGATCACTCTTCCGGAGACCCTCCCCATGATGGTCCTGCGTAATAAAGCCCGCCGCCTACGCAAATTACCCGGTAAGGAGAGCGTAAAAGCTCCAGTCGAGGCGTCGGATCGCTCCCTGGGAGGTATCTTCAAAGTCGCCCTGACCAGGCCTTGGAGACTTCTCTTCGACCCAATCAGTTTCTTCGTCGCTATATACTATGCCGTCGTCTATACTCTGCTGTATATGCTTTTCAGCATCTACCCTATCGTCTTCCAGCAGAAGCGTGGCTGGAACGCCGGCGTCGGTGAGCTGCCACTGATCGGCACAGTCATCGGCGCGTGTCTCAGGCGGCCTAGTGTTGTTCATCAATAACCAAATAAACCAGAAAAAACACACTGACGACCGCAAATCGGTCCCAGAAGATCGCCTTCCCGGAGCGATGGTGGGAGGGGTGATGTTCGCCGTGACGATATTTTGGTTCGCTTGGACGGCGGTATACAACTCAGTCCACTGGGCCGTGCCAACTGTGGCAGGCGCCTTCCTCGCAACGTCAATCCTGCTTATATTCGTCGTCTTCATCAATTATATCATAGACTCGTACCTGATGTACGCCGCATCCGCCGTCGCAGCAAACACGGTTCTGCGGTCCGCCTGCGCCGCGGCATCCCCACTCTTCACGCAGTACATGTTCGACGCGCTCGGTGTGGGAGGGGCTGGTTCGCTAATCGGAGGCGTGGGCATACTGATGATGCCCATTCCTTTTGTTTTTTATAAGTACGGCGCCGCAATCCGGGCGCGGTCCAAGTTTGCGCCCACGGACGAGACGCCACACCCGCCTGTGGATGAGGAGAAGGCCGTAAATAGTAGATCGCCCAGCCACACCTTTGAGAAGGAGTACGAACCGGTTGATGAGAACACTGGGGGGCACGAGCGAGTGATCGGCTCGAGCGAATTGCCCTTGACGCCGTACGCAAAGGCCGTATCTGATTTTGCAGTCCGAGCATCGGAGTCTAATAAGTATCCATATCAGATTGAATTGCCAAACTCCCTTAAGTAAGGGGTGGCGGGGCCGCAGGGAGGCGGGATTACGGGTAGTTATCGATGGTTACTATACGTTAATAGCATAATTCAGCTACCATGATTAACATCTTAATGAAGTGATATCCGTAACTTTAATGATATCGTATGTTCCCCAAACCCTCCAAAGTTGCCTGATTCAAGAATGGCACTCATTTTCACTTCAAAGACCTCTCGTTCCGCCCTTTCTTCCACCTAGTAACCCACTTTCACGCACTTGCTTCCACCATACCCTCCTATGCTAGCTATCTCTTCTTGTCCCTGCGAATATGTCACCTCTTCGTAGTGGGTGTCTCAATCTAGCCAGTCCGATAGCTCTTCACGCGCCTTATTTTGGTCTACTTAATTAGCACTTAATCAAGACGTTGATCTGGAAGGTATTTGACCTACTACCGGCGACATTAAAAACCCTAATTCTCCAAATCCTTTGCCCTACAATGGTTGGGTTTTGATCTTTGGTATCAATTTCAATTACTTCAATTAACGAAGAAGATACTACTCTACGGGGGTGAAGTAGGTGATAAAGTGGGTTGGAGTGAGAGCAGAGCGGTGAGCCTAGAGGAGTAAATGGCAGAATGTCCGAAAGGAGCAATTCGCACTAGACGTAGTGGGGGTCCTCTAGTTAGTTGTTTTTCCGTATTTCGTCGCAGGTCACTTCCCCCTTCTAGGTGTCCGAAGATGCGATCCGGTCTCGGGTGATATATGTGTCATGTGTGGCTTCAGGTAGCTTACAATATGTCGGATCATACATCAAGAGGCAATGGCTTTGAAGGTTGGTTGTACGATGCTCCGTCTATTCTATTCGAGTTCTCCGTGAGGTGTCATATCACGTTAAACTAGCTGCCATGAGGAACAACACATCTGAGGAGGGTGCGAGCCTGAATTGGCCCCATGCAAATCCTGATGCCTCTGCTGCCTCTATTGCCTCTGCCGTCATCAACGAAGACTACCACATAATGGGCCAAGATTCTATACCAGCAAAGAGCCTGGCCACCTTGGGCCAGTCAATTCAGCAATCCCAACCTCCTGCAGCGCAGACGCTATCTCTAGCATGCGAGTCCGTCTTCGTGGCCGTAATCTGCCTTGCCCAGTTCCTCACGCAGGCCGGCGTGGGCTCCGTCCTCGCCATCCTGCCCGTCCTCAGCGCCAGCCTTGGCATCACGAACCGTGGCGTCCAGGCCTGGCTGATCGCGGGCTACAGTCTGACGGTCGGTACCTTCATCCTCGTATCCGGCAGGCTTGGTGACCTGTACGGCCACAAGCGCGTCCTGCTGGCGGGCTATGCATGGTTCGGCGCGTGGTCCATCATCGCGGGTCTCGCAGTGTACTCCGGCTCCGTGCTTTTCGTCTTTGCGCGCGTTCTCTCGGGTATTGGGCCGTCGCTGATGCTGCCAAATGCACTCGCCATCCTCGGCGTCATATACCCGCCGTCGCCGCGCAAGAACCTTGTCTTCGCCCTTTTCGGCGCCGTCGCGCCAGGTGGCTGCGTGGTAGGCGCTGCACTTGCGAGCTTGTTCGCGATCACCTGGTGGCCATGGTTTTTCTGGGTAATGGGAATCACGCTACTTGCGATTGCTGTGCTGGGGTATCTCGTGATTCCTGAGGACCCGCGGGTGCTGAGTGGGAGGTCGCTCTCGGTGCTGGAGTTTATCGAGGCCGTGGATGCCCTGGGCGGTGCACTGGGGGGTTACGGCGCTGGTGCTTGTCAACTTTGCGTGGAACCAGGCCGGCGTTGTGGGGTGGTCCGAGCCGTACGTCTACATTCTATTGATCCTCGGCGTCCTCCTCGTGCCTGTCTTCTTCTGGGTCGAGTTTCGCGTAGCGCGGTCGCCACTGCTACCATTTGACGTCTTGAATGGAGAGGTCGGGGTGGTGCTCGTGTGCATTGCGTGCGGTTGGGGCAGTTTCGGTGAGACTGCCAACCCTTAACGGGACGGACCCAGGAAGGCTGACAATATGAAGGTGTCTGGATCTTCTACGTTTTTCAGTTTTTTGAACATACAAGAGGCGCAAGTCCCCTCCTCGCGACAGCATGGTTATCTCCCGTCGCAATAACGGGCGCCCTGGCTTCCCTCACTACTGCCTACCTGCTTGGCCGTGCGCAGCCTGTGACGATCATGGTAATCGCCATGGCCGCCTTCACCGCCGGCAGCATCATCATTGCCACTGCGCCAGCAAACCAGGCCTACTGGGGCCAAAGCTTTGTGATGAGCTTAGTGATTCCATTTGGCATGGGTAAGTGCGAACTTCAGACATGATCCAGCGGTCAATCCACTAACACGATACCCAGATATGAGCTTCCCAGCCGCAAGCCTTATCATCTCCAACGCGGTACCACGTGAGAAGCAGGGTGTCGGTATGAGTCTCGTCAACACAGTAGTCAACTACTCCATCTCCATCGCGCTCGGCTTCGCGGGGACGGTCGAGATCCAGGTCACGAAGGGTGATCCAGGCCCCGGGGCGGCGCTAAGAGGGTACAGGTCAGCGTGGTACCTTGGTACCGGGCTTGCAGGACTCGGGCTGTGCTTCAGTGTTGTCAATCTTGCGATAATAAAGATTAAAGCGAGATCGAAGCTGCCAGGGGGCAAAGTCGAGGGCAGGTTAGATCTGGAGCGTGTTAAGCCGAAGTCAAATCCGGGAGACTCGTGTTAAAAATCGTTTAAATGAGTAGATGTCGAATTGAGAGGGTTAAAAAATGAGTGATAAAAGATTATGAATGATTACACACACAGTTTATCAAGACCCGGCGGCTGAACCGAAAGGGCACCTATCACTGATCTAAAAATACACGCCTTAGCTACTGCTGTGCCTCCTTAAAGCCCATACAGGATTACTATTAGTATATATTATCTCAGATATTAATATCTTAGCGCGTCCTTGTGAGTTAGTACTTAATAAGTACACTTGCTTGAAGGCGCTTCTCTATAATAATCAACACTGCTTCGTCTCTTTCCTAGAGCTTGCTAACTAGGTTGGGATGTAGCGGATAGTATATTGGCGCTGAAAGGAATGAAGTTTATCTCATATCTTTTATCTTCACTCTTACCTTCACCTTTATCTTCGCCGTCTTTATCTTTTTCTTTATCCTCATCCTCTTTATTATTGCTAATTGGAACTAGGGTAAATTGGCCTATTCTTGTCTCTTGTTGTTAACTAGCTTACTGTCTCTCTTCAGCTGTAGGCTCTTCCTCCTTATCAGATTCACCTACAAAATCTATTGTATTAAGATCAAACTCAGAGATACAGTAATATATCATAACATCTTGTATAGTAGTCTTATTAAGATAACTCTGTCGATAATAGTGTATATCATGAGCAGACTTAAAGAGACACTCCAGACCAATGCCGCCAGCAGGGACAGTGAATATATTATGTGCTGTACTTACGAGTGTAGGATATTAATACTTATACTCCCGCCAGAAATTACAGAGATTCTTGTTTAATATACTTATTAACGAATAGTTAGAATGAAAAATCAGCGGATATTCAAACTGGAAGTAATACACCTAGATAGATATAGGCATAACCTACTGATGGGTAGACATCGGCACGACCCACTGATGGGTCCTAAATACTAAAACCCAACCCAACCCCATAACCCTATGGGTTTTACCCAATAACCCATAAAATACCTATTTAGACCCAAAGTTCTGCATAAATTATTCATAAAATTATTTTTCTATTTTTTTTTTAACTTTTTTACTAGTAAAAAACTAGCCTTTTTAGCTTTAAAATTCATCAAAATTAAAAAAGTTTACATTACAATGGGGCCCTAATAGATTACCCACTAGTGGGTTTTCGTGAGTCGTGCCGATGTCTACTCATGAGAAACTTAGATTAAAGACGTAGGCCTTTCTGCTACCGTACGTTATGAAACTGGTGGAACCGCTCCACTCTCCAATTGACATATTTGCTCTTTAGACTAAAACTCACCAGGATATATTCAGAGTTCGTCCGTGACTTATATATATATTCCTTCATACGTAGGTTACATAATGGTTTTGGGCATGTATTCATATAGACATCAGACACCTCCATCCGTCTCCTGACGGAGATTAACGACGAAGTCAATTGATTTGCACCGTCTTACATCTGCCGGGAGTAAACCCGACCGGGGCCCTTGAGATTCCAGGAGTGCGTAGCACAGAAGTTCCGGGACAATGCAAAGATTGATTGACCTATCAAGACCTTGCACCGCAGTGGCAGGACAACTGAAAAATGAGGCTCGCCCGACTGGGGCAAGAGCTATCCCAATCTACGACTCCTACCAGTTCTCCATAGGCAGAAATTTCTGTTGTTCCCTCAACTTGGCCTCTTTGCGAGGGCGCCAATAATGGCCTCACTTGCGCCCCATTGAATGGGCCTGGCCACAGGCCAAGTCACGACGGCACAAACCTGCCATCGTGGCCTATTTCCCCTATAGTCTTCCTTCTTCTCCCCTCCCTGCTCCCTCGATCATGAGTGTATCCCCCCCCACCCTCCTCCCCGTCTATTTAGGGGCCCTTTCCTTCACAGTCTTCGTTTTTTTTTTGCCCGCCTTTCCTGCTTCCTCGACCTTGGGTGTATCTCCCAATACACCTGCCACTCGTCCTACTATAAGTGTACTGCTGACCGCTTGACTGTAGCGTGGTTTCGTGGCCTCTATCCCTCCCGTGTCCTCCGTACCTTCGCCGCCCCTGCGCTCTCCCCGATCTCACCAATGAAGCGCTCTCGATCCCGAAGAAGTAGAAAACTGGGAATTGCCTGTGGCGAGGATAATATAACTGCGATCTCTACTAGTGACTCCGATGAGCAGGGCGATGCTACCTATGAGACGGATCTGACGGAGGCGGACGATTCTCCAAGCCCACGAAAACGTCTCCGGTCGGATGAGAACTGCTCCGTCTTGGAGCTAGGGCTCCCTGGCGAGTTAGCAGAATACTACGATGATCCAGTAGATGATGATGGAATTGATCTGTCTGAGATTCCTGAGGATATCGACGGAGATCTCCATCTCGAATACACCATGTGAGCGTATGTCCACCGCTATTATCGAGGGTCTTGTTCAGTGGTTTTCCCGTTGTGGAGGGCTTAAAATCCATAGAAGATAGGAATAGAGATTGGATAATATCCAGGAGCAAAAAAGCAACAGGTATATTCTACCGGGAGTGATGGCAAATGGTGGCCGGTGCCCTAGGTGCAGTGTCCGATCCCTGAGCCCAGCGTCCGCTTTAAAACAAGGTTACCTGTCTATTGACCGTGGCACACCAAGGGCTAGGGTTAGTGGGGGTGGAATGTGCGATAACTAATGGTACCGTGGGAGAGCGGAAAAAAGAAAGAAGGAAAGAAAGACGGAGCAAAAAAAGAGAAAGCAAAACTAGACCAATAGATCAGGAGAAAACAAAAGAAAGGAAAAGTCTTCTTGAAAAGATTGCCAACGTGAGGATATATTAACTATCATATTGTTTAGTCCTATCAGCCCCTCCCAAGCCCCCCCGCGCTGCCAAACCTCAGACAGTAGATCAGCTACTCAATACCATTAAACTGCGGTCACCAATCCCAAGCCATGAAAGATCCATCAAACTGTTCGTGGCAGAATATGGAGTCAGCCTTTAAGCCGCTGCGGGTGTTAACTCCGGCACATTCAGCCGATGAAACGGCTCACGGATGCGATTGCCATCTACTAGAAGTCATCAAAATTGGGTACAGAACTCGAAGAAGGCAGTGTATGTTAGTGAAATCGTTTAGAGTGGATAGGGCAGAGGTTTTTCGCGCTTTTGAGAGTCTGTTTAAGAATATATATCGTGGTCATATGCGCCTGGGCTTCAAAATCTCCGATGAAAGTTTATCTAATATATAATCACAATCAAGGGGATAACCCTTCATTTGAGGACTTCTTTCATTCTGTTTTCATGCATCACTTCATTGGGGTTCTCGCATTCTCGCATTCTCGCATTCTCGCATTCTCGCAATCTCGTGTTTCACATAAACCACGAAGTCAAGGCGGAGTTAATGGCTTTATTAACACACTAGTCAAACACCTTATCGCCAAAATTCAAAATGTCTTCCGAATTAGGACAAGTTGAAGCGTGTCATATGGACCTTTCCTCTCATCTCCAGATCCAAAGTTAGAGCTGATTCTATAAAGATTTGCTAATATTGACTAGTATAATCCTAACGTTAATTAGAGTAAAGTTTATTTTTTACTGAACTGAGTAAACCTTTAGCTATACTGTTTTACCCCCAAGTTTCTGCTGTTACGCAATATGCAGTGTTCAAGACGCCTTTGGAATAGCGAAATCTCCCAGTTTATTCTCTGTAATTGTGACAAATACAAAGCTTTCTCTCTTACAACTCTTAAATGTGAAGTATCATACACCACCCGATTCTCCTTCTTCCCTCCCCCCTTTGACCTCTCACTGCACAGTAAAATTAAGATAACCCTGCCCCTCAAAACCCTCAAGAGTAATCATCTGGAAAACTGGATTACCCGGTGCCAGTCCCAACTTCTTCCAGCCATTAAAATGGGCAGCGACATTGACCGTGCCGGTCGTGCGATGAGTACGTCGAACCGACCAGTACTGCTTGAAGCTAGTCACACCATAAATCTCAGCCACGTTGTCGTATGAAAGACTGTACACGTCGTAGATACTGCCATCACTTTCAACCTGGCCAAGGATATTTCCATTACCCGGAGTGCCGGTGCCGTGGGACTCGACAATATACCACTCGGTGACGGGGTCGGTAGTCCATCCGTAGATAGCCAAAGTCCAATCACCGGAAGCAGTAAAGTAGCCGTCCCAAGTAATAGAGCTATCACTCATAAGTTAGTGTTAACTGGTGCTGGCCTAGATACTATATCCAGGAAACTCACCGAGGGCTGCCCCCCCTTGTAGCCCTTTCCGCCTAGGAATTCCGTGTCGCTGGACAACTCCCATCCAACTTGGAACTCGCCACTATTGGGGAACTCGGTGTAACCAGCAGAGGCCTTGTTGTCATTGTAGAGGGAGTAATAGAATCCGGCAGCGTTCACGCCATCTTGGCTGTTACTGAAAGCAGTCGAGCGTCGTTCGATTCCTTCATTCAAGGTGACATTGCCGAGGATTTCAGCGTGTCTCTCATGGGTGCCGACAGGCTTGGACAGAGTCGGTGTGGTAAGTCCTAGAAGGGCCGGTACGAGACTAACAAAATACTTGAGAGACAACATATTCGCAGTCATTCACTTTGAATATCCTCATCATGAGGCGGGACTACAAGCTGGGGGTTTCAGTCTTTTATACTTGGCCAAGACCTATATATTTTAATTATAATATCGGTGTGGAAATTGGACAGAGACCCTCCGTAAGAGTCAAATTGCATATTCCTCCATTAGACACCTTCCTAGCTTCAAGCTTCGTATAACTTTGATTCCCTATTTGTAGACGGAGTCCCGTTTTCACCGATCTGTATAGCGGTCGAGATCACGCAATCAGTCAACACGTGTAGGCCATACTCTGACAAAGAATGAGTAATAACGCAAAGAAAGTTTTTATATCATGTATCTGAAACGTGCCGAAAGCCGTGTCGTCGACATTTGACCGATTTGGTAACGATTCCGTTTTGAGTAGTACGATGGACCCTTTCTGAATAGATAGAGGCGATAGCTTTTCGGTGGGGATAATAGCCTAAATTTGGCGCTTAAATCAAACTAACTAAACTAGTTCTTTTATCCATCGACTAAGGGTAGTTAGGTTCTTTTGCTGAAACATGGCAGGATGATCTGAGGCATGCACGGTCCAGCCGGAGATTTTTTAAGGCTGCCACATAGGTCTAAAAGTATCCGTGTCTTTCTTAGCGGAAGCGGTGGGGCTTTCTAGGCGAAGTCAAATTAAGAGCTCGGCAAGTCATGCATACTGAACTGCCGAGTACCGACCACTTTCGAAGCTATTGCTCTACATATCTTTTCTTAGTAGGTCTAGCTTTGGACCCACCAAGCACCAAGTAGCGAAGCTTCGCCATCGTTTACAGCCCTCTTGATTGGTTAGCGCAAAAGTGTCTATAATCCGTATGTCGAGTCCAGGTGAAGCAAGGCTTCATCAATCCAGATATTTACATCCATCCAGATATTTACTCCATTACTTTCAAGAATAAGATCTCAGTAGACGATAAAGAGCCACAGATTCTCACACGATTAATCGTTCGAACACAAACTGAAACTCCTTGGCCTTGGCAGCCAGCTAACCGCCCCACTACTACACTTGATAGCTGGGCAAACCCCTGCATGAGCTGCCTCGACTGAATTGGTTTCAGGTATTTTTTAAAATGGCCAAGAGTCTATGTACAAGATTTGGGAACGTATACAGGATGACAGACAAGAATATAAATACTGATATCTAACCACGCCGATCTTGAGAGTTTTCTTACAGCATCTCATTCTTTTCTTCTTTTCAATTCATATCCTGCCGGCAGGAATTCGTTAACACTCTTTCTCGACCATATTTTCTTCTGTTCTTCAATTTCCCTCGAGATGAAGTACTTCGCAGGCTTTCTCGGAGTAGCCGCTGTGCTGGCCCAATCTGCTTCGGCACACTACATTTTCAGCAAACTCGTCCTAAACAACGAAGCTTCCGCGGACTGGCAGTATATCCGCGAGACTACTCGCACAGTTGTCTACGAGCCCACCAAGTTCACCAATACTTACGACAATCTGACTCCCAGCGATGCTGATTTCCGCTGCAACTTGGGCTCTTTCAGCAACGCTGCTAAGACGGAGGTTGCTACTGTCGCTGCGGGTGATACCATCGGGATGAAGCTGTTTTACGATACCAGTATCGCGCATCCTGGACCTGGTCAAGTTTGTATGTTGATACCTACCTATTTCCGGTTAAGTATGTTTGAGTACTGACCAATTTCATCTAGGGATGTCCAAGGCACCCACCGGTAACGTCAAGGAGTACGAGGGTGATGGCGAATGGTTCAAGATCTGGGAAAAGACTCTTTGCGATGAGAACGCTGATCTCACTACGAATGCTTGGTGTACATGGGGTATGTCAGAGTTTGACTTCCAGATTCCCAAGAACACCCCGCCTGGCGAGTATCTTGTTCGTGCCGAACATATGGGTCTTCATGGTGCGCAGGCCAACGAGGCCGAGTTCTTTTACAGGTAAGAGATTCACAACTTCGCGACGTCACCTCGTTACTCGTTTGACAGTGATCTAATGATCATGTACAGCTGCGCTCAAGTCAAGGTCACCGGCTCTGGCACTGGCTCTCCCAAGACCACTTACAAGATTCCGGGTCTTTACAATGACAACATGACATTATTCAATGGGCTTAATCTTTGGGTGGATAAGGCGAAGGATGTCGAGGCAGATATTGCGCAGACTCCGATTGGCGATGAACCATGGACTGGTGGTAACAGTGGCAGCTCGTCTGCTTCCAGCTCGTCTGCTTTTAGCTCGTCTTCGATTGCTTCATCGCCTTCCTCGACTTCATCTGCCTCGTCTGCTCCAGCTTATCACTGGGGTTCGTCCTCCTGCGGTAACTACTAGGCCAATTCCGATGCTCTGAGTGAGCAAGCCCGTTTCCTGAGTTATTGTTCGAGTCGCGCGTCTTCAAGGCCATTGAATTACAGCAATTAAGCCCCGAAAGCGCTTCTTCATGTTAAATATGTCTGGGAAATATGGGATGTGGATCTGTCCAGTTCTACGGTGCTCAGATTGGTAATAGGTGTCTTGAGCGGTAATTTATCTTCGTCAGTAGTCATGAATTCATCGTTACACTTTCCCCTTGATATCTTCCATATGTACTCATTTCGTTGGCTAGTGCAATTGTATTTCCTTCTACTGTGTAATCATTGATACCACTACCTAGGTAATTCGTACCAACAATCCTTTTAATTAGAGACTAGATCTCTTCGATACTAATCAGTCCAATTATCAGTTACATTATTCCTAACAATATCACTATGTGCACAAACAGCCGCTCAGCCTCAGCCTCTTTCGCCATACATGCTGTAGCCTGCAAAGGTACATGCTAAATAGTATTTGAAACCGCATCAGTACTAACCATGCAAGACTAAGGCGAACAGGTGGATCGGTCTAGTGCCGCAAGAAAAGGGATATAAGAAGCTGAGCGGACGCGACCACGATCGCAGTCACGGTCACGGTCACGGTCACGGATGTCATTCTATATCGCGCCGCCTCTGTTTTCAGACGGGCCTTGTAAAGAAGCAAATTGTGATATTTCTGAGTCGAGGATAAACCGTCTTTACGGGAACTCACCCTAAAGAAACGGGACCATGGCCGAGGCAAAACTGCTCGGCCAATCAGGCGACAATTAATTCGAGCGAGGGCTGACTCGTTCATGTACGGAGTACTAGAGTGTACGAGAAGAATAAGAAGCGAAACTCAGCTGAAACATTATTATAGTGATCAATTGTAAGTATCGATAACCGACTTAAAGGCAGAAGAAACATTTCATTCTCACAATACACGGACGCGTTTCGCATCTGCTGCCTCTGCTTGACATAGCCGTCGCTGCTTAGCGGGTCCGCATCTCGGAGTAGAGCGGTAAAAGTCGATGATCAAAGCACGCCCGAGCTCTTCACTTCAAAGTACATTATCTCGCCTGAGTTGCTCGTGTATTATTCCAAGTTCTTTGATTTCCTTGTTCGATTTGTGAATTTCGCGGCGAAGTCGCTGCGTCAGGCCCATCTTGGCGGTGCTTTCACCTCCCCAGCCCATTACGAGCATATGGCGGATTTGTCTAGCGCCATGAAGAAAGTGTATCTTTGCTAAATCAATCGTTCCCAGAAACACAGGCATGGTGAATACTTAAGCTTTGCACAAGACCTGATACACCTCTTCGCGGGATACTTCCATCCACAACCCCGAAGTGGTGCCTTTACCGATGACCCGCGTAGCCATATTTCGTGCACGCCAATTTGGAAGGCGCACCGTAAGAGCCACAGCGACCAAAGGGAATGCAACGATCGATGTTCTCGTCTAATTGGCTTTTCAATGAAATCATCAGATCATCGGCAGAGATAGGATGCTGGGTCGGATCCTCGGACCCTCAAGATAGTGGACCACATTAGGACAGAGCTCGTCCCGGTAGTCCTCAGTCTATAAGCTGAGTAAACATCGCTGCCTGCAAAATTCCGCTGCACGGCGTCGATAACTGCCTTCTTGGTCACGTCCTCATTTGCTGGTCCTGACTTCATGTTCTTGGCTTAATCGCTCGAAGATGTGGAGGCTCGTCTAGGTCTTCACTAAAGAACTACTGTGCGATTTTGAAGAATGGTCTATAAATATGGCTATCCCTCTGTCAAATGGCCATGCCTTCATTACACCGCCATTGTCTGTTGAAGAGGCACATCTTATTTACATCGGATACCCGCGATGCGTTTCTCTTCTGTAGTTTTGTCAGTTCTGGCTCTGGCTAATTCTGTTCTGGCTTACCCTGGCGGACACCACATCAGCTGTCGCGAGATCAGCCGTCGGTCACTCATGGGCCTTTAGTGCCGTGACAACGTTGCGAAGCTCCACGAACGACGCATGAAGCGTAGCGTCAAATGTCGCTGGCATAGACACAACACTACTTGGTCTATTCATACTGAAGCCCCCCTACTTCGAAACTATTCAAAATGACACCTGTGTTCTGACTCCTGAGGTCACTCAGGGACCTTATGTCTACCCTACCTCGCAGATTCTGCGCCAGGACACGACCGAGGGCCAGAAGGGTGTTCCTCTGTGGTTGGATATTGGTGTCCTTAACCTGGCCACCTGTGAGCCTCTGGAAGATGTCCTGATCGATATGTGGCACTGCAACGATACAGGATCTTACTCCAGTTTCACAGGTCTTTCTCCCAACACCCCTTTCCTAGAGCTTCTTGAGCAGCTGCACATCAACGAGTCTGACTATCAGATTGGCGTTACTGATCTGCACACCGACGAGACAAATTTCCTGCGTGGCATGTGGCCCACCGACAAGAACGGCATGATGGAGATGAAGACCATCTTCACTGGTAAGTTCAATACATACCCACTCAATCATTCTTGGGTGAACAGCTAACACACACCAAGCTTCTACATTGAACGTTTCATTCACATCCATGTCCAGATGTACACTGGCGTAGGCAGCTTCAATAATTCGAAAGGTTTTGCAGAGGTGTGTGATTCTCACAGGCTAAAGACATGCTGTTTTCCAAAACACCGCAGCAGCTAATGAAATCAAACTTGCTTAAATACAATCTGCCCCGCCAATAGAAACTGACAATTAGTTTACCAGAAAAGTTTCATGACCAATTCAGGCTGAATTTCTAGGAGCGATATAGTTCTTGGAAGTTGCCAAAATGATCACAGCGTTGAAATGACTGCATCTGTTTTTAGTTTGTCGTTTCCAGGAATTGAATTATCGCGCGTTTTAGTTTTCGAGTAGGGCTCCTAAAGGAATCATTATTCGTGAATAATCATGAATCTTTCCAAATGTGGATATGTGGATTGAATAATATGAATTGAATGAAACATAATTCATAGCTATTCATATAAAAAAATACCATACATAACCATTCATTTCATTACATCCCAATAAATCTACCAAGCTCATATTCTCTACCCCATAACAAGTTACATCTGAGACTGTAGCTTTTATCGACGAATTTAGATGCATGCACCACCCTAATGTCATATCTGGTACTGCCATCTCAAGATCATCAATTTGGAAATATCGAGCACGGTGATCTCTGTAAACATCTGCATCATCCTGCACGTTTCAACTGATTTTCACTACCGAAAGCACAGTGTCTTTCAGCTCTCTCCAAGGCTTTTCAACACACCAATAGGTTCAATAGATTTCGTTGGATACATGGACGTCTTAGTAAATTTCTCCAAGCTTCCCGACTTGGTCGCCTCCATCCAGTTCATTCCTTGTATCTGAAGCGGCAGAATGATTTTGGCCTGATGAGATCGAGTCTCATCTTGAAAGATCCCTCTGAGAACTACTGGGACTTAGGATATCGATATCCTGCTTGTGGCGTGGCAAATTTGGCCCTGTACCACCTTCATAGTGCCGCGAGAATGGCTCACACATTCGACAATATCCCTCTGCTTCTTTCATTGGTAGGTGGACACAGTGCTCTTCCGCTACGCACTTTATTACTAAGCGTTAGCTATGGACCGTATATTGGGATTATGACAACTTTACAAGCCATTTGAGGGTAATATAGCCCGATGGACATAATTTAAAGGGCTTTCTTAGTGGCCACCATTCAATGGGAGTCGCCAAAGTCTCCTCAATCCTAAGTTTGACTCGATCAAGTATGGATGGCGGTGGTATACTAGAAAAGCATATTTCATGTAGATCGTCAAAGTAATGACATCGATCTGAGCATTTTGAAGGGTCGTGAGAATGGAATGAACTTCACGATAAGGAGGAATGAGTGCATTTAGGATCGCAAGACAAAAAAGGCTGTTTGATAGCAATAGGCGAATCTAGGAATGTTCCATGTTCAAAGGGTGTGTAATCAGCTCGGTCTAATTCATGGAGCTATAACTATGTATTGTTCCCGTAGCTTTATTACCAGCTTATATTTAATAGTTAGGTCCTACCTTATGTACTGGAAATTGTTAGTAAATACCTTATATGATCGTTTATACCTATCTTACATTAAGAATATTTTCCTTAACTTAGCCCAGTAGAGGGTGAGAAGTTTCTCCCTCCTAAGTTAATAAAGTTAAGATATATAGACTTCCATGAGGGTGATTTTTTCCTTATAGTAACATAATCTTCTGTTAAGGATTTCAATACCTGTGGGGTGGGATCAGGCTCCTCTTTGGAGAAGTTAGTGTTAGTCGCTTTGTTACGAGAAAGTCTCCATCTATTGTGTATCAATAAGCTTTAATTATCCAAGATATTATCTTGATTACCTATAGTACCTAGTTCAATACTATGTTCTTGTAGTTGCGGAGCGAAGCTAGAGTAAGTTACTCATGGTAGATAGTATCCACCACTTATTCCTGCATGTTCTAATACTTGTGTGTGACCCACATAATAGAGCATGTGCCTTCCTCTCGTCCAGCTTCTTTTCGATTTCTTCTGGGAGCATCTTTGGTCGAGTAAATGGGTAAAAAAGAATTTAGGAATGGCAGATTGGACTCGCGCCCTCAGGCTTTTATTATTTACCATTGCAGATTGGGAGAACGCAAACACATCGCAGTGGGTATTCTCACCCACTCTCGCCCCGTTCTCACCTCTCTCACCCTAGTCTCCAGATTTCTAACCCATATCACCCGCACTCACCCTACACAGAAACTGACGCTAAAGTTGCGTGAGGCTAGCACAAAGAAAATAAAGGAATCCCTGCGTAAACAACGGGCGGATCTTGATGCGCAAGAAGACGCTCTGGAAGCTAGGTTGGCCGAAGCTGCCAAAGATATGGCCGCTTTAAAGTTGGAAGAAAATGGGACCTATAAGACGAAGGGAACCTAGGCCCCGTTCCTGACCTTGTCGCCCGCTAGGGGCTTTCAGATACAGTATTCCTCAAAGTTCTACATTTCCCGTCTTTGATTAAATACTGAAAGATGGGAATGCTCGCTGGCTGTCTGTCAAGCAGACGGGTCGATCACAAGAGGACAAAACCACCACACTCGCAGAGTGCAGGAGGGTAGTAGACAGAGCGTGACGCTATAGAGGGATGAGAGATGAGAGAACAAAGAATAGAACCCTTCATAAGCAGTATCTCGATGCCGCAACCTCAGTAGTCTCAGTAGAACATTTCACAGGGGGAACATTCCTAGTTGTTATTGATACTATCGAACGAACGCTACTTATCCTCACGAAACAAAACGATAGCCTTGTTGCTAAGGCCTCAGTCACATGACTCCAGGATACCGATGTTGAGGACGGAAGTTCCCATTACAATAACTATTTATTCATGATTCCTTGTATTGATAGAGTTTTCAATAATAAGGTTTCACGCTGACGGAACAGATGTAAAAAGCAGGGATGGATCATCAATTTTATCCATCCAAAAGGGGTAAGGCGACAAAAGTTTATTTACATGCGGCTTGATGAGGGTAACCCTGAACCGAACCTGTCGACCCTCAGGTTCGGGTTAGGTCCAGAGGTCCTGCACCTCTGGGCGGTGTAATGCCAGGCCTAGTCTCCATTAGAGTTGTAATTTGTATACGTAAATAAACGTCTAATTCATAGTTTTAACGATGTTCTTGGACAACTGGCGTAGTTTCAGTAGTACTAGTAGGTCTATAAGGTAATATAGGACCCTTAGGTACTAGGCACTGTGGCAGAGATCGTACACGTGGAGGCATGGTGTACTATAAACATGAATACATTCACGCGTGCACGCGTGCACGCGGTATTATATCGTGTCGCGAGGTTGAAACTAACCTATAGGAAGGCGGCGTATATGGCGGAAATAAGGGGGGGTCTCAGACTTTAGTTTCGCCACTGTAGCCGACTTGTCCCTTCGTGAAATGCGTCTCCCCTGATTGGGCGAAACCTCCACCCCGACCGCCGTAGAAAAGGTTCATGCGCAAAATATTATATAGTTTGTGTGCCTACGACCGGAGACCATGTCAAGCAGGCGGTTTGACTAAATTTCAAATCGAGAAAGAAATGAGAAGAATCCGGTTTTCGTCTGATTCACTTGGAAGATTCATGATGCTTCAAACATATTAGGCAATGATCCTCCAATAGAATTAGTATAGTGCACACCTAGGCACCTGGGCACCCGGGGACCTCGGGATACTCGTAGTATTTTGGCATCGCCCGTGGCCCCTTAGTGCGAACTATATATTCAGCTTGAAGTTGGCGGAAGCTACCGGTAGATTAGATTCATTGCTTTTTGCGCATACTTTTTGAAGTGGTACTACGGATCCCTCTCATCAGAGATCGGAAGAGGATGAGAAGCATGGTGTCATTTAAAAGAGACGAATGTTTATGCATTAGAAACTTGAAGGGGAACAAGAAATAGCAGATAGCTTCGATTTGTCGATGTGGTTAGTGCATTGCATCTTGGATGCCTTGTCTGTGCTGCTTTTCCCCGCTTCCGCTATCGGTGTGGGGCGTCGGGGTGACACTGACACAACTCGAACTAATATGCAAAGCAATATGAGTTGACGTAATCCGTACAAATATCTCAAATGCATGCGTAAAGGCTAGAGTGGGTGCTGTATCATCCAATTTGATGTGCAGCCCGCACATTGATGCATGGCCAAGATTTCGCCATCAAGCCTTTCGAGTCGCAATACGAACATCGTGAGGAGCCTGAAGGATCTACATCGTATGGTTACGGCGTTGGTTAGCATATCTCTCAAGTTGAAACAGCTGAGTGGCGTTGAGTATATCCACTTTGAAGTGGCCCCCAGATAATTGTCGCATTAACCTATACGGCTTTTATTGTACTCGTATCCAAATCAGGGTGAGGTTATGGCCGGGAATGGGTACTTCAAGTTGTTACAATCCCAGATATAGAGCATAGAGCTAATAGTATCATTTACTGTGTTTTAGTTTGGCTCTGATCACGATTATGTACCAAGGCACTTCGTACTAGTATGATCAAATAGCAATATATCGATATGCTTGACTCATCGTCCCATTGTATTCGATCAATCGGTATGTTAATGTGTGTAGTGACCGCTCCATTATTTAACTTGTGCTATCTCGATCCCCACTGGCATCAGAAAATTGATCGGGGTAGTTTTTCTTCATAATCAAACTCCTTAGGAACACCTGGTGAGCCCAGGCTAGCAACAAAACTATCAAGGTTCTCCTGATTGTTGCTGGCCACCAAAGTGTAGAAATTGCCACTGTTCCAAGTAACAAAACAATGGTCGAAATGTTGCTTCAGAACACGCGCCATATCGTCTAGAGTCACTTGATTTTTACTCATTGTGACAAGCACGTCTTTGCCTTTTGCAGCAACTTCACTACTACTGAAATATCGCGATTTGAATCCGTAATCTTTCTGCAACTCACGTCGCTCATATTCATCCATGTCTCCGTGCCGAAACTTCTCAACGCAGAGGAAAATACCATCTCTCTTCAGAAATCGAACGGCAAAGCTCACTTGTTCCTCTCGATTTGGCGAGTACATCTGAAATGTAGTATCTTCATGAATAATATCAAAACCAGAAGCAAACTGGGCCAGCTCATCATGAGAGTTGAAAACATCGTTGGTCAATCGATGGAAAGGTCCATGAAAAAAAGTGGCATGGGGAGGTTTTCCGTTAATCGCGAAATTTTGCGCACTCATGTCGTTAGGACTACAGCACAGAGCTTCGACACTTCCTTCGGAGAATTGAGCAATGGCACGTGCCATGCTGCTGTCGCCAGTGCCGATTGAGCGGTATAAGAGTGGGCGATTAGAGATGCGCTGGCTGTATTCAATGATTGCGTTCCCCAGACGATAATTTTCCTCCAATCGGTAGGGAATACTGCCATAATAATGATTCGCAAAAAGTGAAGATCGCTTGATATATTCGAAAACCTCGGCGAACCGACCGAAGTAATCGCCATGCTTTTCGAGCAGTGCTCTGTCGAATAATCTCGTGTCGACCTCGGGGTTCCTGGTTGTACGTCCAGACTGACCGCGGGCTGTAGATTCAAACCAGCCCAGTAGTTGATTTATGCGAGGTGCGGAGTTACATTCCTCGAAGAAGGAAGTAAAGTCTCGCTGCGTGGGCGCGAGTGGTACTTGTGGGATGACGGCCGTCATATTCGAAAATGGCAAGGCAAAGGTTGAAAAGGGGCTTTAAAAATTCGATCGCTTGAAGGCTGAGTTCTGTTATGAAAGTAGGTTCAAGATGCACTGGCACATTTTGCCGGGACCACAGAAGTAGGAATATTTCCAAGTTTTCACCCAAGGTGAATGTTCAATATCATTTCCCTTCTTGGTGTGTGTGGCTAGCTGAATTATGTAATTTTGCAGGTGATCGATCGATAAATTTCGCTCAGACCTATGGGTCCCCTGCATACGCTGCAGATTACAGTCTCACAGCAGATACGCTAACCCGGATGCTGCCGCTATTCCCCCACAGCAGCCTCCAATCAGCCCACAAAGCGAAATGCATAAGTGGCCTAGAACCAAATGTGATATAATTGAACAGAGGAATCAGGTCCAATAGGCCTCACTCGTGGACCAAGGAAAATCAGTATTTACATAATGGCAACTTGTCATGGTGTGCTTTTTAACACTCTATGATTTCTGGTCCAAAACCATAGCTGACACTACGAATTCCTTGAATCCCATATAATGCATAGAAATTCGCCTCGCATACCAAATTTTACTTGGTCACTCGTGAGAAGAATAATTGATAACTGTTCAGCATGGGAGATATTGGCCAAGGTTCAGAGCTATGGATGCCTCCTATGACTCCCCAGGCGCTGCCCATGGGTAAGAGCAACATTTATCCACTGGGTGAACGACATGTAAGTAGAGATGTCGAAGATTCGCTACATAGTGAAGACTCACCAGTAAAAATACAGGGTGTCAGCGTCTCATTGCCAACATGGGATTCTGTGATTGGATTATCACGAAAGGAAAAATGGGTTTTGGATCATCTTGAAACTAGTTATCCTCGGTATTGTGTTTTATTCGAAAAAGAAGCATTTAAGCATCCGTTAATCAGACAGACAGCTTCTATATCAACAAGCCAGTGCGAGAACTCTCATTGGCAGTTCTACAACGACTGCTTCTCCCCGAGACTAGCACAAGCTGTATGTTATTCTCTTCAGCTGTTGCCGCCCGGAAATGTCTTGCAGCGCTTGAGAAATCTGCGGAGAAGGGGTCTTCGCTGGCTGTCGTCCGGTTTTTTTTGCCCCCAGAATCGGCCCAGGGCATGACGTCCTTTCACTGGGCAAACTTTTCTGCTGTCCTTTATCCGCCAGATCTATTGAAAATAGCAATGGCCTTTTGGAGAGATACTGGCAGTGGATTGTCTACTCGCCACGCGGAGTTCTGCATTGGTGAGTTTGAATATCTGGACTGTGATTCTAAAAATCCAGATTTTCAGAGTCCAGCGCCCTCCAAAAGAGGTCATCACGGCATTCCCCAAACTCTGGCATGTGTTCAGAATGCAGCCAACAGCATGCCTGGACTAAAGTCTGTCATTGCGAAACAAGCCAATTCAGACCAGCCAGGTGAGGCAGCTGTGAGTCCAGAAGATGTGTTCCTCTATCCCACTGGAATGAACGCCATATTTTCGCTATCAGAGAGTTTATCTTCGATGAAACCAGACTCAAACGTCGCTGCATTCGGGTATGATTGGTCTCATTTACCCCTAGTATCTCTTTGCCCGATTCGAAACCCAGAAATAAGTGGACTAATGATATTTTCGATAGTTGGCTGTACCCAGAGACTGTCCATGTACTGCGGCAGGATGTTTGGAAGACGTGCCTCTCATACAAATACGGCACAGAAGAAGAGTTAGATCAACTGGAACTTGCACTTCAGTCCGGTCGGAAGATCACAGCTTTGTTCTGCGAGCTTCCAAGTAACATCTTACTATCTTCACCAAATGTCCGCCGGGTTAAAGACCTTGCAGATAAATTCGGGTTTATAGTGGCATGTGATGACACTGTCGCAGGATTCGTCAACTTGGATGCAATTCCATACGTCGATGTGATGATCACAAGTTTGACGAAAACTTTCAGTGGCTCTTCCAATGTTACCGGAGGAAGGTTAGTTTCAAGACCCATAAGGTTTGACCTAAATTTGCTCACAGTCTGCAGTTTGATTATCAATCCAAGTTCGCGCCATCGAGATGCCATCAGAGCAGCATTATCTGCAGACTATGAGCAAGCGTTCTTCCCCTTGGACACCCTTACACTCATAGATAACTGCCAGAACATGCCTTGGCGAGTGAAGCGTTGTAACGAAAATACCCTTCCACTGGTTGATTTGCTGAAAGCCCACCAGTCAATCGCTGCAGTCCACCATCCATCCATTGCTCCTACTTCATCGATCTATAAGGATCTAATGCGCAAGGATGGAGGCTATGGAAATGTGATAGGTATTGTGTTCCATCATCCGGCAACCGCCAAATATTTCTACGATGTTCTTGATGTCTGCAAGGGGTCCAGCTTTGGAACCAACTTCACGCTTGTCATTCCATATGTCCAGCTAGCGAACTACTGGGACCGAGAAAAAGTCCCAAAATATGGATTGCCGCAGCACATTATTCGAATGAGTGTTGGGCTTGAGGATAGCGAACAGCTGTGCGCAACCGTCGCTAAAGCCCTCAGGCTAGTAGAGACTTTTGAGTCTCAAAGCGTCGTATAGTTAATTCGAGTTCCAGTCTTGCAATGGGCATGCCAGCGTGTACCAGTGCCGTGCAACCATCACCTTGGACGGTTTTGAAATGGTTAGGGAATTTTGTACCTAGATCACCTGGGGTCACGGTGGTCCATTACTACCTAGGAAGCACTGCTAGTATTAGTAGTACTACTAGAAGTTACCTACTACGAGGTACACAGGTCACGCCCGGTAAATTATATTTCGGTCGCTCACATCAATGCACACTGGCAGGTAAAACCTTCAAGTTCCAAGGTTCAAGTTCAACCTTAGAAGTGAAATTCACCAGGGCAAGTTCCAAATTAAACTCGAAGGTTTCGAATATTTAGCTAAAGGTCAACTGGGCAATCACTCAGACCTTTGGAAGACCATCGTTTAAAACGAATTTGCCAGTTCTCTCCCACTGATAGTCATGAGCTTCGGCAGGAGGTCAAGTTGATGTATCGCGATCGCGCGTGACCGGTAGCCAATGAAAGAAATTCCGGGTCTTGGACCACTGTCTGCCATTGCGAATACTTTGACGAAGTTGAAATTCACTTCGACCATGAAATGTAGTGTGTAAAAATCTAGTTTCAAACCGGATGCCCTGTCATTGCTCATCATGTGATCGTAGGAGCATGTGATCTAATCACGTGCCCCTCCGCATTCACACGATCACGTGCAAGAATATGAGCATTCACCGCCCAACCCAACCTCCTCTTTCTCTCTTCCCATCATCATCTCCTCTCATCGTCCCCTTGTCATCCTTCTCCCTCTAACATCATCCTGTAAACGAAGTATTTTCTCCTGCCGTTCTCGCCACCAGTCCTGCCATTCCTGTGATTCCATAGGACTCTGCGATTTCACTTGTTGACTTCGGATTGGGCATGTGCTCGTGACCAGGCCGCAGGAGATTTTACAACATTTGCTCTCATCTTGTTATCATCATCATCACTTTTCCGAAATTTGACGCGAGTCAGGGCTGCTCCATCTTGTTCCAAAGCCCGGGTGGGAGGGCAACTCGAGTCATCGAGGGTTTATCACTTAATCTAGCGAATGTTGCAACGACACAATGACCACCCCATCACCAAACCCGCCCTGGGTCTTGAAGAAGGCAGTTCTTGTTCATGCGCCCGACCTGGGTATTTCATGTTCTGCTCACCTTCGAATTGCCCATAACGAAACTGCCAACCAAGGATCCATATCCCTTCGGATAACGGCAGATCTTGCTAACCTGAATGGCAGATCGCAGATGCTTACGCTAAATATCCCTCCAAAAATAATCGAAAAGTGCGCATTAGCCCCGAGAAGCAACGATGGCCTCTGTCCACCACACCTGGTTTCTATGATACGGGCATCTGTCACGAATGTTTCGGCCGTCTCGACATTGAGCCTGAAGCTCGGTACCACTGGCATCGTTCTTTGTCCATCCGGGGCGGATACTCTAAGCCCAGCCAATCCAGGGGATTCTGATTTCGATGCCTTTGCAAAGATCTGCCGATCCGACTTCCTACGGCTACACTTTTCCAGACGACAATTTGTGAATAAAGAACTTGATCGATTAGAAGCTTTCTCTCATGTCTTGCGTAACAGAAGTCTCCTGGCGGAAACTTTTGACCACGCTCGCCATGGCGTGGTCGAGAGAGATTGGCGGGCCTTTAATCTATCACTCGATCCACCTCCATATTGCGAGCAACCCGCATCCGGGCAGGTGAAGCTGGTAGATCCACCTCTATATAGTGAGCAGTCCATATCCGAGCAGGTTCTTGGAAAACGCCGAGGTATATTCTCAACTTCTTATCGTCTTATGTACTTTCTTCATCCCGTACAATAACTTATTCACATTACATAGCCCCATCTATCCCATCCGACAATGAAAGACGAAAAAGCCCACTCTTTTCAAGCCCTCAGCCGCCCGACTCCCCAACTGAAGTCAATACGCCGAGCATCCTGTCCATGTCACCACCCCCGATCCGTCCAACTTACTTTACGCGTGCCACCTCTCCTGGTCTTAAAGAACGTGACATACTTGGGCGTCTTGAACATGAATTGCGCGGTCTTTCCGATGACATGATCTGCAAACTATTGACGCGATCAGGACACCGACATCTGCTGGCTCCACCCGCTGGTAGAGATAGTGACTTGCCATCTGGGTCTGAGAAAGTCAGCTTCGCCGAGGTCGATACCGTTGAACGCCGTCTGAAACAATATATTGATCAGACTATTGAGCGTCGTATCAAATCACATGTCGACCAGATTGTCGATAGCGCCCTGGGCGAATGCCGTGACCACATTTTCGACGAATGTAAAACGAACGAAGCCGAATTCCGTGAGCAGGTCGACGATGCTAACTCGGAGATACGTATTACGGCCAATGAGTGTATGAAGGAAATGAAAGAACAAGCGCAACAGCATATGAATGATATCGAGGATCAGGGAGTTGAGGTTGAGATGTCGGCGAAGGAAGAAGCCGCAAAGCTGCAGCGCTGGTTCCATGCTTCTGCCCAGTCCTCACTTGATAGAAATTCAAGTTCTAGCCATAAACTGAATGCCAGGTGCAGATCTGTTTAGATATAGTTTTGCACATATCTTAAATTGTTGCCTTGGGCTGAATATAGTCTGTATTCTTCCGTTAGAGGTAAGCGACCAACGCACTCCAGGGTTTCTAATTGAATAGGTCACTCCAAATCCTCTCATACTGTAGTAGTACTAGCTGATCGGTTGATTTTCTTTCCCTTGCTGTGACACATCATAATTCAATGCTCGTTTAATATGCCAATAATAATGTTTACCATTGTGCTTCCAATGATGTTGACTCGCCGTCATTTACAGTACCATTCAAGTTGGCAGGGTATGGTGGATTCGAAATGGGCTCTCATGCCTAAGTACATGATCTGTTCCTTGAAACCTGGAAGTTGGATGCTACCGTGAAGCGCCTCGATCTGCATTGTCTATGAATAATATGCATCAGCTTCATCTCAATAAATTAAGTGTGTGACATGCGTCACTATTTGCGCTCTGGTGCAATCGTAGTCACGCTAACAGCGAATTGATTGTAATATCAACCAATAGTCTATGCAGGAGCCGCAATCGATGATCATGGCGATCGTGTTCGTGGCAAGGGCGGCCCCACCAGAGACCCGTGTTGGCGATTGCGTTGCATGTAAGGAGAAATTTCTTTTGCCCCCTGGACGCCAAGTCACTTCAGCTCAAGGTCCATATAGAGGGATGCGTTCGCTCACTTGAACTTGGAACTCTCATTCCATACTCGCCATGGATAACTCGTCGACAGCGCCAGAATGGCGCCAGAATTGGCGTTCATCGACCTGGTTTATCGTCACGGCCATGTCTGCGGCGTTCTTCACTGGTATGCTCAACCCCCCCTCCTCCTTGTTAGCCGGAGGAATATGAGACTAACTACATTGTCACTTCCATCAACAGACACGTTTCTGGCCAGCTTCATCGTTCCCATTCTCCCCTATATTCTCGAAGGCCGGGTGGGCTTAGACCCGTCTCAGACACAGACCATGACATCATGGCTGCTGGCTGGGAATGCAGCAGTCAGTGTGCTGATCCGGATGCCTTTGGCGCATTTTGCGGATCAGTCTACTTCTAGGAGGGGCTGGTTCATTTGGGGGTTGGGATTGGCCTTCGTGAGTACTATTGCGACGGCGTTTGGGTCATCCTGTATGTCAAAAGTCTCACGCAGCATTGGAGAGAAACGGAATAGTTGACATATGCTTTTATTGCTAGTGGCCTTGCTCTTTGCTAGTCGAGCCGTACTCGCCATTGCTAGTAGTGTGATGTGGGTGGTAGGATTCACGACTGTGGCTAATGCTGTCTCGATTCACAATACTGGCAAGTCATATGCTGCAATATCCGTTGCCTCATCATTGGGTGCTTCGAGCGGGCCTATGGTATCGGGAATCCTGTTCCAATTAGCGGGATACTGGGCAGCATGGATATGTGCCTTTGTACTCCTCGGTGTCGACATGGTCTTTCGACTATTGATGGTAGAAAAGCAGAAGGCCAAGAAGACCGGTATGTGCTCCCATGCCAGTAAGAGTTGAATCGCCTACTGAAACAAAATCTACAGATGTCACAGGGAAATCCGTTGCAGAACGGCACTCGGTCTCTGAAAGGTCTCCTCTACTCTCAGCTCATGACAACCAAACTGGGACCGTCGAAACACAGGAGAAAGGGCCGAATTTCTATCGATGCATATTCAGCAAACCGAACTTTACTGGCGGCGTATATTGCAGCTTTATTTCGGGTCTTCTGACAGCCATATTTAATGCTACAGTTCCACTTCATACTCGCGACGCGTTTAATTGGGGTGGTGTCCAGTCTGGTCTTATATTCGCTGCCCTGCAGGCTCCCCGGCTTGTAATGTCTCCTTTGGTTGGTTGGCTGAAGGACCGGGTTGGCACACGGATGCCGACAGTCTGTGGATTTACTATCTTGGCTCCGTTCATCTGGCTTCTGGGCGTTCCCGGAAGCAAACAGTTCCTATCTACGAGCTTCGAAAACTGGGGACCTGAGGTCTATGTAATAGCCATGGTTTGCATCGGATTTCAGCTTACATTTTTGAATGGATCAGGGACAATTGAAGCTACCGGTAAGCCAAATGCCTCATCCCATCCGTACTTTCAAGATGAAATAAAGTGAGACTGATCATTAACATCTGTCAAGTGGCTGTGAATACTTTGCAAAAAGAGCACCCTGGTAGATTCGGCCCGAATGGAGGAAAGTCTCGTGCCATTGCCATCGCTGGTATTGCCTACACATTGGGATTATGCGTGGGCCCTATTGTTGGTGGGGCACTAAATGAAAACTTCGGATACTATGTTATGAATTGCGTTGTTGGTAAGGACCATCCCTTTCCTTTCCAGGTGGCAGAGACGTTCGACCCTAACATCTTCTAGCCGGGCTCTGTCTTTCAACTGGTGTTGTTGCGTTTCTTTGTCTGCCCTCCCGGGTAATGAACAAAGCATAAAATTCTTGAAGTTGCTACTCGTACCTATGTACTAGTATCTTACTGGTACCTAAGTAGTTTCTCAAACGTGGCCATACTGGCAGCCATCAACTTGAATAGTACCCAGTATATACCTAGGCTAATAACCTTGGAGCCTTGGAAACCAAGATATTCTTCACAATCTCAAACGTTGAATTAAGCCGAAGAGACTCCTGTCAAGTGAACTCCAGGACTTGAAGCTCTTTAAATAGTGCTGGATCTTTACAGTGCTTGTAGAACTGGAAGATACTAACTAGTGAAAGATGGGAATGCTCGCTGGCAGTCTGTCAAGCAGACGGGTCAATCGCAGAGAGAAAACCACCACACACGCAGTGTGCAGGCGAGTAGGCAAGGCGATGACAACTAAGATATAACCTCCGGTCTTGTTTGATATCCGATGTTGGACCCTAAACCTTAAGGATCCACCGTCGTGGCGAAGTCTAGTGATGATCTGCAAGATTCTCACGCGTTACAGCCAATAGGATGATATTTTAAACCGAGCAGAGGTCTGTGCTGAGTGTATTTACGGATCTGTCGGGCATATTGGTGCAATTTATGTCCTGGTGAGCTGCTTTCGTGAAGTATCTCCCTCCTCGGTTCGGTGTACCAGTAGACCTAGCTGTGGTGATTCCTGAGAAAGTGATGCCTTGGTGTCTAAATTTTATGAAGGGAGTTGATTAGAACCAACACTACGAGTATTTTATATTCACTTCCTAATTTTTTTTGAAAAAGATAGCTCTCCGATTATTATACTCAAAGCAACTCATCATGATTGTTCCGCATAGATCCATTACTTCGAACCATTAAATAGACCATATATTATTAACCTTGGCAAAGGGTGACGTTATTACATACTCCCATCTTCAAGGATATTGTCAATATATCGCATACTAGTACTAGTACGCCTAGCTGCTGGTCATTGTCTTCATGACGGGCTTTTCACTGATTGGTCAATGGACTCCAGAAATCTTGCGTGGTCAGATCTTCGCATGGGAATTTTATTTTCGATTACCTTTAGAAGACCCGGCGATGTCTACTGTGGCTAGCGAAAGCTACGACTTCATTATATGAAATTTAGAAGACCGTAACAAAATTCGATTGGACCTTGAAACTGAAAGATCAATAACCTATAATACCCTTTCACGATTGAGAAGCAGTGGCAGGGAGCTGTCCCTCCCACTGTGCTTTCGCCAACTCATAAAGACTATCGTCAGTCATCATATCCCACCCAACCAGAGCCAACCCCTTTCCAGTAAGAATCGCTTCCTCGTGGGCTTCATCAGTTCCAGCACAAGCCGTGAAACTTGGGTGGTGCGGGAAACAACCCTCCGGTGTGGGGATGGCGAACATAGAATGAAGGGTTGGTGCGACGTAGCTGACATTGCCTTGTAGGATGTTAGAGGTTATTCTTTTGGGGAAAGGTGGACTTAAGGTTCTACTCACCAACATCTGAAGATCCAGTAAGGACCTGCCCGTGCCGCTGAATGACCTTCTTTCCGTAGCCCGCCAAGTGGCTCGTGTATCTCTCACAAAGCGTCTCGTTTAAAACAATGTCGGTATAAAGGCCCTCCCTAGACCGTCAATTTGCGGTTAGCATCCACTAGATCAAATGCTATTCCGAAGGACAAACTCTTTGATTTTAATTGTGCAGCCTGTCGTGGTAGCCGCCCCTTCCATACACTGACGGACTTTGGCAATGAGCTTGTTGAGACCCTGCAAACTTGGGCTTCGAATTTGCCAGTAGGACTTTGTGTACGCCGGAATGACGTTGGCAGTCTTTGGCACATCTAGAAAGGCCCCATGAATTCGTTCCTCGGGGAGAATATGCTGTCTCAGGGTCGAAACTCCATTGTATGCCTGAACTAGTGCATCCAATGCATTGATACCATCCCATGGATTACCTCCCGCGTGGGCATTCTTGCCAAAATATTCCACGTGTAGCTCTTTACGGGCATTCATCAAGACTCCTGCGACTCCATCACTAGGAGATCCAACCAGGTTCTTTGGTCCACCATGGCTGGAGAGAATATTTAGAATGGTTCGCGCATGATAAGGATTTTGAATCTTGGAAATCAACAGAAATATCTGAACTTACGCCATCAAAGAGATATCGACGCCCTCATAAGCCCCAGCATCGATCAATTTGGCCTTACCACCACCATTCTCTTCAGCAGGAGTACCAAGTAATTGAACTCTACCTTTAATTCCAAGCTCCTTCTGCAAATAGCTCAAGGCTAAAAAGGCTGCAATGCTGCTGGTGGCGATGAGGTTGTGGCCACAGGCATGGCCGATACCAGGCAATGCATCATACTCAGCGTTGAAGTTTATAAGTCGGCCCTCACTTCCGCTGATACATTCGAAAGATGTGTCCACTCCATATGCATGCCGTGTGACTGTGAATCCCTGGCTTTCAAGGAAGTCGCAAATAGCGTCATGCGCTTTGTGTTCTTCGTATGCCAATTCGGGATTTGACCAAATCTACAATTCTCAGCTCCTGATCAGCCGGGTGTCTCGAAATCTATAAGTATGGGAAGCGTGCAGTGAAGTCATACATAATTGTTCAATTCACGGAGCTGTGTGGCTACTTTCTCAAGGGCTTTGTCGATAGCAGCCTTAGTTTTCTCAGGTGAGATCGAGATATTAGTGGTCACAATCATTGTGTAGAAAATAAATCGTGATCACAGTAGTAAATAAGGGGCCAGATCAGTGAAATCACAGAGGATCTGGTGATATGATAATGCAAGAGGAATTGTTGGAATAATATAACTTCTGATGTTTGTGCGAATGTTCCTCTTTTATACTAATTCTCTATTACCTTCATATTTTCAGAAATCACCTCTGAAGTAAGCAGCATTCAAGGCGCGATGTTCAATTACATTTGCATAAGTCCGTGGCTCAGGAATAAAGGTTATGCGATTCCTTTGCTAATTGAATATCTTGGCATTCACAACGGCTTGATTGGCATATCATGATTACCTATGCTCACAATTTGGTAGTTATGCGCTATGCCGTTCGATGGTTTTGCATAAGATAACAAATGGCCAATGCGAGGGCGACGATTAGAGTTTCTGGATTTAGCATAGTTCAAAGTGAGCCTACCGTCCACCAATCGGAAATCCTAAATTTGCCGACCTGGATGACAGTTGCCAAGCCCCAGAATCTATACGATAACCCCTCTCGAGTTCGCTTGGTCTCAATCCAATCAACCGGCGTAAATTTGCCGACCAATTTCCTCTACTTGAGCGACTCTTTCACTTTACTCGCGATCAGGAAGCTTTCCGCGGGAAAGGAGGCCCTCGAGGCTGTTGAGGTTCATCGGATAGGAAATCTCTTTATCCATGACAACGAGCTGCTTCAGATCTAGTCCTATCGCTTCTATCTTCTATCTACACTCAAATTTTGAATTCTGTGGGGAATAACAGAGTGAAATAGTTGAAAATTGGGATCTCATAAGCGAGAGTTAATGTCAAATGTCTACAATGGACAGATAACGATAACATGGTGCACGGCATTAGAGTTTGATCGTTCTACAATTTTGAACATAATTTCCCCAGCCAATCCACGTCTGGGTCCTCTCCAAATATTTGAGCCTGAGCATTATTGGACATTGTGTCTATATTTTCATTCTTAAAATATCCTTTCATCTACTCGCGATGGGTACTGTGCAAGAGCCAAACGAGTACGATGAGAAGGCCATCAAAGGCACAGCTGAGCTGGCGCAGGATGCTAGTGTTGGTGAATATGTTGACTATCAGGCCTCCCCTGAAGAGGAGCGTCGACTTCTATGGAAGCTGGATCTCTTGTAAGTGATGGACCGTCTATCGACAGAAACCCCAGACCAAAGTCCAAAGTATCGCGTGTTGAGAGATCTTACAGTATGATCCCTATGATGGGAATTTGCTACATGCTACAATACATGGATAAACTTGCTCTCAGTCAGGCCACTCTGATGAATATACGAGGGGATCTCGTAAGTGATATTATCAATTCTGTCCCGGCAAGATCATGATGCCAACCACTTCAATTACATGTAGCACCTTGTCGGTCAGGAATATACTTGGTGCTCTGCCATTTTTTATTTTGGTTATCTCGCCTGGAGTGCACCTACTTCATATCTCATCATTCGTCTTCCGCTGGGCAAATACCTAGCCGTCTCAGTGTACGTTTGACGAATCCTCGACTCCTTTGGCCACTGTGGCGCTAACTTGGGCATGTGCAGGTTTTTATGGGGTGGTATCCTGATGTGCCATGCAGCCTGCCAGAATTTCGCTGGCTTGATCACTGCTCGATTCTTCCTTGGTGTTGGTGAAGCTGCTGTTGCACCTGGTTTTGGTCTCATTACTGGAATGTTCTACAAGAGAGAGGAGCAGCCCGCTCGGTAAGCAAATTTCTATTAAAATTATCAAGCAAATGAAACATCGAACAACAGAACAACAAACTGATCCGCCTCATTCTTCAGCCAAGCAGCATGGTTCATCGGTAACTGTGTTGCTAATATAATCGGAGGTGTGGTTGCGTATGGCATTGGAAATTCTCCATCAGGAATCGAGAGCTGGCGCCTCTTGTTCCTGGTTCTCGGAGGAATCACATCGGGCTATGCGATAATTCTCTTCTTCATTCTTCCTGACTCTCCCGCGAAGGCCGCTTTCCTTACCGAGTCCGAGCGGAGGATCGCTTTGCAGCGAACACTAAAGAACAAAACAGGAACTACCCAGGTGACAGAAGCATTCGACTGGAGTCAAGTTGCCGCTGCTGCAAAAGACCCACAAGCGTGGTGTCTCGTCCTTTACACTTTCTGCGTCAATCTTGCCAATGGTGGTCTCACTAGCGTGCGTGATTTCGATCCTGATATTGTTCGAATCTCCACTCACATATATATAGTTCTCCGGAATCATTGTCGCAGGCTTTGGATACTCAAACTTCGAGTCCCTCTTGCTTCAAATGCCTATGGGATTTTCCCAGCTAGTATTCCTCATTATAACTGCCGCCATTGCTACATACATCCCATCATCACGGATCATGGCCATGATTTTGAACGTGGTGGTGGCCGTGATCGGAGTTGTTTTAATCTACACTCTTGATGACATGCAGAAAGTTGTTAAGCTAGTTGGCTTGGCTTTTGTTGCTGCATTTGCCGTTAACATCCCACTCTGTCTGAGTATTGTTACCTCCAACGTCGCTGGATCTACAAAGCGAAGTACTATCAGTGTCGCTGTCTTTGCCGCTTATTGTGTGGGCAATATTGTCGGGCCGCAATTCTTTTACGCTTCGCAGGAGCCAGTATACTCGGTAAGTGTGTCCCGTTGTCGCGATTTCGTTCTCCTGGCTCACATTATATCCAATAGAGCGGTATCCAAGCATCCCTTTGTGGGTTAATACTCGGTGTGTTCTTCTTGGGATGTCTGTTTGCTTATTATGCCTGGGAGAATAAGAGGAGGGATCGGCAGAAGGGGACTGTATCTGAGGATCTTGATACTCATGATATTATTGAGGAGATCCACAACAAGACAGACAAGGAGATACCAACCTTCCGGTACACTCTCTAGTGTACTTGCATTATACCCATCTATATACTGATCTAACCCCGCAGTATCCATGGATTTAAATACTGAATGGGGAGGTGTGTACCAATTCAACTTTCAGATGAAAGACTACTTCCTACGGTGTTTGGTTTCCAATTATTCATTATAATATACCGGGGTAGATGTGTAGACGTGTCCGTTCTTGACAGATCTTCTGATCACATGGTGCGCCTGTATATCGCTGAAGTTCACAGCAGTCCCAAGGCTGTCTGGTTGGCGGCCTGTGCGTAAATTAGAATTCCATGCGGAGAAATTCGGAAGTGTCGGATTGGAACGAGGTTATTTTAGGTGCGGGGTATTGAAGTATAGCAGGACCGTCTCGGGAGAGAAACGCGATAGCTGGTCCGTGTTCTGAAATCTGAGTTGGCCATCGAGCTGACCATTGAGTCGGAGGGCCGTGGCAGGTCATAAGAAGCTTCCCTTGCTAAACCTCGAGCTGTAGTCACTAGCCTTGCTAACCATCTCCCGGCGTTGGGAATTCGAGATCTTGGAAGAAACCGCCATATCCTTCTCGCGATCAAATGCGCGTGTGCTTGGATCGTCCTCTTCCTCTTTGCGCTTACTCTCTGACTTTTCCAGTCGGGTCTTCTTTGCAGCACGGTCCTGTGGGGAGGAACGAATTAGCATAGGATACACATAGATTGGGTTACCGCAACAACAAATAGCACTCACATTGTATTTTTTGATCTTCTCCTCCATTTCCTTATCCTTGGCCGCATTGAAATTGCCCGCCAAGGATTGTGTTGGTCCGCTAGAGGGGGCACCGACACCCATGACTTGATCTTCCAACCGTCTCAATTTCTCTTCGGGTGTCTCCACCCATGCGGCATCAAGACCCTTTGAACCCGCTGTTGCCGAACGAGCTGATTTTCCTGTTTGGAATTTGCGATTCCGGAGCTGTGTTGGGTCGATCTTGGAGGCCCAGTCGCTGTTCTCGGGTGGATGTAGCATCCAGTCATCTCGTTGAGTCTCTGGCTTTTGTTCCTTGTCAGGCGTATTCGAATGGGCAGACGAAGCAGGTATAGCTGTAGGAGCCATTGATTGTCCGGCTGGAGGAGGCAAGCTGGGTCCAAAGTCGTCGTCGCTGTCATCGCTATCACTGCCACTGGCGGCATCTGAATTTGAGGCTGAATCGGCGGGTGTATTCTCGGTAGGTGGAGGGAGGGATGGGCCGAGGATGCGTCGTTTGGGAGAAGGCAGGGTTTGACCCTCGCTAGGGTCATCAGAGAGCTTCCTTTTGTCCATCTTGGCAGATCGACAGAGTATCACAGAGTCGACAGAAGATGTTGAGGTTGGAATATCAAATCGACAGAGTGAAGATCACGGGGAGTCACGGGGTAGTCTTATCTTATCAGTGATCAGGTGATGTCATGGGACTGCCCGATTTCACCCTCTCGTTGTTTCCTTTCACCGAAACATTCCCCCATTCCTCTTTTCCCCACTCTCGGGGAAGTCAGGAGCTTGAGAGAATACCTTCTTCCCTCGAGATATGCTTCTTCTTTTACTCCCTCTTTCCTGAGTCCCCCATATACTGAATATGGGCTGTCTCTCTGTTCACTCTCAACCGGTATCGGATCCGGTACAACAGCGGTCAACTGATAGCTCGGAGCCCACTGCTCCACAATACCAACAACAACAACAATCAGAACAATTGGAAGTGCACACAACTCAACCTTCTGAAGAACCATCCCCGAAACCTCCTCGAAAATTCCTTGCTCAGCCTATCGAAACAACATCACGAAGCTCTCAAAAACCATCCACCACCTCCTCCACCCCCACCTCCACCTGCGACCCCGCCACGCCAAATGATCCACTACCACCGAAACAGAAGGAGGACAATCAGCCTCCACCTCGTAGAAGGTTCCTCCCTGAACCCGTCGAAACCACAACAAGGACCAGCAGTGGAGGTTCAACATCGACCAAACCGAGAAGGTTTACACCAGAGATCATCGAGACGGAGTATCGCTCCGTGGATCCCGATCAACCTCCGAGCCGGGACACTCCAAAAGCTCAAATTGGACAACTTGGCCTTCACACAGAGGGATCTCGTTCACCAGCCCGGCTGAGCCCCAATCGTGCTATCCCCCACCCAATCGAGTCCAAGTTCTCATATGTAAACCTCCTCCGCCGACAAGAACGGTCTCGTCGCCATTCTTTTCAAGTGCCAGACCTCCCTTCCATCCCGTCAAACAGCAGCGAAGAATCAGACAATGCTTCCGAGTCTCGTTCAGTATCCCCGTCCCCGAAAAAGCGAGCCACCAAATCTGCCAAATTTCGCCAGAACAATAGTACTAGACACACTCTGCAAGAAGGTGGTGATTCCGGCGAGTTTTCCGAATACCTGCTTTCACTAGCTGCACGCTCTGCCGAAGAACAATTGAAAGACCAGACACTTGCTGCTTTTCCCAATGAACAGGTCTACCAGCATTTTGACCATTTTGCCATCGACGATGAAGCACCGTCAAGGAATTCAGAAGAAGAGAATTGGATATATCCACCAAAGCACCATCTCAAGTCCCGGAGACAATCTTCAGCAGATCTCACTTGGGAACTCGAGCATCTGCGTCATCACAAAGAAGAAGCAGAACAACGCTCAAGAGTAATGAATCGAAGACGGAAACCAGACCTCAAACTCTCCAGTCCAAAGCGCCTGGGTCCAATCCCTCCAATGCTGGGAGGGGACATCATCCTACCGCAAAGTCTGTCACCGATAGGATCTTTCACCAATAAAAATGGCACTCAGAGCGAATCAAATCCATGCACGGACTGCGGTGCTCTCTGGTGCGGACCAAGTCGCCCCGATAATGGCCGAGGGTCCGGTCTCTGGATGGGCACATGTCAGAAAGACGAAGAAAACAACAACCGCGGCTCTCAGATAATGACAGGGATCAAGACCCCAATGTTACGGGATGACAGACCTCCAAGTCTAAGCCCTAGCCCCAGCCGCAGCCCCAGTCACACCCACACCCACAGTTCTTCCCCAGATGCCCACGCCCATGCCCGCGCAGCTCGAAGAGAAGAACAAGGACACCCTGCCCGCTCCATTCCCCGGAGCATCCCTGGTACGAGCCAGGGTCTCGGCCTGAATCTCAATTTGAGCACAGTCAGCTCCATTGAAGACGAATTCAACGACGAATTCGTCACGCAGATCTATAACTATCTCTCTCTCGGATACCCCTGCGTGGCCCGCGACTACGACCACGAACTGAGTAAGATCTCGGGCATTCTCGTCGAAGACATGAGAAAAGATGATCTTCACACCGACGCCAAGGGATACGTCATGGCCCCGGAAAACGAATTGGCCGTGGCTTGTACAAGATGGAAGGCCCTCCGTTTGTACATTCAGGAATGGGCTCGACAGCAGCCCAACATGGCCGAGGAGAAGAAGTGGGGTGTAGGTGTTCCGGAAAGACGAGGAAGCTGGGCATTCTAGAAGGCCCACGGATAATTTCATTATTTCATTGTCTTCCTTCTTTCCCTGCTTTTTTCGGGCCTTGGTTTATCTTTCTGCAAGCATTCATACCCGGCGTGTTATATATTGCATACATACAGAAGCGCTTAGTTTATATACGATGTTGACGATGTTGACGATGACGATGACGACTATGATGAAGGTAGAATATAGAGAATCTTGCAACCATTTATTTCATTTCCCACCTACATAATTCGCCGAGTGTCAACGAGCACCTGGGCAGAATAGTACTATGAAATTTCAGTGCATCGATACAGCACACCTGTATGATCCCAGGGATGTAAATTCCCGACCTTCCCACCACGTCACATCAAGCCATCCCTTCACCCGAAACCTGCCAGTGGCAAGTACTAGTTACTACCTAACTAGGTAGATAGTAGTAGTACTAACTAGTAGTTAATTACCTAGCAGGTAGTAGCCAACTTTTAGACAAGGATTCATATTCTGTGTGAAGACATTCCCAAAATATTCTCAATTCGGGGTCTCCATCTAACTCTAATACAACTTGCAATGGACCCTTGCTACAGTCCACTCACTGAGGAATGGACTCTTTCCACAATTAAAGAGAGGAGGGGGTTACCGGGAATATTTCAACAACTGCAGGAATTTCAGGAGCTATTTGTACAAGGAAATCAAAGAATAGGCCTGGAACAGCTCACGTGGAGAGAGAGATTCAGGCAAATCGGTCTCTTACCTCTTGACGATCATACAGCAGTGCAAGTGAATTCTAGCCTTTTCACTATGAATCACATGTATAAGAGTCAAGTTCTTTCAATCTGCTCGGTTGAACTACTGTAAACCTTTGAATCATGATGTATTTGAGTATTGCAGTTTGACTTGAAAAGGCACTCTTAAACTATACACTGCAATTGCATACCATGACAGTCTGGGCGACAGAAGCTTTCAAGATAGTATTATCAACAACATAAATGGTATCCAGGTTTGAAACTATTGAGATTCTTGAGGTTCGCGGAGTAGGAAGATACCATGCGCTAGTGCTATAGGAGATTGAAATAGTGCGAGTACCTAGGTAAAGGGAGTACAGAATGAAGAAATAGCCAGTGAGTCTGAATTTAAAAGCAGGCAAACTGGTATAGGGGCCTTTCTTTTAGTGCCATGACAGCTGATATGAAAAAGGTCTGTCAAATGGATGAGAGTCAGTTCCAAGGTTCCATGTACCTACGTAGCTGTGACTTAGGAGCTCAAATTTCAAGAAAATTCTTTTACCTAGGTATGTTCCCCGATAAGCAATGTTCTTTCTTGACTAACAATCGGGTTTGGTGATTAATACTGCCGGTGGGTACCTAGGTAATTGAGCCGTTGATATATTACTTTACGAAAGAGTGAGTGAAGTACCTGTAGTAGCTTCGAAGGTTTGAAAGAGAAAAAAAGAAACTGTAGAATCATGATTGGCTGTCCTTCCGAGTCTCTGATCATGATGGGCTGAATAAAATTCTGTTAACCAACAATGATCGTGTTGATCACCTGAGCATACATTCCCGGGCTGATAGATGTCACTGTTGTAACCTAAATTCTTCTGATCACACCATCTATATTAGCACCGAGGTTCAAACTTGTCGCCACCGTCCACTCTATAGACAACAACCTGAGAAACCGTGAAGCTTTCCCTAATGACTTCGCCCTGATTCTGGCCCAAGGTTTCACTCCGCCCTTTGCCCTGAAGAACATCATTGTACGTAAACTCACTCTGATTGGCACCATGATCATTCAACACGAAGGCCACTCGGTTTCTGGTCGGATCAATCTGTAAACCAACTTCTGACTCCTGATGATCCCCCATCCAGTATTTAGCGGCAGTATCCTGAGCATGGCTCTGTGCCATTTCTTTTGGTAAAGACCGAGGAACTGAATTCCCTTCTTTCAACCTGAACATTCTAGTATTAGGTTGAAGCTGGAAAAGAAGTTGCAAAGGGACGGGTTCAAAATTCTTAGCCATCTCGGACACATCTTGTTCTCCATTTCCCTCTCTCTTTGGGGCCGCGGCGTAAAGAGCACCCATGATACCCGGGATGTAGCTATGGCTCTGAGCTTTGTCCCCGAGGAAAAGAACAAGGTGAGGCCGATGGTCAGTACTTTTCTCCGTAAGACCCTTGATGATTTGGGGGAGAGCCAAAGCATTATTTGAATCTCGCATTGACGATTGGTATGTTTCTTCAAACGAGACGGGCCTAATATCCCGATGGAGTTCAGGTTTTCCGTGAAATTCGGTGACGGGAGGCACAAAAAATGAGACAGCACGCAGAATATCACGTATTGTGGAGTCTGGATGTGATTCTGCTCTTGATAGTGAACTGGTCTCTGGGATGGGAGGTTGGAAGATGAGTGCCCATAGTTGATGGAAATGTAGCTCGAAATTTGGCTGGAATCGAATGGTTGAGTCAGACTTCATTTGATACTTCTGAATCGAGGAGAATCTTACCAAAATATCAAAGGCTCGAGAAAGGGATTTTTGTACTATGAATCCCTCCGAGAGCTGAAATTGCGCAGCGAGTATATTCACAAGCTCATCTTGTTGGGGTGTCGGTTCCTCAAGAGTGCCGTAATGAAGTTTTTGCTGACTCCACGTTGGCTCAAGCAGATTGACCCTCATTAACATTCTCATCATAGTAGTAAAATGCTCTATTTTTAGCCGAGAGCGATAACTAGCACTTTTGTCATCGAGGAGAAGCTGCGCTGATGGAGCTAGTTCATCAGGACCTGGGATTCCCTTGCCATCATAGGGCCCAGTTGTGGCTACAATATCCATCATGTCGTCCTTGATATACGAAGAGGAGGTATTGTTGGTTTGGTTTGAATCGGGGATTTCGGAACTCAATTGACTGATACTTCGCAAGATCCGGTCAAAGTTGTGTCTGCATGTACAGGGCGTGCCATCTTGTACATAGGCCCAGTGGACCTTTGACCGGAATGTACCACACATAGTACCTAGGAGCCCCGTGCCTTTGTAGGCAAGCATTATCAAACCACGTTCAAATTCGGGTCGTGCTAACTTTTGAGTATCGGCATTGCCATGATTTGGGAACGGGTGCCAGGCATAGAAACAAAAGCAAGACCAGAGAACATCAACTGCTGTGTCCGGTATTCTTGTTCCCGGGAATTTGGCCGTGATATGATTTCGAAAGCTTTCTTTTGTCCAATCTGAGCCATCATCTCGTTAATAGTATTCTTATGATAGTGTTTGAAAGTTAGCAAGTATCTCTTACATGGCTGCTCCTGGAGCGAGTTTTGAATACTACACGCGTCGAAAGTCGCCTGATGTGTTTTGTCCTGAGTTCCATGCTCAATCAGATAATTATGTAGTTTGTGAAGAGCGATTTCTAAGAATAAACTGTCAGCTTTGTTGCACTACGGGCTGATTGACAAATCTTGGGGGACGAACCAGGCGTGACGGTTTGTTGATATTCTGCAAGTGCCCTCTCATAGGGGTCTTGTATGCTCACACAGCACCCCATGTTTGGCTTTCAAAGTTTGAGATGTGGAGGTGATAGGTGGAGGTAACACAAGGGGCAATGGACATATCACAGGGATAACTCGAATACTATAGAGCATTCAAGTGGAAAGTTGGGGGCGGTGCCGTCATGGCTTGATTACTTGTGGGTCCATTACTAACTCTAGCACGCACAACCATTCTAGGTAACTAAATAATGTTGGTGTTCACTCTGCTCCACACATTTCGGCCCCTGGGGCCAGGACTCCCGAAATCGTAGGGTGGCAACATCCAGAAATTTGGCCCCTCAACCCATCAGTGCGGATATTTGACGATATCGGCATTAATTTAATTCTGTAAGCGATTTTTATGTTCCTAATTCAGATTATAGAGCAATTAATACTTTTCGATAAGGCTTGGTAAACGCGAGCGGCTGCGTAGAGGTTTCAATAGTATTCGGGGTATTTTATGTTAACCGCCCTACACAATGCCTAGGCATATGCCCCCCCCTCTAACACCATCCAAGATTCATCCCAAAATTACGTACTAGTAGGTACTAACTAGTGTTCCCAATACAAATTCAAGTTTGGACCCAGCTTCAAGTTATACGCCCAAGTCCCTACGGTCGCGATGCCTTCCCTCTCCGTGGCGGTCTCTATGGCCACCATCTGTAACAGGGTTCTACTGGTATACTTCCTACGATTCCTTTTCAGAGTTATTTATTCTGAAAGTACGTAGGTATTGAACTTCAACTTGAAGTTGTAGGTACCTAGGCAGTAACGTGTTTCACCTCCGAGTCAGCCGCCATTGACTCCCGTAGCCGCCTCAAGAACACATAGAAATATGATAAATTACAACTTCAACTATCTAAACAACCAAACTTTTTTTGATTCTAACTTACAACATAGGCTCTATGTATTAAGAAGAATGATATAGTGAGTACCCTTTCTGATTGACCTAGGTAGATCATTATTCAAGTTTTATATTAGTAGCTAATGATACAATAAGTAAGTAGTGATCTACGAATTTGGGATGTGGGGACTATAGAGTATACCTAGGTATCTCCGCGATAAATCTCTCTTTTGGGGATTATAGGGTTTAAAGATTTTTCACGAATAGTATTTAGATCATAGAACCTTAAGTCAGCCCCTTAGATTGAAACTTGGATGGTTGTTCAGATGTAATGTTGTGATTTGAATTTAATATATTTATTATGTGTATCGGGACGGCCAATTCGGTCACGGTAGTAGGTAGGACCGGGGCAGACCCGCGGGTACGTGAACAACTCTATGCCCATTGGCCTCACTCCCAATTCACGGGGATTACTAGTTTGAAGTCATTCCGCCCACCCCGGGCGCCACATGTACATGCTTCAAGTTATCTGTTTCAAGGTCGATTGTTACGGGACACATCGCCGATCTTAACCTCGTTCGGCACAGCAGTGCGACAACTAATGAGCTCTGAGGCGAGTCACCCCAATACCTTGATAAGGAGGACCTGGTGGATGGATTTACCGCTCAAGTGCCAGTCAAGCACGAAGATCTTGTGGCACCCAGCAAACCTGTCGCTATTGAAAATAGACAATATAGATGGGGTGGCTTGTTGACAAACTGGCACACTACAGGTAATGAGAACACACGGAATGGAGCCAGGAGATGAAGAAATGCGCTATCTTCTTTTTCTCTGGTGTATATGGTATAATGGCAGTAGCGGCGGAGACGTAGCCTCCAGCAATCGGTTCCCCGGACATTAATTCCCGTGCCATTCCTTGAGTTCCTTCTCTACGAGAAGTAAGAAATCCAATGCAAGATTCTGTGGCAACTCTGCCTTCGAAACACGAGCATCCATCGCAAGACCCACTACCTCTGGCCGATTGTAGTTTTCAAGTACCCAGGCACCGGCATTGATTTTCGACCTCCATGTGGACGTTTTCGCATAACTCAACTCACGACACGCATTGAGAACGCCATCAGATGTTATGGGGTCATTTTCACGTTGCCAGGCCAGAGATTCAATCATGCAATCAAATATAAAGTCCAACCTTGGAGCAGCAAAAGTTGTACTGGGAGGTGGACCAATGAGCGACTTTCCCAATTCACGACCAATGGCAATGTCAAGCAGAAACCAGAATCGAGGCTCAGTTCTAGCAGTCAGATTCAAGTAGTCATCCATATCCTTTCCCGTATTGAAATTCATCTCAAACACAGGGCTGGCTGTTTGCTTGGCAGCATTGTCTTTAGTGAAAAGGACGAATTCAAGTTTGCGTGCTGGACAGGGTAGAGCAGCATGGCCTATGGTGCGAGAAAGCTTGTGATAATCAGGTATTGGTGCATGGACGATCGCATAAACGTCAACGTCACTGGTACCAGGCTCATATGCGCCGTAGCCAGCAGAGCCAAAAAGGTAGACAGCTAACAGATTTCCTTCCAGTTCCTCTTGTAGACGGGTGACTAGGCGGTGTAAGTAAGTGTCCAAGATGAACTGGCTTGATGCTGCTTCGGCTGACATATGGTCTAGTTGGCCTAGTGATTGAAGAGAATAATTAGCCATCTTGGCTATATTCACAGGGAAGTTTCACTTGGCTTGACTGTCAGGGAGCCTCAGGGTTTGATAATGTCAGTGTCGTAAGAGAGCCTCATTGAACTTGGTGAATGGAAAGGAGAACGAATAATTTCAAACTTGAAAGATGGATCGAGATAGCCCTGCCACTTTAAATAGAGCCCCGGAGCACTTGAGAACAAGCACGCTGTGGGATCCACGGCGGGATACCCCACCACCCTGGGGCACAGGAATCCGGTTAAGTGTGTGGCGGTGAGTTTGATAACTTGCCCAGACTATTAATAACCACAATTGTCGCCAATTAAATCGAGGTGCATTTGACTAATCGAACCACTTGTCGGAGCAGCTGTGGGCCCAAGTAGCATACACGAATGAGATAGCAAAGAGTCTTGATTGTGAACGTCTCCGTTACCATACGATTTTGTATGGTAGCTCGGACAATCTATCTACCGAATATTACAATCACGTTACTAAATACAACATATGACAAAACAAAGCTCCACATATTCCGACACACCCCCTCAGCGTTCAACGACGCCTAAGGTTTTCCATATCAGCGTGTTGAATGCTGAACCCTTGTTTTCAGGCCAATGAATGGCTTAAATGGGCAGTTGAATAGCCCAAGGTGGCAGCAACTGCCTCATCTATCGATGTACGAACGAATATTCTGCATTCGAAGCATACCGACGAATTTTTCATGGTTCTGTGATGACAGCGCCTTCGTGAGGCCATCGGCTGCCATCTGACCAGTGGGCACCCATTCAATGTGGATGCGTCCTTCTGAAACCTCCTGCCTCAGCCAGTGGCTATGAATGTCAACATGACGAAGCTTGGTGTGCAGTTTGACGTTGGCATTGGAGATCAGATCAACCGTTTGTTGGTTATCGCATTTCAAAATAATGTGATGGCTAGGTCTGAAACCTAGGTTGGTGAGCAAGCGCATGGTATATTGAACAGATCGCGCTGCATCAGAAAGGGCCAGAAGTTCGGCCTCAGTGGTAGACGTTGTTACTGTACGCTGCTTGGAAGCTTTCCAGTCGACAGGACCACCATATATCTGGCAAATATAACCAGATGAGCTTTTCCGATCAGTGTTATCACCATATGAGGCATCACTGGCAAATTCCACTGATTTTAAGCCGCTGCAGGGGCCATATTCAATTGCCAGGTAACGGGTCCAGTACAGATAGACTATCACACGGTCAATAGCATCAATGTGCTGTGGCCCTGGATTAGTGAGAAACTGGGCCAATTTGGCAGTAGCTCTGGCAGCATCAGGTCTGGTGATTGTGGTGGCATATTGAGCTGAGCCTAGTTTGGTGGAAAATTCCTCGATCCTGGCCTTATCTGGTAGGCCATCATGAAGCTTCAACTCTTGCCCAGGTGCCAGTGGTGTGGTCACCCTTGAACGATGGTTAAGATGGTATCGGATAGCTATCTTTTCAATATAGGCATCTTGGCATAACCAGAGCTTCCTGTGCTCTCGGTCTCGAATGATACGTATGCCTAGGAACCAGCGAGCATCACCATGGTCGGTGAGCTCCCAGTTAGCATGGAGGTAACGCTCCAGCTGTTCGGCTTGATGCCGTTGGGATGGATCACTAGCAATAATGATATCATCCACATAGAAGAAGACAATAATGTCTTTTCCAACGAACACGCAGGGGTCCTCAGGCAGCGCAGTTAGTCCTATCTTTCCTAGGACACCTGAGGCCTCCTGCTGCCATAGCTTCGGGGATATTCGAAGTCCATATAACGCCTTTTCGAGCTTCCAGCATAGGCCGGGTGGCGAGTTTGAACCATCCGGAAGCTTGGTATACACTGTTTTTGGTAATGTGCTGTTGAGGAATGCATTCACAGCATCCAATTGCCTAACATCCCAGTTGAATGCGGCAACGAGGCCAAAAATTATGCGTGCAGTTCGAGCGGCTAGGGTAGCGGCTCTCTTTTCATCTGATGTTACCCTCTCAAGATCACCGCGTACGCATAGACGAGCTTTGAACTTCCGGAGATTGCCATCTTGATCAAACTTATAGTCAAAGACCCATTTCAATGGCAACACCTGGACAGAACAGTCATTCGGTTCTTTGACCTCTTGGAATGTTCCCTTGGTACGCAGGCTATCGGTCTCACGGGCTGCGGCAGTTAGGAAGGCCTCGCAATGAGGATGACGGAGCATGTCCTTCCAATTCTGCGGCGGTGGTGGTAAGTCATCACGATGTTGGTGGTGTTTTTGTTCGGCATTGAGGCCGGTGGCAAATGCGGCCAATAGCTCCTGAGGCTCTTCTGCATGGTCCTCATGGATAGGAGCAGCGAAATAAGCACAGTCGTCCCGGTGGGTTGATCTCCGCTCACGACGACCTTCTAATATATTCGACTCTTGCACAGTGGAATCGATATTTCTGGGCGCCACAAGTGGTGGCTCAGGCGGCTGATCTGGTGGGGCCTGTGTGAGTTCTTGGTTCAATTGAGCTTCACTGTCCGATAGTGGCTCTGGTGTAAAAGAATCGAAATTCTGCGGAGACTGCTCAGGCAGTTGATCAACGCTTTGATAACTCTCCACCCCTTCAGTCTCTGCAGCAGGGTTTCCGGTCGGAAAACGATCATGTGACGGTGTAGATAGTAACGACGGCAATTCATCGTCAGGGAATACTCCTGGTAATGTATGCTCAGAGTGATCATCCGGTTGCTGGGGCATCCATTCCACAGATGGTGGGGTCAATTCCTGGATTGGTTCCGCACGATCATCCGGTTGCTGCAGACCCTTAGGCTCAGGTGTCCGATATGTCGTCTGAATTGGCGCATAGAATTGACGTTGCTCGGCTATAAAAGGATCAAATGAATGGGTAGGCGGTGCTGGTTGGCCAGGCTGTGGCATCACTGTGCTAGCCGTTCCAGGGCCAGTCACATGATCCATCCAGTTATCTGTCAACCCTCGTTCTTTCAATATTACATGATCAACCTCACCCTTCGTCATAGCATCTGCTGCAGGAATGGGTAATGGCTCCTCCTTCCAATATTCAATATTTGGATGCCAGCGTCGCGATTCATCGAAAACTGCATCTCGCACACGAATGATATCGTTCTTCCGAGGTCTCCATATTCGCCAGACATTCGATGCTTCATATCCGACTAAGAAGCCGATTTCAGCGCGCGGACGGAGCTTATTTCGTTGAGGAATTCGGTCCAGACGAAAATAGGTAAGACTACCATATATTCTGAGACCAGAGAGATCTGATTTCTTAACTCCATCAGCATCCAGTAAAGCGCGAGCTTCATCCCAAGGCACAATCCATTGGGATTTATCCTTCAAATAGGTCGGTGTGCGATTCAATATCCATGCAGCTGCCATGACCATCTCGGGCCACAGAGCTTCTGGCAATTTGCCCTCAATTCGCAGCTTTCTGGCTTTCAAGGTGATCACACCCCCTGAGCGCTCACCTGGTCCATTCATTTCCGCATGGTGTGGTATGGTGTGGGTGATAATGAAGCCTTCTTGTTTTAGCTCTTTTTCCACATCCTCCCTCACAGCCTGCTCGTTATCCGCATGAACTGCTATAATAGGCAATTTCAGGACCTTCGTTGCAAATGCAAGGAAATGCCTAATGGCCACGACCGCGTCATTTTTGAATTGGTGGGGATACACCCAATGGAAACGAATTCCAGACACATAGAAGTGTGTGAAATATTGCATCTTATTGTATGCAATTGGCATGACCACAATGTCATAGAAAATTTGACCGTATCGGCCGAATTGACGACCCCAGGGACGACGTGAAATTTGTCGTGGTGCCTGAGATAGTCGGCAGATCTCGCAGTGAGACTGATCTCCATGATCAGGAGTTGTGGAACCATCTATCTGGATTCCATCCACAAGCTCAGCAGCTTTCTTGACTGTGATTGGCTGAATATGACCTAGCCTACGATGCCACACATCAAATGATGCTTTCGAGCTTCTTGATGAAGACGATTTCCGCGCCGCCATCGCGTACTGCGTCTCGCATCGTTCTTTCCTAGCGGTAGGACTGACGGATAGTCATGCTGTGGCATCACTGGCCGGTTGGTCAAATAGCCATAGACCAGCTCCACGATCATAGGTTACTTTGGCAAAAGCACTGCTATTAGCACTGCGCATGCATCCACCGTTCTCATCCCATCGGCAACCTCTAGCCTTCGCTTGACTATATGAAACCAGGTTGACATGAAAATCAGGGGAATATTTGACGTTATAGAGTCGGACGACACTTGGTCCACCAGTGATAGGGTCAACACAGAGCATTCTGACAGTTCCAATACCTTCAACTCGTGTGAAGCTATCGCCAGTTCGCATAGCCGCCTTCCTCACAGTATATTGATCAAATAGGCTGCGATTATTGCAAACATGAATACCAGCTCCGGTGTCCAATATCCATCGATCCCTAAGGTTCATTTTGGCTGTAGTGTTCATGGCCAGGTTATCCTCCTCGGGATATTCGTCATTCGGCAACGTTAATGCAGCAATTGGTGCTGATTTTTCGGCAGAATAATTGCCAGAACCGGTTAGTCCATTGCCATTTCCAGCCGTTTTGGCTATCTCTTTGTCAATGAATCTCTTCCAGTTGACGTGCTCTTTTAATAGACGTTCCACACGTGCCATTTTATCCTGATCCGGTGGTTGCCAGCCCGCAGTACGAAGCTTCGGGTTCACATAGGCGCATTCCCATGGTTTATGAGATCGATCCATACACATACAATATCGTTCTGCAAGAGGAATGTCTTTCAACGTTCGCTTCTTCCGGTTCGGTGCACTGGCAGCGGCACTAGGCGTGGCCTCCTCATGGTCATGGAGTGTGGAGAAGGCATTATTTGGTCTACTTTGTGAGACCTGAATACTTAGAGCAGCACTAAGTGTAGCTGGGACTATCGGTGGTGATGGTGCCAATGCATTGCCATAGTGCATACGATAGTGGTCAAGGAATTGAGACACCAATTGACCATTATCCAGCTTCTTCTTCTCATGAACAACCAATTGATATTGGCCAGTATGCCAATTCGGTACGAGATGCCTTACTGCCACTAGGAAGTCCTCATTGGCTTCCGGACTGCGGCCTGCTGCTAGCATGCGATCTCTCATTTGCTCCCATCGGCGTGCCCATGCTCGAATATCCTCACCCTTAGCTGGTGGCACTTGAGAGTATCTAGACCATCGCTCACGATATGTCTCGTTTGTTGTGTTTGCATTCGAGAATCGATCTCTGAGAAACCTCAGTCGCTCATACAGAGTGCTAACACTATATAGTCGTTCAGCCACAGTGGCATCGACTGACTGCATAATCATACGTCGGATAGCAGCTAGTGCTTTACTCTGCCGTTCCCATTCAGGGAATTCCATCTTGTATATTTCAATAGCCTCTGTACGTTCCGCCTTCGTCAGATTTCCCCAATCTGGTCGTTCAGGCCGTACAATCGGTTCAGGCCGTTCTTCATCGTCGGCTTCGGGGTCTAGGAGGTCCCATATACCATCGGTTTCGGCCTGTTCTTGGATATAACGAATCCATCGGAGCCAATCGGCATCCGATCTCAGTTTAACACTCTGAGGAGCGGAGACTATGGTTGCTTCCATCCCAACTAAGTCGTATCGAACGATCGTGGTCGAATAGGGGTACACAGCGGTTCGGACAGCTTCAGGGGTAAAACGACACTCGGAGGTCAACAGTGGTTGAATTGAGTGCTGGGAATAGCTTCAATATTGATTAAATAGATATTTCTTCCAGGCGAACCGGGCTCATAACTGTCGGAGCAGCTGTGGGCCCAAGTAGCATACACGAATGAGATAGCAAAGAGTCTTGATTGTGAACGTCTCCGTTACCATACGATTTTGTATGGTAGCTCGGACAATCTATCTACCGAATATTACAATCACGTTACTAAATACAACATATGACAAAACAAAGCTCCACATATTCCGACACCACTCCTTTAATGCTTGAATTTCCTACGCGAATTAAATATCCCACTATCACCTCTAGAAAGCTATCCCCAGCTTAGAATGCCTAGCTATATTATCATCCTCCATGACTCGGAGGCTATCCGAGTTTCTAGGGCTTATAAAAGCACATTTGTGAAACAAATCTCCCATGACATTACTAGTATTAGATTACTCGCATACTATGCTAAGACTATAGCTTAGTGATATTACTCCATTTCCGCTCTTTCAGTAGACATTAATTCACTCAAAGGCCTTCCCGTCCCCGTCGACCCCGGATATTCCCTCGAACATTGCGAATGAGAATCCACCGTTTCCGTCTTCGAGACACGCTGATATTGCTTTAACTTGGGCTCAATTGTAGGAAGCGGGGATAGCTCGTCCCTGTGATGATTCGATGCAGGTGTCACTTTAGGTTCCCTCTGACGGGACTTTCGCCGGAACCAGAAGAACATTCCTATGGCGACAGCTAGTATCAAAACACCCAGTGGAACGCCAAGCCCAATACCGATTTTGGCCGGTGTTGATAGACCCTTGCTATGCTGAGGAGTCGATGTAGTCGTCGGCGATGGAGTCGATGTTGTCTCCGAACTGGTCGTAGAGGTGAGGGAGGTAGAAGTGAGGGACATGGAAGTTGAAGTCGAGGTTGTTGCTCCGCCACTTGCAGTCGTGAAGGAAGATCCAGCTTGGAAGTTGTACGAGGTTGGCGATGGATCATCTGTGTATCTCTTCGAAACCCCGAAGTCTGTACTTGAAATGTTGTTGCCATACGCCTCCCCGTCGGCAGTAAACGGCTGAATCATGAAGCTGCAGCCTCTCTCCACGTAATTGTCCCGAGTCGCTGTCCATATGTAGCTGTATTTATTGGATGTTTGACCTGAAAGATGTAATCAGCCAAGGCCATGTGAAGAAGCCAAATAGAATCATGGCTTTCTCACCTTCCAACGGGTAGTCAATATTACCACAGGTTTCGTAAAGGGAAATTCGCGGGGCATTAACAGTCCAGGTTACATTCACCTGGTCTGCCACAATGAAAATCTGATCTTTTGTTGGGAAAGTGAACTTCCCCGCCATACTGTCGGTGTCGTAGCTATTAAGAGAGGAAGATTTCTCGGCGGCAAAGGGCGGCTTACTGGGGCCTGGAGGAGAGCAGGGCCAAAGTCATGCGGGGAAGGGGAAATAAGAAAGTGAAGTTGGGGGAAAGGGGCAGAAAGTAGTTTGGCGAGGGGTTTCGAATGATCGGGGCGTTAAAAGACTGGAATTTGGAATCACATGAGGCTAGAGAGTAGCTAATGGCGTAGTTCGATCGTGAACCCTGTCTAGTGCAGCGTGCTAATGCACTAAGAATCTCCACCCGAGGATATAAATGGCGCAAAGTCTGGTAAATATGGTCAAAGGCAGTGTAAGGACTCAGATAATTTGAAAGACAGCAGTAGTATTGAACTAAGGTACTAAGCTGAGAGAGAGAAGAGAAGAAGGAGAGAAGTTACCATCACAACCATCTACACATGAGCGGCTGTCTGGGTCACATGCTTAGTCACGTGCCAGGCACCGAAGGCTTCAATCGTTACAGGCAGTGTCAAATAGTTGACTATCAAAAACCAATGCTTTGTCGAAGGGTACTGACGCTTTCAGGTCGATTTATGATCACTCGAAGTGCAATAACCAGAAATAGGAATTGAATGCCAAGATAGGTGAAAGGGAAGCCATCATTACTCATCAAATCAATTATTACTATCTGGCTACATACTGCGCTAAAAGAGAGCACTTGAAGCACAATCATGATCAAGGCTTAGCACCAGCAGGCTTGACAGACGCCTGCTGAGCTGTATGCAGCAACCCCGGAGCCAAGGCACTGCGCTCATCAACTCCAGAGCCCTCGGCGTACCGTTCAACACTAGAGGCTCCTGTTAGCAATATACTCGTGGTCAGTTTGAAAACGAATGAACTCACAGGGATAACTCCGCAGCGAGAGTGTCGTTCCGAAATGCCTCGCGAATATCAGGCACGTTACTCTTGGCGACATTGTTACCAGCGACACCGGGCTCACTGCAATTATCACCAAGCCACCTCTTCTTCAAAGCAATTTCGAATCCACTCTGGTCGACGGAATGCTTGGCGAGTTCACACATGTCGACGGCACTGAATTTGTAGATCTGAGCGGCAACCGAGTATTCCTCGATCAGGGGTTCCTTCGTGAATGCGAATTGCAACGGGTCATCGGTTGACAGGGAGACATTGAGTCCACGCTTGAAGAAGCTGGCACATGGGTTCTTGTCGTAGGTGAGGAACAGGGCATTGTTACTCAGCGGAGACATGGCGATACCAATCTGGTGCAAGTAGTAAAGATATTGAAGCAGAGGGACCTTGCGCAGTAAGATGCCGTGACTGATACTATGGCACGCAAGGAAGCCCACGGCCAAATGGTCTGGGTCACCCGCTTCACCGCAGTGTGGCCGGAGCACGAACGTGTTGAACCCCCGGCGCTTCCGCCATTGGTTGAGGGACGCGATGTTGGCGAACATGAAGTACAGCCAGTAGCTGTAGGGGGGATTCTGCTTAGTATCCCAGTCTCGCGGGATGGGATACTTGCGGTAAAAGCGGCGCTCCGTTTTGCTTTCGTCATCGACACTGTCAAATCCAACGACGCGTTGCAGGAAGATGTGGAGCTTGGGATGGCTGGAAGGATCCTTGGTCACCTCAAACAGAGGTTGGAAAACATTGGTGATGACCTGTTCGAAGTTTTCCATCATACCGCTGGACTTGTAGACATCATAGAGACGGGGCACTTGAATCAACCAGCGGACGTTGGGGGAGAACAGTTTGTTGTCGACCACCCACGCGGCCAGCTTGTCCCACTCGTCGGGAGATCGTCCATAGATGGAGATTCGCCATTCGACCATTTGATATTTGCTGGACTCCAGATCGGAGATGACTTCTTTCGTAATCTCGGCCAGGTATCGGCCCTTGATGTAGTTGTCTGTCTTCAAGAAGATTTCACGGAGACGAGATTCGCCAACGGGGTTGTATTTGAGATTGAATTTGTCAAAGCGATGGAAAGAATCGGTGTGAGCCTGGGAGCGTGTTAGGGCCATATAAGATGGAACAGCGGATGGGGAAACATACGTGCATATCCAAGGTATCAATACTGAGATCGTAAGCAGTCAAGTTGATACTTTCAAATACTTCTCGCAGAGTCAGATGCTTCCCATCACGGAAGAGAACCACCTCATCGGGGGATTTGCGCATCTTGCTCTTGATAAAACGAAGCAAATGCTTCTGATTCATACACGCCGAGTGATGAACGTGAGTGTCGACCTTTCGGACGTTGTAAAAGTCACGGTGGGGGACTTTCTTGCTGTCTGCGACTTCCTGATATTCATTCAAGAGGGTGTACAGCTGATACTTGCCTTCCAAGTAGGAGAGACGCTTGAAGGCAAAGCTCTTGGCCGGTCCGTCCGTCGAGACATCCACCACGGCATCCAAATCCATGTAGAAGTCCCGCAACGAGGGGATGTGAACGGCAGGCTCTTTGGCGTCTTCCGACTCATAGACCTGGTAGACACTACTCCGGTCCAAACGGTATGTCCAATCCGATGGGCCGGGAACGGGCATCTGCTCTTCCAGATCGAAGTCTTCACCAATATCCTCGCCCATCTTTCTCTTCTTCTCATTTAAATCAGAGGAGCCCCCGGTGGTCCCCGGTTGGTATTCCTTACCATCGTCCCAAGCGGGCTCTGGCGGTGGTGGGTAGAGAACCCAGTCAGGTGCATCACGGGGATTATCTCCTGGTCGTTGGAGCGAAAGTTCCATATACTTGGTTCGACGATCCAAGAGACCCTTAATCTTGCGGTAGATCGAACTCAACTCGGAACTCACAGGATCACCACTTGGTGCGAACCCATTGGCACCTTGGGGGAGACCACCAATGCCGAGGCCATTCCCTTGGAGGCCTTCTGCCGCGGCGATGTGTGAAGTCTGGGCGGGACTGAACGTGGCTGCATGGCTTCGAGCGGCGAGATCTGCGGCCAGTTGGGCACTGTTGGGCTGAGTACCATCGCCGCCAGTCTGGGATACGGTAGAAGGATACCACTCTGCGTCAAGCATGATGGAGTTTCCTCGAGGGCGAGAGGAATCTCCGTGGAACGAGCTACTTCCTTCGTTGGACTCGACGATGGAGCTATTTGTGGGCACCGGGCTCACGGGGACACCTTGAGCGGTGTTCTCGCCCGATCCAGCTCCTGTCTTCGAGGCCTGTTGGTGATGTTGATAGAAGAGTTTTGCCTCAGCGTGACTCATAGACTTTTCATAGGCATAGTCGTAGGTTGCAGTCTTCTGTTGCTGGTCTCGAGGCCACAACTCGCCGTTATCATCCTGTGACGGGTCCGAGTCCTCGCGAGAAGGAGGGACGGTGGCCTCGTCGCCAGAGCTGAAGTAACGGGGGTATTCATCGTTGGGGGTGTTGGCATTTGAATCAAGACCAAGGTCGGGCCCGAGTCGAGTTGATCCCATGACTGTTGTTGATCGGTTGTGCGCCACCGGAGCGAATGGAGGGGGAGGGGAAGCGGTGGCTTTGTTTCAAGGGAGGGAATTGGAGGTGGTGAAGTATCGGATTATTGGATCATTGCGGGACGGGAGAATGGGAGCTGTAAAGTGAATATATATATCTGCAGTCGATAGGTATGTTATCTGCGATAATGATTTTTTTTGACCCTGTGATCCACACCGGTGAGCCTCGCAGGTCCAGATCGGGGTGGGGTGGAGCCGATCGGAGGGAATGTTTGGATGGATAGATTGATTGGGTATCAATGGGGGGGATCTTGATCTTGTTGATCTTTGTGGTGTTGTGATTGAGATTGAGTGTACGAGAACGATTAGGGATTTAGGGGAGAGAAGAGGAGAGAAGAAGAGGATGTTGATAGGAAGGAGTGGAAGTGCAAGTGGAAGTAGATAGGCAGGTGACTTAGCTATGGTAAGTGAGGAAGGAGCGGGACATGACGTCCCCGTGGCAGCAGCGACCCAGTCAACTCCCCCAATAAGGCAGTCACGGGCAGTGGGCAGTTCCACTCGCTCCTTCCATAACAACAACTTCCACTTCCACTTTCCCCAAGTCACTTGACTCGCCAACTTCAACTTCACCTTTACATCTCCCCACATTTGCATATCACCTACATACTCAGTGGACTATTTCACCCACTGTTCTACTTGACTACTCACAGGTATTGCCCATCCCCTGCAGCTACCTGCCCCTCACTGCACGAGGCATCATCATTTCCCCTCCACCTTCTGGAACAGGAACTGGAGCTGTGGCTGAGTCCGAGTCTGACTCTTGGGTGCCTAAACTGATGCTGATATACTTTTTGAACAGTAAAACAGTCAATCAACAACTTCTCTCGACTCTTTACTGGTGCAAATACTCGATTTCTCTTTCTCTTCCTCTCCCCTACTGCCACCATGGCATCTCTCAACCTCTCGACCAACGGTCCCTCCATCAACAAAAGCTACCAATCTGTTGTTAACGCCACTCTCCCATCCGGCTCTCCAACTTATGGTCAATGGGCCCTGTTCTCCGTCTCCGCCCCACTAGTCAATGCCTTTCAACAGGATGCCGGAAACAAAGAGAGTGTCCTGAAGGTCCAAACCACCGGAGGTGAGTGACCACAGCCGCCCATTGTGGCAATTCGAAGCCCACCGCAATTGTAATTGGAACACTGACTGATAGCAACCAGACGGTGAATTGGACGATCTCATCGAAGAGTTCTCCGAGGGTCGAGTTCAATTCGCCTACCTCAAGGTCATTGATCCCAACACCGGTCTGCCCAAGAATGTATTGATCGCCTGGTGCGGTGAGGGTGTCCCTGAGCGGACAAAGGGCTACTTCACCAGTCACCTGGCCAGTGTTTCCAAGTTCCTACATGTAAGAAACCAGGCGCCCGCATTTGTGGCGCATCCTTTCAATCTCATCGCCGAATCTCAGACTAACCATCTGCTCTCCGCTCAAATAGGGGTACCATGTGCAAATCACAGCTCGCGCCGATGGTGACCTGACCCCCCAGGGTATCATCCAACGGGTCGGAGATGCTTCGGGCTCCAAGTACTCGGCTTCATCACAGGGTCCCGCCGTAACTCCCGCTGCCAACCCCCGCCCTCCCGTCGCGACTAAACCCGCCTTCACCCCGTCCCGATCTGGCGGCATTTCCGTCCCAACTCCATCAGTCGCCCGCCCTTCCGTCTCATCAAATGTCGATGATGATGGCTGGGGTGCCGATGCTCCTCCCGTCACAAGATCTCAACTTGAAAAGGTCCAGCCAGCTTACCAACCTACCCGCGTGAACCTGCAGCAATTGAAGTCGGAGAACCAGGCCCCCGCCCCACGACAAGTCCCCACGGCTTCGGGAAGCGGTGCTGATGTGGTGGGTGGCGGCTACCAGCCCATCGGCAAGGTCGACATTGCGGCCATTCGGCGACAAGCAGCCGCGTCAGGTGAGACGAAGGATGATCGTCCTTCGATTGTGAAGGGGTCCTACGAGCCAGTGGGCAAGGTGGACATCGCGGCCATTCGGGCCAGAGCCCAGAAGCCCGAGGATGCCCCCGAGCCCACCAGAAGCCCTGCTCCTGTTCCTCAGAACGAGCCCGTGAACTTGCCCGTGCGACCGGCGGTGGTGGAGAGCTCTTCTGAGCGACTGACATCTTTGCCCAAGCCCAAGGTCGCCAACAAATTCGGAGGCGGCCCGTCGTTCGGTGGCACCAAGCCGCCTCTTCCTTCAGGATCCTCGGCCGCTGTTGCCCCCGCGCCTATCGGCAGCGCCAGCCGTACCTTTGCCGACCAGGGAGGCAAGACTCCGGCCCAGCTCTGGGCAGAACGCAAGGCCAAGGAGCGTGGTGAAGCTCCCGCTCCCGCTCCCTCCGCGGAACCATCGCAGCCCATCCAGAGCCAGGCCAGCGGTCAAAACGAGTGGAAGAGTTCTTACGCTGGCAAGTCTTGGGCTACCGTCCAGACCGTACAGGATCGGGCGGCCCCCGAAGTGGCTGATGTGCGAGCCAACGAGCCTGCTGAGTCGGCGCAACCTCCCTCTCACGTCCATGATGTTCGTGACCAGTTCGCCCCGGAGCCCTCGCAGCCCGCTCCTCCTCCCGTCCCCCAAGCCAATCGTCCCGTCCCAGCTCCCATTCCTGTTCCTATCCCGGTGCCTGGACTCCCTGCTGGGCCTACAGAGCCCACCGAGCCCGAGGAGGAAGAGCACGATCGTCAACAGGAGCTCCCTACTCCTCCCCCGCAACCGCGCTCCCCCACTCCCCCCCACACCTCCCGTCCGCGAGAGCTCCCCCATCCAAGTCGCGATGCCCGTTGGCCGCGGTGTTGAAGAGCCAGCCGTGGCAGATGCTCACGAGGAGCAGGACGCTCCTCCTCCCCCGATGCCCGTCCGGAGCCTGCAAGAGGCCATTCCTGACGAGAGAGATCTCGAGGAGACCCAAGACCTTGGCCGTGCCACCGCCGAAGCCACCGCTCCTGATCATTCCCAGGGCGGAATTCGGGCTCAGGTCCAATTCGACTACGAGAAGGCCGAGGACAACGAAATTGAACTCCGAGAGGGTGAGTTCGTGACGGAGATTGAGATGGTGGACAAAGATTGGTGGTTGGGTGTTAACGCTCGTGGAGAGCACGGTCTCTTCCCTGGAAACTATGTTGAGGTTGTGGAGGATGACGAGGCCGGTGCGGCTATCCATGAACATGCTCATGAGCCTGTCCGTGAACCTTCTCCCGAGCCTGAACCAGTTCATGTCCCTGCCCCCGCGCCTGTTCCCGCTGCTGTGCCCGCCCCACCCCCGTGGCACCAGCCAGCTCGAAGGGACAGACAGCGACTGCGCTCTATGATTATGAGGCAGCAGAAGACAACGAGATCAGTTTCCCCGAGAATGCGAAGATTCTGAACGTGGTAAGTGATTATATCTGCTCCCTTTTGCTTTACCCTGAAGCCCTAAAACTGACGTGTGACGTTAGGAATTCCCGGATGACGATTGGTGGCTTGGAGAGTACCATGGCAAACAGGGATTGTTCCTGCCAACTACGTCCAACTGGATTAGATATATTCTCTGTCCCTGTCACTCTGTCAATTCCCGTACGATTGTGCCTGTAAATAACTTAGCAATCAATAGCAATGCAATAGCAATGAATAGCTATCAATAAACAACAGTACTTCAAAACTAGTTATGACTACCCTAATAGTAGAGTCATTGAGTAGAGTGGGCCTCCCTCATCACGTGCCACCTACCATCAACACTTCAACTTCCCGCGACCTCCTCCGTTCATGCCGCGCGCGAGGGTCCCTTCATTTCTATTCCTTTCTTTTTCTTCCCTACTTCCCTGCCACTATCGCCCTATCCATCTCGGGCTTTTGGTCCTTTTTGTCCCTTCACTATGGCTGCGCTGGGCGAGGATCTGCTCGTCACTGTGAACAAGCTCCAGGACTTGGTCTTTAACACCATTGGCAATGATTCCCTCGATTTGCCGCAGATCGTGAGTGGATCCCTCCTGCAGAATTCATGTTTATATCACGCGAAAGAAGACACTCGTGTTGACTAACAATCACCTCTCAGGTTGTCGTCGGCTCCCAATCCTCCGGCAAGTCGTCCGTCTTGGAGAACATCGTCGGACGCGATTTTCTACCACGTGGAAGTGGCATCGTCACTCGTCGCCCTTTGATTCTCCAACTCATCAACATCCCGAGCGATCGCGACGATCAAGAACATGACGAGATCAATGTCCCTCACACCGCAGCCAGCGTGGCTGGTCACTCCGAATGGGCTGAATTCCACCACCAACCCGGCCGCAAGTTTGACGACTTCCTTCAGGTGAAGCAGGAAATCGAGGCCGAAACCGCTCGCATTGCTGGAAGTAACAAGGGCATCAACCGACAACCCATCAACCTCAAAATCTTCTCTCCTCATGTCCTCAACCTGACCCTGGTCGATCTGCCCGGTCTCACCAAGGTGCCCATTGGTGATCAACCATCCGACATTGAGAAACAGACGCGTACCCTGATCCTGGAATACATCGCCAAGCCCAACAGTATCATTCTTGCTGTTTCCCCGGCCAACGTCGACCTGGTGAACTCCGAGGCTTTGAAGCTGGCCCGACAAGTGGATGCCATGGGTCGGAGGACAATCGGTGTGCTGTCCAAGCTGGATCTCATGGACCACGGCACCAATGCGATGGATATTCTGTCCGGTCGCGTGTACCCGTTGAAGCTGGGCTTTATTGGTGTTGTCAACCGTTCTCAGCAGGATATCCAGTCTGGCAAGGAGCTCGCGGATGCCCTCCGAGCTGAGGCCGACTTCTTCCGCCACCACCCTGCCTATCGCAATATGGCCAACCGATGCGGAACACAGTACTTGGCCAAGACCCTTAACTCAACTCTGATGTCTCACATTCGGGACCGACTACCCGATATCAAGGCCCGCCTCAATACCTTGATGGGACAGACCCAACAGGAATTGGCGAGCTACGGCAACAAGCAGTTCAGTGGACCGGAACACCGTGGATCCTTGATTCTGCAGCTTATGACCCGGTTCGCATCGTCTTTCATCTCATCCATTGACGGAACCTCTTCCGAAATCTCGACCAAGGAGCTCTGCGGTGGAGCTCGGATCTACTACATTTTCAACGAAGTCTTCGGAAACTCCCTCGAAACCATCGACCCTACCCACAACCTGACCGTGTCGGATATCCGCACCGCCATCCGCAACTCCACCGGTCCTCGACCCAGTCTGTTCGTTCCAGAACTTGCATTCGACCTGCTAGTCAAGCCCCAAATCAAGCTCCTAGAGTCCCCCGCCCAGCGCTGCGTCGAGCTCGTCTACGAAGAGCTCATCAAGATCTGCCACACATGCGGCTCGCAAGAACTTGTTCGCTTCCCTCGCCTCCAAGGCAAGCTCATCGAAGTGGTCTCCGACCTCCTCCGCGAGCGTCTGGGCCCTTGCTCAGGCTACGTCGAATCACTGATCTCCATTCAACGAGCCTACATCAACACAAACCACCCCAACTTCCCTGGCGCCGCAGCAGCCATGGCCTCAATCATCCAGAACAAGCAAGAAGAAGAGCGCAAAGCCGTTTTAGCCGAGGAAAAGCGCAAGCGCGAAAAGCGACGCATGAAGGAACTCGGCGCCGCGAACGGGACTGCCAACCCGGAAGAAGAGGACGCCCAGTCTGAGAAGAACCACCTTCCCATCCGCAGTCAGTCGTCAAAGGGAGGACGCAGCTTGTCCCCCAATGTAGGCCGCGGTGCAGAGAACGGCATCGCAGCGACATTGAACGGCACTTATGGACAGAACCACGCGACTGGTTTCGGTGGTCAACCTTCTACCCGTGACTCATTCTTGAATTACTTCTTCAGCAATGGTGGTGCAGGCGGTACCAGTACCGGCACGCCCGTGTCCACCCGCTCAGCGCACTCCGTCGAGCCAACTATCAGTCAAAGCCTCCGTCGCTCCGAAATGCGGTCTCCACCAATGCAGGCTGAAGAGTATCCGGCTCCGATAGATTATGGAGCTGATGGATCCAGCTTCGTACGTTCATTTCCTCCCCCCTTTCCAGCCTGAATCAAACTAACAACATCAGCCCCACGAAAACGCCGAACCAACCCTCACAGACCGAGAAGTCCTCGAAACAGAACTAATCCGCCGCCTAATCTCCTCCTACTTCCACATTGTCCGCGAAACCATCGCCGACCAAGTCCCCAAAGCAATCATGCACCTTCTAGTAAACCACAGCAAAGACGTCGTTCAGAACCGCCTCGTCAGCGAATTGTACAAGGAAGATCTCTTCGGCGAATTGCTGTACGAGGACGACGGGATCAAGGCCGAGAGAGAGAAGTGTGAGAAATTGTTGGAGACGTATAAGGAGGCCGCTAAGATTGTGGGTGAGGTTTTATAAGGTCTTCACCAGCCTTTTGTGTTTTCAATAGGGGGACGTTGGATTGATGGTTGTGCTATTTTATTATCTTGATTGCGTGGGTTGTATGTACAATTATGGGGCTGATGCACATGCTCGTGATATACCGTTTCTTCGAGTTCCAGTGTCTTGTTTTGAATTATCTTGTAGAACATGAATTGATGGTTCCAACAAGGGATGTCATTGTATCCGCCCGGTTTACTCTACATCATCGGACCCTGGAATAGACTCAGAGTATCTAGATACGAGTGTGCCCTGTTTAGAAATCGGTGAATTCAGTCTAACAAGACACAGTGCAACCACACGCCCGTCTATCATACCCAATTCCAATTCCAAGTTGGAATCGAATGTCTCTTTTGATTTGATGCATCCGATCGGGCGATCATATTGCCACCCTCGCGGCTTGCCACCCCCTTCATCTCATACAAGTAAATTTAAAGGTGTAGAATATGGTCTCAACTGTGCCTATCTCCAGTTTGGGTTGCTAGATGGTTAATTGAAGGGTAATGAAGTATCACAAATTAGTACACGTTTCTCTCGGTGTGCCAATACCTGGAGGCATGTGGTCAAACTTGAACACCTTGTATAGGACATTGTGTGACAATTAAATAGTTAGATACGATCTATGGCACTACCTAGGTAGAAAGCCATTTTCTTTCTTTATAAGGGAGAACAGGAGAAGAAATCGAGTTGGAATTGAATTCATTCAAACATCACAACTGAAAACGAAGCGTTGTATCCATGCTCGACAACGAACGCCACAGCAAAATGCCGATCATCCAGTCAATGAAGCACTCGTCCAATCCTGCAGTCAAATTGACTTTTGGATTCTTCAACGCAATCCTGAAATTCCTTACATCAATCTCAGACATCTTCCTATTTGTGTTGAGCCTCAAGGTGTTTCCGCTGGCCTGGCATGTAAGCATAAGCACCCAACCATATCAGGCAAAAACTACCTTGGTATTGATATTAAGCTACACAAGGCCAGAAGCTACTACTCTTTCATCTTTCGGAACAAATTCAACAATCGCCCCGTCCCGCTTAGTACATTTCACAAACCCACCATCTTCCAACCAACAATATGGACATCAAACACACCACTAGGCGAAATAGACATAATGGGCCACAAAACCAACTCAACCTACGCAACAGACTTCGACGTCGCGCGAAATTACCACATCTGCTCCCTTTTCCGAACAGGCATGAAATCCTGGGGCGATCTATCATTCATCAATCCCCAAACCCGCGACACTGGCACCAGCACCAGCACGGATTTCAGTACGGGATTATTTTATCCCGCACTCGCAGGCGTGAATTTCACATTTCACAAAGCCATTCGGCCCCGACAAAAGTACGAAATATGTACCCGTGTGCTATCTTGGGATGAGAAGTGGCTACATCTGATTTCACACTTCGTAGAGAGGGGCACTTGCAAGGCTGTACACTTCAGTGATCAAAATGGCCAACCTGATCCGGAAAGGGATACTGGTATTGCGGATTCACGGGATCATGGTCAGCTTGAAGAGGGAAGTCCCCGCGCTGTTATATTTGCTACTGCGATGGCGAAGATTGTTTTCAAAAAGGGGAGGAAAACGATTTCTCCATCTCGGTTCTTGGGTGATTGTGGTCTTCTTCCTCAGCAGGACGGTGATTGGAAGGTTCCAGTTCAGGAATCGGTTAATCAGCCTCGTGACGAGAATGAAAAGGATCATGAGAATATGGCCAACTTGAAGATTGGCGAGACTATTGAAAGGATGAGAGCTGATGGATATCGTCTATCTGAGCATTTGAACAGCCTCGAAGACGGATATTCTTTTTACAATGTGAATGAGAGTGTATACTTTTCCAAGTGTTGAGTGGGACTCGGAGGGAGCATTGGGTTTCCCTCGACTTCAAATTTGACTTAACTTGGTTTGCATATCCACTGGCATGGCCCACTGGCAGTTTCAAGTTCTTTCCAAGGTTTGATGACCAAAGTTCAAAACTGTAAAGCCCTACCTCCAGGGCTGGGAATTCATATATAGTCACAATAATTTGATATTTTCTTGGAATCATTCAAGTTCCTCTTCCGTTCCGTCAACCTTGGAAAGACTCGGAAATTCATGTTCACTGTGCGATGATTACTTTGCGCTTATTGAGTGTCTCTGCTGACAGAAACAGCTCATATTTTGTTGCCAAAACCCCCCTATACGCCTTGACCAATGTCGGAAGGGCTTTAAACGTGCGTGTTGAACAGGTAAATATCATTGAATATTGCCGTGTTTCCTTTTTATCCACTTTATGCGTGCTACACACGAGGGCCTTGCGCCATGACCTAGATGGCTTTGCTCGAAACACCTCCCCTAGGCGGCCTCTCGACGACCAGGGAGGCAGCTGGCGAATTAAAAAAAGGGCTCACTATATTATGAATGGGAATGCTTAATCATACTAATCACTGTCTAGTACGAAATTCAGATTGAAATCAACAAGGGGTATAGATCATACTAGTAGGGTAATATACTCGATTACCCTGGTTCTCCATATGGGATACGTAAGTGAGATAGTTAATAGGTTATTAAACCTAGCAAGCAAGAAAGTAATTTCTCAAGGATCCTGTTATAATAGTAAAATCTAAGTTCTACCCCAAGTTTCCCTATTTATTTGATATTTGATCAGTCATCAAATACAACCGGAATTCTATCCGCGACTCCCCGGTCTCGTTCTCAGCGGCGTTGTGGTTCCCGCTCGTTGAAGTTTGCCCCGCACATTACATCTTCCTCGGATATTCCAGTGGGCCGTCAGGATGGAGAAGCCCCGAAATAACTCCAGCTTAGCCATTGCGCTTGATTGTCTCCAGTGCTGCCGAGCCCGAGTCCGAGTCCCTATATATACAGCCGGATATACCCCATGCCACTGCTGGACGAGGTCCATACTGATAGACATTCCGAGTCATTCGCCATAAACAAAGTTGGAATTTTTTTAAAAGTTTCTCGACACTCAACCTTGGAACGAACCCATCCCACCGGCCTTTAACAACCAAAGACCTCGATATACATCCATGATGGGGGTCGAAAGCACAATGAAATCTGTTGGGTCGGAGCTCGCGGCGGTGTTGCCTCAGGGCAATGGCGCTTGGTTCATGCAGCCCCATCTACGGTCCCTCAACTACTTTCTTTTTTCCATGATCATACTTTCCTCAGCAAACGGGTATGATGGTTCTCTAATGAACGGAATCCAGGCTCTTCCCCAGTGGAATCGCTTTATGAATCAACCTTCCGGCTCCTGGCTCGGGTTTATCAATGCTGCCCAGAGTCTGGGCTCAATCTGCTCTTTGCCCGTTATAGCGTGGTCTGCCAATAAGTTCGGACGAAAGAAAACTCTTTTCGTTGGCTACTTCTGGCTTTCTGTAGGGGCTGGGTTGCAGACAGGGGCGCGAAGTCCAACTATGTTCCTCCTTGGACGACTCTCTGTCGGCGCAGTGACAACCTTCTTTTCGATGCCCGCGGCGCTCCTTATCACAGAAACGTCATATCCTACACATCGAGGCATTGCAACCTCTCTGTATAACACAGGATGGTATATCGGTTAGTTTGTTCGACTATCTCGGCACAAATACGTTGTCTAACTGATCAAAACATTCTAGGCTCGACCGTCGCAGCATGGGCCACATTTGCATCACGCGACTATGTTGGCAATCAGGCTAATTGGGCATGGCGCATTCCCTCGATCCTTCAATTGCTTATTCCACTCTGTGCTCTCCCTGGACTTCTTATGGCACCCGAATCTCCTCGTTGGCTGACCGCCGTTGGTCGCCCGGATGAGGCCCGTGCTATTCTTACAAAGTACCATGCCGGAGGCGACGCAGATTCTCCACTAGTGACGTTCGAGATGTCCGAGATTTCCAGTGCGATAGAGAGTGAGCGACTAAACCGGAATTCCACATCCTGGCTTGACCTTGTACGAACCAAGGGAAACAGGCACCGCTTTCTCATTTCGGTTACGATAGGCATATTCAGTCAATGGAACGGCGTGGGTATTGTCTCCTACTATCTTGCACCAACTTTAGCCGCCGTTGGAATCAACTCAGTCACTCAGCAAACCCTCATATCAGGCTTTCTGCAGATCTGGAACTTGATTTTTGCCGTGCTGGCAGCATTCACAGTTGACCGACTGGGACGGCGACCATTGTTTCTAATTTCCTGCTTTGGCATGTTGACATGTTATATCGTCATATCTGGTCTCTCTGGGTCGTTCGATAAAACCGGAGCGGCAAATGTAGGTGTTGCTGTTGTCCCATTTATCTTCATCTACTACGCATTCTACGACGTCGCTTTCACGCCACTTCTGTATGGCTACACTTGCGAAATTTGGCCGGTAAGAAATCTTCGTATCTTTTATGATGAACTGTTTGAGATATCTGCTTGCTAACAACTTCATTTTGGCAGTATGAGCTTCGTGCGCGCGGTATAGCGTCAATGAATATCTCAACTCAAACCGCCCTCTTTTTCAACATCTTTGTCAATCCTATTGCCCTTGAAGCCATCGCTTGGAAATACTATCTTGTTTACGTTGGCCTATTGGTGATAATTACAAGCACGATCTATCTATTCTACCCAGAGACAAACGGTCACAGCCTGGAAGAGATGGTGCATGTTTTTGACGGCGAGGATGCTGTACCCGCTCACTCGGTTTTCGGATTTGCCGGGGATGAAAAGACAGGCGCAGTTTTGCAGGTTGAAAATGCTTAGCTGCTAAATCATGGACTAGTCAAGGAAGCTGGGATGGGTGTAACGTACCAGATGGTTGTTACTATTGTCATGGCGCTGGTGCCTTGGCCGGGTGGTACACACTCCGGCAGCATCTGTTCTTAGTTTCTTTCGCCTCTTCATCTTCATCTTCGTTTCCTCAATCTGATTAATTTTGTTTTCTGATACTACACGCCATTTTTAGCGTCGGACCTGCGCTTTTCGTAGGGGGGGTTTCTGTCCCGAGGTTCTATCGATTGAATCAGCTAGTAATGGCAATTCAGGGGAAATGGTATTGTTGAAAACCGCCCAGGTCAAACTCCAGAAATATACCTAGGTAAGCATTAATTCGACCTTTGAAACCCTGGAACTTCCAAGGGGTGAGCCCTAGACTTGGCGATAGTCAGGTAGGTATCTCCCAATTAAACACTGATTTACGCTCCTACTGGTATGTTATCACTGCATCATTTCCCTTCATTATATTATTATCACTTCGTGGTCATAGGTGTGCTGATTGCGACATTTCCATCCGAAGGTTACTGATCATCGATATCCTATTAGTAATAGCCCCAGGGACATTACGGCACCCTGGGGTTTCAATATCCATGGATGAATAGGTGAACCGAATTGTGATGAGATTATTATGTTACATGAATTTGCTGAAAATACTAGTAGTACCTTCTAGTAGTAAATTCTACATCATGACGGCCCCATCTCACTTTCACGCGATACCACTGCCCAGGTGTAATGAGACATAAGTATCATAAGACGAAAATTGAGGATTGAGAAATATAACATGTTTCTCCACCTAGCTGACACCCCCACCGAGATGCCAGCCCTATGAAATGCATTGAATATGAAAATTACAACTTCATATATCTCAACAGCGGAGCTTTCCTTTTTATTATGAATCATAATATATATTTTTATTAGAGTAAAGAATAAAACGTGGGAAAGAAAATTGATTTGGATAATTATTTGGTAGTATTACAAAAAATACCCTGTAATCTGTATAACTCAGAGAAAAATATATTTCCTGGGTATCTATATTTTAAAAATATCTCTTTACTCTAAAACCTTGGAGACTAATAAGTAATACTATGTAGAGTATATTCTACCTTTAGATAAACTCCTAGATAGAAACTTGTTGAGTTATAAAGTTGTAATTTATCATATTTACTATGTGTTTCGGGGCTGTCAGCTCGGTGGTGAAACACGTTAATACATAGTATCTAGGACTAGATCGCCATCAAGTGCTGTTCGTGCGATCAGCCTTCAAGATCATAGCGTATAACTCTATATCGTCCCTCGCATCTGCGACTGTTGTCTTGGGGGTTCCTCCACTCAGGACACATTCATAAAACGTCTGAAATTCCAAAGTGTACGCATCCTCGTACGTGGGTCGTATCACTCGCTCCTGAAAGCCGCTACGGCCAAAACTTCCTTCAACCTTCTCCCGGATAGTTAAAGTGGTTGGCAACCCCTTTATGTACGGGGAATCGTAGTTGATCCGAATTGTCTTGTCGTCGGAGAAGACTTCGATGCAGCAGTCGAAGGCGGGTATGTTATTGAATCCAGATTCATATGTAACAGGAAACCCATCGTACTGAAATAGTGCGGTCCAGATGCCTGGAGGTGCAGCTGAGGTAGCTAAACAGCTCTTAGGCATGCCGAGCAATTCCCGCATTGCAGAAAGATCATGGCTTCCCAGACTGTTGAAAAAATGTCAGTCGTTCTGTGCTTTCGAGTCGGTATACTTTGCTTGATCCGAGTCTTGACTCACCCCCCCTAGCAACCTCAACATAAACTTGGATGATGGTGTTGCCTCCACGTCAAACTCCTTCGTCAAAGCTTGCTCAAACATGTCCTCTTTCCGCTCATTTAGCTCATCGATATCATCCTTGGAAATATCATCAAACCTTCGAGGGAAGGTACCAGATTGATCCACAAAGTCGGAGTTGGGACCAATAATGTCGCGAACTCGAGCGTACCGTATGTTTTTAATTTCCTTTACCTCCTTCACAGCTTCCAGAAAGGCTAATGAGTATCTTCTCATATAACCCACGAAAACCTTACCCTTGGAGGATGATTCGGCCTTTGAAAGGATATCGATATCTCGGTAGTTAAGAGCTGCAGGCTTCTCTAGCAAGCAGTACTTGTCATACTTCAAAGCAAGGATTGCGTGAGAGACGTGGAAGGCATCTGCGGTAGCAATGATGACAACATCAACGTCTTCCGAGGAGCAAAGTGTATCAGCATCTGTTGTCGTCTTGGGTGACCCTGGGGCTACTTTGGCGGCACAGTGCAAGAGGGCCTGCTGAGAGACATCACAGAGGTAGGTTGTGACAAATTTATCCGACATGTGATTGAGGTTAGGAATGTGAGCCACTTGCGAGATTTCCCCGCACCCAATTAGACCAACGCGGAGGATTGGTTTCGCGGTGCCGTTGGCTTTGTTGACTGTCATGGCTGCGGACAAAGATCAAGTTGAGCAATGTGGAATATCAATGAAAGAGCTTCAGGAAAAAGAAAAGACGAGGATGGGGTTGAACTCGCAGGATCTCGTGGCCATATCGATTTAATCACAATGCCTTATATAATATTAGCGTATCAAAAAAGCCCACGCAGCGTTGAGACATTATTGGTGGTACTTTCAAGTTGGATGTGTGACAGAGTGAAGTGGGACCTTGATGGGGAGTTCCGGATAGAAAATACCAAGGTCTGAGGAATGATCGACCCACCTCTAACCAATTACAACTCATTTCTGTTTGTCAGTGCCGAGAGCTGAAGTGAATTGCCAAGACTTTCCTCCACAATCCTGCGGCAAAGAATCCGTAACTCCCCGGCTGAACATCACAGTTCACATCTATCCCCAGCCCCCAGCTTCCGAGCTTCCCCTGTCTAGCAAAACCATCCGCCAGCTGAAGTGACTGGGTTTACTTCCGATTTGCTCTCTGCTTCATTTTCCGGGCAGTATGCACCAAAATGGATCCTCCGCCAACCCCGCGTCAAGACTCCAATGCCAAAAAACGATCGACGCCGGATACTTCCCGGGAATTCTACCCACGCAAAAGAGCCCTAGTAGCCTGCGAGGTATGCCGTAGGAAAAAGGCCAAGTGCGATAACGAAAAGCCGGCTTGTGCGACATGCCGTGACCTCGGCATTGACTGCGTCTACCGTGAGAAGCGGTCCGATCACTCAACGTGAGCCTCCTTTCAACCTGGAATTAACAGCTACTATACTCGGCAGCGAGCTTAAAGAACCCCAGATATGATTTGGCCAGTCTCGAAATTCTGGATAAGATTGGGAATGTGACAAAACTTTTGGAAACACAGAGTCTCCAGATATCGGAGCTAATATCTGACTTCCTCGCTGCCCAAAACACTCCAACTACACTTCCCCCTCAAGTCTCTGTTAGCAACAATGAAGAGTTAAATGCGCCTGGCTTTCCATCAGTCCAGAATTCTGGTGTTTCCGAAGACATCAATCGTCGCTGGTCCGGACCTCTTGACGAAGCTACCTTACTCTTGGAGTCACTCACCGTTGCAGAAAAATATACCGGGACGTGTGAGGATTTACTGGAATGGCCTATCTTTGAAGCTCAACACGATCGCTCTGAAATAGAGATCTTGATTCTCAACCCATCTCTAGCCCGCGAGGGTCAAGAAAGGGCCCAGGGATTATCTATTGCCGCCGATCCAGACAGACGATCTGGTTATGACCGGGGAATCCGGGAAGAGGACGTTCCGAGGCTCCTTGATCGCTTCCTGGCCAACGTGCACATCAAGAATCCTATTCTAGATACGAATTACATCATACGCGTTGGAAAGAATATTGCTGAAAATGGATTCGAGTGGGATGCCCCATCATGTCTCGTGGTATGGAATCTTATTTGCTTTTCCCGAGTTATCTCGAAGGGTGCTATAACTAAATCCTATCCATCAAGCTAATCGCAAGTGCTTTGGGGCGTCTCTCCTCATCATTCACGCCTGAACATATTGTTTCCCATCAAACATCATCAAATAGTATCGATGATGCTGGTGAATATTCCACAGCAGAAAGCTACTACGTCGCTGGCCAAAAGCGAATTGGCCTGCTCGAAACCTCAATCATCGCCTCCCAATGCTACTTTCTATCTGGCGTCTACGAGATGTATTCCCTGAGACCATTGCGGGCCTGGTCATCGTTTAACCGGGCCTGTGTTATGCTTCAGACCTATCTCAAAATGAAGTTAAAGACAAGTGAAAGTCCTGCCGAGGAGCGACTGGAACGCCGTCTTTACTGGTCATGCTTAAAATCCGAGTGGTAAGTAAAAACTTCGTCGCTCACTTGGGTATATGAGATACTCGGTATCAATCTCCATACTAACGTAAAACCTGAATTAGTGAGATACGACTGGAGATATGTCTTCCACCATCTGGTCTCTCCACGATAAACTATCCAGATGCGCTCCCAACCCCTCCCGGCGGTGATCCAAATTTACTCCCCGGTGGCTTAAGCGGTGATCCCGATAGTCACACCCCGGGGTTGAGTGCAGAGCTGGAGCAGAGCTGGTTCTATTACCTTTCCGACATCGCTGTTCGTCGAATCGCAAACCGGATAGTCAATACCTTCTACCAGGGCAATGCAAGCATGTGGTTATCGATACCCATTGACAGAATGACCCACGCGGCAACTGAGCTAGAGCTTCAGTTAGTGCAATGGTAATCATTTCCCAATATCCATGTTCTATCTACAAATCAATTCTCACATACCACCTCATAGGCAAGAGGCTATTCCTGATGCCATGGCTCCATCGACTGCTATATCCCCAGATGTCCACTCCGAGGCGCTCTGGCTTGTTCAGCGTCGAGTGCCAGAGCTTCGCTTACTCCTCTACCGCCCATTTCTCTACCTTGCAATCCATCAATCACCATCGTGGCCACACCATACTGTGATCATACCTTATGTTGAAATTTGTCTCGACGGCTGCATCAAAGGAGCGCTCCAGGGGGTCCAGCGCCATCGCCACCACGGGACTTGGTATGTGAACCGGATTGTATTTTCCTGTGCCTTGATGATTCTTGCCGCCGTTAAGAGTCGTCGTGTGGATGTTCCCACTACTTGGCAAACAGCTGTACATACTGCTATAGCTGGGTTGTCATTTTGGGAGAAGGAGGCGCCAGATTTGGGAAAGGGAAGAGTCATATTACAAACAATCCTTTGCAGTATTGACAAGATCGATGTTGAAACGACCACAACATAGACAGTTGAATGATGACATTTCATGAAGTTTTAGTATTGGCGCTTTTCTTTTATTGTGTGCAAAATTGTCATTGACTGCCCAGGTGGTTCATGGCTTCAAATTCAATGCATTGCAAATCATACTCCGTAGTACGCAGTTGAAAACACCCTAAGTGTAATCGCGTAGAGCAGCGAAGGTCGTGAATGTCCACGAAAATATAACTAAGCTTAACAGCAGCTTATACTATAACTGCAGCACTGAGAGAAAGACCTCAGTCATGACTACCCAGGTGAGAATGCCAATACGAGGCTTCATTTGATATTCATTTTCAAGCTTCGGTCAAAAAGCCCAAAGCTTACAACTTGCTTTCACATGTAAATGTTTCCCAATTAAATTATTGAATAAAGACAGTTCCGCGATTGATCTCTAGTCACATGAATACCTAGCTCCCCCTTGACGCCTGACCTCGTCCAAAATTTCTAGGACCCGTATAGTCTCTCCCCAAGGCATAATCTCATTCTCAGTGCGACCTTCCGAAATATCAATTGCGACCGCATCCGCTTCCCAGTAAAAGCCCATGCCGGGCTTATCGAAAATGAAAGTTCTGGCCTCAGCTGTGGCATCCCCATCCCGAGCTTTTGAGTGAACTGTGAATTTCTCTGGGACTGAAGTACCAGGTCCTTCGAGAATAATGAAACCTTCTGTTCCTTCTATGCGACAAAACTGGGGAGCTGTTGCGAAAGACAAGGAAGATGTAACAATGGACTGAACCCCATTGGGGTAGCTAAGAATAGCCGAGGTCGCAACATCAGCGCCGTTGGCCAGTTTTTGCGACGCAAGTATGCTTGGCATCTGCGCTTTACTCGCGATATTTGGGTCCGCCGCCAGAAGACCCCAGGTCAGGGAGTATATTCCTATATCAAGCAACGACCCGGCGCCAAGATCTGGGTTCTTCAGCCTGGAATCATCTGGCAGAGAATCAATATCCATGTCCAGAGAAAAGTCACAAAATACACGCTGGACGCGACCGATGACATTCTCCTCGTGGATCTTCACCTGCAGATCGCGCATAAGTGGGAAGAAGCGCGTCCACATGGCCTCCATGACAAAGACATCTCGATCTTTCGCAGCGGCAAAAACTTCGCGTGCCTGGGACGCATTGAGAGTGAAAGCTTTCTCGCATAACACATGTTTTCCGTGGGCGATGGCATCGAGACAATTGCGTACGTGGAAGGCGTGTGGTGTCCCGATGTAGACTATATCAACAGAAGGGTCGGCATAGACTTCCTGATAGCTGCCGTAAATGGAGGGTGGTTCTTGGGGACAATATTGTTGCGCGAAGACCTGTCCCTTCTCCCGAGACGAAGAACCGATGGCTTTGATAATATGCCGTGCCTTTGCATCGGGCCGATCGAGAACCAAGTCTTTGACAAACCATGAAGAGATCAGTCCCGTTGCAATAATTCCCCAGCGAAGGGTTGGCAGATCGGGAGCGGGCATAGCGGACATTGTTAAAAGGAGCAGAATGAAGGGGTCGAAGAGCGGGCTTTTTGGAGAATACGATACCTGTACTACCGGTTCTTTTTTTCTTTTCTTCTTATACTGTGAACCCGACGAGCGCCAATGGCTTGGAGCTCCAGCTGATATTTTTCATCATGACTCCACTTCCATGAATTAGTTAGTTAACGTGGCCGGGGAGTGTCGGCCCCACACGGGGAGTCACGGAGAAGCTAATCGCCCCAACTTCTTCAGTGCACAAGGTCTGGGGTAAGCAAGTCCTGTGCGGGGTCTCTACTACTCCGTGCATCCAAAGACTGCAGCACTAGTACTGATGGATGATGGGAACCAGGAAACGGTACATGTATACGAATGTCTAGGAAAGAGTGTGTGTGTGAGGCTCGGAAGGCGAGGTGAAGTGCCTGGAGTGCTGCCTAAGGCCTACACCCCACCAAGTAACGTAATTCCCGGCCGACCTGCGCACCCCAAAACACATAGTAAATGCAATAAATTACCACTTCATATCTCAACAAACATATCTGTTTATGATAAGATATGAGAGTAATATAATCTAGGCAGTATTTCTAACCTGCTAGCGAGGTATGAGGAAATTATAGAAACTAGTAATAGAGATATGTATATTTCTATCACCCATGTCAAAATTACGCTGTATGATATGGTAAAGCGCCGAAATAACCTTCTGAATTGGTTAAAACTAAGATATGTTATTTCATATGATAGGAAAAGCCTGTATTCGTATGATCAAGTAAAAATAATCCATGGTTGTTGAGATATAAAGTGTTAATTTATTGCATTTACTATGTGTTTTGGGGTGCGTAGGTCGACCGGGAATTACGTTACGTGATCTGTTTTCAGAGCTTTGGGAAACGGGATATGATGAAGTAATTAATTGTGCCATGTCTTCGAGCGGGCCTCTGCTATCGCTCGTGTATTTTTTTCATGTACGATCTTTACACATGAAATTGTGCGTTAGTAAGTTTACGATTGAAGCATACTGGAAGTGTGCTCATTCTTGATTTATATGAATACGATTCCTGTTATGTAGGTAAATGGAGCAAAATAAGTTGAGTTCTTCCACATATCAACTTAGAAGATTTGCCCAAGCAACGCTTCGTCAATTCGTCAACAACCGTAGCTGGCAGAAGCTTATAGCAGGCCCACTCCGAATCAGTTCGATACTATCAATAACCTGATTAAGTTGTCTTATACCAATAGCCTAATCAAGCTGTGTCCGGTGTAGCTGCAGTTGTGATTGGGTACAAGCTGCAGTGAGATTTTGTGCCTGTTCCAATCAGGTCTGGTTCGCTTGTAAGCGAGATTCCCGCGGTAGTTTCGGCTAACCTGTTTTAGCAATCCTTACGACACTGTGCATCTGTAGCTTCCAAGAAAACGCAAGGAGAGAAGGTGGTGGTGGTACAGATAATAGAGGAAAAATAAAAGAACTCCGAAAAGATCCAAAAATTGTTGCAAGACAATATATCTCCTGTTGTTTATTCTTTGTCGGCCTGCAACTTTGGAAATACTAGTCTCATGGCTTCTTCGACAACAGTCCTTTTCATCCCTGGCGCGTGGCACAGCCCTCTATGCTTCGATGCAGTCATTAAAGGGTTACAAAACGACAGATACAATACCGACGTTGTTCACTTGCCCTCTGTTGACCCGGTCATACCCCATTCGGATTTCGCGGATGATGTGTCTCAGATCAAGAAGCAGATCGAGATTGCCGCTAGCGCTGGGCAAAGAGTGATTGTGGTGGTTCATTCATACGGTGGAGTTCCAGGTTGCGAGGCAATCCGCGGCTTGGATTGGGAAACCCGTCAACTCAATGGTCAACCGGGGGGTGTTGTTCATCTTTTTTTTCTGCTGTTCCTTTATTGTCCCCGAGGGAAAATCCTTGATCAGTTCTTTCGGTGGTGAGGACCTTCCTTGGTTCAATGTTTCCCATGATCGTCTGCTTGTGACCCCGGCTACTCCCAGAGACACATTCTACAACGACATGACCGAAGTCGAAGCGAAGAAGGCTGCCGATGCATTAAAGCCACACAGCTATCAGACATTCCACAGTAAACTTACCTTCGAGGCTTGGAGATACGTGCCTTCCACGTATCTCTACTGTCTACAGGATGCGGCAATCCCGATTTTTATACAAAGGATGATGGTGGAAGAGGTCGCAAAAGGAGTCAGAATTCACACCGATGTTGTGGATGCATCGCACAGCCCCTTCTATACAGCTCCAACACAGGTGGTAGCTGCCATCAAAAAAGCGGACAATGAGCAAATCTGAATGATGTTCAGAGGCTTTATAAATTACACTTGAACTTCGTCTTGGTTTATTGTACATAGAATCCATCGATTGAACTCTATTGCGGTGCCCAAAGCTTAATTTCTTTATCTATGGCCGCCACAGTCATGGTGATGAGCCTGTAAACCACATTTTCGGAGACAGCCCCTTCTTAGTACACACATTTTACATTTGATATCTACGATGACCGTCACTCTTCCAAGCAGTACGACCGCCGATTGTTCTTCTTTTATGTGCAGCGGAGGAAGTTATGGAACGGGCTGTTGCATCCTTATACTAGTGAATGATTGGGGCCTGTTACCGGGAAACAATTCTAGGCATGGAAGCACATGTGCTCTAGAAAATTTCTCGATCAATCATCCGAGACCATCGGACCCAGGGGATGATGCGGCGCCTTGACATCGTCGCCGTGTGTCACCTTCTCCGCTTCTTGGATTAGAGCCTTTTTCAAGTTACCCTGCTACCAAATTGATCGAGGAACAATCAATCGGGACATAGCACTGCACTTTTGGCCCTGAAACTCGTATGCTGATCGTATAGCGGCCGAAGCTATCCAATCAGAGTCATCGCTGCAAGAGTTGTGAACGAGATGAAAGTTCGTGCCGCCACTATCGCCTACTATCCGCGGGAAACTTTTGTAGATATTGCTTTTGGCACCGATATCAGTAAAAGGGGCCCCCAAAACAGTAGATAATCCAGTATAATGAAGTCCAGTGAGATGCGGGCTGCCCAGGGCTGGCTTGACGATATTTGTCGGATCTGCCCGTGGCAAGAACTGGACGACACCTTTAGGTAGACCGGCCTCCTCTATTATTTGATATATGATATATTTAGAAAAGACCGCTATAGGTGAAGGCTTCTAAATAACAATATTTCCCAGAATTGTGGGGGTGAAGCTAATATGTGTTCTAAGAGCCGTGAAGTTGAAACGTGAGATGGCTAGCACAAAACCTTCCAGAGGTCGATAATCCAACTTATTAGTTGATGAGTTATATTACTTGATAGGCTGTTGATCGTATATTTGGGTGTAAAGGTAGACATGGAAATTGAGAGTGTTTATGAATTCGGCGACGCAGTGACTATTGGTCTGTCTGTAAGTCTTTCCTTCTCCGATTATAATTACTACTATAGGTTTCTAGTGATATTTGGGGTTTTCTACTAGTATTGTGGCTTTATAGCAGATGGCTGATCTATCTTTAAAATATATATTGGCCTATTTCTTTCTTGTCTCTAGTGTACTAGGAATAGCCTCTGTTTTGATAGTTTCTGAATCTACTTTGTGATACTGTGTGAGCGGGGCACTATGTTGATCTTAAGGATTTAGCTAGCTGCTTTTATGACTAGTATATATGTGTTTACTGTTGATATAATAGGGATTTAGTAATAGTACTTTTAAACCTTGTGAGGGCTGCTTTTAAGAGTTTTCTCTCTTGAGAATCATGGGGTATAGAAGGGCGGAGCTAAAGTTAGTTAAGTTTTTTGATTAGTGACTGCTTTGAGCACCGGGGATTGGATATATAAATAGTCTGCTCTAGATGGTTTCGGATACTGAGTAGTCGGTATTTTGTTAATAAGGACGGATATTTTGTAGAATCTAATTGTTGAAGGGGATATAAGTTGCTGAAAACAGGACTTGGAGTTTTTTGATATAGTAGGACTAAATTTATTATTTTAAGTAAGTCAAGAATTATCTTGGGCCGAGATGATATTAAAGAATCTCTTGGATTGAGGGGTGGTGAAATGAATCTCTATAATATTCAAATTTCGGTACCCTAGCTGATTGATATCACGGAAGTGTTATCCGAATGTTCTAAAACCCTATCATACTATGCCTGGTTATTAGAGAAGAAGTGTATTGAGTGGCCATGGACATTTTGATAGATGGAATCTAGCTTTTGGGCTTGTCTGAGAAGGATTGAATCAACTCCACGTAGGCCTACATTATTTGAAAGGCAATAGTCGATCAAGTGCTGTGTTATGTGTTCATAGAGTGCAAACTTGGATAAATAAGATTTACATCCATGGATGAAAGCATACCTAGAGGTATTCCTTCAATATCCATGGATCTTGGCACAGTCACTAGTAGGAGAAGATATGGATATCATGTACATGAAACATTCTATTACATCCTGTGTCACACTCTCCCCGTTCCGGGGTTTAGCTACCGCATTTCCGTCCCCAAGCCATTGTAAAGCCTGGGGATAATTATCTTGCCGGGTGGTAAAAATGAAACACAGCCTGGACCGCAAACATCGGGATCGTGTCAAAGATGTACATAAATACCTCGTGCTTCATCAGGTACCCGTCATTCCCTTGGCAAAATTCCACAATGCGATATAGACACCGAAAAATAATCAAACCCGAGACCGCAAATAAAACATAGAGTAAAGATCCATACGGCAAGCCACGCAGCGCAGTCTTGGTCTGCTGGACCCGCCGGCCAAATATAATCGAGATCGTGAGGAATGCTCCGAAGAAGATGAGTTGGATAAAAAGGCCAACGATGGTTATGATCTGTCCCATGTCCGCCATAGCGGAGTTCGCCATCATACCGCCGCCGGATGCCTGTGTCAGGAATGCGAGCACATCTCCGATCACAAAAATCTTGGTCACCTTTTGTGGCGACACAATGGACAGGTCCGGCTCTCCGGCATAGATAACGATTCGACCATATATCATATATATAGTAGCGGCGTAAAGAGAGGGTGGCAATAGGATGCAAACGTTTTGTCCGATATAGGGGCCCATAGCGGTCGTATCACCTGCTGAAGCGGTACGAAATACATAGCCCAAGGTCATCACTGTACGCGTGAGTTTAATTAGCGGGATCAACGTTGGTTACGCAATGGCCAACTCACTTATTGCCCCGACGATGAATGTTGTGAAGAAGTAACACTTCAACTTTATCATTTGAAAAACATGGTAGCCAGCACTAATTGCGTAGCAAATGAGTGCAATGATCGCTCCCGCCTTGCTGGGGCTGTAGTCATAGAAAGACCAGTCTGCCATGGTGAACGTAGGTAGTATCAGAAGACTGTCAACTTGAATATCAAACGCGAAGTCAACCAAATGAAATGAAGTAAAAGAAATGAATGAATGATTCAATGGAAGAGTTGATAAGCAAAAGAGCCTTGGAATGTCACGAAAGAGTTGTCGCGCTCTTGGAGAAATTCGACAGAAAGTCCCTATTATGTAGTGCTTAAGGCCCCTTGAGCCCTGGATTTTTATTTTTATTTTTAGTTCGCTGTTGCCACGTCTTATTTTCAACTTGATTTTAGTAGCTAAATTAGTAGCTAAACCCACCAAAGGGGAGGAAATTTAGGTCTATCTGGAAATATCCAATACCCATCCCTTAGTGTGTTTTGCATTGGCAAATCAAAAGGCTCACGTACCCGTACCTCTAGTGTGCCTGGCGGAGCGATGACCGCGCTGCCTCCTGACCAAAATCATTAAGGTTACGAGTACGTGCGGTCTCCGATTGGCCACTGGATTGGATCCACGGAAGGAAACAAAATTTACCTACACATGTGGGCTTAGTTAATTAGCGACGGGAAAGGCTGAGGGTCGCCAAGCACTTCCAGGGATATGGGGATCCACAGTCAAAAATGTATGTATACGATTACGTTGGCTACCTGATTGGCTGGATATAGTTTCAAAACCGATATATGAAGTGGGGCTTCACTGCTAGTTCAAAAGCTTTTACCACTCAATAGACTCCGCCACTCTTGAAAACGTGTATGCACGGAACAGACTGTCATACTGCCCAGCAGCTCAGGTATTTAGTGATCAAGAAAAATTCTTGCCTTTTGTTGGATTGGCATTTGAGGGGCGAATTATAACACAAGCTCGCAGTCAACATTTGGCTTAAAGACGCTCCACCTACCCCAAAAAATTAAGACATTACTTCCAATCTTTCATTATCACTCTTCCAACCTCATAAAATCGACTCTATCACTGTCTTCAAATCAAACTAAAACTTACTAACATCCTTGTTCTCGCTACGTCTTCTCAATTCTCTTTTCAAAATGGCGAAGTTAGAGCCAATGGCCAACGGCTACTACCTTTGGCATTATATTCCTTCAACAGCCGCCGGAGTGATCTTCACTGTACTTTTCTTTATGATTACAGCATTCCACTCATGGAAGTTATTCAAATCCAAGGCCTTCTTCACCCTTCCATTTGCCATTGGTGGGCTGTGTAAGTCTTTCCCATCTTTCAAGTTGCTAAATTGTCTCGACATGCTAACGATCTTGATTTTATAGTCGAAATCATCGGCTACGCTGCGCGAGTGGCTGCCCACGACAAGACTGGCGAGCTGATGCCCTATGTCATCCAGAGCATATTTCTCCTTCTCGCGCCGATCCTCTTCGCTGCCACCGTCTACATGGTTCTTGCACGCATTATCAGCAGCGTTAATGCGGAGCAATACTCCCCTATTCGCATTAAATGGGTGACAAAGATATTTGTCGGTTGTGATATCGTCACCTTCCTCATCCAAGGCAGTGGCGCCGGAATAATGGCCATAGGCAGCATGAGCACGACGGGGCAGAGCATTGTGCTAGCTGGTCTGATTTTGCAAATCATCACATTCGTCTTGTTCCTAGTCACGGCGATTGTGTTCGAAAAGCGCATGAAAGCGTGTTCTGCCACGGAAACTCCGCATGTTGGCTCGCCTTGGAAGAAGCATTTACTCAGCTTGTACGCAGTCAGTGCTATGATCCTGCTTCGCTCAGTTTTCCGTGTCATTGAATACGGATTGGGCAATGACGGGTACTTGCTGGCAAATGAATGGCCTACCTATGTTCTAGATGCAGTTCCCATGTTCATCGCTATGGTTTGTTTCGCTTATTGGTACCCGAGTGAGCTGCAGCCATCTTTGATTAAATCAGAGTCAGGGGCCGAGTTGGCTTCTGTGGGAGCAACACTGGAAGTTTAATTGAATTCAAGTGTAATTATTTAGGCGCCAAATTTGCTTCACTGATCTGTGCATATCAGCGGCAGGGTATATTGCTGCGCTTTTCCTTTCTTTGTTCTTCCGCTCAGCATATGGGCTATGTACTGGACGTTATGTTACTGTCTGAGTTGTTGGGTTTATGCTCGGAATTTTATGAAGGCAAGCGTTGGTTTTTGGCTTTTGATTTTTGGTCATTGGGTTTTTGTTCATGTCCGTTGATGCTATGTGTACGCAAGTGAAATGAAGAAAGACATTCCTAGCCCCCCTTGTTGAAAATTACATTCTACTTACTTCTCCGAGATGCGGAATTGGTTTGCTGGCTGGTACTAAATTTGCCCAACATAATCCGATGACTGATGAATTATTCTCAGATCAGTTGAACGATTTTGGGAGTGTATACACTATGATGTTAGATGATGCCATAATTGCGATGTTGTATGAATAGTTACTGGGGAAAATCAGGTGAACAATGAACAAAGTGATTCCGACCATGGTAAAGGGTCCCTATGTGAACACTCCTTCAGCTCATCATTAATGACTGAAAAATTCATAAAGACCTTTTGGCCAAGCAAGCCCTTGGCTTCTTTTCCAACTAATTACTTCATTTTTCACCTCATTCACATTCTATTGGGAAAACCACCAACCGAACCCCGATATATCGAGCCCACTCTAATTATGTTATGTTGACTTGAACAAATTTCCCTTATCAAGCATACTCAAGCCTAGCTTGTTTGGTTCACCTGCTGAAACGGCCATTCCAACCAGACTCCGAGAGAGGGATCTAGCTGTTCTTGTACTTCGCTGAGTAATTTGTTCGCCCATCCCCCAATCCAGTATTGTGGTTCTCCATATTTCAAAAGGACGCTTGAGTGAGCAAGAATCACTAGGGCAAAATGATCATGTTTTGCTAACATTTCCGCAAACTCATCGCTAGTTTGGCACATCCAAGCAAAAAACCCTATTTCCACCATCTTCGAGCACTCCACAAGCTGCTGAACAGCCACCATGTACGTAGAAAGATCCCTGTTGCCAATGTTTGTTGATCGGACATATCGCACAAATTCGTTGAGGTAGTTCTCAAAACATTTTATATCTCCCTTGCGAAATTGGCGGAGGAAAAGAGGGCTCAACACGCCGCTCTGTAGGTCATGCCAAGATGAGTCCATGATTGTTCGCACACCCCGTACGTGGACTGCCCAGTCTGCGATGGCTCCATTAGTCGCGTAGAGAACATTTTTACCATTGTTGGAGGCACCAAGTTCAAAGATAAATCCGAGACCAACACAAGCATATATCGCATGGCAGTTCGAAGGAGATATTGCCGAAAGAGCTGCGGACGAGGACCGTAGTGCTTCTTCATATTGTCGGTGTGCATATGAAAGATAAAATGGATCAGATGTTGTGCGAGATAGATGTAAGGCGGATATAGCGAAGATCATCCGCAAAAGAAATGTATGTGAAAAAGCGAGCCCGGGGGCATTTTGCTGCCATACATACTGTTGCTCAACCCGGTCGGATAGCGTGAGGTAGGTTGAAGTGGTAAAATGATGAAGAAGCTTAAAATCCGTTGTGTCAATGTCACTTGGAGGCTGCGGATGACTTGAAGACGATCTTGATGATATTGCAGGAGATGGCGCGCCTTCGCCTCTATCTTGAAGGGATAATTGAGATGGGCTGGGCTTTGGTGGCATCGGGACACTTGGTGCTGGAGGCTCCCGAAATTCACATTGGACCCTATGCTGAAGACAATTTGTGCACGCGGGCTTCCTTTCATCACACTGTGGATATCAGTTAGTAATGGTCTTTCAAGAGACAAATTGCGGGAAAATCGGGTATGTCAATCATAATTATATTTCATCATAGATAGAAATAAGAATCCACAGAAAAGATGGATACGATTTCGGGAATCAGATACTTTACCTTGATCCTACGCTTCTTACAGCTCACACAACCTGATCTCGACTTTTTGTGCGACCGTCGAGCCAGAGGCATTATGACTTAGTAGACACTGCAGAAGAATAGAGACCACTAGTTGCGGACAACAAATCAATCAAATAATATTCGATCGGAAATGAGGTGATCTTTGCCAAATCACATAGGTTTGCCACAGAGTTAAGATTGTTGAGAGAAAATGGCGGAAAACTAGGCGGAGTGTATGGCAAAATACTGGTGGGTACGGTGGATACAACCGCATGAACGCTAATTCCAACAGGATTAGTGGGTATTTTATTCTGACCGCCTAGAGGCGTACTAGTAGTACGTAGCGTTCAGCCGGTTGCATCTACCGAGCGCCGTACTGGGGGTTTACAGTGGCGTTACAATAGTTTGAACCACCTGGGCAGCAGAAAAAAAAGGTAATCAACTCCAGGGCCTGAAACCGATATCCTACTATGGGATTCATGTATTTTCAAGTTCCAAAATACATCACCATTAAGCTACAACCTTGGAAATCTTGTACTAGTACTATTAACTTGAATTCTTCAAATTACATCAGTTGCAACGGTGATTTGAGAGGAGTTCGAAGTTTCATAATGCCCATTGTTAATTACAGACGCCTGAATGGCTCCTTTCCACACTGAGAGATCAATCGATTGTTTCCATTGGGCATGACGAGAAGTTGTCTAAATCACATTACACGATAGAGTACCAACCTACATACTCCGTACTAGACCTGTACATGGGCCGGCCCATGGGCCAAAATTCGAATATCCGGCCCAATTGGGCCGGCCCATGGGTTTTCTTGGCGGCCCATGGGCTGGCCCATTTGGCCCATTTAGCCCCCAAATTTGCATAAATTATATGCAAGATATTCAATATTACTAGTGGTATTTGATAGTGTTCTAATTATACAGCTTTAACTATGGCAAATTACTAAATAGATTACCATTCACCAAATATACTGTAAGTCAAAAGATATATATTCCTTTACTCGCAAGCTAGTAGGCCTTCTTGCTTTGATCGTTTGTGAATTCGATGTAGTTGAGAACTTAGGTTTTCTTAGATTTTTTAATACTATAGGGAGCGCAGTAGTCTGATTCGATTCTCTATATTTTTAAATTGATTAATACTACTTTGGTGGTGGCTTAAATCCATTAAAATATTAACATCGGAGGGTGAAAAAAAAATTCGATGCCGACATCTAATCCGCGGGGGATAGCACTTCACGAATATCTAGGCTGAATGGGCCGGCCCATGGGCTGGCCCATTAAATTAACCAATCAGAGACCCTTAATAGGGAGTCTCCTGGCTAAGTTGCTAATCAGACTAGAGCTGCGTACACAACGCGTCCCCCCCTGAGTCTCTGCTTTATTGATCTTTCAGCTAAATAGAGAGTATGTACTTGTAGAATAAAATAGTTCGTTACCTCTTTCTCTACTCTCTTCTATCTATTCAACAATCCTCGTTCTTTAATTAATTGCCTATTCTTCATTATGCCTGAAATCCAATTACCAGAGATAACCCTTATAGATGATGGCGAGGCATGTGATGTTGATGATTCATCTTTCCTGGATCTTTACTCTGACAGTATTGCGCCTGAGCACTCTGCAAGTCAAACAACACAGTCTTTCCAACCTATCAAGATCCCAGGGTGTCTTAAACCTATCAACAACCACATAATATTCGAAGCAATGAACAAGGAAGAGTTTGTTGAATGGTGGCTTCGTACATCTGCTGGGCAAGCTGAGGATGCGAGAGTATGGGATACAAAGGGCTGCCGAGCAGATATCTGGGCTTCATTCGACCAGGTTGCTCACTGTGTTACTGGGAAGCCAATGATGATGTGTAAGCGATGTGGTGCTATTCTCCACCACCCCAATGCTATAAGTCGTTCTAGTAAGAGCGCACATGGAACTACTGCGTTACGCCGCCATCTTACACGTCAAACATGCCAGGCCAGAGGGCAAGCGCAAGGGAAAGGGTCTCATCTACAGCGGCTACTACGGCATCAGGTAAGGACCTTCTTTTCCAGCCGGAAAACCATCTAATGCTTCTCTCTCTTGATTAGGCAGCCATAGCCCCTGAAGCATTCAACGAGAACCGATGGAAACAGCAACTTATTACAACAATATCTACATTACGCCTTCCCTTTACAACGATCGAACACCCTGAATTTCTGAAGCTTATCCGACTAGCTCAGCGAGCTCCCTCTCCTATCAATATGCCCTCTCGCGTAACATTACAACGTCAGATTCAAACAAAGGCAAAAGATCGTCGGAAAGAGATACTTCGGAAATTGCCAAAGCATGCAAAGCTTTCAATTAGTCTGGACTGTTGGACCTCGCCCTTTCAACAAGCCTTTATGGCAGTATCTGGCTATTTTATTGATTCAGAATGGGAATACCGAGAGGTTTTACTTGATTTTAAACCTCTTGAGGGTGAGCATACTGGGGTAAATCTCAGTCAAGAGGTTCTTGAACTACTTCGAGAGTATGAGATTAAGGAGCGAGTATTGGCTATTACTACTGATAATGCGTCCAATAACTTAACCCTTGTTTCTTCTCTCCAGGAAACTCATCTCTCTCAAGGCCTGAGCTCTGATACCATTATTATCAGAGTACCATGCCTTGCTCACGTCATTCAGTTGAGCCTTAAGCAGCTCCTTGGTCAAATAAAAGCAAACCCTGTCAATGAGAATGTTGAATCTATTTGGTCAGAAGAGCATATGCAGAAAGCACGTCAAATAGCAAAAGAGTACAGTATAGCCAGCACCCTTCGCAAGGTTTGATGATCTAATACCCTCACTATTCTCCGAATCTCTACTAATTCTATTATGGTTTACCTAGATTCGAAACCTTGCTGTATTTATTAATGCAAGCCCTCAGCGCCGTGCGAATTTTAGGAACCTTCAGCCTGAAGGCTCTCAACTGTTTCCAATTCAAGATGTACGAACACGCTGGAATTCAACATTTCTGATGCTCCGCCGGGCAAAGCGACTTCAGTCCTATCTTAATACCTACTGTGTGGCAGATCACCATACTGATCTTCAGCTGAGTAGAGATGAGTGGCAGCAGATTGATTATTTGATCTGCATTACGCAGCCATTCTATCAATACACCACCGCTCTCTCAAAAACCAAAGGCATTACAATTCACATGGTTTTCAGTATCTATAATTGTCTGTTTGAGCATCTTGAAAGCCGCCAGCGTCAGTTGTGCCACAAGAAGATCTTATGGAAACGTCAGATGCTTCAGGCACTGGAAAAAGCAAGAGATAAGCTCAAGGACTATTACTCAGCGACCGATACTCCAGGGCTTATCAACATATATACCAATGGAACTATCTTAGCGCCGCAGTATAAGCTTGAGTTCTTTCAGACCCCTGAGTGGCAAGATAAGGACTTTGCAGGTGAATATAAAGCAGCACTCGAGCAGCAAATTCTTGCCTATGAAGTTCAACTCCATGATACTTGCTCACAATCTGAAGGGCCTTCTTACCCACAGCCTGTTCAAGAGATTGAAATATTGCTTGATAGTTATAGAGCTCGACCCGCAGTACCACTCTCAGAGCTCCATCAGTATCTGAAGGGGGTAAGTATTCTCCCAAAACACAGTTTCAATACATACCTCTCTAACTATTCATTCAATAGGTACTATACTCACTTCCCCACTTGATTTCTGGAGGGACCATGAGCAGCAGTTCCCAGTGCTTGCAGCAATTGCTCGAGACATGCTTTCTGTCCCCGCTACCGGTGCAGGTGTAGAACGCTTATTCAATTCTGCCCGCGATATCTGTCATTATCGCCGCGGCTCTCTCCATGCAACGACTATTCAGGATCTCATGCTGCTCATGTGTGCTAATCGATTTGATATTGAGGAGGAGCAACTTGCTTTTATACGAGAATATAAAACAGAGTACGAGATAGATATTCAACAGGAGGATACCACAAAGCATATTCTACAGGAGATCATAGAGATTAGTGAGGGGGGGGAGGAGGAGGAGGAGGAGAAGGAGAAGACTCCTCTACAGCATCATACAAAGCGAAAAAGAGATAATTATGAAGCTGAAGAGGATACATCAGATGAGGCAGGAGGCTCTGCGGAAGAAGAGCCTCTACTACCTAAGCAATCTAATACTCAGCGTGCTTCAGGGAGGGCCCGGATACCATCGATACGGCTACAGGGATATACTACTTAATATAATCTATAATTTCATTCACATCTCTGCTCTCACTGTATCTGATTCAATATAAAAATCACTATTGTATCACAGAATCACTTTATTATCGAAACCACAGCATTACAGCCAAGATCTCGCTTAATCTTCATATTTTATGCAACGCATGTTAGCCCTAGAAAAAGCCCTATCTTTGGGCCATTGGGCCGTTTTGGGCCAGCCCATTAATGGGCTATGGGCCGGGTTTTTGACCCAATGGCCCAATTGGGCCGACCCAAATGGGCCGGCCCATGGGCCATGTACAGGTCTACTCCGTACAGTACCCCTAAATTCAGCACTTCCAAATCTGGGGTCTTAGAATGAGGTAGGTTAATGCAAAGGACTAGGATAGCTAATGAAGATCATGGCAGCTCCAAAGTTATGGTATGACAACATACAAAGTAAGATCTAACAGGACATCTGGGGCTTGAATCTACTAGTAGTGCGCATGCGCCCTGGTGTCAGTGTCTGAGTAACATAAATAAGTCCAAAGGTCTGCTCTTGAGTCCAGCCCTGGAGCTATAACTCTGAGTCATTCACCCAAATTCTTGTGATATTTCCCCTTGTGTTGTCACAATGAGAGCTACCCCAGTCTCCCTCGTCAGCTTCGCCTTGCTGTTCGGGCTCGCCAATACCGCTGGCGCTTACGACAGCACTTGCAAACCACCTCTCACTGGGGAGCAAGAAGTTGAGCCCGTTGTCATGGCCACCTATAGCTGTAGCCGCTGGGGTGACGGTAACCACTATACTGGTCACAATGAGCCCGCCGGAACTCCTAAAGACTGTGCTATCGCGTGCTCTAAGCGATCTCCAGAGGGCCCCTGTACCTGGTATAGCAACACATGCTATTTTTATAAGCCGGGTGCCCCTACTGTGGCGGCTGCTTCTGCTCACTCAGAGGCAGTCACGATCGAGACGCGAAAGGACTGGGATAGACTGAAGCTGGCGTATGATCAATGTGACGCAAACTGCCAATCAAGTGGTGGCAATGGTGGACCCCCTGGTGGTGGCGGTAATGACCAAGATAAAGGTCTAGCATGGCCTGCAGGATGTCAGTAACTATGAAAATTCACAATCTTCATAAGAGTACCAGCTAATCTAGGGCATTTAATTCAGGCGGCCACGAAGATAAAGCCAAGGTGACAGCCAAGAACGGCGAAAAGTTTGATGTGTATTGCAACCAATGTGAGTGACTAGTTAATCCAGGCATGATGCACACGGCTAGTGAGCCCAGTGCTGCCAATCTTGAGATACTATTTATGACTGATACAATTACACAGTGGATGAGCGCGGCGGTGGTGGTCAGATCGGGTATTTTGTCACAATAGAAGAGTGTATTGAGCGTTGCTCATTGAGCTCCAACTGTGTACGAGCTGTCTACCAGACAGACAAGAACGCTGATGGCACCCGCTATTGCTACAACCGTCCGATGTACGGATCCTACCGTGAACCTGCGCCCTCAACGAAGCCAGATCAGACCTCTTACTACACTACAGCCCACAAGCAAGTGTAGTTAGCTATATAACAACAGTAACTACAATCAGTTTTCGCAGAGCTGCACGTATACCCACGTGGAAGGCCCGAAGATTCAATCTTGAGTTTTATGTGGAATTGTGAATGTAACTACAAAAGATTTCCCGCCGCTCCGCGTGTGGTTTTGTCCCACTGGGTTTCCCACATGCGTTTTGAAAATGCAGGAGAAATTGCAATCAATTGAGAGTTTCTGATAAAAAACAACTTACAGATAATATAACAGGCTGCTGTTTTAAGTATATCAAGAGCAAGGACTGTTTACATTACACATCGGCTAGCTAGTACCGGCTGCCCATCACCAGATAGTTCTAATACTACCTACTGCCTACCCAGTTACCAGGTACTCAGAAGTTGAGGAGCTTGTAGGTCGATCGTAACCATAAAGTACTACGAGAAGTAAACAAATTACTAGATCCGGCTGGTCTTGCTATTTTAGATTTAACGCTGCAATGTGACGCAACTCCCTCGGATATAAAGACTGGCATTGTTCATTTTCTCTTCCCTGTTCTATTATCACGCCTAGTAACTACTGAGTTGAACTTTCCAATCAAACTCCCAATGCAATATATTATGCTATGCAACACTGCAATGTCTATACACCCGGGCAATAAACCACAAAAGCCCAAGCAATGTCCAAAGCCATCTAATATAAAGACGAATAGAAAGCAACAGGTGAGAGAACCCGAAATGAAACCAAGAAAGAGAAAGAGAACCGAAATGCAAAGCTCCAAGAAAGACGTTTATATTCAGATGAAATCATTGAGTCTTCTCCCCCTTCCCCTTCGACGCATTCCGCAACCTCGCCCCTTCAATCCCATACAAGCCCCCACCGACAAAGACCAGCACAGCACCGAGCAAAACCCCTGATCCGAGCTGATTTCCGAAGAGATAGATGGAAAGCAGGAGGGAGACGAGCTTTCGAATATTCAACGCAACGGTCACGGTCAATGAGGACGATTTTGCCGAGAGGAGATGAACGCCGCGAATGCAGAGATATTGCGTTAATGCGTTCATGAGTAGATAGGATACCTGAATAGGAATATGGTCCAGGATACTCTGGACCTGCGGAGAAGCATGGACCAATTCGAGTATAGATCCGAAAATATTGCCGCCTGAAAGCGGACTGGTCTTCTCCATGTCTAAATGCGAAAGAAGAGACGGCGAAGAAGCCACAATCCGCCACTGCGAATACAGAGTCGACCAACTGGAGAAGAAAATCGGCAGCGAGAGCATATGCGAGTAGAAAAGGGCTTCTTTCCAGTGATCGCGGCCATAAAACGCATAAAGTCTATCAGCATAGATACCCTGAAACGCGGAGAGAAGCATAGCCAGCGCGAGAATGCTGAATCCGATGACGGTGTTTTTCATGGCCTCGCCATCTCCTTCTCCGTCCAGGCCGATTTCCAAGGACTGGCCTTTTGCTTGTGCGTCTGCTAGGGCTGCGGCCATTACGCCAACTGTCAGCATTGCGATGGAGATAATTTGGCCGCGGGAGTAGCGCCGGCCGTTGTAGATGTATCCGACCATCATTGATGCGACGGGGCCGCCGGAGCGGAGGATGATGTGTAGGGGCACGGAAATCTTATATGCGAAGGCCCAGTTGTTTAGGAGGTTCACTGAGACGAAGTATGCGGTGTAGATGACCCATGAGCGGAGGGGGATGGCTCTGGGTTTGATGAATAGGGCGGAGAGTCCGGTTGATGGGGAAATGAAATGCGGGAGGGTAAATAGAGCGCATAGTGCGAATTGTGCAAATGTTATTAATGGGCCTAGACGGAGGAGGAAATCCATTAGATTGGGTCGATGTCGATTTGGCGCGGGGAGTGGGCGATATGCGGGGTCTTACCGGCAGTGGGTTGTTCTCTATTAGATACTTGGTTAGCATGTTGATTCCATGTTATAGACAAGCAGATCTGGTGGGAGAGTAGTATGGCACTTACTTGATGATTGCTTCCAGAGCGAAGACCTGCGGGGCGAGCAGTTAGCCTATGCTCTTTGCGCTCGTCCATGCAAATTGGCCTCGTTGCTGATATTGGTATGGAAAAAGGCAAAAACTTACGTTCGTGCAGCATCCTCCCAAAATCAAAAAGACCATTAGGACCAGATTCGCCAAGTTGGGCACCACGGCATGCGCAGCCGCCGCGACCACCCTGGCATTGCTATCATCCTTCTGTGTCGAGTTGAGGGCGGACGCGGTTTTGGTTGACACGGTGGCATTGTTCGATTTGCCAGATGATACAGTGTAGGTGTCCGTCCGGCGTTTGGGACCGTCATTGTCGTTAATCATCTTGTTCGTGGGGCTCAGTCGCGAGGTGGGTGGGTTTGTTGACTGTAGCGGTCAAGTCGCTCTCCCACGCGCCGCGGGGTTGAAGGCGGTGGTGGGGGGGGTTTTTTATGCGATCAGTCCGAGCAAGTTCGTATGCTTATTCAATTGTTCGTTATATGTGCAGACAATGAGGGGGTTTTCGGGATTTCGAGGCGAGAAGGAGTGGAGGAAGCGAAATGGAGGAAGAAGGAAATGCGGAGGTCAAAGGGAAAGCGGAGAAAAGCACTCGTGGCACCACATGATACTACTACGCACACTACATAAATTAGTAGTATTGGTATACTTCCTCATTATATTCCATTAGATGTCGTTATTTTACATGATCCACTGCACTAATCCTCAATATCATCATCACTGAGAATCAACTTCTCCTCTTCCTGCTGCAGCGACGGTCCAGGTCCAGCATTGTCAGAATTGCCCTTCGGTATAGGCACCAAATCATCCTCCTCATCTTCCCCCTCGACCCCATCCAAATGACTCCCCCGAATATTGGTGATCTGACGAAGCTGCCAAGCATCAGGGTCCTCGCGTTTAATAATCGCCATATAAGGTAATTGGTCCAGCAGAACATCATGCCTTCGCATCATAGTTGCCACCGTCGTCCTCGTATGATCATCCGAATCTCCCAATCGACGATTCCTCCAAGCACTAACGCCAGACATTTCCCCGGAAAATCCACTGGCATCTCGCTGAGACTGAAACTGTGGATTTCCATTGCTGCTCGGGTCAAGCAAATGCTTCATCCAGGCATCAACTAACCCATCAATTTCCTCCGTCTTCCGCCACAGCCGCAGCGAAGAAGGGTATAGCATCTTGTAAGCATCACCCGGACGACCCTGTCCAGCAACGGGTGCAAGTTTGCGTTTCACAGGATAAGGAAGTGCGAATAATAATCCCCGCGACGCAACCTGAAAACTTATCTCATCTTGTCGCAACATGTCCACACCCCCAGTATTCAAATTAGCACCGATTCCACCGCGCGTTCGAAACGTGGACCTGCGATCTGCGCCGAGAATATCGCTATCGGACAACGCTTCAATACAAGCATTCAGCGAGTCGACGAAATCATACCCATCGCAAGAGGGAGGATAATTCTCATGCAAAGCGCTGATAAACGTAGAGATATCAGTTCCCGTTTCATCGACCAGTTCATCCACAGCAACCTGCGAGACCTTCGGTCTGCGATGCTGCGCTAAATGCTCCGGTGGTTGCGGGAGAATGATAAAATCACTAGGCACAAGGCTAGCATCTAGCCGTTTATTATAAACGATTTTTCCCACGGCGTGAAACATGCCCAGACTCGCCTCTCGCTGGGATATCAACTCGAGGGATTCCTGCTCCATGGCTGTGAGGGGTTTATCTGCATCGGCGCGGGATTTCTTTTTCGTGAGACTTCCCCCCCAAGCATCTGATGAATCCGAACCCGCCTTATCACCCTTCAAACACAGGAATTCTAGAGAAGATATTGCGCTGCGAATATCGCCGATCTCGGCAATTCTGGTTAAAGCAGCGGGTCCGGGAATCCTACTTCGCTTGGAAAAGTTCGCCTCTTTTTCTAACACCGTTCGGAGTGCCTTCTGCATGAATGTAGCAGCGATGCTGTTAAAGTCGATGATCGTCGTGTTGGGATGATTATACAGCGTTGGTCCAAGTAATCGGTGAACGGTCAAATTATCTGAAATCGACGATGCGGATGTCAACATCGTCTCTGAAACGACCATCACGATTGGCGGGTGCATCCGTCCACTCCAAGAAGATTGGTCAGACGCTGATGCTGCGAGGTAGCGCTGTATAGAATTTCGGAATGCGGCTAAACTGGATGAATTTCGATGCAACACTGTTGGGAATTCTTCCACAAGGAGAACGCGGCGATTTCGAGAGGCCGTAGTCGTGGCACTATTTGTTTTCGTCTCCGCTGACGTCGATGCCGAATCTTGTAGATCAAGGCCACCAAATCGATCACCTCGTCCAAGATACTCTTCAAATTGTGCGCTGGAAGAGACGTAGTCGCGGGATGTATGTTCTGGAACAGGTGGATTCCTCCATTCAATGATGTCGTAGCCCAATGCTTCGGAGAGCAGGGAGATTGTTGTCGTCTTGCCGCAACCTGCCGGACCTCGCAGGACCAATAATTTCTGCTCTGATTAGCCAATGCCCTCACTGTTGCCTTGCGATTCTGCATTGCCGTGACTTTGGCTCACCTCTTTCCTTCTTCCCTCGAATACATCGTCCAACCACTTTTGTACATCGGAGACCTTCCGCTTGTGAACTGCTAGTTCGTCTAATCCAACCGGTCCGAATCGCTGTGCCCAGGGCCGGGTATCTTCGTATATGGGGGTTGAGACTGGGTCCTTGGATTGTTTGTTTATGCTGCCCGAGGCGGGGGCCATGAGGAATCGTTTTGATGGTTGACTCTTAGGTTTTGTGGTCGTGCGTTTCGACAACATTCGCCTCGATTGTGGAGGAGGAGGCTTCTGATTCGAGGTCGAAGTGACGTCCACTTGAGAGAATATCTCATCGTAAGAGCCATAATCATCTTCAATGTCATCCTCGATATCATCGGCAGCTAGTGTCGTCGGTGTCGCAGCCCGGGTGGGGCGCTTGGCCTCGAACTTCTGTGCAGACCATCTCTGACCTTCTGAAGCCGCTGAGAAGAAGCTGTGAAGTGATTTGGGCTTTGATTTCGTGGGGGAGGCCGAAGGAGGGCGGGTTGCGGTTGCGGCGGCGCGTGAGCGCGTGGTCTTGGGACGCGACGAGAGGGTGACGGGTGCGGGTTTTGGTGGAGATTGAGATTCTGGATTCGTAGAGACTGTTTCTGATGGCGCTTTGTCTTTCACTGCCCTGCGCTGACGCTTTGGAGGGCGACCGTCCATGATGGGCGAGCGAAGGAAGAGGAAAAGCGTGGGCCGATAAGATTAACTTGTTAAATGATAAGGATTACCCCATTGGGAAATGTTAATGAGACTACACTTCTCCACTGCGGAGTAGAACCCAATGGTGAATTCGAATCAGGATTCGATTAAAATTGAAATTGGAAGAAATTGAGTCTGTATTATTTGGAGTAATTTGCTCACAGGCCAACTTGCTAAGCAGGCTGATTAGTTTATTTCTTCAATAGTTCAAATGCTTAGCAGACTGAGCAGTATAAACTTGGAATAATCTGATTCCCAGCTAATTTGAAACTACCTCGGTGAATTTTCCTCTTTGCTGGACTTCTCTGATTCCATTCTTCGATTCATAAGTTCCTTGACTCGTCGGCGATCCTGAGTACCCTTTCTTTTCTGACAGCATCTCGGAACTGCAAGTATGGCCTTTCCAATGTATTTAGATAGGTCTGGTTGGAATAGAAGCCATGTCTTTGCGTAGTCATCATTGCCATCCTCCATCTCGATGATAAGATTTGTGGAGTCGTTTAGCCGCGTGAAAGTCTCTGCATATTTCCAAAGTGAACCGGCGAGCTGTAATGGGCATATAGTACTAGTAAGAGAAGTATTTATTTTGATCATATTGAAATAAGTGCAGTAGTGCCTAGGTCTGTTTGAGTCCATATAGAACGATGAGGCACTTCCCCCAGATAACAGTTCAACCTTGAAAGTTGACCAATTAGGAAGAGGGTATGCGATCAAGGCCTCGCCCTCGAGAGTATCTTAAATAACTTGTGTATTATGCCGCGAGGCAAGGCCAGACAGCCTAAACAGGAAATTTGGAGGGGTTGGATGGCGCGCGGGCTAACTTCGCAGCGCGGATCGTCGGGGCTTAGCTTTTGCAGTTTGGGGCACGCTACAGGTGGCTCCAACCGAATGGACGTACAACGCGTAGGCCGTGAGATTAGTAGGGACCCAATATGATTCAATGTTTTGACCGTTCCGAATCACGGCGAGCGGGATGGGGCACTACTCTACTGATGTACAGTAGTTGGCTGTTACCCACTCTGGTTGCGTAGAATGTGGACTGGTGGAGATGGCGGTGGTGGTCCAGGGGGGGGTGGAAGTGATGGAAGTGTGTGTGACGCAGGGTCCACCGGTCGAGCCGAGCAGATGGAGATGATTAGAAACTTTTGATTATTGGTAATTGGTATGGCAGGTGTAGCTCAGTTGTTTTTGGTGCATTTTGGACCCCGACCTAAGCGCCACATGGTGGCTGAGCACGACGTGGCTAGTGGAAAGGAGGTTTTGAGTTAATCCCGAGAAGAAATTGTAGGGATCGACCGGTCATTACGGACCTAAGGAGCGTTCCAAGCCCGGCAGCGATCTGTGGAGATAGGATCTACTGGTTCCACGGACTGCTCCACTGTCGAGTAGTCGGAGGGCTGTGGCATTATCAGCTGGTGGTTGTTATACTACTAGTACGCACCTAGGTAGAGGTAGATACATGGTGCCTCGTTGGCCCAGTTTTATACAAGCGGTAAGTTATCATATTTCATACTACCCGATTACTCCACTATCATCTCTTAATCCAAGCTTAATACCTAGGTATTTCAATACAGTACACCACGCTAAGGACCAATATGGCTACGGTATATGATAACCCTGGGTACAAATACATGCAGCCAAGGGGGGCAGTTAGCACGTTGAACAAAAAGTCACCGGTGCGTAGCAAGTTATCACCTAGGTTGAAAGCTGAACCCTACGATTATCTATAAATGCTCCTCCACCGACAACTACCGAGCTAAAAATTGATCACAAAGCTCTATATCATCCGAAAATTTCGGTTATTGACTTCGATTGGTAACAAAAATGGATTACTCTCTTTACAATGCAATGTTGTTGAGCGAAAATTCCCGAAAATGGAACCAGGAACATGTTTATGTCACCGAACGACATACCGATCTCACATCAGACAACACAGTATTAGACCATTGGTTCCGGGATGCTCAGAACTTCGCTCCCGACCAAATGCCCAATTCTTTCTCTCTATACAGCCATGACTTTAATCCCTTCACTATACCTTCGAGCAAGTGGAATACAAACTCCGGGGTTGAAAAAACCATTCAAGAAAGTGTTCCCAAAGATAGGACGTCATCCTGCAAACAACCCAAGTTGAAGACCAAGTAAGGTTTCTATCCCCTTCTTAAGATCAAGTTTGTACCATGCTAACTATTCCATAGCGCCATGGCCCCTTTAGTATGCAACGAAGAGAATTGCAAATCTCCAGGCCCATTTTCAAACCGCGGAAGCCTCAAACGCCATATCAAAACCCAGCATATTGCCCCAGGCGCATACAAATGCCATCATCACGCTTGCCCTAAGATCTTTAATAGAAGGGATAACTTGAATCAACACCTAAGAGCTGTTCACTGGGACAGAATTTGAACGATACCTGGTCTCTAACACGAGAAGCTTTTGATATCAGTATCTTCACACGAATACAACGAACCGGATGGCTGTTACTATTGTTATGGCAAAAGTGCCATAGCCGGATGTTATTCATTCCAGCCCCACCTATATCTAGCAACTTCCGCCTCTTCTTCTTCTTCTTCTTCTTCTTCTTCTTCTTCTCAATATAATCACTTTCGTTTTATTACACCACACGTTGCTTAATACTCATATTTTGATCTGCAATAACCTGAGCCTCTCGCAATAAAAGATGTTCGAGTTCGAGACTTTGTGCTTGCTACGGGAAACAGTTACTACTAGTAGTTTAACTGTTCCCAGGTCAAGTTTTAGATAGGCAGCTATTCCTGGTGGCCATCTGTCTGGATAATACATGGCAGTAGCGGTACTAGTACCGATACCTGCAGTAATTACCTAAGTCGATTCAATTTCAGTTCTTATCAGGAGAACTCGTAAATTGAAAATACCTAGGAAAGAGTAGACTGAGGCAGAAGCGAGGTTATGATTGCGCGTTGTGGAATGCAGGCCTCAGGCCATCCTAGGCACCACTCATCCCCCGGATTCTGGAATCACCGTTCGCTGTCCCCCGCATGCACTGACTATTTCCTGGTTCCATCCTCCGTCACTGAAAAGGTTTCTTGGATCCGCCTGGAGCACGGCGATTTCTTGGTCCATGCATGTCTCGCAGCGCAATGATCTCAATCTTCCAATCGAGACCGATCGGCAAAGGGGGCTTTCCTAAAGTGTTTTGGGGGCTGCAGGATGGCAACTAATCGAAATTAAGCAGCGTGGCCCCTTTGGCGAGACAGGCCCTGTCTCTCATTTACTGAACTTGAGGCTAGGTCGCGAAAGACATACTGGCTGTATGAGGCGAAATCACTTCGAAGAAACCACAGAGGAGCCAGAGATTGTCGATTCAAGGATACGACAAAGCAAGAAAATATTCGATTGAAGTTCTGGTTCGTGGAAATGATACCTGTCACTCTGAACAACAGTATGCGGCTTATTTCGATGCGTGGACACATACGAACCAGAGGTCGGTATGATCGCAAGGCAGCCAGTTGGGCAGAGCTGCATAACCGCCGCCAAACAGCCCCAACAACCATGATAGGCCAGTCCATGACACATGATGTTCCACTCTAGACTCTAATCAGAATGATCGGTTCAGCGCCCGTTTGCGACCACTGCGAATCTCTTTTCCTCCTCCTCTTACTGAAGTCGATCCCCACACCAGAAGTCATCATGTCGGGCCTTGAGGCTTTCAGCCTTGGCTGCAATATCATGACAGTTATTATCTTTACCCTAGACACTGCAGAAGTATGTCGCAACACCCGCGAAAGTGGCAGTTCGGATAAAAATCTCGAGGAAAGCTCAGAAGACATCGAGCGGACTTTGAACAACGTCGAGCGCCTGCTACAACAACAACCAGTAGGACTGACAAAAGTAGAAGTTGACCTGCGAGGACTAGCTGCAAAGTGCATGGGATACAATGAAGACGTTCAGAAAGAACTGAAAAGAATCTCTCCTAAGAATTCTACGAAACTTGCCGCCTTGGGATCTACTGTCAAGACTATGATGCGTAGGTCTCATATTGACAAGCTCACGAGTAGCCTGAAAGCCGCACGGAAAATAATGGATTCTGCGCTACATACAGTGCCCTCGATCAGCATCACAAAGACGTCCTGACAACCACGAGCAATTTATAGGTGTTTCGCCGAGTTCGACGCAACAAGAGAGAACCAATCCTGCGAGACATTACTTAATAGTTTGAGATATGAGAATATGAATGATTGAAAGAACAAAATTACACAACGACACAATGAAACGTTCGAATGGATTTTTGAAAGCACAGGACACTGTCCTGACTCGGGAACGACCAGCCTAGGCGATAACCCAAGACCGCCAGCCACACCCGATAACGCGAATACTGATCTGACCATTTTGCAATCTCCACACGGAGAAGAAAGCAAAGAATCAAACATCCATGCTGATCTAGTGGAATTGCTACAGAAAGATGGCGATTGTCTGTACTGGTTTAACGGGAAGCCCGGGTCCGGCAAAAACACGTTCATGAAGTTCATAGAGAACGACAAGCGTACACGAGAAGCGTTAGAAATTTGGCATTCACAGTGCGCAATCATATCCCCTTACTTGTGGAAACCTGGAACGGAGGACCAGCGGAGTTTGAAGGGGCTGCTTTGCTCTCTCGTCAATCAGATTCTGACTAATGAGAGGGCTGTTGCCATTCAGCTCTTGGGCGAAAAGCCAACCCTGAACCACAGGCGCGTTTTGACCGACTGGGATGTATGCGATTTGGAGGATCTGCTGTTTCGAATCTTCCATAACTCGTCTTGCTCATACCTTGTTCTCTTGGACGGCCTGGATGAACTTGCTGAGCCCCATGGAGGGCTGAGCGAGCTGTTCAATTTGTGGAACAGGTTCGTGGCAGCGGACAGAGTGAAGCTCTGTCTTCCAGTCGTCCTGAGTATATTTCCACGGTTAAGCTTGCTTCCAATCCTTTCATACGTATGCAGGATTTGACACGATCGGATATCCACAACTACATAGCCGACTACCTCAGAGACTTACAACTCGATCCTGCCAATGAGCTGTATCAGAAGATCCAGAAAGAACTTTTGCACAAAGCGGAGGGCGTTTTTATCTGGGTGTATCTCGTTCTGAGAAATGTCAAGAAGGCAGCACGATACCTTCAGTACATCAGGCAGAAAATCCCCGGTCACGCTCCCGATATTGCCCGTCTTTCTCTAATAGCAAATGATGAAACACTGAAGAGGTTCACAAGGCCAAACGGGATTCCGTGTGTTGATAAGTGGAATGAAATGTGTGAGGATACATTCAAAACTCTCATCCCAGTTTCCGCCAGACTTCTAGAGGCCTTTCACTGGCAAACTGAGCCGAATTTGGAAAGTCCTCAGTCGGAGGACGAGCGTAAGATTTATACATGGGAGCGTACCGTTGTGAACTTCATACACAGAACTGCCATTGACTTTCTGGACAGTGGCGAAGTGAATGAGTTGTTTGGAAGGCACAACTCACAAACCGAAGAACCTTTCTCCGTCATCTTGAAAGCGGATATAAATTATTGTTCGGTTGTCCATAATGATTTTTTCTCTAGCTGGGCAATCTTGGGCTCGTGAGTTATGCACAATGAAAATTGTCACTCATCGAAAGTTTCGTGACTTCCTATCTCTACTCCACCAATGTGCTATGAACGAGTCTAGAGGACTCGTTCGACCACCGCAGGCAATAGGCTATGAGAACTTCTTCTTGCTCAAAGCGTCTCTTAACGGGCACTATGATTATGTTAGAGACTGGCTAGAATCCTCTGAAAATTACAACTGGCATGTGTCGACTTATGTCCTGATCGGTGCATGTAATCCCCGCCCAAAACGGACCTTCTATCGGTATCCAATCACCCGCGACACTTTGAAAAAACACTTTGAAAAAACACTTCCAATCTGAGATGGGGGTTCTGAGTCCGTCTGCTGTTCGAAACGCAGGTGACAGCATCATGCTCGCTTGGCGTTGCTTCCTGCTACACGAACTTTCATTATGGCAGGAAGATAAGGGTGTGAGCAGCGATGTCAAAAAAATAACGGGCGAGATTTTAGAACTTTTTATCCAAGTTGGAGTGATGGCGGAGTCACCGGGGCCGAAGTACTTGATTGTCGAAGGAGAATCCGTTTTAAATATGGTAAAAAGTCACAACGGTCCACAATCGGAGCTCAGACATCAATTCTTCAAAGACCATCCAAACTACCTAATAGTTCGCACACTGATATACACAGAAGTCAACGATGCATTCCTCCTGCAACGACTATCCAGTAAGATTTCTCGGAAACCAGATTTCCTATCAATTTACGAACGGGATGCCTTCATGAAGCCTATTTTGGCCCGCCAGACGAGGAATGAGGTGGATACACTTTTTCACATAAAAACCGACGAGGGGGGGCTTAAAGCCTCAAAGGACTGGATTTTTGGTGGAGCCCTTAATTTTGACAAAGATACGTTTCCCGACAATCAACCTCGGTACATTCAAGCTGTTAGGTTGGGAGAGTTTCCAATTACAATAGACGCTTTAGAGAAGATTGGATATCATCTGCCGCTGGTGAATAAGGGCTATGACTGTTGGCATAATTAGATTCTACGCGCAGAATGTTTGAACGTCCTTGGGGCGGAGCTCCGTGATGGGCTTCACAGGGCCAGCCTCTTGCGCAATCCTATGCCTACCAATTCAGATCCCTGGGGTTTATGTTTCAAGTTTTATCTAGTAAGACTAGTAGCGATCGTTAGCCCAGAACCTCATCATGTAGAGCTAGCAGCAGTACTACTACATGTGGTAGTTAATATAGTAGTATGCTTCCCGAGGTCTATCAATCCGGTGCCTAGGCTCCGCGCATACATTCCGGCTTTTTGTTCGTTATAACTACCATACGCCATGGTGCGTAGTATGAATATTTAAGTTCTAACTGGATCCTCAACAACCTGAAGGAAACGGTAATCTACAAAATGGTTAGAACTCTATTCGGAGTTTAAAAGTTGACGCGATATAGTAAGAAAAAAGCAGTAATGCTATAGTAGTAGCAGGCCACTAACTACTACACCTCGATGGTGAATGAAGGTAAATTGCACGAAAAGAGCAGCGAATTTGGCGCCAGTTTGAGCATCTATCGTGCCAGAACCGTACTCCCAGATTTGTTCAGGCATCCACATCCAGATCATCTTCCCATGTTGTCCTCACGCCTGGCCATTTCCCCCTACCTTGGATAGCACGCATGCATGCGCATTCTCCGGTCTTGAACTTCCAACCTCACGCGGCAGCAATTCACCCATTAGTGACAAGCCGACTCGCCAAACTTAACTTCTGAACAATGCAATGTTTTCGTTAAAAACATTCGCATTGTCTGACTGCTTAGCAACACTTGTACCGTCGATATCAACCATACTGTCCGAGCCCACAGTGTTCAGATTGTACACGCTGATCGACGACGAGCCTTCAATACTGAAGATCGATTTCTGACAGCTCCTTCCAGAGTCCTGAGCCGAGCATGCTGCGATATGTTAGTTTGACACGTGGGTAAAGGGGGACAAGGAGTGTGATACAAGCATCGTTGTTGTCGAAGAACGAGTATAAACCGGCGCCGTATACAAAGATATCCGTCGAGTCCAGGACCCGCAGACCCCAACCTTCAGAGCAATACTTGTCTTTGCCTGAGCAGTGTTCCGTAAAGTTGGGATCGTGGAGTGAGGTAACCATCGGGAAAGGCGATGTCGCCAGGGGATTCGGTTGGTAATATCTGTTCTGTCAGTTAGTAACTGCTAGCAAAGGCTTATTAACCTTGGAAATGAAGATATACTACTCACGCGGACTCTGTCTGGATCTGCCCCATGTATATGTTCTTTGTCGATGCAAGCTGGTATTGATAAAGAACATTGTGTTCGACCGAGGTACCGGAGCTGAAAATTGCGAGGAGATTAGCTTCTGAGGCTCCCTGCACTCCAACGCGTGTTGTGGAATTTCAAATTAAACTCACAGCCAAATATTTCCTTCGGTACTTTCAATATTCAAGCCACGCCCGCTATAGATGGTGATTTGGCCATTACCATCGAGATCACTAGCTGGTCAGCAAAGTGTCACGATTCCAAATGAAAGAAAGGATGAGCCTACTGATCCGCAACCCAAAGCCAGTTATTCTCCATGTACAACCCACTTGCCGAAGGCGTAATATGCATCAACATAAACGCAGCAATGCAATTCTTGTTCAAATTATCAGAGGTCACATCGGTACCTGGAGTTGCAAGGCACTGTGAAGTTTGAAGCTGGGAGCCTGCGAATCCTCCAATTCGCACGTGGACATCCCACATTCCAGATGGGCTATCGGAGGAGGAAGCCAAATTCCACTCGATCGCAATGGCCCCTGCTTGAGCACCTTGTGTACTGACAATCATATCGGACCATTCAACCTGGCCGCTATCGCCAGATGCCCCGACTTTAACGACTGGCTTGGGATTGTCAATGTCATTGAAGAAGCTCCCACTGGACAAAATGACTGGGTATGTTTCGCCCACTATCTTGGAATTTGCAGGAATTTCCAGGGTCTGCGTCACAATATATGACCCGGCGTCGAAAAAGACGATTTTACCAGCAGATGCAGCATCGTTGATAACTTTTTGCAGAGCTGCAGTATCATCTGTCTTTCCGTCACCCTTTGCTCCCCCACTGCGAGTGCTGCTGAAGGAGGATGCAGTAAGACTTCGGTAGTTTGGCTTCGAGCGCTCATAGAACTGTTGTCCCTGAACGAGAGATGCAGGACGATCGTTTGGGGAAAACGTGTCCTGGAAAACAGTTGGTCCATTCGGGGTATATCGATGTCCTTGACCCCAGGCTGCAACGTGAAGGTTAGGTCCCGCAAGAATGGTTTGCTTATTCGGTCCTTGAACAACCACTGGGACATTCTGAGTCGAAACGTTCTCGAGAATGACACTACCTGCGGTGGCAGGCTGGGAAGTGGAGTCGCGCGAAGTGAGAATGCCGACCGGGGTGTTCGTGATGGAACTGTCCAGTAAGGTAATGGAACTGACACTCTGCGCATCATGGCCACCTGAAGTGATGTCGATTCCGACTTGGCAGTTGTTGATATTGATGTTCTTGTATGTCCAACCCCAGTCCCAGTAGTGGCTGATAGCGGTGACAGCGTTGTTAAATGTCAGGTTGCGACTTGTGAACTGCTGATTGCCAAGTGCGGCGCCAATGTTTCCACCGTTGAAGACAAGGTCACCCATATAGCCGGCGGAACCTGGAAGTTTTTAGTCAGAATGAGCGAGTCTGTATGTGGATACGGGGTATACAGACCACTTTCAATGAAGAGTCCTTGGTGTTTAGTTCCGGACGCGGAGCTCATCTCGAAGACCACGTTTTCGAGGCTAGTTGCCTGGGCTGTTGGCCAATGAATGCCACTAACAGTGTTACCAGCGGGAATATCGCGAAGGTCAAGAACGATATTCCGAATTGATCGGAAAAAGACCACAGTGGATGCCCAGTTGAGATCCGAGGAGAAGTACGGGTCGGCATCAATAAGATATCCACCTTGGAAATTCGACGATCCTTTGATCACGGGCAGGTTGTTGGGGTCTCCAATGATCTGCGTATAGTAGTAGTCAAAGATAGGGTATGAGATCTTGTAAGTTCCCGAAGGAAAATAGACCACTGCTGGAGTTGTCGTGTCGGACGGGCAATTCTGCCCACATCTGTTACCACTGCTGATGGCTGCGTTGATGGCCGCCGTGTCGTCGGTGACCCCGTCTCCTGAGATTGGTATTAGTATTAGTATTTTTATCATGTATTATCTCCATGAAAAATCAATTACCTCGAGCACCGAAGTCCTTGACATTGCGGAAAACCTGATATCCAGAAGCACCGAAGGCAGAAACACCCTGGTGACTTATAGACTCCAGCCAATAGGATGACCCTTCGAGTGCCGCTTTGTTTTCTTTCAATGTGGCAGTGTTTGCCTTGGGGGGGAGCCTTCTTTTCGGGGCCAGTGTAAGCTCCATAGTTTCCGTAGTCCTTGAGCGCAGCGGCGACAGCAGCATCAACAGACGGAATGTCAAGCTCGGCGGCAGTTGCCCAGAGGGCAACGAACAGAATGGCAAAAATATTTAGAACACCCATTTTTTGCCAATGTTTTGGTTTAAATTGAAATTCTAGAGAACTACTACAGCCATCATCATCAATTTATATGTCATGCCATTCAACTAACCTTTGAAGAGAAAGGATGGATGAAGTTGCACTTGATGGCAACTTGAACCTTGGAAGCTCGCGGAGTTACCCGTCTACCCCGGACCCCGGACCCCGGACTCCCCTGCGGAACGGGCCATGCGTGCCAGTGGCTTGGGTCTAACGTGTTGCACGTTCTCATTTGAAACCCCCGCAAAAAGCGCTGGTTGGATATTCCGCTACTTCAATTTGCAGAAATTGCCTTTGCTCCGGCGCTAATGCAAGGGGGCGGTGAAGAAAGCATCGCGCACTGATCCCACAACTCGTCCATGAATCCGCAAATCCGCAGATGAATTCAGTCAAATATTGATATTGACAAAATTTCTTCTTTGAATTGACCTTTTGAGGCGCCCCGCAATTCCGCGGTCATTGCAATAATTTGGTGGCTCATCTTTCCCCGGCAGAATAACAGGGATAAAGCCGGGTAGTAGTAGCGAAAGCGGAAAGTTTCTAGCCTGCTATCCATGGCTCATGATGTAGGATATTAAACCATGTTCGTGGATACGGGATTCAGTCTGGGTATGGGTTACATTGGCATATTCGGAGCGGCGTTAAACACGGCCTTCCGCGGCCTATAACTCGCTGTTTCACCGTAGTTTAGAACGAATCTTCTCCGAGCTTTCTCTCACTTGTCTCAATATATTCTTTCACACAAGAAACAAATCAAAAGCTTCCTTATACTAGTACCATTTCAAATTCAAAGAAGAACAATGGCTCATCTTTCTATTTTCTTTGGCGTGCTTCTTTTCCACAGTGTACACGGTCTTACTGGCAAACGAGGTATTGCCTACAACAACAACAATCCCTCCGGTAACGCAGTCTACGCAAACCTTTTTAAAGGAAACAGCAAGGTCTCATGGGGCTATGACTGGGGATATCCCTCATGGAGCCTGGATTCCTCATTCGAATTGTAAGACAGGCTCTTGAGAAATGTGAACTTTGACACTAATCGGATGAACAGTGTACCGATGCTCTGGGGGCTCCCTAATGGGCCCGATGCAGACTGGACTGCAGCTGTGCAGACTCCCGGAACGCTTAACATCCTTGGATTCAACGAACCCGATCTGACTTATGATGCCTCGTCCAACATTCTACCGGAAAAAGCCGCACGTGGTTATCTCACGTACATGCAGCCGTTCGCGGGAACTGTACGAATCGGATCTCCAAGTGTGCTGTGGAATAACGTGGGATCTTCATCAGGCGGTGCCTACAACACCGCTACTTGGACTCAGTATTTCTTGGGAAACTGCACGGGCTGTCATCTGGATTTTGCTGCGATTCATTATTACCAGGACTGCGTTACCCCGGATGGACAGAACGGGGCTATTTGGTTTGAGGGTAATGTCACGAATGCGCATGATGTCTTGGGCCTGCCAATCTGGGTCACCGAGTTTGAGTGTTATGGCAGTGAGGAACAGCAGATTGCGTTTTTGGACCAAGCTCTCCCTTGGTTGGATTCGCAGGACTATGTGGAGAGGTATGCGTATTTCGGTGCTTTTCCGGATTTTCTCATCAATGCAGATGGTACGGCACTTTCGGATCTGGGGGATACCTATGCCTCCACCTAAATTTCCAAGTTCATCTAAGACAGATAACCTGGGCAGTGAGAGTGAGATAGTACTCTGTTTTGGTGAATAAAACCATCAAAAACCAAATCAAATGGCATCTGGAAATACATCTTTGAACTCGAACCTTCAAGTTGGAATCTGTTCTTTTTCTTTCCGTACCTCAGGTTAGAGAACCGTGTAGATTCAGAAAGGTCTTTCCAGTCGTCAGGTACAAGTACTACTTACTAGTACTAGTAACTTTAAGTTGTACCTTAGAGCTTGAAAGTCTACAGCTTGAAATTTGGAACTAGTATTTCTAAGCCCCAACCACACCTTGGCCGAAACAACTTCCAAGCTGTCTTCAAGTTAGCCTTTTCTGATGTTGGGCCGTACTAGTAGCATGTTAATTGATCTTCCTCACTCGATTTGCATATTGTCAGAGAGCGCCACGCAAATCTTGAAATGATCACGATGGGGAGAGGGACCGAACAGATTCGCTTAGTTTCTACCTAGGTACAGGGCATGCGGAAGGGCGGAGAGAAGAGGAGACAGACTAGCTTGTGACTAAATTCTGTCACCTGGAGTAGCTCAATCTCTTGTCTCCGCAAATAAAACCTCTGATTGACCATCAGATTTGACTCTTACTGGATATTTGATTATCCCAAGTCATTGGTACAGGGTATCCCCTGAATTTGCTTTCATAAACGGGATGTCCTGCAGGGAAACTCTGCAAAGTATGCATGTTTAATTAAAAATGGCTGAAGATGCGGGGTTCATGCCCAATCGGCCAATTTTGACCAGAACTCCGGCACTAAAGGAGCTAAAATGCAACCACAGCATATCAGTGCTTTATTACTATGTACACAGTGGAATTATGGAGAAACAAAACATTACTGTGTGCACAGCGGAATCACGGAGTTAGGAAAGTTTGTAGTTTTCAACATCTGGAAACTTCTTTTCTCTCTCAAACTGAATAGCAATAGTAATAACATAGTAGCCATGGCAGATGATCAGGTTACAGGGATATCAAAGCCACCAAAGACCATAATGATAAAAGAGTCACAGTTTCCACGGTCAGGGGAGAAAAAGCATCAATATTCTCTGCTGTGGAGAACATTCTTCAAGTGGCGAGGTACATCATGATGCGTTTTCTTGTCAATCACACTTTATGTTTCTACATATACCTCAAAGCTGCATCTGCCTTCTTCAAGGTGCCTTGCAGTACTCCGTTGGTTATTGAGAGAGCGGACCCACTGATCTCACCCGGGGGTAGCCTCCAATCATGTCCATACCATCATGGGAGGATCAGGTTTTGGATTTACAATGGATTATGAGATGACACAGACGTCAGAATGCAACTCTTGCTCTCCAATTGAGGACAAATCCAACTACTGGGTTGCGGCACTCTACTACCATGCCCAAAATGGTAGTTTCATTCAGGTCCCACAGAACGGTGGAGCATTGATTTACTACGAGTAAGACTATCTTGCCCTTTAACCAAAAGATGATGCTGAACGACCTAGACAACGTCCAGACCCAACTACCAACGGTAAAATCGTGGCTCCCCCGCCTGGTTTCCGGATGATTGCTGGCAGCCCATTTGATCGCCAATACAAGGACACGATCGCTGCTGATGCGCGTAGCTTCGCCTGTCTCAATTATGACGGTCCTGCAACACCCCAAACAAATGGGTTTCCAAAGACAAACTGCCCCAATGGCCTCCGTGCACAGATTTACTTCCCTTCCTGCTGGGATGGAGTCAATCTGGACAGCCCCGATCATAAGTCGCACATGGCATATCCGACTCAGACCTATGATAATGGCCCATGCCCACCATCGCACCCCGTTCGAATCGTTTCCATCTTCTACGAGATTACCTGGCACACCGAAGAATTTGGAAACATGTGGTATGGTGACAGCCAGCCATTCGTTTTTTCTTTCGGCGATCCCACGGGGTATGGCTTACATGGCGACTTTGTCAATGGGTGGAATGTTGACGTTCTCCAAGAAGCAATTGACACCTGCAATGATGGTGGCGGTGATATAACCGAATGTGCACCAATCCATCTCTATCCCGACACCGTCACAGATGGCTGTCTTTTGGAACAGTCGATCGACGAAGAAGTCGGAGGGTGGCTCAATGCTCTCCCAGGCTGCAATCCCATCCAACCAGGTCCCAATGATGCCACTATATTTACTGGATGTGGTGCACCCACGGAGATTGGATCACCACGACACTACTACACCGATGTCACCACTGCACTGGGCTGGGAGTGGCTCGGTTGCACGGTCGATAACGCAGGCGGCGTTCGCATTCTCACCGGCTCCAGCTCACGGGGGTCTGATATGACTGTTGAAAAGTGTATCCAGAATTGTGAGGCGGATGGATACAAAATTGCAGGCCTGGAGAATTCCCAGGAGTGCTATTGTGGCAATATCCTTGACCCTGCAAATAAGCCGACAACCACCCCGATGGGAAATTGTTTATATCCTTGCAGTGGCGACCCTGGTCAGAACTGTGGTGGGTACGGCTTTATTGGACTTTACCAGGAATGTAATGGGGATTGTCAAAACTTGCAATACCCTGTGGTGCCCCACTAGGACCGGTAGGAAACATTTTGGGACCCCTCGGTCGAGTCCAGCTTGACAGGACCTGGAAGCTAGCTACCAGTAACGACTGGTCATTTTCTTCTTTCTTCTCGCCTGCTTTCTTTCTACTATTCTCCGAGGTCCTCGTCAATTTCATGAATTGCATCTTAAATTCCAACTAGGCAACTTTGATCTGACTGTGGTCGTTAGTAGCGTAGCGATATCAATATCTAGGTAGAAAGATATATTATTTCAAGTTCCTGATAACAGCCGTTACTTCGTTCAAATCGTGGCCCTAGCGCTTCTAGTTCTGGTGTCCGTGTGACAAATTTCGATTGGCTAGATTGTCAACTTGAATGTATCGTCTGCTAAACTTCAAATTAGTAGTAAATGTCTGATAATCATTTCGATTCAGATGATGTGACTCGTGTCACGGTAATAATCGCATTCCAAGGTGGTATTGACACTTGTTCCATGAGATATTAAGTTCAACTTGAACAGCGTGAGAGATATCATGATGGATTACCTACCTAGGTAAGACCTCCTATTTGAGACTTTGTTTATTGATACGGCTGTGGTTTGGGCATGATATATCTAGGTATTTCGAGGTCTCAATCTGCTGATATGCTGGGGTCAAAAGGACCCCGTGCCCTGAAAATAACCGGCATAGAGCACAAAACGGCAACAAAGGGGATATTTTAACTGAAGAAAGCAGGTAAGATATGAAAGAGTAGTATATATTACGAATAGCCTGAAAGATGAAAACTCGGAGCATACCAGTACTAGTAGTCAAAGTTGATTCAATAGAACGTACCAAGTAGAGCTACCCCGGTTCTAGTACTAGCACTCAAATCACTGGCATTCGAGCGTTCACAAAGCCCCTTTACCTAGGAATTAGTTACAAGTAGGCTCCATTACCATCATACCGCCAATCCACTGCTCGTGCCTCAAACTTCATCCGGATTCTGTTTCTCCTGTACGTCGCCAAAGGCCTTGTCTCCATCGAAAATCAACGCTACCTCTTCCAAACTGCGACCCTTGGTCTCAGGGAAGCCAAAATAGACCAGTGCAATTTCAACAGCAATCACACAGCAGTAAACGATATAGTATTTCCAGCTGATCGCATCCATTGCGATGGGGTTGGCATATCCATTAAATAGAATAGCACACGTTGCCGCGATTTGCATGATATTCGTTCCCTTGGCACGGAGATGAGTAGGAAGTACTTCTGTCACATAAACCCAAGGGGGTCCATTGAGACCGGCATTGTAGAAGAACTGATACATGAAAATCATGACGATGACGCCTGTGCCGAGACTGGTATCTTCGAAATGGCGCTGCTCATTGATTGCAGATAAAATTGTCCAGATCATATAGCAGGCTAGCATGCCCACAGTGGAGAAAAGAAACAGCCTTCGGCGACCAACTACCTCCATAAACGAGGCAAGAATAATTGAGACACCCAAGTTGAACACCGTCAGACCACCGTTGATACGGAGTTGCTGCGGGTCGGAGGATAAACCAATGGAGTTGAGAATCAGGTGGAGATAGTAGGCGATCAGACCGTTTCCAGAGAGCTGCATCATGCATGGGACTGCGATGATGATGAAGAGGCGATGCAAGTTACCGCGAGTGCTTATAAACTCGCGATAGCCGGTTTGAGAAGCTGCTTTGGCTGTCTGGATCGATAAGATAATCTCTTTCATCTCGAAGTCAACAAGGGGAGAGTTCTCGTCTCCGCCAGCATGATACTTTGTCAATACCTTTCGGGCTTCGTCGTAGCGGTCTTTCTGCACAAGATATCGGGGCGACTCGGGAAGCATGTATATGAAAATGACTTGCACGAGGGGAAAGAATCCCTGCAGAAGGGACGGGATGCGCCAGGCCCATGACAAGTTTGGGCCCATGAAGTACGTTCCGTATGTAATCCACGCGGCAAGCAAAGCTCCTAGATACCACAGATTGTTGTAATAGCCGACTAGGACGGATCGATGTGTCGGATACGCCAATTCACTGACTAACATCGGTGATGCCTCAACTGCAATCAAACCACCAAATCCGATCACCATGCGGGCGACCAGAAACATGGCATAGTTCTGGGCGGCGCATTGAAGAATGGCTCCAACCACGAGGAGGGCTGATCCGAGAAAGATTGGGAATCGTCGGCCTGTGTGGTCACAGAGCCAAGGGGCGATGGGGAAGGCGGCGATTTGACCGAAGATCACTCCGTTTGAAAGTGATCCTAAACGTGTACCAGTCGGATGGCCGAAAAAGTCCTGCCACTGGCTCATCGACTGCAGGCCGTTGAGCATGGAACCATCATAGCCGTTGGTCGTGGAGGATAGATAGGGAATAATCATTCCAAGATTGAGGAGCAACAGATGATGGCTCTTGTACCATGGCTTGCCGGTACGTGGGAGAACGCTTTCCAGGTTCCATTCACTGGGGTTGTTGGTTTGAATATCATGAACCCAGGTCTGAGTCGTCGGTTTCTCGCTCTGGTCAGCCATCTTGATCGCAGGTCTGTTAATAGGATCCGTGAAGTAAAAGAGTAACTTGAACTCTCACTGCCATGTCACAACTGAAATTCCGGTTGTGCTGCTCCCATTATATTATTATATTTCCATCGCATCAATCCGTGATTCCGCAATGAACATACCATTTGAAATTGATGGCTGAACTCAAGTCTCTGGTTTCAACCGCCTTCTCCTTTCATCCTTTCGTTATGCCTGTCCAGGGGAAGCCATTGGGCGTGACAGTGTTTTTGAGGTCCGCAATTCCGCTTCGGCTAACTCATTGTGGCGTATTATCACCGCTAGTTTGTTTTGAACTAGCTCACAGTCGTCGGCTTACGGGCCAGTTCGGGTTTAGTTCCGGATGAGCACCCATCCCCCCCGCAGTGGCATCCCCGTCGAATATCCCCCCGTCTGGGGAAGATGCCAATCAGCCGACATGGTAAAAACCACCATGTTTCCCCATACTAATATGCAGGGTCAGGTCTAACCGGTTTGGGGTAGAGGTGAAAAGATCCTGCGGACCCTGCGTGACCAAAGCGCGAATACGAGAATACCCAGGGCACCCTCTCTTCTCCGAAACTCCGCTGGATACTTATTTCATTTTCTGGCCTGCACGGAAGATCCCATCGATCAGATCAAGCTTGTGCTTTAGTGGAATTGGACTACCAATCTGAAGTACATAGACAGGTCTCGGTCTCCCAGATGGAATGTCCTACTCCACCTGGCAGCAAACCGGATGTCCGGAAACGAAAACATGCCCGTGCAGCCGCGACCTACCCCCGGAAGAGAGCAACTCAAGCGTGTCAGACCTGTCGCATTAAGCGGACGAAGTGCGATAATACCCGGCCATCGTGTGCATCCTGCGTGCGGCTTGGGGCGGAATGTTCTTACCAACAGATGTGTTTATCGACGTAGGTGACGAATGAGCAATGGGGCCTCCGGTCGAAATTCTGGAAAGAAAAGTTCAACTAATCAAGTAACAGATTCGACCCCGCAAGCCTGGCTATCCTGAAAAGAATCGATGATCTGGAGACACTAATCCACACCAAGGTAAACGATCCAACTTCGGTGGTTCTGCCTAATGCTCTCTGCTCCACGTCGGCGTCTAGCAGTCCCCATGGTGTTTGGGCATCTGGGCTGGAGCAGCTGACACAATGGGAACCATCTTTCATCAACATTGAGGAGGTTCTGAAATGGCCTGTCTTTGAAGACCATAATTTTGACCCGCGACTCTATCAACTATCTCCATCCGATGAGAAAACAATACAACCAGACCTAAAGATTGCCGTCGACCTTGATCTTCGTGTCGCCGACCATCTCGTGCGGAGCTTTTTCGATAATGTGCACATTTTCAACCCCACGCTAAAAGAAGAAGACATCAACGAATACGTCAGGTCTGTGCAATTAAATGGTATTGGGTGGGATGCGATGTCTTGTTTGTTGGTGAGTTCCTCTGATCTAATTTCATATACCAAGCTCACATGATACTAGCTTCTCATATACGCCAATGGTTCAATCGCAACATCATTTGTGAAGAATGGGCAAGGCGTAGATTCCAATCTCTTTCGCCAGTCAAAAGAATTTCTCCAAGGCGAAGCATATTTTCTCGCCGCCCAGAAGCGAATGGGCATTTTGCTCTGCAGTGGCGGCGTAATAGAAGTGCAATGCTTCTTCTTAGCAGGTGTATATCTAATGACAACGTTGCGGTCAGTAGAGGCGTGGAGGATGTTTGTGCAAGCACTTGCATGCTGCGAGGGCTTCTCCATTCTCCGCACAAATGATTGCCATGAAGATGCATGGGAGACAAAGCAGAGAATATACTGGACCTGTCTGAAGTCTGAGCTGTAGGAAGACCAAGTTTCAAATAACGAGAATATGGCTAACATTTTTTTGATAGTGAGCTACGACTAGAATTGAATCTTTACCAAAAGAACTTTCTCGGTCTAAAATACCCCACCTTCTTTCCATCGCCTCCAGAAGACCTTAAGTCCCGGGATGAAGCGGCATGGTATTTCTATCTCGCCGAGATCGCTTTGCGAAGATTGGAGAACCGCATTCTGAGCTATCTTTACCAACCCTACGATGTTATCTCAAAACCTAATTTAGAATCTGTGATCCTTGATTTCGAGGAGCAAGCAGACGGTTGGTAAGTAATATCCCGAATTAGAAAACAAATTAACTCACAAATGCTAGGTTGCGATCTCTCCCCGAGGCATTGACTCCAGATTCAAATGACCTATACACAGGCCAATATGAGCCCTTCCGATTCATTCTGAGTGGCCATTTCCTTGATTGCCAAGAGACAATGTACTGGCACTTTTTGGTCGAAGCGATATATAGCCGAGGCGACAGAGCCAGCAACACTTTCCTTCACAAAGCACTGAAGGTCTGTGTAGACAGGATAGAGCAGAATCGAACGGGATTTTACCATCGGCATCACGGAACATGGCTAATGCTTCGATCGTGCGCAAGGAGTGCTATAGTGTTACTCGCTGCTGAGCGAAGTGTGAATCTTGTCTGCTTTTTGCCTATTGGGTGGGAGGGAGCGGTATTAGATGTCAGTCGAATGTTGGAATTTTGGAAGGACGAGTCGAATGATATAATGGGGTTGTTCAATATTCTTCATGTGTTGCTGCAGGCGAGGGCAAATTAGGTCGATGTTCTAAGGTTGTTGGGTGTATTTAATTTCATTTCCCAATCAGTCATTCAAATAGGCAGGCAGCAATGTATAACTCCGGGCCAATTAAAATTGGAGAAAATAAGTGATCTGTTCAAATATTCTTATCAGCTAGAAGGTCTCGGGTGAATGTAGTGTGGCCCGCGATGGTAGCTCCACTCTAATGGCGCAAGTCCGATACTCCGCGTTGCTCCCTGACACGCATAGTTTAGAAATCCAGATAACAAAATAGCTCCAATATTTGTTGGCCTTAAGAATGTGATTTTCCCGGCTCGAATCTCATTTGTTTTTCTTCTTCTTCACCCAGCTCATACACCGTTGATCCACTAATCATGTCGGCGATTGACATCGAACATGTCCTTTCTGAGCTATCCCTAAACGAAAAGGTCTCATTACTTTCAGGTTTGTCCTCCTCGAGGCTGTTCCAAGCTCTTTTAGCTCCCCCAGCCCCCCCAGCTCACAAGGGAAATAGGAATCGATGGCTGGCACACATCAGGAATCCCACGACTTGGCGTCCCTTCAATCCGCATGTCAGATGGGCCAAATGGAGTTCGAGGCACGCGCTTTTTCAACGGGGTTCCCTCAGCTTGTTTACCCTGTGCCACAGCACTAGGCGCTACTTTCGACAAAGAACTTATATTTGCTCTCGGAAAGCTTCTCGGTCTGGAATGCAAGGCAAAGGGGGCCCATGTCCTCCTAGGGCCAACGATTAATATCCAGCGAAGCCCGTTGGGAGGTCGCGGGTTTGAATCTTTCTCAGAAGATCCTGTACTCTCGGGATCTTTGGCTACCAGTTATTGTTTGGGTGTTCAGACTGAGGATGTTATTCCGACACCCAAGCATCTTGTATGCAATGACCAGGAGCATGAGCGTGTTGCTGTTAATGCTCTTGTCACTGAGCGTGCGCTAAGGGAAATATATCTACTTCCATTCCAGCTCGTCATTGAGGGCGCCAATCCCCAGGCCCTTATGACATCTTACAACAAGGTTAACGGATGCCACGCTAGCGAGAGCCCTGATCTGCTCCAAGATGTTGTTCGGAAAGAATGGAATTATAATGGCCTAATCATGAGCGATTGGTTTGTCACTACTCCTCAAATTGTTACGTTCCATTGCTTACCAGAACAGGTTCGGTACGTACAGTGTGTCTGAGGCTGTCAATGCCGGTCTGGATCTTGAAATGCCAGGTCCATCTCGATTTCGGGGGCCGGGATTGGTCCATGCCGTCACGTCCAACAAGGTCTCGGAGAGGACTATCAATGATCGAGTTCGCAGTGTCTTAGATCTGGTGAAGCGAGCGGCAAGCTCGGGAATCCCAGAAAACGCACCTGAAACCCAACGAAATCTTCCCGAAGACAAGGCATTACTCCGCAAAGCAGCCGCCGAGTCAATAGTTCTTCTCAAAAATGACGATCATATTCTACCTTTGGATTTGACGAAAAAAACCCTCGTCATTGGTCCAAATGCCAACATCGCGGCGTATTGTGGTGGAGGCTCTGCCGCTCTGCCAGGGTATTATGCCATTTCACCCCTAGAGGGAATCAGCGGCAGCTGTACTGGGGGTGTAACCTTCTCACAGGGATTGTATGGCCACAAAGAGCTGCCCCTACTAGGTGAACAACTGAAAACCGAAGATGGCCAATATGGCTATACATTCAGCGTGTTTACCGAGCCATCTTCCAACAAAAGCAGAAAAGCGGTAGATATTCTACACATGAAGAGCAGCTCCGCGTTTTTGATGGACTACAAGCATCCGAAAGTACACTCCGACCTTTACTATATCACCATGGAAGGCATATTCGAGCCTTTGGAAAGTGGAATATACGACTTTGGCCTCACTGTAGCGGGTACCGGAGAGCTCTTCATCGATGGCGAGAAAGTAGTCGATAATAAGAACAATCAGCGACAGGGGACGTCATTCTTCGGAATCGGTACTCCAGAAGAACGAGGCTCCAAGTACCTCGAAGCAAACAAACGGTACAAAATTATGGTCGACTACGGGACTGCGCCGACTTCAAATCTGAAACTGCATGGAGTCGTGTCCTTTGGACCCGGTGGAGTGCGAGTGGGAGGGTGCAAGCGCATCGATGCAGAACAGGCCATTCAAGAGGCTGTGGATCTTGCAGCTACATTTGACCAAGTCGTTGTATGTGTTGGACTGAGTGGGGAATGGGAAAGCGAAGGATTTGACCGTCCGCACATGGATCTGCCGCCGATGTCAGATCAACTTGTTGAAAGAATTCTTGCTGTCCAGCCAAATGCTGCGGTTGTTGTGCAAAGTGGAACTCCTGTATCAATGCCTTGGGCTCGGGACGTAAAGGCTCTTCTTCATGCGTGGTATGGTGGGAATGAAACGGGAAATGGTATTGCGGATGTCATCTTCGGGAATGTGAATCCGGTAAGTACAAGCATGGAGCAAATTATAGATTATAACTCGACTAATCTTCGTTCAAGTCTGGCAAACTTCCTCTTAGCTTCCCAGAGTTTATCGAGGAAAACCCAGCATATCTGTCATATCGATCAGAAGGAGGAAGAGTGCTGTACAGCGAGGACATATACGTTGGTTATCGCTACTATGAAAAGGTCAAGCGAGAACCTCTCTTCAGCTTCGGTTATGGTCTCTCATACACGGCATTCCGACTTTCGGGACTAGGTACTTCTCAGCCATTGGCAGCTCGCAACAACATCAAGGAAGAAGTGTTGGAAGTTTCTGTCTCAGTTGAGAATACTGGAACTTGCAGCGGTGCAGAAACCGTTCAAGTATACATTTCACCACCTAACAACGCCAGCATTTCCCGCCCTGTGAGAGAGCTTAAGGGGTTCAAAAAGGTCAAGCTACAACAAAGTGAGAAAATGGAGGTCATGATTACTATCCCGATTGCTCTGGCTACCAGTTTCTGGGATGAGAGATCGTCCGCCTGGTTGAGTGAAGCGGGAGAGTACACTGTCACTGTCGTTGGAACGGGTGAGCAGAATATACTTTCAACAGGATTCGTGATTTGCCAGACAAGAGAGTGGACTGGCCTGTGTGGGCCTGTTATTACTGCTGCATCTCGGCATGTCAATGGAAACGGAAAGTAGAAGATGTTATAGACTGGAAATCGTACAGAGCTGATGGCATACATGATAATTTTAGCTTCGGCCCAGTTTCAGATTCATGCAAGCCAAATCAAATTGTCGGCATTTCAATGTTTTCCTTCGAACCTCGGAAGCTTTCTGACCTACAGGGCTCCGAGTCCCAGGCTGATCCAGTCATCTGGGCACTTGGAGACCTAGGTCCAGAGCCAGTCTTCGAAGTAGGATACTAAGTAGCTAGAATGTAGGCCCTAGAGTTACCTAGAGTTAAATACCATCGCAAAATCCGAACTATACTACTATCAATTAATATCCACTTTAGCATGAATACAGTTCTAGTAACTATATTGGCAAAGATACACTGATTTAATGGTATTTCTGAGAACACAATATTTTCTAGAATACAGCTACCGCGACTGTATTTTTAGAATACAGTACCCTTAATAACGCCATCGAATGACTGTTTTTTGTTATTACTGTGGGTTTGATAATATTATCAGTATAATTGTATTTTTACAGGTGTATTCCAATTTAGAATAGGTAAGCATCTGACAGGCGGGATGGCAGGCGTACGAAAAGTTGTACTAACATCCACCTCCAGCTTGAAGCCTGTCCAGGGTTGGCATCATGAATCATGATCTCAAAATCTTTATTTTGATCCTCTCTACCTAGGTAACAGACCTCAACCTTGGAGCCTGAATCCACTCCAGGGCTGGCACTGCCAAGAAAAATCACCCTGGTAGGAAAATGTACACAGATAACTGCAATTATGATATCTCATCTTATGTCTTAGGTAGAGGGTATATATATCACACGGACAAGATATCGCAAACAAAACCTTCCAACCGAACCGATCCACCCAAAATGAACCTAGGAAACGAAATAAAACAACCTCGAAAGGTTGGCAAACAAACACACACAATATTAAAGTCGATAGTAGGAAGAGACCCAACACCCACCTTCTCTCAAACCCCGCCAAAAACATCATAATAATAATCCTCATCCAAGCCATCCCTCCCCGGAACTGGCGGCGCCTCCCCAGCAAACGTGGCATCATCAAACCTAACATTCAAAAGACGAATCTTCAGCCCGTAATTACCAACCAGATCAATTAACTTGGTCGTCTCGGCTGTAATAGGTTGTTGATTGAGCAGCATCAGTAGTCCGTCCAACCATTCCGAAGCCTCGCTGTGTGAAGACGGTCGAAGTGTGAGGAGGACGATTTCCTTTTGCGTGGAGGCTGTGCGGTGGTGTTTGGATTGGCCGCCGTGGTTGGAGGGGGCGTAGCCGTGAATTGTAATCTTTGTCGCGGCGCGGGGAGCTGTTTTAACCGTTGACGTCGATGTATGATCCGGCGCAGAGATATTCGATACAACCGAAGAGACGGTAGATAAATCAACTATGGAGCGTTAGTTGAACCCTCAAGGCAGGATCATGATTCCAAGGGTGATGGACAACATACTCTTCTCCGGAAGAACATCCAACTCCGGCGCGCGATCCCCCAAATCACTAAACTCGCCAAAATGCAAATAGCGCCGGTTATGCGAAAGCTGCACATACTGATGCGTAGCATTCGACCTGACCCCACTATTCGCACCATCCTTCTCAATCGCAAACCACGCCCCAGCAAGCAAACACCTACTCCTCTGCTCCTTAACAAACTGCAACGCCTCATGATGCAATTCCTCCCTAACCTGCCGCAAATGCTGGCCCCACGCATCCTCATACGTAAGCTCAAGCAGCTCCATCTGCAACTCTCGCAAACGCGCATACTCATAATTAGCCAGTTCATCCTCCACATCCTGGACATCTTTTGTCCGACTCGCGCCACCGACAACAGACTCGATTAGAATACGAACAAGCTCAATGAGTTTATCCAGATCATCTATCTCCGCAGCAGTAGCCTTCCACATTCGGAAAAACGCTTGTAATCCCGCAACATGCAGACGGGTCCAGTGTAATAGTAACGGTCTGAATAGTCTATCGACACTGGATCGCGAATCGAGAAGCATGTAATTCTTCGAATCGTCCATTTCAGACTTATCGACTTCGAAATGCTCGTACAGGATGGACGTCACGGCCAGACTGGCGCGTGCGATGGGACAGCGTTGGCGCGAGGGTTTGGTCGATTGCTCTAGGAGCATTTTTTGAAATTCATCCTGGTGGCTGCGGACATAGTCTGCCAAATCCATCATGGCCAGAAAGCCGACGCCGTAGAATTCTGTGGCCGGACTCTCTGATTCGAAGCCCAGTCTGCGCCATTTCTCGGGATGGTGGCGTTTGGAACGTTTGGCGTTGTCGGCACCCTCTTTTTCCTTCTCCTTCTCCTTCTCGAGAACCTCTTCCGATCCTTTCTGATTACTGGCCAAATGAATCCCCTTCAATGCTCGCCTATGCTCAGGTTTCTCCTGATTCAGGGGAATCTCCTTCCACTTCCTAAGGAGAACCTTAGTAAGAGACTGAAACTCCAGCAACGGATGCGCCAAATCCTGCAACGCAGAGTCCTGCATAAGATCATAGACCGCGCGGATCACCCCAAGATCCTGCAATCTCTGTATAAACTTCGGCCACTCGGCCTCGGAGTCGTAGGTTATAGAGTCGCGCATGAGGGAGTTGATCAATTGCAATGCATTGGCGCAGAGTGCATGGTCAGCGGAGGACAGCCGGCTGACGAGCATTTCTAGGAATTGGGGATAGATCGCGATGGCGGGTTTCAAGGCGCGGAAGCCGAACATATCTGGTTGGGGCGAGTTGCGACCTCCGGCGTGGGGGTGGGAGACGACTGAGACGCAGATTGACATTGCGCCGCGGAGGATGTTGACTAGGGGGGTGTGTGACGATTAATTCGACGATCTGTGGGTGATATATCATATTAGCATGGTATTCATTTCATCTGTAGCGGTTCTTTCATCGGCTGTAGTGTGCATCCCATCCCATCCCATGCCAACAAAGACAGTACTCACCCTTTCGACCAATTCCACATCCACGCATTCCCAGCCTTTATCAACGTCCAGCAATCTGGAAAAACTCGTCAAGCTGTAAGCAAGAGTATTCCCACTGGCGTGCAGGGTGAGGTATCGCAATCGAGTCAGTCCTCCCTCCGCAATGAATAGGTCGGCGAAGGAGGGATCGCCAATATTGCCTTGCAGCTTGAAGACGGCCATTTTGCGGACGGCATCTTCATCGCTGCCCAGGCGCTCCACCAATTCGGCGACATTGACGTTCTCCATAGAGGAAGGAAGATACTAGTACTCCTAGCCTCTGTCCACGGGTGTTGGAGTGGAGTGGAGGAGGAAAGGAAGTGCGGAGGAAGTTCGGAGCGAAGGCGGCGTCAGGGGAAGTGGGGCCAAAGGGTTTACTTTGATTTAGTTTATATTCACTTTATATTCAGTTTATACATGTATTAAGGGTTAGGGATTATGGATAGATTATTTGTAGGTACGCAGTTTAGTGAAACTCGTTTGTACATTACTAGTTATTCGTCATACATAGGGCAGTGCCCGGGGAATCAGGGAATCTATATACAAACACCAACCAACCAACTCCAGAGAGAGACAATGCTAATGCAGATGCAGGCAGACCAGGCAGATGCGACAGATCAGACAGAGCAGAGTAGAGCCCAGGGGACACCGATCCTACTACTCCTACTGATGCTACTGCCTCACCTCCGCCAGCCAACATTCCAAATAACATGGGCAATATCTCGCGCAGTATTCACCGTATCAACCACACGACCAAGGAGACCATTACTAACAGGTTCCCCTTCACCGACCTCCCCCTCCCCCGTATGGCATAAACATACCCGAGGTGGTGAGTCGAAGTGGTCGATTGGTCATTTCGTCCTCATCAGGGACAAACCACGGCTGATCCTGGGTGCGATAATGACCTGTAAAATCGAGACTCGGGTCTTCATCATCGTCATCAAGGAGGAAATTGGCGGAGGATTGAGAATGAGGAGGGCGGAGGGTTTCCACGGAGGGAGTGGGTGATAATTTTGTGGAGTTAGAGGTAGAGGTGGAGGGTTGAGAGGATGGAAGAGATGACCAGCGGTCAAGGATTGACATTGACTCGCGTGGTTCCGGGGTATCGCCGCGGTATTTGAGGGTGGTGGAGGGTAAGGGGGCGATGATTTTGCTGTCGCTGCTGAAACTGTTGCGTGGGGTACTTCGGTTGCTGAGAGATGCTTGACCGGAGATCTCTCGCATCATGACTACTCCGTCGTCAGACGAAGACTCGTCATCCACTGCTGGCCAGCCTTCATCACTTTCCTTGACGTCGACTGCAATACACTGCTCCACCTCATCGTTGAAGTGGATGTGTCGCCGCTCACTGGGGGAAGTCATGCCAGAGGAGGAAGTGGTGAGAGTGCCACCGAGGGAATATGTCGAGCTCCCCGTTCGGTGATGAATTTGATCGAGGTCTGTATTGGATCGGGGGAATGGTGGACGCGACCATCCATTTGCCTCTTGGGCCTTGAGGATGGCACCCGCATGCTGGAGGAGGGTATGTTGGGAGAGGGAGCGTTGGAGAATAGCTTCGGAGGCGGTTTTCTTTTTTAAGATGGGCTTTGGCTCGTAGGAGTTGGGGGTTTCCAGACGGCTTGGAGGGGGGAACTGTGGGAATCGGCGGATGTGATGGTATCAGTTGAGACGGAAGTTTTGAGGGGACCATAGAGCCAAGTGACATCACAGTCCTTGAGCCTGGTATTGTTAGCGCAGATCTTCTGATGAATGCAGAGGCCACTCACCAATTTAAAGTCTCTGGCGAGATGGTTCCGAGGTTATTCTTGGCTTTGGCCCATGTCCTCCAAGAGGCATTTTCCAGTCGGACGCCATTACTGTAGTCACCTCTGCGGGCAGTCACATATCGCCAAGAGGCCCAGATATCCTCTTCCTTCCATTCATGGGCAAGATAATCGACATGACGCGATGGCTCATCCTCAACTGAGGTATCGTCGGCAGCGGGGTGCAAGATTGTGGAGGGAGATGAGAGCTCCGAGATGTCGCTGAGGGCATCGAGATCTTGTATTTGTGTCTGCGTCACTGATTCTGACTCTGGCTCCAGCTCTGATTCCGATTCTGTCCCTGGCGATACCTTGTCGGAAGGGAGTAGTTCCTCGTCTAGCGATAGACTGCTGAGAGAAGGTGTGTAGAGGGGATGGTCGGCAGTCGGGGTGAAGTTCGGAGAGGGCGGAAGGGAAGATTCAGTGGAGGCGACGGGACTAGGAGAATCGTGGGGGAGGAAATCATGTTGCATGGGGGATTTTGAGAGGGTATTATGATGGAGATCGAGGAAATATCTCTGAGTAGTAGGCGAACGTAAGGGATCTGGGGAGAACGACCGGGGGGGTTGCCAGGGCCGTCATGGCTGGGGGGTAGTCATGTGGTGGAGAGTAGATCAGAGAGTAGTTCGGGGGGGTTAGGGTTTTAGGGAGAAGAAAGAGAGGAGGGTTTGCAAGTCAAGTGATGTGAGGGTGTGAGGGCGAGGGTGAGGGTGAGTGGTGAGTGGTGGTGGTTGAAAAGGAGGAGAAGAGAAGAGGGAAGATCCGCAAACAGAGAAAATGTGGGGAGATTCCAACTTCAACTCTACACACTTTCCAAGGTTGACACTTCTCTCTCTTTTTCCTTTTTTTTTCTACTTACCTTCCAGGAGTGCTTCTATATACTTGAATCAAGTTCTATTTCTATTTCTATTTTGTTTTTTTTTTCTGGTTTTTCCTTCCTCATTTTTCCTCGTTTGCCACTGACAATCCCACTAGTGCAGCGCACCGGCCCCAGTTACAGTTACGATGGCCAGACCTTCGATTATTCCCCACTTTTGCGTCCAGTGGAGCCTCCGAGTCAAATCATGGAATGGAATACTCTCAAGGTATCACCGCACAGAACCAGCAGGGTCTGAGCACAACACAATGCATGGTGGGTGGCACAGGTTGACCAGATTTTAGGATATCTATGCCTATCGAGATATCCTCCATGGACCATCATGGATACATTGTGCATTCTACTATTGCCGACTCTCGGAGTATCAATGGTGACAACCTTGGAAATCTTGGAAGTAGCACTGGCACTCCACTATTCGACCAAGATACTGCTACAGAGACAAAGACAAGACAAAAATACTGCCCTATACTGATCGACTCGTCTCGACCCACTAAACTCTGAGCACAGGCCTGGCCCCGGACACTTGTTGGTGCCGAGAAGATAAGCTCGAGATTTGTGCCATCGAGGCCGATATGATCGATGACTATGAGGCTTGAGGGGAACCAATCGAGGGAAGTGGCGGCATATCAGACACCCGTCCAAGGCTAGTCAATCAGCCTGGTCCTGACTGGACTGGTACTGGTACGGGTACTAAATGGAACTGAACTGGAACTGGAACCTTCAAAGTCTCCTCCTATACTATCTCAAGACTTCAAGTTAACTCCCGTTGACATTGTCAAAGACCAACTTACCACTTCCACCACTCCACCACCACCACACCAGGATTGCATCACGCACGGAGCAGCACCAAAGCTAACATAGCTCGTCGTACTCCTAGAATTGCCTTTTGTCTGTGCGCTTGCAGCCTGGGCAACTGGTATTGTCGTTGTCGCCGAGAGGACCAGGCCATGATTGGTCCAGGCTTAAACCCTCCCAGCATTTAGTCGTCCGTCATTCTCCGGGCCCTCGCACCAGGCCCGTGGGCCAGTGACAGCGCCGCATTGCTGCATGTCTTCTTCGTGGAGGCGATGAGTTCGGGCCCCGGCGCCAACACCACCGTTGAAACCAAGGTGCGCTACTGCGTCTAGATCCACTATCAAGAGCACGTCGTTCTGGCCCACCATGATGGACTGCACCCTCACTATGAAGTAGCCCTCCGTACTCAACTCAATCCTGCATAACGTTCACAGTGGATCATCCGCGGAGATGAGATGATTCAATCATGGCGAGGATTGTGCAAATTGACGCGAATCCCCACGGGCCCCCACGACCCACGACCCACGACCACACCCCTGACGCCTCGGAATTGCGGAGCCACCAGCCGGTCCTTTCACATCGATCGACTAGGAAGGCTTGAAGGTGAACGAGTTTGAGATCACCATCGGTCTGTGCTGACTCCCATCTTATCCGTTTCTGGGAGTATCTTGGTGCATACGGAGAACCTTCAACCCAGCTATCTTCATGTAATGTCCCTATCTCGCTCATCCTATCTCTGTTTCCGTCCCATTCCCATTGATATCTATTTTATCTCTGCCGCGGGGTCCCCATTCCTCCGCTCTTCGGAGTATTCACCTTAACGCCTGCTCCACACCTAAGCTACTCTACTCCACCTGGTTTCCTGCACATCGTACTTTGTCAACGCACTTGTACCTACATCCTCTACTCCGTACTAGGCGGACATTACTTTCCACTACTGCGCGTCTTACCAGGGTCCCAGCCACGGTGGAGTCACCTATCCCACTGGAACCTACTTATGCACAACACTGACCTGACACTGACATTATCTTATCGGAGCTCAACGGCTACCTGACGCAGCTGCGTGCGGATCTATCATCACCCGGGCACCAATTGCACGGATCGGATCGGAGCAGTGCAGTCCAGCGCAGTCGCTATCTCGCTCTCGCTTGCTTTCGCCCCTCGGTCGCAGACAGCAGCTCGACCGTTAACATGCATGGCCCCATTGACAAACGGGCAGGCAGGAAGCACGCAGGCGAGCAAGGCTCGGCCAGGCTTTGGTTGGCTCTTGCCCAGTCGGTCTCAGTCGGCCCCAGCTTCTCTCGTCACGTCAATCCTCTCGGTCCTCCTTCCTCGTCTCCTTCCCCTCCCTCTCATCCCTGGCGATAACAACGGTGCATTGTCCTTCTGTCACTGGGCGGGGTTGCTCGTTTCGTCTCAGATACGGAGATGGTGAGCGATATGATCTGCATGGTGTGTTGTCAAAGTATGATTTACGAGTAGCGTAATTAGATACGCCTCAGCGATTACCCATTAGCAATTGACCAGTAGCATCTATCCATCCATCCATCACAATCTGTCTATATCCAGTGTATCCCATGTATCCCGCAATCCCGGGCCGAGATTATTCGACCGGATCACGGGATCAAGTCACGTGCAACTCATCTTAGTCAGCGCCCCGCACCGCAAACCGCCCGCACTGCCTCAGCCCGCCAAAGCAGCCGCCTTAGACTAACCTGACTTGAATTTCATTAAAATGGCTGAAGTCGCAGATACACCCGGTTCTCTGGAGCCGCAGGCCCGACACATCGTATACTGTGGAGGTGAGTGAATTGAGCTGAGCTCATCGAGTCGACTTGAGTGAGGACCCTGTGGTGGTATGGTGGGCTGTTCCTTTCCTTGCTCGCCGGATGGAATTCGTTGCTGGAAGAGCTGGCCAGACCAGGCTGGATCTCTGAACCCCACCCCTTCTGTGACACACAGTACAGTACCTTGTACACATTGCGAGTCTTGGCTAACGCAATACCTCTCTAGTATGCACTCTACCGCCCGAGGTATGTACGCAATCAAACATTCCCATCCCACGTTCGATATGATTCGATATGATAGCAAGCTCAACTAGCTCCTATCGCTTGGACCTCGACCCCGACCTCTTTCCGAAACACAAACGAATCCAGACAAACAAAACAGGCCTGACCAATCTCATCTCTAGTATTGCGAGTTCGGCGGCACCGCGAAGAAATGCGAAGAATGGCTCGAGGCGAAACAGCCTGATCTTTGGACAAGATTATACTCAGAGGGTGAGCTCCACTCCTCCCACCTTATACAATTATACAATCGTACAATTATACACTGCATCGGCATCTGCATCAGTATCAGCATACCCCGATACCTCGACTATCATCCTCAACTCGTCCCGCTCCACCCCCATCTTTATCACTACCCCCCCTTCCCCACCCACTCACACCCAAACAATCCCATCTAACACCCCCTCCAGACGCAGTAACAGCCAACCTCTCAACCCTTTCCCTCTCAGCCCAAGAACGCGCCGCCAAAGACGCCGCCAAAAAAGAAGCCCGCGCCGCCCAATCCGAAGCCCGCGACGCCGAACGCAAAGCCGCCTCAAAGATCCAAATCAAGCGCGTCGAGCGCAACAAACGCAAACACGTCACCGTCCTCGTCGGCCTCGAAGTCTTCGGTCTAGAAAATAAGAAAATCGCCAAGGATCTCGGTAAGAAGTTTGCTACGGGGTCGTCTATGACACGCTCCGCCGCGGGGACGGAGGAGATTACCGTTCAGGGAGATGTTAGTGAGGAGATTCGGGAGTGGTTGCTTGAGGTGCATGGGGATAAGGTTCCTAAGGGGAATATTGAGTTGATTGAGGATAAGAAGAAGAAGAAGGCTGATGCTGCGGCGGGTTTAGCCTGAGTCCTATACCTTGAGGGTGGGGTGTGATGTGATACAACTATGGGATGAATTGATTGCATTGAGTGCGGGTTGGATGACATACGATTTCATTATGGCTCTGGGTATCATGACTAAATAGCTTCAAACGCTCAAATGTTTCTGTACAGTGGTAGTTCCGAGCTTGACTATAACTCGTCGAGAACCCGCAGGGGATCGTAATCTGTGTCCGTAGCTTTCGCCTTCGCCATTGCTTGCGAACTCGAACTTGACCTCCTCGAAACCCCCCCAATCTCCATCTGTAGATCTCGCCTGGAGACTCTCCCGCCGATCCGCAAGACTGGCCGGATACCAAGCCTCACCCTCCACACGATCATGAAGAATAGACTCAACAACAGCATCCGTAGAAGCAAGAACAGAGTCCGCTCCAGCTTCATATTGACTGCACCGCGCCTCCTCCGCCTCCACCAACCCCGATCCCAATCCCAATCCAGAATCCCCCTCCCTCCCCCCCGGGCCAATTCCTCAGGAAAATCCCCAAAAGCACAACCAAAACCGCCGACCCAACAACAGCCCAGAAAATCCTCAATCGCCGACTGATCCTCTCCTGCCACTCCAACTCCCTCCGCTCCCAAGACTCAATCTCACACCGTACATCCTTCAGCCGTTTCCCCAGATCCTCAAACTTCTCCCTCCCAACTCTCATCCTCTCCTCCAACGCAGCAGCCTTCTCACTTTGCGGCTCAAAGCCCTTTAACTCGATAATCTGTTTTCGAACACCAGTGTCCAAAGAAGCCGTCTCCCTCTCAAAATCATTCAGAAATGACGCCGCCGACTCGGATAATTCCTGAAACGAGGCTATCGTCGCATTCAAGCCCGTTATCCTCTCTAGAAGATTATAGTATGTGTAATCGAGTCGTCGCGTAACGTCCGTAGCTTGTGTCCCCGTTGACGCCAGCGCCGAACGTAAATACCTGCATGGTAATTAGCTTAACTTAACTTTACTTATTCACTCCTCGGTAGTAAACGGAGAAAACATACGATTCACCAACCTTCCTCCTCCGCTTAACCCTCTCCAAATCCTCCATACACTGAATCTGGGACCGAATCGGTCCCAAATGCTCATTTTGCTCGGGGACATCGAGTAAACTGCCCCTCCTTTCGGACCAGCGAGATGACCTCGTCTCCGTTGGTCGGAGGAAATCGTCGCGGTCTTTGTCGCGGCGGGATTGGAGGAGGCCTCTCGCACTTGCTGAGGCGAGACTCATAGGGCGGAGACGGAGATCACGGGATTTGGAATGTTTGTGTCGTGGTTTGTTCTCGGGGGGATGGTGCTGGTGGTGGTGGTGGGTGAGACTTAGGAATGGGTCGCGGCGGGAGAGTCGGTGACGTGGTTCGGGGGATCCGTGGTTTTGGGTGGGGGCGGTTGAGCTTGGGGTGGATGTGGTGAAGGAGGATGATTCTTGGAGGCCTTTTGGCTGGCTTAGTCTGAATGATGATCCTCCTAGGGAGGTGGTGTGTTTGTGTTGGACATGGCGAGGGATAGTTTTGTCTGCAAACGGAGTGGAGACGTCATTAGGTCGGGGGGTGGTTGAGGGTGATTTGTGGGTTAGGGGGAATGTTGCGGAGACGGTTCGGGTGTGTGCGAAGGGGGTAGGACGGTCCATTTGGGCATTATATTCTGGGAAGTGGGTGTAGTCTTGGAGAGGATGAAAAGAAGATGTGAGGAGGTGAGATGGAGTGAAGTGCGGAGGAGACGCGGAGGCGCCAAGACGATCGACAGGCAGTTGCGCAGCAGCAAAGCCACAGTGTTTACAGTCTACAGTTTACAGTACACAGTGTTATACTACGCGAATAATTAGAACAAGCTGCTAGTTTTGTAATTTAAATAATTGCTTTTATGTAATGGATCGCTATGAACTGAATCGAATCCTCAAACACTCCCAGAAACGCCAGTGCCCAACGAGAATTAGCGGTAGCTGTACTAGACAGCAGCTAGCTGAGCGCAGCCTAGCATAGCTGTGCTGTGCTTTGCTGTGCTGTGCTGTGCTAGCTTGCTGTAGTATCCGGATAATGCAGGTAGATGGAGTGTATCAATGTACATCATGCAGATACTCCACCTTATGAGTTGAGAAGCTTGTTGCGCTTCTCTCTGCGCTTCAAGCGCTCGACGCGCTTGGCATGCATCTTCTCGGCCATCTTCTCGTAGCGGAGCTTCTCCTCCTTAGCAGCGCGCTTATCCTTGATGCGCTGGATGTGGGCCTGGAGAGGGTCAGCATGTTATCGTGGGATGGCAGGGTGGCAGGGTGGCAGGGTGGCAGATGGTAGCATGATAGAGAGGGGATAAGAACATGAGTTGCATCCAACATTAGGGCTTTAGGGATAGAAAAAGAAAAAAAAAAGGAAGTAATAGCAGTGATAGCTATCCAAGTACCCACCTTACGCTCGGCCTCTTTCTCCTCCTTCATCTCACGCTCCAACTCCTTCACGGCCTTTGCCTGGTCCGAGGCCTCCTTCCGCTTAGCGTAAGAGGTCAAACCGGAGTTCGGGCGGAAAGGCTTTTTAGAGGAATCATGCCAATTCTTGCCTGAAAAGGATTGGATTAGTCGGAGTTAGGGTGGAGTGGGGACATGGAGTTGGAGTTGGAGTGACATACCGTTCTTGCGCATGCCGGTGGACTTGGGAGCCTCGGCGGCTGGCGCGGTGGCCGTGGCCGTAGACATTGTAGAAAGTGTGTGGGTGGGTGGGAGTATGATTGAGGGTATCACTGTGTTTCGAGCAACTGTAAATGTACCACTGTGACAGTTGTTAAGTGGATGCAGAGTTGAATAAGATAGACCGAGTTGGTCCTGAAGTCGGAAGTGAAAATTTGCTCGGAGATTATCAGATCGAGATAATCAGCCTTGGCACCCGCTAACACGAATTTCCTTCACCAACACTGCCTCATTCACCACTGACAACCTTTCTCTCTCTCCACTTCTCCCTGGACTCCATCCACAGTCCCGCTTTCACCGTATTTGGCGCCAAAAAAGACCAGTTTTCTTGGAATCTGACGACCTCGCTTCTGCAAGACTCTTGGCTTACTCCATACTGGCCGACTGTCTCATTCACCGCCAAATCCCCTCTTTTTTTCCGGCCCCTCTTTGACTCTCTGCCTGACGGGCCCGATCAAATCACTCACTCTTAAATACTTCCCCTCCCTTCTTTATATCTGCTCTCTCCTGCTTTACAAAATCATGCTTCTGCGATAGCCCCGTTCATCCACCCCCTCTCTTCCTCTCCCCCCTGGACTCTTAAGCCTTGATGGCGACGGCCGAGCATGCAATCACGGTCAATGAAGCGATGGAGTTGCCCGCCCTCCCGCCTAACCAGGGGGTCGAGGCTATGAAGGATATCGTCTTCGGATCGGTGAGTTCCACAGTTTATCAGCATTGCTGGGCATCGTTGCACTCCGCAGTACCCCCAGCACTCCATCGCAGTGGCAAATGACTCACTATCTTCTCCCCAGTCCGCAGGAATGGCAGGAAAACTAATAGAATACCCCTTCGACACCGTCAAAGTCCGCCTCCAATCCCAACCCGAACATCTCCCCCTCCGCTACACGGGCCCACTAGACTGTTTCCGCCAGTCCTTCCGCGCCGATGGCCTCAAGGGCCTATACCGAGGCATATCAGCCCCCCATGACCGGCGCCGCCGTCGAAACAAGCTGTCTATTCTTCAGCTACCGCATAATCCAAGACGCCCTCCGAGCAACCGTCTTCCCAGGCGTTGACCACCTCCCCTTCGCCGCCCTCCTCTTCAGCGGCGCAGCATCAGGCTCAATAACCTCCCTCGCCCTCACCCCAATCGAACTAATAAAATGCCGCATGCAAGTGCCCACCTCAACATCAGTCCAACCCCGCCCCCTCGCCCTCGTCGCAGAAATCTTCCGCCGCGAAGGCCTAATCGGATTCTGGCGCGGGCAGCTAGGAACCCTAATCCGCGAAACCGGCGGGTCGGCTGCCTGGTTCGGCGGCTACGAAGGCGTCAGCTCACTATTCCGCGCCCACAACATAAAAACATCCCCCGACACCGACGGCACACTTTTCCTCCACCAACAACTCATCGCCGGCGCAACAGCGGGAATAAGCTACAACTTCCTCTTCTACCCAGCCGACACGATCAAATCTCGACTTCAAACGGAGGATATCTCGCTCCGGCAGCCCGGTGCCCAACGGCAGACTTTTTGGTCTGTTAGTCGGGCGTTGTGGAGGCAGCAGGGGTTTAAGGGCATGTATCGTGGTTGTGGAATTACGTGCGCGCGATCGGCGCCGAGCTCGGCTTTTATCTTTTCTGTTTATGAGGGGTTGAGGTCGTTTTTTGGTTGATGGCTTTGGTTGCCCTTTGGTGATTTGATGTTCTGCATATAGATTTTGTTTGGGCATAGTTGTTTGCTTTTGTTTTATACCCATAAAAAAGATATTGTTGTGATATAGATTTTGAATGGATTATGAGTGTTGAATTGTTTGTCGACTAGAAGAGGGAATGGACTAGTTGCACTAGTAAAGTGTCATTTGTCTTCCCTCTTGCCAGTGATGGTGTCTATCAAACCTGGAACTACGACTTGAAAGTACTACCCGCAGAATCAGGCTGTATACTCCGTAGGTATGCAGTATAGGATAAACTTGGAGACGATCATATACAAAATCAGACAACGTGACGATGAGAAATTATACTCGACCAATCAGAGACCCACAACAATGAATGAGGCATATTCAGCCCACACATTACTGGGTGATCGCAAGGTACGAGTTCTTTATGATCTCGCAGCAGCCAATTACTTTGCAACAATTGAGAAATTTATTTCCCTTGTATCCATCCATTAAACTCAATGCCGCCTCCAGGGCTCGGCTGGATGCGTTGAGATACCCGATGCGAAAAATGCAGCCACGTTCTACTAGTAAATGGGCTGTACCTAGGTCTGGTACAGTCCAAAATTTGGTCTCTGGGGCCCTTACCCCTCAAATTCAAGTTTTCATCATTCAGCCCAGTAGGAACCATCGAATTGCAAAAATATATTTCAGCTTGAGGTCCTCTGGCCAGTGGCCATGTTGAGGAGCCGGGCACAGCTATGTAGATCCACGTTGTGTTATACTACATAGCTTTGCTCAAGTTCAAGTTCAAACGAAACGTCGTGAATGCTACCAAGATTCCCAGTATTAGATGGAATTACTACTGGTATTTCTTGTTTCTGTTACAATCAAGCAGTCGGTGGAGAACTTGAACCTTGTAAGGTACTACTAGTAGTACCTAAGTATCAGCAGAAACCCGAGGATTCCCGGCCCACTGGCAGTCATGCATACTATCCCAATGTGTTCCTTTCTCACCCCAACTTCCAGAAGACACGCAAATTCCCGAGGTCCTTCAAGTTCCCCGCAGATTTATATATATCCAAAGCATACCTAAGCAGCAACCTTACCAAGACCTTCAAGCCAAGGTTCCTCCGAGTCATCCTCACAAATCCGCAAGGACCTCAATCAATTGATACAATTCGCGCCCCAGATCACCATTCACTCGATATCTCTCCGAAAGAATCGAATAGTCCGGAAGATCACTCGTTTCCGTCCAAGATCCAACAATACTACCAATATCATCAAGCTCATCATCAATACGGACCTCACGAATAACCCTTCGAAAGCCATCCAAATACAGTACCAGAAGCTTTCCCGTCTGGAAGGCTTCCTGATCTGCAACAACCATATACGTGCTCGTAACAACTTTCTGTAATGCCATCCCAGTCGATTCAATCACCGAATCCCGCTCATGAAGCCACGCTGCAGGATCATCCTCTTTAGCGGTAGCAAGATCTCTCTTGAAATAGATATACATATTCTTCAGGATATCATCCCCTGGACCAGGGACACGCTTGACTACACACTCACCATCACCAGAACGAACTTGAAAAGGCTGTAACAAAAGCGGACCAGCAAGCTCAGGTATAATATCATAGATCTGACGCCATGACTCCGAACCAGGCCCAAAATTAAACAAGTCCTCACTATCAAGAACAGCCCATTCCGCCTCTTCTCCAAATTTTTCCGTATCGATCCATTCTTCCATTTGCGTATCATCTTTGACTCTCTGGTCTGAGTTCAAGGCACTGTAATAAGTCCGCAAGAGATAGGGACATATATGATCCGGAAACGGATACATCGCGTACCATCGCAAATTTTCACAGCGATAAGGTCGAAGAATGATGTCGATTTCTTCAGTTGTGGGGAGTCGAAATCCGGTACCCTGGGCGGGAAGATCTTTCAAGTCAGGCATTTTGAACCATTTAAAGGGGAGAGTGTTTAGATTGAGAAATTAAGTGACTAGTCTGCTTCGTTGTTGGTTTGGTGTTTTCGTCGAGGAGAAGGACCAGTTTTGTATGAAGTATTGCTCAATGGGTAATTCACCCCAAGCGGGCCCTGTCTTTTCCGATTCGGACATGATGGTGTATGGTGGAAGTATCGTAGAGCAGAGAGTCCTGGGGAATAAACAACGGAACTTGAAACGATTCAAGCGGGGCTTGGGGAAACTGTTTAGATAGGTTGCCAAGATAAATAGCCTCTATTTTGGAGGGCTCATCTGTTTCATTGGAACTTTTTAATGTTACTGTAGGTATTACTAGAGCGACGGTAATCATTTGAATGCACAAGTCAAGCGGGGATTCTTTTGGGTCTTATAGGCACCTGCGGGTGAAAAAGGTAATACAACATTGGTATGTGTGCCCAGCGAAGTAATAGAGAAGAGTACACAGAAAGGCGAAAATTATCAGTGGCGAGAGAGAAATAATTGGAAGTAGCTAGATATAAAGAATTTGTTTCTGTGAGAGGCCCCGGAGCGCATGAATCAAGTACACAGTAATTATAGCAGCCCTGGAGTTGAATCGAGATATGTGCAATTTTTATCCTTGTTACGTTTAGGCGCCAACTTGAAGCTATTCCAATTCTAGGACTCAGCCTTCAACCCCCACATTGGGCGTACAGTGTGGCCCACTAGGCCTATCCGCCAGTCTTATTCCCTGTTCTAAGGCCGCGGTCACCTGATGTTGAACACTTCCCCTCCTTCAGCTGAAAATAAGATAGTGATTACTGTGGTTAACTTCAAACGACACAATTTCTGTCAATATGGCCTCGTCGAAATCCAAGTCATTTGGGGCCAGTAACAGTGGAAAGCAGGTCACCCACAACGTTGGTACAGTAAAAAATGGCCTAGGGAGATATCAAGTAGGTGAGTCGGGAACCCGACATCCATCTGTGGTCCGACCGCTAAAGAGCACCACCCAACCTAGAGCCTTCGCATTTTAGTACAGTTCCGTTCGCTCGTGATCTACAATTCATTGACCGTAGAGCACTATTCGCTCAACTCCAGCTGAAAGGCTCCGCTCCAGCAACGATAGCACTACTCGGAGGTAGTCGCAGTGGGTGGGTTAAAGACGGCTCACTTGTTATGCACTGCTAATACCAAGAAGAAAATCACACCTAGCTATCGAATACTGTTATCGAATCCGTGACCAATCCCCAGAACCTGGGTTTTCTGGATCGATGCGAGCAACGCAGCGCGCTTCGAACAAGGCTACCGGGAAATTGCAGCCCGAGCTTGGGTTCCTGGTACAAAAGATCCTGACGCCAATGTATGTCAACTTGTCATTGAATGGCTCCAGAGAGGAAATTTGGAGAAATTCATACTTATTGTCGATGGTCTCGATGATAATCTTCTTCTGGAACGCCCGTCACTCCTGAAATTTTTGCCTCAAAAGTCGAGCTATGGCTTTATCATTGTGACAACACGGAGTAGAAATATGGCTTTAATGGTTGCCGAGGAAAGCGATATCATTTCGATAAAGCCGATGAACATGTCACCGAAGAAAGCAGCAATGAGGAAAGGAGAATCAAAAGGCTCAAGTCAAGCTCCTGGCGTTATCGCATCAGGATTCGCAAACTCGAGGCTGCAGGATGGAATAGAAAAGAAAAAGTATTCTCATGTCGTGGCAGTCGGCCCCAACAAGAGTACTCCGAGTCGTGAAAGGATACGTCAACACATGGAAAAAATGAAGATGGACTCAAAGATTGATTTTAATCCCCGGTGCACTGAACATGTCGGCCACGGAGGGTTCGCCCAGGTCTTCAAAGAACCAGGAGCCCTTATTGGCATCAGAAAGCCGTGGGTTGCTGTCAAGCGCATTCTTAAAGGACATAGTAATGCACCGTTTGCCATCGAGAAAGATGAAATCGTCCGGGAGATCGTCACGGCAGCAGACCTAATGAAGGAGCAGGTAAGTCGCCGAATGCCTTACCCATTGAGGTCTCCTTCTAATGAACATTGCAGAGCGACCTTTTCGTGGAGTTCTTCGGGTGGAGTGAAGATGATAATTTCGTCTTCCTGGCTATGGAGTATGTTGAGCTGGGTGATTTGAAAGCAAATTCCCATTCACCGTGGGCTGAGCACGATACGAAGCTGATCATGCATCAATTATTGGAGGGGCTAGTGAAAATGCACCGGGAAAATATCGCGCACCGCGATCTTAAACCACAGGTGGGTGGAAATTTGGATATCATGATGCTCAACTTGAGTGCAACGAAAAATACGCTAATTCGAAGCATAACAACAGAATATACTTCTCATTTCTCGCGATCCACCCCGTGTCAAGATTGGCGATTTTGGTATCTCCAAGCGGGTTCCCAAAGACAGCTCAACGAGATATGATACTAGATACAGTAGTGGAGGATACTGTGCCCCAGAGATCACGAAGGGAAAAGCAAAAGAGCAGTACACAAAGGCCGTGGATTTATGGTCCTTGGGATGTATTATGTACGAGATGGTTGTGGGAGAAAGACTTTTTCGGGACGATGTACACGCAGCGTATGAATATGGCGATATCATATCAGGTCTAGAGAGTACTATGAGTCGGAAATTCAGCGAGTATGGGATGAGTCTCCTGATGTCGCTGATTGCAAATAATCCCGCTGAAAGACCTAACGCGGAAGAGGCACTGTCACACATCTGGTTCCGCTGATAGGTAGTATAAAATCAAATTTTCCTGTCATAGACTGAGAAATCATACACACGGCCTTTGTTTAAACATGCAGTCAAGGTGATTGGCAAATTTTTATATATGGCTTGTATGGATTAATTTTTTTGCTGCAAGTGAGAGCGCTATGCATATCTCTAACGATTCAGAGAATACCTAGAATACTAGTAGTACTTCTTTTCAGAAGTCATTCTTGCAACTTGGATCATGAGGCTATGTGCCTGCTCGGCAATAGCTCAGCATAGCTAGCCAAGTACCACCCAACATTATAGTGGCAGAAGACTTTTGACACTCATTACGATAAGGCGTTCGTCATATCTTCTAATGGGTCTAGCACCTCCTTAACAAAGTCCGCGTCCTTTGCTATCGACTCCCTTTTCACATCTAGGCACCAAGCTACCAATTTCTGATACCTGGCGCCAACTCTGGCCTCTAAATTCAGGCATTCTCTCAATAGACCCTCTCGCCAGGTGACAGAATCATCGGACAGTCTCCTCATAATCATTCCCATGGGCTCCCAGAGGCCTATTTGGAGTAACACTACGCCAAGGCTGTATATGTCATAGTTCTTGATGTATCTTTCGCTTTTGTTCCCAAGAAGCCTGTCTGGGTGTTGAAAGACAGCGAAGTCCCAATTCTTCCCAGCCAAGCCAGATGCTCTGATATTAGACGTATCGGTTCCCTCTAGTTTGGTTACCATGTCACTAGTGCGGATCATGTCGAAGCCCATCAGATAGGGGCGCCCGATCGAGAACGGGAATTTCGCTTTGTGATCCTGATCGGCCTTTTCCAGAATCACAACACTCCTAGACGTAATATTTTTGTGAACGAAACCTGCAGTATGGAGGAAAAATATTGCCTCTGTAAGCCTGTGTGCTAGTTGAAGCCGTTGGTCGAGCGGCACATAGACACGCGGGAATGGCGACCTGTCTAGCCGTGACTCCAGAGTGTTCATCGAATCAATCTTATACGGCGCAGTTTGAGCGAAGAAGAACCGCCGACTGGGAACATCCAAGAAGTAATGAGAAATCTGGAGTAGACCTATATTCATAACAGGGTCCAGACAGTTGAGTGCGACGGCGAGCTGGCCCAGTCCGCAGACTAGGCTGTCAAACTCGGAATTACCGGGCACAATACCGGGTGGAAAATTCCGGCTAGCTAAAATGCATTGATCATTGCCAACATGTATAGGCTTGATTGAGGTGTAGTTGGAAACTGCCCTGGTTATCTCATCTGGAGGCGTGCACTTTAGCATACTGTGAACCTTCTCATCTCTTGCTCCTTGAGGGAGATTTAAAAAGTCTCGCAGTTGCATGTTTGCCCGGATAACAGGCGGTATAGGTGCATCAATACATTCTGAAGCCGGTGACACGAATTTGAAGTCCGCGGGTAAGGCGAGGAGCTTTATATCAAATCGGTTGGACCATTCGTAGAGCTCTGCCTCGAGTTCCTGGAGTTCGCTCCGCCGACTGATCCACAACACCTGGTTGCGCCCTCGCTGGAGCCATCCGGATCCTTGGATCTTGCTCATATTACCAGCGGCCTTTCCGGCTAGCTTTGCTAGGTACTTTGCGGTACTTTCAAGAAGTTCCTCATCCTCGTCGGAGAGCTCATGTGTCGGGTTCTGCTGCCGCCTCTCCTCAAAATACTGGATGATTTTATTAACCACCCGGAGGTCCCAGTTGAAGCGATGGAAGAGGGATTCCGCATCACTAGAATACGCGGCGTTGGCAGACAGGAACTTGAGTATGATTGCGAAAGCCGGGAATACTGTTCCGAATATATCCATGGTAATAGCCACTTCTCACAAGTTGGATGCGAAGGGGTTAGGGATTTCCCACGTGTGGTAATGTGGCTGTTCGGAACCCAGTTTCAGGAAAGAAACCGCTGGCTAATCACACTGAACCACGTGCATGGCTTTGTTTGGCCGATGACATTGGTGGGGAAGTTGCGTCTCGACATGCAGGGCTTTAGTAGTGGCGTTACGACCGTCCATCTACTCTCTCTGCCTTCTGCCTCATTTTCAACGAACCATGGTTTTTTTTGTTCATGTGGTATTTATGGCAGAGAGATCATTACTCATCGAAGGTGACCACTTCAGCCTTAAGTCCAGAGGGGAAGGTGTTGTATGGTCGGAAGGGGATCTTTTTTCGTCCTATTGTAGGCCGTGTGATGGGGTAAATGGCCGCTTTCATATCTCGTAGCACACCTAGAGACTGACGAGAAACCTGGGCTTTAAAGAGGAAGATAGAATTGAAGTCAAGTACATGCGTGATGAGTAGGCGCGACTGAAAGATAGTTAATAACTTAGCATAGAGAGGTAGTCTACGAGGACGAACAGTAAACATAAGCACCTTCGGTGATGCCGAGATCGACATCTTCTGCTGAAGCTGCGCGAGTGCCAATAGATGGAACAATAAGTACGGATCCTCGGTCGATTCTGTCTCGGGTAGGTTTGGGACTTTTTTATGCTTGAAGTATAGCCTGCGATCTCGAGTGATCCTTGTGTAGTGGACATAACCCACCAACGGGGGTGATGATCTGGAAATCAGGTTGCCACGGAGATGGAAGACGAGGTAATCCGGGCGATGAATAGGACGAAATTGGAAGTGGAAGGAAGGACCTTAGTGAAGTTGGCGGCTCTGTAAATTGGCGAACTGACTATCTGCAGGCCGAGAAGCTGGAGTGGGCGTTCCTGAGTGTACATAGAATACCGTGCCAGGGGCCCGCCAGCGGTTTGACGCCGGCATGCTGGTAGATTTATGATACTTCCTACAATATTATGTGTATATATGAGCGTGTAGTGTCTGCAAACCTTGGAAGTTCAGGGCAAAACGTACCGAAGTCATTGACTGTGATATCAAGATGCAGGTGTGGTCGTGTGAATGTGAATGAGCTACCTAGGAATAAGATATTAGAAATCGTGGCTCCCGAGATCTTTTATAAACGGATGGTAGTACAGTTGATGTGTAGATCTTATTCATGATTCGACAAGAGAATCGGAATCTTTGCGATCTTTGTTCAAGTCGGAGAGTCGGGTTCAAAGATTGTGGCCTTTGTGGAAACAATGGTGGGCTGCCTCGAGATGGGCCGAAGATCATATACGGGCCACAAAAAGTGAGGATGCTAACAAAGGAAATCAATATTCGTTTTCGCTACCCCTTCTAACGCAACAAAGACATCAGGGAGTCGATCTGTACGGCACTGTATAGGTACAGCATGCATCGAAATCAGATTCACCAGCTACACCCAAAATTGAACCTTACTACTTGAAGGTACCTACCCAGCATGTGGATCAATCAATCATGGCATCAGAGGATAACCAGCCAGGGGGTCTACGTCTAGTCCTACTACCCATGGATACATTTAAATTTCTGAGGGCTTTCCAAGGTCCACGGGCTCTCATGTTTGCTAGTGAACATCGTATACCCAGGTGATCATTTAAAACAGTTGTACAGCAATCACTAGACTCGGAAATACCTCTAATCCCCAGACCTGACTTAGAAACGGACTGGATAATTTCCAACCTCCACCTGGGCGGGGCTCCCAAGCGCTGCCCAGCTGAAGCCTCATCTACCCAAGCGATTGCAATATATGGATACTGTATCACTCTGCGTATCTTTATCTCGTCTGAACCAAATCCACTACTCGTTCGCAGTATTGATCCTTAAAGCTTTCCTGGACCGATTGCCCAAGCTTTGCCAATAGTCTCCGCAGTGCCGCGCGATCCTCATCGTCACATCTTGGTGACGGTCTCTCCCCATCCTCAATGCTTCCGATATTTTCGAGATCCTCACCTCGTATATAAGGTGAAGGGCCATATCCATCGTAGCAGCACATGTACCGATCGTGATACAGCCCGACCTTGATATCCCTCTCCTGCTCAAATGGAATATCCGGGTACCAATCACTACGGCCGATTTGAAAGTGTCGCAGTTTTGGCAGTTTCTCTGCGAAAATATCGAAAATATCGTGCCATCGCTTGTCGAACGAACCGTATAATTTTGGTCTGCCCGTGCGGCGCACCAAGGTGTCCCTACGTAGAGCGCAGGCGTCCACATTCTCTTCATTCATACCAAAGTCGTAGAGGACGGCGCAGTCATCGAAGTAGATTTCCTCGAGGGTGTCGGCATGTTTCAGAATCCAGTCGATTTGGCTATCATGGAAGAAACAAAAATTTCCTAGTGATAGCGTTTTCAGGTGTGGAAAGAACAGATTGGAGAGGTCCAGGTGAGGGTAAAAGCCATAGTATTCACGCGAGCAGAGTGAGAGATGTTGGAGAGAAGGCGCGGCAGGACTCAGCCATGTGCTGGGCAACTCCTTGAAAAACTTGCGGATTTCCGGATACTGAGATGTTTAGAAAAGATATCTCAATGGAGGATTGGGTGGGCTTTACCTCGAGGTCATGCTCAGGAGCGGCTTCATTTGACTCGGTGGTAATACTTAGGCGAAGGGACAGTAGGCCCGACAGGACCTTTCCCATTCTCTCAAGTGTTTCCGGATCTCTGGGGTTATCCACTTGCAGGTTGCGAATACCAAGATCTTGGATTGGGTGCCGTAATGATGCGAGAAGAGAGAAGAACTTATGCATTGCTTGGAAGCGAAATCGAGACGTCTGGGGCAATTCCAGGGAAAAAAAATCAGAACCCGTGCTGTCTGAAGTAAACCCCTGGTCGAAGCACAGAACGGCGGCATTCAGCCGAGGAAATTCTTTGACTTGCGGAACAAGATCGTCCCAGCCTTGGGGCCATTCTTGCTCTTCCGCCTCTTCGTAATTCTGTGCGAATTAGTTGTTGCTTGGAAGTGGATTAAGATAATCGTACTATATTTTCGTCCACGGTGTCTATGTAGATCTTTCGCGGAAGTCGACGTAGACTGGGATTGTTCAAAATCCCTTGTAACCCGTTTTGGCTTGTCTCGCTGGGTTTCAGGTGCACAGTCCTGTAGAGCTGATCGGTGGCCAGCTGTGATGTGAAACGGCAGGATTGGCGCAGCGACTTTAATGATGAATGATTCACATAGGAACACGTGCGAGCGAGCAGCTCGCTGGGCAGATTGAGAAGGCGTGACATCTAGGCGTAGTCACAGACCCGGAGTGATAACTTGCAAATTCAAGATTGAGGAGTCGAAGGGCATATTTCGCTTAGCTCCGGATCTCTAGGCTCCCATCGCGGCGTCCAAGCTTCCTAATTCGGTAAAGCCTCAATGAGTCACATGACTGGGAAGTAGACTATATCGGGAGCGGTATAACACTTATACCTAGATAAATACAGGTTTTTAAGATATCGAGTTGTAATTCATTACCTCAGATACTATTTTACAAACTAGAATAATCTAGCAATACTAAGACAATACCACTTGAATATAAATCAAACAATCCATTTTTAAAGACAAAGATTAACATAATACTATCCTGAGCACTATACTCTCTCGACAAAAAAGGAAAAAAGGACGGTCAAAAAATAGTGAGGTCGGCTTACACATCAGATATGTATGCCAAGCACGCAAAGAGCAAAGAAAAGCCTGAGATCAATAGATGGGAAACAAGGCTTACGCCACGGAGCTCTCCGCCAAGCACACGCCACAATCACAGGTATAAGCTGGGCTCAGCTCATTCCAAGAAACACTAGTAATAGTCTCAGTGACACGCTGAACCGGTCTAGCGCGAGATCCATATTGATTCTTCATTACATCAAAAATGCAATGCGTGTCCTGGCGCGTAGCTCCCGCACCTTCAACCATATTGGCCAGTCTGTTAGCGTGAATATACAGCATGGAAAGAACAACAGCGATCTGGTCGTCATTTGCAGAACGGTGTTTAATGGGGCTCTTCAAGCGGCGAGCAACAATGATCAGGCGATCAATCCGGTCCTGAAAGCAACTGGGAACAAAGTGAAGCCGGTCATCACGATCTTCGGCCTCGTTCTGATCATAACATCTTGGGACCTCTTCTCGTTCTGATCCTGGGTCACCTTCCACTTCCGATCCAGAATCTTATAATTCCGAAAATCGACCTCGCCCACACCCCGAAACCCCGCTAAACTTAGTAGCCGTGGAAGAGTGGACACGAATTTCTTAGCCATGTTTCGACTTTCATCACTGTTGAAAAAATTCACGAGAGTGCTGCCGAAGATTGATGACGATGTAATCTTGCAACTCGGCCCATTCTTTACAGTCAGGAACCCAAGGACAGGTTTTCATGTTATCCGGAAGCCAGGAGACGGTATTCATGGTGTTTTCATAGTGATACATAGGATCCATGGTGTTTTTGTATACAAAGTATCTGTATGTGTATCTGTATGTGTCCGCGAAGTCTATCGTAAGAAGTAATCAAGGGTTGCGTGGTAACGTGTGATAATATAACGGAGTCACCCAGAGAGAATGCGGAGATCTGAGAGAATATGAGTGCTTAGATGGTAAAGCTGCGGAGTGATAGTATGAGAGTGACTGGTTTCAAGTTCTATTATCCTAGAACTACTGGCGCTTCTATAGATATCTGGCAGATCTATGCAGAGTTGTGATTTATGAGCTAAACAAAGAACCTTGCAAATCATTATTATTTTTATCCAAGTCTAGAGCTTAGCTTCCAAGGTTCACACGAAGACAATAGCCTATACTAAGAACAAAGAATCAAGGAATCAAGGCCGGATTGTTTGAGGATAATTCCAAGGTTTGTAAATAAAGGATTGATAACAAAGAAGCGGAGTGTTTGAAAGACATGGGATGCTAAAAAAGGAAATCTATATTCGTTTTATCCCTACTTTGTAAAACACCAAACATATTATTCGATGTATGCAGTGTTCTATAGGTACTATTGAACTAGTTTGTTTAATCCAAAAGCTAGTTCAGAGGCAGCTTGTAGTATTAGTGTCCTAAGATAAGTAAATATCACTATTTAGATTTAAAGCTGGTTATGAAAATACTTCTAATACCATATTTATATTACCCTATTACTTTTGATACTATTTTATCCTTGTAGACTATACACCTCTAGTATTTCAGACCGTTAAAGATATAACTTGAACTATATAGTACGTTGTATATGGATTAATATTCCTATAGCGATTCAAAAACTATCTAGCTATCAAGACTTTCATGACTATAATGATCGGGTAGAGCTCAGAAAATATGGGGTAAATACAGATATAACTAGCAATTTATAAGAATTTCTATCAGTTCAGTACTACTCCGAGGACTATATCTTTGATGAAAAGAAAACAGTAGTAACATCTACTGATAGGTAAGTCAAAAGATAGTAGAGTCAGCTTACATCCATGCCCAGCTATCAAATATGTTTACCGAACAAGTCCTTAGTTGTCGCGACAAAAAGGAAAGGAAACTTGAAAGATCAATAAATACTTAGGTAAAAGTAGACTTATACCTTAGAACTCTCCATCGAGCACATATTACAATCACGCGCATCAGGTAGGCTCAGCTTATTCCAAGCAAGGAAAGCCTGGGTTCCACGTAGACTTGGTTGGGCCTGAGATCCCACTGATCAGCACTGGCAGTCAACTCTGTATCCTGACGCAGAGCCTCCTCCCAATTTCCTTGATCGATAGCCTGCTAATATGAATATATAGCATGGAAATAATGGTATTGGTCTCATCGTCATCCATAGAAGGTTTTACAATTTCTAACATCAAGTACAAAACATTATCAGCAATGCGGTTCAATCGGGGGTGAAAGCAAGTCGGAAGACGATCACCTCTGCCGCTCACGCCTCTGATGACCTTTTTCGCATACCAATCTAATATCGAGTTTATGTGCCTTGCTAGTGTATTGTAAACAAATTCATGAGCCTCCAACTTGACTTGTTTTTTAGGAAGCTTGCTGGGTGACGAATATACCAACCCGGCATTGAATTTAGTAACCCTGGAAGTTCTGCGCAAACAAATTTCTCAGCCTTCAACTTGTTACGCTTTTCAGCAACTGAACAAGAGTACTGCCGAAGATCGATGACCAGGCGGTCCTGCAACTCGGCCCACTCGCCATCGGTGCCACAGAAGAATGGAGTGAAAAAGCCATGATGGCTGGTCATGGTGTATATATATATATATGGGTATATAGATAGGTCACTGTAGGTAGATGTATATTACCTAGTGTAATGGAGATTCTCGCTCTTCAACAAGCAGAGATCCCGTGAGGTGGCACCTCAGCAATAAGGTGTCTGTAACGGGATAAGCTGTTATAAAGAAAGCTCGTGCGTTACCTACCTTACTATATATACTAGTGCCTGCTTATATCGAAGCGAGAGCTTCAATGCTGATGGTCTTTTTGGACTATTGGAATAGCATGTGAGCGTAGGCATTTGCTGTTACAATATTAATAAGTAGCATATAGATATTCTAGCCCTTAGTAGGATAGCTAATTAAATAAAAAATTTGATAAGTTGAAGTGGATATTAGTATATTCCCTTACTATAAATATATATAATTTGTAATGGTTACTAAGTTATCAGGCTAGAGACTGGGCAAGGGTATCGGATGGTAGAGATCAGATTGGACAGTCGGTACACAGACTGATTCTTGAGGAGATCAAGAATTCTGAATGATTGTGGGATCTTTAAATACACTAGGGTTCGAGTGGATCTCGATAAGCAGGTGGATCGAAGGGGATTCGAGTACGGATCAACGTCGAATGTCTGGGGTGCTGTATACTCGAATCCTGTCATGGGGCTCGTGTCAAAGAGGGTGAGCTTCGGTAAGTAGTAATCAACTCTCTTTGTATTCCCTTTGGCAATCCGACCTTGTCTCAGCTACGCAGGGCTTACTTGAAGCTACTAATAGCTTTTTAGTAGCTTCTAGTGGATCAAATATTAGAGCTACCTGCATGTGATTAACTTCATAAAGTTCATTAGTAACATCTAGGAGCTATTAGAAAGTGCAGTAGGCACTACCAACGGGACGTTCTGAAGGTTGGTATAGAGACTGCAGATGCGCTCGACGGGTTCCGGCAGCTTAGGATCTTCAAGTTTGATACATGATGCGTAGATAGAGGTGGTTGCGGGATGACCTTGGAGATATCCCCGTGATATCAAGTCATCGCTAGAAGAGGTCGCGAGGCCACTCGTCCGCGTTCTTGATGCAGTATCCTTATTATCGACTTAGGGAGACCAGACCAGACCAGGATGCAAGATAGACATAGAGGAATCAGCCAGGACGAAAAAACAATGCATGGGAACGCGCGACTTCATGTGCTCATCGGCAGAGGGTATTATGGGTATAGTGCTATGCTGCTCTCTAAAGACCAAGGTTGAAAAACGTAAGATCATTAATGGATTCTGGACATCCCTCTCAGGTGGTTTCCGGCCTGGGGCCTATCCCCACTGCCTTCTGGCAGTTCCATCTTCCCTCCTAGCGCACCCCGATAGCTCTCATCCATCTGGGCTCATCCATCCTGTTTCTCCTGCGTAGGCCTTCTCCAGCGCCATCAATCATCTCTAGTTATGAGCGTCTAATTCGTGAACTGAATTGGTCGCAAGCTCCGCGGGCTGATTTTGCCCAGATCCAGCCAATTCGGCAAGCTGAGAGCCAGGAGCCGGTCCGACGCCAGTGGGGTGCGAGTCGGCAGGTTTCTTCTCCGACATGCTCTTCGCGGAAGTGAGCACATCTGCCTTTGCGTTCCCGGTCGCGCTTGCTTCATACGGGCCCTGGGGTGTATTCTGCTGATTTGCGAGCTTGGCTTTTCGTTTTCGACGGCCAAGGAAGAAGAATATCGCAGCGACGATGAGGAAAGCACATACGAGACCAACAACGATTCCGGCTATCGCACCGCCGGATAAGGTCGACCCAGAGGAGGAATCGGAGGATGTAGATGGACTTTTTGAAGTCCCTGTAGTCGCTGTAGTCTGGGTCGCAGTAGAGATAGAGGCTGTGGCGGTTGGTGCTCCCGAGACGAGTACTCTGATACCGCGAAAGCGCCCGCCGCCAGCGAAGGCCTCCCATTTATAATCTGTGCAGGAGGTGTTGAAGTCGCTCGGGCTGTGCTCGCTATCCGGGCATTCTGTACGATGATATATCAAAAGGCAAGCCTTCAAAGTGTCTTCGGGATCCCATGAGACTGCATTTTTATTAGGAAGATCGATATCGGTACAGTCCAAATTCTTGGTCCCGTGGATGGTGGTCGTCTCGTTGGATGAGTTGGTGTATCGAAATGTCCACGCTTGGACCAGTGGAAGAAGAGCGAATATATAGAGTAGGAGGTCCATTGTCAGCCTGATGGGCCTAGCGAACATGGCGAGCGAAGACTGCCAGTATCAGCCCTAGGGACTATGGGGACTTGAGTAAGGTGGGCTACGGGACTTGAGTAAGGTAAGACTCGATGTGCTGACAAGGCAGGGGAAAGGCTGGTTGGGATCACGCCAAGTTTGGGTGCCGGCCATGACAGAATGACTAATGCTATGGGCGTGATACTCACAGTACTTATCGTTTGCGGGTTAATACGCAGACGAGAAAAGTTTTATTGCGCGAGGCTGGGATATGCGACAGATCGAACTATCTATTTCCTAGCGGTTTCGTAATAATGGTAATACTATGACGTCCCGCCTACTCCAAGGGCAATGATTGATCGAAACTTACTCAAATACGGTATAGTGGGCCATTGAAACAGAGGAGCCCCAAGTGGGCACATGCAGTAGTTCAACTAGTGTTCAGGGTTCAGAGAGCGTACAGCCTCGCACTACTGCAAGAGAATCCCTGCCAACCGGACTGACTCCCCGTCTCGGGTTAGTTCTCCGTATCGGTTTCTCTCCAGACGTATCCCCCACCGTGGCTTTGCACTCCAGGGCATCGGCGACATGCGAGCCATGTGACTGGGGGGTGGTGCGGACCACTAGCTTTACTAACTAGTATTATCTACATATCCACATCATCATATGAATCATCAAAAGGACAATTGAAAACTCAAATAAAAAACGGCATAAACCTCGCAGTCCTCTCATTCCACTTATCCCATTCCTTCCCAAACTGCCTTTGCAACTTCTCCTCCTTATCCTTAACACGAGCCCGCATCAAAAAAAAAGACCAAGAACAACTAACCCCGCAAGAATCGGTAATCCCCAACTATCCAAAACATGTATAATCTCACCCGAAATCCAACACGCCGGAGCCCCATCCCAGCGAAAGAATAACCCAGCAACGCCAAGACCAACCAGCACAAGCCCCGTATAACCCGGATGCTGAATCCAACGATACACACCCGACGTAATAAGCCTATCAGGCGCAGCAAGATGAAAAGTAAATGAGCAACCGAGTCCTCTATATGCATAGAAACGAACAGCAGATCTGAGGTATATGTTAAAGAACGACAGGTACGTTATATCGCTTCAAGTGAAAAGATCTGCATTGCGATTTTCGACGCGCGGACATATGTGCGAGATGCGGGTTGGTACAACATATTCGGACATAAACACAATGACAGCATGATAAAGTAAGACGAAAAGAACAATCGACCGAACGATAGCTGCGAAAGACCCGACGAAGAAGCTTAGTCGGTCTTTGATGTTTCGTTCCTTAGGCGGTGGCGGGGGATTCGGTGGGGTTGCGCAGAGTGCGAAGGAGTGACTCGCTGCGAGGATGTTGATGATGAGAGCTAAGGGTCCTGGAGCCAATGTGTAAAGATTCTTGAATTTTTATGTTGGTGTTCGAACCAATGCCGCCGAGACAGATCAATGTGCATGTGGACAAGCAAGAGAGACCGTGGACCACTTTCTCTTTCGATGTCGGAATTGGACCGCTCACCGAACAAAAATGCTGCAATGTACCCACACTCATCAAAGTAATATATCCTTCTTCTTGGGAGGGAAGTCACCCACCGACGATCAAAAGTGGAAGCCGAATTTGGACGCAGTGCGAGCCTCAATACGATTTGCGATCGCTTCGGGCCGTCTCGAAGCCACCTAGGCTTGCCGACAAATTGATAGAATACCTCTTCTTACTAATCCCCAGTACCTTGTGACAGACGGTAGACGCGCTTCAACTGCCGAGGATAGGATGTTGAACACGTGAAGAAGCGCCTTCAAGCAAGTCTACTAACCAATACTAACCCAAAGAGACCAGCTCTGAGATTGGAAGCGGAAATGATAAATACGGAAGGAAATACGTATGGGCTCCAAGGAGACACAGCGTATACCCAAACATGCATGTACTGGTAGATTGGTGATAGTTGCCCTTTCGGCTCAGCCGCCGGGCGTTAATGAATTGTGTGTGTGTGTGTGTGTGTGTGTGTGTGTGTGTGTGTGTGTGTGTGTGTATTGAAACGTCCCTCAATCGTTTACTGACACACGAAAGATGTTTCACGTCGTGGGTAAAGAGGCACTTAACGACCACACCGAGTATTTCGCCTGAAAGAAGTTCGAGCCAGGCGGGCTGACGTGCTGAGGACATTGCCAAAGGAAGGATCAGTTACTTTATTATCTGATCCACTTAGCTCGATTTACAACTCGCCATTGCCGTCTTACAGTGCTAGTAAAGCTGCTTTAAATGTGATGATGGTTGAGCATTCAAAAAAACTAGGACCGAAAGGAGTGAAAGTCTTCGCGGTGTGTCCTGGGTTTGTTTGTTCTAATATTCGAGGGAAAAAGCAAGAGCAGATTAATGGCCATGGACGCGCGGGTAATCCTCTAGTCTCTGGCCAACTTGTGTTAGATATCATACAGGGCAAAAGGGATCATGTTGTTGGAAGATGTATACACAAAGATGGAGTCTATCCCTGGTGGAGTCTATCCCTGGTGAGCATGGTCGATGTTGCACTGATTGAATAACAAGGCTTCTCCGTCAATTTTAGAGATCTAGATATGTTTACTTTTTAATCAATTATCTTGATAGACGTTCAAAATCATGCAATTCACTATTTACAATGTTTTGTGACGAGTAAGCCCCCTAGGCTATCACTTCGACATGGGAGTGACAGAGAAAGGTGACAGCTTGCCAGATTCGCGAGACATAGTCTAGCTTTGGTATTTGACTTGTTTGCATTATTATAGAAAATTCTAGATCCTTTGGATTGTGAATACAGTTACGAGACAAATCATTGTATTCTACTTAGAGTCATGCATGGTATCGAGACTGATACGGGAATATTGATATTCCGCATATATACCTGATATGGACTAAAAGTTCTTGGCAGTGGGGCTGTAGGATCATTCTAAGAGAGTAGACGGTTGCGCCAGTTTCGGGACGTACTGAATAAGAAAATAGTAATCAAGCTACTCGCAAGTCTGAAAATTTGGACCAAAACCATTATACGAGAATTTTAATGGAGATTTTAATTTATCTCAAATCAGCTTCCAGAAGTTAGCGAACCATCTGAGTCCGTGTAAGGCTTAGCACAGCAACAGTACAATTACAAGTCAGTACTTGAGGATTTCTAGTGGTGCTTGAACGACGCCGATACCAACCATCCTTCAATAATTCGTAAATCTACTCTAAGAGAACAAGGTACGTTCACCAACTGTTGAACCACTAACCGTGACCAACTAGCAACGCGTAACATATAGCAGTACTAGGAAAGCCTAGGCAGGATTATTGCCTATCAAATAGTAGTAACACATGGTTTTTGGAACATATTTTATTTGCTAGGCCCTAATTTAGGGAGTGGACACACTTCTATTATTTTTATGATAGAATAGTAAGCAATTTTATTCTAGTATACTAGACTTTATAAAAATATTTACAAATCTATGATAGTTCTATTAACCTAATAGTCATACTTATATGTTCTGTCCTTAAAAGAGAAGCATCTAGTGTTGAAGTTTGTGAAGAGGCTGGCTGAGATTGAGTGATGTGATACTATCTAATTGGTTCTCGGCAAAACTGTATCGACTCAAAATTACTCTAATATATGTCTAACATTGGTTCATAATAATTCATAAATACTGACCTCTTTTATAGTAATATCCCGATCTAAGCATTCGCTAGAGTTTCTTCTCCAACCCCTTCTCTTTACTTCGTTTTTGGATTGGTATGCGCTTCCCTGACATGAGTTATTGGGTATATAGAAGGCCCTAAGCAAGTATAACTGTGACTTTATCCCCAAGCTCTGTCAAGAATTTCCTAGTGTTCTGCCCCAGATCGCCCGAAATGTATTCGTACAAAGAAGGAATTCTGACTGATGGTTTATATCACTTTTGCCGACCGACCAAGACTCCGTAATTTCATTTTCTTATATTATACAAAGTATTTCCGGAAATCGGTGTCACCGTTGTACTCTTTCATTGTCACCCTAACCCTAAATTGCCAAGATACACTAGACTATATCGAGCAATAAATATAGCAATTTTCCGTTTTTTTACAAATACAGTCACTTACAGAGTTTCAGCTACATATCATATGCTTCCGTGTGTAAGGTAGATACGAGTATTGCTGCAATCTTTGGGAGCACTGCAAACAGTTCAAACAGCTCCAGGCTCTTGAGCCAAGAAACACTAAATCGTATTCGGAGACTTATCGGAATATCGATTTCCCGGTTTTTCTCTTGCGTTACACATCCAAATTACGCATCGCAGGTCCATGAGTTTATTATTAGTATGTCATTTTGGAACACAGTACACCAGAAAATTTCAGTAACTAACAATTCAAAAATTCCTCTCGAACTGACACACGTCTTATGGTTGTGCTGATTGAAAATGAACCTGATTGGCGAAGTTTCTACTAGACCTGGCTACGACCCTCCGCATGGGTCCCTACCCCAGAACCTCGAACCTCCCCTCTTGAGGGGAGGTTCCAACCTTCCGACCCTCAACCTACCCTGAGGATCGTTGAGGTTCAGTATGCGGACCCTCGGCGACCCTCAACGACCCGCATTTGCATAAATTTTCGACGCCTTACCTCTTTCGGTTGGATAAAATTGATGATTCATCTATGTTTTTTATAGCTGTTCCGTCAATTTGTAGATATTTTACTGAATACTCCATCAATATAGCGAATTATAAATAAATATTCATGTAAAAGTAAACCGTAGACATGGTCACCCACAGATTACAAGTAATATTTGATGATATCGATATAGGGGGTGGTCAGTGGCGGTTGTCGACAAAAATGCATGTAAAGTTGTAAATATATATATTGCAGATAGTGTAACCTATGTGTATCTTCATTTGTAGAACCACTGTTTTTTAAGAAAGCTATAAAAACGTGGTTCAAATAACCTCATTTTTACATCATTTGAGCTGTTATATCTTCTTCTATTACTTTTTCTTCAAGAATTCAGGACAAATAATCTAAATATGTTGTAAATCCGGTTCAAAGATTGCAATTATTGGACTTGGTCGTTCTGATCAAGACTTTTTCTCAACTTGAGGGTCTCTTTTGAGGGTCGATGCGGGTAGTGAGGGTCCCCTTGAGGGTCGCTGCGGGTAAGCGAGGGTCTATTTGAGGGTCGCTGCGGGTAAGCGAGGGTCTATTTGAGGTTCATTGAGGTTCGTTTATTATGCTAGCCAATCAGATCTAGCTATGTGGAAACAAAAGATGATAGATCAATTCTAGCATATAGAACAGGGATGAACGGATGCCCCAAGAATCTTGCGTATCTTTTTCTACAAATTAAACAGTAAGTTCCTCACTCTCTTCTTCCTCAGTCATAGTACTATCTTCTAGTTACTAAATCTGTCATGTCGCAGCTCTCCGATGTCTACGCATCATCTAGCTTCGATGGGGTGCAATTAGACACGCTACAATACCTTGTTCCTAACGATTCCCTATCCCAACGCGAAAGCCAGAGTCAACTACTATCCGAAAGTCAGTTTGGATCAGTTCCAGACCTTCCAGACCTTCCAACCCATCGATCGCGCGTGGCACCTCAGGCCCCAGACACTCTTACACGAATCAAACCAGACCGTATCAACGAGTACGTTGTCTTTACAACTACAATGACCGCAGAATTTATTCAGTGGTGGCTTGAAACCGACTTTGGTAAGAAGAAGCGGATCAACTGGGATGTGAACCGTCGTGCAGAGTGCTGGAAAGGGTTTCAACAAGTTGCAAATACCAAAGATGGGAAGCCAGGCGTTATATGCAAACGGTGCCGTACAATTCTTGAGCACCCAACTACCAACCATACTGGAACCTCATCGATGCAGAAACATCTCGATGGGCTAAGGTGCCGACAGCGAATACCGAAGAAGGGTAATATCCAGCAACTACTTAGTGACGCGGTATATTTGAACCAGCCTATATTTAATATCAATACTAATACTATTTTCACTATTATTTAGGCTGAGAGAAGACCAGCGCCTACCTTTACCCAGCAAATATGGGAGCAGAAGATCCTAAACCTGATCACTGTATCGCATTTACCCTTCCTATTTGTCGAACATCAAGAATTCCACGACCTCCTTTCCTACGCACGGCTAGCACCCACACTACCAAGTGTTCCATCAAGAAAGGTGATTCGTGAGCGCCTTCAGGATTTTGTTATAGAACATCAACAGGAGACACTACAACGGCTTCCATCTAGTGCAAGAATGTCGATTGCGCTTGACTGTTGGACTTCTCCATTCCAGCAAGCATTCATGGCTATCACAGGATACTTCCTAGACCAGGAATGGGAGTATCGCGAGGTTCTCCTTGGGTTTGAGCCAATATCTGGATCTCATACTGGAGTGAACCTCGGTAGGGTTGTTCTCCAGATCCTAGAGAAGCACCAGATCGCTGACCGTATACTGGCGGTGACAACTGATAATGCGTCTAATAATAAGACACTTATCGCAGCGGTGAATGATTCGACTAAGACGCTACAGCAAGAGACAGATTCTACAATTGTCCAAGTGCCCTGCCTTGCGCATGTTATTCAATTGAGTCTAACTGATTTACTTGGTAAAATTAAGGCCGCCCCGAAGAATAACAACACCGAGACGGAATGGTCTGAAGATCGTGTACATTCACTTCGTGCACGCCAGCAGAAACATGAGATCGCCGATACTCTAAATAAGGTAAGCTTAAAGCTTCTATTTACGAATCATAATCCAATAACGATAATAATCCTTATAGGTTCGCGGCCTTGCAGTTTATATCAACGGAAGCCCTCAACGCAAAGAAGCCTTCTTGAATCTTCAATCTAATAATGCTGGGATAAGGCTTCTCCCAATCCAGGATGTCCGTACACGATGGAATTCGACATTTCTGATGCTTCGGCGGGCGAAAAGACTTCATGACATATTCGACAAGTACTGCAAGGACTACACCCAAACCCATTTTGCATTGAGTATTGAGGGGTGGCGGCAGATTGACTATCTACTTTGTATTCTCCAGCCCTTTTTTACGCTTACTACGCTAGTTTGTCGTACTAAAGACTCGAGTATCCACCTTATCTTTAGGATTTATAACAAGCTTTTTGATCATCTTGAAAGATCAATTCGTCAGCTTCGTCGAAAGAAAGTTCACTGGAAACAGCTGATGCTTTCCTCCCTTGAGGCTGCGAAGGAGAAACTGAAGAAATACTACGGCGAGACAGATGATATCGAAGGTAATCTTTATGCAATTGGGACGATCTTAGCGCCATCAAGTAAGATGGAGTTCTTTTCAACAGGTGATTGGGACCTAGATCCTGAGATAGGAAAGGACTATAGAAAAGAATACCGCAAGAGTCTTCAGTCTCTTTTCGAGAGATATAGCCAACGTGTACCATCAGATATGATACAGCCTAATAGCCAGTTATTAATAACTGAATCGGAGCTAGAGAGGGCCCTTGACGGTGATTCTTCACCACGATCAATTGCTCCACAGTACGACGAGCTCACCAAATATCTCCAGAGTGGTAAGTAAATAAGCCTATGTGATGAATCATATAACTAACCTCACCTGATTAGATACTATTAAAGGATCTGTTCGGATCTTCTGGAAAGATCATCAGAGAGAGTTCCCTGTTCTTGCAAGCATTGCCCGTGATATCATGTCAATTCCAGCAACTGGTGCCGGAGTTGAGCGTCTGTTTAACTCTGCTCGGGATGTATGCCACTACCGCCGGGGGTCGTTGAATCCAGAGACTATTCGTGATATTATGTTGTACATGTGTACAACAAAATTTGATATTGAGGAGGAGCAGCGGCTGATTCTCCAAGAGTATCTCTTAGACCATGAGATAGCAGCTTCGGCAGAAGCACTTGATGTCCAGACACATACCTTCGAGGCTATCAGTGATGACGAGGAGGAGGATATTGAGTTGCGTCTTGATACACCGGCTGCTGTATCAATTATGCAAACAACCCCAAACGTACCGCCACTCTCAGCGGTTGCCGCTGGAAAGCGGCCTGCGGTCACTTCTGGTGATGAGGAAGATTCTGATGCCGATGGATTTGTGAACCCGGAGGAGAACCTATTATTATCCTTCCCTAATACGCAGCATCGTGTATCAGGTAGGATACGGAAGAAGTCGAGACTACTGGATGGGTATATAGTTTGACTCTTGGCTTGTTAGAACTATGACTAGACACTATGCTATAGATGTAATGTAAACCATTCAAAAATTAAACCCCTATTCGAGGATGAACCTATGGATGCAATAAGGAGTGTATCCTCCTGTAAGGCTATACAATGATGAAGTTTTTAGTTTACAATTACAATGAAATACAGCTTGTTTCTACATAATTTATGCAATTGACGCCCAGTCACGTCTTTTACCTGTTTGTTATGTTTGACGACCCTCAGGGTCCCCGCGGGTAACCCTCATGAGGGTCGGCCTGGGTACGACCCTCCCCGCGGGTCCAGGTCTCGGACCCTGACCCTCCGCATGGGGAGGTGAGGGTCAGGGTCGTGGAGGGTACCCGCGGGTTCTAGCCAGGTCTAGTTTCTACCAACATAGCATTTGATCCTACCCTGCTTCCCTGCTGATATAGAAGGACGATATCATTCGTTGTCATATACTTTGACACGGCTATTACCTTTTTGAAATAAAAAAAACCAATTTATCTATTATTGTAATATCTCCATAAGTATTATTTGCCCTAAGCCCTTGAATTCGTTTTAACAACGGACCGTCTTGCACTTCACTATCGTTATCCTTGATGGAGCGACGGCGTGAACATTTGCACCAACTCGACCATTTCGGGTTCGATCCCGCTCCACAAGCTACGCGCACAAAACATCAAACGAAAGAAAAGAAGAGCACTTGCGATTCAAGTGCAACCGATGTTCGTAATCTAACTCGCGAAGTGGCCACAAGGCTATCCTTTGATGAACATGAGTCGCATAATGCATCGAGATCGCGTCACTGCAACGATAATTCGCTTAAGTCCCCTTTGAAGCTCCCAGACAAAGAAAATACAGAGAAAAAGAACAACTTCTGGGGCTTTGATCCAGCTATTGATCAAATTCAAAGGTCAGTTGCCTTGGAAGAGGAACGATCGGAGCATAAAGACAATAATGAAAAGACCACGGGAAAGCAAGAATAACGACAAATATGGATAGGAAATATTACTAGTAAGGCTAGATGCTCGAGCTAGTATCGATGTCGGAACAAGGTATTAAAATGACACATAATATGAATTTTCATTTTTTGCAGGGTTTTACTTTCTGAATGGACTGATTAACGTAAGAAATAATCTGGTATGGTCTGAATTACAGTGAAATTACACTAGAGATATGCGTTTGAGCATATCAAAGTATGTATTTTAGGAAAATATTTGGCTTACATATACTGGAGGCCAGTTCTAAAATATGTCTGGAGAAGTCTTTAGATTGGCGGGTTTTTGCTAAGATTATGCCAAACATCTGATGAAATTTAAAAAAATGGCGTAGATTCCTGGTCGCTTCATTATACCATGATTCATTTTTTGTAAGCTATGAGGCCATCATAGACAGTAACAAGTCTTCAAGCTGCGGATTTTGGAGTTCTGGAGTCACGTCTGGTAAATCTACATCGCAATCGTACAGGGAAGGAATTCTTTGTTGCATTCCCGTAGGAGGCAATTGATCCCGAGCGTTTCTTTCGCTGCTTGGATTTTCGGATGGAGCAAAGTCACCTGGCATGTCCTTCTCAGCCTCAGAACCAGGTCTACCACTTTGGGCTGACGAATATTCTTCTTCTTCTTCTTTTGTGCTTGGAGTTTGATAGGGTTGATGAGCTACTGGTGGCATGTCACTCAGGTCAAACTCCCTTGCGGCTGTGAGGCTGTGGATACATTTATTGGCAAATTCAAAAGAACGATAAGCAGCGCCTGAGGTGTTTCCTAGGCATTGCAACCATCGAATACCTTTCTTCGCTGCTTTCAAAACGTCTCCGGTTGGTTCAGAAACAACGTGAGCTTCTCCAAGCTTGGTTGGTACCGGTCCAACTGATATATCGAGTAGTAGGATTACGGTAGCTTGTGTGAGGACATGGACAAAATCCCACCACTGAAGCAGCTCATAAGACCACTTCAATGACACTTGATCAGGTAGCAATTTGATGATGGCGAGAGAAGCTTGAAGACAAGCTAAGGCTGAGAGATTACTAAATCTCGAGCGGGGTAACCGTTTGCCAGACGCCTTCCCCGCTTTTTCGAAAGCAGGACGGTTCAGGCAAGGCCGATTCAAAATAATTCGAGTGCTGTAATAGCTCATAGCCAGAGATATTTGGAACGCCGATTCAATCGTGTGGAGGAGATTGCCATGGTTGTCTTGGAAGTGAAAGGCAGGGTTTAACCGAGATACCCAGTGATCCATCCTTTTGTTATATACTGATATTCGGTTCTCAATTCTGCCCCAATCTATTCGATTGCTTTGGGTTGAATAGACGCCACTGCTGATGGCGTGAGCGATGAGAGATAGATCGACCATGTAAAAGTGATAGAGAGATGGACTCGGATGTAGTGTCTTGAGTAATTTGTCGTGAATATCCGTGATCTTTGGATTTGTTTGCATTGTCCAGCATAGATTACGGAGTTGCGAATGCGTGACATCATCTCTCTGTTGGCCAACAAATCCGGTATGAGCCAAGCTAGGAAGTGGTAGTGGCGGAGGCAAGGAACTGGAGGCTGATCCAATACAAGAGACTCTTCCAGTCATAACCGAGAGGAGATGTTCCAAGCGGAATATTGACCACCAAAGCTGCTTGCGGGCTTCCTCAGAATCGGCGTCAAGCCCATCGTGCTTTTTGTGAAGATTCATTCCCAAGGAAATTCCAGACCGTGCAGCGATTCCAATCATTTTCCACGATCTAGAAAGGAAGCGCGTTAGGCTGGACTGGAAACGCTTTATACCTCAACGACTCACCTATTTATCTGTGATATGGTGAGGAAATAGAAAGCCATCAACGACTCAAATTGCACTTGCTGCAGATCGTCATGCTGGTAAAGCATATTTTCCGAGACACTGAGTAGTTTGGCCCGGGTAAAGAAAACGTCCTCGCTGATGTCTGGAACTTCTTCTCCAGACAATCGCAAGATAGCAGATCCGATGGCAAAGATAATATTCAAGATTGCAAGCCACTTCCGACCCGGATTCAATCTATCTAGGTAGCAATGGTCGTATTGGGCACAAAATAGGTCTCGTCGAATTAATGGTAGGGAGGGTTGCACCTTGTCGAGGTAAACGCGGAATAGCTCATCTGATAGAGCTTTTGACGGTAAAGCAAACGCATTCGGCACAGCTCGGTTTCTCAAGCTTCTGTCATCAAGATGGTAATTTGTTGACGACAACGAGTCATGCGGCACGCATTGCAGTGAGGATTGAGGCTGCGTGATTTTGTCGTCATATTGCCTCGTTGCTTCAAGACCCAGCCGCTGCATCCATACAACCTCAGAGTTTTTTCCCATGTAGCCAGTTGCCCGACTCTTCTCGTCCCGATTAAAATCTTCGCTAGCGACATCAACATCATCAAGAGAGCCCATAGACGATGCAGATGAGGCATTAGAGTTCTGTCTCCTGTGTTTTGAATCTCCAGTCTGTGGGTTTCGCTAAAATAGAACCCCCATCAGATATCGTGATACTCGTTCTGGGCGATAAGCAAACCTTTAGGAATTTGTCGATACGATCCGCGATGGGACCTTCGAATTCTACAGATAAGTCTCGAAGAAATCCTTCATATGCTTCCCTCTTCCCCTGTTCCGACTCAAAGTCCTTTTGGAGCCTGACAAGTTTTCTATCCGAATATAAACATTTGTCGAGACCCTGAGCAGTACACTGTGCGCAGCGTGGTCGATTGCCGTCGCACTTTGCTTTCCGTGCTCGGCACGCGTCGCAAGCGCGACTAATGCGTCGCCCGCTAGCCGCCCGTCTTTCGTGCGGTATTCGCGGAATAGGCAATTTATTTGTCATGATGTTGATGAATACGAAAAAAAGAAGGTTTTTCGCTCATCAAAAGAGTACGGCAAAGAAAAGAAATAGTGATCTGTGTGAATGGAGTGGCGACAGTAGTTGGCTCAGAAGGACTCCGCTAACAATTCCATGACGTCATGCCAACTCAACAATTGTCGTCTGTGTTCGTGCAACGAATTCTCGCGCCCTAGACCGCGAATAGTAGAATTATGGGTTTATTTAGGACTGCCAGAAGATGTTTCTGCTCTTTCTTTGTCCAAATGTCCTGTTGTGCGACGAGCCATGGCTCCCAACCTACCAGATCTACGCTCGATTTGACTTGTAGTATGGCGGTGATTGGCCATTTATTTTCCTATAAGCCGGAAGTGGTGGCCGAAATAAGCAAAAAATTATTTAAATGCCACGGTCAAACCTGCAGCCTTCGTCATCTTCTGCTTGACCTTCGGATTAATTTTCCAAATACCAAGCTGTAGGGAGATTTTGAAGTAGAATGTACAGTAACTAAAAGTGTCAGGCTGCCAGCTTCCGCCCTTACAGGTAATAAACGCTTTCCCCGCTAGTATAATAATCCGGTAATTCACGTTACAATCCAAAACAGATGAGGGTGACGAGTTTCTTCCGAACGCACTTTAGTGTATCTTGGCATATAGGGTTCGGGGAACAATTAAATAGTGTTGGGAGTGACACCAATTCCCGGAAATACTGATTTACTATTTTAATCCTGTGTATTATTTACTTCTAGACATTCCTGATGTCAGACTCGGACTAATAGGAATATAAATATTGAAGGACGGGAATGCTCGCTGGCTGTCTGTCAAGCAGACGGGTCGATCACAAGAGGACAAAACCACCACACTCGCAGAGTGCAGGAGAGTAGCAGACGAAGCGTGACGCTACAGAGGAACAATAGAACGAAGAATAGAACCTTTCATTCGCAGTATATCGATACCGCAGCCTTAGTAGCCTCAGTAGAGCATTTCATAAGGGGGAACATGCATGATTGTTATTGATACTATCGAACGAACGCTACTTATCCTCTCGAAACAAAACGATGGCCTTGTTGCTGAGGCCTCAATCACATGACTCCGGGATGCCGATGTTGAGAGCGGAAATCCCCATTACAATATATAGGTCATTATTCCGAGGAAATTTTAATTTTTTTAGGCTCTCTAAGACAGAGCTTTTTCTACTAGATTAATCTCTAATAATAACAAGTCATAGTAAATCAACATATTCTCCTATATTATAAGTGAATAATTTATCGATTTTCTCAAGTAGTAAGGGGTTAGCTAGTATAATACTAGCTGATACTTAAACTTCCTGCTTAACTATCGTATTTATTATAGACAACTTATAAATACTATTACACAGAATTACATAGCTAAAATACCACATTCCTTAGCATACATCCCTCAAAAAATGGGGTTCTTTTATTATTTTGTAGAATTTAGAGAGTGATATTACACTGTCCTTATATAGGAGTAATAGCATACTAAGACAAAACTCCTTGGACTACTACATCCTGGGTCATCTTATCTCCACGGATAAAGAGTCAAAAGAAACTTTTATCAGGTTAAGACTGGAATTTTTTGACAAGAATATAGCGGTATCATACTTCTGGGGCGGGAGAGATACCTCCCAGAAGCGATAAAGCCTAGAGAAGATCTTAGCAGCATTCGTGTCATTTAAGTATAAAAATACCCTAGGAGATACATCGTGGCTCCTAGGAGCTAGTGATAGCATTCCGAGGAGCTCACGCTACAGTCCTATGATCAATGTTCAGCACTGTGAGGGTTTCACGTATCTGTTGGGCCTTGGGGACAGCAGCTAACGGCCCCATGAGCGTCAACTATTGGCTCCTGGGAGATTCGTCAACACTTGGCCAGGATGTAGCGGAAGTTCATCAAGTAAATGTCAGTGAGCTTTTCTTTGCTTTATCGTCAAATTGAAGGATGCGAAACTCATGCCACAAGAAAACCACCATCTCATCCTGGTATAAATCCAGTTTTTCGAGGAGGCGCTCACAGAGAGCTTTAAGCATAGGTGGGGCGATCGTCCGTCGCCGTCCAATACCGTCGAGAGGGGCCCTGACACTTGCAAAGTATCGCAGGTTTGAGCGGGCAGTACTGATTGACCGTGGGGTACAATGGGCAGCTTTGGCGATTTCTACGTTAGTATATGAATTTGAGTCTTGTATCATATCACGAATATGCTCGAGTCGCCATATGCCAAGTTTTGGTGCCATTTCTACCTGGCGGTACTGCAGCCACCATTGCATTGCCGACGAGTTCTGTCTGTCGTGCCACGTCAGTCGGTCACGGCCCAGATTGTACGATAGCAATGTGGCTCAGACACGCTCAGTTAATCATACGCGAATTACTGCTGTTTTGGGGTTGGAAGGTAAAAAGAAGCTTTGAAAAAACCACCAGAGCCGCATCCATGAGCCATTAATGTCTTGGAAGAACACCATTTTAACCAGACCAGCTTTTGATTTTATTAGAGATCCCCGTTTCTCACGGATAACGTGCCACGTCTAATGAATACCAATGCTGTAATAGGCCACGCTATTGCAACCACGGGCGCTAACTGAGACGATTCACGGGCGCTTACTGAGACGATCCACGGGCGCTAACTGAGATGATCACCAGGTGAATGTCTCTCTCATTCGCTTACTTCAGTCCCACTAAACTATTTGCGACCATATGGGCACTCACGGAAGTCAGCCTGTGGATGTTCTAGTCGACGCATTCTCTGCGTATAGACTCCGTACCAGTCTGAACACCTGTCAGACTCAGTAACATCTAGCCCCTAAATTTGAGAGCGAGGTTACATATGTAGCCACCAACTGCTCAGACATACAGTTCGCTCCAGACATACGCGTGCTTCACCTCTTAAGGTCGAACAGCTTCTTTGAAGATTCAATTGAGAATACCCGCTGAGATGGCTTCCAGTACTTCAGACTACGCTGCCTATGTCACAAACACTGATTTTATAGGCTGGGACATTGCACCAACGCGTATGTTCTCTCAACCCTTCAGATAGCTCAGACCCTGCCAGATTTTGACCCTCAACGTACTGACCTTTCCTAGCCACACCGGTTATCTGTTTGAACAGTGGCGTATGGACAACAAGCGGGTCTTTCGGAGACTGCAGTTCGACGTCAGGCCAAGAGTTTGCTACGTCCTGCTATCAGGGGTCCAGCTTAGTGAGGGGATCGAATACAGAAGCATGGTAAGAGCACCGGCGCCTGTTTAATTCCCTTTCTGATGAATATAGCGGAGTTGATTCAACGTGCGATTACCAAAGAATCTTCTCCACGACCGGTCAAGATGCCCGAGATGCTAAAACAAGATACGGCTGCGTGAGCAACTTTGCTGCGAACAATATCTATCGCACACTTCCCTCGCAGTGGCTAGCAACCACGACGTCGGGTGAGGCGAGTACTTCATCATGTACGTTACCACCGACAGAAATATCGGTAGAGCTATTATGGATGCTAACTCACTCGTTTTATAGCAACCACTTCATCCTCATCGACCGAGACCAGCGCCGCCGCGTCTTCGAACTCCTCCAGCTCGGGTATAAGTGGTGTTGCAATCGCAGGAATTGTCGTCGGCTGTGTGGCAGCAGGTGTTATCATTGCACTGGCCCTCGTATTCCGGAGGAGACTTTTAGCTTGCTGTGGGTATAGCAAGAATATGCAAGTGAAAGCCAACCCGTCATGGTCTCCTATGTACGAGCAACAAAACACGCAAGGTGCATTTCAGTCACAGCAGCAGCACTCGTATACTCGGCCGCAGCCGTTGGAAATTTCGGCGCAGCGGGAACCTCGTGAGCTAGGTGATTCCCGTGTGTCAAGGCCGGTTCGATGAGTGCATGATTGAATGTTACAGTGGCTCTTCCTGTTTCAAAGGCCTTTTGGGTTCAAATTTTACTTTTGCCTATAATGCTGGAAATAATTGTTTCGTCTGGGGTTTTTAGGTCGAATGACACATTCTTGCTTTTGTTTTTTTATGTCATTGTTATTATATTTTCATTATCAATACGAAAGACGGACATGTGGCCGTACTGGTACTAGTAATGATGACAAAAATGTCCAAGCCAAACGACCGCACCTCAATCTTGTAATCTTTTAGTGGCCGTTGAATTCTTTTGAAATTGGCAGTCAAGGATGTTTCACAAAATCAAGCGCTCAAACTGTGAATCTTGGAACCGGAGCCGCATAAACTTGACTTTATCGGAGACCACGGACCAGATATATATTTGTGGGCTGATCGGCCCATTAAGGTGACTGCAGCCGGCTCAAATCTTGGAACATCGAAGAAAGAAATACATTTCACTGCGTTCGGTTCTTTTTTATTTTGGAACATGACATTTTTGGTCATCGAGGGAAAAAGCGAACAAGGGGAAAGCGAGACTTCTTTTGCGGTGCGAGAAGTATCCAAACTCAGAAGGTTTGTAAAGAACTCTTGCATAAACAATGCGATCAGAAATTTTCCTTTCCGATCGGTTACTTTCAACTTTAATGGACATTGGAATAGAACTCATCTAGGGCCAAGTCTATGACCAGTTCCAATGGAAATTTTACGTGAAACGGAATTGACTCAAATACCGCCTCATCTGCTGCATGCAGAAAGAATATCTTGCCATTCCAAATTCGGCGACTTTGATACTGCCAATAATGACATTTTTCACCAAGGCTCGGACATGGCATTGAGAAGCTTGGCTATTCTATCTGCCGGCTACTGTTGGGGCGCGGTGAGTCCAACACACCTCAGTTCCTTGGACAAACACTAATCAATTATAGCCCCGAGCTGGAAATGATAAGGGCCCATCCGCCATTTTGAGTTCCAACCTAGTCGAGCAACTCGTCACGTTCGACCGTTTGTTGGAGATCATCCGCATTGTACCCCCACAACGCCGTGGCCAGTTGTGTCTTTGATGGGATGGAAGGTCAAAACGACACTGGCATTGTCTTACCTGGGCCGTATGAGTGATCTTGAATTATGATACCGGTCGAAGGAATTCAGATCTCGCGTATGAGTCAGGCAGGTATTTCTCATTTCAGGAACTGTCGAACGGACTGGTCAAATATCACTAAGATCATTTTTGGCCAATTCCCCTGTACGGGTGTGGTATTGGGGTTAGACTCGGGAGTAACACTAAGACAAACCCTCAGGGAGGGGGGGGGAGGTGTTCAACCACTCCCATCAATAATCAATCAACCATCGGATTCCATTGGACATCTTCAGTACTAGCCACATGTGCAGTACCTTGAAAAGAGTAGAGAGTACCATTATACTCAAAATAGGCCATAGAATCCAGAGATATCAATATTTAGGAATAAAAGAGTGAAAAGAGAAATCACTATTTATCCTGTATTCCCTATATAGAGTCTAATCTGAGAATTTTCGACTATAACACTACCTGGGTAAACTGTCCGGGAGTCTTTGACCACACGTATATATGCTACGCGAGCCTTGGAATATTGTTGGGAATTTTGGACCATAAGGATGACAATCGTCAAAGTTGAATATCTTCGTCAGAAGGTAACTTGAAGATAAAATTCACCAAAATAGTCATTAGAGTCTGCCCTCTTCCTCTGTCTTCTCTGAAAATAAGGGCTACTAGGTAGTAGAATAGTACATAGGTTTTGAACGATAGATAACAGGCCAAACTTGACTTATAGAATCTTGATCAAGTCGAAGCCCACCCCAACGTCTTGTATCCATCGCTTCCGTCACCACCGCCCGAGCCGTCGAAGTATGCCTGTTGACAACGAAGCCTAGGAAAGAGCTGATTGCTGAGGTTGACTGGCATCATGCTGACTGCAAAATGCTAATTGTCTGGCGTCCGTGGAACGTTCGTCAGTTGCTGCTTGGATTCTTGCTGCCGCTCATGTCCGCACGATGCAGATTGTTGCGGATTTTGACGTGACTCATTCGAGCCTCTGATAGACGTCAGCTGATAATTCTCGACTTGACCATAATATCTTGGGAGTACCGAATTACCGAAGAAGCTTCTTAGCGGCGAAATAGCCAACAGTGCCTAACAGACCGATCTTGAGAAGCGCCATCCCTCTTCTGGGTCCGTATGGTCGGAATGAAAAGTTGCCTCGAGCAGAGAGTTGTCTGGCATAAAACCGACTGTATCGGCGAGAAGGATAGTCCATGATTTATTGTTGAATGATTCCTTAAAACCTCGCAGGTGGACGACGAATGTTTATAGGTAGATTCAAGCCGAGTCCGGAACTCCTCGGCCGAGCGGGGCCGGCTTTCCCTTTGAATAGCCCGGCCTCGGGCTCGGCCTCGGGTGTGCAGCAGCGCCTTTGCGCACATCACCAACAAACAACATCGGACGTCCGGGCTTTTACTCAACGTCGGGCATTGCTAGTGGCAGCATGTATGTCAGGGCTCCTTTCTTATGCAGGTCTTTGCCTCTTGTCAGAGGTATATAGAACTGACCATGTTCTTTAGAACCAGACTCGTTATTTTAATAGACGTCACAAGCACAACTACCATTTACGCGCCCTATCAAGTACCTTACAGCAACTATGCACGACAACCGCACTGCTGAGCTCGAGAAGGGCAGTTCGACCTCTTCAAGAACATCGAGTCCAGCAGAGGCCAAGCCTCAAGCATCTGGCCCACCAGAAGCACCTGAAGGAGGCACAAAAGCCTTCCTATCGCTACTCGGAGGCTCCTTGGGTCTTTTTATCTCATTTGGATGGGTCAATTGTATTGCTCTGTTCCAAGCTGAATATGAGAACAACCAGTTGAAGACCTATGGCAGCTCGGAGATATCCTGGATCACTTCGTCCGAATGTGAGAGCCTTCTTCCCCAACCGGCCGTAAAACAACAAACTCATTTCAATCTAGTTTTCTTCATGCTGTTCATGTCGCCATTATCTGGATATCTATTCGACAACTATGGACCACGATTGCCGATATCTATCGGTGGATTAATGCATGTGATTGGCCTCATGATGACCAGCTTGTCAAGCAAATACTACCAATTCTACTTGGCACAGTCGGTTTGCTCAGGGACCGGCACATCGCTCATTTTCACTCCAGCAATGACTGCGGTTTGTGTGATCACTCTTTAAATTTATCTCGCATTTTCTGAAAAGTTTCACAGCCTATGACTTACTTCAAAAAGCGTCGCGCTTTGGCAGGAGGATTGACCGTTGCAGGTTCGAGTCTGGGTGGTGTAATCTTTCCCCTCATGGTCAACAACCTCCTTCCAGAGGTCGGCTTTGTATGGACGATGCGAACCTGCGCTTTCTTGATCCTTGGACTCTGGGCTATTACCATGCTCACCGTCTCCTCCAACTTGCCCCACGCTCGCAAGGAGTTCAAGCTTGCGAACTACCTTCAGCCTTTCACGGAATTCAACTTCTTGATCTTGTTGACGTTCTGCTTTTTCCTTTACTGTAAGCCGTCTATCATTATGTTTCATCGCACCACAGCTAACCAGAGTTTAGGGGGATTGTTTGTCCCTTTCGACTACCTTGTCACGTCTGCTGTGCATAACGGAATGTCAATGACTATGGCCTACAATCTGATTCCCATCATGAACGGAGCGAGCTTTTTTGGACGTACGATTCCCAATGGCCTTGCCGACAAGTACGGCCGTTTCAATGTGCTTATTATCATGCTCCTTTTCACTGGTATCATCACTCTGGCCTTGTGGTTTCCTGGTCGCAGTAACGCGGCCAATATTGTCTTCGCCGCTTTGTTTGGTATCGGATCTGGCACCACCATTGGCTTGACACCGCCCCTTGTGATGGCTCTCTACTCACCTCAGGAGATCGGGTTTCGAATCGGGTTGGCTCTTGCTATCGCAGGCCTTGGTGCCCTTACGAGCCCTCCGATTGCTGGTGCAATTGCAGCGACAGATGGAGGCTCTTACCGCTTTGCGGCCTTATTCAGTGGCGTGAACTTCATGGTCGCGACAATATTTTTGGTGTGGCTGAGGTGTAGAGTTTCAGGTTGGAATCCCCTCACAAAAGCTTGATGCCTAGGCAAGGACATTGAGTGCAGCAGCCTGCTGCAATTACAACGTCTAGTGAAGAGGAGGAGACTGGCATGGAGGCAGAGAAATATAAATTGACAAACGCGTGACATGGCAGAATCTCTTCTGTAAATATAGAGATTTTAATTTTAGTGTTACATCCGGATCAATCTCTGTAGACAAACAGACTATATGTAGAGATTTAGAGAGTCCGGAAATTGATTTCATGACCATGAAGATCATCACTTCTTCGATACGTGCTTGTCAAATACTTGATAACACCTCATAATTTGATCTAGCTAATTCTCTCTGGTCATCAGCGAGGCGGCGAATGCGTAGGAAGCTGATTGTACCGCTCTACTGCTGTATAAAGTAAATACATGCATAGCCCTCGATTTGAAATATCGATCGAAAGATTTCGGCGAGCGTTGCCTCCGACAAGCTTTCAAGAAAAATATGCTAACAAACTTATCGCATCGTCATCACTACCTAACCAGATCAATCCCAAGCTTTTCCAAGTGTACAAGGCCGTATCAGACTAGTCTTGCCATATGCTAAAGTTTAGGAAACAGAAATTCTTTACGATAAGCATATATCACTTGGGGCATATCACCCCAGGCATTACAAAAAGCATCCAAGGCAGTAAGATAAATCGAGAAAGCAACCACGATAATGAATTTGAAATCTTGTTCTATATGACTAGACGAACGAGGAAGACAAAGAACGATAATTCACATCAAGGCTGCTGCTGCTGCTGCTGCCAATGCCTGTTGACAACAACCTAGCAAAGCCTTCAAATTTTGATCAACCGTACATCAGGTGCATCCCGATTCTGAGATCCTAGCGGCTTCTCGCCGACACGCAGACTCTCCAACCGGAAACTCTCGACAGCAGCCACGGTCGTCAACTTGAAAATCAGATCTGCGAGATGTTTGCCCAAACAGCGACCCAAAGCCGCGCTCGTGTCATAGCGCATGAAACCGAACCGCAACGCTTGAGGGGTCACTTCCAGGAACCGATCCGGGCGATATTGTGCGCCATTGATGAACCCTTCAAGGTTCGTTTCTCAAGTGGCTTTGGTTCAGCTGAGTCTTATCCACCTGGGATCTGCCCAGCGTTGAGGAATTAAGACAAAACATCTCGATGAATAACGACGGTACGATACTTCGTGAGCCTTGGGCACGTATTCTAAGCAATATCATGGAGCCATGGCTTCGAGAGAAATGCGATGCGAATCAATGATCGATACTGCTATGGGTGGGCCGTGGAAGGCCTGGTGCAGTACGAGGATACAGTCGAGGTTCAGATCCATGACCGAGTATCGAATATTCGCAAGCCAATTCGCTCCCCATATGTTGCCGGATGCGATGGAGCATGGAGTGCGGTGCGGAAAAGTTTGGGCGCGGAGCTCGAAGGCGGGCCTATGTGAGTTCCGCTATGTATTCTGGTGGCCCATGGGCTCAAAAGAGACAATAAGACTCCTTTAAAGCTAACTCCAAAGCTAACTCCAACAACGATAGGCATCGAGCCGTGGCCCTGACCCATTTCAAGTCAAAGGATCTCGAGCGAATCCATCGCCAGGGCCGATTTTGGCATAGTCTTTTTCCCATGGACCCTACAACCAATAACGGCTCTATTAGCGGCGCCATCATCGCGCAAGACGGAAAAGAGACCTGGACAGTCCACGATTATCTAGGCTCTGACTACAATGCAGACGATGTGACAGCCGAGAAGACAGTCGCCCAGGTCCTTGGTAATATGGGCTCACCCTACCCGATTTCTCTTGATGAGATCACTGCAACCTCCATCTTCACGCCGACAGTAGCTAACGCCAAAACATGGACCAGCAATCATCAGCGCGTCTTCCTTGCCGGAGATTCTTGTCATCAGACAATTCTCTCGGGCGGCTACGGAATGAATATGGGCCTTGCTGATGCTTGGGATTTTGGCTGGAAGCTCGCAGCCACTGTTCAAGGCTGGGGTGGCACTCACTTGCTGAGGACATACGAACAGGAACGTCGTCCTGTGGCTGCGCTGATGCAACACTGGAGCAAAATCCACATGATGAAACTCATGGGGCTTTCAACAGCTGTGAGATTGGATCCGGTCGTCATCGAATCCATGGATGAGCACGGCATAGCCCTGCGTGAGGAGATCGATCAGTACGTTCAGGAAAACGATGACCAGAACCAGAGCTTCGGCGTTGTAATGGGTTACCGCTACGAGTCGAGTCTGGCAGTACTGAACGAGAAGGTGGATGTTGAAAGGGCAGCACCACAGTTCGACTCACGCAGCTACATCCCAACTACGTTCCCTGGTTCGCGCGTACCGCACGTGGCTTTGTCGGACGGCAGCGCGATTTCCGGTGGATTTGGGAAAGGCTTCACCATGGTCGCATTTCTGCAGAAGGAAGCAGTAGCAGCCGGAGACCAATTTCAGATGGCCATCGCACTGGCCAGTTTTGCTGAAGCAGCAAGCAAGCACAGTATTCCTTTAAAGAGCGTTTGTTTGATGAATGAGACTCATGCGTTCCGAATTTGGGATGCTTGTTTTGTCCTCGTGCGGCCTGATGGAGTTTCAGCGTGGCGCTCAGACAGTCTGGACAAGGTGCACAATGCATCACAAGTGTTGCTTCAAGCAACAGGTCATTCCTTACCTTTGTAAGCAACTCCTTCCGAGACACATGGGCAGAGACGATCGAACATAGAACGGAATGGAAAGAATTGACCTCAATCAATCACGATCATCATTTCGCGACGACAATCTTCCTGTGAACTTGCTCTATCAAATAGTTGGAACCAAAAAGGCCGAAAAATCCAGGTAGTTGTAGTCCTGACTTCAGTCAGTAGTGCTATATAAGAGGCGTATATCTGGTACTTTGTACTCACCATTGCGCTAATATCCAGGCCGTCAAGAAGCCCATTATCGATCACCTCCACTTCTCTGGGAGTGTTGGCGGCCCTGTAAGACTGTAGTACATCGTAACACTCCTTCACGCTGTCTTTTGCAGTGTTCAGCACAGGAGACAAAACGGGTTGGCCGCGTTCCATGGCGTATATCTGGGAAAGAATGCCAGCAAGAAAGATGTAGCGTTTCAACGTAGGATGGCCCAACTTTATGATCTGCAGTAATTGTTCCTTGATGTGTTCCAAAAGTCGAATGATGGGCGCTCGCTGGGCGCGCGTCAGTTCAGCGAGGGGATCAAGGACTGATGTGTGGTTGAGACCAATCGAAGCAGATGACGGACCGGAACCCGTTTCCTCCAGCTGAGACACAACCTCCAAGCCCAAGACTGAAATTACGTCCAGGCTCAAAGGTCCGCGAAATGACCCTGTGCTCATCACCATCAACTTGGACAGATCGTCAAGAGAGTCCGCAGGTAGCCGAAGTCGCTCGGCATAAGTGGCGATGATCATCGCAGACTCCTGGCAAGCCCTCCGGGAAAAGTAGAAGCGGGGATCCTTTTGCGCTTGTAGCATGAAAGGCCGATGCAAAGCCAAAATATACTGACGAATCTGCATATCAAGGAACGCGTGATGCATGCTTAGGAATTTCGACCAATGCGACCGACAATAACTTGCAAGAGTACGGCAAATTGTCTGAAGTTTCGTAGCTAGCTCAATGGCCTTTTCGTATGAGTGCTCTAGTCGCTCGTTTTGGACCGCCCTGACAACTTCAAGTCGTAAGGGCAGGGACTGACGCATGAGAATTTGTATCGACGATTCCGTATAGCTTGTCAACGGTTGTGGAGATGGAGACTGTTTGCTGGCTGGATCTAAATCAGCATCACTGACATTAAGAGGCATATGATCGTCAAAATCGGTTGAAGAAAGAAGCAAAGGGATGGAACAGTCCATGGAACCATGGATTACGAGCTCTAGGACCGTTGTCCAAAGCCTCGTTCGTAGCTCGGCTTGGAAAGGAGACAGAGAAAACAGTTGTGGATCTCGGTGCAGGCCCATAGTCATAGCCACCCGAAGTAGACCACTTTCCGACAGCCACGGCGAACGGCCGACTAATGTTATCTGCCGCGAAACCAACAGAAGACAGAAAATTTGAATTCCATCAAGATTGTTGGTAGTTTTCTCTGACGGTCCAACCATCCAGTATTGAGCAGCTTGTATCCAAGTACGCCGCGAGCGCTGAATAACTTTGTCGTCGTCGTTGCTGAAGACGCTTCCAATGGCCAACACCAAACCCAACTTGATTGCAAAGTTGGTAACTACAGGCTGCGACTTGCTGAAGTATTGTTCGTATTCTGCCCAGAATGTGGGAATGTGAAAACAACGATAGATCAACTCGAAAGTCCGCATGTAGTGATTCACTAGTCGGTCACAGATTGCACGAGCCGGCATCGTACTCAGAATTTGAGGAACTGGGTCATCCATCTGCGGTACCTGCTCTTTTTTCATCGTGAGTCGTAAGTTGCGTATCTCATTCACCGAATCGGCCAGCTCGGCCTTGGTATCCAAGAAGGTCAATTCAACGTCACTGTCACCGACATAGCTGACTTTGAACTATTGATACGTCAGCAAATGTTCAATCTGTCAATGTGTTCATTAGAAAGGAGCTTCGACGAAACCTTCTCAGCAGTGTGCAGCCAGTGGCTTGAAGGAAACAGTTTTACCTTCATCGGGTTGTGACGAAGTCGAGGCATGACAGAAGGAATTGTTAGAGACTTATCGCCCGTGACAGCTGAAGGCGCAGGAGGAGCTTGGGAGAGCTCGGCAAGCCGCTGCTCGACGTTTTGGATGCGATCAGACAATGCCAGCAGCGTGGGATGATTGCTGCTGCTGCTGCTGCTGCTGAGGTTGTGCTGCTGGGGATCTACTTCTGGTAAAACCGAGTGCTCAAGCTGCTGTATACGTCGCTCTACGCTCCGAATTCGCTCCGATTCATGCGTTGTTCGTTGCCTCTTTGCAGGGTGATCGATGTTGTTGTTTGGGGCAATGCTGAGCGAGCGAGGAACTTGTTGTTGGACATTATTGCCCTCACTTCCACGGTCTTCCAGTACGAGACTGGGTTTCTGCTGATTTCCATGATATGTGCACGTGACCGAGCTTCTAGAGACTTGACAGGCTGAACATGGCGATTTGAGATCGCAACGTACCTTTCGGCGGCGGCACGGGTCGCAGGATTGCACAGGTCGGCGGCTCCGACGAGCGGGTGGAGATGCTGACCGGGTACTGCCAAGGCTCTGGTCCTCAGCCATCTTGACGATAGTGCAAATTGCAGGTATTGGATGCGCGGTCAACGGGCATCAATGACGTTGGAAAGGTCGGAGGGAAAGCTCGGGGTCGGCAAGCTGCTGAAGTGAGGTGCTGTTTCATCTTGAGCTCGGACTCGGACTCGGGCCCGGGTCCGGACTGTTCGGACTGTCCGGGCTCGGGGCTCGGGGCTCGGACATACTCTCAACGTCCGCCGCCCACCGACCAATTCAACCTCCTGAGTACAGGTATTTTCATACAGCCCTTATTGGTGTCAACAGCTAGGCTGTGAATCCCTTGCCGATCATTGATGACATAATGTCGTCGCTTTCGATCTTCGGACATAGCCTTCGCTCCTAGGCGTCAATGCATCGTCTTCTTCTTCGTTCGATTTACAGGAATTTAGAAACGAGTGAAACGCGGATGTATGAATAATAAAGAGTTGCAAGGCATGGATCTAACAGTCTGGCATTTAACAGTCATGCTAATGTTCTAAAGATTGAGCTAGTGTAATTCTCATGCCGGTTGTCGTTCATCGATACTAATTTCCTTCCTGTGCTTTGTGGAAGGCAACCAAAACACCAGTCTTGTTACTTGGTCTAATCCGCATAATAGCATGGTATGGATTCGCATCTCTGGATTCGATTCGCTCGTAGCGCATTACCAAACGAGCTAACATGTATGCACTCTCCGTCATGACCATCATCTGTGCTGGGCACCTTCTAGGACCACCGCTGAAAGGCACGAACTCCCAGAAGGGCTTTAGCGCAAGGAAGCGCTCAGGACGAAAATCGTCTGTGTCTTCACCCCAGTATATCCTATTGCGCTGCTGTGATATCTTAGTCACTTGGACCATATCCCCTTTGCAGACTAAGATAGGATCCTGGCCGTCTTTACCTCCACCACGTAGGAGAGTCGTGTCGTTCAGACAGATACGGACTTAGGTGACGTTGTTTGGGTTTAGTCGCAGAGTCTCATCAAGACAAGCATTGAGGAACTTAATGCCTCTGAGAGCGGAGAAGGTGAGTTTACCAACCGCTTCGTCATCATCCCCTTGAACTGCTGTCAGTACCTCCTCACGACATCTTGCCCACGCATCCGGGTGACGAACCAAGTGCCAGAGGGTATTACTGATGAAGATCGAAGTTGTGTCGTTGTTTGGGACGAGCAGCAGGGACAACTGAGACCGCAGATCTTAGTAGTCAGAGTCGTGTGATGCCATGTCCTATAGAAGGTCTTCCCGCTCAGGGCCTACTTTCTCTCCAGCAACGATGTGTCCCTTGCGGATTCTGATTTCTTTGTAAGTTTCTGTGATATGTGTGTCGACAAAGGCATGAACCTCGTATACTGCCTTGAGCCACCAGTCCCAGTTGAATCACTTGATCATGCGAACGACCTGCATGCGCTGGCGACTGCCACGGAGAACATCCAGCATGGCCCATGTGATTCTGGCCTTGTCTGGTTGATGGAGGACCCCCACAGGCTCCCCAAGAATGAAATCAGTGGTCAAATCCAGGAACTATGTTCGTATGAGCGTTGTAGTATAACGTTCAAATTGCCTTTTTGCAAGCGCGACTTACCCATCGCTGGAGCAGGGGCTGGATGTTGAACGTCTCTCCATCCGGCAGCAGTAGAGTGAATAACGACTCCACATACGGCCTGATCCGATCAGTGTTCATATAGAAATCGCGATTGAAGAACGGCTTGATGAGGAAATGGCTGAATACCCAGTCGTCCCCATCAACGGTGTTGACACCTTTGTCTGCGAACGGATGGAAAGCTTTCGTACTGCGTCGGAGAGGACTAATGCCAAAATCCTTCCAGTTAATCGCTGTCATAGCCTTACGGTTCTCCGTGTCGGTGGTGTATATTTGGCGTTTTCCGAGGAAACGGATTTTGAATGTGCTCGGTTGGCCTTCATGTATAGCTGCCAGCCATGAGATAAAAGTGTCTCCACGGAGGGCCTTCATTTGGCTCAAGGCGAGATCGAGGCCAAGAATGCGATCCCATTGAGGATAGGACGGTATAACACCGCAGCCATGGGCTTTGCGTCCTTTGTATTCTTTGAATCGCACCCACAGTAGGTTGATGAATATGGCCAGTAACCCAGAGGCGACGGCCACAGACCAAAGGTTGTCGACGATAATCATCGTGTGGGCAGGTTTGTCAATCATAGAAATTATCGCCAGCAACTTCTGAGGAATGGATTCCGCATGTTTGATGCGATGAACCGAGACGTGTTTAAAGCATAGAGACGCAAACCTCGTTATAAGGCCCGGAGGCCTCTTCAGATGAAGAAAGTGCAGCTCCGTAAGATACTCATGTTCAAATATCATCCCCGATACTCCACTCTCGAATCTCGGACTTAAATTCGGGATCTTATAGCAACCACAGCTAAATGCAACGCCTGTCGGGTTGCTCGAACAAACGAATGTACCTACATATGATCTTTATGCATATGGGTCTTACTATGAATCTTAGCCCATAGGAGTAAATTCTACCTTTTTGGGGATTAGTGTATTTGTGAGCAACATAGTGAGATACGCTATCTCTTTTAGGTATAGTCTATAAGATAGAACAGCGATCATCATCGACCCGCAAAATGTGGATAGCACATCTATGCCAACGGGATATAATAAGATAGATAGAAATCCAAAGATTGAAAGCGTGTACTGGAGTAAATCCAGATTTCAGATAGTAAAAGTTGTGGGAACAATCGGGGATTTATTTGGCCAACTAGGAGTTTCTTGATCGCAGTCTCTGTTATCCTGGAAATCCTGCCGCCTTTATAGAGACTTGGTTGATATATGTGGAGTTGCGATTTTCACCTGGAAAGTAAATCATCGTGGTCCTTGCCCGAGTCTGAAACTCGATTTCCAAGGTTCACACAAAGAGGACCTTTCTTGAGATCAAGGACAAACCGAGGCTCAATAAAGTTAGGAGAACCTGAAAATGGAGGATATGCGGTAAAGACGAGGGGTATTCGAAAAAGAAACGGATGCTGAAAAAAGGAATGGATGCTGAAAAAAAATTTCAATGTTCTTCCTCCGTGGGCTTTTGAACAACAAGGTAATTGGTCATTCGACCTCACCTAGCGGAGCTGTTATACTAATGCTGTACCACTAGTACTGAAAAAGCGTAGAAGCTTTTGCAACCTGGGCATACAAACGTGAATATTCTGAAAGGGTCTTTACGTGACCAGGTGGTAGAACAACTGCGTAATATCGCAAGTATTCCCGTACCCGGCGAGGTCTATATAGTGGAAGTGACCTCGGGATCTAGTAGGTCAGGTGACTGAACCTATACCCAGAGCACTTGAATCAAACAGGTAGAGACTGGAGTATAGATAATTAAAGTAATTGAGCGTCATATCCTGCTACAGCGACAATGCTCATTTCCCCATGACCTCCCTTCGCGGCAGCATCGAGATAATCCTGCACGGTCAATACGAGTCCCTTGTCACTGAGCAAATCCCCCTCTTCCAGGTGTCCTCGAAGAAAAGGGCCGTTCATACCTCCATTCAACTCCCACACCTGTCCATCTTTCTGAACAAATCCAACAAAATGATGATGGTTATCTTCCGCAGGAGAGGGGGCCACGGATGATCCCCTGGAAGCAGCCTCCATATGCGCATCTTCCAAGAATTTCGAGTTGTAGAGTAAATCTGCCCTCTCCGCTGGCCCCAATTCAATCGCCCGTTTTCGTAGCTGATCCAACTCCGAGTCAGGTGCAACATAGAGTCCGCCCTCGTAGTTGAAGAGACAATGCAGAAGGGCCATAAGCCCACACGCATGGCCGATAGTCTGTTTCATCCAGATGACCGGCTCATCGGGACCTGAGCCTTGATATTCGGGGATTGTCGGTTCTACATCGGAGCGAGCCGCATGGTAGATCGGAGAATGGGCCAGGACAACAAGAGCATGAATGGGACGGGGAATCCATTCGAGCATGTCTGGTGATGTGGAGAGAACATCGTGGAAGCTCAAACCCGGGGCGACGCCGAGATTCTCGCAGAGGTGGGCTAGTACATCTGGGTTGTTCTCTGTCTCACTCTCGTTAGAAGTGCTCCTGGCCTCTCCCCGTCTCCAGGTGCGACGAACCGAGAGGGATAAATGTCTTGCGGCCGTTGACAAGCTGTGCCGAGGGAGGCATAGTGGGACTATCGGCCCAATAGACCTGTCATGGAGGTGAAAATGGAGATCGAGAAGGAGTGGGGAGAAGTTGAAGTGGGGAGGTAAGCTGGAAAGCGGAGAAGCTTCGCAGGGCTGAAAAGTCTTGGCATTTCGGACAATCTTGGCAGTCACGAGATACAATACACGTGCTGCACTTTGATTTCAACATCATTTCACTCCTGCATACTTCTATTCACATTCTGATGGATACATCAAAGAACATAGGAGGCAGCATTGCAATTATCACCATAATCGATCCATTTTCCGTGCATTAAGCAACATAACTGCAAGCTTCATGACCACAATTTTGCACAAGCCCCCAATTGGCGGGTGATTTGGCTTCAAGCTTCCCGGGAAAAGCTTGTCAAGTGGTTCCTGGCATCTTTCCGACATGACACGACAGAAAGTATTTCATTCTTGATCAAAATGACACAAAAACCGGTTCCTGATGTCAATGGAGATCGCTAACCATCACGGTCCTCAAACTGCCGATGCAAGTGAGGGTCCATCCGACCCAATCATTTTGTTTCCGAGGTCAGCAGAAGAAATAGACCCACCATTTTCAGCCCTATGGACCTTCAAGCATAGCTCCAAGCATGTGTGTCAGGAACAGACTTGCTGTTATTGGTGGTTCAATCAGCCCTACAGGGTCCACCGCTGAGCTTTCGGGATATTGCAAGCCAGGCAGCAGCCGCAACGACATTACGGATTTCACGAAGATATGATTTTGCAATTCGACTCACAATGAGCGACTCATCGCTGCGACCCATCACGATCCCAAGGTTCTCACCAACCCAATTATAAAATGAATTCCATGAATTCTTCCCTCCCATCCTCACATCCTCACATCCTCCCACACTTTCTTTGTCTTCCCCATTTTCTTCGCGACTGGGCAAACCAGGACGATGACTTCCTTTGATCCCACCCACGTCAATCTGAAGACCGCCAGCAAGGAAGATGTCCTGTGCTACTTGGAGATTTCCAGCAACGACTACAATGGCCACATGGGTGCGCGTATTTCAGCCATTTTCGTGATCCTCTTCGTCTCATCGGCGTTCACTGTCTTCCCCGTCGTTTCGAAGCGCATGCCGGGATGGAAAATTCCCCACAGCGTCTACATCTTTGCTAGATACTTCGGCACTGGTGTCATCGTTGCCACGGCCTTTATTCACCTGCTCGACCCCGCCTACAAGCGTATCGGTCCGAAGACCTGCGTCGGCCAATCTGGATACTGGGCCGAATACTCCTGGTGCGCGGCAATCGTCTTAGCCTCAATCATGGTGATATTCCTCCTCGACCTCGCGGCAGAAGTCTACGTCGAACAGAAATACGGAGTCCAGAAAGACGAGTCGGCGACCAACGTCTTCATCTCCCACGAACATCACCTCGACGTGAAGCCCGCTACCGACGCTGAAAGGAACGCGCAGACACAGACCGCCTCGCCAGCAACCGCAGATAGTTGGGACTCGGCCGCGCTTTCGAAGCAAGACTCAGAATTCGACGAGCGATCATTCCGCCAACAAATCACCGCTTTCCTCCTCCTCGAATTCGGCATCATATTCCACTCCGTGATCATAGGGCTGAATCTCGGAGTCACTGGCGCTGAATTCGCCACGCTCTATCCCGTCCTCGTTTTCCACCAGTCCTTCGAAGGTCTCGGTATCGGCGCCCGCATGTCCGCCATCCCCTTTGGCAAACACACCTGGCTCCCGTGGATTCTGTGCGCGGCGTACGGTCTCACAACTCCCATCTCAATCGCGATCGGCCTTGGCGTGCGCACTACATACTCCCCCGGCTCCAAGATCTCCTTGATCATCCAGGGCGTTTTGAATGCTGTGTCGGCGGGCATTTTGATTTACAGCGGATTAGTCGAGTTGCTGGCGAGGGATTTCCTGTTCGATCCGTGCCGGACCAAGCGTCGCTCTCGTCTTTTGTTCATGGTCTTCTGTACTCTTCTCGGAGCGGGGATTATGTCTTTGATAGGCAAGTGGGCCTAATTCAAGTGTGCAAGGAGTTCTCGGAAGAGTCTTTCTGTGCATGGATGTTTGTGACTCGATGGTGTACTTCGGATGCTCTTTCATCGGAGGCTTTCGTGTGAATATTCACTGGGCTTTTAGCCATTTCTAATCAATCAAATCAATCTTAACTCTTCAATGATGCGATTGGGTACTACTGTCAGGTGCTCGTATTCTAAAAGTAGGAAATGAAGGAGAGCCTTGGAAATACTGTTCTCCGTATATTTACTCCATCTATTCCTACGATGCGAAATACAGGAGAGCGCGTAAGTATCTTGAGTGGAATATCTGGATTCCCAAGGTCTGGAAGACCAGGCACACTGAAATTTCTCTGGGAGTATCCATATTATCAAACTCTGGGAATTTTCACGCCCCCGGGCGTCTTTATGGCGAGGTATAGGCTTTTTAAATGAAAATTCTCATATCGCATACTGATTCAAAATTGGAAGAAAATATAAATGAAGGTGATCATGAACTGGAAACGAAAGTGAAGGAAATCCATCCAACCCTCTATTTATAGACAATGTGACCCTAGAGATCGATGACCATGTCACGAATCCTCACAGTCACTCTCAACAACCCTGACCTGGTCACAAATGTATTGAACAACAAGAGGTATTTCAATCTCATCCACCTCCAAAGAGATCCCGAGTTTTCGGGTCTCTTCGTTGTGCTCGAGGTCATATTTGTCGCGTTCTGAAAGGAATTTAATCATTCGCTCATACCAAATCTCCTGCAGGAAATCCATCAACGGAAGCCCAAGGGCATCAAACTGAGCGTCAAATTCAGATACAAGCTTTTCAAACCTCTCAAGAGGGACTGTCTGCTCTTCTCTGATTTCCTGAAGGTCGGATTCGTCACGGACATGCTTCCAAGGAGGGAACCACCGGATCTCGGTGCAACATGTGTGACTCAGACTTAGCCCATCAAACGTGAGATTTCTGATAATTGCGTGGCATACCTCGAGCTTGGACTGGTTGTGATCAATCATGATCTCAAGAAACCACCGAAAGGAGGATGCAGCCTGGCTAATGTTTCGTTCCCTACCCAGATGCAAACCAAAGATCACATCCCGCATAGCTACCGAAAATGGAGTGCATCCATCGGCAGAGCATGAGCAATAACATCTGTCCCTGGTTGACAAAGAAAGCAAATGAGTTTCAATTTGCTGAAGGTGACGTAGTCTAACATGAGGGTCCAAGCGGTCATTCTGCCCGCATCCACGGTGGATCCACCTGGCCAACTTACTATTGAGCAAGTGTAAAGTTGTAGAATTTGACCCGGGCAGAGTCCGAAAAATGCTTGCTCCTTTTGAAATCATCCATGCAATCCTCTCAAGGTCCGTATAGCCATATATGTATGCGCAGTGGCCCATTAATGGCGTATACTCTCCTTCGAGCGGTAGATCAAAGTCTATAAATCCAGCCTCATATATTTTATCCAGACTGACAGGGGAAATGTCGTACCCGCAGAAGAGAGACCTCTCCTCAAAAGGCCGCAATGATTGATCCATTTCATGTCCCTTAGATATCAATGCAGCCCATAGTGCAGTGGCATATGCATCAGGGAGCCCGGTCTCTCCTTTCCTGAGATCACATAATTCACCAGGATGGATGTGTGCTTCCGCAATATCCAGAAGCTTCCTACGCCTTTTTGCTAGCTCTTGGATAAATATAGATCGTACCATGTTAGAGGAGTTATAGACAATGTCAAAGTTTGAAATTCGGTATCCGGTCCCGAGTAAGATATTAGAACATTCGACATATTCATCAATCTTGGTTTCTTCGTCGTTGATACCGGAGCCTGCATGGTATGATTCGGGTATTCGGATTCCTGGTTGCGCTTTCATCAGTAATTTGACACCGACTGGCCATCCCATTGCCACCTGAATCAACGTAATCCCATTCAGGCTATCTTTGGAAGGCGCCAGTTTTGACTCGAGAAGGCCTTGTAAATCTGTCTCTGATTCTCGAAGAACTGCTAAGAATTCAGAGGGCAGATCGATAGCTGTGGGGTATGTCAACAAACTGCCCAGATGTCCCTGGTACTATGATCAAGATGCATTCGTACAATCGTCATGCCTGCGCAGAAGACATTGCATGTTTATCTTTTCGATCCATGACCGCGGGGCCCAGTTTATCGGTCCGCATTTTTCGATGATATAAGAGGCCAGATCAAGTTCTTGTTCGGTCCAAATATATGCATGGCATAGCATGCGTAAAGGTGAGGATGCATTCCGATAATTCGTAGTGACATTGTGATCCAGCATATACGTGACGAATTTGCGAATTCCCGGAAATGTATCTAGATTGAACGGAACAAGAAAGTAAAAAGTGAACTAATGAAAGAGTGGTAAGATAATGTGCAAGTCCCACATTGGGCCCTGGGAAGTCTTACGTCCATCGCAGAAAGGGAGGATTCATAGAGGAATATTTCATCAGAAAGCCTCATCTTCCCTTCTTCAGCAGCACGCTGGAGTAAGGGAATCCAATTATCGACTTCTTCCGAAAGCTCGCGGGCCGTTAGATCCGGTAATCCAGGCCTTTCAAAAATCCGTCGTTCATGATCAAAGGTATCTAACCAATTTTTGGAATCAACAACAGCATGACAATGCAATGACGCAATCGGAAATACGCCTGGCTCGGTTGAAAAACAAAATGTTGCCGTGAAAGCGCGACCGAGCCACCTGCTATAAAGCCTGTATTGCTTTCTCTCCTGTGTGGTTCGAAGATTTTTCCAATTGAAGCCGAGCGATGGGCGACAGCTCTGGACACTGAAGTTCCCACGACAGGATATTGAGTGGGTGGTTTGTTCGTGAAAGAAGGTTTGGTGAGAGGTAGCTGTGATGGAAAGTTGGAGTGTGTCCTCAAAGAGATTTAGTAAACGTCCTTTGCGGGGGAGTTAATTTTATTACCATTTTCTCAAGGAGTAGATCTTGCTTCAACCCGAATTGATGTACCGCGCGTGCTGAATAACTGTGCTTCGATCAGATACTGCGGTGCCACACCAAAGGACGGGCACAGACCTTACACATTCAGTGCTGTGGTTAGATCTAGTTCCATACTATGCAGACAATCTCGAACTTCAAAGAGCTCTTCCTTTTTGAAATGATACATCGCCTTGTTCAACGTCGATCGAGCTCGTGAACGCACACTCGTTGTCGCAACTTGAGCTTCATTGAACTGGTCAATCGGCCTTTTCAGTCTATCCAGGTATACTTGTAGACCAAGTGCCTTTGACTCGAGATCTGCGGCAACTTCTGGTGAATCACTCCTCGTTTCATCGATCAACCCGTCTAAGCCTCTCAGCAATGAACGAATGTTGGTGGCTTTTGTTGCAAGGTGTTTCATATCATCAGTTTGGCCCTGCACATTTCGAGCATAGCGGGCGATCTCGCCGCAAACAGACAGACCGAGAGAAATGACCCCGACCGCGCTGCCGGTAATGGAGAAAGGGTCGGACATTTCTGATCATGAACTGAGATGTGAGAAAGAAGGAAAGACTTGAGTCGACAAAGGGAGAGGAGGCATTCTGAAGTTCGGACTAAGGAGGCAGTGTCTGAGGCTGAGATGCATGCGTTGGCAGTCCTGGGCGGCTATTCGTTGGATATCGGGCTCGCGTGATGAATCGCATATTTTCACTGCCTGGTTAGTGGGGTCGGCTCGTTAGCGTGCATGTTGGCGGTACTTGGCGCTGGTAATATTACAATATGAAAACAGCGAAATTAAAATTCAAATCCTTGTTCAATTAAATACCAATTCAACAAAATTACCGTACATAAAGTGTCGTCGACTGGAGAGTGGACATGCCTTTGACTACGCAGTGCACCAATCGCTAGTAAAGTGGATACGAAGCATACATGTAGCAAACATGGGTCCGAATCCTTGAATGGCCCGTGATTAGATGGCGACGAGAATCGAGTAGGGTATTGGGCACGCAGTTGTACACACCGATATTCCGGTGTCGAGATCGATTGAAAGTTCGGTTGAAACCAAATTGGCCGCCACGTCGGAGGAGGGTGTGACTTTGCCAGTTGTAAGATGGTGAAGGAATGGAAATATTGGACTTGTGTCGTGAATTGATACCAACGGCGTTCCTGGTGATTTTTCCGAGTGGTGGAAGCCTTGTGACTTCCTCGCTACCCCCTCACCCCCACGATGCGTAGGTAGCGGTTCAACCCCCGGGCTCTTGGAGAGCTTCATCGAGAATGTAAGATCCACAGTCTGCCATGGACAGCACCTCGGAATGCACTCTCCCTGATTCCAGATGATTAAATAACTCGAGGTCGGCCATATGTCAAAGTGACACGTGTATCCTGCCATGAAAATCGTGTTGAATGTGATCGAAATGAAGGAGTCTCCAACGGGTCTCTGGAACATCTGCTTGGAATGACTCATGCTCCGACTCCAAGCTCTGTCTTCCTTATTTTGTGCTTGCAAGTCGGACATTTGTTAAGCGATGGTGGGAGGAGAGGCAGATATCGATTGCCTAAGGAGATGAACCAGCCCGGTGGACGATGAGTTAGTCAAGTTCCCTCGTTCAAACTGGGCTCATAATTTGAGAGTATCGGTGAGGTACGTTTCTTCTTACCAAAAGAAAAGTGAAAGCAGGAACGAGTCCGTCCGCTACCTGGCCGATTCGCTCCCCTTCTTCAGATTCATTTTTTGTGCAGTCCATGTAGCACTGCCCTGGGGACAAGCGATGGAATCAAGGATAAAATGGGTATTTAGAGAAAGGATTGCACCCCCATGTTGGTAGGGGTGAAGTGGAGGGTGAGAGGAAGTGTTGGAAGAAGAGAAGGTAGAGTTAAGATTAAAGTGGAGGTTGGTTTGTTTACTTTGGATGGTTGGCAGGCACGGCTACGGCAGGCACGGCAGGCACGGCCAACAATTTCAGTGAATGTGAATGTGGCAGGTGCCAACCTCGAAAGTCAATTGGCTGCCTAAACTCGATTCTATTGTATACTTCCTATACTTGGTATACAATATCAATGCGATCAGAACGATTGGAGAACACCATTTCCTGGCACTTGTTCACGTTATAGCAGAATCATAAACCAACGGTTTATTCACTAGGAGACAAGGCTTTCATCTCCTCCCTTGTCCCAGGCTACTGTATAATACAATCCAAAAGAGTTAAGCTCAAGCTTAGAACTACCTCGTCATTAAAGGCTCTCAATACTAGTATTCATCCGATTTTCCCAGCTTGTGCTTGTAAGCTCTATCTGGATATCTCGTCGATGATAGACCTAAGTAAAATGACTTCCCTTGTTCAGTACCTGTTTCAACAAATCATTCTCTTCATTCACTTCCAATCTGTACATTCAGCCGGGTATTTAAATTCAATATACATGATTTATAGACTCGTCAGGAAATCGCGGAATGATTAGAAAATACCGGCGAGCATATACCCATTTAAATGTCGCGTAGAGCACTGGTAGCAATCAAGCCGTGCTGTCTTTCTTTCTTGGGGTAAATACCATATTCAGTGGACCAGTCACCAAGGTAAAGGTATCCTTCTTAGCCTCGAGGAAAGCAGACTCCGTCTGTCCCGGTGCAAACGAAACATCATATTTTGTGAAAACTTCCGCAACAACACGCCGAAGCTCCATCAGGGCAAGTTGCTTTCCGACGCAGGCATATGGTCCTAAAGAATGCATTAGCAAGACCACCACAGTTCAGACGACTTGGAGTGGCAGTCCGTGACGTGATTGCATACCGGCATTGAAAGGGATAAAAGCAGAAGCGTCCTTGACCAGGTCCGGTTGTGTAGTCCATCTCTCGGGGAGAAATTCCTGGGGTCGCTCGAAGATGCGCAGATCTGAGAAAGTAAGCAAAAGCGACATACACAGTCGGGAAAGGGGGACATGGTTTACCTCTGAACATTGTGTGTGTGGGAATGCAGACCATCACGTCACCGGGAATATACCGATCGCCGATAGAAATACCCTCGGGGGGTGTCAAGCGTTGAGTTCCCGAAGGAACGGCAGGATGCAGACGCAGAGTTTCATTAATTAGAGCGTCTAACAGCTTGACGCCTGCCAACTGTTCCTGCGACAGAGCTGGTAGGGCATCAAGCTCTGCCTGGAGCTCTTTTTGTATTCTCGGCTCGCTTGCGATATGGAAGAACATGCTGGTCAGCGTTGCTGCGGTTGTATCACTGCAAGGTCAATGTGTTAGCAAAAACGACTCAATGCGGACACAATACGTTCAATCCTCACCTTCCAGCAACAATAATGAGATAGGCATCACCATAAAGGTCAATATGATCCTGCTTCGTTTTCGGGCCATTCTGAAATGCGTCGAGAATCCATGAGAAGACGTCCGGGCGATCCGGTGCGTTCTATTGTAATTGGGTTAGCGATTTACCTAACTATCCCCGTGCGATGGATTACAAACCTTGATTCGTTCGTCAACTTGCTCGCCAATGAATTTCCAGAATCGAAGGTAATCTGCGTTCAGGCCGGGTGTTCTCTTGAAGAATGGGAATAACCATGTCAAATGGCTAAATAGGCCGACGCTTTGCATATCTGTGTGCAGCTGCTTCAGTATATAGGCCTCCTTCCCATCAACCAGCATATTGAATGATTTCCCAAATGAAAGATCACCCATGATGTCGAAGCTGTAGTAATTGAACCATGCTGTCATGTTCATGGGCTTGCCGGCAGACCTTTCGATCGCGGCAATTAGCTGATCTGTATAATGAGTGACGCGAGGTTCATAATCCCGAAGTGCTAAAAATTGTTCCGAGGTCAGTGAGGATCCTTCTTTTAGGAAAGCGAGGGGTATAACTCAATTCCATACCTTTTGAACTGAATCCCTGATCCCAGACTTTCCTTCTCCGAGCATGCTCTTTCTTATCTCGCACCATTTGGAGAGAAACCTTCGGCTCTAGGACCGTGTACCAAGGCCCCTTGCTCACCTTCGCCGCACTACTATATAGCGCCTTGACAGCCAGGGGGTCAGTGATCGACAGTTCAGTGGGTCCTAGAAAAGCGAATAAATGTGTCAGAGGCTCCTCGGGTAGCGCATGCAAGTGGGCCTCGGGGTGAACATACCTAGCCGAACATAATCGCCATGCTTTTGATGCAATTTCTCGACTTCCTCGTAGAGCTGGAACTTTTTCGCCGACAGCCCAGTGACATAGAAGTTTGACAACCTGGCGAGAAACGGACCAGGGAAGCTGGATAGACGGTGCCAAAAGGCGCGATAAAATAACATGCTCGAGTAGAGGCCCAGGATGTGATATCCGAGAGCTCTGAAGGCCCAATTTGTCGGCATGGCAGTGTCCAAAAGGGTTTCCAGTACGTTCATGCGCTCGAGGACGCTTAGAGCGATTAGAAGGAGTCCGTAACTCTGGAAAATACCAAGTGACTTCACGTCCCATTCGCCATGGCGGTAGAGGAGAAGGTGTGCTGTCGCGCCGCTCGCGAAAGCACTTAGCGACCACGGATCCATCGGGTAAGAAACCGTTTTCTCGGAGATTTTCGTTAACTGGAAGAATGACGAGAGCGTCAGGAAGTTCCCGGATTCGCGAGATCGCAGAGCGCACAGTGGTACCAGGCTATTCGACTGAGATCGACAGACGTGGATCACCCGTTGAGATACCCGTCGGAAGGATCGAAAAAACCGGGCACGACCCGGCTTTTGTAAAAGTTTGGAAAATGTGGGGGGGTGTGGGTAGCTCAGCTGTCGCGAGATGGGAAATGCTGCAAAACACTGGTAAGCGACAGGCCAAAACTCGCTAAAGAGCGCCTCCAAGATGGTATTGTTTGTTCTGAGACCCCATCGATTCAAGTCTCCCGCGTTGTCTCCCGGGGTTCCCGGAGATGGCAGCAATGCCGATGCGGGGAATACGCGATGAGTGCAGGTTAGTGTTGTTCTAGCACCCAGTCAGATTCAAGATATTACCACCTCGGCAGGTGAACGGATTAATTGGGTTTCTGGATGGCTGGGTCGGTGTGGGTCACGGCCCGGACGAGTAGGTCTCGACTTCGTCTTTTTTAGAAAGAGAAGAAAACCCCGAAACTACACCGATGGCGCTGGAATAATCTCAGATAGCCTTATACTGTAGCTTCGTTCCAAACCCGGAACTCCGGGTTGTTTTTGTGCCGCCCTCTGGCCATGTCGAACAGCTTCGAAGGTATTGGCTTGAGCTGAAGCTGACCTCATCTGTTCGGTTTTTTTCGTTTAACGTGATGCAGGTTCTGCTCCACTTATTATCGTTAATGTTTCGAACTCTATTACTTTATCTGAAGCACCCGGAGTACGGAGTTTGGAGTTGAAAGATATCTCCTCAATCTGCCCCGCACTAGTTCCCCTCGCCAATGGCTACCAATTAATACGGAAGAAATCAATCACATGTGCAAACATGATCCGTATCTAGGTGGATAACTGCTCTCCACGCCAATCAAAAATTAAACCCCTAAATGACGTATCTTTCCATGTGAGAAACACTACCTTATTAAAGCCAATAAATAACGACTGGGTAGGGCGATTATCTCAACACACTTATCTTGTGTTGAATCCCCTATGGCGGGGTACAAATTATTCATTGCGTTTGATTTCCCCAGGCTCAGATATGTCAGAGCCAAGATTTATACTATATCAATCCATTTATTCTCACTTGAAGCGCTGGGGATTAGTACAACCTTGGAAGAAATCCTCACTACCTCTATTGGCTGCCAGAACTTGAATATAGCTAGGTATCAAAGTACTTTGATAATGAACAGTAACGCGAACCACCGCGTACAAAAGCTACCTGCGCTACTAGCTCTAGGTGTCCTTCATCTTCCGCCCCTCCTGAGAAGTATGTAGGCGTGGCTTCCACTCCTCCACCAACCCGGCATAATCCCTAGGCCGGTGTGGAACAAAAAGGCTTTGCCACCACGACCCTTTCCTCGCAGTCCTCAAACCCAAATCCCCAAGCAAGAGATCCAAATACGGCATGATCTCAAAGACAAAGTCGGCAGTCCGCACCCCATGGCCCGCCGGGGAGCGCAGCGCACAGAACTCTGTGTGTAGTACTGTCTCGCTAACTATAGACTCCTTGTCTTGATGATTATGGTGAAGCTCAGACCCGTGGTTAAGGTAGACTAGCGCCCACAGGGCTTGCACTTCAGCGACAAGGGGTGTGTTGAACGTGGTCACAGTCCCTAGGAAGGCGATACTATGGTCATCCCATAGCCCGGGGGGAACGATGAAGCGAGCAAGACGGAAGGGGTGCAGAATGGTTTCAGTAGTGTGAATTTGACCCTCCGCATCCTTCGTGTGGTAGGTTCTTCTCTCTGGGCCGGTGTGTAGCATGGGTAGAGGCGTGCATACGTCTTTGCGGGCCTGCTTAACGAGCTCCTGATCAATTGGGTCCGCAGCCCACGGAAAGCCCATCGCTTGTTCGGCTCCATCAGGCAAGAACCGAATGCCAGGAGATACTTTCCAGCCTGTGCATAGGATAAGTGCCCTCGTCTCCAGCACAATGCCACCGTTGGACAGAATGACCCTATGAGGCTCCAGCCGCTCGATATCGGCAATATGCACCTTCACCAGTCCCCGCCGGATCAATCCAAAGAAATCGCCGGCACCAGGGAAATTGATAATACTCACCGCGGTCCCCATCCAGATAAGCTTAAACCAGGGTCTTAGCTTTGCCGTCTCCTCGTGATCACTGTATCGATTGGCCCGAACCATATCCCACTCCAAGGAGGCCCAGAACAGACGCACAATAATACGGCCGAGCCATGTCCCATGTAAGAAGTTGCGTATCGGATGGCTTACCCAGACGCAGGGGCTGAACCAGCCCAAGGCACGCACGAGAGGGAGACTTTCAAGGAGGAGGTTGAAGGGCGAGAAAACAGCGGCCGGGCTCACCCACGCGGGCCCAGTCCCAGAGGGCCTAATGACCCAATTGACGTGGTGTCCCTTTGACGCGCAGGCGTAGACGGTGTCCCATGCGGATTTGCTCCCGCCGAGGACCGTTATTGGTGTGTGGTCGTCGCGAGTACCTTCTTGTTGGTCGCTTGTGTTCAAGTTGAGATTGCTGGGCTTAGCGAAGATGATGTCTTGGTGACGGGCGAATTCTTTTGCGTGGAACAATGGCGCGTTGAAAGTTTGCTGGCCAGAGAATGTAGGAATACGCGGCTGGGAGGTAAGCCCCGTGGCGAGAATCAGTTTCCGCGTCCGTATAGTATTACTCTTCTTGTTTCCTGGTTCCACTGTTGTTGTGCATTCAATGATCCACTCTTTTCCCCCTCCATCTCCCTCGCAGTATTCCACGCTGTCAACATTGCAATTCAAATTAATTTTATCGCTGATCCCGAAGTGGGCAGCGTACGCTTTCAGATATTCATGCATCGCTCTGCCTGTCATATGCTCACCGGCCTTAACTAAACCGGGAATATTGTCCATCATAGGAAAGTCACTATATTCGTATGACCCTAGTAGATTATTCGTCCTGAGATCCGGATATAAGCGTTCCTCTGCCCAGACACCCCCTACCGAAGCGGCGGAATCCAAAACCACCACATGGACACTGGGATCTAGCGCGAGTGCTGATTTGGCAGCCGCGAGACCGTGCCAGCCTGTCGCGAACAAGTTTCAATTGTCATTAGCTGCCAAAGTCCCCGGCAAACAAACATATAGGGTAAAAGATTTTTTTGGGTATGAGAGAATCGAATTTACCAGCACCGATTATGGCCAGGTCAGCTATTTGCGTTTCCATTATCATTATAGGACTTAATGAGTTTGTTTTCGCTACACTCGAACGGTCGTTAAAATTTCATTTATTGGAGTGAGTAATTTGGTAAGTGCATATGTAAGCGTTGGTTTCAAGTTGTTATTACTATCAGCCATTCCCACCGTCCTTATATAAGTAGTACTACTCTGCTTCAGGCGCCCAGTCCCCAGCCAGCCACCACAGTGGAGTCTTACCCGTGCCAACCTAAATATCCGACCTAATAGTGACAGCACAATTGAATATGACTGTAACGCTAGCAGAACACGGACCACCTAGGTAATTAGTGTGGTTGTTGGGCAGCAACATCCATAGCTGTGTATGTCACTTCATTCTATCCGAATAGTGGTACTTTTACGTGTGTTCTACATTCTGGGGAAATTGCATGGCCAGCTTTAACCTGCTCTGCTTGGAGTCTGGGCCTCCTGGCTCTAACATGATTGAGTCAGCCGCATCCCTTTGAGCCCCCCGCGCGTGTATCTGACCGCAGATCGCGTGTGCGAAATCTAGGCAGTAATTTTACAGCCAGTGAGACCCTAGAATCATAAGCGCCAAGAGAGCTGAATAAATTAACGAGCAATGCGACCACGTAGCTTCGATAGACTCAAGCGAAACAGCACACGTCTTGGCGACGGAATCGACGAATGAGCGTCGAGAACGGGAAGACTCGGAGTTTTAGCACTATGGCACTCAGCTAACTTTGCGGGCAGGTCGCGCAGGGTATTAACTCTTCGTTCTTTCCTCGTTTCGGGCAGTTTGCATGACGATTGTAAAAATCTCTGTGGTCAAAATTCCAGCACTAATATCACGCGAATCCATTCACCAGTTCAACCTTGAAAATTGCATCTTGTTCTGCAAATGGCCCATAGAGGCGCCGTCATCCCTGTTTACCTTGAATTATCGTATGTGTTCGACAGCTTTGCCTCGAACCGATCGTAGATGGACTGATGCACATGAATGTGTTTCGCCGCGAATACAAATCTCGCGAGAATAAGCGGCTTCTGAGTCATTGACAGAGTTCGAGGAGAGGGCTGTCGAGATATAAGCAGACAAGAGGCAAAACATTGCGCAGAGCAGTACTAGTAAAGTCCAAAGCCCTGCAAGTGCTGAATTGGGTGGCAAGTTCAACTCTGTTGATAATTGCAGGATAAATCCTATAGGTCGCAAGATCGTACAAAATGTTCGTGAAATACTATTACTCGGATGCTATACAATGTACACATTATATATAAACGCTTTAGTGTCCGTCGATCTCGGGATCTATATGGCACTCCGAGTCCACACCGGCTTGATTCTAAGTTGTCGATTCTTCGTGTTTGATTTGGATAGAGGGTATGAAAAACCATATCACCTCGATGGGATGAAAAATCACAACTCATCAACAAAATGAATAGCTAGACTCTCCATGCAAAGTCAAATTTCAGGACGATCTCGTAAAGGTTGACTGGACTGTCAGCACTAGGGACAACCTAGAAATCTTTCGCGAAACCCCTACCATCCCCACAATTCAGACCAGACACGGCAAAGCGCATTCAATTTATTCCATATTATTCGTAAAGTTCGTTGATGCCTTCCAAAGAAAAACTGATATGATTGGATGTCAGCACAACCCATGCAACTCCGACTCCGCGGGAATTCCGTCGCCGATCATCGGACCGCAACATATAGTTATCAGATGATCTGATAACAAACACCCTTCATCCTGTGGTACCTTGCACCTTGCACCTTCCACCTTCCACCTCCGATCAATCTCCACCCCCCATCAACGCAGCCATGTTGGCTCACCTTCTCCTCTTCGCCAAAGTGTTTGGTGTAGTCTTCAGCCAAGCCAGCACCTATCTCCGATCGTTCATCTCATCCTCCATTCACCGCCGAACCTACAGCCCAGGCTCCAACCCCAAAAACATCGTCGTTGTCGGCGCTTCTTTCGCCGGCTACAATGCCGCACGCTGTCTGGTGAACTCCATCCCGTCGGGTTACCGGGTCATCATCATTGAAAAGAATAGCCATTTCCAATTCACCTGGGTTCTACCTCGATTCTCCGTCGTCGAGGGCCACGACAAGAAGGCCTTCATCCCATACGGTCCGTTCCTTCGCGCACCACCGGGATCGCACTTATGGATCAAAGACACAGTCGAGGAAATTATCCCGTCCGAGGATGGGAGCTCCGGGGGAAACATTCGCGTCTCGTCCGGTGAAACATTCGACTTCGAGTATCTCGTTCTGGCAACTGGATCATCAGCCGCTCTTCCGTCCCGCGTCGGGCAGGAGGACAAGCCAGCCGGTATTCAAGCACTTCACGACCAACGGGAAAAGATCGCGGGATCCCACGATATCGTCGTCATTGGAGGTGGACCTGCGGGGGTAGAATTGGTGGCAGATGCGAAGGGACAATTCCCGGACAAAAACGTTACGCTCATCCACTCGCGCAAGACCCTCCTCCATGAGGGATTCGGGATCAAGATACATGACACTCTTAGCAAGGCCTTGCTAGAACTTGGAGTGAATCTGGTCCTCGGGGAAAAGCCTGCCGTTCCGACCGGTGAGACGGTTGGGGATATTGAATTGAGCGATGATTTAGTTCATTTCGATTGTCTGGTCTGTCGCCCCGTGCCCATTGATCGTTTTACCTGCTAATCAATGGATCCAGATCAAATGCGTAGGCCAGAAACCAAACACGGCACTAGTCAAGTTCGCAGCCTCCTCCGCCTTCTCCGAGTCTGGACATATCCGGATCAAGCCTTCGCTCCAAATCGCCGATGACAAATACCCCCGTATCTACGCAGCCGGTGATGTGATTGATGCGGGAAATATCAAGAATGGTCGTTCAGCCATGCAGCAGGGCCAGGTCGTTGCACAGAACATCGTTCGAGCTATCCGAGGCAAGAGCCAGATCGAATATCAGCAGAAGTGGTGGGAGGGATTGACAAAGCTGACTATGGGTCTGGTAAGAATTTGCAGCTCAATGTCCTTTTTATTTGTGACTCTTCGTATGATTTCTAACCATTTCGATAGACTAAGAGTGTCGCATACGCTTCAGATGGGCGGGCTGAGTGGGTGATTCCAACGAAGTCGAAAATCGATCTCGATTGCCCAGGAGTTTGGAAGTTCCTTGGGGCCACACCTTTTGTGGATCCCGACGAGGAGAAAGAGGATAACTGAGTTACTGAGATGATGATTTTGGGATCGCTGGCCTGAATTACATATAGAACATGAGGACCTGTGAAAATGACGCCGAAAATGACCACTTTTTGACGCCAGAAACAGCTTCCTTTCCACCCGTAACTTTGGATGTCCAGCCGCCTCTTGACCGCCCACTGCCCCGTAACACCACTATTCTGCACCCACCTAGCACTGTTAGCCATTCTCCGGTCCTGATATTGACGCTCGACTTGCACAGCTCGGCATTGAATAATAGCCCGGTCAGACACGAGCCTTCATACCAAAAAGGAAAAAGTAAAAACCGGGCATGCAGGCACTCTTTCCTTCCTTTTTACCACTGGCTTAGGGAGGTTTTAATCCGGCTTGGCAACCGTGATGAAAGATCGCTGATATTCTTCTGACGAAGGAGATTAGCGAGTGGGAGTAATGAGATATCCTGGTTGCTGAGATAATAATGAGGCTGGGATCACGTGCATACACATATGCCTGATCACCAGCCTATCTGTATCTTAGACAACACATAATCAACTCCCATCATTAACATGAACACTGAAGCATCACTTATCAATCAACACGTACAGTAGACGCGACAATGTTTGGTGTCCCACTGTCTCTCCACCATCTTGGGACGGCGATCCACTCCCCGAGCCTCTATGCGCGGTAGGGTTACATTACATCGGTCTTAGGCTCTAGGCTCCTAGTCATTACCTGGTGGGTCCTCTGCCACGATAACGAAGGTCGGCGAGCGACATGGCCGCCAATTATAATGTCTTCCTTGCGGGGAGATCTCTTGTGCCTTACATAATGAACTGACTGGGTGTGGCTGACATCCCCTTATATAGAGCTAACTTGCTGCCTAGCCTTCACTGACTTTCATCGCCCCAATTTATTGTTCTGTGCCTCTATTGAAGCATTCTGACACCAGATCACCTGTTTTTCAAATTTCTGTTAATAAGATAAAAAACAAGATGCTGTCCGAATTTTGGTAAGACTACTTATCCACCCGTCCATACTATAGCAGCCTCGTGAGACCATTAGCTGATGGCCTAAAGCCCTACGTATGCAGTAAGTCTCCTCCGGTTCATTAGCCGATGCACGATGGAGTCTTCTGGATATTGAGTGTGTGTGGACAGCCATTATTTGGAGCCTTGGGCTGTGCGAGTGCCATTATTTTCACGAGCTTTGGTGCAGCCTACGGAAGTGCCAAGTCTGGCGTTGGGGTTTGCTCCTCGGGGATCCTGAGACCTGATCTCATCGTGAAAAGTATGCCTGGGTGAGAGAATGAACTGTGTCTCAGGGGTTAATAAAGGTGCTAGACATCGTTCCTGTTGTTATGGCTGGTATTCTCGGGATTTATGGGCTAGTAGTCTCGGTCTTAATTGCGAACAACCTCGTTCAAAGAATCCCTCTCTATACAAGCCTACTTCAACTGGGTGCAGGTCTGGCAGTTGGTCTTTGTGGACTAGCTGCGGGGTAAGTTGAACAAACTTTGGAAACTTCTATAATTTTCGGCGAATTTGCTGATTAGGATGAAGGTTTGCGATCGGTGTTGTTGGTGACGCTGGAGTCCGAGGAACGACCCAGCAGCCTCGGCTTTATGTTGGCATGATACTCATCCTAATATTTGCTGAGGTCTTAGGTGAGATGTGAAATCCATGTTCGCAATGGCATTTGAGATAGGGCTAATACATCTGAGACGAAGGCCTATATGGGTTGATTGTCGCTCTCCTCATGAATTCCAGGGCAGGCGTCGTCGATTATCGGTGTGATTGATCAAAGCTTTGCTTCCTTGGAGCTAAAGATGAGGCAGTAAGGAAGGTGGCTTAGGGTGAAAATGGAAGTACATCATGTACCCCGAGGGTCTTGGATTCTACTTGTCATGGGATCGGGTACATATGGACACAGATTGTGGCTCGGTTTAGTGATATAATGGAATCCATCGGATTTATCACTTCAATCATATTCTGTAGTTGACAAATTCAGCATCATCTTCACGTCATGGTCTACTAGTAGTCTCCGGTGCTCCTCCTCAGTATAATTGGATCATTGGTCTCGAACCAAAATGCCCACGTGCTGCATGTATTGATGTCGAGATTATCCCGGCTCGATTTCAAACCCACGTGTTGGAGCTTCGGCGGTGCCAATGCGTATTAATTCAGTTTGTGATAATCGACGTATTTCTCGATCAAAGAGTCCGTCTGTCCATTCACAAGCTCCCTCGGAAACACTAATCCCTGCGTGCAACATCCAGACTTGTTCATCTTAATGACCCCGTGAAGGGGTATCAAGTTGTACTTGCTGACTATGTAGACAAGTGCAGTGAATGCTGGAATGCAAACCATTGAGATGACCACTATGCTAGTAGTATCTAAGTGAAATTGCGTGAAGTGAGAGCGGCGAAGAAAAAATCAAGCATATCAATCCAGGCAGTATCAGAATTTCAAAGACAAGTGGCATATTCCTACACACAAAATCCGATTTTTTCCAACTTAATGCCGTCTCTGTATAAAAGAAAATGCCATGCTTCGCGCTCCCGATAAAGGCTGTAATCCATCTCATACACATGGCGTTCCTTGAAGAAGGCAGAGTGTGGATCGCGCCAGAATTTGATTCGGCAAAGCTGAAATAACAAGAGCTATACAAACAAGCTTGCAAGAAGTATCCTCAACGCGTGAAACTTGAGATAATGAGTGATATAGGGAAGAGTCATCGTGATGAGTCTACTCCGACATCGGCCAGTGTGCAATAGATTCTATGATTGCTGAAGTGGTAGGGCTGCGACCAGACTTCCGCGAAATTGTAATTGTGAGTATTCCTTTTGTGAGGGGACAAAAAGCAGTCTGCTCGTGGATGACACATGGCGTGTTCAAGAATATTTAGTGGGTCATCACTCTCGGAGATGACTCCTGCAAGGATTCGCTTGGGTCTGCGTGTGTCCAAGACCGCTGCGATATACAGTCGTTGGCTTAACCCAGCGCGATGTAACCTCATTGCGTGTCCTGAGCTGAATGAACGGTTGTCCAAAACGGGTGTCAAGAATTTACGGAGGTCTCGGAACCGATGCGTGAGTTTTGACCCTTACGAAGACCCATAATTTACGCGAGAAGTCGTTTTTGATAGGGTGGAATTTTAAGTGATGTGTGCTACACTGGCACTTTATAGATATAAAGGAGGCCGGCGGTATTAGAGGCGAACAACGCTCATTGGCAGAGGAAAACCTAGATAGCTTCGTAACCTGGTAGACAGTCAGTCCTTTGGGAAAGGAGTAGGAGTATCGAACTAAAGCCACACGATGCCGCTGCGGACTGGATCATTCCAGTGGTTCTGCTCCTATACAGTTACTATTCTAGCCTACGGAGTTAGAACAAGCTAGGGCTCGGATCAAGCGTCATCTCTAATAAAATAAAAAGGGTAGTATGTCGGATTATAACAAGGCACAATAGTCGGTAGGGGTAAGAGGGAAAGAAAGGGGGCGGTAATAAGTATAAGATAGAGGAGTTCCAGGGAGGGGAAGAAGGAGAAGAGAGGCTAAAAAGGCAAAGTCGGGTCTTTTATATTAAGATAATACCGGGAGAGGTTACAAAATAGCGTATTAGGGTACTAAATCTAAAAAGGCAAAGTTAACTGGATACAGTAATTTAAGGATCCCTATATCATACTCTATATTATTGTTCGAGTGAGATAGATAGATACCCTTTTTAATAATTAAGATAAACTAGTGTCTAGTCTTCCTTGTATCTTTTCCACCACCCTATAAGGATAGATATTCTCTTACTCTTTTTTCCTTGTTAGTTATATTTCAATACTAATTCCGTAGGGTCGCAGGATCTGTACACACTCACTAACCGAAATATCGTTATATATAGGAATTATTCAGTCCCTGGAAATCTTTAAAGGCTATCCATTCCCTATATCCAGGCCTGCTCTTGCGTAAATCCATTTCCAGGCCCAGCGAGATCTGGAAAAAGTGGTTCAAGAGGAATATTGATGTCATTTCCCGACAGAACTAAAAAATATTAATCTGATAGTGATCAAAAGGTGAAGACTGCAATACATACCTTGGTCAAAGTCAAGAAGAGCCTGAGATATAGCCGAATCTTGAATAAAGTCGAACATTTCCTCGTTTCGTATTGCCTCAGGGATTTTTGTGCCTTGCTCTTGCTCTTGGTCCTGTTGATCTTCCAAAGCATATTTCCTTGAAAGATCTTCCGGACTCGGTCTGCTATCCTGATATTGAACTTTTCTACCTGAAAGACCTTCAAAGTAAATTTGATGTCCTCTGTGCTATCATCGAGTTTCGTAATCTTAAAGGTAGACCGGAAGGCGCTGATGGGTAAGCCGAAATTTGATTCGAACTTCTCATGAACTAACTTTGATACTGATCCTTGCTATCAGAACTAAATTTTTTCATGCAGGGTGATTATCAACTGGCACATTGCCTGATAGCTCAGATTATTATGTTCACTTTCCGTGATAGAGCTTTTACCAATAACCACCTCATAACAGAGCTTATTTGGCGGCTGTGAGGACTCGAATATTGAAATATTGTAGTATTTTGACGAAAAGTAACAAAACTGAGGAAAAAAGAAGAGAGAGAGCTCTCATCGCAACTATCGTACGTGAACTGGTGCCTGCGCACGTGACCCGCAGTTCAATATGATCAAGTGACGTCCTGGTTCGTCACATCATCCTCCCCCCCCCGATAGGATCTGGTCCCCAGGCCTCGATTACCTGTATGTGCCGTGGCTTAGGCTTACGATCATTATTGTTGTCGTCGACGAATTCATTATCTGCTGCCGCCTATATGTTGGGTAATTGGTCCAAGATTTGGACCCATTAGTGGGTCGCGCCGATGTCTCAGTCTGAGATATACCCTATCGATTAGCCGCCATCTTCGCCAGATCTTAATCCAATTGAACAGCTTTGGGATTGGATAAAAGATTGGATTGGCGATCGATATTTGAGAGATTATGATCGTAAGCTATCTTATGATCGTTTACGCGAGGCTGGACGAGCTGCTTGGGATGCGATACATACAAGCTTCTTAGACCAACAGATTGGACTTATGCAGAAGCGCTGCCAGGCTGTCATCGATGCACAGGGAGGCTATACGCCTTACTAAGCGGTAATATTTTTGTATTCTAGTGGTTCAATTACATAAGCTCGTAATAAAAACTGGCAGAATATCAGTCATGAGAAATAGATGGAAGTACCACGCTAACATTATCATTGAGGTCGACCTGCGTCGAGGGAAAGTCGGAATTTCGAAGACTCACACGCCGATGGACCAGACGGCACTTGCTGTCTCCGTTAGATCGAGGCTTTCAAGCTCTGGGCGAACTTTTGGAGTGGGCCCGCGCGAAAACCCCAATTTGACGGTGCGCATGCAGCGAACGATGCCGAGGCAATATCGTTCGCGGCTGAAGATTTCCCCTCAGCATTGACCGCAAATGATCCACTTTCTTTTGGTCCGTGTCGCTGTGGAGATTCATTCTTTCGGGCCGGTCGCGAATCGGGCAGGAGATTTGTACTTAAATATATTCACACTCCCCACACTGCCTTATCCTTCTTACTGTTATCCGCTAAACACCTTATGCTTGTTGGATAGCGCTGCAACCAAAAGTTCTATACTAGGATCAACTTCCGAGTCACGATTTCTTTCCCTCGCAGACAGTAAATTGCCCATCAACTCTCGACATGACCGCAGGAGCGCCTGGTCATTTCAAAGCAACCTGGATGGGTGTGACGACTATCCTTTTCGACGACGGTGAGACGTCTGTGTTAATCGACGGTTTCTTTACTCGGCCCGGCCTCACTTCCATGGCCCTCTGGAAAGTCGGCTCCGACGAAAAGATCGTCTCACACTGCCTGCAGAAAGCAGAGATTGACAATCGCCTCAAGGCTGTCCTGGTCGCTCATTCGCACTATGACCACGCGATGGATGCACCCTTGGTCTGCCATAAGACGGGAGCCAAGCTTGTGGGGTCAGAATCAACTCGTCTGATTGCTGAGGGCCACGGTCTACTCCCATTAGACCAGACCGTTATTATCAAGGATGGCGATGTTCTCAACTTTGGCAACTTCCGGATCACCGTCTTTGAAAGCCCACATTCGCCGGGGGACACTTCTCCAGGTCAGATAAGCAGCCCGCTCCAGACACCGTGCAGATTTACGCACTTTAAATCCGATAAATGCTACTCATTTTTATTTGAGCATGGCAAGCACCGAGTCTTTGTACATCCCAGCGCGAACTTCACCGACGGCAAGTTCCAGAATGTAAGGTGCACAGATGTATTCCTAGGTGTGGGGGTTTTAGGTAAACAGACGACAGAGTTCCGGGAAAGGTACTGGGAGGAGACCGTCGGAATGATGCAAGCCAGAAGGATCATACCTGTCCATTGGGATAATTTTTGGAAGCAGGTAGGTAGCCCACTGGAGCCTCTTCCTTGGCCATTTGACAAGTGGTCAGTGACTATTGCATGGCTGAGGGAAAAGGCCGCCGTTACTGGTGTTGAAATTCATATTCCAAAACTCTGGGAAGGTTTAGATTTCGACTAGCGGTGTTCAACTTGGCTTGTCTAGCTTCCTGGAAAAACATTTGGTACTTCATGAGCCCGAATCGGCAAGGTTGCCGAAACCTGTTGCTTAGTTGAGCATACAGTATATTCAGAAATGAAAAATTCTAAAGAGCACGATCAACCTTATTGAATAGTTTTTTCCTAAACACATTCCGGCCCAACAAGAAGGGGGAAGAAGGGGGGGGTTGGGTCAAAGTTGGTCAAACACAACCCCCCCCCCCTAAGTACCCGAAATCTTGATATTTTTTGATCGGATCTTTTAGATCCTTTCATCCGATGGCTACTCCGTAGTTCTATCTAAATGTCATATCATATTCTAGGATTGTCTCGTGGAAGGGCCTGACCCTATAGGGTTGGGGTAAGCCTGGATTTTTTTGATGAGGGATGCCAAGCTAAAGGCCGGCGGCGGGTAGCTGTATAGCTAGGGTTGCTAAGCTTAGATTAGTGGCCTTAGCGATCAGACCTTATTACTATCGATTCGCCAGTTGCTAGCTATAATATTCAACCCGGGGTTGAAATCCTTAGTAGGTGAAGGACCCTTCTACCAGGTGAGGCTATCCGCAGCAAAAAATGAAGGTTTGTCCAAGAGAATACGAGAACTAGTGAGGTGTCGATAAACCTAATAGAATAATAGTTTATCTTGTATCTCTTCCTTTTAAACTAGTTTCTGTTGTCCTAGACTATCTAAAACCCGAAGTCGATAAATGTTTTCCGGGCAGTCTAATACCGGACCACTAAGGGACCTCGTCTTAAACCCCTAGATTTAGAAAAGTATGCCTAGCAAACAAACATGTGGACTAAGCACTAGCGTTAGATCAAAAATGATCTCTGGGGTTTTAAAGTCATTCCCATTCGCTATATTTAGACCTGTACATGGCCTATAGGCAGGCCTATTCGGGTCGGCCCAATTAGGCCATTGGGTCAAAACTCCGGCTTATAGCCCATTAATGGGCTGGCCCAAAACGGCCCAATAGCCCAAAGATAGAGCTTTTTCTAGGGCTAATATGTATTGTATAAAATATGAAGATTCAGTGAGATCTTGGCTGTAATGCTGTGGTTTTGATAATAAAGTGATTCTGTGATATAATAGTGATTCTTACATTGAATTTGATATAGTAAGAGCAGAGATTTGAATAGAAGTATAGATTATATTAAGTAGCATATCCTTGTAGCCGTATCGAATTTATCTGGGCTCTCCCTGAAACACGCTAAGTATTACATTGCTTAGGTAGTAGAGGCTCTTCTTCTGCAGAGCTTTCTGCCTTATCTAATATCCCCTCTTTAGTCTTATAATTATTTCTTTTTTTGCTTTGTATAATATTGTAGAGAAGTCTTCTTCTTCTCCCTCTCTTTCTTCTCCTTCTTCTACCCCTTACTAATCTCGATAATCTTCTGTAGTATATGTTTTGTGGTATTCTTTTTACCTGATCCTAAGCCTTAGTAAGGGACATATTGGTATATTTCCGACCAAAAAAGGATGTTCCTTCTTGTTTAACGCGGCCACGGAGTAACGTGTTTCACCACCGAGCCGCCAGCCCCATAAAATGCAGTAAATATGAAAATTGTAACTTCAAATATCTCAACAACACAACTTTCCTTTTTATTATAATTCATAATATAGGGTTTTATTGAAGTTAAGAATCATACAACGGAAAGAAAATTAATTTAGATAATTATTTAGTAGTATTACAAAACATACCTGGTAATTTATACATTCTAGAGGTTAATATACATATGCATAGCATGAATATACTTCTGTACTCTAAAACTTAGAAACTAATTAGTAATACTATTTAGAACACTATACCTTTAAATAACCTCCGAAATAGAAATAGTTGTTGAGTTATAAAGTTGTAATTTATCACATCTACTATGTGTTTTGGGGCTGGGGGCTCGGTGGTGAAACACTTTAATAAGATACGTCAAATTGACGTGCATAAGATGCTAAATTGGGCTTTTCGACCGCACTAACGGCTCCGCAGGCCTCAATTACACGAGTCCCATGAGATTTATCGTTTTTAGGCATGGTTGTGGATGGTGGCGTGTAAATTTGATGAATTTGAAAATTTTTTGACATGTGGACAGAAGACCGGTCGGAAGCCACAGCTACCCGTAATTTACAATCCAGAGTCTTTGTCCATCGAGCCTGTCTAGCCCACCCGGTTTTCCGACAGCTTCTTTCAGTACAAGGCCAGTTTGATCTTCTTGTTAAAGTCAACATTATCTTTGGCGCACTCAATTCGAGGAATACAGGTGCCGAAGACCCTATCCCACACGCGTGTTTGTTTCCCGTAGTTATGACTTTTCCTGTATCCAAAACGGTGATGCAGGTCATGGTCCTCGATGACTAGCTCTGCATCAAAAAGCCTCCATAGCCATGTCAAGGGTCCCGGAGCCGAGGCATACATACGGACACCACTGTGACCTGAGACCTCTGAGAAGGTGATGAACTGTTGACAGGCAAACCATTCATAGAATCCCATCGGCAGTCCAATGCACCTCATAGTCCAGAATGTCATCAATGGTATTCCGAGAATGTCAAAGAAATCTTGCTCTATGTCTGCATACCCAGCGAGCAGCATGTTTGGATGCTTGGTGAGATGATGTGTACGGTGGAACCTCCACAGCCCGTGGACAACATGCATCAAACGGTGGTACCAATAGAACCAAAAGTCTAGGATAAGGCCGTAAAGGCCAATCTCCGGGATGAGAAATCCCCAGTGCAAAGAGGATGGGGGCTCGTTGGTTGAGTAGCAAAGGTAAACAGTGGCAAATGCACGCATAATACCCCCCGCAGTGATGGTCAAAAATGTTTTTCTAACGCCCACATCTGGTACTCCGTCACGGTCGTGATTGTCGCCGTCTAAGAAGCCGATGGAGTGTCCAAGGTCCTTGAAAGAATGCAAAGCCCTAGTCATCATCACTTTGGTAGCCTGTTGGTAAAAGAAGAATGCAATAAGAGGCCCGAAGTTGTTTCCCACCAGTCGCCAATACACTTCATGGATAGCAAACGGTATTACCGTGTAAAAAAGGACGAAACGGTTAAGTTGCCAATCAGCAAGATAAGACACTTTGGTATCTTTGGAGAATTTTGGGACTTCTCGATCCAAATCGATGTGATGCAAATTACCCGAATCGAGCAGTTTGTGATAGATGGTCCACTGGCTTTGATTCCTCCGCCAAGTGGACCTCATAGAATCTTGCGGGTTCGAGTGGCTGGTAGTCATGGTGTTCGCTGATGGATTATCAGCTTGGAGAGAATTAAATTAAGAAGCATACTGCTCGCCTTTTATTTTTGAGCATTATCTATTGAAAGTTGAAAGCCAGATCAAGGATTTTCCGTGAAATGGCCACAGATCATTATTTAAGCCTCGGCATTTCACCATGAGATTCTCCAGGTGACAGATCGCGGCAAAACCCACGCCGCAATACGCGGGGTACCCTGCTGGGAAAAAATTACGATTGTACACTCGTAGTTTACTAGTAAAGCCGATGTAGTAGTCCTTGTTCTTTTCAAGATCTCCCACTCACCACCAGTCAGAATGGCTTCGCAATCTGGTCTTCTTGAGATAGGATCGACCACGCAAAATCTAGAATAGCTAAAACGAGCAAGGCTGTGAGGCGATCGTACAGAATCTTGAATGAGGAACAATGCCAAATCTAACACATTACTAGGAAATAGTCCGATATGCACAATATTCAGATCAGCAAGGTGAAAAATAGGAGCACTATGACCCTAACTGATATAGTTCCGTTTTCTAACTCCGGCCTAGTGGTATTAGGTGTTGAGTTAGGGCGTTCCCAGGACTTGGAGCTTCACATCCCCCCATTAGCCCCCTTCCCATTAAGCTGGAAGGTGCATGGAAAATCACATGCGTGTGGCGGTGTGATCCGCAAAGTGAGTGGAGTTACCGGAACTGTTCCGGCAGTCGTACATTTAAAGTAGACGCTAGCCACGGCATGGTTGAAAGGACCGGAATCGTCCCGGCAGACCCACAATTAGTGCAGACGCTAGGCACGACACGACATGATTAAACAAACGACCTCTCGTAATGTTAGGGCCGGTTCGTGTGAGGTTCCCGACATATCATTGCTTACCTGGGCTGGTGTGACACGGACAAATTATTGCTCCGAGATAAGATATAATGGATGAAACGTTCGATAAATACTGTCCGGTGCATCCTTTTCGGAGGGTTGGTTCGTCCGAGGTGCCAGATTGCCTCGGCAAGGACGACTGTGATAGTTGACGAAAAGGTATCAGAAATGCAACAACGATGTTGGGTACCGGATAGATATTCTTTCCTTTTACCCCATCCCAATTGCAAATTCCCGGAGCAAAAATGACACGTGCTCGGGACTCGGGAAGAAAGACGGGTCGCAATATTGACAGTAAGGGTATTCGCTTCCTTTGGAAAGGATATCGTTAAAAAGGATGCGACTGACCATTCTAGACCCAGTGACACGTCTTTTTTGCTCAGTTTGCTCGTTAAAGTTTCATCGTCGGCACGAGCTTCTCCAGCACCAAATCATGCATAGTCACAGATACTGCGGACAGTGCCAAACTATATTCGATAATGATGAAGATCTCAGTCAACACTTTCTGAGATCAAAATGTGTACGTGGATTATACACGCAATCTATGCGATAGTGAAGGCAGAATGCAGGATTTTCAGTGCCCTGAAACTACGTCCCAACGTCGGCAGCTCCATTTCTGCTGATTCTATGCAATGCATTTGATTTGCACTTAAACATCCATGGATGCTTTCAATTCAGGACTTTATATAGTCTGATATATTAGAAATCAAATTTAGAAGTTGCAAGCGCCTAAGTCGGTGACACTTTGGTAGGCCACCTAACAACCGGCGGAAGCTGCATAAAACTTGTTTACCGTGCGGTTCTCTCATAAATACCGCCATGTTTACTATGTTGTATCAGATACTTGTATTATGATAGATGAACGACCCGTAGCTTCCTATGGCTCCTAATGTTCATCTGGTTGATTACCATGCCAGAATTCCCAAGCCTTCCTGAGCCGATCTTCACTAGAGAATCGGAGATGCCGCACTATAATTCCCTATTCTCTTGTCCTATACCTAAAAATACATAGAAGATCTTAGAATATCTTGTGGTTCGACTTTGTGCCATTTAACTAGAGCTAAGCGAAGCTTAATCTGGCCAAATGAACCTTGTGTCACAAACATATTCTGTTTCTAAACGCCGTCACGAGCTACCGTCTGGTTACTTGATAAAGAGGCTAGTGGCTCCGAATGAGAAGCGGTTCGTCAGCTCATGTAGCTCACATAGCAGAAACAGGTGGTACATACAAAATCAGGCATTGCCTCTTTAATATTCTTGACCACATCACGAAATACCACGAACCTGGAGATACCCCCCCTTACATACTGCCTGTGTCAATATGAAAATTCCAATCATGGAAATTGAGACAGCTTTGAGCTTGAGTAAATATTAATGTACAGAATCCTCTATGGTGTGGAAAGGCAGACGCGAGGAAGTCGTAGGTTTTGGTGATTGCTTCTTGGGTTATGTTTGGTGACCTAGCTTAACAACCTCCTTTTTGGGGGGGAGTCGCTATGAACGGTTCAAAATATGAAAGTCAAATGTACTGAAGCCTCTACATCCGGCTGAAAAGACGCCCTAGATTCTGCATGCCTCCATAATAGAGGCCGAGGGCCTTAATGAGTTGTTTTTGCTGCAGTACTTTTCCGCATTGATATAAGGTTTAATATCAGACGACTGAGAACCCAAGGTACCTATCGAGGAATACAAGAATCTTTGCCATAGGGCTTGTTTTTTGGTACGTCCTCTCCAGTCGCAACGATTTCAGAAACCAGTCTCCCCTTTCCATCTTCCAAGTCTCGTGATAGTAGCCTCCGCCTCTGATCTCGACCAACCCCATAGTGTGTTTCAGTATAATTTGATCTTCCATACCCCATATAGCTCCCACCTCGTCATCAGCTTTCAGTTGCAACTCTCCTGGACCAAACATATGAAGAGTTTGTGCACTCGCGAAGAATTTGCTGAAAAAGACCGTAAAGGCCGCAGAAGATGGGAACGCAAACGAAGTATTCCCAGCCTTTAGGATGGACCCGTCGGTATCGTAGAAACTGAATTCCGCATCAGGCAGTGCAACTCGGTCAAATTTGTCCCATTGCTTGGTGTCAATGTATCGGCCGTATTGTGATTTCTTCCGGATGATTACTTCGGCAATTTCGACAGGAATCGACATGCTGGTTATATTCTTTATCCAGCTGGTCATTTGGCGCTCATAAAAGTTTCTTTTCTGAGAATTGTGCTCACCTGGTATCAGCGCAATATGGGGGTGGGATTTATCGGGTAGAAGTCTCCCAGGGATTAATTTAGCAGCTGGGAAGACTCCTTAAATAATCTGCCGGGCGTCAAGGGGACTGCGGGGTACCCCGGATAGTTATTGATTGCACCCGAGTATTTCCAAAATGCCAGGGATCCATTTTTCCCCTTTAGCAGACGAGAAAAGCCACCTTATACAAACCTCACTGATGAGTCGTGTACCACCGTCCTTATCCGAGGTTCTGATCTGTCAAGGTCTGAATGGCAGAATCAGGGTGGCAAAAACTTTTGCTTTCCCCGTATTTCGTACCGACATACCACCACTGTATGAGTGACGCATCACTCCCCAATTTCTCCACACTGTACCCGAGCATCTTGCTGCCAAGACATCGTTCTGACATATCATTCCGGCTTTTCTTGTGTACCAAGGCACCCCGAGGTACAACTTTATCCAAATCCGGCCTAGAGTGCGGCTGTTGCTGTCGCTAGTCTTCCAAAAACAAGTCGGGCCTCGGGTGGGCAGCTTTTCAAACTTTGCTATCTTTTCGTGGCGGAGGAATAATTGCGCCGTGCCGCTGCATATGATTTCCTGGTGGGGATAAGGCGGTATTAGTCTGTCCAGCGTGCTGTATCGGAAGGAATCCCTTTGGCATAGGCAAACTTTGATGCAGAGTGATCTAGGGCATGTGGGCCGAGGTGTTGAGTCATTTCATGTGCTGCAGTTTTGTTAAAATAAGGCTGGGAAAAGGTGGTCGGAAACTTGGTGGAGGATCGAATGGGGTGAACGAAATCAGATCAGGTTACTGAGAGAAGAGGAGATATGTGTTAGACTTTGGATATGGACTACATTGCAACAAACTTCACAGCGGTACTCAAAAAACCCATGAAGCTCAAAGTAGATATAGCTGTTGAATTTCTTCCTTTCTTCATATTGCCATGTTTGATTTTATCTATTAATTAAAATCCCCAGGACCCTTCAAATTCGCGTATTGAACGGTGGAATTGTTGAAATTCATATAAAACTATACTGCCACAGCGAAAGGCTAGATTACCGTGATAAGATCAGCCATTAACCTCCTGCGAATTCAAGAGGCACAGTCATCCGCAAATATTTCCCTATTTTCCGGCATATCCACATGCAACAGATGACTCCATCCGTCGTATTTTTTGGATTCCCTCTTCTTGATCGTGTTTGTTTGGCTCTCAACCCATTGTTTGGTAGCATTGTAGCTGGTGAGCCGATCGGCAGTGCCGTGTGCGACGTCAAGGGCCTTCACATGGTTACTGAGCCTCGATTTCCCTGAAGATAGGTCGGCGGCTCTTTCTAACATATTTATCAGCATCTCAAGCCTCCCAATAGGATACATGAATCGATCATTGCTAATCGCGTTTTGCACTGCCTGGTCACGGACCAGTAATTGAAGATGGACATGCTGTCTAACTTGAAAATGTGGGAAAAGTCGACAATCTGACGGTTATGTTCCATGGTCTCCTATTAGGGAACAGGTCAATGTATGGCGCTTCCAGCATGATGCCTCTAATTCGGGAGACCAGGCTCTCGTACTTCGGTATCGAGGCCAATGTTGCAAGTAGCCCACCACCCATAGAGGGACCCATAACGAAAAGAGGCACAGCAGGTGGCGAAGCCAGTTGTGCCTCAATGAAGCACACAATATCCTCGAGGATGAGAGAGGTTGGGCCTGTGTTACCGCGGTCTCTCCTATTATGCACTGATCGGCCCCATCCACGCTGGTCAATTCCTGTGCACAGAATCCTCTGCCTTGCAAGGGTTGGAAACAAATCATAGTAGGTGTTGATGTGGTCACTAAAGCCGTGGAGATGTACCAGCTTCGCGAGTGGCGGAGCTCTAGGCTGTGGAAAGGGGTATTAGTATGGTGGGAAAGAATTAGGAATAGGAAAAGATTACAGTCCAAGTCTTTTGGTAAGCCAAACTACCATCCTTGGAAACGGAAGTGGCCCTCTGTTATCGGAACTGCGGTAGCCATCTGATGAATATCCAAATATGGTCGTAGTCGGCTTACTTTGGGGTATGAGGCTTGGTGGAATGGCATGCGATGATTAATTGCTCCGTTTTTAAGTTTGAAGAAGCCTGGCAAAATGAACAATTGAAAGTTCAATACCGAGATGCGAACTGTGCCGTGAAGAAAAGTGCATTTGTGATCAGATGATCTCTGTTTCAAATGATGGGAGGTATTCAGAGTAATGAGCCTTGGCAATAAACCAGCCTTCCTCGGAATGAGCCCATGTTTTCGGAACGCATCCGGCACAGTGGTGCGGCGGAACGGACCCGGACCAGAAAAAGAATAGAAAAGGAGACGTAAAAAGCGTCCTCGTAGCCATCTCGCAAGGCACAGGAAAATTGGCTTTGCACTGCTTGATTTCTTAAATTTAGCAGTTCATTTTTGACCAATCCCACCTTCCAGTATGGAGGACCGCCGGTTGCCGGACATGAAACAAAGACTCGATATTGCTATTGTCGGCGCAGGTATCTCTGGTATCAATGCTGCATATCGGATTCAAAGCGCATTTCCAGACTACAGCTATGCTGTTCTTGAATCTCGTGACAGCATCGGTGGAACGTGGGATCTCTTCAAGTACCCAGGAATCCGCTCTGACTCGGACCTCTTCACTTTCGGATTTCAATGGCATCCGTGGAACCAGCAGAACCCCATTGCAGAAGGTCCGGCCATCAAGAAGTACCTACATGATGCCGTTGCACAACACAGCATCGATAAGCACATTCTCCTGAAGCACCACCTAAAAACTGCCTCCTGGTCATCTGTGGATCAACGGTGGACGCTCCAAATCGACAACAATGGATCCTCCAAAATATACTCTGCCCGTTTCGTTATCTTCGGAACAGGATATTACGACTATCGCGAACCTCTCCGTGTCCAGATTCCAGATCTTCAAACTTTCAAAGGTCCAGTAATCCATCCGCAATTCTGGCCTGAAGATATGGATTATACCGACAAGAGAGTCACCGTGATCGGCAGTGGTGCCACAGCCGTTACTCTTGTGCCCAAATTGGCCGAAAGGGCGGCACATACGACTATGCTTCAACGCAGTCCCACTTATATCATGTCCGTTCCCAACGCAAAATCCGGATCGTTGCTCAGCCGTTTAATTCCAAGCCGGGTTGCCAGCAAGCTCATACGAATTAATTGGATTATTACGCCGCGCCTCTTCTTTCTTTTTTGCCGACGGTTTCCAAATGCAGCGCGTTGGATCATCCGGAAGGAAACCATTTCGCAGCTGCCTAGTCATATCCCGTTTGATCCGCACTTCAACCCTCGGTATAACCCCTGGGATCAGAGAGTGTGCCTGTGTCCTGATGGGGACTTTTTTAAGGCTTTACACACAGGACGTGTCGAGGTAAAAACTGGGACCATCAAGGCCATAACAGAGACTGGCATCCAGCTCGACTCAGGTGATTTCATTGGAACTGATATCATTGTGACCGCCACGGGACTAAAACTCCAAGCTGCGGGTGGGGTGGCCATCGACATCGACGGCCAGCCATTTGACCTAGCCAACAAATTTCTCTGGAACGGAGTTATGCTGCAAGATCTTCCTAATGCAGCTTACGTGATTGGATACACCAATGCCTCTTGGACGCTGGGTGCGGACGCGACGGCTCACTATGTTGTCAGATTGCTTAAGCGTCTTGATAAGAAAGGTTATACTGCAGCCGTGCCTAGAATGGGGAATGGAGAGAAGTTGAAAGAGACGCAGCTGCTAAATCTTAAGTCGACCTACATCGCGGCGGCAGAAAGGAGTTTACCAAAGGTGGCGGAAACGGCGCCGTGGCAGCCTCGAGATAATTATGTCTCGGATTATAGATTTGCTAAGTATGGTAGGTTTGACGATGAGACGTTGGAATTAATTAGGGAGCCCAGAATGAAGATAGTGGCTTAGATATATTGGATTTGTGCACTATACCGGTATATCTGATGTTTCTATTTCATGCGCAGTGGGAGTTTGGGGGTTTTGTTTATTGCTTTTCCACCTAAACCGTATATAAATAAATTAGGCGCAGACAGTACTACTATATCTAAAGCATATAAATGCTTGAAGAATTAACATTAATTACCACCGTGACACACCCCCCCCCTGTGTTAGTTTGAGGTTTGTGTTAATTTGCTTTCTGTATGGCAGACAGTCGTATTCGTGGAGATTATAAATTATGCTCTTATTCCCTGTTTACTTTGAGTTTCAAGTCCTCAATCCATCTCCCTTAGGCCATGTAAAAGAGAGATAGTCCTCTCATCCATTTCTACCCCTCCTAATCAGCGGTAACAAGCTGCCTACTAGTGACATCTTTTTCCCTCGAAGGCATGCACCAAAGCTGAGATTAGCATCTACATTCTGATAAATAATTATAGTTCTCCAAAAAGCTCACCACCGACAACAAACCAGCCGGGGGCTTTATATGCGGCGGAGAGATCAAACATTCTCCCATCTAATAACGGGCTTAATAACCTGCTCCACAGATGTATCAGCATAATCTTTTGGAAAATCTTCCGAGGGGTACTGTACATACTCTGCCAGAGCGCAAATCCTCCATAGCTTGCTCAAACGAATCCGGCGCATATACCTTGGCAAGCTTGTCGACGGGGAATTTTCCCTGCTTATAGAGATCTATCAACATTGGCAGAAGCTAATTGCAATCATTGAATTAGTAAAAACGGTTCCAGGTATCTCCACTGGCTATTGTCTCACCGAAACAGGATTTGCACCGCCTTCAATTACACCCACGATCCGTTTGCAGCCCATCATGAGAGCAAGTGGATCAATTTTAAGAATAGACCCAGGGCGAGAAACACCCACAATAGCCAAAGTACCTTCATGGCCTAAGGCTTTAACCGCAGATTCGAGCAGATGGTCCACACCTGTCGTGTCAAGAACGTAGTCAACGCCGTCGGGGAAGATTTTGAGTAGCCCTTCCGTAAGATCGGTGATAACCTTCGTGCTCAAAACATGTGATGCACCTAAAGACTTGGCGAGTTCCAGCTTCGCCTCCAACATATCAACTGCGATAATTGTTTCAACCCCTCTAGACTGTGCAGCTAGCATCGCGGCCATCCCGACAGCGCCCATACCAAGAACAACGAAGGTGCTCTTTGGCTGGGGCTTGAGGACGTTGAAGACAGTACCAGCACCAGTGAGATATCCGCAACCAAGCGGGGCCAGGGCTGCCATATCAGCAACAGTAATCCCTGATTCAGGTGAACACTTGATAACTGAATGCTCGCTTACAATAGCCAGTTTGCTCAAGGAGGACTGGCCGAAAAATTGGCCCCGAATTGGTAGGCCTTTTTCTCCGGGAAAAGAAATGGGCGAGTCAGCAGCGCTGACACCTCGAGCACCGGCAAAGTTGATAACTGTCATATCACGACAGAATCCATTCCGGCCTTCACGGCAAGGGTTGCAAATATCCCTATGACAGGAGCTGAAGCTTAGAAAGACTAGGTCGCCTTCCCGGAGAGACGTGTTTTCGACACCACTGCCAACACGGCGCACAATTCCAGCACCCTCATGGCCCAAAACGGCGGGATAGTCACCAACGGGAATGGCTCCTTGTTGGACAACGATATCCTGTAGGTCTTCCATTAGCGTGACATCGTGTGTATTCCGTTGCAAATTATGAATGCATACTGTGTGGCACAGGCCCGTATACTTCATTTCGATCAAGACTTCATTTGCCCGGACCTCATCCAGAATGATATTCTGGAGGGTGAATGGTGCACCTGGTCTCTCAACCACAAATGCGGTAGTCGGAATCTGTTTCTCCGGGATCATGGTGGGGCACGATCGTGCGATAATTGGCTTAACTATGAATGCAATGGGAAGGGTATCGGTTAAAGTAGAATATCCAAAGAGCGTAGATTTTATAAATAAGGATACGCAATCAAATTGCAGGGAAGAGGTCCATCTTTTTTATAGATTGAAAGACTTAAGTTTAAGACCTCTTTATGACAGCGAATAGGTCTCCTCCCGCAGTGATCGATTTATCCTCACAAACCGACTTCAGTGACCAGCCTCGGTAAAAACAGCCAATCTCACGCCGAAAGTGAAGCGTGAAACCTCGGTTGATGGGAAAACAGGAGAGTTTCTTGTGTTTCTAAGCAAATAAAGACAACCGTTTGACATTGCTACATTCTAACTTGATCAACCACTAAGGACTTTCAAGTTAATACTCTGGCACCCTCCCATTCACGTACATACAATGCTGAAACATACAATGGCATCCCTCGACATTATTCAACAATATACCAACTCCGCTTTATCAAGTCCCAAAACATCCCCCGCAGCAGCCTCATGCAAAAGACTCTCGCGATCCTACTCACACTCAGTCTCGCTCGTTCGGCCAATCGTTTGTTCTCAAAATGGACTCTGCAAAATTGGGCCCGCAATGAAACCTGGCAGCCCGCTCGTAAGCTCGTCATCCCTACAGAGGTGGCACCAGCGGCATCAGAAAGCAGATCATGGAAGACCTTTCCAGAACAGGCGTACGCGTCATAATGCTTGAAAACAACGAGCCTAATTTCCTTTTGCCGATGAACTTTGCCTTTAACAAGGCTAATATTACTTACTCGATAGATATTGTAGATGTTGCCCTGAATATTCGAACCAACCATGGTGAGCCGGCAGTGTTGATCAAGAATGCTGGTCTTGCGCATTATGAGATGATTCTTGACAAGCCCGAGGCAAAGATTCGGCAAACGTTCGAGGACAATACCCTTTCGCATTTCCTTACGGTCAAGTAGTCTTTGCCAGCTATGATCAAGGCGAACCATGGGCCTATTATTACTGTTGGTAGCATAACTAGCTTCGTGGCTCTTGGTGAGATGGTTGATTACTGTTGTTCAAAGGCGAGCGCGTTGGCCTTCCACGAGGGGCTGCGTCAGCAGTTACAGTACTGGTACAATGAACCAAATGTGCGCACTAGGTAAGTTATAGAGTTTTCACAATTCTCCTTGACGTTTTGGGATCACTCATTCAGTCCCTTCGTCAGCGTCATTCGCCCTATGTGGGTTCACACTCCCTGACTGGTAAAGAATCCCACAACCGTCCGGCCACCATTACCCCTAAGGTTGTTTTCGAGTCTATTTGCAAGCATATTGTCACACAGAGCTGTGGTCAAGTGATTTTGCCCACCAACAAATCAGCTGCTAGCCTGGTAATAGCGATGCCAATTTGAGTGAAGGAGGGCGTACGTTCATCTGCTTCCGGAGAATTGAGAAGGATGCATATGGCGCAGCAGACCTGCAGTTCATGACCTAGTTTTGCTTGACAATTAATTGACATGTAATCGGATTGAACTAGCTGTTGCGCACACTAATTTGGGTTGCAGGCGGCTTTGCTCAGTATAAATATGATGGGATTTTTATTTTAAACATGCCATTCACTTAAGTAACAATGCATAGGAATATTTTGGATAAATAAATGCGTGTTACCTTTTCCCTTTACGGAAAGAAAATGTCAATTTGTAAGTTACATCTGAACTTAGATCATGATGTATGGGGATTCATTTCACTATCTTCAATCCATGCAGGTGCAGTTTTATTTACTTACACCAAGGCCATCAATTGATATTTACAATTTTCTAACATTCTGTCTATCAATCAAAATCCAGAGAATGGCATTTAGGGAATGGATGTCATTGACAATAGGGACAAGAGCATCCAAAAAGCCATTCCAATTGAACTTGAGCCTCCCATTATCACATTCTGGCTTTCGCTAGGCCATCGCTGTCCTAGTAATATGTTAGCCCGGGCCATGTTTGTAGATATTGAAACTCTTACCGTATCCCTTATTTTGGTGTAAGTTCTCTTCAGGTCGAGAGACTTCAGATACCATTCTCCGTCCTTCAGCTTCCATGTTTCATAATAGAAGCCTCCACCCCTTATCTCAACCAGATTGGTCGACTTGAGATATATCTGGTCCTCCATACTCCAGATCGCCTTGACTTCATCCGCCGATGTCTGTTCCAAATCACCAGGACCGAACATATGAAGGGTTTCGGCATTTGCCAAGAACAGAGAAAAGAAATCCACGAAAGCTTTGCATGATTTGAACGATAGCGGGTCATTCCCGACCATTACCACATTTCCGTGGATATCCCAGAAATTAAGGCGGGCGTCATGGAGCATGATCTCATGAAATTTAGACCACTGTTTTGAATCAACGTAGCGACCATAGCGTGCCTTCTTTTGGGCAATTGATTGCCCGACCTCGAATGGTACCATGTTGTTTTCTCCCGGTTTTGCCATTGAAAATATAAAAAAAAATATCAAGCTGTGAGGACTGGCCCTGATACTATAAAGTAACTTCGGTATGCTATTCCTCCGTCGGCAGAACTTGTCCCCGAGTCCGGGACTACACCCGGATGTCTCGGTATATCTTCCGGGGTTGGCTATGCCGTCTTGTCAATACTACTGAGGCCTGAGGGCTCAGGCCCCAGGTTACTGAGTCAGCCAGTGCCCACAGTGCCTGCCATGTAGATAGGGTTCTCTCCATAGCATCTCTCATGTCACCACCATCTTCAGTCTCTCTGCGAGTATCCCTATCCTGTGCCTCCAGTAAAAACCAGCTCGTTTGTAGCGAGGACCCGTAATAAATGAATTTATGAAAGCTGCTGGTTACACGATGAAAAACTTCCGACGCCCTCAATTGCACAATCGGTATTTCCATCATGTTTGACCGTCTTTGCCGTAATGAAAGCCCAAAGCAGCGCCGAGGTAAGCTAAACGGGTCGTGAAGACATCTCTAAAAGTCGATATTGCTATTGAAATCTTTGCCAAGGAATCAATGCCAGTATAAATTGCCAACCAAGTTTCAATCCCGTAGAAAATGAAGTATTACATAATCGAACTCCGTATACGAAGACTTTGGTCTAAAGTGGTTTCCTTTTGCTGGATGTTCGAAAGATCTCCGACTGCTGCTTGTGCATTTTCTTAGGGTGAAGTCGATCGTAATCGATGAGAGGGTCACCGTGAGTGGAGGAATGCAAATGGTGACAATGGTATGGTAAAGGTTTAACTGCGGACAGTGATCTGTTGGCGGTAGGTTGATCACCGAGGGTGAAGGCGACCAGACGACCAAGCGCCTCTGTCTTTTCCACTCAGCAATCACCAATCAACGCACGGAGTCTCTAACTCAGGTAGCCACCATCTATCGCGACTGGGCGTAACATTACTAGTCGATTTCACCGTCCAATTGCTTGGCATTACTTATTAAATGCTTTGTCATCGTAATCTTTTGTTAAATAGTTTTCCTGGTGTATTCTAAATTGAGCATACTGATACGATATTCCATATAAAACTACATTTCCCCATTATGACTGATTCCAGGCCGTGAAAGTTATGAGCCTGGTTTCCTTGCTACAATAGGCAATACTGAAGCTATTCATACTCGCTTATTGCGTAAATTGACGCGAAATCGACAAATCTGAGGGTGTGGATGATTACCCCTGAATCCACCACAATCCCTATTCGATATGTTGAAGGACCAACCCTGATATAAAAACCTGCAAAACCGACAGTTATATTGTAATAAGGATTGTAATTACATCTATAATTATCAGCAAATTGTAAAGTTTAAGATATTGACTAGGCAAGACAAGGATGGCACGATCGAAAAGGACCGTATATTCAGAATTAAATCAAGACTAATTCTTGAAGAACCTCAAGAATTCTATATCACAAAGGTTTTATATCTCTGGGAACAGTGTACTCTGTGATCCACACCGCTAATTCGTATCGAATCTGACCTATCTCAACATGATCAAAGGTTTTCCCTGTCACAGTACTACTGCTATAATAGGGTTTTGAGCACAAATTCAACACTAATGGCTATCTTGTAAAGCACATAGCATGTATCTGAGTCAAAGGTGACCTATAACATATATCTGTTAAAGAAAGGAGGGCTGCTATACTCGCTAGAAGGACTTTACGTATGGTTTTTGCTCTGGTTACAGTATTTGATCTTAATCTTCATTAATCAGACGTAGTCGCTACCTTTCCAAGCAGTGATCTGCCTACGCCTGTATAAATCTATATACGTTAGGGTTTCGCTAGATAAGGACGTTAATAGAAGCTCAGAAAGATACCATATAGACTTTGTATCTCACCAAAGCTATAGTAGTAAGAAGCATCTATAGTATTAACAAAGCTAGGTCTAATACTAGTACCTAAAGATCTCTATATATTGTTAGAGATAGAATTATTATCTTTTTCTACGTTAACAATATTCTTATCACTTTACACCTGTCTGCTGGGGACAAATAGCAGAAGAAGCTTTAGCTCTCCAGGGCTGCTAAGACACATTTATCTTAAACATAGCAGCAAATTATAACCTTGTAGGCTAACTAATAGTATTGACACTGATGATACTAGAAGAATTAAATCCATTCAATAGCACTACACAGTAAAAAGATATTGATATTTTCGCTTAGAAGATCAGTTCCTCTCAATATTTAACTATAATTACATACGTTGATACTGCTAGACTAATAGCTAAACTTGTGTAGTTTATAAAGAACCTTAGACCTACACACCTATAAGTGATCGATCGAGTGTTCGTCTATCTTTACTACAGTCGTCATCTCGCTATTGAATATAGCATCGATAACAGACACCTATCTGTCGAATACACTTTAGATACCCTATTTCGTGATAGATACAGATCGTAAAAGCTCTACAGGCTACATTTGCTAGGTGTATACAGGCCCTGTTAACTAGAAAGCCTCAAAGTAATCGTCTATAACCGAAGCTAAATTGCTTACACTATCCACGCTACACGCTCTATACACTATTAGGAACACCTATTCGCCTGAATCAGATTCAAACCAGATCATTCTATTATCCTGAAATGTAATAACCACAAATAGTGGATCTAGCGAACAATCCCAGGGGAAATCTTTACACGAAGCTTCGCTACGTTGATATATAGAGTTGTTAGGTGTGTCAGGAGGTAGAAGTAGGACATATACAGATCAAGTAGGTGCCTACAGCAAGCATAGCGGCCGACGGTCTCACTAAGTCGTTACTGTAGCAAAGCACAAGGCGTTTATCAAGATACTAGGGATACACAATATCGTCACCTATATCAACAAATAAAAAGGTAATTGGCACATACTTCGCGAGGACAGAGTCTATTTCCTATTTCGGACAGCGCTTAAACGCCTACACCGCACTTATTCGGGACCAGACAAACGAGAGCCATCGATAACACCAGGGCTGGAAAATGTAACTTCGAATAGAGCGGACGGAGTAGGGCATACAGCATGGAGGGTACACCGGCACTTTATAGATATGAAGGAGACCGGTAGTATTAGAGACGAACAATACTTACTAGCAGAAGACAACCTAGATAGCTTCGTAACATGGTAGACAGTTATTCCATTAGGGAAGGAGTGGGAGTATTGAACTAAAGCCACATAATACCGCTACATGCTGGATCATTCCAGTGGTTCTGTTCCTGTACAATTACTATTCTAGTCTGAGGAGCTAGAACGAACTGGCGCTCGGATCAAGCGGTATCTCCAATAAAATAAAAGGGGCAGTATATCAGATTATAACAAGGCGGAATATTCAGTGGGGGCGAGAGGGAAAGAAAGGGGGCGGCGATGAGTGCAAGATAGAGGAGTCCTATAGAGAGGAAGAAGGAGAAGAGAGGCTGAAAGGGTGAAGTTGGGTCTTTTATATCGAGGTAAGGCCAGGAGAGGTTACAAAACAGCGTATTAGGGCACTAAATCTGAAAAGGCAAAACTAACCGGATATAGTAATTCAAGGATCCCTATATTATACCCTATATTGTCGTTCGAGTGAGGCAGATAGATACCCTTTATAGTAATTAAGATGAACTAGTGCCTAGTCTTCCTTATATCTTTTCCACTACCCTATAAGGATAGACATTCTCTTACTCTTTTTTCCTTGTCAGTTATATTTCAATGTTAATTCCGCAAGGTCGCAGGATCTGTACGTACTCGCTGACCGAAATATCGTTATATATAGGAATTATTCAGTCCCTGGAAATCTTTGAAGGCTATCCATTCCCCATATCCAGGCCTGCTCTTGCGTAAATCCATTTCCAGGCCCAGCGAGATCTGGAAAAAGTGGTTCAAGAGGTATATTGATATCATTTCCCGAGAGAACTAAAAAATGTTAACCTGATGGTGATCAAAACGCGAAGACTGCAATGCATACCCTGGTCAAAGTCAAGAAGAGCCTGAGACATAGCCGGATCTTGAATGAAGTCGAACATTTCCTCGTTTTGTATTGCGTCGGGGATTTCTGCACCTTGATCTTGGTCTTGTTCCTGTTGTGTCGGAGCCTCGGACCCACCCCCATAATGTGCATATTCGATCCGCTGCGTTGTAGATTGAGAAGATTGCCGGGTGGCACTGTTACTATCGAGCATCTCCTTCAATTCCTTCTCCATGACCAATCGGGTCAAGCGCTCCAGAATTTCCAAGCCCTGTGATGCCAAAGTCGACTCTGTTCTCGATTTCAAATGTGTTTGCATCTGTATCAAGCGTCGCAGCCCCATCTTCGACTCGTGGGACTGCGGACTAAGCGGTTCAATACTAATCAGTATGCAAATCATCACGCCAGCAGTAAAGGTGTGAATTCCGATGAATGCAGCGGCGTAGGTATCGGCGGCGAGAAGGAATATTGAAGACTCCCCGAGATTTGATGTATGCAGTGCAGCATCCCGACACGCGGATAATGACAGACGCAGTGGATTTGGAGATGGGGTTTCGCCCTCGCTCACAGCGCGGGGGATCATTCTGTAAGCGAGAAGAGGGCGGTGGAGGAGGATTCGCGCATTTTCATACGCAAGTTCGAGGGAAAGAGCTTGCAGTTGATAGATGTGCTGCTCGAATCGGGGTCCTGAGGCACCTATGTCATAATCCATCTCTTCCACGGAAGCATAGTTTGCATGATTAGTATTTGGATGTAAGGCTTCTGGTATCTCCATTTTCCATTTTCGCAGCCGTTCATCTAGGCGCGATACCTTGTTAATGAGATTCTGCAGATTCCGCGAATTCAGATTGTCGGTTTGAGGAGCCCCCTGGTGGCTAATTCTGTATAGATCTGTAAGAATGTCCTTGACAAGAACGGAAAGCTTGGACATCAGGTATTTGTAAGATAAAAGACTCGCTGGACACTGGTGTGTCGTGTCAAAAGTTGCGGGTGATTGTCCGGATGATGTAGCCAAAGGGTCCAATAGCTCGACATCGCAATCCGCATCCTTGATACCGTGTGGATATCCGTATGACATCGAGCAAAATGTCTCAATTTCGTAAATAGCCCACCAGCAACGCTTTCTTGTTTCAGCAAGCCGCTGTGTCGCAGGTAATCTAGTATCTGTATCTCCGGCTGGAAGTTTGCGATGTAAGTTCAATGCCTGTGCGACACGGAGTCCACAGCCACACACCGGCCAGGCAAGACCAGGATTTCCATGATACAGATAATATGTGCCCAGCAAAACACATGTCTGAACGGCTTCCAGCGAGCCGAGTGACACTATATCCAATAATCTGGATCGAATAGTTGACAGTATCTTCTCTCTCAAATCTGAATGGGCGACATTGTGATTTCGCAGAGTCTCCCGCCGTGGGAGCCTGCATATTGCAGGGCGATGGCAATCACAACAAGAAAGGTACTAATAAACCCGGGATTTGGATATTTTGTTACCAGATCCTGCGCCGAGAGCTCGTACATCTGTTCCCAGTTCCGCCGGAAGTCGTCTTGGTGAAATATCAAGATGAACCAGTGCACGCGGTCGAAGTAGGTGTCGACTAATAAAGAGGCAACTTCTCGCGAGGGAAGTAATCCGATCAGCTCTGCTATCGCAGAACGCGATCCTTGCATCCAGGGGATTTTTGACCTTCCGGGTCTTCTTTCCGGTGGTGAATTGATTGTCGCTCCACCGGGAAACGCCGTTGTCATGGATGTATCGGGTGTAGAAGAATTGTGGAATTGAAAGGCCTAGCTCGTTAATTAGCAACCACTTTCTCCTCTTCGAACAGAAATTCAAACCAGCTCTATACTCACATCTGCTACCAACGACATAGTCGAGCTGGACCACGTCTGATCAACCGAACGGTCGCCAGCATTATCGTCCTCCCCATGTCGATCTTGTCCTTCTTGTCGCAACACTGTCTCCCGAGCAGAGCTTTGCCGTGTCTTCTGTCTCTTCTGCTTAGGTCGAAATGGACTAGCAACAATGAACTGGTCCGACTCGCCCATTTGACACTCTATTCCTGCGTGTACACATAGTGTGCATGGGCGCTGAATGTCGCACTGCGAAACGATTCGTTAGCGCCCATCCATAATGACCACGTTTCACTTCAGACTCACTCTCAACTTCTGGCGGCGGCATCTTTCGCAAGCTCGGCCGACTTTTGTTCGTTTTACTCGTGATGCCATTCTCCGATTGGATTGGGAATCGCAAGGCTTGGAGCACCCCAAGGGAGTGTTTCGGGATTCTCGGAATCAAAGCCCAAAACGGTCATCTTTCCGTCGGGAACATCTCAGCACGTGACTTTGTTCGAGACTGTTGTCGCCACTCTTTTGGCTCTATTCTTACATGATGAAATAACTTGAATTATGCTTTCAAAAATTCGTTCTCTTGGTTATGATTTCAATGGAGTTAATTAGTGTGGACAACCTTGGGGAACTGAGAGATACTACCACTGATTCTGTCGGAGACCTGAGTCGGTAGTAACTATTAGTACCTGACATCATGGTAAATTCCTCCGGGGCCGGACAAGACCTTCAGATGGATGGATCGTTGTGAAATTTTCAGAGATAGTGACCCTTAGAGCCTCAGAAATTCTATCTCCCGGGGTCAAATCTTCAACCTGCTACACCTAGGCATCGATGTGACGAAATTTCGACTAAAAAAGCCTCCCGCCGGACGCCCGTTGTGATATGATGAATTAATCGTCAAAATGTTCTGATAATTTCAACGCCGGAGTGTTTCTGCATTAATTATCTCACAATGTGGTCTGGTGGCGCAATCCCCCATTTGCGCAATGTTGCAGCAACATACATCGTGGAGGCGATGGCTTATGCAAAGCACACAATTTAAGCAGACCCTTCAGGGCTCGAGTCAAGATTCTTGGCTTTGCTTAATTAAAGAGGCGTTTTCTTGTTTTCAATTCCCCTGGTCATGCCCCTTTTAACCTTTTAGCGCGTCGCCTTGACTCGGAGTTGGCCATTCTCAGGAAGTTTAGTGCACTGACTCAGATGTATTCGAAGTATGCTTATCCAGTCGGCTGACACGATAAATCTGGAATTGCAAACCATTATCCCAATCTGCTCTTCAAAATTATCCCAGTAGCAAAGTATCGGTTATATTCTAAGAGAGGAGTATAGAAGGCCCACTGGTTTAGCTTGCATAATGCCGGCATCCGGCAACATCCGCCTATATAACTCGGAACTGCCGATTTACGTTCGATCTACGATCATTGCCATTATTCTCGAAGTTCGATCATATTATACGGAGTGATCCGTGAGGGGTAAATAAGCCTAGCTCCCCGTGAATAGTCGCATCGATTGTGGAGCTTCATCAGCCCAACCCCGCCACGTTACCGTATCTGGAATCGTCCCCCGCCGTGGCGTTCTTCAAGCATCGAAGGCCACATCCATATCGCGGAGGTCCGTCGGTATGTCTTGGACCTCTTTCATCCAGCGCTTAGACATTTATTGTGAAGCATCAAGATGATTAAATCACCTCTCGCTTAGTCGGTTTTCTTAAGCGAACGCTTTGTCGTATATTCAGGTAGAACTAATAAGAGCCAGTGTTTAGTAAAGCAGAACGTTGACAAACGGCTACTACTTAATGGTAATAAACATCTGAGGGGCTTACTCGGGCTTCCCCCACCCCTTGAGATTACTGCAAATCTCCCGAGTGACGAATCGCAGTCCAGAAATCTAGACCCTTATCTCCGGTGGGTCTCTGCCACGAGACCAATTCGCCAGGTCCCCGACCCGATGTTACCCTGATTGACATCGCTGAACTCTACGATTGGACCATACAAAAACAACATGAGATGATCACGAAGCTTTAATTCGAATTTACCCACTATCGCGCGAGCATTTGCAGCTTGGACCTCGTGGTCTGCAGGTTGGTTTATGACCCGAAAATGACCAAATTTGGGAATCCGCTAGATCGCTGCAAGTTTACATGCATCTTAGTTCCTGGCCTTCGCGAGGTCATTCGCTCACCACTCGAGCAAATAAGAGTGGAGAAAGGACCGGTATGATCGAATGGCCAACCCCTTCAAGCCTTTTCCAAGCCCTGGGCGCATTAGCAGCCGTAGCTTGCAGATCGGCGTTCGGATTGCTCAGAAGGGGAAATCTTGTTCTCAGTCTTCCCGATGGCGCGATGAATGAATGACTATTGTATAGCGCTCCTCTATCTGCTACCACTACTCTCCTTTGAATAAACGAGGCCTGGAAATGTATAAAAGGACATCAGAATCCGGGTCTTTGGTTTCATCCAACACCAAAGCATCTCCCTTCTCATTCTTCAGACAATCCCTTTCGAGATATCATCATGGTTGTCATTGACAAGATTCCCATTACCCTCGCCTTGCTGGCATCAATTGCTGCAGCCGTTCCTACTACTGCTAAGCCAGCCAGCAAGTTCTCAATCAACCAAGTCTCTCGCCCCGCGACGAAGACCACCAACTTCGCTGCGAACTATGGGAAAGCTCTGTCCAGATATGGAGCTTCTGTTCCTTCGCATGTTGAGGCTGCTGCTGCTGCCAGTGGTAGCGCCGTTACTACCCCAGAGGCCGGCGATGTCGAGTATCTGACTCCTGTCTCTATCGGCGGTACTACCTTGAACCTGGACTTTGATACTGGTTCTGCTGATCTGTAAGTCAATGAAATGCGTCTCAATGAATGAAATAAAGTATACTGATGAATCTATAGCTGGGTCTTCTCTACTGAGCTTTCCAGCTCTTTGCAAAAGGGCCACTCTGTCTATAACCCCAAGAATAGTGGGACTAAGCTGTCTGGTGCTTCCTGGTCCATTTCCTACGGCGATGGAAGCAGCGCAAGCGGTGATGTCTACACCGACACCGTTACTGTCGGCGGAGTCACTGCCTCGAAACAAGCTGTTGAAGCTGCCAGCCGGATCAGCTCCCAGTTCCAGCAGGACACGGACAATGATGGACTTCTGGGTCTCGCTTTCAGCAGTATCAACACTGTGTCGCCGAACCCCCAGAAGACCTTCTTTGACAGTGTCAAGAGCTCCCTCGCAAAGCCTTTGTTCGCTGTTTCTTTGAAGCACGCAGCCCCTGGCGTCTATGACTTTGGATTCATCGACTCCTCCAAGTACACGGGCTCCATCGCTTATACCAGCGTTGACAACTCTCAGGGATTCTGGAGCTTCGATGTTGATGGATACAAGGTCGGAAGCAAGTCTGGCTCTGGCTTTTCTGGAATTGCCGACACCGGAACCACCCTGTTGCTTCTTGACGACTCCGTCGTTTCTGCTTATTACGCGCAAGTTAGCGGTGCTAAAAATGACCAAAGTGTCGGTGGATATGTCTTCCCTTGCTCCACCACCCTTCCTAGCTTCAGCGTTACCATTGGCTCCTACACTGCCACCGTCCCTGGCACCCTGATCAACTACGGTGACTCTGGCGCTGGATCCTGTATTGGAGGTATCCAGTCGAACTCTGGAATTGGCTTCTCTATCTTTGGTGATATCTTCCTGAAGAGTCAGTATGTTGTCTTTGATGCCAGTGGACCCCAGCTGGGCTTTGCTCCCCAGTCATAGGCTGCTTGATGTTCCTCGGCGTGCTAGGGGGCGTTTCTGCACGAGAAAACGCGTTGAATTTCAATGATCTACAGTCAATTTAGTTGCCATGTATGGTGTAGATGTGTTCAACCTCCAATTTTACATTTTCGTAAATATTCTTTTCCACATTGTGTATTTTCTTTAATTTAGATAGTAAGAAAACCTTGAGTGGCTGAAGATACTGTATCATAAGATAAGATACTGCCTTGATATATATTATAGACTATCGATCAGTCTAAGGAATTCTAGTATTGGAAATAAATATTGATAATCGAATATGAAGGGCTATAAATTTAATGACAAAATAATTGAGTAGCAAAACTTTTAGAGAGATTAATTGCAAATTTTTAATCCTTTTGCTATCACCATTCGAATTCCTATGTTTCAGGCTTTATTAGATGCTCCCTTGCTTTATGAATAGAATTTTGTGGATGCTTACCTCAGTATATTGGGTGATAGATGGTCCGTCTTGGCGCGCAATACTTGAAACGGCCTGACGAGTAGCATTCGTCATTGCAATGGGACCGCAAACCCCAACGATTATACGATCATCTGAACTCTTCTTGGAAACTGTCGCGACGGAGCCAGCTATAAGGCTATTGAGATCAGGACGTCCCGAGCAAATTTTATCCGGAGAGAACTCATCATTGGAGTTCATGTATTGGGGACCACCCTTCTCAATGTCCCTGACTTCGGAGTCTGATGTGGAAGATTCCATGGGAGCACCTGTCGTCTCTACTGGGGACTTCTCTGATAAATCTTGAATGTTGAGAAAAGAAGTCCCGGAACTGTCAATCGTAGCTTGACGAGTGACATAAATGAACAAGTTCACACTAGGGTGGTTCTGGAGCCGCTTGAGTTCTTGTGAATACCAGGACAGGTTCTCTTTGAGAAAATATTAGCTTCAGTTATCATGCATTGGTATATTTACAACTTACCCTGTTGTCTCACAGCCCAGATAAAATCAATAGTCTTGACAGTCGTGTCTGGTTTCTCAATCAAGTCCAGAGCGATCGCAAAGGTAAAACTTGCGCCACTGCCACCTCCAACCAAAATGACTTTGTCAAATCGTTGAAAATTAGGGACCTGACCATAAGGGCCATCCACTGAGCACCGGAAGACTCTACCCGGTGAGGTCTGGGCGGCATTATACAGGTCTCGGGTAAACCCATCATAAACACGAATCACGAATTCGGACGGGTTGGATGAAAGAAGAGTGAACGGATGACTTTCAAACCAGCGGATAGCGGGGACCCACAAAAATGCATGGGAACCCGGTGTAGAATTGATACGACGATTCAGTCGCACCCGAATGGCATTGTCAGGTAACGCTGTGATGGATGCAGAGTTACCAAAGAAGTTCCAGCAGATCTTAGCCGTACGGATCAACCGATCGCTGACCCAAAGACAAGCCGTGAATATAACGATTATCACCGTGGAACTCGAGAATTTCGGACGGTGCATCCCGACCGTAATCATGATCAATATAAAAAGGATGATATGAAACATATAGAAAACTGCAAATTTTTGGCATCAGCGAAGTCTAGTAGTGGAGGGGGAGAACTTACGCTCGTAGTATCCTCGCATGAGGTAAGTGATAGTTGAGAGACCAATAAGAACCATAGCCAGGCCTGCAATGGCTCCCGCAAAATTCTTGACCTCTTGCATAGAATCAAGCTCTCCGGAGTCTGCCCATGCAGCCAAATACACAATGCCATGTAAACAGCTGGTGAATATACAGGTGTAGCCGGCGACCTTGTGAAGAGGGCGTAGTTTCTCATATGACTTGGCTGTCAAGGGAGCGAGAGGCGTGTTCTTCAGAGCCAAGAAGACTAGGAGTACCAAATTGGCTACCGCAATCCTATCAGATGTTCAGGTTAGTGGTGAGGGAGGATAGTGAAAATCAGATGGTGAATGTAACACACCAACCGAATCGCTTGGCAACCTAAAAGCCCATGATTGTCAGAGATTGAAAGCATAGTAGCAATAGATAGAGGAGGAATATCATTCCAGCAGGTAAATCGTACATAATTCATATTCGTAAGGTCGACATTAGTCACCGCTAGAATCAGATTGACAGCCCAGTAGATGGTGTACAGGGCAGATCGGCCGATGTGAAGCCCCTTATATGAGCTAGAGAAAAGTCCCCGAATAAATCTGCAACGATATATTGTGAGCTTCTATCCGGAGTTGTGATGAAATTTGAATCTACCGGGTTTTGCGGGCCAAAAAGCTTTTCTGACGTGGAAAACCCCGAATTTCCATCACTTCAAGCCAGTGATGTATGGCGAAAAGGACCATGATAGAGCCCATAGCAATGGCAAAGTATTTGTTACTCCATTCATTGTTCGACTGTCGAAGTACCTTCGCAGCAGCTTTCGCGGCCTTTGCATCGCTCATAGTGAAATGGTACTATACTGGAAAATCTTGGGAGGAATTTCGAAAAGGCCCGCTTTGAGATCTGATAAACTCGGAACCAAGCGATTATTAACCTACAATCGGTCTTTTTCCTATAACCCGAGAATTACCGTTTAACGTAACATAGATAATTACGTTGAATTTTTCCTGGAGCCGTGCGTATTTCTTTGCCAAGCCAACATGATCAGAGACAAATTTTTGTGGGTCGTATTGCATTTCCAATATGATATAACGGAAGTTAAGTGGATTTGGATGGATATTACTCACGTTCTATGTACAATAGAACTTATCTCGGGCCATCGTCCGACACTGTACGTGTAAACTTTCTGTTTCCTGGTATTGAACTTATTCATGAAAGCCAGCTATGAACTAAATCAGGATCCCAGTCTTGCAATTAGCCCTGGATTATACCAGATTTACTTATCTACTTCAGAAATTACATGGGCTAGCCAAATAATTCACTCAGGCTCATCGAATATACTAGAACTTTGCGGGTTTTGCGGCAGATTGAAAATTCACGAGGCAATATACCCAATTGGGTAACCGTAGAGGGTCCAAAATCCATCTAATCAATCAGATATCAGAAAATCAGGCTATACTCCGTAAAATACCAAACCCTATCATCTGCGTCATTTGAACCGCCACCGAAGTAGGCCGGATCTACTTCCGTAACTGGTCTAGGGCAATATCCAAACCCCCAACCATGTTACGTAGGAGAGGGTTTCCTTGGCATTTGTACTTACGTGAAAATTAAATTTTTGCAGATAGATGAGAATCGCATTTCTGTCAGGTTTTTTCCACCCCCGGCGGGCTCTTCAGCTTTGCTAAGACAGAAGTACGGATAGTCTCACCAGATTGTTCTCTTTGGAGGTTTTTTCTGCACTTGTAATTTATTCTTCTTGGCAAACTGAAAAACTCAAAATTACCGATAACATGGAGCGACATCGAAGGTCCGCAGTATTTCCCCATCGGGAGCATATTCACTGGTAGTATCCACAATTATTACCAAGGAATCATGGAATCAGATAGCCCACGTGTCCCAAGGAAATGATACTAAAGCTTAGCAGTTTTCGGTGGAGTAGGGCGGAAAATTACATTGTAAATTCGTGAATTTTGAGCATCCCATACTCTGACGGGAATCAATACTGTGTTGTTGCTTTCCCATAACCCCCCTTCCAATTCTAATTAAAAATTTGCTTGGGATTTTGAAGAATTTCTAAATCTGGTTGAGCATGGCCGGCTACGAGCTTATCCTCTTAAGTATGCAATAAATCACTCAACCAACGAAGTTTCAGTTATTACCGTATAAATTCTAAAATATATTTCAGTAGGTAGTCGTTACGGAAGAGTATGATATCTTGTATGAATTTTCTTCAAATTTTGGAACACCTGGTTCTCACCAACCATTTGATCAGATATAACGCGCCATATATGGATCGATATTCTCAATCGCCCGGTCTAAATGGCCAGAAGGCTAGTATCTGCCTGCTTTGCCGGGGTGCTGGTAGTACTTTCCTCTGTAACCACTGGGTCGTCGTAGGGACGTCGAAGAACGAAAGCTTTCGCCTTGCCCTTTGTTCGCTCGACACGCTGCATTGCCGGGTCAAGTATGGGAATTGCACCACGCTTCTCGCGATAGAACATGAGCCCATAACCAATCATCACACAGATCCAGTACAGATTGTACGAGATCACAGAACCGTAGTCAGCAGAATTTGTCCAGCCAAGAAGCGCGTTGAAAATACCCCAACCGCCACCACCTCCTAGCTCTGGATTGCAGCAGTTCACGTGCCAAACGCTCTTTCGAATATCATAGGACCCAGCACCAGAGCCAGTTTCCGAGGCGTCTCCTCCAATGATATGGTTCCATGTATTGTTTTCGAGGTACCAGACACCACGTGAGAATAGCCCTCCGGCAACAAGGTAGAGGAAGCAGGTTGAGATAATCAGGAAGATTTGCATCGAAGTTTCTCTGCCACCTCTGTAGACCATTATTAGTACTGAAAGTATTAGATTCATGAAAGACATACCGATAAATAATATAACCAACGGCGACGCCTGCTAGAAGACCACAGACGACAGCCAAAGGAAACGAAGTTGCGGGAAGCCCCAATCCAACACCACCAACATAAACGACCGCTTCAAGACCCTCACGAAGAACTGTGATGAATGGCAAAGTAAACATCACATATTTCTCGAGCCATCTCTTCACACGAGCTCTCTTTGTCTCGTTGGGATTGTTCTGGGGCTCGAGAGCTTTGGCGAGCTTGATCCGCCATTTATCTTGAAGCTTGGACACGCGCAGGAGAGCAGCGCCCATGATCGTAATGATAATAGAAGCGATAATCCCCAAAACACCCTCCCAGATATCCTCTGTGCTGGAGAAAGTGTCTGTTCCGAGGCCATAGAAAGCACCAATCATGCCTGCGCCGACAGCAAGACAAATGAATAAACCAAGACCGCATCCTAACCAGACCTGTTGCCATATCCTATCAGCTTATGAAATCTGCACAGAAAGCACGTCGGCATACCTGTTTCACCAATTTTTTGTATGTCGGTCGATCTTGTTCGTAAAGTGACTGTTTCAGAAAAGCCAGCAGAACAGATACTACCACTGTCGTTTCAAGACATTCTCGAAAGCAAATGAAAAACACTGGAAAGTCGCAAATCAGTCAAACATGTTATGCCACAGAATACACAGTAAACGGACCGGTGACAGCGAAGACGCGATTATCACCCATCTTGGATTATGGTTAGACTCGCAAATCGGTTTGTAAGGAAGTTTTCCAAAGTATGTTCTGTTCGGAAGAAACAGGGGAGAGGGAGGGACCGTCCGATTGATAAGACAAATGGCCGCGATAGACCGCGATCAATTTCACATTGCGAAAATTACCATGGTATTTTCGTACCTATCTCGGGCCGCACTCGCGTATTTAGGTTATTGATCCAACCTAATCAGATGTGGAGTGGAGTCGGAGAAGAGGTCTTAGAGTGTGAGCGTGTCTCATTTCCCTAATAGGCATCGAGCCGGTTGTGCTTTTCGGCAAAATGGTCCGTCGTGGAAGTCTCTGAAACAGATCTCCCCATAGATAGTTCGAAACCGACCAATTGAATTACCATTGACTGCCACGTGCAGTATCCTGGGTTACATTCAAGGAAAATCAGTGGGGTTCGGTGATAAAATGGGGTCTGATGGCAAGTTGCTAATCCACCAAGTATCTAGCTACTTCCTCGCTTCCGGGATGCCGGCAGGAGGAATACGATTCCAATCTAGGCTCGGCTAAGGTGTCCTTTTTTTTTTCAAAATCACACATTTTACGAACCAGTAATTCAAAGTGCTTATTTGTAGAGTGGAGATTCATTTAGGAAGAAAAAAAGGTAATACAGAGTAAAGTCGGTATTCTAGTGGTAATACCTTAACCGGTAATCTTAAAACTATAATTTATCTGATTGCTTGGAAATAATTTAACCTCCCGGTTGAAAAGCTTTTTTCTGGGCAAGATTGATAAGATGGGTGGCGTGCAGACAAGATCCTTTTTGACCAGCAGATGACCGTCTAAATTGCTGCATTTCGATTTTTATTAGGATGAGAAATATTTCCTAGGTCAAGTCAAACCTGAATATCCTGGGTACTTCTAGTGCAAGCCGATGGACTTACAACGTTTTGACTCATCTTGCGGTCATGCATATCGGAGAAATGTGATCCACAAATGGAGGCCTTCGTTTTAGGGTGAAGTGTGGTAGCATTCCAACTATCTCGCATTGGTTATGCTATCTCGTATTCGGGTCCACTCCCTTCCATTTTCATTGCAAGAATGAAAATTTTTATCTGATCATTACAGGGTACGGTGCTCCACTCTTATCCCCGGAATATGCCGTTATATGCCGTATATGCTTAAAATAGTGTGGTGCCAAGCTATACTTGGCATTTTTTCTTCCCAAGCGAAACATATGTCCTGAATACTACACATGGCCAGATCGAATTGGATTTGAACTTGGCAAGCTGGCATAGTTCTTCTTGGAATTCAAAAACCCCTCATCATCAGATTTCCGCGCGTTCAAAGACTCCACTGGCCGGCCGAGCTAACCGGGGGTCCGGAGCACGAGCCTTTGCCAAGCCCATTCTGAGAAGGCGAACTATGGTATGACTGCGCCCCCCTCCCCCCCGGGTATGGTACTGGTATTTCACTGATTGATAAATGTATCTCGATACAGATGAATTGCTAGGTCAAATGATTTCGGCGAAGGGGTATCCGGCCGCGCTGCCTCTGCCCTCTCGATTCGTTTCCGACTTCTAAGACCTTTTCATCCCTTTCCGCATCTGCCTCCTTTCTTCCCACGATACTCATCCCTCCCTTTCCCGGGCATTTTGAGACATGGAACTCCTGCGGGCGTTTGTGTTCCGTCTCGCGGCGCTATTGCTGTGCACACAATACTGTCATGCAAAGACTGTGACCCTGGACTTCAACGCCACTTGGGTCAATGCAAACCCCGATGGACTTCATGAACGAAAGGTTGTCGGGATCAACGGCCAGTGGCCTCTGCCTGTCATCGAGGTAGACAAAGGTGATCGTCTGGTTGTGAATATGTTCAACGGGCTTGGTGACAAATACACGTCGATCCATTGGCATGGAATGTTCCAAAATGGCACAAATGATATGGACGGACCTTCAATGGTGACCCAATGCCCTATCGCCCCTGGTTCCTCTATGACCTACAACTTCACCGTTCCCCAAAATGGAACTTACTGGTATCATTGCCATACGGATGCATGCTACCCAGATGGTTATCGACAGGCTCTGATTGTGCATGACAACCAATCATACTTCAACGATATGTATGATCACGATCTTACTATCACACTGAGTGATTGGTATCATGAGTTGATCGAAGATATCCCATTCATTCGAGTTGAGAACCCTACGGGTGCTGAGCCTGTCCCAAACTCTTTCCTCTTCAATGACACGTTGAATACCAATATCGCGGTCGAAGCTGGCAAAACCTATCTGATGCGATTGATTAATATCGGAGCTTTTGTGGCCCAATATTTTTATATCGAAGATCATACATTTCGCATTGTTGAAATTGATGGCGTCTATGTGGATGAACAGGAGGCCGATACTCTCTACATTGCTGCAGCCCAGAGGTACTCCATCTTGGTCACCATGAAAAATTCAACAACAAAGAATTACCCGATCGTGACTGTGGCGGACTCGGTCTTACTAGATGTGATTGACCCATCTCTTCAACTCAATCAAACAAATTGGCTTGAATACAACAGCAGCACAGCACATCCACAGGCTGTTATGACGGTGGACGTGGCTTCGGACCTTGTCCCATATGATGATATGAAGCTGGTCCCTCATGACCGAATGGCTCTACTTCCGGAACCCGACATGACCATTGAGGTCGACGTTATAATGGACAATCTTGCGAACGGCGCAGGTTACGCCTTCTTCAACAATATCTCATACACAAAGCCTAAGGTGCCTACACTGTACTCTGTCATTTCCTCTGGGAACTACTCGACCAATGCCGAAGTTTATGGAGAGTTCACACATCCCTTCGTTCTGGAGCATAACCAGGTCATTGAGGTCATCCTCAACAACCAAGATACTGGCTCTCATCCATTCCATCTTCACGGCCACAATTTCCAAATGGTCAGCCGAACTCCCTCATATGGACCCAATTTTTACGATTTCGCCGACGGCGACCCGGTCGCGTACAATGCGACCGAGAACCCATCCAGCAGCTTCCCGACTTACCCTGCACGACGAGATACTTTTGTTGCACCACCGCAGGGCAACTTCGTCATCCGCTTCGTCGCCGATAACCCCGGAGTTTGGTTGTTTCATTGCCACATTGACTGGCATCTGATGCAAGGTCTCGCAATGTCATTTATCGAAGCCCCGAAGCAAATCCAGGAACAACTGTCACTGTCAGACAGTCAAGTGAGTGTTTGCAAAGCTGCTGACGTCGCTTATGAAGGCAATGCAGCAGCCAATACAGACGATCTGCTCGACCTGACTGGCCAGAATAGACAATTGCCGTGGTTACCTGCTGGATTTACGACGAAGGGCATTGTTGCGATGGTTTTCTCATGTGTTTCTGCATTCCTGGGGATGGCTTTTATCACAGTTTACGGCGTGTCGGGTATTCAATCCAAAAGGGAAGAAACAGCCCAGGTCAATGAGAGCAATGAGTTTTGATTTTGTTATCTGCGCTTCATATAGAACTATTTTTGAACCGAACATTTATCCGATCCGCTCCATTGGTTTTGACCTCGTATCTTCTCCAAAAGTCATATCTGCTTGCTCAGAGTAAAAGTCAATTGCGAATTATCACAGGCTGTATTTCCTACGAAAATAGTTCTGCCGGTAGGTCCAACGAACGAGTCAATTCCAAGGTTGAAAGAACCCGTAATATTGAGCACGGCCTGTTCTACGGATCACTTGAGGTACTTGTAAATTTGTTACTTACTTGTGTGGCTTATGTGACTGTTTCTTTACCATGTTTCTACTTCAAGTTGTATTTTACCTATTCTCATCTGGAGCTTACCGGGAGAAAGGCCAGAATGGCCGGTTGAGAGGAGATAGTACTATTCAGAGACCTATAATGAGACATATTACTACCATAGGTATGTGCTCATTGATCAAAATAGTAGCTATTTGAGAGCACAGTAATGCCCAAATAATATGGAAATAGACATCATCAAGAGAATGTTCCCCCAAATGGAAAAGGCAATAACCAAGTCCAAAATATCACGCACTTTATTGTCTTGTTACATTCCAGCTGAATGTAGCTCAACAGCTCATAGATTACAGCTGCCCAGTCACCCTTTGAAGCTTGTGTTGAGGGTGGGTGCCTACTAGGCATCCCAGGGCTCTTACCTCTTCTAGATAGCCTCACCTTAGCTCTCCCATCCCATCACCATCTTCCCCTATGTCTAGCTTCTCCTAGTAGTGAACCCCAACAAACTTAACTTCAATTTTGTTATAAGAATTCTATGAGAGAAAGAGCAACAAAAATGGCCAGACTCTAACGTGTTTCACCACCGAACCGGCCTTTGAGTGCGAAGTAGAGTGGAACAGCAAAGAGAGAAGTATCTTTGGCCTCAGATCGGAAACTCTTTTCTCAACACCAGCCTTGCTTTGAACACTGGCTATCGAAGTTCTAGTATTTTGTCATCACTGGCTAAAAAAGGACGGGGCTGCATAAGGATCGGCGTGTGACACCCATCGCCGCTGCACCACGGTATTTGTTATTAACACATGACTTGCATGATTCACAGAACCAGTTGGGACTGAAGGGTTTCTGAGGCTGAATATCGCTTTTTCTGTGAACATTTTGTCGAGTTCTAGTTTGTTGGGGCACTTTCAGCGCAACTGAGTGAATCGGATAACTACACAAGCGCAAGGTAAATAGCAAAAAATCTATTTCCGGTTCGCGTTGAAAATGCATTGATAAAAAAAAGTAGACAAAAACACAAAAACAGGATATAAAGGGGAATCACGGTTTGAAATAGGCGACACCGCGCGTTGAGACTCTCCGACACGAAAGCCATTAACACAATAAATGTTGAGCTAATTGTGGGAAAAGTCGAATAGGGAAAGCCGAGAGAGAGAAGGTGTGGGCGGAGATAAGAAGCGAAAATGATAAAACAGAAATAGCGAACAAGAGCACGCAAGGGTATGAGGTGGGGAACCGGACTGTCTAATTAAAACATAGCATTGCGATGGCCAGAAAGTGGTGTTGACGCAATGTGATATCTGCCCAGTGCTCCGAATGTCAAAGTGAAGAAATTTAACCAAGCGCGGGTAAACGGCGGGAGTAACTATGTCTCTCTCAAGGTAGCCAAATGCCTCATGATTTAATTAGTGATGCGCATGAACATATGCTTCTGAAGCCTTTAACATCAAGGCGTCGTGGCTGAGGGATATGTTTTCCGACCATGAAATCTTGACCAACATTACTACTAGTAGTATGGATGGTGCAGCATTCCTTGCAAACAAACGTCATTTCGAACTCTTCAAGTTGCAGCCCTATTACAATATCAACTGGGATCTTGGCTCTGAAATTATGGTCCCGGATTCTAACTTGGCCGGCGTGGCTGTTGCCTCCTTGTTCCTGGGCCTTTATGTCCTCGTTTTGTTTGCCCTTGTTTGCCCTTTCATTGCATGGAAGTATCTATCCCCGCTGGACTTTACGGCTGGAGTCTTTCGCCATGTTCCGTCTTGGTACCGCTTTCGGCCAGAAAAATTCCACGGTCCTTGTTACACGCGCAAATGGGTGCCGCATCTACAAACACCCCCAAAGAGGCAATCATTCCGGCGGAGCAGCGGGAATTCGCCACTCCACCGGAACAACGCAAATCAAGAAGTATATAACCCCCGCTGGTCGAGTTTAAACTGATGGATACGATCTTCAGACACAGTCTATTATTCAATCTATCTATCTACTCGATCAAATCAGGCATCTTTCATTCACCAACATGACATCCGCCACCAACACCAACACCAACACCATCACGGTGACTCTCACCCAACTGGCCAAGATGATCGACCACTCCCTCCTTCACCCAACAATGACAGATGCCGACATCGTCAACGGATTACGTATTTCAAAGGAATGCAACGTCGCCACCGCCTGCGTGAAGCCATACCTCATCCCCCTCGCCAAACGCGAGCTCGCCGGCTCCGACGTCAAGGTCTGCCCGGTAATCGGATTTCCCCACGGCAATAGCACGACGGAAATCAAAGTTATCGAAGCGAGCGCCGCAGCCGACGCGGGCGGCGTGGAGATTGACATGGTCGTGAACATCGGCAAGGTCCTCGGTGGAGACTGGGAATACGTGAAAGACGAGATTGCCGCGATCAACACGGCAGTTGTCAGCCGGGGCGCAATCTTGAAGGTAATCTTTGAGAACGACTATCTCCGGCCAGAGCATATCATCCGGTTGTGTGAAATCTGTACGGAAATCGGTGTCGCGTTTGTGAAGACCTCGAGTGGGTATGGATTCGTCAAGCAGCACGACGGGTCATATAACTACCTGGGTGCGACGGTGTCTGATCTCAAGCTTATGCGACAACACTCGGGACCCGAGGTGCAGATCAAAGCGGCTGGTGGAGTTCGGTCGCTTGATGATCTGTTACATGTGATGAGTCTGGGAGTCACAAGGATTGGCGCGACAGCCACAGTGGCCATCTTGGAAGATGCGAAGAAGAGAGGTATTGGGATGGAGCCCACAACGGTTGAGTTCAAGCCGATGTTTGAGAAGGCCGGGGGTTATTGAGAGATCAGAGCGGTAGGGGAAAAGGAGGAGAGTTTAAAACGGTTATCATTGCGAAAAAGAAAAAAGGAAAAAAGAGGGAGAGTCAGTGGCATACATTCATGATTTTAAGAATCTTCGAAATGACAGTGCGACAAGGAAGATGCCTATAAAATGCTAATTATTGTTGCGCAGATTAAATGCACCAGTGATATTACTGGACCACTAATCTTCCTCTCATATAAAAGATGGTCTTGTATGTCATAAGGCATTCTGAGAGCGTAGCTATAGCCCTGCGAAACAAGCCAATGAACTGTTGTGAATATCACCATGACTGGAGTTCCGTATCAATAAGGAACAGATAGCCAGTATGTTGAGAGCTGCCTTGTGTTTTTCTTAGGCCAACTCGCGTGAAAAGCCTTTCGTTCAATTCCATAAAAGTTATACTCCGTAGCTGCTAGCATATCGGTTAATACACTGTTATAGGAATAGTAGGATACAGTGACCACCATCATGACTCAGTTGGTTGGTCGAATGCTGACATTTGATCAAGCGGAATCACTTCGGAATTTGTGCAATATGTAGTTCGAGAGTAAGGAAACCCCAACCTCATATGAAAAATTATTCAGTAATAGTACTAGTGGTAGCTCATTTAACTCAAAGGGTCGTGTTAAATACTATGGCCCTCGCATTACTGGAAATCCGTTTATAAGGATAATTCGTCAGATGTGGCATAATCAGGCAGCTGAATATTGAGAAATTGAGGCAGTTAGGTTAGGTAGGCACCTCACTGATACTTCAGCCTTTTAGTTAGTTTAAGGCAGGTGGAACATTCACTTCATTCCCGGTATCAGTTAGAATGAGCATTCCTAATTTTCCTCTATCGTAGTCTCCCTGGACTTTCCTAAGCTACTAGTAGGAATTTATTATCCATAGTTCGATCATCTGTGAGAATTATCATGCATCGGTAGCCAGACAGATTCCTCGAAATGTTCGTTGCTGAGGTATATGAAAATGCCGACATTCCGAGTTTCTGGCCGGACATAGTATTCTGGTTACTAGTATCATACTTAATTTGAATTTTCAATATTCATTCCAAGTTGACAACCTTTGGAACTTGAAGGCCCTGGGTTTATTGTCCACAGGTGCCCAGGTGCCACTGTAGGCAGTATACTAGTCCCAACTCCCCACAACCCCACTGAATACTATGTATTCAATTTTGAATTATCAAGGTTGCTAGTTTTGAGCCAAAATAATTCTAAATAATGTCCAATATCCTCTTTAACTCTTTTCAGTCCCTGCCTATAAATGCGGGCTATACAAGGATCAGGGCTACACACCGCTCTCGCCGTTAGTTATCACCTTCATTCTTTGTTATCAACTCGACTTCCCCACTTCACTCCGCTCCACCCTGCAGAATCCAACAACAACACTTCCTGTCAGCTACAGCGCCAACAGCTGAATCTCAAGCTCAAAATGCCACCTCTTCCAAACGCGGTAACAGCAGCCGAGCTACAAATTCTCTCATCACGCGCTATCTCTGCCAAAGAAGCTGCCTACTGTACTCTCCTCCCCAACCCATCCCAGCTCCGCTTATCCCCGCGCGCGGGGGAGATCAAGCTCTCTTCCGCCTTATGGTGAACCGAACAGACCTGACCAGCTAACCCATTCTTACCTCACAGGCCCGTACTCCAAGTTCCGCGTCGGGGCATGTATCATCACTGACGCGGGCGAGTACATCGTCGGTGCGAACGTCGAGAATGCTGCGTATCCGGTTGGAACATGTGCGGAGCGAGTTGCTTTTGCCACTGCTATAGTATGTTCAATCATTCAGCCTTTCCTTCCTTGGAGGTCTTATACAGAGCATATACATTCCATGCACTGAATTTGCATTGAATCCAAGCTAATATACTTGTGATGTATCGCAGGTCGCCGGACACAAGGACTTCAAGGCCATTGCCGTTGCAACGGATATCAAGCCTGGTGCGTCACCTTGTGGAATGTGTCGACAGTAGTAAGTATCTCGTTCTATTGGAATATTTTCGATTCCAAGGATCGCTGATTGTGATGTTCCAGTATGCGCGAGTTCACGACCCCCCTCGTTCCCGATCTATATGTATGATGGCGAGGGAAACTACACCGTCAAGACTATGGGCGAGGTAAACCCACCTCCCTCCAACCCCCGGGATTTTACGATACTGACGTGTTTGCTAATTAGTTACTTCCTGATTCATTTGGACCGTCTCATCTGCCAAAGTAAACCAGACCTCGTCTTGTATGCGATTCCGTCGCGATATCATGTCAGGTGCGGTCGGTCCAAGACTAAGGACTTGGCAATTTTACCATGTCATCTCGGTCATTTTATAGTCGGGGATGTTATGAATACACATACTTCTCATCAGAGACTATCCCTTAAGATCACCGCATTTGCGGAGTGCGTGTCGTTGGTGTTAACTTGCTTCATAAAAAAGGTCGTCATAGGGCTACCTGGGGCTCACGGCAGCCCAAAACCAAGGCAAGATACGAGTGGCTCCCGAGGTAATAGTTCCAATTGCATCCTCGACGACTTGTCAGCCAGGCGAGCTATGGTGTATATCCACGTCGATAGCGGGCGGTGGGACAGGGACAGGAGCAGATATGTTCGAGTCGACAAGGGAAACTTGAACAGGAGCGGATGTTGCGGGATACTAGTAGGCGCTCCTGCTTGAACAATTAACTAACGACGCTAGTATCTTAGGTATTTACGACCCAGCCATGATCGTAGAAATTGAGGAATAACGGGGGGGGGTGGGAATAGCACGATCGATCAGCGAAGGAGATAGCTGAGGGTGTCGAAGAAGCAGAATAGGACAAAGTGAGTCGAGGTCGGCCCGAAAGCCTCATGCCTCCCGAGATCTACGGGATGCCGACTCCGTCAGTGCTACGGCAACTTGGGCTCAGAGCCCTGGAGCCACACTCCAGGGCTGTACCTAGGTACCCTATTCTATATCATCGATAATCCATCCAACTTGAAGTCAACATTCAGATTGAGAGAGGCACATTCTAGCCATAGCCAATAGATAACCATAAAAAGCAACTCGAACTCGAAATCACCGAGTCCGGCTCTATATCCGCCGATGTATTTGCGCGCATATGCGTACAGAAAAAAGGAAAAAGAGACCCAAGGCAAAGTAAAAAGAAGAAAAGAAAATAATAACACGCATCGCTCATAATAACACATCAATCCAATAGATTCCATAACATTGACATCGGCATCCATCACAACTTGAACTTGGAAATCTTCCCGAAACACACAGCAAGATGGAACAGAGATACCCGAAGCAAGACAAGGCAAACTACGCCTCCTCCTCCTCCTCCTCAAAATCCTCCGCCCCCAACAACTCATCCTCATCATCAACAACGCTATAGTCACCCCGTCTCGCCGCAAAAGAACCCCTAGTCGCATACGGACGCTGATATCCACCACGACCACCACCCATTTTAAACAATCCAGCCCCACTCCTCCAAAGACTACTCAACAGCAACGGCAAAGCCTGCGCAACAGCAACAACAGCCGCAATAACCGCGACAGGAATAGCAAGAGCGACTTCGCGCGCAGAGCCACCAGAAGCAAGACCCGACTCGCCGAGACGAATCTGGCCGAATTTGCTGTCCCAGCGTGTGTAGACGAAATATCCGAACGCAGCGGCCGCGGCTATGGGAATGACGATCGCGAAGAAGAGACCCACGCTGCTGATTCCGTGTTTGCGGTCGAATTCTTCTTCTTTGTTTGGGCAGGCGTGCATTGTTCCTTTGTCCATTGCGTCACGGTCGCCGCCTTGGCAGGTTGTTTGTGGGAGGCGGCGGTAGCCGGTTGGTTCGTAGTATTCTACTAGTTCGGGGTCGGAGGCACAGGCGAGGCTGTGGTCTGGTTTGGGTAGGCCGGGGACTAAGCCGCAGCTGCCGTCGGATTGGATTTCGTAGTTATAGTCACTGATTTTGTTAGCTTCAATGTGCATTTTGTATTGGGCTGGACTGGACGGGGCTTACCATTCAAAGTCTGCGCGGGTGCAGGTGCAGTTGTTCGCGATGATGTGCGAGTGTGGCTCGCGCCAGTTGACCCAGCACTCGGCATCAACCTTCTTAATATGGTACTGCTCGACATGGCCGAAGAGACAGTTATCATCTTGCAGTGGGTGTTTTGGGGTCCAGAGGTCGAAATCCTTGCTCGCTTCGTCCGAGTCAATATCCGCACATGTCCGGCTCCACAGACCGCTGAAATCGAGGTTGATGGTCGCCATTTTGGAAGAGGCGGAAGATGACCTGACATCTTTGCCCCAGAGAAGGAAGTTCTTCGATGTATCCGAAGGCACGGTGGAAATGTCGCCGATGGAGATCTCGGTATCAGAGAATTGGAACTCGATCCAGGTACTACCGCGGTCCAGACTGTAGTGGATGACCTTGGTTGGCTCGAGTTCGCGGACAAGAACAACGATAGAACCTGCATCGCCGAATTCCCACATATACCTGCCCTTCATAACGTTCTTCCAGGAAATTCCGCCGTCACTGCTGAGGAATGTGTCCGCTTGATCACTGCCGGAGAGGTATTCGCCAACGTTACCCACGCCGAGAAGCAGACCGATGGCAGAACCCGAGTAGAATGTATCCCGCCAGTCGCGACGCTCGGTGTATCCATGGATGTGCAGAGCACAGTCCTCCGTGCCATGACCTTCTTGAACGGAGCAGTCGAATTTCTTATCTTCGACATCCCGAGACGGAGGCGGGAGTAATGCCCACTGTCCACCGTCATTGTGAGTGGCGACAGTGCGCAACTTCTTCGATTCAGCCTTGCTCTTAACCTCGTCCCGGTTCACGACAACGTTGGCAATGGCAACACCTTCCAGATTGGCGATGCGCTCGTAATCAATGTATCCATAGTCGTTCTCACTCAGTCCCTCCAGACTGGACACGAAGTAGGTACCATTGCTATTACTCTTGACCAGCGAGCCAAATTTATGCCCGGACTCGCCGTTCGCCTCAACGTTCATGAAAAGCGCATGCTTAGATCCCGGAACAGCGGTGTACTGCTTAACATCGCTGTAGGCAAGATTATGCGGGAAATGCGCCTGCGCAAAGACCTTTCCATCCAGACTGGTGCTGACATTCAAAAACTCATGCTGTTCCGTCGGGTACGTTGCGACAACGAAGAAGCCATCCATCGTAACGAATCGGGCAATATTGTCAAAGATGACATCCCTCGGCGCGAGCCAGTCGCGGTTCGGATCACCGCCGTTGGTGACGAGTTGTCTGTCGTTCTTGACTAGCTCGTTTTGGTACTTTTCGCAGATGATGAGATGTTCTGTGCCTTCGACGTTGGGCTGGTATCCGAATACGCATTGACCGACCCCGCTAACCAATTGCTTCCAGTCATTGCCAGAGTTGGTGCTGATGTAGGCATCCATGGCGCAGGCGGTGCCATCGCTTCCGTCGCAGTCGTCGGATCCCATCCAAATCGCCCAGTCCATGTTCTTCTCGTGGAATGCCAGTGGACCGATATACTTGTCGACGTACTTGGTTGGTTTCTCGCCCGAGTGGAACTTCGCGCCGCGGTTGCTGGTATACCAGAGCTTCTTCTTGTCGGTGAGGAAATACGCGCCGTCGGTGTAGTGGTGATGCGGGATCATGTCGGTGATACTCTCTCCCTTCAGCTGGGAGGGTTGTTCCCACTTTTTGCCATGGTCGTGGGTAATCCAGAGTTGGCCATCGGCAGCAAGTTGGAAGATTGTCTCGTCGTCTCCGTTGCTGCTAGACTGACGTTCAAGGTAGAAATAAGTCGGTTTGGCCGAGGTGAACAGCGACGGCTTGCCGACACGGATCTTGCCATCTGCAACCGGAGACCCGGTGGAATTTCCACAGGGCTGTTCAATCTCTTTGTCGAGACTTTCGCCGCCTTCCCGGATACAAGTATCACCGGGGATCAATCGCCAGCCAGACGGACCGACAAATGTATCTTCCGGCTTTTTGCACGTATCGGCGGGAGTATGCAGAGAGACCGCGGGAAGACAGCGCTTGCCATCATCGCTACGCTTGAAGTTGTAGTCGCATTCGAAGTCCTCGGCCGAGCACTTGCAGTTCTCAGCTTTGGGAGAGTCAATGGTAAACTCATCCTTGATAAAGCATTCGGCGTCAGATTTGCGACGACGGAAAACCTGCTTGTGACCCATCAGACAGTCCGGCTCGCCCTTCTCATCCAAACGAGCGACCCAGTCCTCGAAATCATCCTTGTCGCACTTGCGCTCGTGGAGCTCGTCAAAGTCCAGCTGGTAGATGTGGAACTTGGGCTCTTTGGTCATGCCAACAAGCACGAACTTCAAGCTAGTCGAGTCAGGCGTGGTTGTGATGAAGAGTGGCTTGATGTCGTGCTTCAGCTTGAGCGTTTCCCACTCTTTGCCGTGGTTGATCGAGTACCGCACTTCGTCAGTGGCATCGCCGTCATCCTTCACAGCAACGATAACACCGCCGTGATCGCCAAACTCGAACCGGTGAGGTCCTTTCAGAGCCTGTCGCCAAGTAACGCCAGCATCATCGGAGACATAAAGATTGCCCTTGGAGTATTTCTCCAAGTAATCGCCAGTATTACCCACGCCCATGACCAGACCGGGTGCCGGGCTGGAGAACATGCGTCCGAGAGCCGCCAATTCATGCAATTCCTCATACGAGGTCAGCGAGTGAATATGCAACGGATCCCCATCAGCCTTGAGAGAACCAAACGTCCTCCCATCATCAAAGCTGATCTTGGTAGTAAGCTTCTTCTTCTCACTCGGATCCTCCTCAACCTTCTCCCAATTCTCAACCGTATTCACAATAACAATGCCCTGGATATCCGCCAACTTCTCAAAGTCAACATTGCCCTTCACATTGCGATTCGTATGCTCAATATTCGGAGTGAAATAAGTCCCATTGGAGTTCGACGTAAAGAACACACCAACCGGGTTCTCATTCAGCACCGTCTGCACATCAACCTGGATACTATAATTCGTACTCTCAAGAATCGTATACCCATCCTGCTCAAGTCGATGGCCCCCAAACTCCGCCCGATGCCACTCCCTCGAATCATCACTAATATAAAGCGTCTGCTCCATCGTCCCGCGAGACTGAAGCGCAACAACAATATACTTCTTGACAGCAACCATTCGAATCTCAACACCAGGCACCGGTCGACCCCAATCAAGATTAATCTCAACACCCCCATCCTTAAAGAAATCATTCGACGCAAGCAGCCTCCGACGGAAAAACGACTCCAGATGCCCATCCTTCTGCCCAGTAACAACGCACATCACCCGGTCCGCAAGATCCTTCGCAGACTCCAGATCCCGACCGAACTCAGGCGTGCCCGCCGCCCACGTACAATCAAACGTATCCTCATCCTCGGCCAACTTATGCACGGACTTGAAGTCATCAACCGTATAATACGCCGTAGGAAGACACCCATGAACAGAGCAATCGCGCCCCATAAAGATAACGCGCTTCGCATCCCACCCATGAAACCTGAGCGGAGAATACTTCCTCGCATCATTAGGCGTAGTATCGATTTCAAACTTGTTCCAGCTCTCACCGCGATCAGTAGTGATCCAGCCCTTTCCGCTCTCACCGAGCGCATAAGCGCGGCTCTGATCAAACGGGTGCGACTGTAACATGACGACGGCGCCTTCCATGGCCGCGCCGGGCCCTTTGATGATGTCCCATTCTTTCCCGCCGTCTGTGGAGATGTAGGCGTTTCTTGCGACGGCGTCTTCGAAGAGGATTGTGTTTGAGCCCGGGAAGTAGAAGAGGTTATTTGGTTGACGGTCGAATTCGGAGGAGTGGGCTTTTAGTTTGTCTTTTTTGGCGATGGAGGGCGTTAGGAGGGAGAGGAGCCCTACTATGAGGAGCAGCCACCGGGGGATCATGATTGGGGACGCGTCGGCATCGGAGGGTGGTGGAGGTTGGTGGGAGCCTGGGGATGGCGGAGATGGAGTGGAGATAGGGTGTTGGTAATGGAGGAGGTTTGGTTGTATGAACGAACGCAATCGATGGCGTAGAGAGTAGTGTAGAGAAAATGAAATGGGATGGATGGGATATGCCCAATGGAAGTGAGTACAAGTTGAGGGTGAAGGTGAAGTTGAAGGTGAAGCTGGTAAGGCCGAGGCCACGCAGCTCCGTATCACGTGATGGGGCCGGTCTAGGTTGAACCATGGAAATACTTGAAGATCAGCAGAGAAGTATACATTTAAGTAAATAAAGTCAATAAACAAGGAATGTTGAAAGTAAAACTCGTATCCAGGGTACTGACAGCTGTTACAATTGAAGATGATCAAGTTGAGGTGCTGATTTTAGTGCTGATATACTAAGTGGTGTTAAAGCTGAAGTATACCGGGTGATCGACATAATGAACTTCCCCTTCACCTGCCGGTTCTTCGATCTGTTCAATATCCTCCAAAGAAAAAGACGAAAAGGATACTATCTGCTGGCCATCACCTCTATACCCAGTGCCACCTTTGATAATTCTGGATTACCCACGTATTTTCCAGAGTTCTACTTTCCTCCGCTTCTCCCAGCCACTACGTAACTAACTGTGTAGCACCGGCCGATCAGCTCACAGAAGTAATATCTCTCAAATTGCACTGGATTCCACAGTTTATTCACTTCTCAGGGATTTACCTTATATCAGCTGTTCCTCTTATTCGCTCCAGTCGCCGATTTTATGTCTTTGACTTTGAATCGAATCGCAATTCTTGCCTGTCACGGTATCAAACACTCGCTGTTTGTTTTTACCAGTCAATACCATTCATATCCCGGGGTTCGTGCAGCCAGGGCAAGACAAATACAACCATAAATACTCAGGGTAGGCATAGAAAATTAGAAAGCTTCGAGTAACAACTCTCACAATTTTAAGATAGATACTCGCACTGGCACACTTACAGAGAGGGCAGGTATCACGAGTTATAATAACTACTAGTCCTACTACTACCACTACTACCACAAGTACTGGTCGACATATTCCTATAGTAACTTGAATAAAGCACTCAGCTTCATGGATTATCAAAGACACTAAAAACGAGCAGCTCAGCAGCAGATATATACAACGCTGCCTATATACAAAGCCACTGGCATCAAAGCAAAAGGGGGAATAAGAATAAAAAGCACTCGCAATGCAAGGCTAAAGAAAGGATAAAAGTGAAAAGTAAAAGCGAAAGTATGCCACTGCTACCACAGTAGCAAGGCTAAGTGTATATAGCAAGGAGGTGATATCATCCTCTCCGCCGTAATTTCCTCCACATCTTCCTAACAACACCCTGCTCCTCATCCAGATCATCCCAAATCTGCTGCGTACGATCCGCGGGCGGGAGTTCTGCCAGGCGCAGGGGGTCATCCGGTGTCGCGGACGGGGTCGGAGATTCTTCACGCAGGTCCGGGCGGGTGAGGGTCATTTTCAGAGTCATCTCGCGATTACCCGGGAGGCGGTGCGGGGTCTTAGATGATTTGGGGAGAATGGATTGGCGGCGTTGGAGGAGGGATGGGGTGGGTGCTTGCGCGTGTGCGTGTGCGTGTGCGTGCGCATCGACGGAAGGACGGGGTGTATCTCGCATTGAGAGGCGGGGGAAATTTTGTTGGGGTGAGCTTGTTGCGGCTGGTGCTGAGGCTGATGTAGACCCCGCTGATGTAGATGTAGGTGCGTAGCCGTGGCCAGATCCCGGGGCTGAGGCGGAGATAAGTGGGGGTTCTTCGATTGAGTCTCCCGGGCTACCGACGACGTTGCCGTCGTCGTCTTCGAAGAATGTTCCTGCGCAGGTGCGGGATGGTCGGGGGGATATTGGTTCTGGGGAGATATTCTCCTTGTTTTGCTGGTGGATTTGGTCTAAAGAGGGGAATCCGAATTCGATTGCCTCGTCGAATTTCTGCGGTGAGGCGAGGTAGACGCGGAGTTTGAGCCGGGCATCTGGGTCGTGGTAGTACTGGGCTGATGGGTCGATGCTGGAAGTGGACGACTTGGCGGCGTGGCTGCTTTGTAGACGCCTAGATGGAGGCCGGGATGTTGAGCGGCGATTGGAGCGCGGGGTGATTGGGGAGATGGGGGAGAGTGGTGGGAGTGGTGATAAAGGTTGGATGGTATGGCTAGTTGGGAAAGATCGGGTTGGCATGGACGGGGAGGGTCGATGTTTCAATGTGTTGTGTGTGGAGAAGGAGAGCGAGCGTCGAAAGGAGGGAAGCCGAGGCAGTCTGCCTTTGCCTGTTGCGGCATTGGCGACATGCGAGTGGTACTCGTCCAGCGAGAGATCGAGATCACCATCTTCATCCAACCAGCGGAAGCTGTCATAGATGGATTGGTCCATGGTGGAACAAGAATCCCACTCGGAGTCGTCCGAGTCAGAATCGTAGAAGACCGTAGAAGGCTGAGCCACGGGCAGCGTGGATTCTGAGGGGAGGCTGTCACCAGAAGACGAGCGGCGACGAGGTTGAAAGTGAGAATGAGAGTTGGAGTGGGAGGAACGATTGCCTCGATAAAAAGCCTCGTCAGCGGCGTCACAAATAAGGCTTTGCCGATATGCGCGACACAGGCGACGGCGTTCCTCGGGGGAGAAAAGCTTTTGTTGGAGTTTAGCGGGGAGAGAATGAAAGCATTGCGAGTCCACTTGAGTGACGAGGGCAGCCAATTGCAAGGAGCCGGGCTTGCGTAGTTTCTGAGGGGAACGAGAATGCGAACGATGATGGGGATGATAATGATGACGGCGGAATCTCGAGCCTGAGGACCTCTTCGAAGAAGGGGAAAGACGAGTCGAGGTCACAGTCGAGGGGCTCCGCCTTGGACGGATGGGCCGAGCCCGGGGGGGAACTGGTGGCATTGACAGGATGGTTTGGCGTGGAGCAGGGATCGCTCTGAGCTAACCGAAAGCGCATACGCTCGACATTCGAGAAGAACTGGTCGAGTCAGCGATGAACACTTGTGGAGAGGAAGTGGGGGCGATAGGGGACGATCCAATGTGATAGGAGCAAGCGAGAGTGGACAGCGGAGCACACTATCGAGTACCCCTGAGCCAGCTCAATAATGGTTCACACTATTGACCTGGCCAGTGGACTGTGCACTGAGCCCACACACTGAGCCCAGACGAGTAAAGTCGTTCACACATGGTGATGGAATGGAATGCCAGGGAAATGGAATGGAATGGAATGAGTGGGGGATGAGATGTGGATGTGAGTGAGATGTGTGAGGTGAGGAGGTGAAGTTGGGTGATGAGGAAGGAAGTCAGGGGACCAAGGGAAGCCCTACTTTGCGACGAACAGCCGGTGGAAGAGACTCAAAGTCTTGAGCATTCATGCCGAACTGAATACTCCGTACGGAGCAAAGAACTGAGTGGTCTTATTTAGTCTGCGACTAATTGATCATAGATTCAGAACAGGTGTGTAGTAGGTGTAGGTAGTGTAGGCAGTAGGTTCTCCGTATGTAGACTCTTTGCTCTGCTTTACTCCGTTGATGCAAGAAGCGAGGAGCTGCTCTAAATAAGAATGCAATGCAAGCGCCTCCTGTCAGGCTTCACCTAACCCGACGTTAGGCTCAGGACTCAAATCCTGAAGACAAAGAAAGGCAAAAGTCACGCACAGACGACAAGTACCTGTCAGAGTATGTAGCCGAGTGGAGCCAGCGCGACGATGGATGTGATGAGATGTGATCAATCGTGAACGGCTCATCGGACAGCAAACGGCCAACAAACAGGTGTTCTTTCAGTCTTCCCTGGCTGTCTGGTTTGTACAATCATTGCCGAGTATTCTACTGCGGTAGAATATTCCGATCAACCTGTTTCACTAGTTGCTATGCTTTGCTTTTCCAACCCTGATATCAAGGTTACACAATTCAACTGGGCCGACAACTCACCAGAACCCTGACCAGGGACAACTAGGACAGCCTTGCGCGGTGCAAGTCTGGATCACCGCAAGGGGTGGAGTCAATCCCAGAACTCCGTTCCGTATGCTCATCGTACGTAATTCAGATGAATCGAATGGTGGGATCTCAGATCGATCGCGTGGATGTGATATAACATGATCTTACGAACTGTTGGACAAGAGTACATAGTATGGAGTACTAGTACCTATACATCCCTTGGTATCCAGCCAAGTCACCCACACTAACAGTGTCCACCTGGGCCAACCCCCATCCATCCCAGTCTAGTCCTTCAGGCTGCCCAGGTGTACTCATCCCCGTCTAACTTGAACCCGGCGCTAACTGACACAGATCAAACAAAGCAAAGAAACGTGGCAACACGAGCTGAACATAACAATTGAACTAACGTCCACTAGTAGATTATGCCAACTACATAGAACGGTTCGTATCCAGGGGAATTCAGTTCGTGTCGTGTCAATCAAAAAAGCAAGGACAGTACAAAAGTACATCTACATGCATTCCAGTACTTGTATCCACCTCCGTACAGACCCTAAACCCCTCCATGCGTGTGTATGTGATCTATCAACCTTCCACACACATTTTTCAAGGTTAGGTGTGTCTCACAGCATCCGCCTCTACGTCAATATGCCCGTCACGGGCAATCTAATTAACTCCGAGACTTTCTCCCTCCATCCTCCTAATCGAACACGTCGAAAGAATTCCCCTCGAAAAACTTAGAACCACATAGAACTAGAACTAGAACCTGCAACCTCCCGCTTGGAAAAAGAAACGAAAATCTCCTATTCCACAACACGAGCGGAGATGCGAGTCATTTACAAAGTAATTTCCCTGGATATTAGTCTGTAGACAGCCGTTGCGCCATCCCATTCCATTCCATCCAATCCAATCTCGAAGTACTCCGTAACTCCCGTTCTTATCGGCCCCACACAAACAAAGACGGAAACAAAGAAATGAGGCGCTAGTTTGACGCTAAATTATTGAACTCTGCTCTTACAGTACTCGGTACACTCCATGGCTCGGCCGGCAGAGCCAGAGCCAGAACTCGACTTGACTCGACTCTCAGCCCCACATCTGACGTGTCTGGTTGACCTCCTGGTGCGCGCCTTAGCCTGTATGGGCATACATACATACATACATGCATACTCCGTACGCCGTACATACATACACACAGTAGGTACTCGCGCCACGCCACGCCAGTTTTAGAGTTTTAGTTCAAGTTACTAGTACCAATGGCAATTACCTTGGACTCGTACAATCCATACATTGCTCTATAATCTACTCCATACCCCTTACCAAACAAAACACCTACAACGCATTAAGAACCTGCTGCAAAGCCAACGACCCCGAATCCTCCCTCCTAGAAACATAAGCCCGAACCTCCATAACACTAAGTTTAACCTCCTGCCTCTGTCCAGCCGACGACGACCCCGACCCCGACCCCGAAACCGACCCCGAAGCCGAAGCCGAAGCCCCAGAACCAGATTGCGCACCCCCAGCAGCCGTCGCACCACCACCACGAATACGCTCGCGCAACGCCTCAACGCCAATAACGAATAAGCTGCCCACTTCCAGCAACACGTCCAGCGCGCCGCCGGGCCCTTTCGTTTCGGGGTCTATGTCCCATGATCGGAGGAGGTCGGTGTATTGCGTCATGTCTTTTGTGACCATTAGGCCGCCGGGCCCGGAGACGGAGAATTTCTTGAAATGATCTAGCAAAAGGTTGCGCGTGCGCATGGCGATTTCTGTGAGAACTTGGCGGGTGTTGGCGCCGCTGGTTGGGAGGGTTGTTTTGACGATTGTGTGGAGGCGGGTTAGGAATGTGCAGATTGAGGCGCAGGTCTGGATGTTTGTTAGTGGGGAGCAAACAGAAGTAGCAGTAGCAGTAGTTAAGCCAGCCAAGCCAATTAATTGTGGAATTAGGCTGGCTGGCTGCTGATAGGATCACTCACCGGCGTTTGTAGCATCTCCAACCATGACGGATTATCAGTGTCTCGCGGGCGGAAGTCGTTCTTCTTTTGTGTCGAGAGTAGACGGGTCACCCACGCCAGGGTACCTTCAATCATCTTCTGCTGGATGGTATTTATTTTTTCCTCGATACGAGAGGTCGTTTGACTCGTGCGCTTCTCCATATCCCTTCGTGTGGTAATGCTGCCCGCAGCCAAAGGAAGCAGGACTGCATTCACACACATCACCATTAGCGTAGTGATGCTGATAGTCGTTCGGACAGACGGAAGATACGCAAAGTCAGGCTCGTTCTTGCCGGACTCTTGCGATGTGGCTGTCTCCAGGGCTGCATCGAGGCAAACATCGATGTATCCATCGCCCATGGTGATTAACAGCACGTTCAGCATCGCCGAGACATCTTTGTGGGTATCTGTGTTGACGCTCAGCTCGAGGCCACGGCCGACAGCCTCAGCCAGCCACTTCAGCATCCGTTTGACGTCGCTGAGACTCGGCTGTCCGTCTTCCTCGGTGAGTTTGATCTCGGTTAATCGGATTGTCTCGGGGACTTCGCCCAGCTTTGCGACGTGTAGGAGCATTCGTCGCTGGATCGGGGAGACCTCGGGCGAATCGAGGCGACTGATGAACGCATCGCGTGCGGTGGAGAGAAGCTCGGTGCCGGGTCGAGAGAGCGAAGCCATGAATGTAGTAGCGGCCTTCTTGCGACGGGCTTGGTATGTGGTAAATTTAAACAAGACCGCATTGAACAGTTCCTCCAACGTCCGGCGTTCGCGTTCAATATAGGAAGACCCAACGAAGTAGGGAACGAAGAGCTCTTCCAGCTGCTGATCCAAGAGAAGCGCACTTTGAGAAGAAATAGCCTCAGGATGCTCCGTCAACCCATGCGCTTTAAGATCATCAATCAAAGCACTGATATACCCGCGCGAACTCTGCAAACACCGTAGAAACGCCAACGAAGAAACCCCACTAGCTTTCTCCAGCACCATCTCCAACCGCTGCTGAATCGACTGCTGGAACACGCGCTGGAGAAACTTACCCAGCACCTGCTCGTAGTAAGGAAACGCCCGACGAATAATCGCCGACTCCTCCTGAACAACAACCTTAACCTCATCAAGAAGAGACTGTAAACTCGGCTCAACGCCCGGCAACTCCGCATCAGGATCAGCCATGCGCTCCCAAGAATCCGCATCACCACCAACCTCCTCCAGCTCATTCCGACTGCGATCAATAAAGAACTGATGCTGATTAACAAACAGCGCAATAACACTCGCCCCACCATTAAAATCCTGCAAAACAGTCGCACAATCCTTCATCCCATCGAAATTCGCCTTCCGATAGAAATCATCAAACTGCTTCAACAAGTCCTTCTCCAACGTCTCGGAGAATTTCTCAATAACCTCCCGCGTATTGCGACGCGGCGGACCTCCCTCCCGAACATCTTCCGAAGAAGCATTCGAGCTTGCCGCATTACTCCCTTCGCTTCCTTTATGTCCGAGCCCATATCCAAGCCCATTCCCATTCGCAGTAATAGCACCGGAATTCTCCCTCCAACTCTGCGGATCCAACCGCTGGCTAATTCTCAGCAATTGCCTCGCAATATGCGCACTTCGAACCTTCGCCTCCGCCGTCCCGGACCGTCGGAGATTCTCCAGCAGCGATATTTCCCCGCGATTACTCACGCCCTCCCAACACTCAAGTAAGAAATGAGCATCCAGCGCCCGACGACGCTGCCGATCAAGTTCCTCGAGCTTTTTGCCCGTTTCAACGGCCATATTGCCTGTCCCGCCCCCTGTATTGCCATTGCCATTCCCGCCCGCCGCGTCTAACCCACTGCTTCCATTCAGCGAAGTGTCGAGTTGTTGGAAGGACTCGATTGTCTGGCGGAGTTTGCGGCCTAGGGTCGTTAAGTTCTGCGAGTGTTGGGCTTCTGCGCGGCGGACCGCGGCGGAGAGTTCGTTTTCGCGGATTTCGAGATCGCCAGAGAGATCGCCTAGGCGGCGTTGGGCGTGTTCGAAGGTGCGGATGAGGGGTTTGGGGTCGAAGGGTTGGTTTGGGGTTGTGGTGGATGTAGTGGTGGGGGGTGGGACTGTTGAGCGGCGGTTGGAGATTGCGGTGTCGGAGAGGGCTTCGATGAATTCTTTTACAATGAAGTCGCGGCTGGAGAAGTCGTCGAGGGTGAAGCTGGGGCCCTTTGGGAAGACGGAGCGGGGGGTGGATGTTGTTGATGCATTGTCGAGTGTCATGGTGGCCGGGTGGCCCCGGAATGGGAGAGGAGATGTATGCGCAATGAGGAGGAGGTAATTAGTATGGCCCTGGGAGGGGTAATTGAGGTGCGCAGGTGGTGAGTGAAGGTAAAGGTGGAGGTGGAGGTGGAGTGAGGGAGTTGGAGAGAGGAAGTTGAAGGCGGAAGGAATCCGGGGAAGCTGCAGTCACGGTACTTCAACATTACAGTATAGTATAGTTAGTATATAGTATAGTGTATGTGTATAGTTTATAGTGTATAGAATACTTTGTTTCATTTGATTTATTCTATTATTCATAATTTTATTATTTATTTATACTCGAGGACACTTCTAGTCTCAAGTTGAGTGCCCTGGTTACTACCGTGACTTAGGTAACTTGAACTTGAAGATATAACTACCACCACCATAAAGTACTATAGCTCTAGCTACCTAGTAGTACTAGGTAGGCATCTTATTCTACAACTCACATCTATGGATATTCATGAATTAAAACAGCCATGACTCGAACAGAGCGTCTTGTAGATTTACTAGACTCTCAAGCAAGATTTATACCCTTTGAGCACAAAGGTGCTTATATAAGCGTGTGGTTAATCCGAGTCGTATCAGATATTAAGTATAATGCATATCTAGATAATACAGGATGTAGTATATATGATTCAATCACGAGCTTCAAGTTTAATAACTCACTGGTACTATTCCGGAATTCCAAGTTTATAGCTAGTAGTATACTATTCATGGATACATAGATACTCAGCCATTCTGTACTGCCACTTGGCCTCAAGGCAGCATCATTATAGCATATGCTATTGCTATATTTAAAAAAAAAAAATTATTCAGAGTATCATCCGAGTTATCCTCTATTTCTTTTATTCTATTTATTCCTATAAAAGTACTGGAAAGTAGTCTATTCTGATACTATCAAGTTGCCAGGTACTATACACTTCCACTTCTATCACCACTCCGCTTCCTTCCAACTCCACCTCTCCTCCTCACCACCTCGGGCACCACCAAAATGCCCTCAAGATCCTCGCGCGAGACAATCCGCGCCCAAATAAGAAACAAAGGCGATGCTCTCACCCCAGCCGACCGCGAAGCCCTCTTAAAACCCTACCTCCCCGATCCCGCAGACCTCACAACCTCCCGATCAGCCCGCTCATCCCGCCTCCGAAGCAAAAGCAAACCACGCAAAACCCCCATCCGCACCTTCATCAAGTCCCAAATCCACCGTCTCGCCTACGCCCTCACACACATCATCTTCGGCATCGTCGTCCGTCTCATTCAAGCCTACCACGCCGTCGTCGACCGCATCCTCGCAATCGTCTACCACCACCACCGCACCCCAGAACTGATCCGCAAGGATGTGCGCTCTCTCAAACGACTCCCGCAACACCTAAGCGTAATCCTCACCCTGCGCAAAGAAGATGACGCCCTCGCCGTCCTGATGGACGAAGTCGCCGAACTCACAGCATGGTGTACGTGCGCGGGAATCGCACAGCTAAGCGTCTACGAGAAGAGTGGTACGTCCAAATTAACCCAATGCCGAGTCCGGGGGGCACCGTGTAACTAACTTCTGTCTATCTACATAGGCGTCCTGAAATCTTGCATCCCAGCCCTGCACCAAATAATCTCCACAAAACTCGCCTCTTACCACGGAACCTCACAACAGCCCTCCCTCCAACTCTACGCCCCGCACCACGCCGTCCACGGCCCCAGCACTCCCTCCGCTGCCAACGACATCACCTGCCTCCTCCTCTCCTCAACAGACGGCCGCGAAACAATCGTCGACCTAACCAAAACGCTCGCAGAGATGTCTCAGAACGGTAAACTCTCACCCGAAGACATAACCCCCCGAACTCGTCGACGCGGAAATAACCGAAATAACCGCACACCCGGTGCGAGGAAACGGGTCCCGCGCGAGCGGCAGCCTTCTCAAGGCTGAACCGGACCTGTTGCTTGTTTTTGGACCCTTCCTTAAGCTTGATGGGTTTCCGCCTTGGCAGTTGCGGTTGACGGAGATGTATTGTACTGGTGATCGGAGTTATGGCGCGACGGGGGATGGGGAGGCGGTTGAGTATCAGGGTTTTATGAGGGGGGTTGTGGCATTATGCTGGGGCTCAGATGAGGTTTGGGAGGTAGGGATGTGAATGGTGGATGAGATGAGATGAGATAGATATTGAAGATGAAGACTGTTGGTGGTTGTGTTGGGCTTTATTATACCCTGTGGTCTGGTGGCCGCGTTTAATTCTACTATGTTTAAGTTACATATATTAGTGTTATATTATCCTGTTTGATTCTTGAGTGCCCAGGTGTATTTTACAGTTTATTAGCTATTTAACTTGGAATTTACGGACTCGGAGTGTACGTGTTGTGGTGGTGAAGCAGTATCCAGTGCTATAGAGAGAAGAGAGAGAGAAGGTGAAGGGAAGCATCAATGAATACTTAAGGATATTTCCAAGTTGTTTACAGGTAATAATGAATACCAGCAAGCCCAGAAGAAAACCTTGGAATACTAGCATAGTGTAAGTGTGAAAGTATAAAATGAAATATAATATTATGCTTGGGCACATAAAGACAGGTATCATGCCAAAACAAGAAATGCAAATGCAGATGCAAATGCCAATGCCAATGCAATGCAATGCAACACACGAGAAAAAAACAAACCAAAATATAAAGAAAATACCAGCGCTATGCCGCGCAAACTCCGAGTCCTAATCAAACCATCAAAACCAGAGTCATGTCCATTCCATCCAGTAGTCCCGTCTCAACCATAAAACCCCGAATTGAATCCATCCCATATATCCATATCCACGATAATCATTATTCCTGCACCGTGCAGTGCAGTGCAGTGCAGTGCATAACCCACTGCAGTCAAATCTCATTCACATAGTCTTCATAACCTTGAATCGAATTCAACTTCCAAGGTTCATCCACCCATCCTAGCATCCCCATCCAAAGCCCACTCCTCCCAAGCAGGCGCAGACCTCACACAATCCAAACACCTAACAATCTCCACGCCCTCCGAAATCCCCTCAACAGCACAAGAAGAGCAGATCTTCCTTCTCGCACAGCCGATCTCATCGTACGGATCTCCCGCCGCGGCAGGTGCGGCACGGGCACCCGGGCATGCGGACCCGTCGCAGAGGCGCAGACAGATGTAACATGCTCGTTTGGCGCAGAGATCACAGTCTGCGTAGGCGTCGAGGACTTGGCGGGTTGTGGGCCGGCGGTGGCAGATATGACAGGGGCGGAGGGCGGAGGGGTGTGTTGTTGATGTTGTTGATGTGGGTGCGGAGGTTGGGGCTGGATATGGGAGGGGGACGAGGGTTTTTGGCGATACGGGTGGTGAATAGGGGTCTTGGGGAGTGGCGTATATATTCGGGGAGAGGAGGGATTGTTGTGGGGGGGGCGAGGAGATATGATGAGTTTGAATGTTGGCTGTGTGGTTGGAGTTGTTGGAGATGGCGGCGTTTGCGGGGAATGCATCTTGGTCTGTAGTCGAAGTCTTTTTCGGTTGATTCGTGGTTATGACTGTGGTTTTGGTTGTGGTTGTGTCGGTGGACGATGTATGGGTCGCAATTTGCGTGGTCTACCATGTACGGGACAAAGGAGGTTCTGTTCATGTTGATTGTATTAGCTTCAAGTTTGATTTGGGCTGGGGTAAACAGGAGGAGATCTTACGGGCGGGCTAAGGGGTCTTCATTTTCACGCTTGCGTTTCCTCCAGGCGAGGGCTTCGTCTGTGAACCCAGGCATATGTTTCCGGTGTATGTTCACAAAGAGGGTATAAGAGGTTCAAGTTGAGTGAAGTGAAGTTGGGAGAATGTCAAATGTGAAATGTGAAAGGGAGGTGAGGTTGTCCAGCAGAAATTCCAACATGCCTTCACCGCCTGCGGGCGGTGTATAGCGACGAGCATAGCGAAGTATACAATGAAGTATATTGGTTATAACTATTAGTTATGACTAGTATGCACGGTCTAACTAATTAGTTGTGAATGGTGTGGGTAGAATGATTCTAGCAGCCTCGACTCGAAGAAGGCGACGTTTGACCTGGATTATAATCAGATCCGCCCTACTATCTCAAGGTATGAGCTCACTCCAAGATCAAAGGCTCTGTCAGCATAAGCGGTCTAGATCAAACCAGTAACCTTATAGATTGTAGATACATAGCCATAACGATATCATGAAACAGGTCCAATGTTGGTTTGAGGCTACTGTTGGTATCGTCATTACCGATGCCGAGTGGAAGTTTCTCTGCTGCTTCATAGGCAGGTAGCTCCTCTCGATGAACCACTGACAAGTCTCCACTGCGTAGACCACAGGCAGCGTCGTTCTCAACCTCGACAGCCAAGTCCCTCTAGACGCTTATTCATTTGTCCGAAATTGGTGTGAAAGCCAAGGCACCTCCTTCCTTGGAAGGCGGCATACCCTCCAGGTCACCAATCAGATTAAGTATTTGAATCTTTGATTGGTTCCGAGGTTTGAGGACGCTTGAGGTGAAGATAGCGACTGTAGAATAGAGGGGAGTGAAGAGAGCAAATAGAGTCATTTATGATTTATATAGTTCATTTAACAAATTATGATGAGGATAGGGGAGAAGAAGATGTATGGAAAAATGATGATATGTGTAGATGGACGAGGAAGAAGAAGAAGCTATTTAGGCAAGATCAAAGGTATTCAGAATAGTCTGAGGCATACCAGCCTCAATAGGTAATATCATATCACTCAGTTGAGGTGAGCCATCATCTCCAGGGCTTGAAGTTGTTGATATCGCGGCCACGAGCCTCCGGGGCGGGCGTGAGGGGGAATCATCGGCGGTTATGGAAAGTTCTAAATAAATGTCAGTAGAAGAAGGATAAAAAATCCAGCTATACAAAGATTAATCAGCTTGTTATTTGCCGGTCTGATCATTCTCCTGGTTGGTATGGATCTAGTAAGCAGCCTGAGTACATGCTTGTTTGCTTTCGGCACCAAAGAGCTTTGAACTAATTATCTTGATATCTATTTCGCCTAAGCCCACTTGTCTTCTTTTTAATTTCTTCTTCTTCAGTTACCGCTTTTGCCTATTATGATGAACCGATTCAGTAAACGAGTGGCTAAGGCAGTAAGCTCCGAATCCAAGCATGTACTTCGTATTCTATCTCGAGGGCTGTATACTTGGCAGCACTAAGTTAGCGCCATTGGTCGCTGGTCATATATAGATCACTGCATCCCCTCCACCCAATTATTAGTCCTCTGACTGGTATTTTCTTTTCCCCCTCTCTTCTTCCTTCGCCTCGCGGACGGGTCATTTTTCCCACCAACTTTTATCGCCGAATGCTACCACCGTCGGCGCTTCTTACATGAGGGGTCATCAGCTCCTTCGAGTTCAACCCCTCTCCGTGTACGATCTGCGTTCACCACGGCCTCGTTCAAAGTTCTCGCTCAGCCCCCACCTTGGTCTGCCAACTTGAATTGCCGAAACTTTGCATATCTAGGTGATACCCTACACCCTTGTCGCATCTATTTCTGCTTTATTTTCGAGGCCCGGAATGCCTCCCTCACAGCCCGCAGAGGGTGACCCACAGCCCTTCGTGGAAGCATGCCCTCCAATCATTCGAAATGGATTTACCATACTATACGGCGATAGCAATAGTAAAATCGAGTGAGATCCTGTCTTACTGATCACAGATGAGCATAGCTAATATTGATTTAATTGTTTAGTCTCGTTTTCCTTCACGGGCTAAATGGCCATCCGAAATCCACATGGACACACAATACAACTGATTTCTTTTGGCCATGGGAACTGCGCAGGCACATCCCCGACGCCCGTGTCTTGTGCTATGGATACGATTCCGATGTTTCGCCGCAACTTGGCACAAATCTGATACGTATCAAGAGTTTAGCGGCGTCGTTTTTAAGCAACTTGGTTAATAAGAGGCAAGAGGACTATGTACGTTGTCACCATTGCCTCGTGATCAAAGGCGCTACTACGTGGGACTGACAAGAGTTTCGCAATAATATAGGAACTTGATCGTCCTTTGGTCTTCATCGGCCACAGCCTTGGCGGACTTATCATCAAAAAGGTTAATATTCACATCGTCAAACCTGGGTTGATCCCGTCGAGTTGCCTTGCTGATCAGGCAAAATATAGGCCCTCATCCAAGCTTCCCAGACTGTCATCACGGAACTTGATGATGCGCACCGCATTTACCAGGCGACCAAGGGCCTTATCTTTTTTGGAACACCACATGCAGGCAGTGCTGCCGGAAAGAAACTTCGAGTTCAAACCCTTAAGCTGATTGCCAAAGTGGCCTTCACGAAGGTTCCCCCCCAAACTCGATTCGGCGTTGGAATCCCACTCGGACGAGTTATTGGACCTAGCGGATGACTTTCGCACCATAAGCTTGTATACAAAAAGAGAGATTTCGATATACTCTTATGCCGAGAGTCGAACTACCCCAAAACTCGGTGCAGTGGTAAGACTTTTTTTTCTCTCTCTATTTCCTTGACGTCTCTAAGTAGATCTAAAAGCTGATTTTAATACGCATATAGGTAGTAGATGAATTCTCTGCCTTTGTAGGCTATGACAAGGAGGTCCGATCACACATCCAAGCGGACCATGAGGGAATCGTGAAGTTCGATGGCGAAACGGATGCCGATTATACAAATGTGTGGGGGAAGATCAACAGACTTAAGAGATTAGCTATCAGTGTCCCTGCTGGTGTGTGATACTTTTTTTTTTACTACTTTTCGCTTCAATAAGTACACACGTCTGTCATTTTATCCGATATACTTGTGTTGCGCTATCAAATGAATCATTCGGTATTTTCTTGGGTTCCATGAACAATTTAGTAACTTTCAAGTCTAGAAAACAATCATCAATCCGAGAATTCGATGGAAGAGATCACCATCCTCAGATGTCTCAATCAATCCGCATCTCATTATGAAGACTTGAAACACAGTCACTCAAGCCGTCGGGTTGGGGGAACTTGCTTGTGGTTCCTGAGTGACGAAACTTATAAAACATGGCTGAACCAAAATACAAAAAATGTGTTGTTATTTTGCGATGGACCTGGTAGCGGAAAGTCGGTTTTGTCAGCCTTTTTGATTGATGAGCTAAAGAGGCGCTCTCAGACCAATGCAAATTGGACGATTTGCTATTTCTTCTTCCAGGAGAATAACTACAGTTTGAGGACAGTGACATCGGCTCTTTGCGCACTACTCCTCCAGCTTTTTGATGACGAGTCTAGTCTCCTTGTTCATGCCGTGAAGGAGTATAGAATCAAAGGCCAGAAGTTTGCGGAAGATTTTCATGCCTTGAGCAGAATATTTGGACAGGTGGTTCAACACCATCCTCGTGAAAAGGTCATTTGTATCATCGACGGCCTGGACGAGTGTGAGGAGACGGGCAGAGACTTGTTGATTGATCGTTGGGTGGGGGGGCGGCGGGTCAGGATCCTCCCAAGCCACAGACACGGCGTGTCAGAACAAGTTGAAATTCTTTGTTACCAGTCGTTACGGCTGGATTGAAAGACGATTTACGCATTCTTCAATTCTCAGACCAGATGCTGCCGCGGTCAACAAAGCAGTCAACAAGGAAATAGCCATCGTGGTCGAATCCGAAGTTAGCGAGCTGGGTTTGCGAATGAAACTCAGCGCTGAGCTTCAAACCACACTCAAGGCGCGCCTTGTAGCCAACGCTGGTCACACATTTCTTTGGGTATCTCTCACCCTGGACCAATTCCGAAGAAGAAAAGACTTTACGGGCTCAGAAAAGCAATGCTGGGCCATTCTCAATGACCTCCCCGCAGACTTGAACGCGGCTTACGAGAGGATATTGAAGCGAAGTACAGATCGCAGATTGGCGCAGAAGATCCTACACATCATTATCGCCGCGGCTAGACCTCTCACACTTGTTGAGATAGGCATTGCCCTGGCAATTGAGGTACAATCCAAATCAACCAAGGACCTGCAGTCTAGCCGCTTTCCTTTTATCGAAAGCTCCATCCAGGACATATGCGGCGGACTTGTCAAGATTATAGGGACTCGACCAAACCAGAAGATTGATCTCGTTCATCACACGGCGAAGGAATTCTTAGTTACTCGGCCTTCCCAGCCTATGCCTCGCGACCAGGGATTCTTGGCCCTCTCTATCTGGGCAATATATTGTGTTTATTTCCCAGTCATAGACTTCCTTGCCAAATTTCTGGGTTTATGGAAGCACTCACTAGACCCAGTGGAATCGGATCGTGTTCTAGCAGAAATATGCGTCACGTATCTTTTTTTTGAAGAATTCAGCAACTGCCCTTTAGTGATGAACCATGAGGCCAAGGCGATCGACATTCGTGGAACTGTTGATCGTTACGCGCGGGAATATGACTTCCTTGACTACGCCGCAACACACTGGGCTACACACTTCCGCAAATCTCAATACCGTGCTCAAGCGACCCTGATGCAAGCAGCGCTTGAGCTTTGCGACACCAAGTCTAAGAAATTCCAGACATGGTTCGGGGTTTACTGGGCTCTGGTAGACTCACTGTGGCCATGTCCTGAGAACCTCACAGCTTTGATGGCAGGGTCACTTTGCGGGCACAAGAGATTAGTTGAATTTCTTTTGCGGAGCCACGAAGTAGATATCGTCGCAAAAGACGACAGTGGAAGGACTGCGTTGATGTGGGCCGTTGAGAATGGGCACGAAGATGTGGCCCATTTGTTGCTACAGAATGGTGCAGACGTCAATGCAAAAGACACGAATGAATGGAATGCCCTGCATAAAGCAATTGAAAAGGGATACAAGGAATTGGCTCAGCTGCTGCAAGTGAATGGTGCGGATGTCTCTGCTGTCACACAACGTGGACACTCCGGGATCCACTTTGCAGCCCGAAACGGATTTCATGATCTGGTACAACTTATGCTGGATTGTGAAGTTGACGTTAATATGAGATCTGCAGTCGGGGAGATTGGAAAATGTACGGCCATGCATTTCGCTGCTATGAATGGGCACAAGGAAGTTGTCTCTCTCTTGTTAGAGAATGGCGCCGATGTCAATGCGGAAACTGGGCTCATCGGAGAAAATCTGGCACAATATACCCCTCTACACTTCGCAGTCGTAGAAGGACACTTGGAGGTGGCAGAGCTGCTGTTGGAAAATGGAGGCCTCCTTGCCGCAAGGGACGCAATGGGAGAGACTCCATTGCACAAGGCAGCTAGTAGCGGCCATGAAGAAATGACCGCCCTACTACTGTCCAAAGCAACCTTCGTCGATATTGACTCAAAGACTGAGACCGGAGAGACCCCTCTGCATCTGGCAGTAAAGAAGAAGGATCATGCGGCCGCTACGTGCCTACTCCTGAAGGGGAATGCCAGCGTTAGGGAAAAGGATAAGAACGGGGCGCTAGCTTTACACTATGCAGCAGCCAAGGGCAACCATGTGGCAGTTCGAGAGCTAATCGCCCGAGGAGCCAAAATTTCGGCACGGGACTATGATCAAAAGAGTATCCTACATTACGCAGCACGATGTCAAGAACACACCGTTGCACTAATACTCCTGGAGGAAAATGCGGATATTGAGGCACAAGATGCCGATGAGATGACGGCATTGCACGATGCAGCGGTCCATGGAAACGACGATGTAGTAGCTTTTTTACTATCCAAGGGTGCCAATCCTTGCGCACGGGATTACGATGGCAAGACAGCACTTCACCATGCAGTCGCCAAAGGACGCGATGCCGTCTTTAGGCTGCTCCTTGCCAATCCTGACGTCGACCCAAATTCCAGAGACAATGCCGGTCGGACACCACTGTCATGGGCAGTCCCAAACTTTTACCGGTCTGAAAATGTTGTTGAACAGATGCTGCGTTGCGAACGTATCCACCCAGACTCCAGGGACAACGATGGACGGACACCTCTATCTTGGGCAGTTCAATTTATGCAAATTAATGACCCCGTGGCCAGCCTGCTAATTGATATTGGACGTGTTGATCCGGATTCCAGGGACAACAACGGACGGACACCTCTGTCTTGGACTGTCCAACATATACACTCGGATATCCCCGCGGCCAGTCTGCTACTTGAGACCGGCCGTGTTGATCCGGACTCTAGGGACAACAATGGACGGACACCTCTGTCTTGGGCCGTCCAATTCATGCATTCGAACGACATCGTGATCAGCCTGCTACTTAAAACCTATCGTGTTGATCCAGACTCTAGGGACAACAACGGACGGACACACCTCTGTCTTGGGCTGTCCAATCCATGAAAATAGATGACCCCGGGCCCAGCCTTCTCCTTGGTACCGGTCGTGTTGATCCGGACTCCAAAGACAAATACGGTCGGACGCCCCTCTCATGGGCAGTGCAAAATGACCAGCATGATCAGTGGGATCATGAGGCGGCTGTCAAGTTCCTACTGGGCACTGAGCGTGTGGACATAAACTCCAAGGATATGGATGGCCGGACACCACTCTCATGGGCGACGGGAAAAAACAAGTCAAAGATTATACAACTTCTGGTCAAAACCGACGGAATTCAACCGGATTTGCCAGATATCAACGGCCGAACGCCACTTTCATGGGCAGCACAATATGGCGACCCACATACTGTGAAAGTCTTGCTAGACACCGGTCGCGTCGCACCCGAGAAATGTGATGGAAATGGCCGAACACCGCTCATATGGGCAAGGGAGAAAGGAAATAATGATGTTTTCGACCTTCTGATCCGTTACCAACGTCGCTATGTGTATAAAGACCAGTTGGGAGCTATTGACGGAAGGTATGAGATGGAAATTGGATACGAGAGTGGAGATCAAATGGAAGAAAGCGAGGAGCTTGGACGACGCTATAGTATCTAGAGACAGCACTGCGATCTATAGATTCCTGAGACTATGAGTGCCCTCGGCACCCGTTCTCAACACCTAACTGAGTGGTTAACTACCTAGGTACTAACTATTGATCAAAGGCTCCAAATTTTCTACGTAGCAAATAAGAGCTCTTTGAGGAATATTCATGTTTCAAACATCATTCGCCAATCTCAATCTGCTGAAACACAATATTCACCAGTGTCAGAGAATACTGTACAAGCTTACATCAATATTGATTCTGCAATGAGTTCTGCACCGGTAATTGGTTTAGACTCATATCAGTATTGGGAGTCTTTCTTGCAAGCAAATCACTTAGATGAGATTTTAGATGAAGAATAAATGCATCCAACCACCATTAACAGATCATGAATTATTTCCTAGCCAACATGAGCCATGGTATATCAACTTAAATCAATCTACACCTCTATTCCAACCAAGCGGTAATAGCCCCCCCCAAAAGCCACCCCCATCCACTCCTCCTCATCAAACCTCAAATCCCCATCAAACCCATGCTCCCCATCCCTCACCGTAAGCGTAACTCCGGGCCCAGACCTAACACCCTTTGCCTTCTCAACAAACCCCTCAACATCACCAACAGGAACAATACTATCCTGCTTCCCATGAATAACCGCAATCCCACCTCTCGGAAACTCAACCCCCTCACTCTCAAGCTTATCAATCGGATACAACATCTCACGAGAAACTCCCTCCGTACCCCGAGCATATATCCCAGCCAAATGCCCATGTTCCGCCGCAGCAAGCATAAAGCTCAAACTCTCCGGCCCACTCCACTCAGACTTCACACCACCAATCTCAGCACTAGCCATATACTCCGTATAAACCGACTCGGGAGTCGAATGACCAAATGGCGGGTTCGCAAGCACCGTATTCGCCGAACCGGGATTAATCCACGGATACGAAGCCGTCGCCGCGCGAATCTGCCTCGGATGCGCCAAAGCAGTATACACGCTCAAAAGCCCACCCGCCGAATCCCCAGCCGTAATTATGCGGCCCAAATCCGCCTCAGCATCATGCTTCTCCAGCAAAGCCCCGAATTCCGGTCCATGAAGCCATGTCCAGAAATCTTCTATGTCGGCGTAGATCTCGGGACTGGTTGTTTCGGGTAGGAGGCGGTAATTCGGCGATACGATGATCGCGTTGTGTTTCTCGGCCAGATCGGCTAGCCAGTGCGGGAAGAATGGCATGAAAAGGCTGTCGCCCATTACGAGGCCGCCGCCATGGTAGCGTAGGATGACGGGGCGGGGGCCTGTGTGGGCGGTTTTTGGGATCAGGATGTCGGCGCGGATTGGGTGGTTGTTGACTTTTTTGTAATGGGTTTGGAGGAGGTTGAAGTTGGCGATTTTGGCGTCCGTCATGGTGATCAGGCTTTAAGGTAACTTGAAGGGGAGGGGTTCAATAATCTAAGTGGGGTAAATTGCGTATAAATAATAATGAGTATGCTGAGAGTGGGGAGAACTGTATGAAACTGGCCATCGATGCTCTTTATATACCCCTCGAACCTTGATAAAGTGAGTTGATCCAAAGAATCACGGTGTAGAATACCCGAAGTGCGCCATTTGGCCCCATTTAATCTCTCGGCCTTAGAATAAAGCCGAGGCCGTGGCCTGCGTATCTGCCAATAAGAGGATGGGATTGAGGATTTGAATCTTAGCGGATAGGGTTTCGGGAAATGAGTGCATAAATATGAAGTCGTACTACATATCTTGTATATTGCTCTGTTTGCACTGGTGATCGTGTTTGCACTGTCGATCTGGATCCCTTGGCTCTTCCCCACCGGGCCGAATCCCGAGATCCCGACTCCCGGCATTATCACCTTATCCCCGGAAGACTGTACTGGATATGTGCTACGGATAGAATTTCGGCTGTTGATGTGTAGGAATGGATGGGACATGATCATCTCCTTCTGCAGATAAAGTAAAGAAGAAGAAGAAGACCCAATCCCGCCAAATTCAGGATCTGGAATAGATTGTACTGACAGTCGGGCGGGTCATGTGAACATCATGATATAAGAAGAACTTGAATAAGTATAAATTATTATTATCGCCTCCCCTGGAGATTCCACTCAGGTTCTTCCGACATGTTCAACCACCAACCTATCATGATTACTTTGCACCGCTGACCCTGACCATCCCGATCACATGGGAGACCATTGACTAGTTTCTGATCTTGATATGGAGCCCCGTATGCCGGGAGTGACGAAATGCGTCTTCGAGAGAAGTTTATAAAGTCACTTTTTATTTAGTAAGGCCATCGTAGCCCTGCTAGTGGGATAGCCTTACTCTTGAAGAAAACTGCCAGATGGAATTAAATTTCCTTGCGGGTCTTTCAGTCTGTCGTAGACTGTCAGTGGTTTTTTAAACTGAAACTTTTGGAATTCTTCTTTCAAGCACGGTTCCGAGTCCTCCTACCTAGGTATTCAAGTTCTAACTTGAAGCTCTGGGGGTTGTTCAAGTTGACTTTACCTTGTCCCATTACTACTATTGGAACACTGGTAGTACTAGTTTCCAGTACTAAATATATATATCAATCGAGTTGGATACCTCCAGGGCTAGTAGGTACTAAAAAGGCAGCTCTTGATGGGAATAAGAGGAGATAATGAATGAGTATATAGATTCTCCAATCTATCATTCTGCCCACAGACAAAGATGACCTTGATTAACCCTGTAATATAGAGTAAAAACTCAATAAATGACTTGGAAGTATACTATTAAATTAAGCGTCGTGGCTGTTATATACTGAACTACTGAGCTTAGATATCATCCAAGGTCCATTGGTCTAGTGGAATGACGTTCGGTTTTGATCGTTAGACACCTCCGAAAGGTCGTCGGTTCGAACCCGGCATGGACCTTTTTTGTCTCTCTTTCTCTCTCTCAACATCCAGCTGGGGGCTTGAGTGATTGCTACTTTTTTGATCTGGCTAAGTTTTTGGAATATCCATCAACTGATTGCTATCTTGTTTTTATTAATTTGTTCGCAGCTTACGGCCTAGAATATGTGTGCAGGTGCAGTTCTATGAACATCTTGCTCTTTGACTAGCTTATCATGACCACACGTGACCTGATCTGGCATAATCTTGAAAGCTCTGTTTTCTTTTCACGTAGGTGAATGACTGGCTGTTTGTTGATTTTCAATCATGTTCTTTCATAGAACCAATAGATATGGCCCCTTGTGAGATCCCCGACTTCACATACCTAGGTAAGCTGTCCCGCTCTTTCCCCGAAGACGCAATCCTGCGTGAACCGTGACCCTCAGAATTAAAAATAGAATTGCTGATAAGCTTAATTTTACTACAGGCAGTGTCAAAATATTTATAGAACCTGATTCTATACTCATCATCTCCTTCTGGGCCGTGGATGTGCAAGATCAAGTTCTTGGCAACTTAGGTATACCCGGCAAAGATCTTATCCGCGCCTAAAATTAAACTCGAACTGAGACATTGTAGACAATCGCATAGATTGAAATTAGCAATTCTTCAGAGTAGATGATTTACAACCATCTAGAATGTCGAGTACAATTTTAATCTCAAGTATTATGCTGTAAGATACCAAAGGTTCCGCTAGGAGCAACCCGAGAAGCCGCGGAAGGAACCCGCAACTCCGATCGGCTGTCCGATCGGTGACGGGGATGGACGGGGATGGATCGGGATGCCGTAGAGAATACTGACGAGTCGGGAAGATCAGCCCAGTCCGATTCGCAAGGGAGGCTGTGTTTGTTCTATTTATTCCAACCCTGAATCCTAGTTTCCCTAGTTTCCCTAGTTTCCCTAGTTGCGTCAACCCTGTTCTATTCCTAGAATACAACTGGTATTGAAGGGTATCGTGGGGAGCTTGAAACTGCCGACGATCGGCAGTTGGCGGTAGTCGGTTATCAGAAGTATACAGGGCAGAGTAAGAGGATTATATTCTACTTGGAGATAGATGATCGATATTGTAGTGTAGAGGTATTCTACTCTGAGATTATCTGTAGACAGAGTAGACTATACTAAATTGTATTGGATAGCATCGTAATATATAGCTATAGAGTAACTAATTACATTGTATTGTACTACTATACTCCCACGTCGTGGGGATGTGGGGAAGCAAAACTCCGGTTTTTGCCTTGCACTTCGAAATTACATCTTTAGACTTAGATTAATTATTCTGCAATTATTCTACTTCTAAAATAATTCTACACTAAATTCACCGCCTCTGGTTGGTCCAGCCTAATCAACGCTACCTTGCGTAATCCTTCCGATTGCGTCGATTTACTTTAACCTTAAGGAAACACCTCCAAACCGCAACTCCGCAACTTCAACTTCTCCTCCGACTCCCTCAATTCACCCCCCCCCCCTTCCCCCTCGCAGACATAGCATGTGTCCTGCGCAAATCGCTCTTCATGGATGAGGGCTCCGATAAGGCCCCTCGACGCAAGAGGGTCTCACGCGCCTGCGACCGCTGTCGTAGCAAAAAGGTACCCATCACCGCACTACCCCAGCTACCCCCTCCAACTCTCCTCTAACTCTCCCTCACGTAGGATAAATGCGATGGCATCCGTCCCACATGCTCTGCCTGCCAGGCCTCCGGTCAATCCTGCTCCTACGACCCCCACGCAAAGAAACGCGGTCTCCCTGAAGGCTACGTCCGCGGACTCGAGAAGCTCTGGGCGCTATCACTCTGTAACATCGACGGATTCGAAGATACCATGCTGGCCATGCTAGGCGCGACCGCCGACTCTGCCGATCGTCGCGCCAAATTGATGTCCGTCTGGTCTGAGGATACTTCTTCCGAGAGTCTGCATGAAACCTGGAAGACGAGTCGTCTGTATGGCGCGCTGGAGAAAATGCTCTCCGGCTCGGAACAGACCCCCGCGATAGCTACAGGCACGGGGAAACGGTCGCGTAACCCGAATGATGATCTGGATGATACTTGGGGGTATCGCTTTGGGAGGGAATCGAGTCCGCTTGGTCCGGCTGCGCCGCGAATTGTCGGGCCTGTTTCACTTTCGCTTTCGTCGGCCTCAGCCTCGATGTCAGGAATTTCGCCAAGTGCGAAGCGCTCGCGATTGGCGCAGGCACAGTCACAGGCACAGTCTGATCGTGGTCTCTTATCATCTCCACAAAATCTCCAGTTACCCCCGCAAACCTCCCAACTCCTCGACATTTACTTCGCCGCAACACACTCCTGGCTCCCAATCCTCGCAAAACACAATACCCTCCGCGCTTCCTACCTCTACGCCAACACCGCCGTCTCCCTCACAGCCACGACCCCCGGTTCCGGCGACCATGCTGCACTATGGGCGATCCTCAGCTACACAATCACTCAATCCCGAACCGATCCCCGCTCCAGTCCCGTCGGGACACTCTCCTTAGCAAAAGAGTATTACACCATCTCACGAAATCTCATCCCCCTCGAAAAAGACCGCTATGAACTCGGCCATATCCAGGCATTACTATTACTTACACTGGTGAACATGGGACTGGAGGATTGGACAGCGGCATGGTTATTAAGTGGACAAGCAGTGCGCATGGCGATCGCATTAGGACTGGGCTCTTTCACCGATACGCGACAATCCGATGAGCTCAGACAGGGCAAGGCGGTGTTTCTAGGCTGTTTTGTCATCGATTCTTTACTTTCTTTCCGCCTTCGTCGTTGTCCGGCCATGTCAGCGAATGACATTGCAACGGTCGGTCTATTAGAAGAAGATGGACTAGAAGAGTGGAATTCCTGGGCCGATGTTCTTCCCACGGCCAACGCCAGCCCCAGCACCGCGCATGGGAAGGTCCCTCCGCGCCGAGGACCACTGATGTCTCTCAGCTGCTTCAACCGCCTAGTCGAACTAGCCAGCGTGCTGAACAAAATCTCACGCAATCTTTCAATGGGGTACAAACCCGCAACATTCGCCCAGCAGCTAGTCATGGACCTGAAACAATGGGACGACGGACTGCCTCTAGGCTGCCGTCTAATCGGACCGGAAAGTATCTACCCAGAGCGACACTCAGCCTTACTACCGCATCAAAGTTATCTCGGATTAACATATGTCGCCACCCTTCTCTGGCTATATGTCTGTCTCATCCCGGGGGAACAGGGCTTACATCGCGCTCAACGGCCCGCGACAGAGGGCGCAAAGAAACTCCTTTACCGCGGGTTATCCATGCTGGGCCAGCATCTGGAGAATTTCCCGATCTGCGGACTGCCCCCGATGTTCGAGTTCGGGCTCCGGACTATCTCCGAGCAGGCATTTTCGTTACGCCAGGTTGATGCGTCGGATACGTTCCCGTTTGCGCGGTGGGCGGACGAGTTTCGTCAGAAGACGAGTGCTCTTGTTTCCACCTGGCCTGCTTATGGTTCTCTTACCGCGGCCATGGAACGGTCTCAGCAGTCACAGTCACAGTCACAACAGCCGAATGGGTATCACCCAGCGCCAGCGCCAGCGCCATTTGGAAGTGGGGGCATGCTAGCACCAACCACGATCCCGAGTACTGTTCCTGTATCTATCCCCGTCCCCGTCCCGGAACAGACATACGCCTCATCCATAATGGGAATAAGCATACCAGCCGACACCCAAACAACGCCAAAAGACACAATAATGTCAAACACAGACCTCATGATACCAGAAATCCCCCCCAATAGACCCACCACCAGAATACCCCCCCACACCCACACCCACACCCACACCCCTCAACTTCCTCCCCTCTTCCTCCTCCCTCCGCGACGAATCCCGGCCCCGCCCCCGGCCCAAACCCGGAAGATCTAGACGCTATATTCAAAGACCTAGCCTACCTCGACACAACAGAGTGGTCCTCGAACCGCGAAGCAGGACTCAAAGACTTCGGTTTTCTGGATGACTCCACATTCCAAGCTTTCTGTCATGATCCGGATCGACTGGGCTCGCAGCCTCTTGTTCATCCGCCTTCTATTGCGGATATTTGGCCGCCGCCCGGCTTTTTCCCGGAGACGTTTCGGGATGTTGAGTAAGCTTGGATTGGATTGGATTAGAGCTGGGAGGATTTGTATATACCCGAGAAGAGAACTTGAATGGGAGAATGAATACTTTGTACAGTTTAGATGTTGATGGATTGGGTGGATTGTTTTGTTCAGCTGAGTTGATACTGAGGTCGTAGTAGTAGTGGTACCTCCAGGGCTCCGGCTAATTGAACTTGTATATATCTACTAGTATTACCTAGGTAGTACTACTGTTTATAACTGAAGGTATAGATTTTTTTTTTTTACTGCCAGTGTTTTGTAGTCATCTTTCATAGCTGGCCGATTACGAGCACAATTATCGGAGTGCCTAGTTTGGTCTATCTAATTCAGCCTCGGGACTCGGGCGAGGGATCTCGGCGGGGATTTAGACTCGGCTTGCCGTCTTGGCAGAATGATAGTTTTGCATGAACTGGACATAGCTTATTTCTTTGATTGATTGGTTATATTTCGTATGATGCATGAGAGTCCGGTCGCCCCCCATACAAGCGAGTGTAAGTCTGACCAGCAGACAAAAAGTGTAAGAAGCAAGCAAAGCAGAATTGCGCAGCCAACGCCGCCGATGCCCTCGGGCAGAACGTAGGAAATATGTGCAGAGAATGGTATATATACAGGTGAAGAAAAGGAAAATGCTAAACGGATGTTGGTGTGGTGTGGTGTGGTGTGGTGTGGGGTGATGGTCAGAGATCAGTCAAAAATGTATTCGACCTGAGGACAAGACGATTGGAAAGTTCGCAGCAGTTTCTGCACACGGTGGGTCATCCAGCCGGAGTACGTGCCGTTGCTCGCTGCGCCGTGGAAGGTCGTAGAGGCGTGCTTGCAGGTATTCTCTTTCTGATTCCAGCTATACTGCAGACAGTCCTTGTTTTGCGTGCAGGCTTGATGACAGCTTTCCAGGGATGGTTTGGTGGGTTCGTCGAAAATGATATCTGTCGGTGACATGTTGTCCCAATCATCGCGACCGGCGAGAGTCCCGTTATGGATGAGATCGCGGTAAACGTCGGCGTGGAGGAGGAGGGCATTCTTGCCGCTTCGGAACCAGGACCGGTCAAATCGCCACATTTCCTCGATGTCTCGGGGGGGTCATGCGGTGGTATGAAACGGCGGGGTAGCACCAGGGCTGGCGACCGTAGCCCTCGGAGAAATGGTCGATCTCCCAGGGTCGAGTGGTCAGCATCATGGGCCAAGCCCAGGTGAGAGGGATTTTGATTTGGTCAAAGGCTCGCGCGAGGACGCAGTCTCCGGCCCACTCGTCGGCGGTCATCTTCTCCAGCTCGGCTTGGTGTTCGGAGCGGTAGGTTTGGAGACGCTCCATTGCCGGTCTGGAGAGGATGACGCCGGAGCCTCCGTAGGCAAATAGGATATCGCCGATTTGCATGGGGCTTCCGATGTAATAGCTCCGGGTGTGGTCCAGGTGTGCTAGCCAGTTGATCAAGTTGGGCCACACGACGTAGGTATCGGCCTCGATAAAGATGTACCACTTAGCATCCGGCATCGCCTCCAATGCGCCGTCGATCATGGGCAAGAATTTCCACTTGTCCAGCTTCCATCCAGGGTTGTTGGTCTTTCCGAAGGGGCCGTTCTCGTGGTCGCCCCATTCTTCATCAGTCAGGCCCTTCCCGGCCCACCTGCTGCAGACGGTGGTAGATGTTGAACTCGGGCTCGCTGTTCATAGTTGCTTCGGTCACGTTGCTGAGGACATCGTAGGTTGGCACGCCGCTGATGGTTTCTTCGTAGTCGGAGAAGATGGCGTAATTGGGGACACATTGGAGGGTGGTGCGGATCTGCACGGGGACCTTTGCTTGAGACTCGGTGGCGCCCGTCTTCAAAACAACAAAGACATCATCCATGTCCCGGCGAATGTGCCCACACTGGTGCTCCTCCAGCTCCTGCTTACTAGGTTTGGGTGTCTTCGGGGCGGAGTCACTGGGCGGAGTAGCATTTGGCTCTTCGATAATGATATGGCCTTGCTCGGCGTGAATGGTATGTTCGGCATTATTGACTGCGCCCGAGTGGCCGTGGGGGTTGAGGTAGAGGTAATAGATCAGGCTGAGGGTAATGAGTGGAGAGACGATGAAAATCCATCGTCGTGGAGAGGAGAACATTGTCGCGGGTCGGAAAGAATGGACGATCAGTAAAGGAGTGTATGTAAAGAAGGCAAAGCCATGGAGAAGAACAGGAAGAGGAGGAAAAGTTGCAGCTGCAGTAACAGTTGAAAGAAGTGAAAGAAGGGTGAAAATGGAGGGACTGCAGGGACTGAAAAAGGGAGATGGAGATCAGCCTTGACAAGGACAGGATAGGACAAGACAGGACGGTTCTCCATTCCTATGCCCCCTCCCCCCCTCATAGCCTCACAGGCTGGCGATCGATGGGGAATCGCAGGCAGGAATATTGCTGATTCGACGGCGGCAACGAAGCGCTGGAGTGATAGGTCGCGCATTGGGACAAACTGGAGAGGGATCAGCAACCACGCGGCCCAGGGGCCAACGAGGCCGTGGCGAGGGTTCAAGAACCACCCGCCGACCCACGGTGGGCGTCATCGGTTGCGGGTTTTTTGGCAGGCGAAGCAAGGATCGACTGGCGCCGAGGGCGCTGGCACTGGTGGGGTATCCAGGAGGGCAGAGATCGCCAGGGATGGGATGACCCGGGGCGGTTAGCGAGAGTAGAGCATGCCGGAGTCAAAGTGCAGAGTTCAAAGTGCAGAGTACAGAGTACAGACTTCTCATGGAGTAAGTGTATGTACGAAGTACAACAGATTGAGGGAACTCATAGCTTCCGGTTTCAGAGTTCAATGTTCAGAAACTGAAACTGTGGGGAATGTTGAAGTGGAGAAAAAGTGTGAAGCCAACCGAGGTTGATGGATGACTCAGCATTTGCTGACAGCTGAAACAAACAAAAGTACACAATCAGTTTATGTCCTAGTTGGAATGGCCAAAGGATTGTTTAAGTTGCTAAATTAAATTACAGTCTCCTTACCAAGTAAATGAACTCGAGGGTGGCTCAACTTGAAGTAATCAGGTGTTGAATCGCGGAAGTGCAGCGGATGCGCAGGTCAGGCCAAGCTCTATTGAAAAGCAAGAAATAGTAGTTATATGATAGAATCCATGAATATAGCTAGATTTCTCAATTTCGAGTTTTTTTTTTACTAGCCCTGGACTCGGTGTATACTCTCTATTTTCAAACACACCAGAAATACATCTTGGTCCATGGTGCTCCCTTTAAATATTCAATTGATTCCCCAGTGCGTATTCCCTGTACATCTATAATTACTGTGGCTGCACAATATTGCCAAGTTGCAGGGTGCATACAGTTACATCCATGGATGATGCAAGAGAACATGAAATCGAAAGGAATATCAACCCATCACCAGTAGAAAAAAAATAATTCAGATCTTAATTGAAAAATGAAACACTAGTCACAATATAAGCTTCTTTCTAGAAATCACCGCAAACTCGAACCCCTGATCTCCACAATGAACCCCTATGATTACGCCACATTCAACGAGCTCTCCGAAATGACATACCTATGGAGTGCCAGAAGTTTGCCCCGAGTTGATCTTAGTCCCCGCTACTCCGTACTTCCTACCATCTTCCTTGTGCACTGTGCTTTAATTTCGGCACGAGCGTTGCTCTCTCCATGTGGCAGTGCATTCTCCCGTGGCCCCCCCACTGAAGATCCCCAAGCACGTCAATAAATCCACTCAATATCTCAATAGTATGCGATAGATTGTTGTAGCCTGCTTTAAAGGTGATTAAGCTTTGGGTGAAGCATCTACTCAACCGTTCGGCTCATTTTAGCTCCAAGGGATCTTCAGGGGTAGATGGGGGGTAGACGGCACGTGGGAAAGGGCGTTGACGTACGGAGTAGATTCACCATAATAACACATTCAAAATGGCGCAGGCATTGTTTGTCTTGATATCACTTAACTACCAATTGACTAAAATGCTCTAGAAAGCTGCTTATACATACAAAAGTGTCATCGTAGTGGCATGCCCGACAAGGGCGGTACTAGTATAGTCAGTAGCCACGCCTACAGCACGACAACTGCTAAAATACAAATTAAAAGCTTCCATATTTACGGAAGCAGAACGAATAGAATGACCATGGATGAGGAATCATCCCGAGGTCTGAACTGAAAAGACTTAGATACAGGACAAACGCTCTGGCTATGCCCTGGGCTCCCAGCCCCGACCTGAAGTAAACTCAGTGATTGCTAATCCTAAGAACAAATCATATTCGTCCTATCGAGAGCTCGCACTGGTCTCCCTGGGGACTCCCCAATCGTTGGCGTGGAGGCTATGGTAAATTCAGTGATAGTCACAGCGGTGATAGTGATGACCGACGCGAAGACATAATCATATTCAATGGATCCCCGTGTACAAGGGGTGTTGCCTTGTAAACTAAGATAGTACGGATATGGAATGACTCATTACTGATGCCTGGGATATAAGTCTTCACTGGTAAAAAGAGAACACCCAGCCAGAATATCTCAACTGGCCCAGTTACTGGTTCTTAATTATTGACTTATAACAGACCAAATTGTGATACTGAACCGCCAAGCCTAGTCATGTGATCTATAGTTCTGCCGGAGTATCCCGTTCGAGGCTTGCAAAAACAGACAAAAAGAAAAACGATAGCATGTCCTGGTTTCGATCCAGGGTCCTCCGGGTTATGAGCCCGGCGCTCTTCCCCTGAGCTAACATGCTGATTTGATGAAGAGTCTTTAGTATACTGACACTATGAAAGCTGCTCTGTTATAGCCGGGAGGATTTGGGCATGTTACTACAGGGAAAGTGCGCCGGGCTCATAACCCGGAGGTACGTCTAAACCGAATCAAATAATTACCAAATTCATCACTAATATAAACCAGGACATGCTATAATTTTCCCTTCTTGATCTGGATAAGCAAACCAGTGGCGGGGACCAGTGTGGTCTGAGTCATGGTAGGTGGACACCCCCAAGAGAAATGGCATGGTATATAGGTAGTGTTAGATTTTCAGATTAATCTTACCACGCCGACATTTGAAGGTGCCAAGGTTGTATTTGAGGCCCCAACCATATAGGTTCATGGGTGCCAATACTGGAAATATTTATGCGCCCGCGCTCGTAATACCCATTGTTTTAGCCTACCGTAAGCTGTACAATATATTCACTGGTAAGTGGGACTCGGAGAGGCTAAAAGACCAATTTGATGAATACTTCATTTCCGATTGTGGTACCCCGAACAAACTCTTTTTGGAGAAAAATCAAAACCAGTGTACTTGTGGTAATCTTAATCTGAAAGCCAATCAAATTGAATTCGAAGCTATCCATAGAACCTGAGCTAACAACGCCGCAGGCTTCCAGGATGCCGCGTCTTTGTCCCTACTGTTGAGGATGGGGAAGGAGTGGATGCATGACAAAATGATGATATTGGTGACATCACATATGTAGATACACAGCAGCCTCTAGATCTCCTATCAGCTGTGCAAGGCTTTGGACTAGAGGGGGCGCTCGCTCAGGCACACATGGCCGGAGCAACGATTGTCCACTTCGAGCTCCTCGCACGAACCAGGCGTTAACTAATTATAGCTTGAAAATATAAAATCTTAAAAGTGAGTTAAATGTCCGAGTGGATGGGTTCCTATTTCCTCGCGATAGATTTTGTAAAGATCTTTTTAGTTTTTAGAATATAATAGAGAGACTCCATCTGTGAGGTTTGGCAAGCCTTGTATGATTTAAGTCAATTAATATCAAGACTAATTCTTATATAATAAGAATTAACACATCGTATAATACTAATAAAATAACTAGAATACTACGGCTTAGGTAGGCCTAGGTATATAAGTTTTTAATAGGAGATTTGATATAGAAACTTTATTTTAAGTAAAGCTTAAGTTAAAAAAAACCTAACTAGAAGATTTAGATTGAGATTTTTTAACTTATTATAAGAGTTAGTTAGTATAACTAATTATTATATGTATGTTCTATATAGGGGTCTGGTCCTACTATAGTTAATATAACTAATAATAATGATATCCCGACAAAAGCAATTTATCTGCACCTGCATTCATAATGAGTCCCTTTGGTGACCGGATTCATGGAATTTGGTTATACAATGCAAGTTTCTTTCACTTCAAGTTGACTCATATACACTCTTCTTACGCGAGGTGTCTATACGTAATACTCCCTAGTGATCTATGCGGGTTGAGAACTTAAAGGATACAAATTTCAATTGCAAGAATTTCCGATCCGGTTGATAAGTCAGGCTTCATAATGATGGGACCCACAAATTTACCCACAACTGGCCTTTCATCTTGTGAAAGGAAAGAGATTTGCAGAGCTCACGTTATGGTCATCTTCCAATTATTATTTGCTCTATCAATTCGTGTGCTTTATATAATTATAGATTATACTCCACGTCATGTTATCTACACTACCTCCGAGTCCTTTTTACCCAAACTATTCCTTCCTATGCACAGGAAGCTGCTCACTCCCCTCAGGAAGTAATCTCGCACCACCAGAGGAAACAGATCGCCCATCGTCAACCTGCACAACAATATCTGTCTTAACAGTCACGAAACCATCATCCAAATGCTCGGGCTGTTGTGCCCGAGAAATCCGACTCTCAGATCGCTCGGTAGTACCCCAATGCGATTGATCATTCTCTTCATCTTGCCAATTCCCCCCTGTTACTGTTGCGGAATCCAGCCATTGGTCTTTTTGTCGTCGCTTGAGCTCCGTATCGTTCGAATTATCCGTATTATTGTTGTTATTATTCGATCGAGATCGGGACCAGTAGCCGACTGGTTTGCCGTCGCGACGGTTATCAACCACAGCGCGGAGGAAGAGACGGGCGACTGGTGCACAGGATGCGAGCAGGATGCTGTAGTTTTCAATTCTGCAAGAGTTCATGTTAGAATCTACCAGGCTGAGATTTTTATCTTCAACTCACTTCACCCAGAGGACAAACGAAACGATGTTATAAGTAAAGTCCAGCCGGTCACCGAGGGATTTAAGTTTCTGTAGAATTGTATATTAGCACTGTGCAGATTGATATTCCGAGGAAACGTACATAAGTCTTCACAATAGATGCAGCCCCGGAAAGTATCAGAGGACCACTTAGGGTGAGTGTCTGCCAGATGCGACGAGATCGGACTGTGCTGTTGATTTTGCGGAACTGAGACCAGAATGAAACATTGGGCTCACGATTTAACGTTCGCAGGAAAAACTGCCAGAGTTCCACGGCAGCAAGAGCAGCGAGAGCAAAATCGATGATCGTGTTGAAGCCTGTAAGGACTCGGTCAGTATAATATCATGCAAGTGTAGATGAATTTGAGTACTTACCTCCCTGGACAAAGCCGACAGTTGTTTGGACAGATGGTGATTGACACACGACCGATCCATCCGCTGGCAAAGGAGTCCACATGTATTTGAAATATTGAACACGATCCGCGGAGTGATATGGATTAGGCCCACACTGGACAATTATTTGTACGATAGTGATCATATTCGCCGCAATTTGTATAATGGCACAGACGATGATCGACATTCGAAGTTTCCGATCACTCGCCGCGAAGCAAGTCAACAAGAACCACATCATTCCAGTTCTTGAAACCATCGCCGAGGCGACTGCAATTGGCTGGGACATAAAGTCCCACTTCATAGCGTGGAATCTCTCTTCTTCAGAGAGATAGAAGAAGTGACGTCCGAGACCCCAATCGGCACTATATTCCAGTCAATCAAATACTCCCATACAGAGTCCTAGAACAAATAAGAACACTAACCTTAGTTGAATAAATATGATGTGCGTCACATCGAAGCCATAAGCAACAAGGAAGAACATATCTTCAATGCCCCAAATTCTTCCCGGGGCAGTAACCTGTGGTAGAGCCCAGCGAACCCAAGCCTTGACGGCATATCGAAAGAGCAGAGCGACGCCAACCACTCCAGTAAGCGCCTAAGTGACAGGTTAGTTACCCAAAATACCACATGGAAAATGACAGGCTTGGCCTACCCAACACGCAGCAAATGTGCCAGAGCCTATTCATACCAAACGTCAGTCATTAGCAACCAGACCTGGTATCCCTGAGCATGCGACATACCGATATCGACATCTCCCTCTCCGGGTCGAGGGATTTCCATGGCGATGATGTAAGGGCCAACTTTGTGATCGATATTCAACTGCAGCGCGCGACTCGCATTCAAATAGCAGGCATCAACGGAAAACGAGAGGGGAATCGCATCGATGTTGATGGATCACACAGCGCTCGCGTGGATCATATAGGAGTGGGGGTGAAATATGGCACACTTCGGTAGAAAGTCAACGACCGATTACCTCGCAAACAACTTAGAAGTAAGCCCTGCCATCGCAGTTCAGCGGACTAAGTTTGACTGGGCCAACAAGGGGGCCGAGATGGGGGGATGATCAGGGACGATGATGAATCACAGGAAGGGCATGGATATCGGGGCCACTGGTTGGTGCGAACCTAATATCACACTTCTGTGATTGAGAGATTAAGATACACCCGAATAATGGATAAAAAGGCCAACAATATTTCACGCGTATTCCAATGAAATGTGCGCGCTAAAATTGGACTTCAGATACACTTCCCGATTTCCAAGGAAAACTCGGAGGAATAACGGATTTGTTCAATTTCCACCCCGACTAGCTAGTTTATTTCCCTGCGTGGGTGTCTCATTCCTGCAAGGCCCATGTGGTCGCGGTGGCACAGGCGACATTCCAATGCGAGCTGGGGCGACGAATGGCAACCATGCAACCGCCATGCGTCGCCAACGCAAGGGTGGTACAAACCGAGGCCGTGCATTCAATAGTTGATCCGAAGGTTTGGAATGGGGAAAAAGCAATGCCCCTCTTCAGCGGTTTTTCGTCCGGTGTGACATTTTCCCTAATGCATCCATAAGTACCCAAAAACTAGGTAAAAGAGATAAACCTACGGAAGTTCAGAGCACTGACAGTGGAACTCGGGCGCTAATTGTCCGGGTCTTAATCGGAAGATCAAATAAGATTCACAAGTGGGTCGAGGCTTGAGCCAAAGGCAAGGAGATCCGTTCTAGTCTGTCATTGGTATAGTTAATAAATCAAAAGAGGGAACTTCGGCCAATTGAAGTTCCTAATTTACCCGGGAAAAGCTTTGACGCGAACTCAATACTGTCAATTGGTGGGGAGGGGTACTTGTGTGATTTACTGAGTTGAGATCTCGGATGTGATGAATCAAGCCGATCATCCATCACATTCGACTCGTCAATTCTTAGGTGTTCATGCAGAGCGCAAATCATATCGTGAATGATCTGAGTTCGCATTGAGGATCAGGCACATCTCGTATAAAATTTGTTCAACTGGATACTTTTGTCGGTATTTTACCGAGCCAAAGTATAGTCCAAAAAGACCCGGAGGATTACTCCACTTGATTAACATTCTCACATCCACTTGTTCCAGTTCCATTTCCATGTCAGTATGTACGTATGGAGTACGGAGAAGTGCGTCAATCTACTTTACACGCTAGGCAAATGAGCCAGTTCAACTTGGGGCCAGAACTCTCGAGATTCCATTTGATTGATGATTAATAAATTTATTACTCGCTTTTCAATCTCATCTCCACCAATGATTCTCCCGCTCGTACATATCCCTCAAACCCAACCTCCAACCCCGAAACACTCGCTAACTGCCTCCACTCGGCCGGGCTTCGCTCGCGGCCACCGTACAAAGCAATCATACTCGCGTGAAGCGAAGTATAAGTCATATTTTTCGCGTATTCAATAATAAGCAACCGTGACTCGGCCGTCATCGCCCGCGAGAGCTTCTGCAAAAGCGCCACCGCGTCCAAATCAGGCAGGTTATGCAGGATATGCTGCAGTGAGTAAATGCGCGCGCCCTGAATCGGCTGCTCGGGACTTTCCTTGTAATTCCATTCCATCAGCCGCACACCGGGGACATCGTCAGCGTCGATCTCGGTGTTGAACTCCTGCACAACTAGATTGGCCTCTTGCAGATGTGGATAAGCCGCCTGAACTTCTAGGAGTAGTTCGCCCCGTCCGCCCCCAATGTCGACCATAACAGGATTCTGATGCTGGGACCCTGGTTCGCCAAGGGCTTTGCCGAGATTGTAGCCCAGTGAGGCAACACGGTCTGGAAAAGTGCCAAACTTGATGAACTTGCCCACCATGAATTGATTGAAGCTATCCATGCGACCTTGTTGTTCCATAATCGAGTAGGTGTGTTCGTGGGAGAGCTTCTCCTCCCCCATAAGTTTGTAAGCATACTGGATAGGCCCGTCTGCCTCGGAGAAGGGATAGGCGAAGTTAGTAGCCTGAAGCTTCTTCATCATGAACGCGCCGGCCATCATCCCTTCGGTGGTGAAATGCACGGCGCCATGCTGCGCAGAAGGCATGTCAACCATGTGTCGAGTGATTGCATTAGCAGCAAATATATCATCAGCCACGCGGTCGACTAGGCCCAGTCCGGACATAATGTACAGCGTGTCGGCTAGCGAGCATTAGTTAGTAGAGTAAATAAAAGTGATCACACTGGTACATAGCAAACAATGGGAGGCCGCATACATACATGCAAGTCTGACAGCTGGAAAAAAAATTAGTTATAACATACTAAATCAGAGCAATTGATAGATGACAGACATACCAATTTCAGGATCTCCGCTTGAACATGCTCTGATGCGCGCATTGCAGGCATTTGCCACTTCTTCCGCGGTCGCATGTCGGCCCAAACGAACCAATTCGCCAAAGAGGTCGAAATGGACTGCCACAGGCACGAATCCAAGAGAAGCGGGCTAACCAGTCAGATTACGCCCAAAGCAAAATTGAACTAAGTTCGGCTCCAGCACAAACTCACCACTGTAATCGTAGCTGCGAGGGCCGCGCCCGGGGGGATGGTAGGTGCCGGTGAAGCCAGACCAAGTAGGCCTGCTAGGCGAGCTAGAAAAGACATGATTTGGGCTCACTTAAAAATCGGATGAACGCTACGTAAAGAGAAGAAGGAAGATGTGATCGGGTTTGTTGTGCTGGTGTCTTATGTAGATGAGGGGGGTTGTGCGTGGCCCAACATTCCAGCATGAATACTCCGTACATCAAAGAAATGCGGACGAACGAGTAAGTTAGAATGTCCATGCCACTCTGGAAGGTAACTTTGTAGCCGAGATACTGCACCGAATTTGGCCAGCCACTTATTTCGCGAGACGAGTCTACTACAAGTCTCAAGTCCACAAATCATATCAAGCAATGCGCCAGTAAGGGACCGAAAGCCCTCGCCGATCCCAAACAACGCAAAGAGCGGCATAATTAATGCCCCTCCCCCCATACAGTGCAGTATTATAAAATACAAGAAACCAACTTTAGCCTTGTTCAAAGGATCCAAAACCCAAACAACGCCCTGTACCTTTGAGTGGCGCTAAGTGGACCCCGCCTCCAGAAGGGATCTGCGCGAAAATTCACTGTGGAGAAGGGCGTAAAGCCGTAATTTGATCTGTGTGATTTCAGTCCATGGCCCGACCAATGCAAGTGCGTTCTCTTCTCTCGGGTAATCGGGAAGAAATAAGATACATAGATCGTAGGTAGGTTCGTGAGACCGGGCCCAACCAAACCCTGCCCAGCCTTTGGGTGAAGGTGGAGGTGGTTGAACTAAATTAGTTAGTCCGTAGTCGTACACTTCAGATAGTTCTAAGAAGGGGGTTATCACTTTCCGCCTTTTCCTTGGTTTCTTTCCATATCTTTTTCTACCTGTCTCCTTGACATCTGTGCGACTTCACGCCACGCGAGAAAGACTTCTGCCATGTGTCAGAATTCAATCTAACCTCCCCTTCTTCCCTCCTTCCATGCATAAAACCTTGGTCTTCCCGGGAAACGATAGTCGCCCACTCAAGTGCAGGTGCAGGACTCACACTCACTTTTATCCCCTCCCCTTGCCGCGTAGCATCCCTTCCGGATATCTACCGAGTCCCAATCGGCAATTCTGGTAAATACCAGCACTACTACGCAAAATGGAAAAACACTCCCCAGACGACGTACGCGAGATGGACTCTCCTTCGCTGTCGCAAGATGCTTCAGCGCATGAAGTACAGTCGGGAGAAATGAAGGGGGATACAGATGAGCGGAATCCGCAAAACTGGAGCCAGAGGCGGAAAACACTGCTCTTTCTCGCGCTGATGTCGAGCTCGTTGCTTGCAGATGGGTATGTCTGCTCCACCTACCGGTGATCATCGCAGTTAAACTAATTAGCTTTATCTACCACAGAGCTATGGTTTGGGGTGGTACTCTCATTACTCCCCAGGCATTGGAATGGGGCATTTCCATAAACAAATCCGCGACAAGCATGAACTGGGGCATTTTACTCCAGGGATTCGGTGGAATCTTTGCTGTTCCGCTCGTTGAAGCGTATGGTCGGTATGTCGAGTTCAGTCTCGGATAATTCATGCGGTATGGTGCAATCTCGACTGACTGAGTCTCCAGTTTCCCCGTCTGGATCTGGCCGCAGGTCATCACAATGTTTATGGTCCTGGGCGCGACGCTTTCAACAGACTACAACACCTTTACGGCTTTTCGCTCGCTGCAGGGCCTTTTTGGAACAGTCCCTCAAGTCATTGGACTGCCCATTATTCACGACATGTATAGTCCAGAGGGTAAGTAAATGTCCGATTTGAGCGCATTGTCACAGCTAACTGATTTTATTAGAATGGCCCCGCATGATCAACATCTGGTGAGCTGAACAATACCCACGCATGCTCCCATCTTCACCATCCCTATCAGGCGTCAATCTAATCTCACGTAGGGGAACAACATTCCTCGTCGGACCTTTCCTCGGCCCCGCCATAGCCGGCTACATTGGTGCCGGCACAAACTGGGTCTCCTCTTTTGGGGTACTGACAGCTCTATACGGACTATCAACAATTCTCGTCCTCGCCTTCGGCCGAGAAACATACTACAACCCAGATAGACAGCCAGGCTCCCTACTAGGCTCGTATTTTGGATTCGGAAACACTGGCCGACCGAAATGGAAAACGCTGGGATACTGGTGCAAGATCCTAGTGATTTATGTATTCCGATTCCCTTTATTGATGACTGGGATTGCCATTCTGATTACTTTCACCTGGCCTATTGGTATGTCTAGCCCTGGATTCTTTCCTTGTGAAGTCTCGTTGCGATACGCTTGGGAAAGAGGTTAACGAGTCCAGGAATCACTACCACCATCGATACTTTCCTCCACAGTCCTCCCTACCTCTTTGATACAATTGAGGCATCATCCATGCGCTTTGCTGGTGTTATTGGTGCACTATGCGGTATGCTTCCTCCCAATAGCAGCTCCATTACATGTTGAATAGATACTAACTCATTCATCATCAGGCTGGGCCTTTGGTCACTTCTTCAATGATTGGATCTATCGCCGACACCAACATGCCTGGCAGACTGAGTATCGACTGCACGGGGTGTGGTTTCCAGTCGGGAGCATGGTGTGCGGACTACTTACGTACGGACTGACAATGAATTTCGGTAAACACTGGATTGGAATCGCGTTTGGGTGGATCATGGTTAATATTGGAATGGTGGGCACGATTGTGTATGTTTCCTCTTCCACCGGACAGCTATGTTGGATGTTTTTGGCAAATGCTAACTCTAACCAGGGCAATCACGGCATATTCTTTGGAGAAATACCCCAATCGATCTACTTGCGTGTCTGCCATTCTCAATATGTGGCGAACCTGCGGAGGATTTGCAGTGGGGTATTTCCAGCCTGCCTGGATTCAACGGAATGGATTAGGTCTCGTCTTTGGAATCCAAGCTATCGTGGTTAGTGTTTCTGTTGTGTTGACGATAGTGCCTGTCCTGTTGAGGGAGCGACGGAAGGCTGGAACGGTTGGAACTGTCGGAGCAGCTAATACTGCGTAGTAAGTCTGAAAGACTGGATGGTTTGGTGTAGTAATTTTTTCAGTATACATACTAGTAGTACTTGCAATTCAAAGTAATTTATCGCTATGTTTTTCGAGACGTAGGTTGATACTGTGAGAAAACTGGAGATGATATAAGTTGTTTTGTCATTCGATTGCAGTGTGTTTTATCGTCAAGTGGATATTTAAATCGCTCCACGGTGGGAGTTGAACTGGTTCCTGCCAGGATAGTAGTGTCATAAGATTGAAGTTGAAGTTATCGAGGTGCCACCCTCGCCCCAGTGAAGATTCTAGCTATACCAGTTGCCTAATGCTAACAATTCTGATTGTGCAGTGAATAAATTGACCGGATACCAAATATTGAAATATCTACCTCGAATATTAGCTATCTACAGTACTGAAATCTTTCCAATAGCGCCAACCAACTCAGACCACACCTCCCGAGGCAGGCATGCCTCGAACCGCTTTTGACTCTAAATAGGTTGGCTCTTGATAATTTCCAAGTATTTACTGTGTATGTTAAAAGCAAAAAAGCATGTCAAATATGCACGACTTCTTTTGGTTGTTGATGACTCATCGCTGATGCCTGAATCCAGGAAAAAAGAAAGGATAGCATGTCCTGGTTTCGATCCAGGGTCCTCCGGGTTATGAGCCCGGCGCTCTTCCCCTGAGCTAACATGCTGAACTGATGAAAAATGGTCCTGAAATTGACGCTATGAAAGCTTTTCGTGAAAACCGGAACGCATTTTCATGGTATATCACGTGCGGGTCTACAAATATCAAGGTGCCGCCACAGTCGTCAATACCAGCTTTAGACACATTTGAATACATCATTTTGCACCTAAGAACAGAATGGAGCGAACGGAATAGTTTGATCCCAAATTAAAACCATTTATAATTCTAATGATTTTTTCACGAATTTTCATGCAGAAAATGTACGTCACCACCGCGTGTCCCATGGCTAATCACCACGTGATGATAAACATATGGACTCCGCGGAAGTTCACCACTTCAACTTCGATGTTGACGGTTGACGGTTGACATTCTCTCCTTTCCTGCCCATCTCCATCTTCATAGCCGTCCTCCTCAGAAATGGCGGCTAAAGATTCCGCATTCCCTCTCCGCCGAGGGTCGGATGCCTCGGAAAATGACTTCTTTGATATCCCTGACGAGTCATGGATGGCCATGACCAAACGCCAACTACGACACATCCGTACTTGGGTCATTCTCTTCGCCCTCCTTGTTTACTTCCTGTGGCCGAAATCGATCCCGCTTCCTCCGCAGCCCAATCCCCACATTCATTATGACGAGGTCGACTGGACGCGCTATGCTTACACGACGTACGCGACTAGCGAGACAGATCTATGCAATTCCTTAATGGTTTACGCGAACCTGCAGCGCTTCGAATCCAAGGCGGAACGTCTGCTATTCTACCCAGACGAGTGGGATCTCATTGTCGACGATGAGAACGATCGTATCAGCGAACTTTTGATCCTGGCCAAGGATAGATATAACGTCCAGATGTCGCCAATCAAGGTTGAGTCAATCAAGCGACCATCAGAACGTAAGTGGAAGGACACGAGGGGAGAGGACACCACACCACACCGCATCTGTGGCATCCGTGGGACCAAAGCTGACCACTATTCCCACTAGGATTCGCCGACGCAACCTGGGACACTAGTTCTGCCAAATTCAACGCATTCGGCGTCATTCAATACGACCGCGTCATCCACCTCGACACCGATATTACCCTACTTATGCACATGGACGAGCTATTCTTCCTCCCACCCACCGTCGTCGCCATGCCCCGAGCCTACTGGACCCTTCCCAACTCCCACGCTCTCAGCTCCCAGATCGTCGTCATCGAGCCTTCATACAAGGAATTCCTCGGATTACAAGAAACCACCCGTTTCGCGACGCACGGCCAATTAGACGTGTGGAACGGGACAGACAGACTTGACACCACGATCCTGAATTACCGCTACGGAGACAGTGCGTTGGTGCTCCCCCCACAAGGAGTACGGCCTGCTCACGAGCGAGTTCCGCAGAAAGGAACATCACAAGTTTCTGGGACCGGAGAAGGACTGGATTCCTGACAAGGTCATGGCGGAGAGCAAGTTTGTGCAGTTTTCCGACGACCCCTTGCCTAAACCTTGGGTTATGTGGCCGCAGGGAATGCTGGCTCAGATTCAGCCTACATGCGATAATAAGCCCGGCACATCTGAGGAGAGTGGATGTCGTGATCGAGAATTGTGGAAAGAACTTTATGATCATTTCCGGCGGCAGCGAAAGGTTCGTATCCCTGCTTTGTGTGTGTGCGTGCGTGCGTGTGTTAATTGGTTCATTCGATGCTGACTACTCTTTCTTTGACAGGAAGTTTGCAGGTTACTGAGCTACCCTGCTCCAGTATAAGAGGTCGAGTCTCTCAGGAGTGACCCCATTGTTTGAATTGTAGATTTGAGCGTATCGGAATTTTGGCGTTTGGAGAACGGGCCCCGGACATGATTGTACCGAATAGACAATATAAGTCGAATTCGAGATCGAGGATGAAGCTTGAATGGCCAATAGAAATGCCAGTGATAGGGTATCATGCAGAAAAGTAAAAAGAAAAAACCAAGCAGAAGAGCAGAGCAGAGCAAAGAAGAGAAGAAACAATCGAACACCATACCGAGGTGATATCAAGAATATCCCATCCCTTTCCTCCACCACCCCCAAACCCCGCGCTGAGCCATCAGACTCCCAAACTCCTTCACGCTCTCAACTTCATTCAACCCAACATCTCTGCCCGTCGCGCGTCCCAAGCTCAGGTCATCGGGTATAACCTCTGATCCAGATCCAGATTCAGGAACAAGTTCCGCCGGCTTACGCACCAACTGGAAATCCTTATATCGCAGCCTCTTCACCACTCCAACCCACCCCTCCACCTGGCCTTGTTCCAGTCCCTCAACGTACATGATCCCCGGACACCCGCCGGAGCGAAGGAGCACGAAGCAGCTATGTGTGTCGGCGGCACGTTTCAAGGCGGCGACCTTTTTGCGGGAGGTGATGTGGTGTGTGCGAATGAGGGCGTTGTAGAGGGGTGTAGGCATTGCGAGTGTTGAGAAGGGCGAGATGATAAAAGAAAGGAAGAAAAGAAGGATAAATTTTGAAGGTGGAGACGATCTTGGCTTGTCTTAGTAATGGGGTATTTGGAGGCATTTGGGGGAATGTGAGGAATTATTGGCCGGACGAAATTATTATAATTGCTTTTGATGATTTGGGATGATAGTACACCACCTAGGTATATTCACTGTTTATTCTCCCAGATCTGTTTATTTTGCAATGGTTCTTTTCAAGGCTCGCCTTGCTCCATGCTTATTCCTCCGTATTCAATTCGCATACACTCGATGAATCACTCGTCTCGACTGCATTTGCAGTAGTCTACGGAGTATACGGAGTACATGATGCACAAATCCCCGCAGAAAATACGAAAATGATACGAGAAAAATACGAGAGCTGTTTTATTGGTCTGAATGAATTCATCTCGCTGCATCTCGCTGCATTATCATGTAGTTCACCTGCAATTGTGGGTTCTCATAGGATTTTCCTTTTACGGAAAAGCTGCCGAGAAGAAATTGATTGACTCAGTTCAACCCCGCGGGGAATTCCTTCTTAAAATTATTGAGCTCTTTGACACCGGAATCCTTTTCAGCGTTGGAATTTTCGTTCTGGCTTGATAATCTAGGCTTTGCTAAATTGCACTGATTCAACGCATCATGGGGATCACTGAGACAGGTGAATCGCTGCAGCTGCCTCCAATCGAGGACCCCAAGCAACATCCAGGCTATACTGGATGAATATGGATTAGAATTCACTCCAAACGGAGAGTCAATTCGCTGGTCCGTGGGAAATAAAAGACATCCGCGCAATTGGTCTACCTCTCGCAAGATCTACGACACAGGCTTGGTCATATTCTTAGACCTGTTCACTACATCCGTTAGTACGGCCGGCAGTTCAGCGGCCGATCATGCCCGTCATGAGTTTGGAATTGGAAAGACACTTGCTATTTTCCTCTTTGTCTCGCTTTCTTTACTCGGCCAGATGTTCGGCGGTATCATATTTCCCGCTTGGTCTGAAGCTTTCGGTCGGAAAAAGCTCTACATCGTCAGTACTGGGTTATACAGCGTGTTCTGCCTGATCGTCGGCATTGTTCCATCTCTGGCGGCCGTTATTGTTGGACGCTTCTTGGCCGGGTTTCTTTCTGCGATTCCGGCTATCGTTGTTGCGGGGAGTATTGAGGATATGTACAACTCGAAGGATAGAGTGTGGCTTATTTTTCTGTGGGCTATTGTGGCTAATATGGGTCTTGCTTTGGGGCCTATTATGAGTATCTTTATCACAGTTTCTCTGAACTGGTATGTGCGAAAATCGGCCCCTCCCCCGAGATCCGAAGACAAAATTGACTTGATGTAGGAGATGGGTATTCCGCATTGCCGCGGTTGTCACCGCGATAATCACGGTCCTTCTATTCGGAATCAAAGAGTCCCGACCATCCTCAGTCTTGGAAATAGAAGTGGCAAAGGTCCGCAAAGAAAGCGGAATTCATACCCTGAAAGCATTGAACCCAGATCACACCCCCGATCTAATGACATTCGTTCGAATTGGTCTCTTCCGACCCATTCAACTATTCTTCACCGAGCCAATCGTTTTCATGGTGGCGATGATGAGTGCAGTGGCCTTCGCCCTGATCTACCTCTTCACCGAAGCCTTACCACCTATTTACGTCTCGATGGGCTTCTCAACCACATCCTCTTACCTCCCCTTCATCGCCATCTGCGTGGGTCTCTTATCCGGAATGCTCACGCGCATTCAAGACATCCGCATCATCCAAAAGTACAAAGAACAAGGCATCCCCCTCGAACCAGAGCACAAACTTCTCGGCTTCTCAATCGGTGCGCCAATCCTAGCCGGCGGGTTGTGGTGGTTCGCATGGACGATTCCGCCTCTAGTAACCAATATCCACTGGCTAGTCTCAGCGGCCGCGCTCGTCTTAATTGGATACGCCGTCAACGAATTCGACTCCGTGCTTGCGGGATATCTGGCCGATAGCTATATGGGGTATGCAGCTAGTGGATTTGCAGCGGTTCAACTTCTTCGCTCGTCGATGTCGGCTGTTTTCCCGCTTTTTGCGACGGAGATGTTCCAGGGGTTGGGGGCTAATGTTGCCGCTTCGATTTTGGCGGCGTTTGCGACGCTGTTTTGCGTTATTCCGCCTCTTTTTACGAGGTATGGAAAGAGGATTCGGTCCAGGAGTACTTTTGCCAAGTATAGTTTGCAGGTCTATCGTGAGAATGGTGTTGATAAGAACGGTTATTGAGATAGGCGTGCTTGGTGATATTTGTTTTTTTTTTTGGTGGGATAAGAGTTTTGGACTTGGAGTTGATAGAGGTACTCTGGTATTTTTAAGCATGATGGGAGCTGCGATGAGAATATTGATTTGCATATTTCGGTACTAGTAATATACATGAAAGTTTAATATCTAAGATACTAGTATGAGGGATTGCACTAGATAAAGAGATGTAGTAATTGAATTAACAACAGTTGATAACTTTGAGTCGAACATGCGAAAGGTGGGAACTATGGGCTGGATCGGAATTTGATGATGTAACTCTGTTCTACCACATTAGATCTTATGACAGGAGCAGATCAAGAAATGATCAAGTCAAACAGCCTGGAGAATATCGCAACACTCTATTGGGTGAAAATTTGAAGTTCATTCGTACAATGTACATGGCTGCAGACGAAGTCATCCGCTACTTCTTCTTAACCATCACCGCCATTTCCTTAGATAACCGGGGCCAGTGGCCTCATATTGCCCATTGCTTTTTCGACATGTCAGACCACGGACATTTTCTGCTTGTAATATCCACCGACGGATTCATGACAGGCCGCACTGACCACCATGCACTCCGCATTGGCATCGCATCGGCATTGCATCGGCCATCGCTTTCTGCGGCAGCTTCCCAGCAGCTCCATCCAGATATCTGCCTATCATTACAAAATGATTTAAAAAAAACAATCCAGAACTGGCTGGGAATAGCCGCGTCGAGAGATTCACCGCCCGATCCAACCTGTCAGCATGATCCAATGCACATTGGATCCGCTTTTTTCTTCGGTTCCAGGTGGATCTTCTCCTCAGAGTTTCCTCATTTAGTCGGCTCCCGCGGTCTCCGCGGGTTCCCTCTCCAGCGACTTACCACATTTGGGTAAAGTTGCGCAAAGGCCCCAGTGGCCAATATGTTCCTTGTCCCTCGTGGCGCACTTCCCTCGTGGCCGCCTGAACCGTCCGGAATTCCCATTGGCCAAGCTAGATCCTCCGGCCATCAGATCTTCTTGTTCGTCATGGATCATAGTTGATGGCGGACCCACCGGATGTCTCCGATGGATGAATAATTTTTTTGTTTGTCCTTTCGGGGTGCTGCCATTGGTTCTTTGTTGATTTAGAGTCATCTTGTAGCTTGGCTCCTCTTTTTGGATTTTTGGATTCTTGGTTCAAGTTCTGGCTCTCCTGGAGCTTCTGCTTGTCATAAGATAAAATCTTCTCTTCATCGCCACCTCTTCTCATCACACAACCATGCGAATGCTTGTTTTCCTCAACCTTTCATCATAGCAGTATTTGATCAGGATTCATCATGCCTGCTCCTCTGCACTCGCGCCCCCAGCCTTCATTCACTGCGGGGCACGAGGAACCATCTGAGGATCACGGCCCTCGTGTCCACGTCTCTCACGCAGATGAAGATGCCATCGCTGATATCCATCGCACCCTGACAGAGAAAAGTCAGCCTGGTGCGGTCCAGTACTCCGAGCCCCACTCCTCGTTCGACAAGTTCCTGGAGGAGCAGGTTCAAGGAGGGAAAAAGCGCTCCAATTTGGGAGTCAGCTTTCAATCTGTTTCGACCTGGGGCGAGGGTGATGGGCATGCCAATGTGAAGACATTAGGTACGGCCTTATGGCGTACCTTGACTTTCCAGGATATCTACGAATGGACATTCCAGCCGTGGGTATCATCGAAAAAGCCCGAAGATGGACGTCAACTCATTCGGGACTTTTCTGGCGTCGTTGAAAGTGGCGAAATGATGCTGTAAGTTGTTGATTGAAGAGAGATTAGGCTTATTGCTAACTTTAACAGGGTCCTGGGACGTCCAGGAGCTGGATGTTCGACATTCCTGCGCACAATTGCAGGCCATCACTCCTCCTTCCTGGGGGTAACAGGCGCCATCGACTACTCTGGCCTGTCCCCGGATGAAGTCCGCAAGCATTATCGCAGTGCTGTGGCATACGTGCCCGAGGAAGATGTGCACTTTCCCACCCTTACTGTGAAACAAACTCTCGAGTTTGCCCTGCAGAGCAAAACTCCCAAGCGCTATCAGAATCGAATCCCGCGGTATCTGGAGATCTACGGCCGCGTGTTTGGCATGACACACACGATGAACACACTCGTTGGAAACGAGTACATCCGTGGTGTCTCAGGTGGCGAACGCAAACGTATCTCTATCATCGAGTCATTGGCCACCGATTCATCGGTCACCTGCTGGGACAATTCGACTCGTGGTCTCGATGCATCATCTGCGCTGGACTATGCTCGGAGCTTGCGGATCATGACTGACACCTGTGGTAAAGCTACACTACTGACACTATACCAAGCCTCAGACGCCATCTACGAACTCATGGATAAGGTGCTTCTGATTGACGAAGGCAGAATGTTGTATCAGGGTCCGGCTAGCCAGGCGAAGCAATACTTTGAAGACTTGGGCTATGAATGTGCTGAGATGCAAACTACTTCCGACTTTCTCACCAGCATCACTGTGCCTGAGCGGCGACGATTCCGCGCTGGCTGGGAAGACCGCGCCCCCAAAGGTCTAATTGAGTTAGAGAAGGCTTTCCGAGAGAGCTATGCTTTCAAGAATGTTCAACGATCCGTGGAGATCTACGATGACAAACGAGTCAGCGGCAGAGTCAACGGATCTTGCCAAACCGACTCGGAATGTGGAAGTGTCGAGGAGTTCAAGCGCAGTTTGCAGAACGACAAATCTCGATTTGTATCTTCCAACTCTCCATACACTATTTCACTCTTCCGTCAGGTTGTGATCTGTGCCCAGCGCCAGATGTGGCAACTCAAAGGGCACATGAGTCCCCTTTATATCAAGTTTATTTCTTGCATTGTCTACGGCTTATTGATCGGATCAATGTTCTACAACCAGCCCCAGACCACCGATGGAATGTATTCTCGCGGTGGTGTGCTCTTCTACTCCTCCATCCTGTTGGCCTGGTTACAGATGTCGGAGTTGGAAGAAGCAATGCAGGGACGAGATATCCTCAGTCGACAAAAGAAATTCGCCTTTGTGAGACCCAGTGCTGTCTGTATGGCTCGTGTCATGCAGGATATGATTCTCACCGCGTTCCTGACCATACTTTATCTCCTTGTGATGTATTTCTTGGCAGGGTTGCGTTCAGATGTAAGCCTACACCCCCCTCACAAACATCCATACGGTGAAAGGTTCTAATAATTTCAGGCTGGCCCTTTCTTTATCGACTTTCTCTTCATTTATACATGCACGGTCTGTCTCACAGCTCAATTCCGCGTTTTTGCGGCCATGTCGAGCAATTTCGAAGTCGCTCTAAGATATTGCGGTGTGTCGGTCTTGTTCTGCATTGTCTTTGGCGGTTATGTTCTCTCTGTCGACAAAATGATCCAGGATGTTCCCTGGGTGGGATGGATTGCGGTAAGTGAAGTTGATATAGTATGGCCCAAAGCATTGACTAACTTTCTTACAGTATATAACGCCAGCGCTGTACACCTACGAGTCCGTCATGGCTGCCGAATTCCACAATGTCAACTTCACCTGCACGGCATCGTCAATTGTACCAGAAGGAGCCAACTACACCGACATCGCATACCAGACCTGCGCTTATGCTGGAAGCAAAATCGGCAGCACTGTCGTCAACGGAGATGACTACTTGGCCAGCCAATTCGGATTCTACTACAGCCACGTGTGGCGCAACTTTGGCATTCTTTGTCTCTTCACCGTCGTCTTTGTTGGACTTACTTGCTGGCTTAGTGAAGTCATGGAGTGGGAGTTGGATGGTGCTGGTCCAATTCAGTACCGAGCCCCGAAAAAATGGCTTAACCGGAAGAAAACCTCTGGCGTTGACGAAGAGACAGCCCCTGTTCCGGTCGACCCTAAAGCACCTCCTGCTGGAGCTCAGGGAGTCAAGTCCGACCAGGTTTTGGCTGCGACCGAATCTACCTTCACCTGGTCAGACTTAGAACTCAACGTTCAGATTGGCAAAGAGACTCGCAAGCTTCTCGATGGTGTCAATGGATATTGTAAGCCTGGAACTCTGACAGCTCTTGTCGGAGCTTCTGGTGCGGGAAAATCTACTTGTGAGTTAAAATTCTGGTGGATTACTGATATGATCTAACAATCCTTAGTGTTGACTGCACTTACTCAAAGACAAAGCGCTGGCACACTATCTGGCACGATGTATGTGGATAACCAACCAATTGGTGATTCCTTCAACCGCCAGATCGGGTATTGCCAGCAGATGGACATTCACGACGAAAGTAGCACAATCCGAGAGGCTTTCGAATTTTCCGCACTGCTTCGGCAAGATAAGAACATCCCGAAAGATGAGAAATTGGCCTACGTGGAAACGGTTTTGCAGACCCTTGATTTGGTGGAATTGCAGAACGCGGTGATCGGTTCCCTGGATATCGAAAAGAAGAAACGTGTCACAATCGGAGTGGAGCTTTGTGCACGACCACGTTTGCTTTTGTTCCTTGATGAGCCTACCAGTGGACTAGATAGCCAAGGCGCAACCAGCATAGTTGCTCTCCTTCGCCGGTTGTCGGACCAGGGGCTAGCTGTCCTCTGTACTATTCACCAGGCGAACCAGCAACAATTCGAAGAGGTAGGTCATACGTCCCCAGCCTCTCATTCATTGAATATGTTTTAACTCGTACAGTTTGACCGCGTGCTCGCACTAAGCCCAGGTGGAAACACATATTACTTCGGACCCGTTGGAGAATCTGGCCAAGCAATTTTCGAATATTTCACCAAACATGGACACAACCCTGAAAAGGTCACCAATGCTGCTGATTTCCTTATCGAGGTTGTGGTGGGTGGTATGAAGTCTTCAGGAAACCATCTCAACTGGGCGTCCATTTGGCGCCAATCCGAAGACGCAAATACTGTCAAGAAGGAAATATCCGATATTCGTTCCCACGAAAATGTCCACCAAAAGACCACGGCCCCATCCCTTCCTTCAACTTATCAACAAATCATCCTCCTCACTCAACGAACAAGCCGACAATTCTATAGAACAGCAGAGTATCCGTACTCGCGTTTGTATGCCTCGTTCCTCCACGCACTCATCAACGGCCTCACATACCTCCAAATCGGAGACAGCACGACTGATCTCCAGTCCAAGGCCTTTTCCGCCTTTTTGGTTCTCATGCTTGTTCCCGAATTCATCAACGCCATCTCCATGCGCTTCATTCTCAATCGTGACATCTGGTTGGCGAGAGAGGGTCCAAGTGGAGTCTACAACTGGATCGCGTTCAGCACCGCGCAGATTATTTCTGAGATCCCGTATGCCATTGTGGGTGGAACAATCTTTTATGTTCTGTATTACTTCATGGTTGGACTGCCTCTTGGTTTTGCTGCTGGGTACAGTTTCCTGATGTTTTTCCTGTTTTTCCTATTCGCTACATCTTGGGGACAGTGGATCGCCGCTCTGAGGTAAGTACCTGAAGCTCGATCTCATCATTCAATTCGATATATTTACTGACCATATTCAAGCTCCGACTCCATGGTCGCCGCAACTCTCATGCCATTCTTTATAATTATGTGCGAATTGTTCAACGGCATTCTACGCCACCATGAGCAGATGCCCGCTTTTTGGAAGTACACGATGTACTACATAACCCCCTTCACCTACTGGATTGGCGGTGTTCTCACAGCCGTCCTCCGCGGAACCGATGTCACCTGTTCGCAAAGTGAATTGACTCTCTTCGAGAGTCCGCCCAACATGACCTGCGGCGAATACGCCGGTCCCTGGCTTGCGAGCAAAGGAGTTGGATATCTCTCAAATACGGACAGTACTGGTACCTGCGGTTACTGCCAATATAGCCGTGGAGACGATGTGAGTTTTCCCAAAAACAAATATTGAATGAAATGGAACACGAAAACTGACCGTTTAAACTACAGTACCTTGCTAGCATCGGCCTGGACGAATCGAAGATGTGGCCCTACTTTGGAATCTTCCTTGCTTTCACCATCACAAACTACCTCATGGTTTACTCTCTTGTTTATGTTCGTTCTGTTATGAAGCCTTTCTGGAGGAAGTCATGATGCGCCGCATCCTTTAAATTTCTATTTCAAGTCATAGCGACCACATAGCGGCATTTGAGGTGTTTCATTTCGTTCTGTTCATTCTGTTAGCCTCATCCTAGCTCACTGCAAAAATGTCACTTTGAAACAATTCAATTCTAGCCGTACGAGCTTCGATAATAACTGTATAATAATAGCATTTTGCATTAAGACCAGCCATTAGTTGCTAGTAATAACTACTAGTTCACCTTATCTGTCCTAGAAGCTAGAAAATGACGTCATGAAGCGGTATAGTGGGGGAAATCCGAAAAAAAAATGCCGTCCTCCCCCGCCTATTTTCGCTCTGCGCGTGAAGCTATCATCAATTCTCTTTTTCTCGCTATCTGCCTATATGAATCAAACGAAGGTCCAAGGTTTAAAAAGCTTACATATTATACAAACAAGATGAGTGCAAGTACAACCTAGAGATAAACAATTACTATAGCGGATATCATGAGCTCGGGCTAATTACTAAACTAGACAGAATTTGTGCGTTCCCTATTAGGTCACATTATACAGAATTTCCTCTGGGAGGCACAATCTAGCTTGCTGAATTGATATAATTTTGCTATTACATACCTAGGTGCTAATCGATACATAACTACTTTAGCTTGTCAGTTTCGCGGCCCCGGAAGCCAAAGAATATAACTATGGCGCTGAGCCTGGAGAAACGTAAGTTGTTACTACTTTCTCAATCTACAAAGTACCAGCATTTGGGTTTGAATTAACTGAGAAAATGGAATATATTAGTCAGAGCTTTTTGATTGAATTTGTTACAAAAACACTCACCGTGGTCGGTGACAAAGTTGATAGCGCCATGCACGTTCCAGCTCCAGAGGGGCACCCTTTCTCACATGCGCTCGTGTATGTCATTCCCCTTCAAATCCAGCTAACTGTACGCATTTTTAATTAAACATATAATATATCAAGTGTCAAAACATCCGATATGGATCCAGAGGATCTCCAAGAGCTACTGGCTGATGCCTGGGCCAGGACACAAGTTCCCGCCGGTGATAAGGAAGGGTCTCTTCCAGAAGTCTACATCAATGTCTCGGAGGCATTTCCAAATGAATAAACACCAAAGGAAGATGTCTTACCCATCGGGTTGGCTATCTGAACTATTTACGAGCGGACGGAATCTAGCCAGTTATAATGAAGCATGCGAAAAATGAAAGCCAGCGGGTAATTAACACTTCCAATTGCCTTGTGTACTACATCAAATAATTCCATACAAACTCGACCCCGATTTTGGATTAATCACATCACTCTCATACGCATTCCCTAATACGCATACCGGAAATGGGGGTTCTCCTTATCCGTTAATCCAGCCCACTTAGTCTCATCAACCATGCCATCATCAACATGCCCCTTATGCTCATCACGGCGACGATTCACGAAGAAATAGTACGCAAACAGCACGACCGAGAGAAAAGCAGCAGCAGCCTGAGTTGCCAGAACTGCAATCTTCGCAGGCCGATAATCCGGTGCGTCTTTTGCTTGGAAAGTCTGCGGGCCGATAATGTTACCCACAGAAAAGGAGCCCGCGACAAGGGCACTTGCGAAGGCGCGTTTCGTATGACCGGCTGTATTTGCCATGGTCCATTGGTAAAGGATTGGGAGGGTGGCTACGATCGCGTTGACGAGGTAGATGCCAATGAGAACGCCTGCAGTGTTGCTTTTCGGGAGGAATGACATCAGACCGCCGCCTATTATTCCGGGAATTGTGCATAGGACGTTCCAGGCCCAGCGGTTGGAGGTCTTGCGAATTCCGTACCCGACGAGTAGCGTGAAAAAGATGCTCACTATACCTCCGGGTGTATTCAAGAGAGCGGAGATGGGTCCTGTGAAGCCGAAGCCGGCGATGAGGGTTGCGGAGTACGTTGTCACCACGCCGCTGGAGACAGAAATGAGGATCGTTGTCAAGGTGATGAGCCACAGTTGGGGGTCGATGAGAGCTTCGCCGATTTGTTCGATGTTGATCTTTGTGCTCCACACGCCTGTCTGGTTGGAACTGACGTGTTGAAGGAGCGCGACTTTCTCTTCCTCCGACAGCCACTTTGCTTTGATTGGGGTGTCGTGGGATGAAGAAGAACGTCAATGCTCCAACAATAGAGGTTATCAGACCTAACACTATGAACATGATACGCCATCCTTCCAGTTGGGCATGCTGGACATGCTGGAAGGCAAAAGAGATGATGCCGCCAAGTATCTGTGCGACTCCTAGTCCCATATACCAAAATGTGAAGCGAGGTGCCTGCTCGCTGCGTGTGTAATACTGACTGCTAATTAGCATCAAAGAAGGGCCGATCGTGGCCTCGAAGATGCCCAAGAAGATTCGCGCAGCGAGTAAAGTCTTGTAGTCCTTTGCGCCAGCGGAGGCTGCCGCCGCAACGCCCCAGAAAAACACATTGCCTCCGAGCCATTTCGCCGCGGGGACTTTTTGCAAGAAATAAACTACACCGGTCTCAGTATTTATACATGGCAGTCACGTTCAAATTGCGGTGGAGGAGATGTGATGTGATGTGATATGGTGACATATGCAAAGCAAGGGATGGCTTACCATTCGGTACTTCTGCAATGAGATACGCAATGAAAAACCAGGATGCCGTGTTGGAGAACTCGTTTCCTTTGAGATGAAGTTGGGCTTTGATTCCCATAACAGCCGCATACTAAACGATGTGAGTACGGGATGCAATGCGATGTCGGTGCACGACGATCCGATCGACCAGCGAGGGTAGATCCGGGGTGGGACAGATGCGGAATCAGAATCGGACTCGATTCAACTTACATTCAACATGACCTTATCCAAGAACTGCAAAACATAGCAGCAAAACATGTACGGCAACAACCGACGATCAATCTTTCGTCGCAGCGCCGCAAGATCGACATTCGCGTTCACATGGTGATCCTCAAGGTAGACGACCGCGTCGTCGCGGTCTACTGCTTGAGCTGCTGGCTCTTTTTCGCCCATTTTTCCTATGAAACTGCGAAATCGCAGGGCTCAAGTACCAAGCCTGGGGGTGCAAAAAGAAATTTAGATGAAGCTGGGGTGTGCTGATTATGAAGCTGGGGTGTGCTGGTTGTTGAGGGGGAGTGAATGGCAAAGTTTAAAACAACAAAGTTTCGCAGAGATGCTACGTACAGATGGCACTTGTACTGGCATGTACGAAGGTAGTATCGGCAAATGTACTATGTACGGAGTGAATCTAATGAGTTAGTTCTGCACTAGCTGGGGGGCTCACAAATCAGTCTCATTGGCCCTGTGCAACCAACGTGGAAATGAAGCACTATGAGACACTGGATCCTGCGCATCGACCAACGAGATCGGCGAGATTCCCCGATACCAGGATCGCTAATCGTCGACTGCCCCGGTGGAGTTGAATTTTCTCGGTTGTAGGTTCTCCGTAGATCTAGATTGATGGGGGTGGTGTCCTACGCGAACTGAAACTGTAATTGCTAGCCTTTGAGGAACAATGGTTGGTGGTAGGGGGGTTTCGGGCGCAAGGGGCGAAGGTTTTCCCTAGACCAATGCATCCAAGGATCCTTTGATTACCCATGCATACATGGAAGATACAAAGAACTTCTCGCTAGAGCGCTAGAGTACCTTCTCGCAGATTTATCGATCCCAGTTCCCTCCACGTGGATTATTCTCCTTCATCGATGCCTCATTAACTGCCACGATGGGATGGGTATACAACGCCACTCCCGAGGTCGAGGCTGCGTCCCAGTATCCTGTGATTCTGGGTGTATGCCTGAGTCTAACGATACTGATGGTGATCACAGTCTGTTTGCGCTTGTTTATGCGGGCGCAAGCGAGTCGACTTGGAGCAGCGGATTATGTGATGGTTATGAGTATGGTGAGTTTCTATCTCTATAACCTTGGAAAACATTTGTTTTTAGGTGCTGACTGCATGCAGGTGTTTAGTATTATCTACAGCGCTCTTTGTATTTCCCGTGAGATTGAAATCTCCAGTCCATGAGTTCCCCGCAGGTCTAATGTAAATGAACAGAATCGCGATATGGACTCGGTCTTCCGCTCAAGTTGCGACCAAAGGCTAATTTGGCCACATACACCAAGGTAAACAGATCTCAATACAATAATACTTGCTTTTCTTTAGGAAATGAAGCTGATAAACTCATTTAAAGATTAACTACGCAGGTCGTCCATTTTACCAAATTGGCATCGCCGGATTCAAAACTTCTCTTTGCCTCAGCTACCTGCGACTATTAGAGGGCACCTCGAAAAGCATCTACAGGATAGTGATCTGGATTGTCATCGGTCTCTCGACTGCGGGTCATATTGTGGGAGCTTTGATCTTGATATTCACTTGCACACCAGTGTCGAAAGCGTGGATCCCCACTGAACCTGGATCCTGCCTACCTGTTGGCGCGACATTTTACGGCCTTGCAATTTTCACGATCATTTGCGATGTTGTCATTATTTTCCTACCAATTCCGCTGCTACTCCGACTCAATATAAAGCCCGCGCAAAAGGCAGGCGTGGTCTGTCTTTTCTTATTGGGGCTGTTTACGACGATCTGTTCAATCCTTCGCCTGACGCAGATCCACCGTGTCGCATTTGGCGACGGAAATTCCACCATGTTGGTGCTTTGGGGGACGATCGAGTTTAACGTGGGGGTATGTTTCTCCCCTGATCTGCTCCCTTCGTTTCATCCTACGAAAGGCGATCTAATTACTAACTTTCGAATGTTACAAGAATATCGTTACTTGTGTCCCGTACCTCGCACCTCTTCTCAAGGGCTATGTACGCGATTTCCGCTCTAATAGTGGCCGCAAGTACTATAACAGTAATGGTCAGATTTACGCGATGGAGAACTGGACCAAGGATGGGCGCTCTCAGCTACAATCGCACGCTAGTGCGCCAAAACGTACGCCGAGCGAGGAATTAATTCTGTCCAGCCATGAGCCATCGCATGGGGGAATTGAAATGACGGTTGAGTACCGGGTGTCGAGGGACACTCTCGCAATTCCTAAAGGTTCCTGATTGGATGACCCTGTAGGATTTGCGCCTAGAAAGTTTGGGCGGAGGGCAATTTGAAATCGATGGTTGTAATATATATTTGAGTCTGGTTTTGATATTAATTTAAGACAAAATTGAGATTACGGCCCGCTCTTACTACTAGTAGTACATCTTCAAAGGAATTGTACTACAGTAGTATTCTCCAGGGCTACAGCACTCGGAAGGATCGTGGCCCCCAACTGAACCAATTTATTGACGGCATTAGCATCATAACCTTCCGGGATATTTTTCATTTTGCTTGCTGCTGAAGCAAGATACTTTTGCTTAAGTTCAAACTAGCCAGGGATGCAAACCACGCCAAACTCAATGCATTTTCGCTTCGGGTCGGGCTTCCGGTTGCACCCTTCGGCCCCAGCAAGTGGACCGCACGATCCACAAGTCATATTGGTGTTTGCCTAGAACTTTGATCCACTTTGGCAGAGCTACTGCACGCCTAGGGGAGACTGTTCCCTTAAGGTGGGGGGAGCTTAGCCAGTCTCTCTGCAACGACAAGGATTAAGTTGACGCCGCGCCGCTGATCGTGGGTCGGTAATGGGCGCTCGGCGGAGTCCGGTTGCTAGATCCTTCGACCAGGCTGTTAATACCCTATCGGGTGAATGAATTAGGCAAATGGAAACGGATAGGGAATCCTATGCGAAGGGCCTTTTTACCGGAGAAAATTCAATGCCTCCAGGGCTGGCTGGCAGGCTGGAAGTTCAATATAATATGCTCCGTAGAGGTGCATTAGACGCTTCGGAAGTCCACATCGGGGCGCAGGCGCTGCTAAACTTGCCCGAATGCATGGCATTGCATGATCCTTCCGTAAGATACAAAGTAGTATTTAGTCGTATTGCATGTTTATGCCACGGGATTAGGTGCTGACGGGGTCTTGTCTCGGGACACGATCACTATGTTTCAGCATGCCAATGAGACGCCCTCCCTGATTGTACTGGTCTTTCCCCTATTTTTCTTCTTGCCCGATCTCTTTTCCTAGAGGATATACCTAATGACTTTGCTTTTTTAGACTGCGTGCGGTGTACAGTGGGAGTGCTGCGAGAGGTGCCCTATTATGGCCTTACGTATTAGGCACAAATGTGCTGACTCATCCCATACCTTCCTCCAATAGCCATATCAGATACATCATTCCATTCAGCTATTCCCCTCAGTCCCTTCGGTTAGCAAACTGTATTCCTCTTACAGGTGACACAAGCTCTGTACTACATGCATGCACAGCTGCTGTACAATAGTTGGACACAATGACGATCCTTATCGTCGGCGCTGGCATTTCAGGCCTCATCCTCGCTCAGCATCTCAAGAGCAAACAAATCCCTTTTCAGATTTTTGACCGCGACTCCGCCCTTGATGCCCGCACTGGTGGCTGGGGTCTGACACTACATTGGTCGCTCCCTGCGCTGCGTTCTTTACTGCCAGACGAGCTGGTCCAGCGATTCCCGGAAACATTCGTCAACAAAGATGCCGCCGCACGCGGTGATGTGGGGAAATTTCAATTCTTTAATCTCAAGTCGGGTAAAGCGTTGTACAGCGTTGATGCAGAGGAGCGCATCAGGGTCAATCGGGGGCGGTTGAGAGAATTATTGACGACGGGGCTGGATGTGAAGGTACTTTCAAATCGGGCTGAGAATACAGGGATGAAACAGTTAAGCTGATCAGCGCAGTGGAGTAAAACCCTCGAATCAATCGAATCAACGACAGAGGAGGTGACGGCACGGTTTGGCGACGGCACCGAATACAATGGACAGCTTTTGATCGCTTGCGATGGTGCTCGGTCGCGTACACGACAAATTCTTTACCCCGATGCTGCGATGAATCCACTCCCGGTCCAGTTACTTGGTGCATCGACACTCTACTCAGCAGAGGAGATGAAAGGCGTGCAAAATATCGACCCTTATATCTTCCAGGGCTCTCATCCTGACACGGACGTCTTTCTTTTCTTCAGCTGTACGTCCCCGCACTCTTCATTGTGAAATTGGCTAATCGGATCAATTAACAGTCCTTGATACACCGAGTAACTTCGATGAGAGCAGTCGGGATCGATATCATGTCCAGATTATTGTATCCTGGGCTGATATAAAGGGAATAAATGTTCCGCAAGAGAACTCTGATCGCATCGCGCTGATGAAAAGGCTGTCGGATAACTGGGCCGAGCCATTTAGATCACTTGTGCAGCAGCTGCCCGTTGATGCAGAGGCGCGATCCATTCGTATTGAAGATTGGATGTTCCAACTCGGTCGGAAACATGCACACCCTCGCGTTGTATTAGTGGGGGATTCCGCGCATACGATGACGATGTGTATGTTTGTCCCAATCTACTGCCACATCTACAATCACTGACTATATCTAGTCCGGGGCGAAGGAGCCAATAACGCTATTGTTGATGTTTTGGACTTGGTGAAAAGGGTAGATTTGGAGAAACTGGAGTATGACAATCGAGAGAAGCCCTTTCTTGTCTGCCCATGATGCTGATGATTCTAGGTCGTTCAATGTGCCCTCTCTTTCAGCGTCTTTGACGGCCTACGAAAAAGATATGTTTTCCCGTGCTGAACCCAGCTTTCGCAACTCTCGCCAAGCGTGTCTGGATGCGCATGATTTCTCCAAGATCGAAGGCAGCCCACTTGTGATGGCGCGAAATCTCAAGAAGGATTAACACTGAGAGCGGAGCCCTGTCATAGCCTCACGCCTCGCCTGTGCTAACTCAGCCCGCGCCCACTAACTAACTAACTAACTGTATGTAGATAGACTAAATTTGTTTACTCCGATGGCCATTTCACACACTTTGTTACATTTATCCATTCTCTTCAGTCCCTCCGGTTATCAATTTGCCTTGGGAGTGTGGTGACTACTGGTATCTACCGGGTTATCCATTATATGATATCTAGAAAATGCATTCTATTAATCACCTGGGCGAAAACCTGCCTAAATATTGAACTCCAGGCTGCGAGCGATATGCTGTAATCCATGGATATATCCTCACTGTCATGATCACCATTGCCATGCACTGTGTACTAGTATGACCACTAAGATTCTAACTTGAAACTTGAACCTTCTCCTCAACTCGAGTTACCGACACACAAGTCTTCTCTAAACACATCGCCCTAAACCCAAGCAAATTCTGACTTTGAGTCTGCAAAAACCTGCGAAATATTAGCAATACTTATCAAGGCAGACTGAGCAAGGAAGGACTCACGCTTGGTACCGTTGAACATTCAAAACTTCCCTCTCAACCAAAGCCCTCAACGCCCACCGGATATCACCAACAAGGCTTTCGCACCGACTCCGACTAAATTCTTCCCGCACAACAGCACGCATCATACTCATACCTGCATCGGCGGCCATTTTATACGCAGGAACAATCCACCCGCGTTCACGCAGTTTCGCAGATACGGCGAACTCATCGAATAGAACCCCTTGCTCGGGCCCGAGTCTGAATGCCACGACTGGAAGACCTTGGCCACCACCTTCGCTCATGATGATGAACCCTAGACCGGATAGTTGACTGGTGAGATAGTCCGCTGTATCAGTGAGGTTAGCCATAATAGCAGTGTATCCTCTTTTCCCGAGACGGATCATCTGATAATATTGTGCGATGATGTGAGAGGCAGGCTTGGAGAAGTTCAAAGTGAAATTTAGCTGATCCGAGCCTAGGTAGTCGATGTTGAAGATGAGGTCGTCGGGTAAGTAAGAAGATGAGCGCCAGAGAGCCCAGCCTATCCCGGGATAGACCTGAATATTGTTAAATATGACTGAAGTGGGCAGGAAACTGCATCAAATGTTGATCTTAATCAGAGGTAGACTTACGAGTCCATACTTGTGGCCGGAGACGTTTATAGAAACGACATTCGACAATGAAAAGTCCCATTCCAGATTTGGATTCACGAATGGAGCAACAAATCCACCACTAGCTGCATCGACGTGGATAGGGGTGTCAAGTCCCTTTTGCACAAGGATATCATTTATGCCCTTGACATCCTCGTATTGGCCCGTGTATGTCGTTCCCAAAATGGCGCAAATTCCGATCGTGTTTTCGTCGACGAGCTCCACTGCTTGCACCGGATCGATAACATACCGCGTTGAAGTACAGAGAACAAGCTTTTCCTCGATCTCGAAGTACCGCGCTGCCTTTTCCCAACAAACCTGTACGCCGCTGCTCATGATCAGGTTCGGTGACGAAGTATCTTTCCCTGCGGCCGTTCGGGCGTTCTGCCAGCGTTTTTTCATAGCTAGGACAGCTAGCATTATTGCTTCCGATGACCCGATACAAGCAGTTCCTATGGCCGTGGTCTCATTGTTTTCAGTCGGGGCGTGAAAAAGGTTGGCTAGGATATTGATGCAGCGATGCTCGGTCTCGACGGACTTGGGGTATTCTTCTTGGTCGACGACATTCTTGTTGGAGGATTCTGCGATGAGCTTTTCGGCTTCTTCTTCCTGTGAGCTGTTAGAGAGGCAGTCAATAGAAAGGTGAGGATAATCATAAAATTCATACCATGTAGGTTGTCACAAAACTCGCGAGGCTTTATTTATTTATTAGCTTTTTTGTAAACCGTCGGAAATGGTCTCTGCATACTTCAACATGGGATGTCCATCGAGGATCAGGTCATCTTTGATCATACGATAAGCAACCTCTTTGGGCATTTCCTCTTCCGGGAAACATTGCGCCGGCATATACTGTGATGCAAATCGCGATCCATACACGTTGGACGTCCTAGACGATCCACGGAAATGTTTGGAGAGTTGTCCGGACATGATGAGCCTGACAACTAATTGAAAATTGTAATATTACTACAAAATTCGGGAAGCTGAACAAGTTCTCCTATTTATGCTATCGAGTGATCGGTAATCTTACTGGAATAATCACGCATAGAAGCCCCGACAACGTGATGAGGCATTTTGGGCAGAAAGGAGAATGGGGCTCAGACGCGGCCAAAAAAGGTCTCCAAATGTTCCGACTACATCCGTCGCGACTATTTCCCTTGAAGGTTCCTCAAAGATCCTCGCATTATTTGTATTTGGATCTACTATTGCCATTTGACTCCACTGTACTTCGTAGTTGCTTTGTACCATGTTCTCTCTGGTCGAATTTTTTTTTGGCCAAGCCTTCTAGAACGATTAACGTTACCCCTGTTTCGATCCCGTTGTACCCGTGTGATTGATCTACGATCACCTTCGCCACTACCCCTTGTTTCGTTGATTGAGACACATCACGCATTCTGTCGCGCCATTTTCATCGTGTGCTGACAATAAGCCGCGACAATGCAATGTCGATCCGTGCGTGCGATCAATCCCGCGTAAGAATGCGCTTTTAATTCTTAACGCGTTAACGGCGGAAATTCCTGTAGTCTCAAAATGATTAGATGAATATTTCTGGTATAGCGACCGGTTATTTTAATTGAATCTATCCTGTTGGCTTACAGTATTTCCACACGTCGTTATTATGGCTCGTAGCGAATGGAAAGTCCGAAAGGGAGAGCTCCATGGAATATCTAATTCTTTATTACTTCAATTGACAAACTTGAAATGGAAAAATTATAAATTTGCAATGAGTGTGGATGATACCAAGATACAGCAGGGGCTACCTTAGTCTCGGGTACATGTAGCCGGTTCACGACTCCGAAGACAATCGAAGCGACCCGGTCGTGCTGCGAGGCAACGATTCAAATACGCCGGTCTCGCCTCACTTTATCGCTCATTGTGCGGAATTACTATAGGGACTGATTTTAAGATATTGATTCTCATCAACATGGAAAAACAATCGTTGGAGCCCACGTTCGCCAAATTACGGCCTTTAGGTGAGCGTACCTAATTTCTTTCTCTCTAGATTGAAGATATAATTAACCATCATGAATCAGGCCACGCCGAGAGATACTCCGCAGCTCGCAGTGACCTGGGAATATATCTCAATGTTGCTTTAACAGCCCGCTACAAGACTTCCGGCAAGGTCGCAGTGAAGCCGGCGCTCTTCCATGCCCTGACAGCCCTCATAGCGAAACATCCGATTCTCTCAACAATCCCATGGGCTACTGAAACGACGAAGCCATACTTCGTCCGTCTTCCGACGTTAGATTTGGACCATGTTGTTAGCTTTTTCGAGGACGATGCAAATGAAGAGTGGAGAGATTTCGTGGACAAGGTTCTCGAAAAAGAACACAATACTCCCTTTGAAAGTCGAGCTGGCACTAGCCTTCTCCCATTCTGGAGATTATCTGTGATAAATCACCGGAATATCTTGGATACCTTCACTTTGATTTTTGTGTTTCACCACTCACTCATGGACACCCAGAGCGCTCATTCATTCCATCAAGAATTGGAAGAATACATGCACCGATACTCGGGCCAAGACCTTCCAGTCAATACTGTCATTTGCCCATCCACAACACTACTTCCACCTCTGGAAGGAATGTGCAATCTGTCAATATCCGATAGCTTCCATCTATCCCAGAGCACTTATCATGAACCGAGCCCAGAAAGCTGGACGGGGGCACCTCAATCCACACCTGTGAAAACTCGCTTCGGATCGATATGGCTTACTGAAAAAGACACGCGAGTGTTGAGAAATTCTAGTATAAGGAACAAATGTTCAGTAACGGCAACACTTCAAGCGCTACTGGCGCACAGCATATTCGCTGCTCTCCCCTCTCAATATACAATACTGCAGGGTGACTGCGCAGTCTCTCTGCGACGGTTTCTTCCACAGCCGATAGAAGCTACCAGTCTGGGATGTTATGTCGGATCACTATCGGTCGTCTATCACAGAAAACCCACATTTGACTGGGACGATGCTTTTCATACTAAGAAAGCGATTCGCGAGACTCTCGCCATGGAGGGAAGAGACATGCCTGTTGGTTACTTAGGCACAATTTCGGACATGCATTCCTGGATGCGAGAAAAGCTCACCAAGAAAAGAGCAGCAGCCTTTGAGCTCTCTAATATTGGAACTGGCCTGAATGCGAAACCTGGCGGAGATGGTTCACATTTCAGGATCGAGAGTATGCTCTTCAGTCAGAGCTCGAGTGCATGCAGTGCGGCAATTAAGATAAGTGCAATTACCGGCCCAGATGGGAATATTGCATTGGGGTTCAGCTGGCAGGAAGAAATTGTTGACGACGTGATGATTCAAAAAGTCCAGAAGGTGTTACAATATGCGATTGAATCCTTGAAAGACTAGAAACCTCTTGGTTACGCGAATTGGGCCACAACCTTGGAATATACCTGCTACCTTTTAGGTTATCTTTGACAAACAAGTTGGAAGCCGAAGTCTATTTTTTAGTTGAAGAGCAAAAAGCAGGCTATGCCTAATTGGTGGTAGAGAGATGGTAGCGAAATTCGATTACGATATTCTAGTTGGATAAAAAAAGGAGGCCCACTGCCCCTTATCCTAGTGGAACCAGTAGTGGAACCGCTACGCCACTGGGCGCCAAAAACACAATGCCAAAAAATACAAAAAGTAATGCATCATCCGTGAATCGAACACGGGCCTCGTCGATGGCAACGACGAATTCTACCACTAGACCAATGATGCTAGTTGATATGTGAAGTCGAAATACATGGTTATCTGAATCATATTCACTAGAGTACTTGGTAAATAATTATTTCAGATTGAGTGACAAGGGTTCGATTTGGCGCTTGAGACTTTTTTTTCTCCGGCGACGAATCTAACTTGAGTATGCTGTTATGATTCACTAATTTCGAGATTGATTGTGGAGAAAAATTGACTCCCAAGGTTGTGAGTATGCTTTCTGCGACATTTTCTCCATGATTTCCCCCGCACAGTGCGGGCCTGTGCCGATTTGGTTCTCGGGTGATTGTACCCGAATAGCAGGCTTTTCTGCCGGAAGGGAAGTAAAATGTTATTTAAAAGAGCTGTTCAAGTTGCAAATCCCATGCCTTGGCTCCCAAAACCATCGGACCTTTGTATTATCCCCCATTTCCGATATTATTCCCAAAACACCCCGCATTTCTCCCGGACGGCAATCATCATGTCGAAACTTTCCGACTATCGCTTGCTTTCATTCGATGTTTACGGCACTCTAGTTGACTGGGAAGGGGGAATTCTCCATGCTTTCCAGCCAACTTTGACCAAGAATAATGCACAATCTGCACGACAAGATCTATTAGCTCTTTATCACGAGTTGGAGCGAGAGCAACAAAAACAGACTCCTGAGATGCCCTACCACGAGCTTCTGACTACTGTTCATCCGAAACTTTGCCAGCGGTTGGGACTAGAGACACCTACCCAGACTGAGAGCAGTTCTTTCGGCGAATCGATTGGACACTGGCCCGCATTCCCCGACACCGTCGAGGCTCTTAAGCGCCTATCCAAGCAATTCAAGCTAGTTGTACTATCGAACGTTGATCGTACTTCCTTTGCCAAGACCAACGCTGGAAGCCTTCAGGGTTTCCATTTTGACCAAGTCATCACTGCCCAAGATGTGGGCTCCTATAAGCCTGACCTGCGCAACTTTCAGCATATGTTGGATGCCGCGGAATCCGCCTATGGAATTCAGCCCTCCGAGGTTCTACAGACTGCCCAAAGTCAATTTCATGATCATCACCCCGCAAAGAAAATGGGGATCAAGTCTGTTTGGATTGAGCGCCCTGGAGCCACAATGGGCAATCTTTCACAAAGTATTTTTGACTGGCGCTTCGATACATTGGGAGATATGGCGAATGCTTTGGAGGCTGGAAAATAAGTCGTACTGCTATTTCAAGTGCCCATTTAAATTTCAATGAAATGTATTTGATTCTCATTATTTAAAATTTTATTATCAAATAAAATTTACATTATAAAGCAGTCGATGTCGACTTTGTGATAAACCTGGAAACTGCTCCCGCTGTACGTAGCATGAAAGACAAGCGACATGTCCTAGTCCAAACTGGAAACTCTGAAGTCGAAGTCTTGTTAAATTATAGCCTCAAATGAGTCAAATTTTGAATCATCATAGAAGGACCCATGTCAGATGGAAATTGGTTGTAACAGCAAATCCGACCCGCCGGGTACCTGTACCCGAGTTGAGATTACATCCGGCAAAGAGTCGCAAAAGTTACTGGAAAATCCAACCCACATTCCCAAACTCATAGCAAAATGCTAGTCGGCTCACACATGATGGAAATAGTCATATTTGGATACTCTCGCTCGGGCCGGGTTTCCGGGTCACGTCTGCCGGGCTCCGTCACACCCGCAATCAACATGGCGATGACAAGAGATCAGTTGGCACAATGTTCTTATTTTAGATAGAGCCCTGGAGCTAGAGAAGTGGTAACATATATTATCTTCATCCCCCTTCATATTACTTCAAAAGAAAATCATTTTCCGCCTTTCAATCAATTCTCTTCGACGAGGGTTGAGCGTTTGCAACAGAGTCAGGTCATTCGCAGTGACTCACACCGTTCCCCAAGCAAGTTTTGACTTCATCTATTCAGGCAGTCTATCTATCCCATACTCATCTTGAATCCAGCTACGAGACAAGTCTTTGCTCATTGATGCATGTTTTGTCAACGGTCAATGGATTGGCGCCCAATCTGGCAAAGCCTTCGCAGTCACTGGTGAGCTTGGCGATTGGCAGTCTATTTGCGAAAATGATTCTAATGAATAATAAAAAGATCCTGAAACCAAGAAATTCATTGGAAACTGCTCTGAATTCGACGTTCCGAATACCGAGAGGATTATCAAGGCAGCACACGATGCACTCCCTACCTATCGCCAGATAGCGTTAGGTGAGAGGTCATCGCTGTTAAGAAAATGGAATGATCTCATTTTGTAAAATGTGGACGACATCGCGAATTTGTTTACTTGGGAGAATGGAAAACCATTTACCGAAGCCAAGAGTGAAGTCGCCTATGCGGCAGCCTTCATTGAATGGTTCAGTGCAGAGGCACCACGCCAATATGGCGATTCTTCTTCTGATACTTCTACGGGTTACTGTGTATTTTGTCTTTAGGTTTTAAAAAGCTTACCTAGTATCACCGATCATTCCTCATCAATTATTTGGCTTTATAACATTGAATATAATATTAGTGGTAGTATTCTTCCGTAAGCATAATTCTTGTATCCCTTTTATAGTATCTACCTTTGATATATCAAATAGTAAAACTTCAAACTCCAATTATATCTGCTATATTTTTATTGCCAATTATTATTGCTAGTGTGGTATCTACAGCTATCTTGAAAATTCAGGCTTTTTCGTAGAATTCCATCCATGTTCGCACTTTTTGTTTGCTAGCTTGCACATTAAATAATCCAAAGCAAATAAAAAAACCAGCAAGACCACCCACTGCTCTAAGCTATGCGGGTTGCTGAAATTCAGTGTCATTATCAAGCTTGTTAGACACCATATCAACAGACCGAACGCGTAATGACAGCTAAGGACCATTAATTTTAATCCAAATCCAAAATTCTTAACAGGCGCCTAGGTAGGAAAGCCAGCCCAATTACTCAATCAAGCTTGTAATGCTTGCCAGACTCCCCCACACAACTTCCTCTAGATTTCCATGTATCCAGAACCCACCATTGCCATCCTGACTGGTCACAACAGTGTTTTCGATGCGCATGCCAAGCTTTCGGAATAGACCAGGCATCCTGACAAACGGCTGTACGTACTCAGGTTGGATTGTTGGATTCTTGCCCAATTGAAAATCTGTTTTATACAAGCATATATGCGACCATGAGGTCACAAGGAGTTCCGTATCAAGCATCAGTGGCTTCCCCAGGGAACGTTTATGGTGATCAATGATTGGGCGAAGGCAATCCGTTGTACGCGCATGGCGGATGGTCTCACGAATATGCGCAGCGAGGTCAATGATGTTTTTCACCCCAAGGCTAGAGTTGTGAGGCGGCTTGGGCACTTGAACAATGACCCAAGGATTATGAAGGTCCGTATCTTGCTTGATCTGTCTTCGAATGTTGAGGACAAAGGAAAATGCTGGATATCTCTGATGAGAAGAATCTTGCTTCCAGGATTGGGATGCGGTTGACGCCTGTTTGATTCAAAATTAGAAACTCCCCAGAGTACTAATTTTGGATTTTTGAATCGTACATACCTTCCAGATAAAAGCCATTAGAAGGTCATTGAGAGTCACTCTTTGGCCATTCTCCATGGCTTGCAATCTGAAATTATTGATCACAGAAGAAGAGACTCGATAAGAGCTTTGAACTTGTTGTGAGCTGGAAAAGGTCTGTTTGATTCCAGCTCTGATTAGTGGTTTCCATCCCACAAGAACGGTTTCCAATTGGAGCTGTGCAAGTTTAGCTGGGGAGATTGAGGTCGAAAGCTTGATGTCGCTTGTTTCCAGAGACTGGTCGTTATCTTTGAGGACAATAGAAAAGCGTGGTAGGAATGGCCGGGCGGATCGGCCGGCGAGAACGGACTTATAGGTGTCGATAATTCGGTGCAATCCTAAATATTATAGATACATTTAGAAACTTCCGGCATTCTACATCAAGAGTCACAAAACATACCGTCAGCATCACAAAGAGGGTGTTGGACATAGAAGCCCAATAGACACGCATTGTCGAGAAAAGCAGCCTTTATAGATAACACAGGGGGGGCGTAAAAGGTCTTTCATATCGTTTGGAAAAGCTAATAAAGATTCGATATCTTCTTTAGGGGTATATGTGCCTGATCTATTGCGTGTAGGGAGCAGGAAATCACCCAAAGAACAAGACAAGATTTTCGATCGCCAGAAAAGACGACGTGAAACCTCATCATCCGTATTCTCAATCAACAGACCTCTCTGCAAGATGGCATCGAATGTCAGCTCTGGCCCTTAGGAGGATAGGCTGTACGCTAACAAGTATATCAAGTCTCCGATTCAATATTGGGCAAGCCTTTAGTAATTCAAAGGCTGCAGCTTGAAGATGATCAGGATCAAGCTTATCGGGGATTACCATCACCACACCATATTCCATGAATCGAGCAATCCCTAAATCGAGACAATGTAGGTCCATATTGCTCAACATAAGGTAGCTAGTTTTTTCAGATATGTGAAACTGCGGAGTGTTCAATTTCAGAAAAGCAGGTTCATATTTTATCATATTCATTGTAATCCAAATGCAAGTTTGTGGAAGCACAACTATTATATTGAGCTGGATAGCCGCCCTGCGATCCATTACTGGAGCAATGAATGCTTCTTGAGATACGTAATGGCAGATGTCGTACCACGTCGTCCACACCATACTCTGCCTTTAAAAATGCAGGTTTCTACAAAATAGGATTCAATGGCATATTGAAAATTTTCGCAACATATTTTTCATATGCGCGAGGCATTTTGGTTGGAGCTCATTGCCAACTCCAGCTCGATGCACAGGCTTCGCATTGCATGTGAAGGCGGTGTGGTCTGCCGATAATTTTCGAATGAATACATCTCGGTGTTTGTTCCATTCAGGTGAATTTTCTGACGTCAGTTTAGCTTTGTGAAACCCACCCGCTCGGCCCGGCTCGTCCCGGCTCGTTTGTGCAGCAAATATGCATTGTCGACCCTCGATCTCGAATCATTAGGCCGATAGATAAAGCAAAAGCAGCCTAAATAATCCATTCATTTCTCTACAAAGCATTCGCATAGCAAGAACTATCGGGAAATGATCTTCACACCTATTTCCTAGTAGTGCTAATCTGGCTGTCATTGATGATCATCTCATCTAATGCCTTGTCGGAAGTAACCCGCGGAAGCACGGGAACTACTGGAGGGTATGGAATTCTACCATACAAGGAGGGAGATCGGATGATAGTGCAGGAGATGATGATCCGATGAAGCTATCTGGGCCTGGAACTATCTACACATAACCCTGCTGCGGGCTGACCCAGCCATGGGGATGCCTGGAGCCACAGGCATACAAAACAGGAACCTTCTCGTCCACCTTCGCCTTTAGCAAAGTTGGACCCTCTGAGCGAATGAGCCACTCAATTTTATCTGTGATCTGGGATATGGGACACAGCGTCCAACCAATGAGCCTTGATGCCCATTTCCTCAGCAACCGTCACAAAGTCTGGATTTCGTTGATGCGTGTGGGAGTATCGCTTGTCGTAATCAAGATTCTGCCACTGTGTGACCATGCCTTGCTCGTTGTTGTTGAGTACCAAAATCTTGATGTTAATCCCGAACTGCGCGGCCACAGCCATTTCCTGTATCGACATACTCATGGATGCATCCCCATCAATATCAATGACCATTGCGTCAGGTTGTGCGACTTGGGCGCCAATGGCTGCAGGAAGCCCGAAGCCCATAGTTCCTGCTCCTCCAGAAGTGATCAACGAACGATTCGCAGTCCATCGGAAGAACTGAGCCGCCCGCATCTGATTGGACCCAACACTAGTAGTAATAGTGACTCGCTTGCTTAGTTTTTCAGTAAGATCACTAAGACGCATAATGACTCACTCGGGAGATATTTGAGTCACTTCCTTTGGAGGCGTCGGCTTGATCGGGAATGTCTTCTTCCATTCAGGAATTTGGCCCATCCACTTCAATCTGCTCTTCAACTTCCGAATATGAGGAAGCAATTCAGTTAGACTGGCGATAACATCTCCTTGAACATTTCATTTCACGGGATGACTTTATTGATATGAGGGGGGTGGATTTCGAAGTTTATGATGCCGCCCGTTGGTTTTTGCCAGCCGCTCTTGCAACAGGAGCAAAACGATCGGGATCGCCTATGGCACGATCACCAAAGCGTGCGCCCAAAGTGATGATCAAATCCGCTGCTTGGATCACCTTATTGGCATATGCAGTACCATGCATTCCTAGCATTTGAAGTGACTTAGGATCGTGTTCATTAAAGCATCCAATGGCAAGAATACTGGTGGCAACAGAAATGCAGGCAATTTCAGACAATTGTGCCATTACTTTCGGGCCTCGGCACACGAAAGCACCCCATTATCTGCGTAAAGAGCAGGTTTTTGAGCTTTTTTGATAAGATCTGCGCATATTTCGATGCTAGCTGATCGGTTCGCTTTGAGGACATCAGATCGTAAAATGATATTGTCCAATTTGGAGAGGCATTGTGTTGTAATAAATCTAGCGGGAACTTGAAGAACTGCACTGGTCACATATTTGGGTAGTACCACTAGGACAGGGCCCGGTCGTCCACTCATGACAATCCGAAATGCATCATTTATTTGAGCGGCAAGATCTCGGATATCCCATTTCATGCAAGGGCCCGTGATACCAATCACCTCCGCTTCTTGAAGGGCCTCTGTGCCTATGGCATATGTTGGAACTTCGCCGGTGAGAACGACCAGTGGAATGTCATCTTTCAGCGCGTCTTGTAAAGGCGTGATGAGATTAATCGCGCCCGGCCCCGAGGTGGTCAGACAACTCCTGGCTTCCTGGATATGCGGGCATATCCCTGCGCCATATGACCTGCCCTTGCTCATGTCGCGGAAGAGCAAATTGGAAATGAGGACAGCTGTGCAGAGCATCAAAGACTGGCAGAATCGCCCCGCCGGGATATCCAACTACTCACTGTTTATGTAGTCAGTTCCTATATCATCGACCAATGCATAGAAAATAAAAAGCTAATTCCCCTCTCCCTGCTCAGGATCAACTTACAGATAGAAACAACGTTTTGTCTTCGAAGCATTTCACATAAAATCTGGCCACCAGTCAGATCCATCAGAGATCGATCGAGGGCAAACTTCAATGTTTCACGTGACTTGGTAGATAAGAAAGAGTCCAAAGGAGGAGTTGGAACCACACGGTGTTTCATTTCAAGAACATTGGCCGTTTTCGATGATAAGTTAATTCTTTGGACGAGTTTGGAGAGCCCAGTATGAATCACCGAGGATTGAACTGGCAATTTGAGTGATCCTTGGAGAGTCTTCTTCGCAATCATTGTAAAATGTACGTGTTTGTATTTGATAGAGCTCTCAACAAGTAGAAGCTTCAGTTACCGGGGAAACATTCTGGACAAAGGTGCCGATACCATCTGCAAGTCTGGATGCGAAATGAAGGTGCATACTGCGAGAGGGGATGATGTAGTTCACTGTCAAGGCATATATGGGAATATTCTAGGCTAATTTGGTAATGGTGTACGGTCAAGTCTCAACGATGCATCTTACGCTTGTAAATACGGAGCTACTTTCAATGCACACGACTCATTCAACAGCTGTTCAGGGTTGATTGTTTACATGTGTTTTGATTTGATAGGCAGACATAAAAATGAAGCCGTAGGATCGATCTGTGCGACGCCATCTTCCACCTGATATCATTACTTGATCAGATTCCCTTTATCAATGCTGTTGTTGGATGGTTGCAGGAGATTTTCTGTCTCCAAAAAGTCGGAATTTGGTACGTATATTTGTGTGGTACCGAGATTGGACACGCACGTCAGTGTGGTGGCGAAGTCAGATCTGCAAAGATAGAGATAGCAGTGAAATGGCCGACTAGTATATTACTTTGTACAATCAACTCTTATATTATTTTGTACAATAAAATGGTTTCAAGAATGCCATTGAAAGTAGGGTATGATGGTTTTGATTTTGATACTGTGGAACTTCTGTTGCATGTTGCCTTGGTGCACTTTTGGGACCTCATAAGTTGTATTCAGCTTGGCGATAACGAATCACTCGGTTGTTTTTAAAGACTTCTCTCTTGCAAATGTATACATTTGAATCATAAATGCCGCAGATAAGGAAAGTGAAAAACACAGAAAGGAACTGAAGCGGTGTGGGTCAAAGACAATCATCTCCAGACTTGGTATCTAATGCAGAAGAACCCAAGGAGGAGGGTAGGAGTAGGGGTGGGAACTGAGTAATCGATTCCATCCAATAGTGATAGCACAAGCTTGCATTCCAATTCGTGGTCACACTTGTTATTCAACTCATAAGAAGGCTCTTCTCAAACCAATGTTGGCTACAATGACAACATTCAATTTCCTTATCCCACCGTCAATTCCACTCAAAAATTGGAGCTATTCTCAACTATCATTTTTCTCTATCCTTTCGACAAATACAGTATAATTCGAGTTAGTTGAAAACAGGAAGAATGGATGAAATTCCAAAGAAACAATGGGCTCAGGTCTTTGAGAGCAGTGGTTCAGGTAACCATAAATTTATTTCTTTTGAAAGCTGCGTTCTTTCTTACAAATGACGTTCTTTGTTTAACATTTATAGCTTTGAAATTTACCCAAGTTCCTGTTCCCATGCCCGGCACTGCTGAGGTGCTAGTCAATATCAAATACTCGGGCGTATGTCATTCAGATTTGCAAGCATGGAAAGGGGGCTGGCCACTTGATCCCAAAAAAGATCTTATCGGTAAGAAGCACCTGATTTCTGTGCCTTTAATCTCAGTTTTCCAGATTTCAACTGTCAAAAGATCATGCTGACATTCTCAAGGAGGTCATGAGGGAGTGGGAACTGTTGTTAAGATAGGAGAAGGAGTTAAAGAAGTAGCTGTGGGTGACCACGTTGGAATACAGGTGAGAGAAGAATGCTTGTCCCTGTTGCTCATTTTTCTACTCTGTCAAGTATACTAAATGAGCCCACTTGACATAAAGTGGATCAACAGTATCTGTGGTTCTTGTGCGTCCTGTGACTCCGATGATCAGAGGTCGTGTGCAAATGCTCAGTTTTCTGGGTACACCAGAGATGGCACTTTCCAACAATACGTCGTCTGTAAGGAACTCTGTGCTGTTCGAATCCCTCTAGAAGCGCCTTTAGACAAGATTGCGCCCGTGAGTCATCTGAACTTTTTTTACCTGAATTTCCAGCTCAAACAAACATGGCGCGATTCTCATGGCTTGAATATAGATTCTTTGCGCTGGGGTAACTGTCTATCGCGCTCTTCAAGAGACCGGCGCCCAGCCGGGTCAGATTGTTGGTACGATATCGTTTATTTCGTCCTGACTTTATCAATTATAACTATTCAAGTTCATTGCTGATGGGCTATATTAGCCATTGTTGGTGCGGGTGGGGGGGCGTCGGTACCCTAGCTTGTCAATATGCGAAGGCGATGGGTTTTCGAGTACTTGCAATATCAAGCGGAGCTGAGAAGAGGATGCATTGTGAGAAATTGGGCGTCGATTATTTTGCTGACTATAGAAGCTCCAAGGATCTTACTTGTGACATCCAGAGGCTTACCAACGGAGGGCCTCATGCTGTGGTAGTGGTATCATCATATGATCGTCCCATCTCCCAGGCGATCGAGGTGAGATAATACATTTACCCCTCCCTGCAGATCTCCCCTTCCTAAGAGCACCTCCCTTTGTTAAGTCGTCTAGAAAGGTCATTTGGCTAAAATGAATTTTGCAGTATATCAGAACTCGGGGAACAATCGTGTTAGTTGGTTTGCCACCAGGGGCAGTCATCAAAGCCGACCTCTTCTCGGTCGTTTTCCGCATGATCACTATCAAGGGATCTTATGTTGGCACCAGAGAGGATACCGAGGAGGCACTACGATTCTTCCTTCATAAAAACCTCACCATGCAATGCAAGATCATGGAACTTGAGCAATTACCCCAAGTCTATGATATGATGGAGAAAGGTAAGTGAAGCCTTACTCTCAATTGACTAAGCTCTCTGAGTAGTCCAAGCTCACCATGGAATTTAAACTTCTCTTCAGCAAGTGTCAAAGGCCGAATAGTATTGAGGATGCCTGAGAGTGCGGGTGTGACTGAGCTCTTCGCCCGACCGAGCTTGATGTCGCCATTGATCACCCCAAGATTTTCACCCACAGACCATAATATCGGCACCCTCTTGGCCCATAGAATGGAAGAGCTGGGAGTTAAGGACTTCTTTGCCGTCCCAGGTACTTGCACCAAGATTCCATAGATTTAACAACACTCAAGCTTACTAAACTACTATAATTGAAAGGCGACTCAAACCTGCTTCTGCTTGATCAAATTTTGAAAAATCCAAGCCTGCGGCTTGTTGGGTGTTGCAATGAGTTGAATGCTGGCTACGCTGCAGATGGATACGCGCGGAGTTCCCCCAACAAAGTTGCAGTTGTGGTAGTCACCTTTACAGTTGGGAGTCTATCACTGCTTAATGCAATAGCTGGAGCCTATTCAGAGCGAATCAAGATCATCATTATCTCAGGCTGTCCATGCTCAAAATTACTGACAGAGGAAAGTCTCCTCCATCATACGACAGGTGGAGCGAGTAAGGACCAAGCACTGCGTGTATTCCATGAGTTTACAGCGACATCAATCCGCTTGGTATCCAGTGAAAATGCCGCACTCTGCCTGGATGAAGCTCTATCTCATTGCATTCATAAATCACTGCCAGTCTACATTGAGATCCCCACCGATCTAGTGGGGGTTGTGGGCAATGTACCAACTCCTTTGCAGATTTCACCGCCTCTACCATTAATTCAGTCAGGGGCCATCGATGAAATCATATCCCCACTGATTACCACCTGGAATGCAGCGCACCGGCCGATCTTGATTATTGGTGCTCTGGCGCATTTCTTCCTCTCGACAGAAGCTCTGATAGCACTAGCTGATAAACTGGGTTGCGCCGTCTTCTGCCAGCCAGATGCTAAATCAACGGTACCAGAGTCACACCCTCAGTTTGCGGGCACATTTTGGGCCACTGCTTCCAGGCCCGAATGTAGAGATACTGTGATGGACGCTGACCTCTGGGTGGTGGTTGGAGGGCGTTGGTCTGATCTGCACACGTTCGGGGGGCTCAATATCCAAGAGGAGCGCCGACGCATGATTGATATACAGGAAACATCTATACGAATGCCGAATGGCCGGCTAATTCAAGATTTATGCCTAGCCGATGCTCTTGGCGCTTTTTTGCGGTCCTCAATCCCCCCGAAAAGAGAAACACTTTTTTCATTCCAATGGAAATCTCGTCAACAGACCAGAGTCAATAGTCCTGTACCTGGCGAAGCTCTCACCATGCGTGGAATCGTGGATGTCATCCAACAGTTGATTAAGAGCAATGATACCTTGATAGCTGATACGGGGGATGCTTGGTTCAATGCCGCCGAGATCTCGCTCCCAATGGGAGCGAACTTTCAAATTCAATTGGTTTATGCGTCACTGGGATGGAGTCTACCTGCTGCGCTTGGCTGCCAACTAGCTCGTCCAGATGCGCGAACAATCCTCATGATTGGTGATGGCGCTTTTCAAATGACCGCTCAAGAGCTAAGTACTGCTATCCGAAGTAGAGCCAACATGATAGTCTTCATCTTCAACAATCTGGGTTATCAGATAGAGGTAAGTTTTATTATTCGTTTCAAAGCTATATATTCTGCTTCGAGATCCCTTTTTTTCCTCTCCATCTTTGAATCAAAAGGCTCTTTTACTAATGTTTCTCTATCCTTCTTGCATTTTTCCAGTCTGCGATTCATGATGGACCCTATAATTACATCGCCAATTGGAACTATGCCAAGTTTGCCTCGGCCATGTGTACGCCCAAGCACACAAGAATATGCAACAACCCGTTTGCGCCTACAATGGACAAAGACTTGACTCTCAATCCGGCATTTTTCTCGATGCAAATCAAAACACATGCTGATCTGCTGTCAGCACTAGATCGGATAAATTCTGAGCCATGGAAATTGGCCCTCCTAGAGTGTTGTATTCAGCCCGACGATGTCAGTGCCGGTCTACGGCAGCTTGCAGGTGCAATTTCTGAAGCAGCCAAATGAACTGATCAATTTGACTAGAGTTGATTGATATATTTGTACCCCAGAATTTGTCTTTCGAGGTAGTTTGACACATACCGAATGGAATCTTGTTTGTATAGATCACGCCATGATTATATCTAAGCTAAAAACCCGCCTACACACTACCAAAAGATCTTGACCTGACGCTGGTTACTCAGTGCGTATAATAGTGCTGCTATGAACTCAACTCGATGAAAATGTAAGATTGTTCTTAGTCCCGAATAACTTCGTTCACTGAATGGCGGAACTTCTTGTGTGAGGCAATCTTGCGAAAGACCTCTATATTAAGTGGGTTGGCGGATAGAAAAACTCGGTCGATGCGAAGAGGGACTGCATTGTTGAATTGAGCACATGTCAGGCGCAAAGATTTGACATCGGCATTGGTTAGATAGCCTGCGATGCAACTCCATAGTTCAAAGGGTAGGTAGGGGGTGAGGCTTTCACGAATCATGATGCATTATTGACGAAAGTCCGTTGGGTGTATAGTGCCGCTTCATACACGACAAGTGGCAAACCCCGTCACCAACCACGTTCCGCCCGGGGCCACCCAGGTGGGGGCCAAGAGCCCCTGCGGTAGCTCGTAGTATGATTCTTAGCTAGGCTTACCCATTCTCACCCTGTCTATGACGCACTCACCATAATCATCCAAGTCGCGCGACGTGCTCACTTTATTCCCAAAATGACATAGTATCTTTTCGGATATATTCCTCTACTCTGGTATCTCTAGTACATACGACCATAGGGTGTGGAGAACAGGGCTTCCCGTCCGCTCAGCCGTACTTAAGCCACACGCCGGCAGGTTAGTAGTATGGTGGGTGACCACATGCGAATCCCTGCTGTTGTATGTTTTTTTTTTTTTTGTATTTTTACCAGATGCTAGTTTTTCCTGGAATTGGTGCCTTGCCGCTTTACTCTTCAGTCTCTTCGGCCCTTCACCTGAACGCCCTGAAGACCCCTGCATGGATGACGTGGCAACTTGGCTAAACCTGCCATGCTTTTTTGTCACGACAAATATCCCTTTTTTATGTCACCTTGCTCTTGTCTTGTGCTGATGGATAGTCCAGATACATTGTTACCATCACTACTGGCTGATCCGGGATTGGCTACCTTATATCGAAAGACACAGTACATTTTCAGGAATCGAGGAAGAGTGACTAAATCGTGTGGCTATCCTTCCTCATTTATTTCCCTGGAGCCTCCCCAACGCTCACTCCCCTGTATTAATAATCCCTGAATGTACCAGAATCGACTTGCTGTGTTATATCTTTATTCTGCTCATAGATAGTAGATGGATTTGAAGACGACAGTGCTATCTGGACTAGAATAAAACATGCGTATTTCACCGAAGCTAGCTCATGAAAGCGATGGCTCCCATCCTACGGGCCAACTGCAGTGCGAGAAGTTGAGGTATACTTTCTCACCTTATCTAGCAGCTATCAGTTAAACTTTAGACTACAAGTTTCAGTTCGTGGGGACAATCAACGGAGCTAGACGCTTTCAGATATTCGACTTGATATACGTTAACGAGGCAGAGATCAAAGAAAAAGCTGATCAAGTCATTGCTTCGGTACCGAACGAAACTGGCTGTAAATTTGAAAACGGCTGCATGGGATACGATCACAGCACAAAATTTCCGGCATCGTACGATGGTGACAGTGAGTGCATCTATTTAAGTGGGCTGGAATGATAGAATAAAAGAAAACCAAACTTCTTGACTGGAGACAAAGGTGCTAGGTTTCACGAACCCTTTGGTATTTTTACTAGTTCAAACTACCTAAAAGCTGCTTCTTGGCCTAGAGCCACGAAACGCTCTTGCGTCTCTGCCCTAGGTAGTCTCGTTCCGCCGGGACCCAGGCTTCGTTGAGCGAGAAACGCTACTCGATAGAATGTATGCAACAAAGTACATTATGTTGACTGTCAGATCTTATCGGAAAGTCTATATCTTGATCGCCGTGCCCCACCTCGCGCCCTCCTATTCAATGGAAAAATCTTGGTCCAACTATGCCATATAAGAACTGTCAGCAGCGTCGTGGGTATGGCGCAAGCCCAATAGATCCAGATCTTTCCCGAGACTCTCCAACCAGAGTCAGCATAGTTGAAAAAGGACATGCTGAAGACTGCGCATATAAAGGTTGGAGGTAGGAAAGTAAGAGTAACCAAGGAAAGGGTTTTCATAGTGCCACTGTCTTCAAGAGCGATCTGCGTATTCTTTTGAGCGATCTGCGTACTCTTTTGAGCCCCCATGTTGAAAGCCATCTCAATCTCGTTATGGACGCGCTTCTCGTTTGCAGCTGCTTGATGACTCAAATTACCGAGATAGCTCTGGAAAAATGCCAGTCGTGTGTGGACATCTTCCCAGACCTCAAAGGCCAGTTCTTTACCATACAAAGCTGTACTCGTTCTTTGAGGGCTGACAAGGCTATCATGGCATCTCAAGATATGCTCCAAAGTGTTTACTGTAGCATCCAGGCTTTCAGTAACATGGATCGCATGCCGGGTGACATCATGATGTAGTCGTTCATAACTTGGTGTATGGGTCTTTTCAATGCTGCGCACCTTATCACGAATGCGCCAAACTGAACGCTTGCTGACACGAGCGACACGCTCTAAAATATAATTGTATACCCATAATGGATCACTCAGTTGGGTCAACTGTACATCTCCTCTTTCAGTTTGCATTACAAAAGGAACAAATTCTTTCATGTCGAGCAAAAGAATACCAGTCTGGCCTGTCAAGTGTGAAAATCGGGTAAAGATGTGGAATCCCGACCAGTAATAGCTCAGGTCTATATCGACAAGCTTGTACTGGAATAACGCCCACGTGTCTTCCCGGGTCAACTTATCATCTATGGTGCTTTTGGAATGCTTGTAACTTACTGAAGCCTTCGGCGCCTGTATCTCGTGTAGTCTCATAACCGAAAAAGCTGTTTGAGCTTTCAGTGTATTCTTCTTCCCAGCATAACGATGGCATATAAAAGATGTCGGACAACTTCTGTCGACATTCTTCACAAAACAGGGCACTATGAGCCTCAGTGTGGCTTATTAAATCAGCTCTGGAAGGAACTCCTTCTATTACAGCTAGAGAGAGGGCATTGGGGCTCACAAACATCACGTAGACTCGTGTGTCCTCATGCAGTATACGAGGGGGCTCTCCTCGCGCCCCGAGGTGTAGTTCCCCCAAGTATGTATCCTGGACTTGCCAGTCGTGACCTTTGAAATTAGGATTCTAGTCAATCTTGCTGGGCTGCTGAGATGCTTACCCTCTTTCCACTGCAGGATGCTTATCTTCGGGCAAGACTTACGACAAGTCTCCTCCGCAGTCATGTGGAGATCGTCAATGCTATTTACCTTGTGGCAAGAACTATATCGATAGTGAAAAATGGAGAGGTAAGCTTGGTGGCAGTTTGATTAAGTAGCTTGGTCGGGCAAAGCAGTGTAATTCAATCAAAAGGACCGGGGCTGTGTCGCAAGGCTGTGTCGCAAGGCTGTGTAGATAGCGCTAATATGACCAGTCAGAGAGAAGTGGGGCCCAGATCGCCTGAGTCTTAGGACGGGCCTCACGACAGCGCATACATTTGAATCCAGCCTAGCCACTCAAGTTTTTAAAGTCATAAACAAACTAGACACTTTCTAGCGCATCTCTACCCTATTTACGCGTGGGAGGGGTCCCACCGCTGACGGCGGTACTGTAGGGAAGTGTATGTATTAGTTGTCAGTATGGCGGACGATAGCGGCCAGGGGGGGAGGAATCATGTAAGGTAGGTAGGTTTTCGGCCGGTAGAAACCTCACCTCCACGTGACCACCTTATATATATTCAAATATCTATATTCAGGGTTCACTAAATTATAGACTTTTGGTAATTAATTTGGTAATTGACCATATTTAAGGTGTTTATCCCGTGGCATGCCCCAAAAGCCCCCAAGGCACCCCCGCCCAGGGCCCCCCTAAGGCCGTCGTTTGCACAGGTCTAGCTATGCTATAAGTCTTCCTCGTAACTCACTAGACTCCAGCCCTCAGCCTTGCCTTTGGGAGCCTTAAAGAAATTAATTTGCTGACGCTGTATGAAGATACGTTGTTGCTATCACCACTCTGTGGTCCGGTTTGGCTACCTTCTCTCGAGGGACGCAGTGAAGATTCTATCAGGGACTCCGTCGCCAAATAAACGAGCTTAGAAAATGATAATCCTTGGATAATTCCCTACGTACTTTGAACCAGTGGCTACTATGAATGGCAGACTGTGGTGGTTTTCTATTATGGCCCATTGTTAGGTCCCACGCCCACTACCTATCCTTTTTCTAATGACCAACTATGAGAACTTTATAGCCGCTGTCGTTCAGCGCGAAGAACTCTTTAATTTCGATAAATAGAAATTCGAATGTTAAGGGTAGAACTTAAGCTCCTAAGTAGTTATTTAACTAACTAGCTGGTTCGTTGCTTATTACCGAGTTATGCTCAGACGGTGGTTTAATATGTGATTTCATGCTGGATAAACATTTCACCGGAACCTAATCATCCTTTTACAATTTGGTAATCATATATTCTCCTATCTCCTGCACATGAAGAGTCGGGTGTTCAGTACCCTGTTGTATTCATTATACTGATCGCACCCAAACTCAACGAATCAGTTTACTCCTAATATAACAGGCCTCCCTTTGCTAAAGGGAAATACTATCTCCTTGGACAATACTTTGACCGACGACGACAATATCTTGCACCGCTAAGACTATCTACAAAAGCTGAAAGTCTTCTGTTTAGACCTTCTTACCGGCTGACGTAATATCAAATCCTTAGTCTTGTTCTATCTTTGTGTGAAATATTGTTAGGTTGCTTATGAGGCAGATTGGGTATCTGGAATTAAAGCACTATTTCAAAAGTTAAGGCCAAGAAAAAAGCTCCAAACTGACATCTTTTCTTATTTTTCCATATTACAATGTGCCTAGATGCCTCTTGATCTGATTTCACCTATATGTCTATCTAGATCTTTAAAATAAATACTCTTGCCTCTACGCTCTCACTGTATCCGTCCAAGGATACGGATACCCTGGTTCTGTAAATATTTATCCTACTTTACAATATCCTCTACGTTCGGAACGGTAAAACAGAAATAATGTTTGAGTCGGACTACTTTACTACCGCTGTCTTTGCTTTGCGTGGGTAGTAACTGCGATAAAACAGACGAGCTTAGGCTATAGCCTGGAATCTTTCTACCTCGGTCTTCGATGTTGTTTGCGGTTGTACTGAGTTGAAAAAGTAGTAGAGTCGTTGTGCCTAGAGCAAAGCTGCTCGAACGGAGCTAAATACTAACACTATTAGCAAGATAACTATGGATCTCGAATATAGAAACCTATTTTGTCTAGGAGGAAGCTTGCTATATAGTGCTTGAAGGTGTTGTGGCCTTGTACGTACTGACTCTCTAAACTACATAATTCCTAAGGTCTCTCGATAAAATTTGGTTGAGTCTCGTAAATATGAATATATAAATATATTTCCAGAATATGGCTTAGGGGGGGGGCAGCTGACTTAATTTTGACGCTAGTCATCGTTAAGCGTTTACTTGAAAATATGAAAGTTAGAGTAGAGAGATATATCTTGAAATTAATATTAATCTTTGTTTGACACCGCGATTCTCGGCTAGGCAGATTGTATGCGAAGGTATATGCTTTGAATACGAGTTTCTATCTAATAGAAGCTTTATAGTTGCTAATTAGTTACTAAATTTAGCTAAAGTTTGGTTTAATAATGATTGGTTCTATTTACCCCGCCCAGGAGCAGGTTAGATTACCAGTTCTAAGGGTTTGGCCAGTGATGTACCAAGCCAAATACATATTTTGAACTTATCCTTCCAGGCAACATGTTTGTAACATAAATATTTGATATTACTGATCAAATGATTATACGAGGGCTGAGAGGAAATTTTCGCTAGCACGGAGCAGTGCATTGAAATACATAGTTTATATATCTAACCAGACAGTAGTGTATTCCGAACAAAGCCGAGCCTGGGGGTATATCTCTGAATATACCTTGTATTGCTCGGTTCGATCATTCTCAAGTTAGACTTCTCGTTCGTATTGTCTTTCAACAAGTCGGATCACTTTATCGCTTTTTTGTCATTTTACTACGGATCGGCCTAAACATGGCCGGAACTCGTACATGCGAGGCCAACGCGTGGAATGCATTTCTACAGTCCGAAGACGCCCTCATTTTATTGCTCGCAAAGGACTACATGATGGTCCTCCCGAGAGTAATAATGCTCGCCAACGAAGCCCTCCTATCAACTCTGTCCAGCGATGCATTTCAGCTATAGAAGTAATATACTATAACTGATGATCGAGTGCTTCCCATTGATGGCAATAAATCATATGCACCCATTGTGTCAAAAGTATCTGCGGAAAGAGATATAGGAAATAGGGAAGAAAATGTAGGTTTTACTGCTCTTTGCTCCAGTATATGGCACCGTTGTGAAAAAGAATTGGACAGAAAGATTGGGAAATCGTGTCTCATCAACAAACTCCTGTTTATGTTTCCTGCTTCTTCACCTATGTCTTATAACCATTATAAGGCTTTGTTCTAATGTCTGAAGCGGATAAAAAAGACGTACGTACGCCCTCCACGCCTCTCTAGATCTCTTATGAATCATTCCATTTGGAACTTGCATGAAATTCAATCTCAATCTGCTAAAGGACCTCTCTTTCTGGTCGGCGTGCAGTGCTTGGGTCTTTTCATCTTACTCTCTGGGGGTTAATGGTCGCCTAAATAAGTAGGGGCGACTGTGTTAGGACGACGACAACACCAGAGGTGGTTAATTTTGGATCAGTAATAATATATAGCATTCTAGCTCTCGTTAGCTCGAATTTTACTCTTCAAAATCGAGACAAGATATGAACTCGGAGTTATTTGAATATCTATAGATCAGAAATCAGTGGATACGGCATTGTGGTTTGCCTGTGCTTCGACTATCAGTAGATTTCCAGTATACAGTATAGATCAAAAACAGATTTACCACCTACATACAGAGAACTTTTCTTGAACCCTCTTTCGAGACATCGCTATACCTATTACAGTTACTCAAGCCCTAAACCCCTTCTTGGGCACTATTCTCTAGTACCTTGTTAAATATTTTCTTGCCAGAGTTTACAAAGGTGACTTTTGTATGTTAGTTCCGGCCCTTCACGGGAAGGGCTAAAGGAGTGCCCCGCTAGGGCGGCGAGCCGCCTAGGACAGACTCGTGGGCGCTAGGTGACTACCACCATACAATATCTGTTGTATGTTTTGTTTTTTTAGTTTCTTGTTCTTTTTTGGATTCTATTCCTTGCCGCTTTACTCTTCAGTCCCTTCAGCCCCGCACCTGAACCCCCCTGAATGGCCCCTCAGCTAAACCTGCCGTACTTCTTGATGCCTTTGCAAACCACCCCACCCTTCCTGTTTGCTATCTTTTGGGGGGTCTGAAACCTGGCTCTTGCTGACGTTGTACGAACTAGACACATTGTCGCAACTACTGTATACTACATCAGGCTGCATTGAACAATGCTGAATATCGTGCTCTAATTCAATATCCGAGATATGTATCTGATTCCAACAATCTCAAAATTACAGATTATTACAATTCGCCACTGTTATAACCGAGCTTGTCCGACTTTGACTTGTCTTTCATAAGAGGGAAGCCAACATTCACACTCCAGCAGCCATGGTCGGTGTTGAAAAGCAAGGCTCCGCCATACTTCTCAGTTGTCGTGTCCGTATCACCTGTTATGCACATTAGCGGTTATCTCAAAGATACTACCACAGTAATGGAGTCTACTCACAGTTGTCAATTGCCTTCATGAGTGAGCCTTCACAATCAATAGGCTAGAACACATCCTCATCCGCGGCTGTCAGACAATTTGTTTGATCGTCGGCAAATCGAATGTCCACCTCAATGTTTCCACCGTAGCTAGAAATCCGGTACCAGTGAGGGCTGTTCGGATGAGCGGCGTCTGCGAAATCATGTTTACACAACTCGTGGAGCTGGCCCTTGACGAGATCTCGATCAACAGGCATCATGGAGTCTGTTTGAATATTGTTGCAAGATGTTTCTCTGACGGTGGTATCGCGATTTATTATAATGCTCCAAAAGGAGCCATCCTTCGTTGAAAGCTCGCCACCTTGCTTTTTAGTCGTGGTGTCGGTGTCGCAGTTATCGACGAGACTCTTGAAATTTGAGAGACAATCCTTTTCATCCAAAGAAGCCAATGGAGACACTTCGCGCTTGTTTTTGTGCATCTGGGGCGCTGTTGCTGTGATCTTCACACTAGCATAATTTTCCGACGCAGTGAACGTATCCTCGACCTGATTACCGAAATACCATTGACCACTACCAGCAGCCATTTTGCAAATTTGTCTTGCGAATCCCTTGAAAATGAAGGTCAGATTTCTGGTGACATTAATATTCAGGGCGGTTCGTTCTTACCAAAAGCTCATCACGGCCCGCGACCATGTTGCGAGGGGAGCTGTCATCAGAAGCACATTTCTTAGTGTCCACTGTAGTGCGCTCCGCTTCATTTTCTTTCGAAGAAATCTCCCTGAATATGTTATAACCATATGATGCACCGCAGTCCAGCTTACTTGAGCCTTTGTCTTGGATATAGTGACTGTCTGATCCTTCACATGTCTGCAGAATCGAATGGAAAACATCGGTACAATTATTCCCGCAAGTGTCGTCGCCACTTGCTGGATCATATGAGAATCCAAAGATGTACTCTTCGTAAACGAACGATTCCCCACGGAAGTCACATATTCGAATTTTAGAGGACCATATAGTGATTTATTATTTAGAAAATGGCTATTGAGAGACATACTGCGGGTTCGATGTTGAGATGCAGAAGTGCGTTTCCAAAATTGACGTTAAATTAACCTTGTTCGGTTCCAATATCAGTGATTACTACATCTGGCCTGAAATCAGCTCTCCCTCCCTTTGATGGTTATCTAGACTCTAGGGAATACCTGATCATTCCACTTGAATTGGATAGAAGATTGTGAATAGATCATACCTGAGGTCTACTGCATTGAAGACGATTTGGTGTTGAAATAGCGTCACCGCTCTCATCATGGCCCGAAAGAAGAAAGCTCCCCAGTCACAGGTTGCACAGACTGCTGATATCCCTGTGCTAAAAACCATCCTCAATACACAGACTGAGGGTCTCCCTGAGCCAACAACCCCCACAGTTACCCTTCCTGATGTCCCCAGACTTTCTCTCGCTTCCGACATCGTAACATGGACATCTGCAATCAAGAACTGCCTGAATGTCGAAAATTTAGATGGCTTGATTGATAACACAAAGCCACGATCGGCTGTATTAACTGAGCCATTGCCGTTGAGATGGAAATCCTAGTCTCTAAAACTTCGGGATTGGCTGTTTAGCCAACTCGACGACTAAATGGCCAAGTTTACAAGAGGCTCATCTACACATCCAGTATACGTTGATGACCTCTGGGGGGAGATTGAAAAAACTCTATAACAGAGTTTCAGAACTGAATGCCAACAAGACCGCATGCAAACTCTTTAGTATGCGACAATCAGATTTCGCCGGGCCAAAAGACTACATACTCTCTTAGAAATTGAAGAATATCCCCTGTACCACTATCAAGATAGGCATCACGCCATATATGTCTACTGTGATCATGCTTGACCAGCTCGAACCGGATTACCCTGCAATGGTTGCAGAGATACGTGGGTTAATTGCAATGTACGGAGAGAACGCGGTCAACATGAAACAGTCTCAATTCGTTGAAATCTGCGAAATGCTTTTGACCAAGGTCTTGTATCTCCCAATATTTACCGACGATGATGCTTCGACTGAGTCGCCTGGAAATGCTGTTCAAACTGAAGCAAAAGGAAAGAAAATCTCAAAGTGCTAGACCCAGAAGGGCCCCGAGGGCAATATCTCTCGGAAAAAATCCGGAGAGCTCCACCAAAGGGCAAGAACTATGCCGAATATGCTAGAAAATGGCGTCAAAACACTCCACAACATGATATCGATAGAAAATGTTCTTACTGCAACATTTGAAATCACAGCTGCGCCGACTGCTTCTACCTTGCCGATGAAAAGCCGTCGGGATGGAGTCCAGATCCATTATTGTGGTGCTTCGAAGATCAACGCACGAAGGACAAAATTGGAAAGCGACAATTCAACGGCAAGCGACAATTGAAAACAGTCGGAAAAAGGTGGAAATTTCTCTCCGAAAACCGCTCTACGTTTTTGAGACTACCAGCCGAAATTCGCAACCGAATTTACGCACATCTCTTTACCTCAACTAGAGTCAAGTTTGGCCAAAGCGATATCGACTTGAAAAGGTCAAAAACGATGAAACCTGCACCTCATTCCCTAGCTATTCTTCGTACTTGTCGTCGAATCAAGCAAGAACCAGAGCCTCATTGGCTCGGATTTATCTTGTTCTGTTTCGAAAACCCAGTCCCTATGCTTGATAAATTCTCTACCCTTCCTTTGGGCACTGTTTCGAAGATCCGACATATGCGTATCGGTGGGCGCGATTTGAAGCTCTCTCGGCCGGGTGAAAGCCATGTGGATTTCTACAGGATATCACGGGTCCTCAAGTTACTTCCTGGCTTACAACTGGATACATTGACCGTCCTTGGACCAGTCCGTGGCCATGCGTCCTATGAGATAATGAGCGAATTGATTCAACATGGCACTGGTTGGAGAGAGCTCCACTTCATCACACCAACTTCCAATATACTTCGTTTCAAAATAGTGAACTTTTATGCCGATGTTCCCCCAATCTGGCGCGAAACTCAACATTTGGGAAGCGTTCAGAAGATGTTACCGAATACCTGGGCACTGGGCAGGGACTCAAATCTATTCAGATATTTGGAGCTGTCTGACGAAGATGGTATCTGCTAGTAACTTGATTTTTGGAGTCTCTATCTATTTCTGCTTTGAAAACAACTTGAATTAAGCAGGAACCTTGGAAACTTTGAGCCAGCTGCCCCTGAGATCCCTACCATGCTCAATAGCCTGGGAACTATCCGCCACCAACCCCTTGATTGAGATGTATCACACATTCCATCAACCAACGCGTACTGATAAGCCGAGAGCATGCAATGTCGATCCTTACAGGATGAAGCTGCCACGGCAGTATCGGCAACGCAAAAATACTCGGCTAAGCTTTCCTGGTATGTAGATCCTGTTTTGTGGCGTCAAGGCCCGGCGTCGCGCCCGACTGATGGACGTCAATCCCGTCGGGATATCCTGGATATTTGATTCAAGCCGTAGATCCTACATGCGGCTCCCCACCAGCCACTAGATTATTGCTTGTGATGTCTCGCACAGGAGTGAAATATGTTCCACAAGTTCCATATGCAGCTGCGGTTATCTTGATACATGACACTCCTGAGATAGGGGCGACCGATCGGGATGGCAGTCAAAACACCCTCATCAAGCGTAGGGAGCATTCTTGGCGAATGCGTCATTCATCATTCATCATAAAGGCACTTTTGCATACTTCATACACTGTCTGAATATCCAAACTTTCTCATGTCGTCAGGTCTCGGCTCGTGTGTCTCACATCTAGAGAAAGTCGACTTCACGGTCGGCTTTGCTGAATTGTCGCCTGATTTCTCATCGAGACGATGCTTCACCCGATCCTTGACCTGAGCAGTTTCAACGTGACAATTACATTTTTAGGTGAGGCCTTTTTTCTCCCTATGAAGGTCTTTCTAACCTGCTAGGCCTATTTATCCTTGCTTTCGGGTTCATTTCCATCAAACTCAAGCAACGATGGTACCTTGGTGAAGCCTGTATGTTGTACGTGATTTCTTGACGCAACTCTCACTGACCATCCAGTGCCGTCATTTGTGGTCGGCACGCTGCTAGGCCCATTCTGTGCGGGCCTCATCGATGTCAATCGGTGGGTTGGGGACGATGATGTGGGTGACGCTGCATACGTGAGTACTCCGACCGATCAGTTTAATACACATTCACTGGTTCTGACAACCTAGGCCCTCACTCGTCTCGTTATTGGTATTCAAATGGTCAAGGTTGGCTATGAGCTGCCCAAACGGTATCTTCGGTTACGACTGGTCGAGTTGACAATATGTCTGCTTCCTTTGATGACACTGCAGTGGCTCCTCACATCTTCATGCATTCTGTTGATGATACCTCACTTGTCGTTCGTGAGTCACTTTCATTCGCTCCTCCAGGCATTTTCCTGGCTAACTTTTCAGCTCACCGCGTTGATCATCGGATCTTGTGTGATCTGCATCGACCCGGTTCTATCCCAGGCCATCGCAAAAGGCCCGTTTGCAGACAAGTACGTTCATCGACACTTGCGCGAGTTCATCTCAGCCGAGGCCGGAGGAAATGATGGCTTCGGATTTCCATTTTTAATTCTATCGATCGCCCTCCTACGCTACGCCGAGTCACCAGGTACCGAAATATCTAAACGCGATTGGATTGGAGAGAAAGACACCGGGCGGTTTGGAGGAGATGTTGGTCGTGCGCTGGCACACTGGGCTGTGGAGGGGGTGCTATACATGATAATCATGGGCTCTGGTTATGGCTTGCTTGTTGGATTCCTTGGTCGAAAGGGTATAAATTTGGCTTCGAAGCGAAGATGGGTTGACAAAGAGAGCTTCTTCTTGTTTCCAGTCGCCATTGGGGTTTGTGATCTGTGACCCCCACCTAGAATGGATTCTAGCTAACATTTTAGATGTTCATTGTCGGCACATGTGGGTGTTTTGGATCCGACGAGACATTGGCCTGTTTCATCGCTGGGTGCGCACTGAATTGGGACGGATTATACCATTCTGAGATTGAAGCCCGGCACGATTCTTTCAACAACTCCATCGAGATGCTTCTCAACTTCGTTACTTTCATTTTTATCGGCGCAGTAATGCCCTGGGACCAGCTGCATCTACCACAAGTCACTGGGATTACTGTCCCTCGACTCATTACACTAGGTGTTTTGGTGGTGTTATTCCGTCGCATCCCAGCAGTTCTCATGGGGTATCGCTTCATGCCGAAGGTTTGCGGCAGTTGGAAGGAAGCCTTATTCATGGGATATTTCGGGCCAATTGGTGAGTGCAACTTTGAAATCTGGTCAAAGATAATTTGACTGATCTTGCAGGTGTTGGGGCTATCTCATATGTCGAGTACGCCCGCCGTCTTCTCCCAGATCCGGGAAAAAGCGATGACGAAGTCAACTATCTGACTGCAGCAATGGTCCCGGTTGTCTACTGGCTTGTATTCTTCTCGATTGTTGTCCATGGACTCTCGATTCCAGTGCTGAACGGTATCTACAAATGGCTTCGGGTTCCGACAATTCACGATCATCCTGTGGAGGTTCTTATGCTCTCCGAGAACGAGCCTATTCCTAACAACTGCGTCGTACATCGCGAATCGCAATTGGTGACGGTAAATAATCGCTTCTCGCGTATCTCTTGCGAGAGCCGACCAGGGCACAATCGTGAAGAGTCGGACATAGCTAGGCTAAGATTTAGTCGCGATTGTGAGTTATCGCTCGGTCGTTTGTCGTCAAAAGAGACATCCACAAGTCAGGCGGAGCACATCAGAGAAATGGTTTAGCATCTTGAAAATATATATTCCCGTGTCATCTGGGCAATCATCATCAACATTGGAATCCATGCAGTGGACATTTGCAGTCTTTGAAGCAAATTTTCCAAGGTTGAAGGCACTGGCGCTTACTGGAAGCTCGGTTTCGCAGCTGCCCAGGTGTATTCATTTTGATCTCTCCAGTAGCATCAAACTTGAACGCCTCGGCTCGAATGACCTAAAATTCAGTCGTGTATTCCCAACAACGCACAGACTCGCTTGTTCCAACTTCCCGAGCGATCGGCATGATCTCATATCCTCGGTCAGAGGAACCCACATGCGATGATCCACAACGCGACGCGGTTATAAACCCGAGCGCCCGCGGGGAATACCAACCCCAACAACTCCATCATGTCGTGAGTAATGGTGCCTATCTCTGAATCTCTTTGCGCGTTGCTGACAGACGATAGTTCCTTCATCACCGCCCTCGGCCTCCGCGCCACTCCCGGTCAAGCAGTCCCCAACCATGCGACCTCCTTTCTGCTCGCGAACTGGGTCCTCGCGTACGTGTTAATGAGCACGCGTGGAACGAAGTTTCGCCTTGGCCTGGACCACAATGTCGCGCCCAGAGAAGATGTCAGCAAATACGGCGAAGCTGCCGTGCAGGCGGGCAAGATCTCTCGCAGCGCGTTGAACAAGTTGAAGCGACAGGAGGCGGCACATGCGAATGCCGTTGAGGGCTTCCCCCTGTTTGTCGCAGCGAGTATGTGAATTCCGATTTCTGAGCGAAATGCGCTAACTGGATAGTTCTTGCTGCTCTATTTGCCGGTGTTCCGACAGAGACTATCAACACCATTGGTGTCTGGTACACAGCGTCGAGATTGACTTATAGCTGGCTGTACTCTCACATTGAGTCGCCAGGACTGAGCTACCTGCGCTCGGTTGCTTGGTGGTCTGGAAACATCAGCTGCATCACAGGTCTGGTTCTCGCTGGAAAGAAGCTGTAGATGTCTATATCTACATCCGTGAGGAAATACACGGAGCAGTGTGCTTTGAAATTTTGCAAGATAGATGTTGCGACTTCAGAACCTTTTGCGGTCGGAGATTCCATAGAATTAGGAAAGAGAGGACCCCACAATGGTAAAAATATTAGTGAGATACTCTTGATGAAACAACTGTATCCCCGCAGCTCGCTCTCGTTGACCCCGCGATTGGTGGAGAATCTAGTCTCAATGCGCGCAAATCATCACAACCAAGACGGCGCAATCAATCCCAGCCACTGAGAGCTGAATATGCCCCTGCTAGTTCCCCTTAAGCTAAATGCCAACCTCTTTGTAAACTTTACTCTCCCCATACCCATTCATTTAACTCTCCTCTCCGCATCCTTGGCACACGGAGAGCAATCGGCAGCTTTTCGGGCTTTGTCCCTGTTGATCATGCTCAGCAGCCATCTCATTGTCAATTCCTACAGGCGGGAAATCTTCGTGTATCCCCGCATGCCAATGCCTCTAGATTGATCCGGGGAAATAATGTTGGGGTTGGCGTTCAGTGAAGGTATTTAAGAGATGCCCACGACTCAATTGCTTCTGTCACTGTCTGGCAAGCTATTTCTCAGTTCTAACAAGATGAAGGTCCTTGCAATTGCAGCTCTGTTTGCTGGGGCAGTCTCCGGCCTCGCCTCAAGTCATCTGATTCCCGGGGCGCATGTTATACCGGTAAAGGAGACCGCTGCTCTCCGCAAGGTTGGCGCTCATGGACAGAAGTACCCGGATCGTCGGACAGTTACCATTCGTCCCTCGAAGAATGAGAAGGACGATGTGTCGGCCGATTTCCTTTGGGGTATCAAGCAGGCCAACCATGGTGGACGTTTGGTTTTGCAGAAGGGAAAAACGTATATGATTGGCAAAAAGCTGGATCTTACTTTCCTGGATAATGTTGAGGTCCAGCTAGATGGTGAACTGAAGGTAATAAAAACCCCTGAGCAATATGCGGCAAAGTTGGGTACTGATTGCTAGTAGTTCACCGATGATATCACCTACTGGCAGGCAAACAACTTCTACTACTCCTTCCAGAAGTCGATCACGTTTTGGCGATGGGGTGGCAAGGACATCAAGATCTTTGGCAAGGGTACTCTGAACGGAAACGGTCAAGAGTGGTATGATGCGTTTGCTGGACTTGAGATTTTGGTAGGCAATTCCAACGGCTACTCGGAATAATCCAAAGTTACCATGCTAATGATCCCAGGACTCGAGCAACACTTTCTATCGACCCATTCTATTCCTGACCGAGAATGCGACGCGCGTCAGTGTTGAGGGTATCACCCAACTCAACTCACCCTGCTGGACCAACTTCTTTGTGCAGAGCAAGGACATTTCCTTCGATAATGTGTTCATCAACGCCTACTCCACCAACGCATCCGTAAGTAATCTACTGTTTTCCTGCCTCGACACTTCATCCAACTGACCGAGATAGTCTTTGCCCAAAAACACCGACGGTTTCGATTCTTTGAATGTGGACGGACTCAGCGTGACAAACACTAGAATCGACATTGGCGATGATTGCTTCTCCCCAAAGCCAAACACTTCCAATATCTTCGTGCAAAACTTGTGGTGCAACAACACCCACGGTGTTAGCATGGGAAGCATTGGACAGTACGCGGGTCAGATGGATTATATCGAGAATGCGCATATCGAGAACGTGACTCTGCTGAATGGACAGGTAAGAACAAGAGCACAATAATTGAAACACCTCAGTGACAGGCGATGCTGACCCCAATAGAACGGAGCCCGTCTCAAGGCATGGGCCGGTCAGAACGTCGGATACGGTCGCATCAACAACATCACCTACCGCAACATCCATATCGAGAACACCGATGCTCCTGTCGTTCTGGATCAGTGCTACTTCAACGTAAACGCCACCGAATGTGCTGCTTACCCCTCTGCAGTTAACTTCACAAACATTGTCTTTGACAACATTTACGGTACCTCTTCCGGTAAAAATGGAAAGGTTGTCGTCGACTTGACTTGCTCGCCGAACGCTGTGTGCTCGGGTATCCAACTCTCGAACATCGATATTACCAGCCCAGCTGGAGACCCACCAGAGATTGTTTGTGATGGCATTCAGGGGGATATTGGAGTGGATTGCATTTCGAGCAATAGCACTAGTTCCTAGAGAGATCGAAAGAGGCCTGTCGATGAGAAATTTTCAAGAGGAAATCGAGCGATTTCTGTCATGATTACGCGTTTTGAGTTGATTGTGGCCTGGCGAGAGGGGGGAGCCAATACTAAAATGTACATAAAAGTATGATAGTGGCAATTGTATCCCCACAATAACGACTTGGCAAGTCTTTTCAAACGACATTACACGTGTATGAAGTGTTTATCATTGATCGGACCAAGGGAGCTCTGTAATCAAACTCCTCATCTCTCTTCATTTTGAGATGTGTCCATGGGTGTTCTTGGAAATTGTGGGGAGCTAGAAACGCCACCTCCGCCAAGTCGCCAAGAAGGATCAAGCATTATCCTGACAGCCATACGACGAGGAGATTATCAGCGAAGGGCTTGCGGAGATGGATGCCTTCTTAAGAAAGTTTCTCAATTACGCCCATGCTGCCCTCCTATCGCAACCAAAAGCTCTGCGCACTGATCTTCTCCACACCCCACGATCTCCACAAGGGCAGAATCTATATCCGCTGTTGCATCTAGACTCACAGACGACCAATAGAATCGAGACCGCGATACCAACTCAACCAATGGACCGCCACAAAGACTCATCTCCGAGGATCCTTTCTGTCTTGTCCGGGGTGGAGATGCCCCCGCCCCCAGATTAGGACCTTATCCCCGGACTATTCGGCGGAGAGCTGAGTACGAAGAAAGGGGGCTATAAAAGTAGAACCCCGTTCTTCTTTGCTGCAAGATCATCGTTAACAAAGGAGTATCCAACATGGAGAAAACAAGCAGCGATTCCCACCACGTCGAGGGCGTGAGCCCAAATCTTGAAACCGGGAAGACGGACGCTTTCTACGTCGAAGATCGTGTTGCTCATCTTTCAGAGGAACATCGACAATATCTTCTTGCGAGACATGGCACGCTAGATCTTGATCCGATCCCTGATATGAATGATGCCGATCCTTATAACTGGTCTACATGGCGGGTAAGATGAATCTTGACGGAGAGGTGATGAAATGATGAAGACGATGATACTAACGCGATGCAACACGGTAGAAAACGCTAAACCTCTCTCTAGTCGTCTTCCACGCTATGATCGGTCTCTTCACGGCCGCCTCAATCCAATCCGCTTTCGTAAATATCTCAGCCGACCTCGGGGTGAGTATGCAGCGAACAAGTTATCTTGTCTCACTCTTCATCGCTGTGCTGGGTGGCGCACCGCTCTTTTGGCGACCTTTGAGCAACAGATTTGGTCGCAGACCCATCTTTCTCATCTCATTGATCTGTGCGCTTGTTGGTAATATCGGTTGCGCGGAAAGTCACTCGTATGCCACAATGGGTCTTTGTCGTGCTATCACCGCATTCTTCATTTCACCCGCCGCAGCTATTGGCAGTGCTGTTGTCGCCGAGGTGTTCTTCAAGAAGGACCGAGCACGTTGCATGGGGTATTGGACTTTGATGGTGACGATCGGCGTTCCGATTGCGCCCTTCTTATTTGGATTTGCGGTGATGAGGGTGGGATATCGATGGATTTATTGGACACTTGCCATCGTGAGTCCTCATGCTTGCTTAATATCTCACAAAATCATAGCGGACGCTAATTCTGTATCAGGTCAACGGTATCCAGTTCATTGTCTACCTCCTCTTCGGCTCCGAATCCCTCTACCTCCGCAACGAAACGGCCAGAAGCAACGTCACAAGCGTGAAGGAAAGCATGTTCAAATTCCGACGCATTGATCCGGCACCTTTGCGATTGTGGGACTTCATCCAGCCACTCAGCTACGTCATGAAGCCCTGCGTGATGATACCTGCTGCCGCCTACGCAATGATCTTCCTCTGGGGCAGCATCATGCTCACGATCGAAATACCGCAGATATTCCCCGAGCAGTTTGAAATGAACACGCAACAAGTCGGATTGCACTTCCTGGGTATCATCATTGGCTCAGTACTGGGTGAACAAGTTGGAGGTTTGATATCCGATCGGTGGATGCAACTGCGCCAGAAGAAGGGTGGACAGTATCCGGAGCCGGAATACAGACTATGGTTGAGTTATATCGGTCATGTGTTGACAGTTTGTGGCGTTGTCGTGTTCTGCGTACAGTTGGGCAAGGCTGGTGATAAGTGGAATATCACCCCTATCATTGGAGCAGCAATTGCAGCTGGTGGTAATCAGATTGTCACTACGATCAATATTACCTATGCCGTGGACTGCTATCGCACAGATGCGGCGAGTGTAGGCGTTTTTATCACATTTGTGCGACAGATTTGGGGGTTCATTGGTCCTTTTTGGTTTCCGCAGATGTTCGAAACAGTTGGATGGGGTGGTGGCGCTGGAATTGCTGTGGCATTGATTTTTGCTGTCAGCATTTTGCCTACTGTCCTTTTGCAATGGCGTGGGTCCAAGTGGCGTGCCTAGAGCACTTGTGGAGAGTCACAGCACATCGCCGATTCTGAATTGGATTATGACTACCTAATATTTCTCACTTCTATTCCCTCAATAATTTCTAAATGCACCCTTTGAGGGCTCTATAACCCCTAAATTCTTACATTCCCTACCATAGTACATGTAATTCTTCTATTTATCTGCATAAATCCCCAAGCTTTGAACCGAGACGCGGAATACTCAATAGTAACAAGAGTGAGAATTGATCCAAATCCGGTTCAACTGCGGTCCTTCCGCAGCCTAATCACTCCCGTTGGCAACAGCGAACGACAACAGCAAACAAAACAAAAAGAGAAAGACGCCGAAAAAAAGCCCAAGTCCTGGATTCGATCTTTGAACCTGGAGAGTATACAAAAATGGCAAAAAGGTGGTTCAAGGCAGCTACTAGCGTTTCATTAATCAACCTAACCACTCTTTCCCCCAAACAGGTAGGGCCAAGACCCCTAAACCATTCGGAGCTACTGACAAGGGGGATTTACTCTTCAATTCTTAAAGATACTTCCGAGAATTATGACACTTTAATATTCAAAGTGCTCTCTCCTCCGAAAGAAACCAGCTACAACTTCTTACATTAGCCAGCTAAGCATCTTACGCAAGACCAGGGCGCCTAGGAAAACAACGCACTTGGTTCATACAGAGTAAAGTATAAAGATCAAGTTACTCCATAATTATTCAAAAACAAACACAATGTACATAAAACGCCACCCAATCATTTCTCATTAACACCGTGACATCCCTCACGATTCTTTTCAGCTTCAGCTCCGATAGTCCACAGTATTGGACCTACTACCACCCCTCAACCCTCCGCATAGCCAAATTCATCCCCTCAACCGGCTTCGTCGTAACAGCACCAGCAACATGAATCTCCTGCTTAGGATCCTGCATCTGAAAAGCAAACCTACCAACAACACCTGCAACCGCACAACGCAACTCCGCCCTCGCAAAATCCTTCCCAATACAAGCACGCTGCCCATGCAAGAAAGTAATCTGCGCAAAATTTGTACTCGCGCCTCCATTCTTGTTCGGCACACTCTTCCCCGTCTTGGGATCCGTATCAATCCAGCGCTCAGGCAGGAAATCTTCGCCATTCTCGCCCCAGAATAGCGGGCAGCGGTTGATTGCGTACGGGATTAGGAGGATTCTTGTTCCCTGGGGCACACGCTTGCCAGCGATCATTGTGTCGCGGATACTTTCGCGGATTGTGGCGGGAACGGTGGGGTAGAGGCGGAGGACTTCCTCGCAGACGCCGTTTAGTAGGGGGAGAGATTCGAGGTCTTGGTGGGTTATCGGGCTTGATGCTGAGGGGATTTGGGTGCGGATTTCTTCGCGGAGACGTGTTTGGTATGTTGGGTGGAGAGTGAGGAGGTAACAGGCCCATGTTAGAGCGGCGGCGGTTGTTTCGTGCTAGAAGAAGTGGTTTAGTTAGCGATGGAAGCTGTGCAGAATGGATGGCCGTGGCTGTGGTGGATTTCAACTTACGCCCGCGGCGAGGAATGTCAGCATCTGATCGACCAGTTCTTCGTCCGAGAAATCTCCACCCAACATCATCGTGCCCAGGACATCGGCTTCGAGGTCCTTGGCTGAAGCCTTGGATGCGGCGAGAGAGGTTCGCTTTTCCTTGACGATATCGTTGCAGAGGTTCCGCAGGAATCCGGTCTCGTCGGCGACGACCTTGTTCAAGCGCCAGGGAACGCGCTGGGCAATCCACTGGGGGAGAATGAAGTTCATGGCGAGGAAGGCCATTTTCTCAGTCGTTGGCTCCAGGATTCTGAGGAAACTTTCCGCAACCTTGTTATCTTTATTTTGAATGGAGCGGAAATCACGGCCCATTGCTACAGGCCCTATAATGTCGAGTGTGACTCGGCTAATCTGTCAGCATACCGAATCTGCAGTGAAAGAGGTGGATGATACGAGACATACCTTCCCCAGACGCCCATCTCTAGCTTGCCGACTTTGTCTTCGGGGCTAGTTCCCTCCATCGGGTTTTCCGCGAGCTCTTTCTCCATTTCTTCCAGTAACTGGACCGTCTTTTCCCACATGAGGCTATACATGGCTCGAATGTTCTTGATATTGAAAGCGGGAGTCAGGGCTTTGCGCTGCTTCCTGTGGGCGGGACCTTCGGAAAGGATGAGACCAAAGCCTAAGATCCGGGCGAGAAAGTTGCGGGCACGCCAGGGCTTCTCGAAGTCGTATGTATTTGTGCTCATGATATCGAGTAGAGCCTGGTGATTTGTAGCGATGAGATAGCTCTGGCTGATACTGTCACGCATGTGAATAAGGCCATCGTTGGGGACCGTCTTCATCCATTCCAGCGGGGTGCGGCCACGGGGCGAGTCGAAAATGATCTTGGCATTGTTGAAGAGGCCTGGGATTGTGGGGAGATGGCGGAGTGGATTAAGGAAGAGGGGCCATATGAGAAAGTTGTAGATTCCTTTGAATAGGAGATTGCTGGCTAAAGCAGCAAGGACGAGAGTACGGAAGGCGAAGTCCGGAAAGAGGAAGTGTTGGATGAGGTAGCCCTCGGCGATGGACAGGGCTGAGAGGGCCGGAATATTCATCTTGGAGGGTAAGAGGGGAGATGACAAGGAAGAAAATGTGGGGGAAGGTCGAAGCAACCTTAGGAAGCTGGGGAGAGCTGGGGAAGAGGAATTTTATCTTTTATCTAATGGCTCCACTTCAAGAATGAAGATGAGCATAAAATGGAGCACTAATGGAGCACTGAGTATATATGGTCAAGTATAAGCATCTTGAATAGTAATCATAAAAAATCATTGATATAATGTGGGATCACAATAGTATTCCCTGGCATCCCTTTTAGGCAACCAGGATGTATACACATGAGAACCACCAGAGCATGACAGTCCGATGATGTATGTCCGGCCCTTTGAAGGTGGACTTTATGCGGCGCCCGGGGATATTTTACTATTTTGGGACTAGTGTTGCTCCACTGGGCTAGCGTGAAAATAGAGTTGCAGGTTCCTGCATGTGAAAATGAGGGGAATTTCAAGGGCAGCGCATTATTCAAGGCAGCTATGAACCATTGAATGCGGGGTGGGATGGAAATAAGTGTGAAGATGGGAGTATATATGCATGTGAATGGAATGGTGCCATCATAATGTACAATAATGAGTTCTACGCGTTCTGTATCTTGGAAATGATCCTGTGATGATGGGATTCTCCAAATTTGTTTACCGTCAAGTTGATAGTCGCACAGATCTTAGTAGGGCTGAACGTGTTACGACATGGATTATGCAAGTGTTTCTTAATATAAAAAATAATATTTACTGCGTAATATACGGTACTATTCTGTCTACTCTGCCAACTCAACCAACCAACTCTTAACCTTCTTCCCCTGCGCCGTCTCCGTCGTATCACCAAGATACAAATTGTAGATCGGCGCAACATGGCACTCACGATGTCCAATAAACAATTCGACACGTTCAAACCCTTCCTTGAATTTCGCCGCGAAGTCCTGAATAATCGGAAGGAGAATCTCATTACCGCCGCCCGTGATAAGAACGCGGTTGACAGGGAAATTCTTAAACCACTCCACCGGCGCATTGGATAGATCGGTATAGTTATCCCGCGGACTCTTGCCAATGTATGCGCTAGCCCATGGTTGCGCGACGGCTTGGGTGATCAAGTCACCGCCGTGATAAATCTCTTGATCGGGGAATTCGGTGTCGAGGAGGGTCCATGGTGCGATCATGGCTGCGCCGCCAAGCTTGGCGTTGTTGTGTAGGGGTAGGGGTTCTATTTGAGGGTGGGGATGGGCGAGGTGGGAGAGGACACCGCTGACGAGGTTTCCGCCTGCGGAATCGCCGCCGAGGAAGATTGTTTCGGGGGATCGGCCAGTTGAGAGAATGTAGCGCGCTGCGGAAACGGCCTGTTTTAGTTGGGTTGGGTATGTTTCGGTCGGCGCGAGGGTATAGGTGAGGGAGAAGACGGCGAGAGATTTGTTTGAGGTTTTAAGGGTTTGAACGAGCTGTGCGTAGAATTTGAAGTAGCCAATGTTGGCAGGCAGGCCAAATCCGCCGCCTGGAGAGACGTTAGCACTGCATTACATTGCATTGCCAGACTTTGAGGGCTGTCAGGGGGTAGATGAGCTTACCGTGGTACCAGATCATCACGTTGGTCGCATCGCGATCACCAATCCAGTGACCGAGCGCACCGTGTTCCAACTGGACAGTCTGAGCTTGAATGCGGGCCTTGCGGGCATATTGTTCGTAGACTTTGTTGGACGTGGGTGTGGCATATTGCATCTGCGACGGGGTAAGACGTGCCGTCACCTTGCGCATGACGGCATAGCCGATGTGGAGGAAGAGTGTTTTCGCTTGTCGCTCGGTGCGCCAGAGGCCAGTTATGATTCCAAAGAAGGCGGCGAGGGAGATGGAGGCGAGGGCTGGGAGGAAATCCAGCTTCTGCTGGAGGGTGAGTTTGACAGACATGGCCGGTGGTGATATCGAGCAGAGCGAGCAATGAAGGCTGCGCAAAGGTCAATTGCGCATCAATAAAGCAGTCGAGGCGTGTAAGAATAGCGCCAGAATATAAGATAAGACCTCGGCCCTGACCGAGGTACGTGAAGGTGGAGGGAGGACAACATCCTCGGTGGGTCAGTGTGAAAGCGAGAAAAGCAAACTGTGGAGGAGTTCGCACTGCTATCCACTTTCAGTAAAGATGAACATACACCCCCCCTACCGAGGTACCCCAGCATTGAGTAGAGTGTACGCAATAATGCGAGTATGGCATGGTGATATTACTCTACGAGACAGATTATTTTCATACCCTGAAGGATAATAAAGCAGGGTAGAAGAAAGAAGATATAGATCGGTAAATAGAATACGGTATATTACAGAATGCGGACGGATCGTGAGGGACGATACTGTATTCTGATAACAGCACGGAAGAGAAGCCCTAAAATCTTCAAAAGATAGACAGTCGATTGTCGGAAATATCAGAAGCGTTGAATGATAATGAATGTACAATAGGTACTGGTACTCTATAGAGATACGAAAACACTCCATACGACCCAAATCAATCTATGCCATCATCTAATACTCACGAGTGCCCCAACATTGAGTCCATGCAGAGAGACCCACCGATCGCCGTGAAACCGAGGCATGTGAGGGTCTTCTTTTAGCAGTGCCAAATGCGCAGAGATTATAAGATTAAAGACGCTCTCGTTTTCACTTCTCCACTCCACTTCTCCCCAACATCTCCCTCTCACATTTTGCCGCCACAATGAATGGTCATGCAAATGGCTCTGCTGGCTCCCCTGCCACCGACTTCGACGTGATTATTGTCGGCGCTGGTATCTCCGGCATTAACGCCGGATATCGCGTGCAAGACCAGCTGCCCGGTTTCTCCTACTCTATCCTTGAAGCTCGCGACGACCTTGGTGGTACCTGGGATCTCTTCAAATACCCTGGTATTCGCTCCGACTCCGATCTCTTTACCTTTGGTTTCGCCTTCAACCCATGGAACCGCAGCAATCCCATCGCCGAGGGCAGCGCCATCAAATCCTACGTCCGCGACACCGCTGAGAAGTTTGGCATCGCGAAGAACATCCGATTTCGCAATCGCCTCAACTCGGCTGATTGGTCTTCTACCGAAAATGTCTGGTCTTTGAACGTTGACGCAGATGGTACCCCCACCACTCTCCGCGCCCGCTTCGTCATCTTCGGCACAGGCTATTATAACTATCACCAGCCTCTAAAGGCCAACATCCCCAATCTAGATGACTTCCAGGGTCAAATCATCCACCCACAATTCTGGCCCGAGAACCTTGATTACGCCGGTAAGAAGGTTGTCATCATTGGCTCCGGTGCCACGGCTATAACTCTCCTCCCCAATCTCGCGGAAAAGGCCGAGCGCGTCACGATGCTCCAGCGCAGTCCAACATACATTCTCTCCCTGCCCAACCGCTCCAATTCCCGCTGGCTCGCCTACCTACTCCCCTCATCACTGTACCACCGCCTGCAACGGTTCATCTGGATCTACACCTCGCGCATCTTCTTCCTCTTCTGCCAACGTTTCCCGGGCTTTTCCCGCTGGATTTTGAGGCAGAATGTTTCCCGCCAATTACCCTCTCACATCAGCCACGATCCCCACTTCAAACCCCGCTATAACCCCTGGGACCAGCGACTGTGCGTCTGCCCGGATGGAGATTTCTTCCAGAGTCTACGCCGCGGCAAGGCCGATGTTCGCACCGACACAATAAAAACGGTTACTAAGCGCGGCATCACACTCAACTCAGGCGAATCGCTCGACGCAGATATCATTGTCACCGCGACGGGTCTGCAGTTGCAAATTGCGGGGGGTTCGAATCTCACCGTTGACGGGAAGAAGATCGAGATCGGATCCAAGTTCCTTTGGAATGGGGTTATGTTGCAGGATCTACCGAATGCCAGTTTCATTATTGGGTACACAAATGCTTCGTGGACTCTTGGTGCGGATGCGACGGTTCAGTTTATCACTCGTTTGCTGCGCACTATGAAGGAGCGGAAGCTTGTTTCGGCTACGCCTCGCATGCGTGCCAATGAAGAGAAGACTCTTGAAGAGCGTCCTTTGTTGAATCTGAACTCTACTTATGTCACGGTCGCTTCGAAGCATTTGCCCATGGCGGGTGATAAGGGTCCCTGGCAGGCACGTGATCATTACCATAAGGATATCAAGTTTGCGACGAATGGCGATTTGGAGACTGGCATGGACTATGTGAAGGGCAATGTGCAGTTGAGGCCTAAGCAGGCTTAGATTGACGATGCTTGGGTTGGTGATTGTATATGATTAGTTCGGATATACCAGTTATGATTGGCGTTTGGATTGTATATTTCAAGTGGTTTGGCTTTTCTCTGTTGAAGTAGGGCGATGTGTCAATGGAGCGCCTATATATACACTGCCAGTGATAAAGTGAATATAGCATGATTGACAGTTAAATCCGATTTTATCTTTGTAGTAGTTACTAGTACACCTGGGGCATCGGTACGCTTGTCTAATTTGTACTAGACGAGCATGAAGTTAGTTAGCGGGACCCACAAGTATCTCTGCCTAGAGCCCTGCAGGGGCCTAAAGGGTAGATTCTTCCGAAGTCCTATTTGAAGTCAAAGTTCCCTTTCATATTTTCTCGGAAATACCTCTGTTCATTTTGCATGGTCAACAATGGAGTTATCTGCGGTTTATTACGTACTACTCTTCCTACTTTTTTGCTACTATGTTACCTACCATTATCCAACGCGGAATTTTACCCCATCACCGAAATTGACTCCGTCTGCGATGAACGCGCTGGTGGAAGAAACAGATATAAGCAAATTCTACCATCACCCAACCTGGCCACACCGCTGGTTCCATCCAGAATTCACCGATGAGGCCATCAGAACGTGGCAAAAAGAGCTCTGCAACTCGGGCGATAGATGCCTGGGATGTCGTTTCCTGAGAAACCTTGGGACATCGGGATCTCCGTGGGGTTATATTATATACCGAACCGTTTACACGCCCGAGTCAGAAGAGCTTTGGCCCATAGCCATGGAAAAGCTGACACGGTTGACATTTTGCGAGTTCGAGGCCGAGTTCAAGAATCACCACGTGAATGCTCGCAACTCCCGCCCGGAACGATTGGTGAAAGAGGCACACAAGAATGTGATTATTTCCGATCCGGATTACTGGAATGGTGCTGGCATTGAAACTATTCGGGCGCATTTTGCTGAATACCTGCGTGCGGCCGGTGAGTACAAATCTATCGGCACTTCTCGATTTGGGGGATGTCTTGTGATCGATGAGCGGTCTTTGAAATCGATTATCGCGACGACGGACCCTTTTAATGAGAGGGGTGAGCGTCAGTGGGGCAATGTTGGCTTTGTTGGCATGGTCGATGGGCGGTATGAACAGGGGATAAAGTATGATATACCAAGTTACAAAGGGTTCATGAGGGTGAGGGTTCGTAACTTGTGGTGGATGTACATAAATTTTGATTTTAAGTCCATGGATGACCTTTGCCATGATGTTCCTGATGGCTTGATACCAGTCTATGACGGGGGAGATGGGCAGGCGCACGATGAGGAGGGGAATGATTGTCGTGCGGAGCTTGCAAACTTCCGGGAGCGGCACCGGGCTGGACGACGGCTGGTATAAGTTCAGAGATGAGCTCACCCTTAAAGCTGACGGGGGTGTTGAACCTTTATATTAACTTTTCACTAACGCCTAGTTTAGGCTTGGTTGGGAATGGTTTTGTCGTCAATTACGATTTCCTTTTATCTTCGAATCTCCGATGCGACCCACGGGTTCCAACAGTCCAGCACAAATCATGACATAGAGTGTCAGGCGTAATGGTAAAACAACTGAATACGACTTCTCTTCTGAAAATCAAACCAAAAGTTATCTCCGTCTTAATCTTAGAGTTTTAGATCATGATGCCCGTGGCAAGCCAAAGTTCCCCCACTGCTGAAACACCAACATGTTTGCTATGCGGAATGCAGATGCCAGGACTAGGACACGATTTGCAAGCGACACATATGTATTTTTATAACAGGAGAATCATACTATGTAGTGGTCGAAAAGAAATGGAAAACTTGCTACACTGGCAGGTCTTATCGAAGCCACCTCATGGTTTCCTCCAAAGAAGCCGAAAGTACATGTATCCCTGGTTTTTCACAATGGAGTTCCAACCTATACCGCGCAAGTGAGTCTTTATCGGCCATTACATTCAATGCCATTGCTTATGTGTCCAGTAATTGAATAAACAAGCTCAAGATGCTATTTATCGGGAATAAGCGTCATCGGAAACTGCGCCAATCCAAATCCGCTTCAAGTTCCTGGGGCCTATTATGTTCCCACGGACCCTGCTAAGGCTTGTGTTCGCAGCGCACCTAAATTTCGATTCCATCACAAGATATTAACCAAGTTCTCGCCTCGGGGTATTGGGAGACGAAACCCGTCCAAAAGAAGGAACTAGCAATCGGATATTATGTTCATGCCCACTGTTGGACACTTTTCGGCCATATTTTGGGAACAGAATTCACCCTATCAAATTTGTCAAAGCTAGCCGAAGTGTCTCGGAGGTACTGGCGTCAAGAAGAAAAGCCAGTCAACAAGCCTGCCATCGAATCTACTTCGCTACATAGGCCCAATGATGATACTTATCAAAGTCCGCTATTTATTCCTGGAATAGGGGAAACCATCAACCGGTTCCAATTTCTATCGTTCATGAGACCAGGAGTTGTTTCCACATTCAGTCAATTATCTATGGATATTGCAGTTTTGATTGCAGATTTGGTTTGCCCCGTAAATTATAGCCTCAAAGATGTTAGGGATATAGAAATTCTGGTTTCCATATCTCAGTGGCGATTGCCCCAATCTTTCTGGAGCCTCCGATTGGACGAGATCGCAATTTTCGAGCTGAAACCCCTCAAAAGCTCCAAGACTTTAGTGAATTGGCAGCTACTCCGTCTTGCGCTGATGAGACTTGTTGTCGATGAAACCTCACCTGTGTCAGGCGGCCTTTTGATCCGAGCGCAGACAATGAGAAAAATGGAAGGGATCAAAGAAATGTATCTCCCCAATGGAGAACGTCGTTACTAGAACAATTTTTCCAGTCGCATTTGCTCTGAAGCTTGCTGAGAGTTTTGCTTTTTTTAAGAGTGAAGGAAGATATATAAGGAACCGTTGAAGTGTCCGATACAGAAAGGAATATCATTATTATCGTATCTCAATAACCCGTGACTGGGACAGCCTAATAATTCACCTTTTCCAAACCCCTCTCAATTAAGTGTTTTAAAACATATTAGTTATCTACCTTCTCTCCGCATCTTCCTCAGCCCTTTCCTCAAATCCTCTGCCAGTAGGCAGCATGTTGAGCTCATCTTCCTCGCGATCCAATTTGTAGTTGGTCAGCCAGAAGCCAGCGCAGCCGATAAACGCAAGAATTGCGGTAAGAGCATAGTTCCAAACCAGCAGAGGATCGGCAGAGAGTCCAACCATTGCCTGTCCGATAGCGGCAGAAATTGCGTTCATGAAAAGTGCCACGGCTTGGACGAGAGAACGCATATTCTTGGGGGCTTTGGTGAAGGCGTATTCAAGGGATGTCACGGACGCGAAAATCTCGGAGAGACCACCGAGAATGTAGGTGAGTGCCTGAACCCACACTGAGATGTCGCTGTACTTGCCCTCCACTTCCAGGCAGTAGTTGGCTTCCTTCCCGCAAGGTCCGACCTTGTAAATATAGTACTGGGTCACAGTTGCAACGATCATACCAAGTCCGGCGGCAAAGAAACCAGCTGTGATTCGCTTGAGTGGGGTGAAGTTGAATCCCATTCTGCGAAGACCTGGGTAAACGAAGCGGTCCATGATGGGAATAAAGATGATCAAAGCAAATGGGTTGAGGTTGTTGACGATATCGTTGGGGACACCGCCGAGTCTCATGGTTGCGGCTTGGGAGGTCAAGTTGTTCAGCATCTGGTTGTATGCCAGCCAGTACAGCGGATACCAGAGGAAAACTTGGCAAGCCTTGAGACCACGGCGCACCTCATCCACCCACGCATCATCAAAGGTCATCCACACCGGCTTGTTATCACCCAGTCGGCTTGGCTTAACATGGTCCCAGAACTCACGGTCGTTACCGCTGCTGTTGCTCTTGAACCAATTGATAGGGTTCCAGCTCCAGCGACCCTTCATTGCGAGTCTCCAGAGACGGAATGCCTTTCCGTAGACAGAGCCAGTGGGTTGAACGAGGTTGTAGTTCTTGCGGCAAAGGATTAGCACGAGTGGGCAGACGCAGAACATGCATGTGGGAAGCAGGTAAGATAGCCAGAAGCCGATGTAGCGCTCTGCATAAACCATGCTGATCTGACCAGTCAGAGAGCCGATATTGATCATAAGGTAGAAGTACAGATAGATGCGAGCAATAGTCGCAGCAGGGTCGACAATCACGCGCTCGCCACTCTTCAAGGTCTTGATGTAAGGCTTCTCATCGGGATATTGCTCTGCGATCAGGGGGGAGATGTTGGATCTAAAAGGTCAGAAACGTTGCTGCAGAGTATCTTATGTGAGAGACCTACTTGAAACCACCGGTTCCGATGCCCATGATGACAAGTCCAATAGAGAAAGCACCAATCGAGCCACCAGGCCTAGAGATGACCTGTGGAATGGCTGAGATGATCAGGATAGTATGGCCGACTAGAGCGCAGGCAATGGAGGCGAAGATGGTGCGGAAACGACCCCAGTATTGATCAGCCACCCAAGCACCAGCGAGGGGCATAATGTAGGACCAAAACTGATTGACTATTCGTTCAGCAGAGTCAGCTCTGTCTCATTCGCGCAGGAATATTCATTCATGATGCCAAAACTCACACAAAGTCAATCCAGTCGAGGCACGTTGCCCCATGCCCAGAGCACCTGGGACACCATTGGAGAAGTCAGTCGTGAGAGCGCCGGAAGTGGAGCCTGGTGGTAACGGTCGCTGAATGAAGTTGACGACTGCTTTTGTTAGTCTCGACCTTTGTTGATGCTTTCATTGGGTTGCGCTTACAAACTGCCGTGGTTCCATAGTAGGAAAAACGTTCGCACAACTCGACGAAAGCGACGGTAAAAGTCTGCCAGGGAAGCTTTCCAGAGACACGTCGTAGGGTAGCCAACTCCTCGTCGGTTGGGATTGTTTTCAAGTCATCGTCGTCACCGATAAAGGATTGTGGAGCAGCCTCAATGCTGAGGTCCTGCTTCTCACTGACGGCGAGGTTGTGTTTCTCGTCCACGATGTCGTGGGCGATGGCCTTGGACTTGGCGATCTCGGCCTGGTCGACAGGATCGGAGACATTCATCGCAGGCAAAGGAGCACTACTTAGTGCAAAACAGTATAGTGTAGTGCAAACGAAAGTAGTTGAAATGCGAGACTGCGACGGATGAGGAGAAGATCAGAGGGAAGTGGGCGTGTAAAGCTTTTAAAGTCGACCAGGAGGTGCGGCACAACTCGACCAGCCACCACGGTTTAGCATCAGTCTAGTGCTATTTCAGCTTGTGACACCTATCTCGCGTGGCTATCTTGTGTTTCCCCAGTTTGCGTCTTAGACTAGTCTGTGGTCGCCATCGGTCGGACCCCCCCCCAGCGGCGTAGTACTTGGAATCTAGCCAAGCCAGGCACCGTCGGTATCCGATTGATTTTTCCTTTTCATGGCTTGCCCGAATTTTATTTGGATATCTTTGTCTGTGCCACAAGCTTGCCACTGGCCGTAAAAAGTCGCGTGCCGCCGCGTATCGCAGGATCTTGCCGGGATGGCACAATCGGAAGTCTGGGCGGAGATTGGCTGGTGGTGAGCTATTGGCCCGCTGCGATGGTGCTATGATTACGACTGGCCAACATTAATGCCAAGGATCCTTGGCTTGCACTTGGCTGGCAGGACGCAGTGCAACATCACAGCTTGGCCGGGATATTCATTGGAGCAAAAGGCGGGCAGCATTATGAGTGGCGGGCGATAACCCTAATTCAGCATATCCCGGCAGGACGAGAGAACTTGTGGATCCTCTCATTTGCCAGCTCTATCCTAACCCTTTGCCACGCTTATCCTGTACTTTGACTTCTTTGATAAAGCTATTTCTGAATGTAGAAGGTGGAATAGTTGACGCATGACCATAAAGTGCAGCTAAACTTCTAGAACGCGCCACACTGAGGTGGAATTTGGACCCTGCATCCAGAAACTTCATATTGACTAGGAACTAGCGTATAACAGCACGAGATAACTCTCCTATTGATACAGATTCAAATGGCCCCACTCGGATTCAACCGAGCATTGGCATTGTCGTTTGTATCGTCCTCCCCTTTATTGGCCGCTCGGGTATTGGCATTGGCATTTCCTCGTGCACTCCCCTCCAGCCCGTAAAGTACATCCTCGGACATGCCTGGGATTACCATCTCGAATGTCTCACGCACCACCGCATATTGGTAGTATCCACATCGCGCGATCGGCTGCGTCTTACGAACATCCAGCAATCCATCTGTCAAAACTTCGTCCCGGATATGCACGGCCACGACCCGTCCAATCACCACATCGACGGTTCCCATCGGCGGATTGCCAGGTAAGCGGACAGTTGAGTGATACTCACATTCGAACTTAACCGGCGATTCTGCCACCATTGGAACATCCATAGTGTGTGCGGCCTCCTTGCTGACCCCCGCACGGGTGAACTCGTCCACCCCATAAGGGACCTGTTCGGCGGAGATGTTGACCGCTTCACGCAGATCCCATGTTGCGAGGTTCCAAACGAATCGCCCAGTTTGTTCCGCATTTATCACTGTGTCTTTGCGTGTGCCCGAGACTGTCTGGTTCGAGGAAAACATCACATATGGCGGGTCAAAGGTAAGGTTGTTGAATTGCGAGTAAGGGGCCAGATTGGCTTGGCCATCGTTGTTCTTGGTCGAAATCCATCCGATCGGGCGGGGGATCACGCAAGCCTACGCACAAATCAGCATGGGGCTGGACAGCATTGGTGGCAATTGGAAAAGTCTACCTTGAAAGGGTCATGCGGGAGGTTATGTTCTGTCTTTCCGGGCTCGTAAAACATTTTGCTGAGATGCTAGGTGTCTGTTAATATTCTGTTCTGTTGCCAATTGAAGCTCATTTATACCCCGCAGAGACCTCCTGCTCTGCTTTGCCGATTCCGAAGCCGTGATCCACTCACTGGCTGCATGAAATGCGGAGATCTCGGTTCTCGGCTTCGGACCTCGGGGGTGGGTGCCATCCTCATCAAATTGCATGGTATAAAGGGTACTCAGTTTGTATACTCATAATAGAGTAAGCCGGCACCTCGGACTCGGGTCACTTCGGTGGGTATACTACTCTGGCACGGCATCCCGATGTAGGTCCGAGTTTTCCGGTGGGCTACTTAAATACGAGTTCTCTCCGAGACAATCAACCTACAAGTCACAATCACACAATAATCTTGTATACGGCTTACCATCTTTTATTATCCATAATATCATGGCCCATCTCAATTTCCGAACATTCGTCGAAGCCCTGAAGGAGGATGGCGATCTCGTCGAAATCAACGAGCCAATCGACCCCAATCTTGAAGCCGCAGCTATCACTCGCCGCGTCTGCGAAACTGACGACAAAGCTCCTCTCTTCAATAACCTCATCGGCAACCAAAATGGTCTTTTCCGTATCCTCGGTGCCCCGGCTTCTCTTCGCGCCTCGCCCAAAGATCGCTACGGCCGTCTTGCCCGCCATTTGGCTTTACCACCCACCGCGTCCATGCGTGAGATCCTTGACAAAATGCTGTCTGCGTCCGAACTGCCCCCTATCGCCCCGCGCATTGTCGAGTCCGGCCCTTGCAAGGAGAATGTCCTCGTTGACGGTGAATTTGATTTGACTACTCTCCCTGTCCCTATGATCCATCAGCACGATGGTGGAAAGTATATTCAGACCTACGGCATGCACGTTGTCCAGTCGCCCGACGGCTCCTGGACCAACTGGTCCATCGCACGTGCAATGGTTCATGACAAAAACCATCTCACTGGCCTCGTTATCGAGCCCCAGCATATCTGGCAGATCCACCAAATGTGGAAGAAGGAGGGTCGCGATGTCCCCTGGGCTCTAGCCTTTGGTGTTCCCCCTGCTGCCATCATGGCGTCCAGCATGCCCATTCCAGACGGTGTATCCGAGGCCGAATATGTCGGTGCCATGACAGGCGAGGCACTGGAATTGGTCAAATGCGACACGAATAATTTGCACGTTCCTGCCACTGCCGAGATTGTCTTCGAGGGTACCCTTTCCATTACCGAAATGGCACCCGAGGGTCCTTTCGGCGAAATGCACGGTTATGTTTTCCCAGCTGATACCCATCTCTGGCCCAAGTACAAGGTCGATCGCATCACATACCGCAACAACCCCATTCTCCCCATGTCCTCCTGCGGCCGTCTCACCGATGAGACGCACACAATGATCGGATCGCTCGCCGCAGCAGAAATTCGCAAGATTTGCCAGAAGGAGGGACTGCCCATTACAGATGCCTTTGCACCATTCGAGTCTCAGGTCACCTGGGTGGCCCTCCGCATCGATGGTGCTAAGCTTCGTGAGCTTAAGACCACCCCGAAGGAGTTCTCCAAGAGAGTTGGCGATCTTGTGTTTAACTGCAAGGCGGGTTACACTATCCACCGCCTGGTGCTCGTAGGTGAAGATATCGATGTTTACAATGGCAAGGACGTTATGTGGGCCTTCTCGACGCGTTGCCGACCCAATCTCGATGAGACTTTCTTTGAGGATGTGCGTGGATTCCCTCTCGTTCCGTATATGAGCCATGGCAATGGCTCGCCGGTCAAAGGTGGAAAGGTTGTTTCTGACGCGCTGATGCCGACTGAATATAAAACCGGTCGCGATTGGGTTCCGGCTGACTTCGAACATTCGTATCCAGAAGAATTAAAGGAGAAAGTGAAATCGAAGTGGGTCCAGATGGGATTCAAAGACTTGGAGTAGAGAAGAAGTATCTTCAGTCTGCCCAGATGTACTACTAGTAGAAGATAGACAAATAGACAAATAGATTTTTATTGTTTCATTTCATACCAAATTTCCGAATGCAGAATTGTAAAATCTCCCCATCAGGAGTAATCTACAGCTTGAAATTGTCCTCCCGAGAGTCATTCCATTATATCTGAGTCCCTAGACACACTTCCAACTCTCTGCAACCTTCTCGTTGCCACCAATATAGACTTGTCTCTCTGGGTAAGGACAGAGTGGCCTCTGTCGAAGCACTCCCGAATCAGGATCGGTCGAGTTGGTCCACGTAGTCGCAATAACCTGCTTGATAACCATCCCCTTCTCAACCCAATCCATTAAAGCTAGCAGCGCGTCATGCTGCGGGTCGTCTAATCCAGCCCGTCCCGCCCATGCGTTCGATCCCAGACGACTTGCTTGGGAGCCACCAGAGATAAACCAGGGTGCTCCGACGGGAGTGTCTCCCACATGTTCCATCCCCGGGATATAGAATAATCGAAACCAATCTCGGACAATATTCAAGCCTCCAAAAAGATCCAATGTGCGCTCATAAAAGACACCAGATGCGCGAGGCACAATGCCACCATCGGCAAGGCCGTGGAAGAGGAAGAGCTTGCCACCACGCTCGCGAAATCTGCCGAGAGCGTTATAATCCCAGGCCGTGCATTCACCCGGGTCGAACTCTTCAGCAAGCAAGACTATGCTGTCGTTGTACTGCTCCCAAGTCCAGTCGGGATCGTTCAATACGAAGTTCTGGATATAGCCATCCCCAAGGGCGGATGGTGCATCGCCAGAGAGAATCATTGACCAAGTTGCCTCGGAGCCTAGTTCCATTCCAGGAAAAATAAGTTCTCTATTAACAGTATAATTGGCGTATATATCTCGCAGAGTCTTGAGTTGAGGGGCCGTGAGACACGCTGAGGTATTCTGGACATCGTCATCACAAGCCAATGCTAAGCTATCAAAGTCGCACTCATTCGGAGATGATACAATGCCGTCGACGACTCCATCGATGGCATCACATTGCTTGATAACTTCCGTGGCGATGACGGAGAATCGATCACTCGGAATGTGGTTGGAACCTGATACGGGTAGGTTGTAAGTTGCAACTTTGCTTGTCCATGGCTGCTGGTGTGCAGTCCACCACGCTGGGGCGCCAATAATAACTCCATCAAATGAATCGGCATGAAGCTGCACTTCTTTGAGACCTTGTCGGCCGCCAGTCGAAGATCCGGAATAATACGAATACGCAATGTCTCGGCGGTAGAAGGCTTCAGTCAGAGCTTTGCCAAATACGACCGACCCGTGAATTGCTCGGAAGCCAAAGTCTTTCCGCTTCTCCTCATTATCAAGTGCCCATGAGACATCTGTGCTAGTCGAGTTGTGCCCAGTATCTGTCGAGACAACAGCGTGGCCATAAGTCACGCCGTTACCCATGCTTAGCCAGTTGATGCCACCGGCAAATCCCCCCATTGCCAACTGCGAGAAAACGCTGGTTCCACTGAGAAGGAAGAAAGAGACCAAATCGATAAGAAGAGATAGCAGAAGTGGTGACGTGGACAATTACAGCGCAGAGCTCCGGGAGACTTGTTGAGTTTGAGGGATAGGCAATGTCGGGAGCGCCCTCGCCGTAGCTACCCCCAGATTCAACGAAGACCGTCGATAAGACAGTTGCTTCTTTAGGGAGGACATGCTCAAAAATGGCCTTTGTACAGGTACTGCTATTTCTAGATGCTTCACTCACTAATGCGATAAATGAAGTCACAAGAAAAGCGTATAGTGTGGTACATCTCATGTTGATGGCAACTAAGAAATCAGTGACTAGATCAAATAGCGAAAATACAACTAGTTAGAATATTGACAGAATACCAGGATATTACAAAGCGGCAAGAACTGGACGCGGTAGTCTTTGAATAAATAGAGAGTTACAATTCGGCATCCATTTGACCCCACATAACCCACTTGAAGCCAGCATCATATACCCCACGTTGTTGATACAATTGTCTCCAAATCTGGTTAAATACCATGTGGATTTCTCCATATTGCGGCGAAATTAATATTAAATGGATAATCGCCGACATGAGCTGATCTCAACTCGAGTTCTATGCAGTCCTTGTTGAAACCTACCTCGAGATTCGCCAGATGCACACACAGTTTGCATACGGGTCAAATTTCCGCCGGTCCTGTCGGTAAATCAGGTTATAATTAGTTGAAAATTATGTCGGAAAATAGAATATAACTGGTCGGATTAGAGGCGGAAAAGAAAAAGGTGTATTTACCAAATGCCATCAGGGATGTGGGGCTCATTTAGAGTCCATGAAAAGGCAATACAGAGGATGTGGGACAACGATGTTAAAGATCAAGGCTAGCCCCAAAGGTGCAAAGGTGATACCGTTGACCCTTATCATACAGTGACAAGATTGAAGCAGAAACTATTCCAAAGATACCAATAGGCGATATCGGAGTGGGGAACTATGAAAATCCTGCGATGGACGTTCTTAGTCGATATATGAAGAAGTTTATCGACTGGTTAATACAGTGTGGGGACATATATATAGTCACCCTCATGTCCAACTCGAAGATGAGGCATTGGTGAGCACCATAATCTCATTATCGAAAGGTTGTCTTTGCAATCTCCACATGAGGCTCAAGACAAAAGGTTTCGATAGTTTGTTTTTATGTATTTAGTATGCTACCTAGGTATTAAATTTCAACTCTAGTCGAAATTCATGGATATCCATCGATACATGGCCGAGGGCTGGAGTGTGTTTATTTCTTTTCATGATTTGCCACTTGGGCAAGTATCACACTGGCCATTTTTGCAAGTATTCCGGGTCAGGATCACTCAGAATTCACATGGGTAATTATCTAGGCATATTAGACTATCTTGATCGAATAAGCCCTTGAGTCGACAAAAATTCAAAGAATTTTATTGCTATTCATAATCGAACTTCACAATTTGCAGCATTCCAGCCTCGCCGTCACCGCAAACTGGCCCGTGCACGGAACCGGAAGACTCCGAGTCAACTTGAACCAGTCAACTCTTGCATTTGTTTCCCTTCCCACCTTTACTCTCATGATTTTTACACTGGGATGACTCGGAACTGATATAAATGCAGTCAAAACACTTATCGCATCAATCTAGTTTCTCAGGAACGCCAATCCCGCTAAGCATAGCTGACCCCTGCAGCCATCTCGGATCTCGGCATGAATGTCAGCCAAGACGAAGCAGACCGAGTTCTCCGACTCAGATCCCGAGAACGCGAAACACACGCCTGCTATCCCTGTCGGAAGCGCAAAGTGAAATGTGATGGCTATAACCCATGTCGGACCTGCATTCGTCGCAAGCACCCACACATCTGCTCCTATCAATTGCGTGGGCGAGGGGGCCCGTTGTCGCCTGTAGCTGCGCGAGGGAGCGTCGGGAATGTGAGGTCGCCGGAGGGCTCGGTTGGTCAAAATCTTGATGTTGATGCTGAGGCTGGTCCTCATCGACCTGCGGAGGCTAGCGATGTGCGACCGGACGATGCTTCGAAGAATTATGTGTATTCTGGGGATAACTCGGTCGTCTCGATTCTGCGTCTGAGAGCGTCTGATGCGAATGATTCCGTGGCCAGAGAGGTTGGATCGGTACTGGGTCTTCAGAATACCTTCAATTCGTACCCATTTATGGATTCCAAAACACCCCATGAGCGGTGGCGGTCGTTACTCGGCATTTTGCCGCAGCGAACAGAGGTTTTGAAGTATGTCACTTGTTATTCATCATGAACGCATAAGCTAACCAGCAGATTCTTTCATTATTATCGCGTGACTGCGTACCCTTTCAATCCAATACTGGCGGACATGGATCGGTTTGAGTCAGATCTGTGCACTTATCTAAATGCCCATGCAAACGGGGACCTCCGTGACGCAGAAAAAATCACCCAGCGTTGGGCAACGGATAAATCGATCGGCCACATCGCCTTGCTGCTAGCCACTTTGGCAGCTGGCGCACATTACTCCGATATCGAGTACCCGCAGCGCTTGGAGCTTTCTACAGACTTTGGTAAGTTTGCTTTTCCGGGATTATTGCTCAAGCTGACCATCAGCTCGCCGGTCATTTCATGCTCTTCGCCTGGCAAATTTTCTCTTTCGCCCGTCATTGGACATAATTCAGGCACTTTTGATACTAGGGAATACATTACAAAATATGGGCCAGTCGGATGCGGCTTGGGCGTTGTTAGGCACGACCATTCGGTTGGCACAGACCATGGGGCTTCATACCGAGCGCAGCACCGTGCATTGGCCTGAGTATGTGCGAACAAAGGCAAGGGCCTTATGGTAAGGGACATGTGACTCCAGGCTATGCATTGGGAACTAAATAGAATCTTCTTAGGTCGACAATTGTTTGGCAAGATAGCTTACTCTGCCTTTGTTACGATCGCCCTCCCATCGTATCAGTTACCGGATGGCCGCTTGGCACCTCATATATCGAGAGGCAGGGCCTTTCCTATACGGAAAACATGCATTTCATATGTAGAGTTGGACTAGATATCCTAGGACCTGAGGGTCTCAGGCATTGCTGCTGCTGACAGAGCAATCGAATATTTGCAGCACATTGACAGTGTCCACCAGAAAGCTCAGCCGCATTTGCATTCTCGAGAAAATTGTACGACATTACAACAACACCTTGAACACCTCGCATTGAAGATGCACACCTCATTTTGTGTATCTGTTGCTTGCCGTCCAGCCATGAAACAAGCACAGACACAGCCACCACACTCCGATATTCTCCGATCACGCGCGAAGGGAAGCTTGATTGACGCTTCGAGGGCATTCCTCGATTTCCAAGCGCTTAGTGTTGTCCCTCTACGCAGCTGGTCTATGGTACATACTGTCTTAAGCTCAACCCTTCTGCTCTGTATGTGGGAGGAAACTCGCAACGACCCCGAATGCCGCGATCTCCAACAAAAAGTAATCGATGTCTTTTCTTCCTCTGATTCACGACCCGATGATGGGGGAGTGGCGGAGCCAGATCAACAGTGGCTGTCCGCTCGTCATATTCGGGCGTTGGTGACACTCCGAAGTGCCCTTGACAGGGAAGGAGATCGATCGATGGAGAATGAGAACGCTGCAACAGGATCAAATGCGGTTCCATTTGATGGGTATGTCTATCATCTCGTCTTGGAAGAAAATTGCTGACTATGCAGAAATTTTGAAAGTTACCTTGAAATGCCTAATGCCTTCGACATCTCTCCGGTCACGTATCTTGATTCAATCATGAATGGTGTGTGCGACCCGCGACAGAGATTATTCTGCGACTAACTCTAGCAGTGCCGATGTTTGACTTCACACAAGAAAATGGGTTTTTATGACTGAATGAACATACTAATAGACATAGCCTATAATGAAAATATTGAGGTGTTGAAACATCCAGAAAGAAAATTAGATAATCAGCTCAGTCGTATGTAGTCTTACCCTTCCTTATTCAAGCTACCGGGCGTTTTGCTGTATGAGCTAGCAGCATAGGGCTTCCACTAGTGTGCAATCCCGAGGTCGCTAAGCCTTCCTTATTGGTTTAAATTTTTGAGAATAGACGGGTAGCTCGGATCACTTTGACAGGGCCACTCTTTTCCATCTTGGACTTCTGTGGCCTTGTTTCGGTCATTCTCGTCCCGGGCCGCGTGTTCGGGGCTCGGTCTCGGATCCTCGGTCTTGCTCGGGGTGGGAATCGGGCCGAGCAGTCTTCACTCTGGTCCTCATCTTGCCGATTATTCTTCAAGTCGACTGAGTTAAGCTTTGCCACAGTTAGTTATAAGAAAGCTAGCTTGGTACTTTCTTTCGAATCTCAGTCTAATACCACGATCAGATCATACAGTCTTGCATACAAACACTGCATACCAACCCCACCATACAACAACGGAAATAGAAACACCTACCTCTCTCATGCTGTCTCTACTCTCCGGCACACAGACTCCTCAGTCCGGTCGCGCCTCGCCTGGAAGCTCTCACGGCCAAGACACAATGCACACCGGACACCATGCTCCAACAGCCCCCCGGAAACGAATCGTCGTCGCGATGACTGGTGCTACCGGCGCCGCCCTTGGAATCAAAGTCCTCATCGCCCTTCGTCGCCTGAACATCGAAACACACCTTATCATGAGCAAGTGGGCCGAAGCAACCATAAAATACGAGACAGATTACCACCCTTCGAACGTCAAGGCTCTGGCCGACCACGTCCACAACATCAATGACATGGCGGCGCCAGTAGCGAGTGGTTCATTTAAAACGGATGGGATGATCGTCGTACCCTGCAGCATGAAGACCCTCGCAGGAATTCACAGCGGGTTCTGTGATGACTTAATCTCGCGTACGGCAGACGTTATGCTTAAAGAGCGGCGCAAGCTTGTTCTCGTCGCGAGAGAGACACCGTTGAGTGATATTCACTTGCGGAATATGCTGGAGATCACTCGCAGTGGAGCTATCATTTTCCCGCCAGTTCCAGCCTATTATATTCGGGCTGCATCAGTTGATGATCTGATCAATCAGAGTGTGGGGCGCATGTTGGATTTGTTTGATTTGGAGACGGGGGATTTCGAGAGGTGGGAGGGCTGGCAGACTGAGAAGTGAGCGAGCTTCCACTAGATGACCAGACCAAGGTTGTAATGTCGGGGTGATATTTTGCATGGCATGTTCGGCGTTATTAGCAGGAATAGATTGGGTACCACACCTTCACGTGAAAAAAAAATATGTACACAAAGTTTCTAGTAGACACAATGAAAGCGAGGATGCATATATGACTTCTTTTGGTCGATTCTCCGGAACACACGCGGCTTGGGTAGGATTCTCGCTTCTGCAGCTCTCGGATGAGTTGGACTGGGCGAGTGAATACGGTTGAATACGGTTGGGCCTTGCTGCCTAGAGTTTCCAAGAGTTTCCAAGAGTTGACCGAGCCAAATAACTATTCATCGCCAATCGTCCCCCTCCTATTCCTTTCTTCACGGCTCCGCCCGAGAACATTTTTATTTCCGACCTGCCAGGAACAAGGGGCATGCCAATAGAATCTACTTGAGTGAAGCTTCTGCATCTTGCCACTCCCTCTTCGCAGATGACTGACCTGAATAGGCGTATAGTATACGACGGCGATCCAACCGAGTCCACCCGTCGATCTCCAATTCCGCCGGTTTAGTGGTAGGGATGTTCCCCACACCCCCAGGATTCGCGGGGCCGATGTGGTCATCTTGCATTCCAGCGTTCGTGCGCACTCTTGATGTGGTCAGCCGACGGCCCTGGGCCTGAGTATCTGTCCTATCATCGTGGTTCTTCAGCACCCGCACACGGCGCTTACGCCTTGGCCTTCTTCGTCGACCTACCAGCTTGTGCCTTAACAGCCGTTTACATCTAACGAGCCCCAATATGCTCAATATCGACACGCGCATGACATTCTACGGTGAAGATTCCTTTCTTAGAATAGATGCAACTCCAGTCCGATGCCGAAAACCCCTCTCCTCCTCGCGGGGTCGATTTGAAGCTTGCGATGCTTTTTCTCAACCGAGGAACCACATGTTTTTTTTTTCTCGTCCATTGAGTTCGCCTAGGAATGGAGCTACTATGAGACGTTTAAAAGCTACCATATGGTCCCTTGGAGGGCAAGAAAGGAACAAGGAGATCTCACAAGTGTTCTCTCAGCTTCAGTTAAGATGATGTTGGTACAGTTAACTCTATATTTCCTGCTTGCCCTACCAGCGGCCTTTGCTGCGCCGGCACAAGAGAAGAGAGCAAGTGCCCCCACTGTCACCATAACGAAGCCTGCAGCTACGGTTGTTGGATCATCCTCGAACAATGTGGACAGTTTCAACGGAATACCCTTTGCCCAAGCACCCACCGGATCTCTTCGACTAAAGCCCCCGCAGGCCATAACTTCTTCTCTTGGAACAGTTCAAGCTACTGGCACTGCGCGCTCGTGCCCACAGTTCTACTTCTCTACTAACACTGCTGGTTTCCCGGTGTCAGTTTTGGGAGAGCTAGCAAATATTCCTATATTCCAAACCGTTTCCAATGCCGGTGAAGATTGTTTGTCCGTCAGTATTCGACGTCCGTCAGGAACAGCCGCGAATGCAAAGCTACCAGTTCTGGTTTGGATTTTCGGTGGCGGATTTGAACTCGGATCAACCCAAATGTATGACGGCTCCAGTCTAGTATCTGCCTCCGTGAGCTTGGACATGCCAATCATCTTTGTGGCTATGAACTATCGCGTTGGTGGATTTGGTTTCATGCCTGGGTCAGAGATATTGAAAGATGGCTCTGCAAATCTAGGCCTACTCGATCAACGCCTCGCCCTGGAATGGGTGGCAGATAATATTCAAGCCTTTGGGGGAGATCCATCGAAGGTCACTATCTGGGGCGAGTCTGCAGGTTCCATTTCTGTCTTCGACCAGATGGCTCTATACGATGGCGATAATACCTACAATGGGTCTCCGTTGTTCCGAGCGGGAATCATGAACTCCGGGAGCATTGTTCCGGCAGACCCTGTTGACGGAACCAAGGGCCAACAGGTATACGACACTGTTGTTGAGTCTGCAGGGTGCGGATCTGCTAGCGACACACTGGAGTGTCTCCGTGGTCTGGATTATACCAAGTTCCTTAACGCAGCAAATTCGGTTCCTGGGATTCTTTCATACAATTCCGTCGCTTTATCATATCTTCCTAGACCAGATGGCAAGATCCTAACGGACTCACCTGAGAACCTGGTTAGCAGTGGAAATTACGCCTCTGTTCCTTTCATTGTCGGCGACCAAGAGGACGAAGGAACCATTTTTGCTCTTTTCCAAGCCAACATTACCACGACTTCGCAGTTAGTGGATTATCTGAAGAATATATTCTTCCACGGTGCTTCTTCGGCTCAGTTAAATGAGCTTGTTGCGACATATCCAGATGTGACGACAGATGGATCCCCGTTCCGCACAGGTATTTTCAATAACTGGTATCCGCAATTTAAGCGGATCGCAGCAATTCTAGGAGACTTAACTTTTACAATTACACGACGCGCATTTCTCAAGCTAGCAAAGGAGGCGAAACCGGATGTAGCCGCATGGTCCTATCTATCTAGCTACGATTATGGAACTCCTATTCTTGGAACCTTTCACGGGTCAGATATCTTGCAGGTATTTTACGGAATTCTGCCCAACTACGCGTCGAAGTCCATTCATTCATATTATTTGTCTTTTGTCTATGACTTGGACCCTAACTCTCGGGCAAGTGATTTTCTGGACTGGCCTGATTGGGGCACGAATCAAACGTTGATGCAATTCTTCAATGACCGTGGAGCACTTTTGGCAGATAATTTTCGACAGGATACTTATGATTTTATCCTAGAGAATGTTGGATCTTTCCACATCTAGGTCGCACTACTGGGGATCAGAACATATGTCATGATGAACTTGAAATGATAACATGATGTGTTCCGTGAAAGGACAACTAAGTGTGACAATTTGTGGTAACCTGAACGAAAGAGTAAATCAAAATTATCTCCATGTTGCTGTCACTGTAGCTGTTGAGCCCGAACAGCCCGTAGGCACGGTGTACGAGCGATTAGGATCACTTTCCCAGGTCACCGACGAGGACCCAGTTGTCTCTTCAATGAATTTATATTCGAAGGACGATCCGACTGGAATCGTAACCTGAACATACCAAAGATGGTTTGAAGAGGTATACTGATCGGCAGAAAGTGCAATCGCACTACTGGTGTCCCAGCTACCCAACTGACTGATCGAACCAGACAGATAAATTTGCTGTCCAACCGAAGTAGTCACGATTTCTTTGAAAAGTACTGGTAGTGCTGTAGCCTGGGTGCAAGATGAGGTTGTGGTGCTAGCAGTTGATTTGGAGGTAGTAGTCGTTGTAGTGGAACCTGAAGATGCACACGGGCCACTACTAGTTGCAACAGAAGCCAGCATGAGAACGCGAGGTAGACCAGATGCCATTGGAACTGGAATATTGCCACTTGAGTCAACAGTTACGGATGTGCAAGTGTACATTTCCATGAGCACAGTGCCGGAAGAGTATCCACTGCCGCTGAGACTGAGGGTATAGGAGCTGCCAGACGAGCCGTAGTTGGAAAGAACTGTTATAACTTGAGATCCACTTGATCCTTTCTTCATGGCAATCGTGTGACTATCTTGATAGAATGGGGCGTTCTATAATTATTAGATAAAGTTTCTAAAGGGGTAGAGAACAGTACCTTGGAAGTTATATAAGAAGAGTCTGAAGAAACGGCCAGACTGCGGATTTTGTTGGTCGTTGCAATATATTGATATAGAACAGCAGTTGTTGAGTAGCCAGAAAGCCAGGTCGCTTCGCGATTCGCAGGATCACTGCCTCCGCTATAGTGCTGCTCTTGACCGGCGTAGATGATCGGGATACCATCTGAAAGAAAGAGGAAGGAAATGACGTTCTTTGCTTGCGAATAGTCACTCGTGTATCTGCCTAATTAGAGTTTGTATTTTGATGCAAAAGATTTCACTTACGAGGCAAATCGAGGGTTATCATGGTTTTCAATGAAGTTGCCGAGCAAAGTGGGATCGGAGCAATCCGAAGCAACTGAACTAATCATGTTGTACAAATCACTGATGCTACCACTGGAAGACTCGAATGCGTAAAGTAATTGATAGTAGCTTATGGGTCAGATATAGGTTTCAAGATAGAAAGATCAGATACTCACATGGGGTAGTTTAAGACTCCATCTAGGTAACTTTGGTAGGGACATGTGTAGGCTGGGTCGCCAGAGAAAACCTCTCCAACACAATATACGCCTGCCGCACTGTTATAGCCCGGCCAGAAGGACTTTTCAACATGTTTCAATGTGTCGATTCGTAGCCCGTCGACTGATATGATATTAGCAGAGACATCAAAAGAAAACGGGAAACATACTAGAGTAGTTTGAAACTAGAGCGGAAACCCAGTCGTACCAGATTGTCTGGACTGAAGATAGCTCAGTGTTTACATCAGGCAAAGAAACCGTGGTATCTCCCAGCCAACAGTCCTCAACATTGGCTTGGTTAGAATAGTCGCTTATCAGACAATACGAATGAAAATATGAGGACGAGTCGAAGGGATTGAAAACACTGTAATCAACCGTATTCCCCGCGCCATTGTATCCCTATCTTATAGTAAGCATTGACAATTACGTACGAAATTTTGACTTACCATATGATTTGCCACGACATCCACCATCAGGTACATCCCCCGAGCGTGTAGGGCCTTGGAAAGAGCCAGGATGTCAGCAGCAGTGCCGTGGTTTGAGTTGACCTCATATCTAGAACAGTTAATTCATCGCATGATTCAATTCTCAAGAAACTCACATTTTCTGTTGCCAGTAGCCATGATAGGCTTCACCATCACCGGTATTGCCATCGAGCTGTTCAGTCACTGGGGTTATCCAGATGGCGGTGAATCCCATGCCTTGGATATAGTCCAACTTATTTTGATCAGCATTCTATAGCCAGTGTATTTCCAGCACGCGTACATGATTGATGATTCCTTGCCAGCTTCCGCCACAATAAACCTATATCACTGGGAATTAGCAGGGTTGGTTTTCAAGTTATCTTCGGGTTTAGTACATACCCTGTTTGTAACATCACAAGCAGCTGTGGTTGAATTATCAGAACGTCCAAATCGATCAGTCAACAAAAAGTAAATTGATTGAGACCGCCATTCCGCCGGAGTGAGTGCGGAGATAGTCTGAATGAGAAGAAGCGTTACAGCAAGTAGAATTTGCATTATGCCCCGTTGATAAAGTGGATAGTAGCACTCCCTGGTCGAATCTAACTCGCAGCCACTGGCGCAATTTATACATTAACCCCGCAAAACGAACGTTTCTGCAGAGCACAAAAGCGACTTTCATCTATTTCGTAATTAGATCAGCCCATATGACCCCGGCTGATTGTCGGCTCATTGAGCCAATGATTCTGAGTGAAAACTATTAAACTTCAATTTTTCCGGTCCGCCCGGGGGCAGGATAATAGTTTCAAAGAAGCCCCTGGATTAACCCCGAAATTCTAATTTCAATTTTTGATCGACTTTTGTCCGCCTGCATCAAATAGTGTATTGGCATTCCAACTAGATGCAAGGGCAGTAGCTCAGCTAAGCATTTTTTAATATTGTGTTCTGTATGTTAAATCAAATGGCGCAATCTCAGTTGCTTAATATGGCCCGCAGCACGTAGCTTGTGAGACGCTTCACAAGTTCGCAGCGAGATATGTTCAGTCTAAAGGTATGATCGTATTCTTCGATGCTTCCGTGTACCTTCTGTCCTGCAGGCACATATGCAATTAGAATGCTCGGTTAATTGATCTCTGCCTGCAAGGTCAGCCCTAGCGTCCAGCGCCAGTCTCCAAGAGGGAGATCCTCCGCGCACTAAGTGGACATTGTCGATCAATATTTCCAGAAGCGCTAAAGGCCCAGTTTCGAAGGAGAAATGCAGGTGATGGCTGCTTTGCATGCGTGTTAAATCTCCTGACAAAACGCCTCCTTCACAAGCGAAGCGGGCACATTATGGACGGAGAGGCGAGGAAAATTGATTGGAGCTCACATCTCCAAATAACTCGGCGGGCGTTCGGCTAGACAGGGACGGAGAATCTGCGGGGGTGATTGAGCACATCTGCAGAATACGGACCCCGGGGAGGCGCAGATGTGGCTTTATTCTGAAGTGCTGGTATGTATTCTGTAATATTTTGTGAGTGGAAAAATTCGCGACGATGACCATAGCTAGGAGCTGTGAGAAAAGAAGATTATTGCTTAAGTAGAATGCAGAAGGCAAGAAGCCTCGAAATGAAGGATGCTGATTCATTAGAGGGGTAGGTACTTCATTCTCGACAAGTCGTTAGCGCGTCCGATCGTGCAGAAGCAAAACTGACTACGACGAAAGCCACAAACGAACTAGCCTGCAGCCCCCCGATCTCTGCCTCGTCACATTTCCCCACCCCCGGTAAAGGCTCCAGCAATTTATTGTTGAGATTTGAAATCCGACTGAAGCGAGCAGACAACAACGTGGCCATGCATAAAAGCCATGCGAATACCCTCCTTTGAGCAACATCAGACGGAGACAGAGACCGTCGATCCTTCATCATGGCTCCCCGCATCTGGACTGCGCTCTGCGCGCTGACTTTTGGCTCGACTGTGCTTGCTGCTCCGCAGATGTTGGCACCTCGTGCGACCGGTAGCTTGGATACCTGGTTGGCATCTGAAACTACAGTTGCGAGAACAGGTATTCTGGATAACATCGGCTCCGGTGGCGCGTATGCGGCCACCGTGAAGTCGGGAATTGTCCTCGCCAGTCCGAGTACAGATAGCCCTGACTGTGAGTCCCAATATTCAATCTTACTGGACAGGAGTCTGACATCGCAGATTATTATACTTGGACTCGTGACTCGGCTTTGGTCATGAAGACCCTGGTGGATCTGTTCAAGAATGGCGACACAGCCTTGCTCACGGTCATTCAAGAGTACATCAATTCCCAGGCATACATCCAGACCGTTTCCAATCCCTCTGGGAGCCTCTCTAGCGGTGGGCTTGGTGAGCCCAAGTTCAATATCGATGAGACAGCGTACACCGGATCGTGGGGCCGACCGCAGCGTGATGGCCCTGCCCTCCGAGCTACTGCGTTGATCTCATTCGGACAGTGGTTGATCGTGAGTCACTTTCTATTCAAACCCTCATTTTCAATTTCTAACCCACTTTCTAGAGTAATGGCTACACATCCACTGCGACTGATATTGTCTGGCCAATTGTTCGCAACGACCTTTCCTACGTTGCACAAAACTGGAACAGCTCTGGATACGGTAAGGCAAACCAAAAGCTGGGCACGAACATTGCTAATGAAGAATAGACCTGTGGGAAGAAGTCAACGGCGAGTCATTCTTCACGACAGCTGTCCAGCACCGTGCCCTGGTCGAAGGCAGCAAATTTGCTAGTCAGGTGGGGTCATCCTGCTCGTACTGCGACTCCCAAGCACCACAGGTACTTTGCTTCCTGCAATCCTACTGGACCGGCTCATACACCCTGGCAAACTTTGGCAGCAGCCGTACTGGCAAGGATGCGAATACTCTGCTCGGCAGTATTCATACATTTGATCCCGAGGCGGGATGCGATGACTCGACCTTCCAGCCTTGCTCAGCTCGTGCTCTGGCCAACCACAAGGTAGTCACTGACTCGTTTCGGTCCATCTACACTGTCAACTCAGGTAAGGCCGCAGGAAGTGCCGTTGCAGTTGGTCGATACCCTGAGGACTCTTACTACAATGGCAATCCGTGGTATCTGTGCACAATGGCCGCTGCCGAACTACTCTATGATGCATTGTACCAGTGGAATAAAGCTGGTTCTTTGACCATTAGCAGTGTATCTTTGAGCTTCTTCACGGACGTCTATAGCTCAGCTGCCACTGGTACTTATTCATCAAGCAGCGCTACATATTCTTCGATCGTTAGTGCAGTCAAAACATATGCTGACGGCTACATGAGCATTGCGGTAAGCAAACGCGCTTAAACATATCTCGATTGAAATCAGTACTGACAATCTACAGGAACAATACGCATATTCAAATGGTTCCATGTCTGAGCAGTTCTCCAAATCTGATGGAACTCCAGAGTCAGCTCGTGATCTGACTTGGTCGTACGCGGCCTTGCTCACTGCAAACAACCGCCGCAACTCGGTTGTTCCCGCAGCATGGGGTGAGACATCCGCAAGCAGTGTCCCAGGAACATGCTCTGCGACTTCTGCGACTGGAACCTACAGCACTGCTACCAACACGAACTGGCCAAGCACCTTGACAAGTGGATCGGGATCTACTAGCACTACCACCGCTGGTGGAACAACAACTAGTGGAGGTTCGACTACTACCACTTCCAAAACAAGCACTACAACCACATCATGCACAACGCCAACCGCTGTAGCGGTGACTTTTGATCTCATTGCAACCACGGTGTATGGTGAGAGCATCGAATTGGCAGGTTCTATCTCTGCGCTTGGTAGCTGGGACACCAGCAGTGCCATTGCCCTAAGTGCGAGTCAATACACCACCTCCAACCATCTGTGGTACGTTACAGTGACTCTGCCTGCTGGTCAAGTCTTCCAATATAAGTATATCCGAGTTTCGAGCTCTGGTACAGTCACATGGGAGAGCGATCCGAATCTCTCTTATACCGTACCAGCAGCCTGCGCCACGACTGCTGTGACAATCAGCGATACCTGGCGATAGATAGCCGTAAGGCTCATTTTACTATCTGAAGTCGTCAAGAGGGAACATCGGAGAAATTTCTCGAGTCTGAAGCCAAAGAGTCAATTGATCGCACCCGCTGCGAATCGAGAGTCGGACATTATCTGTTTATTGAAAATTCTGCTGTTCCTGGGTGAATTTGGATATAGCTGTTTCTTAAATACATGTTGAAGTCAAAGCATCTTCTCCAAATCTTTACAATTAAATCTTAAGAAAAATCTATTTCCGGAAGTCTAAAGCAGTATATTATAGTTGATGATTACGGATAAAGAGTCCGAAGAAGGCGGCTGCGAGGGAGCTCACAGACGATACAACATAAGTTTGCTTGAGGCCCGACAAGTAGCAAGCCACAACAACTTCGCGAATTTGGCCCGTCAAATGGGCAATATAATCCGTGTCTGCCATCGCCCGCCGGATGATGTTCTCCGAGCCAGGCCCTTGCACATTCCGACGTAACTGACTCTCGAACTCGATCCCGAGAACCGAGTTGCACATTGTAACACCGGCTGTCATCGCAAAACTAATCAAAAGCATATAACCCGAAGTAGCCATTGCCATTTCATCTGACGGTAGAGTTGCCGTCATGGCCACAAACCCGGCTGCCGAGGCGATTCCAGTGCCGAATCCACCCGGGAAAACGTAAAGTGACTCCCAGAATCCGGTGTTGCCATTCCAGAAGAAGTATAACAGGACATAGGCGATGCACGAGATTAAACCAGCCAGAATCAGAAGTAATTGATATCGCCCAGTTTTTCTCACGTATAATCCCGCCAGAATGCCTCCAACGGTGTTTCCGATGATTGTGGGAACCAGATGACCACCGGATGCCGTGGTTGAAGCACCTTGGGTAACCTGGAAGTACAGCGGGATGGAGAACAGCATTCCCAGTTGAGCCATGACCTGAAGAAACCCGACTATGTAGCTTATAGCCACGTTGGGCCTTCGGAGGATGCGTAGGTTGAAGATTGGATCTTTGGCGACGTAGGCTTCGACAAGAACGAATGAGATGAGGAGGAGCAGACCACCGCCGCCCATAACAACTGTTATCCATGAACGCCATGGGAAGGACTTGCCTCCTTGATCAATCAAGGAAGTGATGGCGATTATCGCTCCTCCGAGGAAGGCCGTTCCCATGAAATCCACTTTAGCGAGTTTCGACAGCCTGCCGTCTTTGTTAGAGGCTGGTTTCTCGCTAATATTAAGCTTGACAACGACTAGTAATGCGGCTAAGGCGACAAATGGAACCTGGATGAGGAAGAGCCTGCATATAATCAGAAATCGTTCCAAAATGAATCGTTAGTTCTACTTACCACCTCCATCCAATTGTATCGCTTAGCCACCCGCCCACAGGACCTCCCAGGCTGCGACCAAGAGTCATCGAGATATTGACATAGGATCTCCAGGTTGCCACATCACGTCTGGGGACAATATCTGTGATAATAACAGAGCTAATAATCATCGTGCCCGCTCCGCCCATTCCGCTAATTGCGCGGCCGAGAATAACCGTCCACATCTGGGGCCCAACACCACTATCGACAGGTCAGTAAGATAGCACCAGCACCCTTAATCGTTAAACATACCAGACAATGCATCCAAAAGCAAAAAGAAAATAAGAAATTAGGAGAAGGGGTTTGCGGCCGTAGATATCGCTCAATTTTCCGTACTGTATAGTTGGTTAGTTTCACGTTTCCTAGTCCCAGTGTGCAGTTCACCGTAATACATACCATCGGCTGAGCAGCACAAAGACCCAGTGTGTATCCAGTTGATAACCAACTAGCATCGCGGAGACGATTGAAATCGGAGGAAACGCGACCCGCGGCGGCCATGACGAGTGTGGCATCGGCATTGGAAATGAATTCACCTTCAGTAACGGAAAGTTAGTTTTGTTTTGAAGTGAACAATGTATCCTTCTGTACCTAATAACAGCACTGCAACAATCGCTCCTACGCTTGCTGCAGTTTTCACCGTCGGCTCTGTATCTTGAGATTCTCCAAGAAGTGGACTTTCTTCATCCCCGGATGTGGGCACATTGCTGACTGATTGGGACGGAACGATGCTCTCTTCGCCTTGGAACGCATCCTGCGTGCCATATTGGCTTTTGACAACCATTTCGTCCTGTCAGGAGGATAGCTTCAGTAATTCTCGACGCAAGAATCTTCGACCAGCCAAGTTTTCTGGGGGTGGGGAATGGGCGGAATTAAATGTCCGACGACACGAGAATAATATAGGATAATCGGCACATGGCACTATAAGCCATTGTCTGTGCCTTTCTCGTCGGTCCATTCAGACTGCATTATTGTGTTATCATAGCGATCGCAAATCACGCGATTGGTGGGGCACTCGGCAGTGTAATTGACTAGCTCCGATAATGCTAGAGTTGACATGAACTCCGTACCAAGGTTGGAATTATGTTTCTTCCTACCAACAAGCGATTAGTGAATACTTTAGTATCTTTGTTCGGAATTCTTCTTCTTCTTTATCTTAATTTATTTTTCAGCGATATCGAATCGCTTACATACACATATACATACATCTTCAACTTCGATTTGGATCGCCATTAAGACCCGCAATTGCATCATGCCCCGCCGGCTATTTTTGCCGACCAAAAGCCCGGGGTTTTGATTCTATACAAACTTCGAGGGAAATTTTACAACTACTCTTCATCAATCTCTGAAGTAAAATTGGACAAACTAATGGCATGAATATCGGTGACTGGCAAGCTGGTCCTCTTTTGTATCCCAAGGTTGCAGTTGACACCTCATCCTGCTGGAACTTCATTCGACTGTTTGGTTCTGAAATCAGTTAATCTACCATTGTTTAGGGAAATATATACAGCACCTTCTTCATCTAATTTCTAATAATTAGAAGCTCACTTGGGCAAATATGGTAACGACGCTTCCAAGATCCATGGATCTGCGTACCGATCAGGTTTGATAGTAGGTGTGATGGAGGATGCCCAAGAAACTATCAACGTCAACAATTGCCAGCTTAACCAAACATTCCCCGTCTGGAGAGCATGCAGAGATGCCATTCTCAATCTTACTAAATGTGAATATTTGCGTGAGATATCGACGGAGGGGAGATGTGCAAAGAGGCTTATGTCGGGGGTCTGCCATCTGTTCGCGAGTGGCTACTGCAGGTGTTCGGTACAGGGCGTGGCCAAACTCTATATTGACGCTCTCCGATGCCTTCGTTCTATAACTAGTAGTGAGTGGAGCCCCAGGAGTCCCTCGGGTTACATATATTTAGGACTGTAGAGCTTCAAGTTCATACTTTAAATGGCTCCAGGGCTCGCTTTTTAATAGGAAATAAGGAAATGACTTTCGATGTATCTACTCAATCAGGCAATTCGCTTCGGGCTTTCCAATCCAGGTTAAAAAAAAATTAAGTCTGTTCAACGCTGTACAGCATGATAGGATCGCGGAATATAATATAACATAATGTACGCCTATGAGTACTCCAATTGCTTGTGATTCTCTCAGTAAGCGACTCGGAGATACCCGTATCAGCATTGCTCAACTTCTCTAACATCCAATAATAGCTTTCAAATGAAGAAAATGACATCAATTGGAGTTGTATGAAATATACTTAGACTCAGGTGCAGTTATGCCTTTTTTGACCAGGAACAGTTGGGATCCCGATTATTTTTCTATTTCAGAGGAACAAATAATAATCCGACCGAAGTTAACCATCTACTAGTACTCTGGTTGCTAGCAATTGACAATTGTATGGTGTATATAGTAATTCCAAGACTGTCTGGTCTGAACCAATAAATGAATGTTGAGAGAAAGGGACATCCTCTCATGCTATACCATCTATCTATCTAAGAGCATAGTAGTACGAGAGAAGCTATTCACGTGTGGGCTGACAAAGCCTGCAGGCATCATGGGTCCCACAAGGCTATTTCCTCAGCAGAATTGGTCCATAGTCTTGACTTTAAGTTCGAAACTTGGAGGTTTTATTTATATATTTATCCCGAGATCCCTCCGAGTCTTTGATTCCGACTCGGAGTTAGGGAAAACTTCACCACGGCTAACAAAACACTTTGGAAAAACAAATTTCTAAGCAATAATTGTTGAGGATGGCTGCCTAGCACCCACTGTCTCAGACGACTTAGGCCACCCCTTCCCTAGATAGCTTTATCTTAATTTAGCTCGCTCTTCCATCTGATCACTACTTTCGTGTCTGTCTTCCATTTTGGCTAGGCCTCCGACAGAAGTGATAAGAATTATGATATGGATGCCATTCACGACGCGCCCTTGATTGTCTAAGGAATTCCTTAATCAATGACTACGACTTGGGATCGGCTCACCGTACTTTGCCGAAAATCCTCGACTCCTTGCGGTGCAACAATTCCCCGAAGGCGGAGGCGGCGCAATTCTGACCGAAGTGCCCTAAGAAATGTCTCCGAACTCCATTAACTCCATTATGGGGCTTGATCAGAAATCGAAAACTCCCAAAAGAAACAAAGGAGGACGGCAAGCTGGGCCCGGCACAAATAGAATATTTGGCACACCGAAATTATCTGCCCCGGATGATTCCACCAAGGTGGCGTCACAGACAAGGAACTTGCGAACTCTGAAGCTAATCCGCCACATTGACACCTCAGGATTCACTCCATTGGCCCGTGGCGGCTCATGATTCGATCGATAAACTTAAACTGGGTCTTCAAAATCTTAAACTGGTAATAGAGACGCACTAGCACCGCGCTGACGCTGTTTGACAATTTACAGTGCTGATGGGCCCCTTTGCCGCTTATTTCCGATTTGTGCCAGCCATCCACAGCCACTCATCTGCGACAACATGACTCAACCGGGGTCCACTTTGAATTGTGCGCGGACATTAAACAGTCTTAAAACCGTGATGACCTCCCGATTTCTGGTTCATGTTGATCCACGAGTGGGCCCTCAATTGCTGCTGGAGAATTTGGCGGAAGTGCGAAGGGTCAAATGGGATCCAGAAAATTCCACAATGGATGGAGTTAGCTATGACGCCGGGGTATTGTTGCTGGGTATAAAGGCCCCCGTTCCCACCCTCACAACGAGTATCTTATCACATTGAGCTACATTTATTTCATTTCGATCACAATCATCAATCATGGGTTCTACCGATTACAAGTTCAAGGGCTGGATGGGCCTCGATGCCAGTGCCGCTGAGGGCAACATGAAGTGGCAGGAGTTTGAGCCCAAGCCCTGGGAGGAGACTGATGTTGATATCCAAATCACCCACTGTGGAATCTGCGGCTCCGACATGCACACTTTGCGCAGTGGATGGGTACGTGGAAACGAGCTTGCTTATGACCTCGAAGCTTAAGCTAACATGTGATACTATTATAGGGTCCTACCACCTACCCTTGCTGCGTCGGCCACGAGATCGTCGGCAAGGCCATCCGCGTCGGATCCAAGGCCACCGGTGACATTAAGATTGGCGACCGCGTCGGTGTTGGTGCTCAGAGCGGCTCGTGCCAGAACTACGATGGAAACTGTGAGGCCTGTGCCAACAGCCTGGAGCAGCACTGCAACCGCATGACTGGAACATACAATGGAACATACATGAACGGCGGCAAGTCTTACGGAGGATACGCCCTATACAACCGCTCGCCATCGCACTTCGTTATCAAGATCCCCGATGCCATTCCCTCCGCCGAAGCTGCCCCTATGCTGTGTGGTGGCATCACCACCTATTCTCCTCTTCGTCAACACGGCTGCGGCCCCGGCAAGAAGGTTGGTATCATCGGTGTTGGTGGACTAGGTCACTTCGGTATCCTTTTCGCCAAGGCCCTAGGTGCCGATAAGGTGGTCGCCATCTCGCGCAAGGCCAACAAGAAGGAGGATGCGCTCAAGCTGGGCGCCGATGCTTATATCGCCACCGATGATGATAAGGACTGGGCAAACCAGAACAACCAGTCTCTGGATCTGATCATTTCGACCGTTTCTTCGTCTAAGATGCCTATCGTCCAATACTGCCAGCTTCTACGCACCCGTGGAACCTTCGTTCAACTGGGTGCCCCCGAAGATGGTGGTCTCGAGATCCCTGCCTTCAGCCTGATCGTTAGGGGTATCAAGCTCGGTGGCTCTTTGATTGGTAGCCCTGATGAGATCCGTGAAATGTTGGATCTGGCTGCCACCAAGGGTATCCACCCCTGGGTCGAGGAGAGACCCATGGAGGATGCCAACCAAGCCATTTTGGATATGGATGCGGGCAAGGCACGCTATCGCCTTGTGCTTGCCAACAAGTGGTAAATGCAAAACGTGACGACTTAAACAACATATAAACATAGATACCTGAATAGAGCAATACCATAGATTAATGGTGAATTCCAAGAATCCAATCATTTTTGAACATGAGATGTCGAGCATGAATTTGAGAATTTTCCCTGTTAATAACTAAATCATCATTAACACAATATTACAAAAAGGAAATGAGGCAATCTCTGGATCGTTGGTACCACCAAGGCTTGGTCGCTTAACAAACGGCGAAGACTCCATTGACACCTCACCCCGGGCCTTTTGACTTTTGCCTGGTCTCAAAATCCTGTCTTTACCGCAAAACCCCAAGACCGATAGTCAAAAATACAATCAAGTGCAGAGAATGGGCTGCAAGGAATTGGGATGGAATTGCGAAACGTATACTCCGTACCTTCTATTGATGACATGTCCCAGGCATACAGATCGCCTTCCTTCCTGCACGTCAAGCCCCACTCTCCCACTTCCCTTTCTCTCCGACCATCTCATCTCCACTCCGTACCTTCTCCTTCTAAAATTATTGTCATCGCCACCCTGTTTTCACCCACCTGTCAAGCCCACCTCTGTCCTTTACTGTTCTCGCCGCCAGTCCTGCCATTCCTGTGTTTTCATAGGACTCTCCAATCTCACTTTTTGAGATTGGATTGGGCGCGTACTCGTGACCAAGTCGTAAAGACTTTTCCCTTTTTACTCTCATGTTATAATTATTTATTCACCATTTCATGAGAGTCAGGGCTGCTCGACATCGATACAAAGCCCGGGTGGGAGGGTTACTCGATTCATCGAGGGTTTTCCTTTTCGTCCAGCGAAAATCATAACATAATATGACCATCACATTACCAAACTCGCGCTGAAGCTTAAAGGAGATTATTATTCATGCGCTCTGTGCCCGAGTTTCGTTTCTGTTAGGCTCCTTCAACAATAATGAAGCTGTATCTTGTTTATGTTCGAGCTTTTATAGTGGCCACAGCTATTGAGACATTTGTACGTCCTCTATTGCAATTGGAACGTTAGAGCTGTGGCTTGCGATTGATAAATTCCATAGAGATAGAAGTTGTCTGCTCGGCTATCGTTGGTCGCCGAGTGCCGAAATCCGGGGAAATGATAAATTTCCCCGCACTCGGTGAATATGACACTTTCACTCCAACAGACACTCCAGAACTCCACTCGCCCTCGCACTAGGCTCAGTCAAGTCTAGGATACACCCTTGGGACCGCCACTACAGTCTGCTTATCATTCAGTCCGTCGGATCGGAACTTTCCCCGATAAGAAGTCCGTCGCTTCTCCCCCTCGTTTGGTTTCTGCTGGAGTGACACCTCCCCACGCAATGAGTACGCCTGGTCGAGTCTGTGCTCGCTGCGCACGCATTGTTAGTGCTTAACATCGAGCCTGGGCCATTGGCGAAGACTAATATCCAATAGAAACAACGATGCGACGGCAGTCAGCCGTGCTCACGGTGTAAACGTACGTTTCCGTCATCTCGCTCGCAAGCACCCTCCATTCCGAGGGTAACTGACTTCTTTTGAAAAAGGTCTCGGTCATATCTGCAAACCACGAAGTCCCACGGAGCAAGAACCCGGACTAGCAGCAGCATCGCGACGGCCCCGTGCATCGCGGTCCCGCGGCGGCTGTTTGTCCTGCAAGGCGAGGTAGATCGATACCTGGAGTGGAGCAAGCCATATTGTCGGAAGCTGATTGAGTTCACAGGAAGAAGAAGTGCGATGAACTAAGACCGCGATGTAGTGATTGTCGACGGCTGAACCTTCCTTGTCAGTGGGCACCCAGTATTGAGACGACGAATGACCCGAGCGACTCTTCTTCACCAGAGTCCCATGCGACCGAGTCACCCATTACAGACTTGATTCCACTATCCGACGGTGATCGGATCATCAATACCTATATTACCCCCGAAGATGACGAAGAATTTATCGCCACGCTCTTTCCACATCCTTTCCGCGAGCAACAAACGATTGCGCCCCCTATCGACCGTCCCCTGCTATCAGCAAACCCATATTTGAGCAGTGAAGAGGACCGATCGCTGTTCAATCACTATATCCACGTCGTATCCCGCGCGCTCTCCCGATCCCATGATAACGATCGGAACCCATTCCTGGTCACACTGTTACCATTGGCAGCTGCATCGGATGCGGTCACTAGTGTCATCCTTAGCTTGAGTGGATGCCACTGGAGGAGAGTCTATCCCAGCATCTGGGGATGCGCCTTGAAGCGTCAAGGCAAAGGTTGGTTGGATACTGCTGTAAACACAGAATTGAAGCTAATGATTTTCAGCACTGACGCAGGTGAATCGGTTACTCGGTCAACCAGATCGTCATTCTATTTTCGAAGCATGCGCGACCGTATTGCTGTTATGTCTAACAGAGCTCTTTGATGGCACATCTAGAGTATGGAAATGGCATTTGAAGGCCGCGAGTGCAATTCTCAAATCGCCAGCTTTTCGATCGCTCGTTTCAACGGATGAAATGAATTTTTGCATCAGTCTATTCCATTATCTCGACTCGATGTCAACAATATCTCGCTGCAAACCCCCACTTCTCCATGACAGTGACAGCATGACCGAATTGACAACCTCATTCCGCCGAGATAGCCTCCCCATACAAGAGCGCACCCAATCCACTGACGCTATCTACGGAATATCACCAGCCCTCTTCGACATCCTAGGGATGGTCAACATTCTGGCCAATCACCGTAGCAAGCGTGTCGATGAGCTATCCGAAATTGGCTTCCGAGCTGCTGCGACACAAGTGGAAAGTCGGATCGACGAGTGGCGCGCGGATCACGATCGGAACGCGGAGCAGGAACTTGATACGGAGCGCGCTACCACTGCGTTTGAGTGGGCCATTCGCTTGAGATTGCATCAAGTTGTCGAGGGCTACGACCCACTTCACGAATTTGTGGAGCGGGCCGTTTCGACGATATTGGATGCAGTACAGCTAGTTCCATATGCTAGCAGCGTCGAGGGCTGCCTTCTATTCCCTCTTGTTATCTCTGGTTCTAGCAGCATCAGCATTGAGAGACGCATGATAGTCAAAGAACGTCTCATGGTAATGGAGAATACTCTTGGGTTCAGTCATATCCAGCATGCCCGACAACTTTTAGAAACTGTGTGGGGTGGCACACCTAGTGCATCTGATATGAACTGGGCTGCTATTAGGTATAGCCAGTTTCCAGGCGTTGTTTTCATCTAGCCAACAAAATTAATGATGATATTCCTAGTCAAGGAGGGCATTTATGTCAAAGGACAGGTTGTTGTGACATCTAAAATTCAACTAGACTAGGTAACATATAAAACTCCCAAGCACACAATTTATAAGCCAACTTGAATCTTCTTCAATTCCGACACAAGCGCGGCCAAGTGGTCTCGCATGTTATATCCGCAGACTTCCTCGATCGTCAATTTTCCCGGACGGTCTGACGAAGAGCTCCAGCCAATACGTTCGCTCAAATCCTCGCGGGCCCGAAAGCTCGCTTCCTGTACTCGAGTAGCGCGAGGCTTGCGCAGCTTTTCGTACAGAGCCAAGCCTTCGGCTGTACTGTAGTTCTCACGAAAGTTCTTGTTAAAGACAATTCCTAAAGCACCAGCATCCTCAAACGCCATGCAAGAACCTTGAGACTGGTCGGGCATCATGGGGTGTGCTATTATCTGATAAGTAATTCAACAACGAAAGAGGATCAATCAAAACATACCTGCATCTCCAAGCAGGCAGACTTTACCCTTGGCCCAGAATGGATAGGGCTGGTGTCTATACACTAGAGGAATAATTAGTATTGTCGGCGCCAGCCCAGAGATGAATAACATACAGCGCCACATCTTGATGTCTTCGGCATTGAGCATCAACTTTTGCATTCTCGGGTCCAGATCGGGGAATGTCTCAACTAGCTGCTCTGGCGTTGCGCTAATGTCCCAGCCATCTTCGCGGAGGTTATTGAACGACGCCGGGTAGAAGCAGTAGCAGCTCACAACCTCGCCATTACTGCAAGGCGACATGACAATCTTGTTGATTCCATATCCACCCCAGTACTCAATAGCTTCGTTAGATATATAGTCTTCTAGACCAAGCTCCCGCAGCTTATCGGCACCAATAATACATCTATAGCAGCAAGAGGTCGACATTTCGAATTCAGGAGTAATTCCAATGAGCTCTCTTGTCGCAGACTAGAAAGTATAATTAGCGGCTGGAATCAGATATTTCCTCCAAAATTAAACATACTCTAATTCCGTCAGCGGCAACGATGATGTCGGCAGTTGCCTCGACGCCGTTCTCAAACTTGATTGTTCCATCTTCGGCCTTGACCTCGATCGCCTTGTGGTTAACTTTAAGAACACAGGCAGGGCCCTCGCCTGGCTCCTCGAATGCAGATTTAATGAGCTCTTTGTGAATATCAATTCGGTGAAAATTATTATAGTCCTGTAATGAGGTCATTAGCTGCTGTGTGCATTTTAATCTCCGTCGACACCTTATTGCGTACCGTGCCAAATTTGGACTTGTAATCGCCTAGGGGATAGGTGCTTTGCACTTCCCCGTCCGACCAATTGTGCATGATCAATTGCTTTAGAATAACCTGTATTGAATTAACGAAAATTATTCTGAATGGTCACTCGGTTTTTCTTTTTCCACTAGACCTACTGGCTTTGCCGCTTTCACATCCACACCCCACTCCTCCAGAAAGCGCGATCCATTCGATGCCGCACTCAAAGATGCGCCAACTTCACCAGCAAAATCATATCGCTCATAAACAGTCACGGCGTGTCCTTGGCGACGCAAGGCGACAGCAGCACCAAGTCCGCCGAGGCCGGCGCCAATAATGGCGATTTGGAGTGGAGAGTCGGTACGCGAAGGCATGTTTTCTCTGATAGATGATTTTAGACCTGACACAAAGAAGTAAAATAAGGTCTTTCAAACCTCAAATATATACAGATTTCAAAACTGAAGCTATTCCATCGCGTCGGATGCCAGTTCTCACCCAGAAACATCACCCAAGGATGACCGCGATAAGCGACGGAAGACTCCGCTATCTATGCGACGGCTGCATCATGTGGCGTCTCCGCAGCCGATCCTTGCTTCTGTCATCTTCGCCGCTGTCGCCTAGGCGAACCCAATCAGGAGCTAGTGATACAGTTGTCCGGGGAAGCTGATAGTGGTCCATGCTGCTCACTATCTCCCTTCGTTCTGGTATCAAAGCTTCCCCGTCCCGTTAATAAAATGCTCGTTGTGAGACGCCATGCCTGCCTGCATGCTCACCATTACCTTGAACTGAAATCCGGACCCCTTTGCCAAATATTTGATGATATTAATCATGGATAAGAAAAATGAACTGAATGACAAACTCGATTCACCCGAGGATTGCTCCTTGGGTACTCTGACGATGGAGGACAAGAGATTGCTTCGCAAAGTGGATTGGCATATCTTGCCCATCATGTTCTTCACATACTTTCTACAAATGATTGACAAGATTTCCATCAACGTATGTTTTTTGACCCATCTCTTGCTCCTCGTTTAGCTTCACATAGCTGACACCAGGAAGTACGCGAATGTGATGGGACTTCAAGGCGATTTGGGGATGGCTGGAAATGACTTCTCCTGGCTGGCAACCGCTTTCTTCATCGCTTATGCAGTGGCTGAAATTCCCCAAGGAGCTCTCCTACAGAAGTTCCCAGTCTCGAAAGTCCTTGGAGTCAATGTATTTTGCTGGGGGATCATTCTTTGCTGTTCATCCGCGACGAAAAACTTCAGCGGAATGCTTGCTCTTCGTGTGCTTCTTGGTTTGATGGAGGCTGTTATCGGTAAGTCACAGCGTTCCATATTTCATGTACTAAGCTAATTACACACCAGCCCCGTCCCTGACCATGTACACGAGTATGTGGTATACCCGTGCAGAGTCGACACCGCGATATGGATTTTGGTATTGTGGTCTTGGTATGGGCCAGATTATCGGCGGGTTGGTCTCTTTTGCCGCTCAACATGCATCCACAAGCTTGTCCTTTGGTGGATGGCGCATTATGTTTGTGGCAATCGGAGCTGTCAATATCTTAGCGTCTTTGCTGGTCCTTTTTATTCTCCCTGAAAGTCCTGCCGAGGCCAAGTTTCTCAGTGAGGAGGAAAAGCAGCGTATTTCCCAACGATTGTCAGAGGACGCGGCTGGTGTTGGAGACAAGGTCTTCCGCTGGCGATCTGTCCTAGAGGCCTTTGCAGACCTGCAAACCTGGTTACTAGTTCTGCTGACAGTTCTCATCACCATACCCAGTGGCGTGATAACAACATTTTCGGCCATTTTAATCAAAGGATTCGGATACAACTCGAAGGAGAGTGCGCTATTAAATATGCCCAGTGGGATTGTGAGCATATTTTCTACAATGGCATCTACATATGCCATTGCCAAAGGGTTCTCACGCTGGCTTGCAATCGACATTTTACTGATTCCAACTCTCCTGGGCTCGTGTCTCATGTCTTTTCTGCCGAGTGAAAACAAGGGAGGCTGTCTAGCTGGCATTTATTTGGTCAACACAGTATGTGCTTTTTGGGCTTCTTTTTTTACATCTCTAACATTCTCAGACCGTTGCCCCGCTTGGTATTATATATGCTTGGACGGGCGCCAACTTCAAAGGATACACTATGAAGGTATTGCAATATTCCTCCTTCCTAACCACTTGCTTATCTGACATGAAAAGGTTTCTGGCGCGGCAATTATATCGGCTGCATTCAGCATCGCCAACATCATCGGTCCTCAAACATTCCAAGCTAAAGACGCTCCCCGGTATGGAAAACCCGGAAATCCCTCTAATTATTCTATAATATTGATTTTTTTGCTTTTTTAATCAGGTACATTCCAGCTAAGATCACACTGGTCGCGGTAAACGCAGCTGCCATTGTTGTATCTACAGTCCTTCGGATGCTTTATGCCCGACGCAATTCCAACGCGGATCGCCTGGGGACACCAGCAAGGAGCAAAATGGAGGCTCGTCTAAGTGACAGCCATACGAACGATGTTCACGATGACACGAACTTCCGTTATGTGCTCTAAGTGGAGCAAGGATTTGTCTAGGATAGTTTTCAGTTTTCCATGTAAATTGATAGCAATATAAATTGAGAAAGCGTCGCCTAATCTGAGTTCCAGATCGTATTCATTCGGTTAGACATTCTAAATAAATCAACGCGGGTAAATGGAAAAGGAGGTCAAAGTCGCAATGCTTTCGACTCCACTATCTATCCGACGGCAGCGGGTGGATTTGTCCGATCGGCCTTCAGGAGGTCGAACTATAAGAATCGAACATTGAACACTCCTGTAGATCGAAACCAAAACCACTGATATTGAAATAATATGGCACCTGTTGATTCCGGATCTCTTGTGCTGGTGACTGGTGGCAACGGCTTTATCGCCGCCCACTGCATCGCTACCCTCCTTCGCTCCGGTTACCAAGTCCGAGCGACCGTTCGATCAAACGAAAAAGGTGATTCAACACGAAAGTCACTCAGTGCTGCCGGTGTCGGTGCGCGCGATCTTGGAGGCTTGGAATTTGTCGTTGTCCCTGATCCGACCGACCTTCAACGTCTATCGTCTGCCTTGCAGGATTGCCAAGCTGTACTACATTTAGCATCGGCTTTCAACTACGATGCAGTGCCAGCAGAATTCGAAGAAAAGCTGATGATTCCTGCACTTAAGGGTACACAAGTTGTCTGTGAAGCAGCCGCACAACGGTCAACTGTACGACGAGTCGTGATCATGTCAAGCTTTGCCAGCGTTTATGATGCCAGTCTCGGACTTCAGCCCGGCCGTGTATACACTGAAGAGGATTGGTGTCCGTTGACCTACGAGGACGGTGTGAATGCAACTGCTGTTGTGAGTGCCCTTTTCTCGCCGTCTATTTGAAAGGGGGTCTTATTCTAATTTGAATCAGCCTGTCGCTTATCGTGCGTCGAAAGTTGTCGCCGAGCGAGCGGCCTGGGACTATGTTCGTGATCACCAAGTGAACTACCAACTTGTCACACTCTGCCCTGGGATGGTATTCGGAAAGATGATTCACCCAATTTCATCTTTATCCCAGCTGAATGCTAGCAATCAAATTGTGTGGGGAGTCCTGAATGCAGGCAGAGACGGCGAAATCCCCCCCTACTAAGGCGCCTGGTATGTTCGAATCTCCTACCCTCTCGAAATCTCAGTCTGCTAATGAAGTTTTCAGTATGGGTTGATGTCGAGGACCTGGCAGAAGCCAGTATGAAAGTTTTGAGCTACCCAGCAACTGGTCATGACCGTTTCTTGGTCACACAGGCATCGTACGACACCCAAGAGATTGCTGATGTCGTTCGTGCACAGCTTCCAGATAGACATCTAGCCCCACTTGGTGAGCCAGGAAGTCGCCTCGCTCACACACATTATTCTTGTGATTCTTCAAAGGCACAGAGGATGTTGGGACTCAAATTTAAAGGGCTGAAAGAGTCAATTATTCCTTTGGCTGAGCAGCTCTATGACATGGCAAAGCTTTGACTGGATGGTAGACAGATGGTTACAACATAGCTTCTAGAATAAGAAAGAATTAAAAGCACCTAAACAAAAATACGATTCTAGTATTCAGCCCGGCCAATCTCGTCTGTAACACAAAATGCCTGAACTCATCTGCTTCTCCAATAAGCTAAGAGAACAGTATTGAAGCTTTTGGTTCGATATTACTTTCCATCGCCAGTCACCGTCATAAATAGTAAATTCCATGGTTGCAAGTATCTTTATCGCGGTCGGCAGTTCGAACTGTCGCCAAAATGACCACCTTAGTCACAGTCCCTCATATCCCGGGGTCAGAGTTTATATTATATTAGATACCTTACGGGTCATATTGGTTGCAAATTGAGCAGAAATTAATATGAACAAGTCCACATGAATTGTCTATTTAGAGGATTAAACATATAACAAATATCATTTAAGCGTGGAGCGTAGCCTTGATATGATCTGCTGTCATATCGATAAATTCCTTCGCCTGCCACAAATCTGCGTCACGAGTTAGAAAAACGCCGTATCATATTCGGAGTCTGCCAAAACTTACCCTTATCCATGTGCATAAAGGGGTGAGGAACACCCGCGAACCGTTTTTGAATAACCTCATTTCCACCCTCAATCAGCTTCCGCGCGTACGCCTCACCCTCATCGCGCAGCGGGTCACACCCGGCTGTGTAAATAACTGTCTTGGGAAGGCCGGTAAAGCTGGGTGCTTGCAGGATATCGGCGTACCACTTCACAGCAGCCAATTGCTGCTCACGAACTGGACCCTCATCTGCGAGACTTTGCCACTTCAAGTTATCGAACCACTTCAGCCGAGCCCAGTTCAGTGTAGGTGCATGTTCCATTTGATGCATGGATTCCCATGGTGCATCCGACGCCGACTTGTATTTGGAAATATCATCAACCACAGGAGTTCCTACGGCGACCAGTTTGAGAGGAATATTGTCGTCGCGAGCGAGATGAGCGCATACTAAGGCGATATTGGCACCAGCAGAGACTCCTCCCAATGAAATGCGCGTTGGGTCTATTTTGAATCGGTCGGCTCCTTTGGCGAAGATGTGTTGTAAGGCCGCAAACGAATCTTGGACTCCGATTGGGAATGCAAACTCTGGCACCAATCGGTAGTCCACATCTATCACACAAACATTGGCCTTAACGCAGATGTGCTTGCAAATGTGGGATTCGGTGTCGAGATCCCCCAATCCCCAGCCTAGCTTCAAATCAGAGGTAGTTCTCAAGGGGATAGTTGACCTGATGCTTTTCACATACCTCCACCATGGAAATCAATGTGTACTGGCCATGGACCCGGTGATGCAGGCTCATATACTCGCACTGGAATAGATTCGCCGTTGTGGCCAGGAACCTCGCTATCGTAGACTCGTGCGCATTCTGGTGCAGGCCCCGTGCCATAAGAGTAGAGGACTGAGTATTTCGTACGTAGAATCGACAAATCAATTGGACCTGCTGGGGTATTCGCGACGTGTTTGTTGTAAAGATCAACGAACACTGGGTCGAGGTGGGGAAGAACAGAGGGGTGAATGGGGTTGAGAGCTTCGTGCGACATGGTGACGGTGGTGAATCGATGACGAAGTGAAATTGTTCAGGAATATTATATATCTTCAAAGGTTAGCTTTGATTGTTTCTCAAGACCGCGCAGGTCGTATCGCGTCGCCACAGCGTCGGGAGATACACAGCCCCGCGGCCGTCGCATTGGCCCACGTAGCCGACCGTCGGAAGGTAATTTTGAAGCCGTGGAAACTTCATGTGGATACGCGATAACCCCGGACCCCGCACGTTATCTATGCGACGGGGCTCTGATAAAGTCGAGTGTGAAGTGCCCTTGGACACAAAAAGCGCTGACCGCGACAACAAGAATGGGGATCTCATAATCGTCACTATCATGGATCCTGTACTGATCGTTGGTGCAGGAATTGTGGGCTTGACCCTTGGCCAAGCTCTGAAGCAGAAGAATATTCCCTTTGAGATATTTGAACGGGATGAAACTCCCGATGCGCGTGGACAGGGGTGGGCCATCACCTTGCACTGGGCCCTGGAATATATGCACAAGATGCTCCCCCAGGACACCCTCAAGCGCATACAAGACGTCCAAGTGGATCCAGATGTTGCGCTCAACGACAATGGCAATTTTTTATTCATCAACCTCGAAACCGGAGAGCCAAAATATAAGATACCCCCGAGCGTCCGGTGGCGCGTGAATCGCGAAAAGGTGCGGCGCGCATTGCTGCATGGAATTGAAGACCATGTTCACTGGGGTCGAAGAGTAGTCGGAGTTATTCTGCCCGAAAATAAAACCAAAGTGCAGTTGGTTTTCGCCGATGAAACAACCTTGACCGGACGTCTTGCTATCGGTGTTGAGGGTAGCCGATCGATGGTGCGACAGATCTTGCGACCAGATGCATTCGACAATGTGCCCGTGGGCATCAATTTCACGGGTGTTGCAGTTGATTTGACGTCAACCGAGATTAAGTCTTTGCGCGACATGGACCCTTTGCTATTTCAGGGTTGTCATCCACCAACAGGGGCTTTCTTTTGGTTCTCAATGCTTGAGACACCCAAGGTAAATGGGACTGCAGGCACGGATGCTGAACGCTATCGGGCTCAAATATGCATGTCTTGGCCTGAAAATACGCCAGAAGACAAAGTGGCCGACACGGATGAAGCCCGACTAGCCAATATGAAGAGACGCGCCGAGGGCTTCGTGCCCTTCTTACAGCAGGCTGTGGAGCGGATTCCTGCTGGGACAGCTGTCACGGAGATCAAGCTAGCAGATTGGGAGTGCCTTGAATGGGACAACCAAGATGGTCGTGTGACTCTGGCTGGGGATGCTGCGCATGCAATGACAATGTGTAAGTATTTTCAGTACGCCAGACTGCATCACTCACTAATAATCGCAGATCGAGGAGAAGCTGCGAATCACGGTCTGCTAGATGCTTATCATCTATCGGAGGCCATTGAAAAGATATACGGCGGGTCTTCCCTTGCATCTGAGGCCATCAACGAGTTCGAAACAGAAATGAGGGAACGGACAAGTCGGGCTGTGCGCCTCAGCCGACAGGCTTGTCGAGATGCACATGATTGGACGAGATTGGATGAGACATCTGCGATTTTAACAAAGAGGGCTATTGTAGGAAAATAGCCCTTCACTTAATTTTACTTTATATACCGAATCATCAGCTCGCAGTTTGAAAGGGAAATTCTCCTAGCAAGACAGAACTTCGGATCTCTAAAGATTGAATTATATTATGAAACTTGCTTGAAAGACACGACGGGTGAAATTTTACTAGCGGACAGGAACTATGTCATATAGGATGGGTAATCAAGAAATGGATTCAATCGATTGACGCGACCACCAGCGAGCTAGATTCCCATGGCGAGGCTACCAATCTCAGATATAAGTATCCACACGGAAAGGAACTTCAGTCTATTTAGGCGAGTCGGGTAATAAATGATCGAAATAAATGATCGAAATAAGTTAAACGCAAGAAAGTAATCCATAGCAATCGAAGGAATTTCTATTCGAAATCACAGAGCGATCATGCCAACACCAGCCAGGAGAGCGGTAGCGATGTAAGCAGCAACCTGGAATGATCCGAAAGAAGCACTCGAGTGAAGGCCAATGGGAGAGGCGAAGCTGGATGAAGTAGAGCTAGAGCCAGAGCCAGAAGTAGCAGTGGCCTCAGTGGAGACAGTGCCGGTTCCAGCAGTTCCAGCCTCCTTGATCTGAGCGGAGCAAGTACCAGTAGCCTTGGTGGTGGCCTGGGTCTTAGCAGAGCCGCTGAAGGAGCAGGCAGAAGCGTCCTTGTCCTGCTCGTCGTAGTACTTGTTCAGAGCGAAAGCAAGCTGGTCCTTAACGCCACACATGCTGTAGGCACCATACTTGCCAGTGGTGGCGTTGGAGTGCAGACCACCGCAATCAGTCATACCGCAAACAACACCCAAAAGGGTACCGTACTTGGCTTCCTTGACGCTGTCGCTCACAACACAGGCGGCCTGATTGGCGATACAGTCACAAAGGGTGGAATCGGGGGTCGGAGGAAGGGGAGTAGCTTCGGCCAACCAGGTCGAATCCACAGTCGGGCAAACCTGCAGGGCAGTGTTGGTGGGAGTGTACGAGGCCTTGTTGGTACCAGTAGGGGAGGCAGTGGCAATGTGGTTGGAGTAGGAGGTGAAGTCCTTCAACTTGCTAACACTGGTGCTGTCAACGACAGAGACGAGACCTGGATGGAAGATTCGATTAGTTTTCGGTCCACATTTTACAATAAAGATTAAACGTACCGTAGTTATTTGCCTCCTGGAAGTACATGTAGACAATACCACCAGACCAGACCTCGGACATGGTGTCGCCGTACAGGGCGTCCACCTCAGTGAACTGACGGGGCTGAACCTCGTTGCAACCATACTCGGCAAAGAATACAGGAGAAGTGTAATTACGGAACTCCTCAGTTCGGGTACTGTAGCCAGACTTCTCATAAGTGGAGTTACCACACCAGGAGTAGACGTTGTATCCCCAGAAATCGATGGCCTCGTCGTCACTCTCACAGTCCAGATAGTTGGCAAGGTTAACACGAATGTTGGTCACATCAGCAGTGGCATATCCGACACCCATGCTACGGTATCCCTTCTGCTTGATGTAAGCCTTCATATCACGGACAGAGGCCTTGACATAAGCGCTAGCATCGGTAGTGGCGGCGGTGTTAGAGATCTCGTTACCGGCGAAGAAACCGATGGTGTTGTTGTACTGCTGAAGCTCGTCGATGACACTGGTGTAGCGGGAGTAGAGGCTGACCTGCCACTCGGGGTCGGCACGGTTAATGGAACTGTTCGGGGACGAGAGATCGGAGATAAGATAGATGCCGGCATCTTGGAGAAGTTTCATGCAGGCGCTGTGGTCGGCATCGGGGTTGATGTAGTAGGTCCGAATGATGTTGGTGCGCAGCTCCTTCATGATAGGAACATCACGCGCGCAAGCGGTG